GAGGCTGGACTCGCTTGGAGACGCAGCGCGTCTTCAAAGAAATTACAAGCAATCCAAAAACAGCAGACAGTCAGCTCAGGCTGTATGAGAGCATGATCTCTGAACTCACTAAAATCTGTTAACCAAACATTATAGATTTAGAGACGAACTGATCCGCTCTGCTTCAACAATCAAAAACATTAGAAATAAGAAAGCTGACAAAACTACAGCAGAGTATCAGGACAACATTGAGGTTTTTTTCTTTTAAGATTTAGAGATTAAAGTTGTAAATTTAGGAGAATAAAGTCATAAAGTAAATAAAGTCATAAAGCTGCTTTTGTGGAGGGGGAAATGACTGAAGCTGGTCATCTGCAGGGTTATCTGTGGATATATCAGCGGGTCATTCAGAGAGATTTTGTGGTTTCTGAAGAAACAATCAAACTGATGATGATCAACATTTGTGATCCAGAGGGAGTCGAGCTCCGACGAGCACCACGTCTCTGACACCGGCCGTAGCCTACACCTGCAGAGACACCAACACCTTATTATGGCATATGGATTCATATCATAAATTAAAGCTCAATGTCATTCACGGATATTTACGGCTGCATTGACAGATATATCCTCAGCATATTCATTTCTGCCTCCACAAAAGCAGCGATTTCCTTCAAGTACACCAGTTTTTTTCCCCGTGGAAAAGACGTATTTCTCATATATTCTTTTTTTAAAGTCTTTATACTTATGACAATGTGATGCTGATGTGCCAGAGGATGAAGTATCTCCTATCCTCCTTCTCAATAGGGCCCTCATACTCCTTCATACAAAACAATCATTGGATTAATTTTGTGGGAATGATCTGGGCTTGTATGTATCTACTATTTTGTGTCTGTGCAAGGTCGCACAATTAAAACAATACATGCTGCGCTCCGCAGCTTTTTTCTAATCAGTCGTGACGTAAGCCTGAGGGCGGGGACATTTGGAGACCTTCGGAGGACTTCCTGGTGGAGTTGCCAAATGTCCCCGCCCTCAGGCTCGCGTCACGACTGACTTAAAGGAAACCCGCGGAGCGCAGCATTTATTGTTTTAATTGTGCGACCTTGCACAGACACAAAATAGTAGATACATACAAGCACAATTCATCCAATGATTGTTTTGTAAGAAGGAGTATGAGGGCCATATTGAGATTTAAGACTTTAAGGACTTCGAGATTTAAGTCGTGAATTTACGAGAATAAAGTCATTAATTTATGAGAATGAAGTCATAACCTGTTATTTCAGAGAGACTTGTTAAAATTAGGGCCATGAAGCATTTGAAGGAACTGTGCTTCAGTATAGGTTTCACAAACAAGGAGATTCTTCATCCTCTGGCACATCAGCATCACATTGTCATAAGTATAAAGACTTTAAAAAGAATATATGAGAAATACGTCTTTTCCACGGGGGAAAAATATTGGTGTACTTGAAGGAAATCGCTGCTTTTGTGGAGGCAGAAATGAATATGCTGAGGATATATCTGTCAATGCAGCCGTTAATATCCGTGAATGACATTGAGCTTTAGTTTATGATATGAATCCATATGCCGTAATAAGGTGTTGGTGTCTCTGCAGGTGTAGGCTACGGCCGGTGTCAGAGACGTGGTGCTCGTCGGAGCTCGACTCCCTCTGGATCACAAATGTTGATTATCATCAGTTTGATTGTTTCTTCAGAAACCACAAAATCTCTCTTAATGACCCGCTGATACATCCACAGATAACCCTGCAGATGACCAGCTTCAGTCATTTCCCCCTCCGCAAAAGCAGCTTTATGACTTTATTTACTTTATGACTTTATTCTCCTAAATTTACAACTTTAATCTCTAAATCTTAAAAGAAAAAAAAAACCTCAATGTTGTCCTGATACTCTGCTGTAGTTTTGTCAGCTTTCTCATTTCTAATGTTTTTGATAGTTGTAACACAGCGGATCAGTTCGTCTCTAAATCTATAATGTTTGGTTTACAGATTTTAGTGAGTTCAGAGATCATGCTCTCATACAGCCTGAGCTGACTGTCTGATGGTTTTGGATTGCTTGTATTTTCTTTGAAGACGCGCTGTGTCCCCAAGCGAGTCCAGCCTCTCACCTGAAATGCACAGCTGTGCAGCGGCACGCAAAGAATTCTGGGATACCGACGGCACGAAAGCGTGCATACATGCACGCTTGAAAACGAGGCGGGGGTAGTGTGGTTTTGAGACCGAATTTGAAGCGCGCTTAGTATTTTGTGCCAAACAGGACACCGTTCGTGCCGCGTGGTGACCTCACGTACGCGTCAGATGCGCCGTTCGATGGCTGCTGTATCTGAAATGGGACACAGGAAGGGCACAGAACGGCGCAAAACGGCGTAAAACGGCTCAAAACGGCAGTGCACTCAGCTAAGCGCCGTTAAGCGCGCTTATCACGATGCGGTCTCTGAAATGAGACACAGCCCCTGAGGGGTCATGGAGCTAATTTTTTCCTGGACCACTTTGACTTTCCCTTAAAATATGTTTAATTTCTCCTCCCAGTTTTTGATTTACCTTGCACAGCTTTTTGCTTTCCCCTAATCCATCAAAAAAAAAGAGAGAGAGAGCTGTGCTTTCCTGACTAATAAGCTGTCAAAACTCTGGCCTGCTACTGTTATAATAATTGAGGATGTGGCTCATACTTTCTAAATTTGTCTAAAATTGACTCTTCACAGGGATTGGGGTTGGATTTATGCACTGAACTGTTCTGATTGTTCTCAGTTGGTGTCATACTGAAGCTGCTGTATTTCTGGACTACTGAGCAAACTGAGGCCATGCCTGTTTTAACTCCAAGGCACTGTTTCCAAAAACTGGAAGTGTCTAAGTGGACTGGATCAGGATGCATGCTCCTCTCTAGTTTGTGGGGGATTAAAATGTTTGAAAGAGGACAGCAAAACTTACTCCAGTGTTCATGAACTAACTCCACAGTCAGGGTCCACAATATCAATGCTTCATCCTCCATCATGCAATCATTTTTTCTTAGTGTTATAAACTTTTTGCTGCTTTGCCACTTTTGTCTTTGAACTTTACTCCATGAATTCAAGATGTAGCATACCCTCCGAGAGATGCTGGACTCGACTGATGGTTTTTAATATTTATTTCCATAAAAACTCCATACAACCAACTCTGTGAGAACTGCAGTAACACAGAAAATACAACAGTTACTTTCCGTTTCCACTATATATTTAAGACCCACTTCGATGAAAGTTGTGTTTTTCTTGTTTTTATATGTTTATATGATATTCTTCTGATGCTACAGGACATTCCATAAGAAAACTAAATGTGAAATTGCATTTCTGAGTATTTCTTCATTCAAATCGCTGTGAATCTCTGGCAGACCCAAACGACAGATTCAGAAACAGTGAGATTTCATACGTAACCAATCCAAGCACCGCCCCCGGTACCCCGCTATGCAGGCCAGACTCGGATAAACAGAGAGGCCAATCGCGGAAAAGCATGTGCAGTACCAGATTGCAATGCTTGTCAGAAAGATAATAATAATATTAACTTTCATCATGTCCCTAAAGACATTAGTGTCCGAGAGCTGAATAGCTCCTACGTTACTGACTACTTCTACCACTTCAAGCGATATTTTTTTTTCGTAGGATGGTAGGGGAAAGTCCCACCTCCTTTGCCTCTGATTGGCTACAAGTGCTGGGCCTTGATTGGTTATTCCTTATGGCTGTGAAACGTCATCATCTATCGGGTTAGTGTTAGGAGATTCAGAATTTCGATAATGTTCTGTTCTTTCTGATGTACAGAGCCAACAGTTCGCGCTCATAGACTGTATATAAGTATATACTATATATATACTGTATATACTGTATATAAGTCTTATATACAGTCTATGTTCGCGCTAAGCTTAAGCAGATGATGACGTTTCACAGCCATGAGGAATAACCAATCAGAGCCCAGCGTTTCTAGCCAATCAGAGGCAAAGGAGGTGGGACCTTCCATAGACATAATAAAAGGGTAGACCCCGCTGGGGGTGCTGGGCAGCGAGAAATGCGGCCGCCATCTTGGTCAGGTCAAGCTTCCCATACGCTCCGGTCAATCATATTCATTCATTCATTCATTCATTCAGCGATGCCGGAGCACTGTGCGGCGTATTCCTGTGCCAACAGGCGGACAGCAGAGAACAGGGCTCAAGAAATAACTTTTCACAGTTATGATTAAACGTTTTTTCAACATTACACTTGACTGTAGAGTCATTTGTAGGCCAAAGAGGAAGACTATCGGTCAACTCCAAAAAGGAAACAGCATTTGCGAACACCTAGCTTATTCACAATAATAGCAACTTTGCTCTATTATCAACAGATTTGCATTAGATTGAAAAACTTTTGTTTGAGAGAGGTTCTAAGAAACGTTAAGAAATAAAATAGAAAGAAGAAGGAAGAAAGTGAGCTCTGTTTTATTAAAGATTTCTTTGTGGTGATCTCCTGTTTCATTTTGAAGATTTCCTAAGGACAAAAACTTGAGGAAGAAGTGGGAGATTGCTGTTAGAGGGAGAAATTCGCAGCAAGTGATTCCTCTGTGCTGTGTAGCCAACAAGCAAATTGATATGTAGTTTAGATGCTGTCCTGTCATGCTGTTCTTGTGTTGAAATTTTTATTGATATGTAGGGTATATATTTGTGTGTATTTCTTTGTGTGTTTTTTCCAGTTATTAAAATAGTGCTTCTATATGACATTATTTGTGTGTGTCTACAAATGGATAAATAAAATTAAACTACATAAAAAATTATAATCAAATCAATATTGAATTGGCCTATTAAAACCGCCAGTTATTAATAATTATTGAGACATAGCAGGAACCTAGCTCTAAACCTAGATATATCCTTGATTAATTGTTATACTATAATACAGCCACTGCTGCCATGTTCTAAAATATCATTTTATTCATTCTGTGTCACGGTTCAGGCACCGAGGCTCAAATGCGGACAAAGAGACTCAAGTCAGAGCAGTTCAATTAAACAGATATTTATTTGGTCCCAAAAATGCAAACAGAAATAGGAAAACGGAACTAAGGTGGGCAGTAACAATTAACAAAAGCGCTGTCTGAAAAACGCGAGACAGGATCAGTAATAATTAACAAAAAGCGCTGACTGCAAAAACGCGAGACAGGGTCAGAACAATTAACAAAAAGCGCTGTCTGCAAACGCGAGACAGGGTCAGAACAATTAACAAAAAGCGCTGTCTGCAAAACGCGGGACAGGGTCAGAACAATTAACAAAAAGCGCTGTCTGCAAAACGCGAGACAGGGTCGGGTACTACCAGAGCTAGCGAGAGAGCGAGTGAGCAGGCAGTCCGTGATTTCCGACTGGAGGGGGAGAGGCAGGTGGTGATGGCGTGAGGCGGCGTCCTGGACGGAGCTGGGATGAAGAGCAGGAGAGCTGGGTACGCAGGCGGGAAGAGCAGGCGGAGTGGGCAAGGGATCTTCAGGTTACGGTCCAGCGTCGGGTTGTGGGAAGCGTCCGGTTTTTATGGCAGCGGGTGAATGAATGAAAGCGCTCCTCTCCCCGCCACACGGATCGATCCGCTGATTAGAAAGTGGCTGCACCTGTCCGCCCTGAAGCTGCATCACACCAACACCTGCTTAGAGAGAGGGAGAGGAGGAGAAGAGGGAGGGGGGAGAAGAGAAAAGAGGGAGAAGAGAAAAGAGAGGCTGCCCCTATCTGGCCCTAGAAGTAGAGGGCGTGACAGTACCCCCCCCCCTACGTGCACCTCCAGGTGCACGAAGGCGCTTCTCTGGGTGGCGGCGGTAGAGGTCGCTGACCAACGTGTGGTCCAGGATCTGGCGACGGGGAACCCAGCTGCGCTCCTCTGGCCCATATCCCTCCCAGTCGACCAAGAACTGGACCCCTCTACCCCGCCGACGGACATCCAGCAAGCGACTGACAGTGTAGACTGGCCCATCGTCCACTATCCTGGGCGGAGGAGGGGGATGGACGGGTGGGGCCAAAGGACTCTCCCGTACCGGCTTCAGCTGCGAAACATGGAACGTGGGATGAATCTTCATGGACCGGGACAGCTTAAGCCGGACGGCAGCGGGGTTAATGACCCTCTCCACCTCGAACGGACCGACAAAGCGTGGGGCCAACTTCTTTGACTCCACCCGGAGTGGGAGATCCTTGGCCCTGAGCCAAACCTTCTGGCCCGGGGCGTAGGCAGGAGCAGGGGAACGGCGACGGTTGGCCTGTTGCTCCATTCTCAAGGAGGCCCGGCGGAGGGCGACCCGAACCTTCCTCCAAGTTCGTTTGCATCTCCTGACGAAGCTTTGCACCGAGGGTATGACAATCTCCTCTTCAGAAGCTGGAAACAGGGGGGGCTGGTATCCCAGGACGCACTGGAAGGGGGACAGTCCAGAGGAAGAGTTAGACAGGGAGTTGTAAGCATACTCCACCCAGGGGAGTTGATTGCTCCAGGTCGTAGGGTGTTCTGAGGCCACACAGCGTAGGAAAGTCTCTAGAGACTGATTGGCCCGTTCCGTCTGGCCGTTCGACTGTGGGTGGAAACCAGAAGAGAGACTGACCGTGGCCCCCAGAGCCTTACAAAACGCCCTCCACACCTCTGACGTGAACTGGGGACCACGGTCGGAGACTATGTCGGAAGGGATGCCGTGAATCCTGAAAACCTGAGAGACCAGAAGATCTGCAGTCTTAATGGCTGTGGGTAACTTGGGCAGGGGAAGGAAATGGGCAGATTTGGAGAACCGGTCGACAATGGTTAATATGGCAGTGTTGCCCTGGGAAGGAGGGAGGCCTGTGACAAAATCCACTGCAATGTGGGACCAGGGTCTCCTGGGAATGGGAAGCGGCCGCAGGAATCCGGAGCTGGGTTGATTGGATGTTTTGTTGCGGGCACAGACGGAGCAGGCCAGGGTGAACTCACGGGTGTCTGCCTCCATGGTGGGCCACCAGAACCGTTGCCGGAGGACCTCTAAGGTGCAGGCAGATCCGGGATGACAGGCGAACTTAGAGGTATGCCCCCACAGGAGGACCTGCGGGCGGACGGCTTCTGGGACAAACAGGCGGTTTGGAGGACCGCCTCCAGGGTCAGGTTGCTGTTCTAGGGCCCGGAGTACTTGGGCCTCAACCTCCCAAGTGAGGGAGGCGACAATGCGAGTCTGGGGCAAGATGGGTTCCGGGTCTGGCAGGGCGTTCTCTCCGGAGAACTGACGGGACAGGGCATCAGGCTTGGTGTTCCTGGACCCGGGGCGATAAGTGATGGAGAAGTTGAAGCGGCTGAAGAAGAGGGACCAGCGGGCCTGGCGGGAATTCATCCTCCTGGCCGACCTGATGTATTCCAGGTTCTTGTGGTCTGTCCACACGATGAAAGGCTGCAGGGCACCCTCCAACAGATGCCGCCATTCCTCCAGAGCGAGATTGACGGCCAACAGCTCGCGATCTCCGACGTCATAGTTCCTCTCTGCGGGGGTAAGACGCCGTGAGAAGAAGGCACAGGGGTGTAGTTTTTGGTCTGTAGCAGCCCGCTGGGACAGGACTGCCCCTACCCCGGTGTCCGAGGCATCCACCTCCAGGATGAACTGTCTCTCGGGATCTGGCTGGATCAGGATAGGCGCCGAAACAAAGCGTTGCTTCAGCTCAGAGAAGGCCTTGTCTGCTTCAGGGGTCCAACCAAAGATCTTGGTGGTGGAAGTGAGGGTGGTCAGGGGGGCTGCCACAGAGCTGTAATTTCGGATGAAACGGCGGTAGAAGTTTGCAAAACCAAGGAAGCGCTGAAGCTGTCTCCGGTCTTCGGGACGGGGCCACTCAGTCACTGCCTCCACCTTTAATGGGTCCATCTTGACCTCCCCGGAGGAGATGATGAATCCCAGGAAAGCCACAGTGGATGCGTGGAACTCACATTTCTCTGCCTTGACGAAGAGGCGGTTCTGGAGGAGACGTTCGAGGACCTGGCGGACATGGCAGACGTGTTCTTCAAGGTTTCGGGAGTATATTAAGATGTCATCCAGGTAGACGAAGACGAACCGATTGAGCATGTCCCTCAAGACGTCGTTGATGAGGTTCTGGAAAACTGCGGGGGCGTTAGTGAGGCCGAAGGGCATGACCAGGTATTCAAAGTGTCCCAGGGGAGTATTGAAGGCGGTCTTCCACTCGTCGCCCTCCCGGATTCGGATGAGGTGGTAGGCATTTCTAAGATCCAGTTTGGTGAAGACAGAGGCTCCATGCAGCGGGGTGAAGGCAGAATTGATTAGGGGAAGGGGGTAAGTATTTTTAACAGTAATGTCATTGAGGCCCCGGAAGTCTATGCAGGGACGGAGGGATTTGTCCTTCTTGGAGACAAAAAAGAATCCAGCGCCGACAGGGGATGAAGAGGGGCGGATGATGCCAGCCGCCAGAGAATCGCGGATGTAGGACTCCATGGTGGCCTGTTCAGGTCTAGACAGGTTGTACAGTCTGCAGCGGGGTAGTGTAGCTCCGGGAAGTAAGTCTATAGCACAGTCGTAGGGTCTGTGTGGGGGCAGAGACAGGGCTTGATCCTTGCTAAAAACCATGGCCAGATCGTGGTACACCGAAGGTACAAGGTCCAGGTTGAGGGGTTCGGAAGGTAGGGCCCGGGTGCTGGCTCGAGTTTCAGGAGTCAGGGCAGACGTCAGGCAACGTTGGTAGCACTCCCGGCTCCAGGAACAGATCTCCCCCTGCTGCCAGTCAATGTGGGGGTTATGGACCTGGAGCCAAGGGAACCCAAGAACCAAGGGTGGACTAGACTGGTCGATAAGGTGGAAGGAAATTGTCTCATGGTGGTTGCCCCCCACCACCAGGGAGACCGGAACAGTCTTATGGCGGACTTGGGCCAGGTGGAGTCCATTCAGAGCACGAGCCTCCAGGGGCGCGTCAAGAGTTTCTGTGGGAATGCCGAGCTGGGACGCCAGGCGAGAGTCCAGGAAATTCTCTTCAGCCCCAGAATCCACCAGGGCTAGAAGAGGGATAGGCTGACGCTGCCAACACAGGGTTATGGCCACTTGGAGACGTTGTGGGGGCGAAGTAGTAGTACGGCTCACCAGCAGATCCCCCGTCACTGGCGAGCCGGACCTTTTGGCGGACGGGCGGGGCAGAAGGCAATGTAGTGACCCGGACGCCCACAATACAGGCACAGGTTTGCTGACCGACGTTGTAACTTCTCAGACTCAGTGAGGTGGGCACGGCCGATCTGCATTGGCTCTGGGAGAGACTCCGGCGGGGGGTCCGGCTGAGTTCTGGGGCCTGGGGCACTTGGGGTTCTGGTGGGTCCTAGTACAGAGCGGGCGCTGCGTTCTCGCCTCCTTTCCCGGAGCCGGTTGTCAATCTTAATCGCTAATGCGATGAGGTGGTCTAGGTCTGGAGAGTCGTCACGAGTTGCCAGCTCGTCCTTTAGGGCCTCACCTAGCCCTTTGTAAAAGGCTCCCTGGAGCGCGCCGTCGTTCCAGGAGCTCTCTGCAGCCAGCGTCCGGAACTCCACCGCAAACTCTGCGACACTCCTTGTCCCTTGGGAGATGGCCATGAGGCGGTGGCTGGCGTTGTTTCCGCTTACTGGGTGGTCAAAGACCTTCCTCATCTCTGCCACGAACGCCGCGTAGGACTCACAGGCACTGTCCTGGCGCCCCCAAACAGCCGTGCCCCACTCTCTCGCCTGTCCTGACAATAACCCGATGGTGTAGGCTATTTTTGAACGATCGGAGGCATAGGAGAGAGGCTGCATCTCAAAAACTAGTGAAACCTGAGTTAAAAAGGCCTGGCAGGATCCTAACTCCCCCCTGTAACGTTCAGGTACAGGCACTACAGGTTCACGAAAGGGAGGTGGGACACTAACGCTAGCCAAGACAGGATTAGCGGCTAACGCTGAGCCTGGGGGAGCAGTCTTAGCAATTTGACCAGCCAACCCTCTTAACTGGGTGGTTAGTTCAGAGATCTGATTAAGCATAACATGATTGCTACTGACCAGGGAACGCAACAATTCATCATGTTGAGCTAACACGCATTCCTGATTAGCAATAGCTTGTTGAAACGTGGTAGCGGGGGAGACTGCCTCCGCGCCAGTCTCTTTGTCTGCTGAGCTCATCTTGGCTGGACCGTACTGTCACGGTTCAGGCACCGAGGCTCAAATGCGGACAAAGAGACTCAAGTCAGAGCAGTTCAATTAAACAGATATTTATTTGGTCCCAAAAATGCAAACAGAAATAGGAAAACGGAACTAAGGTGGGCAGTAACAATTAACAAAAGCGCTGTCTGAAAAACGCGAGACAGGATCAGTAATAATTAACAAAAAGCGCTGACTGCAAAAACGCGAGACAGGGTCAGAACAATTAACAAAAAGCGCTGTCTGCAAACGCGAGACAGGGTCAGAACAATTAACAAAAAGCGCTGTCTGCAAAACGCGAGACAGGGTCAGAACAATTAACAAAAAGCGCTGTCTGCAAAACGCGAGACAGGGTCGGGTACTACCAGAGCTAGCGAGAGAGCGAGTGAGCAGGCAGTCCGTGATTTCCGACTGGAGGGGGAGAGGCAGGTGGTGATGGCGTGAGGCGGCGTCCTGGACGGAGCTGGGATGAAGAGCAGGAGAGCTGGGTACGCAGGCGGGAAGAGCAGGCGGAGTGGGCAAGGGATCTTCAGGTTACGGTCCAGCGTCGGGTTGTGGGAAGCGTCCGGTTTTTATGGCAGCGGGTGAATGAATGAAAGCGCTCCTCTCCCCGCCACACGGATCGATCCGCTGATTAGAAAGTGGCTGCACCTGTCCGCCCTGAAGCTGCATCACACCAACACCTGCTTAGAGAGAGGGAGAGGAGGAGAAGAGGGAGGGGGAAGAAGAGAAAAGAGAGGCTGCCCCTATCTGGCCCTAGAAGTAGAGGGCGTGACATTCTGAGTATTTGAAAACGCCAAAAAAAAATATGGCCTCTATCATGCCTCTTTGAATGGCGTTTGCAGAGAAGAAAATTACGTAGTATTGAGCGAACTATGATTCATTTAATGCGCTCAGACTTCATTCCGCCGGTTAACACTAGAAGGACCGGCTTTTTGCTGTTCTACCTATAAAGACCAGAGGGCAGCCAAATGGCTTGGAGGGCTTTTAGCTAGTACTAAATCACCTCTGAACACTCAGTTTGTTATGCAAACGAGGCTATCGCTGGTGCACCACAGGAGGGGATATGCTAAGTTATTTCAAGGAAACTTGTGTTGTGGGGAGAGTGAGTGGGGAGGGGGAGGGGAGTTTCCAACCTGAGAACAACTGTAGACAGAAACTGCTTCAGCCATAGCCACTGCACAGACAGTTTGGGCCTCTGTTTGTTTTGTTTGGTTCTACTTCTCCTTATGTTCCTGCACCTCAGCAGATGCCCCAGCGGTCGGTCCACGGACAAAAACTGTTTGTACTTTATATTAATGACATTGTAAATGTATCTAAATTGTTAAATTGCATACTGTTTGCATATGACACTACATTTTTTATACTCTGGTGAAGCTGTTGAGAGTAAGAATGTGAGAATGACCATAACGACTCAGGTGAATGCAACCAGTCCCATTCACAGGATCACTATTTGATTGACAATTTATCACATTTTCTGGTTTGCTGGTGAGCAAACCTGGGAAACCCCCAGATCATGGCAACCATGCCCCGAAATCGCTTCAAAGACATCATGCGACACCTACGCTTTGATGACAGGGACACCCGCAGTGAGCGCACAAAGAATGACAAGTTTGCTGCAATTTCTGCTGAGTGGTCGTCATTTGTCACCAACTGCATCACATCCTACAACCCTGGTTGACACATCACCATTGACGAACAGCTTTTCCCCTCAAAGACTCGCTGCTGTTTCCTGCAGTACATTGCAACGAAACCTGACAAGTTTGGGATCAAGTTTTGGGTGGCTTGTGACTTGAAATCCAAGTACATCTGCAATGTCCTCCCATATCTTGGCAAGGACCCCAGTCGTCCCAGTGGGGAGAGACTGTCCGAGAATGTAGTCATGAGGCTGATGGAACCATTCCTGGACAAGGGCAGAAATGTTACCACGGACAATTTCTTTACATCACTGTCACTTGCGCAACAACTGCTTAGGCGGAAAACCACCATCCTAGGCACAGTCAACAAGATTCGCCAGGAAATTCCACAGTCATCTAGACAGAGGGACTGCAATGAACTTTACAATGCTACAAAGTGCAGCGTGGATGTGATGGACCAGATGGTGCGGGAGTACACTGTCCGCACAGGAACATGGCGCTGGCCAGTCGCTGTGTTCTATAACATGATTGATACGGCAGCATTGGATGCACATGTGCTGTATCAAGCATGCACCGGGAGGAAGGAGAGACGGGTGGACTTCCTGGTGGAGCTTGCAAGAGAGTTGGCTAACTCTCATGTGACTGCGAAGAAGGCATGAAAGGAAGAATTGCTTCGGCAACAACCTTCCACACCTAGCCCTGGGAAAAGAGCCATGTGCCAGGTTAAAAATCAGTGTAAGAACAATCATGCCACTGTGCGATGTGTTGACTGCTACAGATACACATGTGGGAAATGCAGAAGGGAGATACCATGGCAGTGCCAGGATTGTGAGTGAGAGTCTAACACTGTATCCTGATGATGCATATTCACCTGAAGTCCATCACCAACCTTTTTATACTTTATATAAGTCCTGCATGCTCTTGTTATTTTCTATTCTTGTATTTTACATATTATTCTCCGTTTAATGTTGCACCATCACGCCGTAAAAAATCCTAGCATTGTACATAGCCTTTCATACTTTTATTCTTTATATATGTCCTGCATGCTCTTATTTTTTATTCTTGTATTTTACATATTATACTCTGTTTAATGTTGCACCATCACGCCGTAAAAAATTCCTAGTCTGTGAAACCTGTTCATTGACAATAGCAATAAAACCCCTTGTGATTCTGATTCTGATTCTTGTTCTTATTCTATACAGTTGTTTAAATTTTGTTTATTTTTAATCAATAAATTTCAGCAACAAAGTAAACAACCCATGTGTGTTGATCCCTTCCTTTCTGTTGTCCCTTCCCACTGCATACACCACTTAGTCCAGTCCAGAGCAGTCGATTAAACAGAGTGGCGACAACTTCAGATCTCGCCGCCGGAGCGGTCACGTGGTTCATGTACCCCTCCATAGTTCCAAACGCAGCCTGCACTGTCCATGCTCTGCAACGGGGCAGACTGCAGTGAGCGCGCATTTAAGAGGTAAATATTAAAATTAACCGTAAAAAGTCAACATTTGCAACTCTTATTGGATTACTGTGTACACGTCAAAGTCACGTACGTATATTTAGCGGCTGGATGACAAATAAAAGTGAAATAAGACAAGTTTGGTAACACGTGTTACTTTTTAATAAGAGAAAATAATACAATAAAGTGGTAAGTAACAGGTGTTACAAGCTGTTTAAACAATTGTGCAATGTTTTGGTCTTGCAGCATGGCCTGCATAACATTTTTCCATGTTAAACATACGCCTTAAATGCTGACAGGATTTAAAAAGTAGCGGCCCCTTAACTCTATCATCCCATAAGCAGAAATCAAATTACATAGCACTTATGTTAGTCTAAAAATAATAAATTGCATATAACATCGGGAACTGATAAAGGCTGAAATCTAAAATAAAGCCCATAAGTAACCATCTCAACATATGATTGATGATGATGATTCATCTGTGATTCATAACTCAGTCACACAATACATTTTGGCAGGCCTCTACAGCTGACGACGTCCAGCTAGCAGGCCGTGGCTAAAAAATCGATCCCAATTCCTTACTAAAAAAACGTAATTACATCTGTAATTACAATTTGAGCATACTAAAATTAAAATCATTTTACATATAAAGGGGTCCCTCAATACCATTTACACACGTATTGGCATTACATTCGTTGATACAATATTTTACCTCGGGGAGTGTGGGAGCAAACCGTGGCTAAAAAATCGATCCCAATTCCTGACTATAAAAACGTAATTACATTTGGGATATACATTTTTACATATAAAGGGGTCCCCTCGATATCAATAACACATGTATTGGCATTAAACTTGTTGATATTTTATCATTTAATCCGGTGAGTGCTTGCCTTGTGGCCATAGAAGCGAACGGCGTCCGACACGACAGGCGGTCAGGTTGGAACTATTAAGAGTTCTATAACCCGGAAGAGGGGTCCGCCGGGCTGTTCAGCGTCTGTCTATGGGAGTGTTGCCACTCTGTTTAATCGACTGCTCTGGTCCAGTCCCCTCCTGTGTTGCACCAACGATCACCTCGTTTGCATAACAAAATGAGTGCTCACAGGTGATTTAGGATATTAGCTAAAATCCTTCCAGCCGATCGGCTGCCCCGTGGACCTTGAGGGGGGTAAAGCCAAATGGCTGCTCTGTGGTCCTTCTAGTGTTAAACAGCGGTGCAGAGTGAGGCGGATGACCGGACCAAGATGGCGGCCGCATTTCTCGACAGCGCCCATTCGTGGTAGCGGCCGATGCGGGGTCTATCTTTTATTATGTCTATGGGACCTTCCCCTACCATCCTATGAAAATAAATATCGCCACCGGCAATGTTAGGCTGTAAGCTAACATGAAGACGAGTGTACAGAGCAGCGCTGTTTTCACCCATGACTCAGAGGTGAACTGTTAATGAGCTACTGCAGAAGAAAAGTCCTTGAAAATGACACAGGTAACATGATTTTGACTAAAAACTTCATAATCCCAGTTTAAAGACAACTGATTACACTTTAAGCAGTAAGAAAAAAAGGATCGGAATGGGACTTGAAGCAATTCTGTAGCTTTACTAAACAGATGAGCAAAAGAGTTAGCATAGCTATCTGAAATAAAACAAATTAGTTCACACACTAACCTTGTGTCTCCTTGGGGGAGTTGCTGTACACATTCAGCCTCTGACGTTTTTACTATTAAGTTACCATTACAGCTTTCTTGCCTCATTTTCCGTTGTTTATCTTGAACTTTTATTGTGTTTTTTTTTTACCGTTAGCTCGTTCCGAAGTGAAGCGCCTTTGTTTTACCGGAAACACAATACCGCCAGGAAGTAGGAAGTGGTTTAACTGTTTTCAAAATAAAAGCTAATTATTACCACAAGCTCTAAAACGAGCAAAAAACACATAAACACAGATTAATTACATTCTTTTATAATAAACTCAAATCATAAATCATATTTATACATCGAAATCATGTCAGAATGCATTTTAACACTTTTTCTTTTTAAGATTTAATCTTATTAACAACACAAGCTGTCCTCTGCTGGACAAAACGACAGACAGCAATCACAAAAGTTTGCTACACAAGAGAAAGTGCAAGGTCCTTGAATCTTAGTTGCAGATCGTTTGTACAAGCATCTTCAAAAAACCTCAAAGAAATCCTCAAAGTGCACTTCATATTTCTATTTTCTATTTAGTTGTACATAGCTTTTTATATTTATTGCACATAGCATTGTACATAACCTTTTATACCTGATATATTTCTTGCATGCTCTTATTAGTTTTTATTCTAGTATTTTATATTTCTCTCTGTTTATTGTTGCACCATCATGCCAAAACAATTCCTAGTCTGTGAATTCTGTTCATCAACAACGGCAATAAAACCCCTACTGATTCTGAGCACAGTCAGTGTTTTTCTGCCTCTGTGAGTCTCATGTTTTCATTGTCCCAGCACTGTTTACCATCTTTATGTACACACCTTTATAACAGTATCTGCATTCATATTAGAGTTTTGTTTGCCGTGTATATCAGCAGGTTCAGGTGTTTTTTATATGGATTAAGTGAGCAGGATGTGATAACAAAGAATAAGTGAGCCATATTTGTACATGAAGGAGTTTATCTTAGTGCAGACAAAACATTCATAATACAAGTCAAACATTAAGATCTTTTAATCACACGGAGGTCCGGGATTTTCGTGGATATTTACATGGACTTGTTTGCTCCAAGTGTCTTGTGAGTTGAAATGATGCAAACACACTCTGTCTGGAGCTGAAGCCAAACCTTTGTTGTTTCTCTCTTCCTCTTGTTCCAGGAGGGTTTCTATTCATTCGCACAGAAACAGTTTTCAAATATGAACATATATTTAACATGATTTATATACATGCTCAAATCTGTTGTGTTCAACCCTGATACACTGATGTAAGCATTAGCTGCACAGATGATTGAGGTAATGAACGGATAGACTGAAATCTGTTTGCTTAAGTTATGGAGACAGTCGACACCGAACTTTCTGCAAACTGGTGCAGCTCAGAATTTCAAAAAGGAAAAAGATCCTGAACCAAACGGTCAATTCACCTTTTTACATACAATGCAAACATAATATCTACCACACTTAACCAGCTTGTTGACCGTCTGCTCCAAGATCTTTCAACTCTTTGTAATCTTTGCTTATCTTGTCCTTCTGCATGCTTCAGTAGTATCTTCTGCTGATGTTCAACCATCAGTTGTATCACTTATTCTAAATATTTCATGTGGAAAAAGAATGAAGGGTTGGGCAGTAAGAAAAAAAAAAAAACAACCTGACCGACTCACACTTTCACGGACTGTGGTCATGTTTATTCACTCCACGGAAAATGACAGAGCGCCGGTTGAGCAAATGAGTAAGTTGTATTTCTAGATGGGGCACATGGCCTAATTTGACATCTTGGAGAAAAAACAAACAAAAGAGTAAGGAAGAAAATGGGAGAAAACCTTCAACTGTGGAAGCAAACAGGATTAAAAAAAAAAGACCAAAAAGAAATACAATGTCAGTACAATTGAATTTTCATATAAGGTTGAGTCAGATATTCTGAGGCGGAGGATTCTTTGCAATGTCCTTCTCTGGTGTCCTCATATGAACTACTTGTTTTTCTGATCATGATGAGTGAAGACAGTTTGAATCTATGTGAACTGTCAGGAAAGAAATGATGACCCACCCACTCTGCAAATAAAGTTTTATTACTATACCCTGCCTGCTTAAACAAACACAGTCACTAATTAATACATATACAAATATATATGGTTTTTTTTAAAGGTTTGATTTTCTTAGCTGCTGTTTTTGTATTGAATGTAAAAACAGCAAAGGAAAACTTTTTCTCCACATGACAGGTGTCACATGTTAATTTACAGGTGAGATCACACAAATCAACTCTTTCTTAAGCCCAAACTGGCCTCTATATAAACTCATAACTGCTGACAACTTCACCATCTTGACCATTACTGTCTGCTGTTAAGTTTGCTCTACAGTCTGACTGCTCTGCCTCCAGAGGGAAAACTGCCTTCAGCCTATTCCATCAACACCAAGGTAAATCAGATTTTTAAAGATTTATCAAAGTAAAATAAAAAAGTTGATGCTGGTGTTATCTAAGAAAGGTTGGAGACATATCTGTTGCTGCTTTGGATCATTTTGTTGGATGGCATATATATTATTCAAATTTGCTCTAGCTTAAAAATAAAAACATATTTTGTGCAAAAAAGCCAACAAGTATTTGTCAAGTTTCTTCTTAGATGTACTTCCTTTAGGCAGTGATTGAATTGAGAGGGAAGTAATGTTCGAGCCAGTGAAACTATTCCATGTTTGCACATTTTCAGGTGATCCATCCTGGAGAAAGCAGCTCTCAAACTATGCCTCAATTGTTTTTACTCTGTAACTGTGATCTCCATGTGTCTTATTTTGCAGGTTTCCCCTTTGCAGTTTCACTGAGGATGAAGATGCAACAGTTGTTACCCCTTTTTCCCCTTCTGGGTGTCCTGTTTGCAGGATTCCTCCCAAACCTCAATGCTGAGGAAGGTAAGTTTAACCAAGTTCATTTTTCCTTCAGTGAGCAGGTTGTGTCCACTTTGCAGATGATGTATCTGTTTAAATGCTTTTCTCTCAGTAGTTAACAATACTTAGTGACACATAGAATTTTTGCTTTATGAAATTTATAAAATTCAACCATAAAAAGTGGAATCTTGTGAGTAAAATATCAAAGATAACTGGTAAGAAAGTGACAAACTTAAACATACACTCCAGATTCAGGATAGGATGGTAATTGAATGTTATTTTTGTGTATCCTTCCTGACTATGCAGCTATTAACAAAACATGCTAGAAGTTATCGATCATTTTCATAATGATCTCATTTGAACTGTATAGTAACATTAGCGTCTTTATTTAACAGACTGGATCAGAAATCTGCTGAAAACAGTCCACAGTTCTCAAGATTCTAGTAATGAGATGTCTAAGCATCCAGATGTCCAGGGGAATCAATACTCTGCATATAGCTTTTTGGCAGTGTCAGTCCCCCCAGTGATGAAAAAAAAAAATCATGTTATCTTCTTGTTGGATGGATCTGATGACACTAGAAATGGCTTCCCAGCTGTGCAAGACTTTGTCCAAAGAGTTCTGGAGACACTCAGTGTGGATGACAACAAAGACCATGTCTCAGTGGTTCAGTACAGCATAAGCTCAACTGTCGAACTCAATCTGAACACATACACCACAAAAGAAGACATCCTTCAAGCTGTCAGAGGGTTAACACACAAAGGTGGAGAAACCCGCAACACTGGAGCAGCTCTCCAGTACTTGATTGAAAATGTCCTCACGGCCTCTGCCGGAAGCAGGCTCCAGGAAGGAGTTCAGCAGATCCTCTTTTTGATAAGTGGTGGAAGGTCCTCTGACAGTGTGGATGCACCAGCCTCCGCTCTCAAACAGATGGGTGTCTTGACCTTCGCAATTGGAACCAGGGGTGCTGATAGCGGTGAACTACTGAAGATAGCCAGTTTTGCTTCTACTGTTGAAGATTTCACTGAGCTTCCCAATGTCCACGAGAAGCTCTACTATGCAGCTAGTTTACTTACCGTTCCAAACTCTGCCTTTAATTGTCCTTGAAGTAGCCTCTCAGCGGGTTCAGGAAACTGGTAAAAGCTGAAAATGTAGCTCATTTCTTTTCTGGGTCATAACAGGTTCTTGTTGGTTTAATTTGTTCTTGATTTTGTGTTTTGGTTTCATTTCCTGTGAATTTTTCCTTGTGTTTCTGTTTCCTGTTGTTTCTGTTTCCCTGTGTTCATTATTCTTATGTTCCTGTTTTTCACTGTTGGGTTTCTTAGCTCAGTTTTCATTGTTTCCTGTTTTATTTTGTAGTAGTTAATCCCAGTAGTAGTGTCAGGTCAAGTTTTACTTCCTCAGTTTTCCCTCCTTTGTTAATTACTATCAAGTCTCACCTGTGTCTTGTCTGTCTCACCTGTTGTTCATTTTCTAGTGTGTGTATATAGTCAGTGTCATTCCCTCTTTCTTTGTTTGCTCAGTGTCTGAGCTCGCCCGTGTGTTGATGTTGTCCACGCCTTGTGAACCCGACCACGTGCCCTCGTGTTTTCCCAGTGTCTCTTTTGTTTCTTTGGATGTTTGCTCCTGGTGTTTTTTGGTTTATTTGGTTTGAACATTAATTATGTAATATTTGTTTTTACTTCTCTTTCTGTTTAATAAACTATTTTGAGTTCTGCACATGAGTCCTCCATTTACTTTTGTTCTGATGTGATGTTCTCCTGTTCTCAGATGACTTTCATCAACTGACTTGGAGAGATTTTAAAGCTTTATGTATAATTTACAGGTAGAAACCTCCAGGGTTAAAAAGAAAATGAAACTAAAAAAGAAATTAAAAAGTACTACTTAGAGTGCAGGATTGAGATGGTCTTCATTACTATCATTATATTTGTGTATAGTCAATTTTGCATTGTTTTGTCTCACGTTAGGGGCTTTTTGTCCTTAAGGGTCTCTGTCAACTTTGAGAACTAATAGCAGTGAGCAAGGGAGCCACTCAGTTCAGAACCTGACAGCTGTAACTAGTGCCATGGTTACATGTAATCCCTTATCCAGACTGACACTAGCTCACATTAACACGTTGTTTTATTCAATTGTTTTGATTTTGAAAATATGTCTAAACAGGATTTGGGGGTGGAGGGACGGGGCGGGTGTTCTGTGTGTTTGATGTGTGTGTTTTGTGTTTGTATTATTATTGTTTAAAACTAATAAGATGTCCTTTTAAAAAAATCCTGAGGTGCCAATCAATGTGTGAATGTTTGAACTGTCAGTGAAGAAATGTTGACCCACCCACTCTGCAAATAAAGTAACATAACTATACCCTGTCTGATTGAACAAACACAGAGTCACTAATTAATATACATATATATATTAGAGGGTTTGTTTTTTTTTGCTGCTGTTTTTGTATTGAATGTAAAAACAGAAAAGGAAAACTTTTTCTCTACGTGACAGGTGTCACGTGTTAATTTACAGGTGAGATCACACAATGCAACTTTTTCTTAAGTCCAAACTGGCCTCTATATAAACTCATAACTGCTGACAACTTTACCATCTTGACCATTACTGTCTGCTGTTAAGTTTGCTCTACAGTCTGACTGCTCTGCCTCCAGAGGGAAAACTGCCTTCAGCCTATTCCATCAACACCAAGGTAAATCAGATTTTTAAAGATTGATCTAAATGAAATAAAAAAGTTGATATTGGTGTTATCTACGAAAGGTTAGAGACATATCTGTTGCTGCTTTGGCTCATTTTGTTGGATGGCATATATATTATTCAAATTTGCTCTAGCTTAAAAATAAAAACATATTTTGTGCATAAAAGGCCAACAAGTATTTGTCAAGTTTCTTCTTAGATGTACTGTCTTTAGGCAGTGATTGAAGAGAAAAAGGAAATAATAAAGTTATAGCTGGTGAAACTATTCCATGTTTGAAAGTGATCCACCCTGGAGAAAGCAGCTCTCAAACTATGCTTTGATGGTTTTTACTCTGTAACTGTGATCTCCATGTGTCTTATTTTGCAGGTTTCTCCTTTGCTGTTTCATTGAAGATGAGGAGGCCACAGTTGTTACCCCTATGTGCCCTCCTGATTGTCCTGTTTGCAGAATTCCTCCCAAACCTCCATGCTCAAGGAAGTAAGTTTAACCAAGTTCATTTTTCCTTCAGTGAGCAGGTTGTTTCCACTTTTGCAGATGATGTATCTATTTTTTTAGCAATACTTAGTGGTAAATATATTTTTTCTTCTATCACATCAGTAATATCGAATCATTAAAAGTGGAAAGTTAAATTAAAAAAACTCCCAGCAAAATGAAAACAGAACCATAGAGAGGACTAGTACTGGACCAGTACAGTATAGACACTCTCCTGAGGTTGCGAAAATTAAATTGTCTCAATATTTGTGAGTAAAACATCAACAGTAAATGGTAAGAAAGTGACAGACTTCAACATACACTCCAGATTCAGGATAGGATGCTAATTGAACTGTGTTTTTGTGTATCCTTTGTTATTTACCAAAAAATACTCAAAACCTGTCGATGAAACTCCTACATCGTCGTCCTGTTCTCCTTATTAATGAATTCCCTGAATTGGTCGGTTTAGTGGATGGGTCTTTTTCTGCAAGGAAGAGACGTAGAGTGGATATCCCAGGTAAGAAGGTGACAGACTTTTATGTACACTCCGAGGTCAGCATATACCATTTGAACGGTAATGTAGTTTATCCTTCTTTCTTTACCAGATTGGCTCGTATACTTCAAGAATAGAAACAGCAGGTCCCTTGATGCTCACACTGGTAAAGAATTCCTATTAATTCCTACAGTATTGTAGTGTATACTGTTTTATTTTGTGTAAGCTGTTGTAGTCAGGCTGAAGTCTTAGAAACCAAAAATAAAAAAAGTCCAAAAGCAGGTGCACCAGAACTGATTGGCTGAGTGGTCAAACTCAAGGTTAGCTTTGGTCATCTGACTATCAGACAGGAAATTGGTTACACAAAGCTGAATATGTCTCAAAACTTTTGTCCCCTAGAGGAGAGACATCTGACTGGAAGAGATGTTGTGTTCTTGTTGGATGGAACTGATGACACTATAACTAGCTTCCCAACTGTGCGAGACTTTGTCCAAAGAGTTGTGGAGAGACTCCTTTTTGATAACAACAAATATCGTGTCTCAGTGGTTCAGTACAGCAGAGACCCAACTGTCCAATTCTATCTGAACACGTACACCACAAAAGAAGACATCCTTGAAGCTGTCAGAAGGTTAACACACAAAGGTGGAGACACCCGCAACACTGGAGCAGCTCTCCAGTACTTGAGGGAAAATGTCTTCACGGCCTCTGCTGGAACCAGGCTCCAGGAAGGAGTTCAGCAGGTCGTCATTTTGATAAGTGGTGGAAGGTCCTCTGACAATGTGGATGTGCCAACCTCTGCTCTCAAACAGATGGGTGTCTTGACCTTTGAAATTAGAATCTGGAGCTTTTATGCTTTTGGGACCCAGTCATTCACTTTTGTGCACCATATTGCACATTGAGTTTTTGCTTGTATCTCTTAAATAATACATGCCACTCTGTTAAGTCCTGATGTTCCTTAGAGAGGACAACCGCAGCTCTAAAATGATGTGACATGTGTGGGGGTGTGGCCTTGGTAACTGTTCTTTTCCTGTATTTCAAAATGGCTGGTATCCCCACAAACACATTTTCTAGAAAACAGAAAGGTAACCAAGATATTTATATTTATTTATTTATTTTGTATTAATTTTCCAATATAAACATCTAATAAGAAATTTGAGTAAGTTTTCAGAACTAAGCTTATTTAGTTTTACAGGGAAAATTACCAGTTTATTAGTGTATACTGTAGTGCACATGAGGACTTTGTACTTCAGTTTATTTCACTTTTTTCTAGTTGACAGATCTTTGACAGAATTCCTGAAATCTTTGTGTGTGTTGAAACATTATTGTTGTGTCTTTATAGGCTAATCTGTGGTAACGCTGTGTGTGAAGTTCATAATCCTGTTCAACACGTTGTTTTATTCAATTGTTTTGATTTTGAAAATATGTCTAAACAGGATTGGGGGGTGGAGGGAAAGGGGCGGGTGTTCTGTGTGTTTGAGGTGTGTGTTTTGTGTTATTATTGTTTAAAACTAATAAGATGTCATTAATAAAAAATCCTGAGTTGCCAATCGATGTGTGAATGTTTGAACTGTCAGGAAGTAATGATGACCCACCCACTCTGCAAATAAAGTTACATAACTATACCCTGTCTGATTGAACAAACACAGAGTCACTAATTAATATACATATATATATTAGAGGGTTTGCTTTTTTTTGCTGCTGTTTTTGTATTGAATGTAAAAACAGCAAAGGAAAACTTTTTCTCCACATGACAGGTGTCACATGTTAATTTACAGGTGAGATCAAACAATGCAACTCTTTGTTATAGGATCCATGTGACTGGAGGCTTAAGCCCAAACTGGCCTCTATATAAACTCATAACTGCTAACAACTTTACCATCTTGACCATTACTGTCTGCTGTTAAGTTTGCTCTACAGTCTGACTGCTCTGCCTCCAGAGGGAAAACTGCCTTCAGCCTATTCCATCAACACCAAGGTAAATCAAATTTTTAAAGATTTATCTCAATGAAATAAAAAAGTTGATGCTGGTGTTATCTATGAAAGGTTGGAGACATATCTGTTGCTGCTTATGCTTATTTTGTTGGATGGCATATATATTATTGTAATTTTCTCTAGCTTAAAAATAAAAACATATTTTGTGCAAAAAAGCCAACAAGTATTTGTCAAGTTTCTTCTTAGATGTACTGTCTTTAGGCAGTTTGGAAGTGATCCATCCTGGAGAAAGCAGCTCTCAAACTACGCTTTAATGGTTTTTACTCTGTAACTGTGATCTCCATGTGTCTTATTTTGCAGGTTTCTCCTTCGTTGTTTCATTGAAGATGAGGAGGCCACAGTTGTTGCCCCTATGTGCCCTCCTGGGTGTCCTGTTTGCAGGATTCCTCCCAAACCTGAATGCTCAAGGAAGTAAGTTTAACCAAGTTCATTTTTCCTTCAGTGAGCAAGTTGTTTCCACTTTTGCAGATGATGTATCTGTTTTTTTAGCAATACTTAGTGGTAAATATATTTTTTCCTTCTATCACATCAGTAATATCGAATCATTAAAAGTAGAAAGTTAAATAAAAAAAAAAACTCTGGGCTAATAAAAACAGAACCATAAAGAGGACTAGTACTGGACCAGTGCAATAAAGACACTTTTCTGAGGTTGTGAAAATTAAATTGTCTCAATATTTTTGGGTAAAATATTAACAGTTAATCGTAAGAAAGTGACAGACTTCAACATACACTCCAGATTCAGGATAGGATGCTAATTGAACTGTGTTTTTGTGTATCCTTCGTTATTTACCAAAACATACTCGAAACCTGTCGATGAAACTCCTACATCGTCGTCCATCTCTCATCGCTAATAAATTCCCTGAACTGGCCGGTTTAATGGATGGGCCTTTCACTGTGGGTGGAGGTCATGGAGGAGGGATCCCAGGTAGGAAAGTGACAGACTTTTATTCCAAGGTCAGCGTAGGATACCATTTGGATGTTAATGTAGCGTATACTTCTTTATTTACCAGCTTCGTTCTTTAACCAGAGGAATAGAAACCGCAGGTCCCTTGATGCTCACACTGGTACTGAGCCCTCTGAGCTTCCCGATGTCCAGAGGAATCAATACTCTGTGTCCAGCCGATTGGCAGGTAGGTTCCCGCACATGAAGATGACAGAAACACATAAGAAAGTGACAAACATTGAATTAGCATAGGACAGTATTGTAGTGTATACTATTTTATTTTGTGTAAGTTGTTGTAGTCAGGCTGCAGTCTAAGAAACTCAAAAGAAACAGAACAAAACCAAAACAAAGCATGTGTGCCAGAACTGACAGGCTGAGTGGTAAAATTCAAGGTTAGCTTTGGTCGTCTTACTTACAAACAGTAAACTTTTTTAATATTTAATGTTTTAATATTTAACTGTTTTATTTTACTGTTTTCATGTCTCTGTTTTATTATTTAGGGTTTTACATTCTATGTAAAGCGTCTTTGAGTGTTTTTAAAAGCGCTGTACAAATAAAATGAATTATTATTATTATTATTATTAAACTGGTTAAAGAGGACTAGTACCAGACCAGTACAGTATAGAAACTGTCCTGAGGTTGCAAAACTAAAATGTCTCAATATTTGTGAGTAAAACATCAACAGTAAATGGTAAGAAAGTGACAGACTTCAACATACACTCCACATTCAGGATAGGATGCTAATTGAACTGTGTTTTTACGTATCCTTTGTTATTTACCGGAAAATCCCCAAAATGTGCCGATGATACTCCCACAACCTCGTCCTGCTCTCCTTATTAATGAATTCCCTGAACTGGTCGGTTTAGTGGATGGGCCTTTTTCTGCAAGGAAGAGACGTAGCGTGGGGATCCCAGGTAAGAAGGGGACAGACTTTTACGTACACCCCAAGGTCAGCATGTACCATTTGAACGGTAATGTAGTTTATCCTTCTTTCTTTACCAGATTGGCTCGTATACTCCAGGAATAGAAACCGCAGGTCCCTTGATGCTCACACTGGTAAAGAATTCCTATTAATTCCTACAGTATTGTAGTGTATACTGTTTTATTTTGTGTAAGCTGTTGTAGTCAGGCTGAAGTCTTAGAAACCAAAAATAAAAAAAGTCCAAAAGCAGGTGCACCAGAACTGATTGGCTGAGTGGTTAAATTCAAGGTTAGCTTTGGTCATCTGACTTTCAGACAGGAAATTGGTTACACAAAGCTGAATATGTCTCAAAACTTTTGTCCCCTAGAGGAGAGACGGCCGACTGAAAGAGATGTTGTGTTCTTGTTGGATGAATCTGATGGAACTAGAACTAGCTTCCCAACTGTGCGAGACTTTGTCCAAGACGTTGTGGAGAGACTCAGTTTGGATGACAACAAAGACCGTGTCTCAGTGGTTCAGTACAGCAGAGACCCAACTGTCCAATTCTATCTGAACACGTACACCACAAAAGAAGACATCCTTCAAGCTGTCAGAAGGTTAACACACAAAGGTGGAGACACCCGCAACACTGGAGCAGCTCTCCAGTACTTGAGGGAAAATGTCTTCACGGCCTCTGCTGGAAGCAGGCTCCAGGAAGGAGTTCAGCAGATCCTCGTTTTGATAAGTGGTGGAAGGTCCTCTGACAATGTGGATGTGCCAACCTCTGCTCTCAAACAGATGGGTGTCCATACCTTAGGATTTTGAATCAGGAACACTTAGAGCTGCAGTCGATAACCTAAAATCTCTGTTATGTTTCCACTGTTGATTTAACTGACCTTCTTAGAGTCCAGAAGAAGCTCTACTCTGCAGCTAGCTTACTTAAAGTTGAGGTCGATGTACCTGATTGTCCTTGAACTAGCTTCTAGTTTGATTTTGTGTTTTGGTTTCATTTCCTGTGAACTTTTCCTCGTGTTTCTGTTTCCTGTTGTTCCTGTTTCTCTGTGTTCATTATTCTTATGTTCCTGTTTTTCACTGTTGGGTTTCTTAGCTCAGTTTTCATTGTTTCCTGTTTTATTTTGTAGTAGTTAATCCCAGTAGTAGTGTCAGGTCAAGTTTTACTTCCTCAGTTTTCCCTCCTTTGTTAATTACTATCAAGTCTCACCTGTGTCTTGTCTGTCTCACCTGTTGTTCATTTCCTAGTGTGTGTATATAGTCAGTGTCTTTCCTCTTTCTTTGTTTGCTCAGTGTCTGAGCTCGCCCGTGTGTTGATGTTGTCCACGCCTTGTGAACCCGACCACGTGTCCTCGTGTTTTCCCAGTGTCTATTTTGTTTCTTTGGATTGTTTGCCCCTGGTGTTTTTTTTTATTTTTTTGGTTTGAACATTAATTATGTAATATTTGGTTTTTCCTCACCTTCTGTTTAATAAACTATTTTGAGTTCTGCACATGAGTCCTCTCTTTACTTTTGTTCTGATGTGATGTTCTCCTGTTCTCAGATGACTTTCATCGACTGACTTGGAGAGATTTTAAAGCTTTACCGATGGTAGCAGTGAGCAAGGGAGCCACTCAGTTCAGAACCTGACAGCTGTAACTAGTGCCATGGTTACATGTAATCCCTTATCCAGACTGACACTAGCTCACATTAACACGTTGTTTTATTCAATTGTTTTGATTTTGAAAATATGTCTAAACAGGATTTGGGGGTGGAGGGACGGGGCGGGTGTTCTGTGTGTTTGATGTGTGTGTTTTGTGTTTGTATTATTATTGTTTAAAACTAATAAGATGTCCTTTTAAAAAAATCCTGAGGTGCCAATCAATGTGTGAATGTTTGAACTGTCAGTGAAGAAATGTTGACCCACCCACTCTGCAAATAAAGTAACATAACTATACCCTGTCTGATTGAACAAACACAGAGTCACTAATTAATATACATATATATATTAGAGGGTTTGTTTTTTTTGCTGCTGTTTTTGTATTGAATGTAAAAACAGAGAAGGAAAACTTTTTCTCTACGTGACAGGTGTCACGTGTTAATTTACAGGTGAGATCACACAATGCAACTCTTTCTTAAGTCCAAACTGGCCTCTATATAAACTCATAACTGCTGACAACTTTACCATCTTGACCATTACTGTCTGCTGTTAAGTTTGCTCTACAGTCTGACTGCTCTGCCTCCAGAGGGAAAACTGCCTTCAGCCTATTCCATCAACACCAAGGTAAATCAAATTTTTAAAGATTTATCTCAATGAAATAAAAAAGTTGATGCTGGTGTTATCTATGAAAGGTTGGAGACATATCTGTTGCTGCTTATGCTTATTTTGTTGGATGGCATATATATTATTGTAATTTTCTCTAGCTTAAAAATAAAAACATATTTTGTGCAAAAAAGCCAACAAGTATTTGTCAAGTTTCTTCTTAGATGTACTGTCTTTAGGCAGTTTGGAAGTGATCCATCCTGGAGAAAGCAGCTCTCAAACTACGCTTTGATGGTTTTTACTCTGTAACTGTGATCTCCATGTGTCTTATTTTGCAGGTTTCTCCTTCGTTGTTTCATTGAAGATGAGGAGGCCACAGTTGTTGCCCCTATGTGCCCTCCTGGGTGTCCTGTTTGCAGGATTCCTCCCAAACCTGAATGCTCAAGGAAGTAAGTTTAACCAAGTTCATTTTTCCTTCAGTGAGCAAGTTGTTTCCACTTTTGCAGATGATGTATCTGTTTTTTTAGCAATACTTAGTGGTAAATATATTTTTTCCTTCTATCACATCAGTAATATCGAATCATTAAAAGTAGAAAGTTAAATAAAAAAAAAAACTCTGGGCTAATAAAAACAGAACCATAAAGAGGACTAGTACTGGACCAGTGCAATAAAGACACTTTTCTGAGGTTGTGAAAATTAAATTGTCTCAATATTTTTGGGTAAAATATTAACAGTTAATCGTAAGAAAGTGACAGACTTCAACATACACTCCAGATTCAGGATAGGATGCTAATTGAACTGTGTTTTTGTGTATCCTTCGTTATTTACCAAAACATACTCGAAACCTGTCGATGAAACTCCTACATCGTCGTCCATCTCTCATCGCTAATAAATTCCCTGAACTGGCCGGTTTAATGGATGGGCCTTTCACTGTGGGTGGAGGTCATGGAGGAGGGATCCCAGGTAGGAAAGTGACAGACTTTTATTCCAAGGTCAGCGTAGGATACCATTTGGATGTTAATGTAGCGTATACTTCTTTATTTACCAGCTTCGTTCTTTAACCAGAGGAATAGAAACCGCAGGTCCCTTGATGCTCACACTGGTACTGAGCCCTCTGAGCTTCCCGATGTCCAGAGGAATCAATACTCTGTGTCCAGCCGATTGGCAGGTAGGTTCCCGCACATGAAGATGACAGAAACACATAAGAAAGTGACAAACATTGAATTAGCATAGGACAGTATTGTAGTGTATACTATTTTATTTTGTGTAAGTTGTTGTAGTCAGGCTGCAGTCTAAGAAACTCAAAAGAAACAGAACAAAACCAAAACAAAGCATGTGTGCCAGAACTGACAGGCTGAGTGGTAAAATTCAAGGTTAGCTTTGGTCGTCTTACTTACAAACAGTAAACTTTTTTAATATTTAATGTTTTAATATTTAACTGTTTTATTTTACTGTGTTCATGTCTCTGTTTTATTATTTAGGGTTTTACATTCTATGTAAAGCGTCTTTGAGTGTTTTTAAAAGCGCTGTACAAATAAAATGAATTATTATTATTATTATTATTATTAAACTGGTTAAAGAGGACTAGTACCAGACCAGTACAGTATAGAAACTGTCCTGAGGTTGCAAAACTAAAATGTCTCAATATTTGTGAGTAAAACATCAACAGTAAATGGTAAGAAAGTGACAGACTTCAACATACACTCCACATTCAGGATAGGATGCTAATTGAACTGTGTTTTTACGTATCCTTTGTTATTTACCGGAAAATCCCCAAAATGTGCCGATGATACTCCCACAACCTCGTCCTGCTCTCCTTATTAATGAATTCCCTGAACTGGTCGGTTTAGTGGATGGGCCTTTTTCTGCAAGGAAGAGACGTAGCGTGGGGATCCCAGGTAAGAAGGGGACAGACTTTTACGTACACCCCAAGGTCAGCATGTACCATTTGAACGGTAATGTAGTTTATCCTTCTTTCTTTACCAGATTGGCTCGTATACTCCAGGAATAGAAACCGCAGGTCCCTTGATGCTCACACTGGTAAAGAATTCCTATTAATTCCTACAGTATTGTAGTGTATACTGTTTTATTTTGTGTAAGCTGTTGTAGTCAGGCTGAAGTCTTAGAAACCAAAAATAAAAAAAGTCCAAAAGCAGGTGCACCAGAACTGATTGGCTGAGTGGTTAAATTCAAGGTTAGCTTTGGTCATCTGACTTTCAGACAGGAAATTGGTTACACAAAGCTGAATATGTCTCAAAACTTTTGTCCCCTAGAGGAGAGACGGCCGACTGAAAGAGATGTTGTGTTCTTGTTGGATGAATCTGATGGAACTAGAACTAGCTTCCCAACTGTGCGAGACTTTGTCCAAGACGTTGTGGAGAGACTCAGTTTGGATGACAACAAAGACCGTGTCTCAGTGGTTCAGTACAGCAGAGACCCAACTGTCCAATTCTATCTGAACACGTACACCACAAAAGAAGACATCCTTCAAGCTGTCAGAAGGTTAACACACAAAGGTGGAGACACCCGCAACACTGGAGCAGCTCTCCAGTACTTGAGGGAAAATGTCTTCACGGCCTCTGCTGGAAGCAGGCTCCAGGAAGGAGTTCAGCAGATCCTCGTTTTGATAAGTGGTGGAAGGTCCTCTGACAATGTGGATGTGCCAACCTCTGCTCTCAAACAGATGGGTGTCCATACCTTAGGATTTTGAATCAGGAACACTTAGAGCTGCAGTCGATAACCTAAAATCTCTGTTATGTTTCCACTGTTGATTTAACTGACCTTCTTAGAGTCCAGAAGAAGCTCTACTCTGCAGCTAGCTTACTTAAAGTTGAGGTCGATGTACCTGATTGTCCTTGAACTAGCTTCTAGTTTGATTTTGTGTTTTGGTTTCATTTCCTGTGAACTTTTCCTCGTGTTTCTGTTTCCTGTTGTTCCTGTTTCTCTGTGTTCATTATTCTTATGTTCCTGTTTTTCACTGTTGGGTTTCTTAGCTCAGTTTTCATTGTTTCCTGTTTTATTTTGTAGTAGTTAATCCCAGTAGTAGTGTCAGGTCAAGTTTTACTTCCTCAGTTTTCCCTCCTTTGTTAATTACTATCAAGTCTCACCTGTGTCTTGTCTGTCTCACCTGTTGTTCATTTCCTAGTGTGTGTATATAGTCAGTGTCTTTCCTCTTTCTTTGTTTGCTCAGTGTCTGAGCTCGCCCGTGTGTTGATGTTGTCCACGCCTTGTGAACCCGACCACGTGTCCTCGTGTTTTCCCAGTGTCTATTTTGTTTCTTTGGATTGTTTGCCCCTGGTGTTTTTTTTTTATTTTTTTGGTTTGAACATTAATTATGTAATATTTGGTTTTTCCTCACCTTCTGTTTAATAAACTATTTTGAGTTCTGCACATGAGTCCTCTCTTTACTTTTGTTCTGATGTGATGTTCTCCTGTTCTCAGATGACTTTCATCGACTGACTTGGAGAGATTTTAAAGCTTTACCGATGGTAGCAGTGAGCAAGGGAGCCACTCAGTTCAGAACCTGACAGCTGTAACTAGTGCCATGGTTACATGTAATCCCTTATCCAGACTGACACTAGCTCACATTAACACGTTGTTTTATTCAATTGTTTTGATTTTGAAAATATGTCTAAACAGGATTTGGGGGTGGAGGGACGGGGCGGGTGTTCTGTGTGTTTGATGTGTGTGTTTTGTGTTTGTATTATTATTGTTTAAAACTAATAAGGTGTCCTTTTAAAAAAATCCTGAGGTGCCAATCAATGTGTGAATGTTTGAACTGTCAGTGAAGAAATGTTGACCCACCCACTCTGCAAATAAAGTAACATAACTATACCCTGTCTGATTGAACAAACACAGAGTCACTAATTAATATACATATATATATTAGAGGGTTTGTTTTTTTTGCTGCTGTTTTTGTATTGAATGTAAAAACAGAGAAGGAAAACTTTTTCTCTACGTGACAGGTGTCACGTGTTAATTTACAGGTGAGATCACACAATGCAACTCTTTCTTAAGTCCAAACTGGCCTCTATATAAACTCATAACTGCTGACAACTTTACCATCTTGACCATTACTGTCTGCTGTTAAGTTTGCTCTACAGTCTGACTGCTCTGCCTCCAGAGGGAAAACTGCCTTCAGCCTATTCCATCAACACCAAGGTAAATCAGATTTTTAAAGATTGATCTAAATGAAATAAAAAAGTTGATATTGGTGTTATCTACGAAAGGTTAGAGACATATCTGTTGCTGCTTTGGCTCATTTTGTTGGATGGCATATATATTATTCAAATTTGCTCTAGCTTAAAAATAAAAACATATTTTGTGCATAAAAGGCCAACAAGTATTTGTCAAGTTTCTTCTTAGATGTACTGTCTTTAGGCAGTGATTGAAGAGAAAAAGGAAATAATAAAGTTATAGCTGGTGAAACTATTCCATGTTTGAAAGTGATCCACCCTGGAGAAAGCAGCTCTCAAACTATGCTTTGATGGTTTTTACTCTGTGACTGTGATCTCCATGTGTCTTATTTTGCAGGTTTCTCCTTTGCTGTTTCATTGAAGATGAGGAGGCCACAGTTGTTACCCCTATGTGCCCTCCTTGTTGTCCTGTTTGTGGGATTCCTCCCAAACCTCCATGCTCAAGGAAGTAAGTTTAACCAAGTTCATTTTTCCTTCAGTGAGCAGGTTGTTTCCACTTTTGCAGATGATGTATCTATTTTTTTAGCAATACTTAGTGGTAAATATATTTTTTCTTCTATCACATCAGTAATATCGAATCATTAAAAGTGGAAAGTTAAATTAAAAAAACTCCCAGCAAAATGAAAACAGAACCATAGAGAGGACTAGTACTGGACCAGTACAGTATAGACACTTTTCTGAGGTTGTGAAAATTAAATTGTCTCAATATTTCTGAGTAAAATATCAACAGTAAATGGTAAGAAAGTGACAGACTTCTACATACACTCCAGATTCAGGATAGGATGCTAATTGAACTGTGTTTTTGTGTATCCTTTGTTATTTACCAAAAAATACTCAAAACCTGTCGATGAAACTCTTACAACCTCGTCCTGCTCTCATGGTTAATAAATTCCCTGAACTGGACGGTTTAATGGATGGGCCTTTCGCTGTGCGAGAAGGTCATGGAGGAGGGATCCCAGGTAAGAAAGTGACAGACTTTTACTCCAAGGTCAGCGTAGGATACCATTTGGATGTTAATGTAGTTTATCCTTCTTTATTTACCAGCTTGGTTCTCACACCGGAGGAATAGAAACCTCAGGTCCCTTGATGCTCACACTGGTACTGAGCCCTCTGAGCTTCCTGATGTCCAGAGGAATCAATACTCTGTGTCCAGCCGATTGGCAGGTAGGTTCCCGCCCGTGAAGATGACAGAAACACGTAAGAAAGTGACAGACTTTGAATTAGCGTAGAACAGTATTGTTTGTAGTGTATACTATTTTATTTTGTGTAAGTTGTTGTAGTCAGGCTGCAGTCTAAGAAACTCAAAAGAAACAGAACAAAACCAAAACAAAGCATGAATGCCAGAACTGATAGGCTGAGTGGTTAAATTCAAGGTTAGCTTTGGTCGTCTTACTTACAAACAGTAAACTGGTCAAACAGGACTTGTACTGGACTAGTACTGGACCAGTACAGTATAGACACTGTCCTGAGGTTGCGAAACTTAAATGTCTCAATATTTGTGAGTAAAACATCAACAGTAAATGGTAAGAAAGTGACAGACTTCAACATACACTCCAGATTCAGGGTAGGATGCTAATTGAACTTTGTTTTTGTGTATCCTTTGTTATTTACCAGAAAATCCCCAAAATGTGCCGATAATACTCCCACAACCTCGTCCTGCTCTCCTTGCTAATGAATTCCCTGAACTGGCTGGTTTAGAGGATGGGTCTTCCTCTGTAAGGAAGATTCACAGATCGTGGTACCGAAGTAAGAAAGTGACAGACTTTTATGTACATTTTAAGGTCAGCGTAAGATACCATCTGAACGGTAATGTGGCGTATCCTTCTTTATTGAGCAGACAAGTTTAGAAGAATAAAGGAAAGTCACCTCAAATCCGATGATGCTCACACTGGTAATGAGATCATTGAGCTTCCTGATGTCCAGGAGAATCAAAAATCTCCGTCGAGCTCATTGGAGACAACAGAAACAGGTAAGAAATTGACGGACTTTGAATCAGTGTCACATTTCAAGGCTATGGTTTTAATTACTTTAATGTTGGCTTAAATAATATATTACCTGATATCTTATGATTGTACTTACCTTTGTTGGATTCAAAGTGCATGCATTGTCAGATATATATGCACAGACCTGAATTCATATATTATTTATAGACCTGAATTCATTTATTACCTCTGGCATCTTTTTTTATCTGATGATTTGTTACTCTGAAATATAGTCTGATGTGTGTCCAAATATTTATTTTTTCAACTTAATACTCTAGAAATTTGTCACAAGAAGATAATTGTCTCAATATTTGTGAGTAAAATATCAAAAGTAACTGGTGAGAAGGGACAGACTTTTACGTACACTCCAAGGTCAGTGTAGGAATGCCAAATGAACTGTATTGTAGTGTATCCTTCTTTACTGAGCAGACAATAACAGGGATCTGGGGATAGAAACCCACCGTTTTCATGATGTTCTCACTGAAAATGAATTGTCTGAGCTTCCAGATGTGAAGAAGGAACGTCAAGTGATAACCATAATACAAGAACCAAAAGGTAAGAAAGTGACAGACTTTTACGTTCACTCCAAGGTCAGTGTAGGATGCCATTTGAACTGTACTGTGGCGTATCCTTCTTTATTTACCAGATTGGATCGGAAATGTGATGACTAGAGGCCGCGGTGTCGGTAAACATTACATTTGTAAAAAGATCCCTGAGCTTCGCTGTGTCAAGAAGAATCTAGACTTTCTGTCGAGCTCAATGGAGAAAAAAAAACAAGGTAAGAAAGTGACGGACTTTGAGTGGTTACATGTAATCCCATATCCAGACCGACAACGCCTCACATTAACTTTTAGACAGCTGATAATTTGGATATTATTATGTGTCTTGTGTTACTCTACTGTATGTGAACAAACAACGTGTTTGAAAAGTTTGGATTTATGCAGGTTTACTCGTCTTTAGTTCTACTTTTCTTTGCTGTTACCTTCAGACAGAGTTAGCAGTTATAGTTCTGTTGAGGGTCCAGGTGGATCAGGGATAGACCATGAGGTTTTTCTGTGTAAATGATAAATCCATAACTAGGAAGTATTTCTCATCTATACTATTAGATAAACAGTCAGGAGTCTGTCTGATGTGTGCGTGCTTGCGTGTGTGTGTGTGTATTTGTGTGTTCCCTCTGCACTGTGATTGGGCAGCTCCCTCCTGAACTGGCTCCTACCTCCACCTTCACACCTGTACTGAATCACAGTAATCAGTGTTTACAGCCCTGCTGTGAGTTTTCTTGAGTATCCTTCTTTGTGTGTTTAATCTGTGACTAATTTTGCTGTCCTGCGTCTCTTCCAGTGCCTCCATGAGCCCCCCGGTGCTGCAGCCCAATCCCTGCCACACTCTCTCCTCTGGTTCCCTCTTGAATCCCTCCCCTTTACCTGATTCCCTTCAATAAATTCACTTATCTGCTTTATCTGCCTCTGTGTGCTTTTGGATTTAAATTAAAACACCCGGTTTTTCAAATCGTAGCATATATTAGAAGGTTCAGGTGTGTTGTAAATGGATCAAGTGAGCAGGATGTGATAACAAACAGTACAAGAGAGCCGTATTTGTACATGAAGGAGTTTATTTTAGTGCAGACAAACGCTCAGGCCAAATAAAACACCAGAACATTCGTAGTAGAAGTCAAACATGAAGATCTGTTGATCACATGCTGGTCTGGGTTTTTTATGCACATACACTTGTTTGCTTTAAGTGTCTTGTGAGTTGAAATGATGCTAACACACTCTAGATGATAACTGCAGGAGCTGAGTGAGCTGAAGCCAAACCTTTGTAAAGTTTCTCTCTTCCTGTTGTTTCAGGAGGGTTTACGTTCATTCACATCATTAAATATTGTCCAGGAGCAAAAACAGAAACCAGTGAGGGGATTTTGAAATATGAATACATATTTAACATGATTTATACATGCTGATATCTGCTGTGTGCGATCCTGATACACTGATGTAAGTGTTAGCTGCACAGATGTTTGAGATAATTAACAGATAGATAGAAATCTGATAGCTGAAGTTATGGAGAGAGTTGACACTGAAACTTCTGCAAACTGGTGCATCTCAGAATTTCATGGCAAAAAGAGAAAAGATCCTGAAGCAAACAGTCAATTCACCTTTTTACATACAGTGAAAAAATAATATTTACAGTACTTACATTCCTGAATATACTGTCTGCTCCAGGATCTTTTACCTCTCTGCTTATAGAGTCTTCTGCATCAATTCAAGATTCAAGCTTTTATTTGTCAGTTTCTGCCATATAAGAGTACATACACACACGTATAAAGCTCCATCTGCTCCTTGAAGTTGAAACATTATTGTCGTGTCTTTTGAGGCTAATCTGTGGTAACACTGTGTGTTAAATTCATTATTCTGTTCAACACGTCGTTTTATTCTATTGTTTTGATTTTGAAAATATGTCTAAACAGGATTGGGGGGTGGAGGGTGTTCTGTGTGTTTGAGGTGTGTGTTTTGTGTTTGTGTTATTATTGTTAACTAATAAGGTGTCATTAAAAAAAAATCCTGAGCTGCCAATCGATGTGTGAATGTTTGAACTGTCAGGAAAGTAATGATGACCCACCCACTCTGCAAATAAACTCTTATGACTAAATCCTGTCTGATTGAACAAACACAGAGTCACTAATTAATATACATATATATATTAGAGGGTTTGCTTTTCTTTGCTGCTGTTTTTGTATTGAATGTAAAAACAGCAAAGGAAAACTTTTTCTAGACATGACAGGTGTCAAAATTTACAGGTGAGATCACACAATGCAACTCTTTCTTAAGCCCAAACTGGCCTCTATATAAACTCATAACTATTGACAACTTTACCATCTTGACCATTACTGTCTGCTGTTAAGTTTGCTCTACAGTCTGACTGCTCTGCCTCCAGAGGGAAAACTGCCTTCAGCCTATTCCATCAACACCAAGGTAAATCAGATTTTTAAAGATTTATCTAAATGAAATAAGAAAGTTGATGCTGGTGTTATCTATGAAAGGTTAGAGACAGATCTGTTGCTGCTTTGGATCATTTAGTTGGATCGCATATGTATTATTCTGATTTGCTCTAGCTTAAAAATAAAAACATATTTTGTGCAAAAAAAGGCCAACAAGTATTTGTCAAGTTTCTTCTTAGATGTTCTGTCTTTAGGCAGTGAAAGCAGCTCTCAAACTACGCTTTGATGGTTTTTACTCTGTAACTGTGATCTCTATTGTGTCTTATTTTGCAGGTTTCTCCTTTGCTGTTTCATTGAAGATGAGGAGGCCACAGTTGTTACCCCTATGTGCCCTCCTTGTTGTCCTGTTTGTGGGATTCCTCCCAAACCTCCATGCTCAAGGAAGTAAGTTTAACCAAGTTCATTTTTCCTTCAGTGAGCAGGTTGTTTCCACTTTGCAGATGATGTATCTGTTTTTTTAGCAATACTTAGTGGTAAATATATTTATTCTTCTATCACGTCAGTAATATCGAATCATAAAAAGTGGAAAGTTAATTTTAAAAAAAGACTCAGGGTTAATAAAAACAGAACCATAAAGAGGACTAGTACTGGACCAGTGCAATATAGACAATTTCCTGAGGTTGCGAAAATTAAATTGTCTCAATATTTGAGTAAAACATCAACAGGTAATCGTAAGAAAGTGACAGACTTCAACATACACTCCAGATTCAGGATAGGATGCTAATTGAACTGTTTTTTTTGTGTATCCTTTGTTATTTACCAAAAAATACTCAAAACCTGTCGATGAAACTCCAACATTGTCGTCCTGCTCTCCTTATTAATGAATTCCCTGAACTGGCAGGTTTAATGGATGGGCCTCTCACTGTATGGAAAGGTCATGGAGGGAGGTTCCCAGGTTAGAAAGTGACAGAATTTTACTCTAAAGTCAGCTTTGGATACCATTTGAACGGTAATGTAGCGTATCCTTCTTTATTTACCAGCTTGGACCGTAACCCGGAAGAATAGAAACCGCAGGTCCCTTGATGCTCACACTGGTACTGAGCCCTCTGAGCTTCCCGATATTCAGAGGAATCAAAACTCTGTGTCCAGCCGATTGGCAGGTAGGTTCCCGCCCGTGAAGATGACAGAAACAGGTAAGAAAGTGACAAACATTGAATTAGCGTAGGACAGTATTGTAGTGTATACTATTTTATCTTGTGTAAGTTGTTGTAGTCAGGCTGCAGTCTAAGAAACTCAAAAGAAACAGAACAAAACCAAAACAAAGCATGTGTGCCAGAACTGATAGGCTGAGTGGTTAAATGTAAGGTTAGCTTTGGTCGTCTTACTTACAAACAGTAAACTTTTTTAATATTTAATGTTTTAATATTTAACTGTTTTATTTTACTGTTTTCATGCCTCTGTTTTATTATCTTGGGTTTTATATTCCATGTAAAGCGTCTTTGAGTGTTTTTAAAAGTGCTGTACAAATAAAATGAATTATTATTATTATTATTATTATTATTATTAAACTGGTTAAAGAGGACTAGTACCAGACCAGTACAGTATAGAAACTGTCCTGAGGTTGCAAAACTAAAATGTCTCAATATTTGTGAGTAAAACATCAACAGTAAATGGTAAGAAAGTGACAGACTTCAACATACACTCCACATTCAGGATAGGATGCTAATTGAACTGTGTTTTTACGTATCCTTTGTTATTTACCGGAAAATCCCCAAAATGTGCCGATGAAACTCCAACATCGTCGTCCTGTTCTCCTTATTAATGAATTCCCTGAACTGGTCAGTTTAGTGGATGGGTCTTTTTCTGCAAGGAAGAGACGTAGCGTGGGGATCCCAGGTAAGAAGGTGACAGACTTTTATGTACACTCCGAGGTCAGCATATACCATTTGAACGGTAATGTAGTTTATCCTTCTTTCTTTACCAGATTGGCTCGTATACTTCAAGAATAGAAACAGCAGGTCCCTTGATGCTCACACTGGTAAAGAATTCCTATTAATTCCTACAGTATTGTAGTGTATACTGTTTTATTTTGTGTAAGCTGTTGTAGTCAGGCTGAAGTCTTAGAAACCCAAAATAAAAAAAGTCCAAAAGCAGGTGCACCAGAACTGATTGGCTGAGTGGTCAAACTCAAGGTTAGCTTTGGTCATCTGACTATCAGACAGGAAATTGGTTACACAAAGCTGAATATATCTCAAAACTTTTGTCCCCTAGAGGAGAGACATCTGACTGGAAGAGATGTTGTGTTCTTGTTGGATGGAACTGATGACACTATAACTAGCTTCCCAACTGTGCGAGACTTTGTCCAAAGAGTTGTGGAGAGACTCCTTTTTGATAACAACAAATATCGTGTCTCAGTGGTTCAGTACAGCAGAGACCCAACTGTCCAATTCTATCTGAACACGTACACCACAAAAGAAGACATCATTGAAGCTGTCAGAAGGTTAACACACAAAGGTGGAGAAACCCGCAACACTGGAGCAGCTCTCCAGTACTTGAGGCAAAATGTCTTCACGGCCTCTGCTGGAACCAGGCTCCAGGAAGGAGTTCAGCAGGTCGTCATTTTGATAAGTGGTGGAAGGTCCTCTGACAATGTGGATGTGCCAACCTCTGCTCTCAAACAGATGGGTGTCTTGACCTTTGAAATTAGAATCTGGAGCTTTTATGCTTTTGGGACCCAGTCATTCACTTTTGTGCACCATATTGCACATTGAGTTTTTGCTTGTATCTCTTAAATAATACATGCCACTCTGTTAAGTCCTGATGTTCCTTAGAGAGGACAACCGCAGCTTTAAAATGATGTGACATGTGTGGGGGTGTGGCCTTGGTAACTGTTCTTTTCCTGTATTTCAAAATGGCTGGTATCCCCACAAACACATTTTCTAGAAAACAGAAAGGTAACCAAGATATTTATATTTATTTATTTATTTTGTATTAATTTTCCAATATAAACATCTAATAAGAAATTTGAGTAAGTTTTCAGAACTAAGCTTATTTAGTTTTACAGGGAAAATTACCAGTTTATTAGTGTATACTGTAGTGCACATGAGGACTTTGTACTTCAGTTTATTTCACTTTTTTCTAGTTGACAGATCTTTGACAGAATTCCTGAAATCTTTGTGTGTGTTGAAACATTATTGTTGTGTCTTTATAGGCTAATCTGTGGTAACGCTGTGTGTGAAGTTCATAATCCTGTTCAACACGTTGTTTTATTCAATTGTTTTGATTTTGAAAATATGTCTAAACAGGATTGGGGGGTGGAGGGAAAGGGGCGGGTGTTCTGTGTGTTTGAGGTGTGTGTTTTGTGTTATTATTGTTTAAAACTAATAAGATGTCATTAATAAAAAATCCTGAGTTGCCAATCGATGTGTGAATGTTTGAACTGTCAGGAAGTAATGATGACCCACCCACTCTGCAAATAAAGTTACATAACTATACCCTGTCTGATTGAACAAACACAGAGTCACTAATTAATATACATATATATATTAGAGGGTTTGCTTTTCTTTGCTGCTGTTTTTGTATTGAATGTAAAAACAGCAAAGGAAAACTTTTTCTCCACATGACAGGTGTCACATGTTAATTTACAGGTGAGATCACACAATGCAACTCTTTGTTATAGGATCCATGTGACTGGAGGCTTAAGCCCAAACTGGCCTCTATATAAACTCATAACTGCTAACAACTTTACCATCTTGACCATTACTGTCTGCTGTTAAGTTTGCTCTACAGTCTGACTGCTCTGCCTCCAGAGGGAAAACTGCCTTCAGCCTATTCCATCAACACCAAGGTAAATCAAATTTTTAAAGATTTATCTCAATGAAATAAAAAAGTTGATGCTGGTGTTATCTATGAAAGGTTGGAGACATATCTGTTGCTGCTTATGCTTATTTTGTTGGATGGCATATATATTATTGTAATTTTCTCTAGCTTAAAAATAAAAACATATTTTGTGCAAAAAAGCCAACAAGTATTTGTCAAGTTTCTTCTTAGATGTACTGTCTTTAGGCAGTTTGGAAGTGATCCATCCTGGAGAAAGCAGCTCTCAAACTACGCTTTGATGGTTTTTACTCTGTAACTGTGATCTCCATGTGTCTTATTTTGCAGGTTTCTCCTTCGTTGTTTCATTGAAGATGAGGAGGCCACAGTTGTTGCCCCTATGTGCCCTCCTGGGTGTCCTGTTTGTGGGATTCCTCCCAAACCTGAATGCTCAAGGAAGTAAGTTTAACCAAGTTCATTTTTCCTTCAGTGAGCAAGTTGTTTCCACTTTTGCAGATGATGTATCTGTTTTTTTAGCAATACTTAGTGGTAAATATATTTTTCCTTCTATCACATCAGTAAAATCGAATCATAAAAAGTGGAAAGTTAAATAAAAAAAAAACTCTGGGCTTAATAAAAACAGAACCATGGAGAGGACTAGTTCCGGACCAGTGCAATATAGACACTTTCCTGAGGTTGCGATAATTAAATTGTCTCAATATTTTTGGGTAAAATATTAACAGTTAATCGTAAGAAAGTGACAGACTTCAACATACACTCCAGATTCAGGATAGGATGCTAATTGAACTGTGTTTTTGTGTATCCTTCGTTATTTACCAAAACATACTCGAAACCTGTCGATGAAACTCCTACATCGTCGTCCATCTCTCATCGCTAATAAATTCCCTGAACTGGCCGGTTTAATGGATGGGCCTTTCACTGTGGGTGGAGGTCATGGAGGAGGGATCCCAGGTAGGAAAGTGACAGACTTTTATTCCAAGGTCAGCGTAGGATACCATTTGGATGTTAATGTAGCGTATACTTCTTTATTTACCAGCTTCGTTCTTTAACCAGAGGAATAGAAACCGCAGGTCCCTTGATGCTCACACTGGTACTGAGCCCTCTGAGCTTCCCGATGTCCAGAGGAATCAATACTCTGTGTCCAGCCGATTGGCAGGTAGGTTCCCGCACATGAAGATGACAGAAACACATAAGAAAGTGACAAACATTGAATTAGCATAGGACAGTATTGTAGTGTATACTATTTTATTTTGTGTAAGTTGTTGTAGTCAGGCTGCAGTCTAAGAAACTCAAAAGAAACAGAACAAAACCAAAACAAAGCATGTGTGCCAGAACTGACAGGCTGAGTGGTAAAATTCAAGGTTAGCTTTGGTCGTCTTACTTACAAACAGTAAACTTTTTTAATATTTAATGTTTTAATATTTAACTGTTTTATTTTACTGTTTTCATGTCTCTGTTTTATTATTTAGGGTTTTACATTCTATGTAAAGCGTCTTTGAGTGTTTTTAAAAGCGCTGTACAAATAAAATGAATTATTATTATTATTATTATTATTAAACTGGTTAAAGAGGACTAGTACCAGACCAGTACAGTATAGAAACTGTCCTGAGGTTGCAAAACTAAAATGTCTCAATATTTGTGAGTAAAACATCAACAGTAAATGGTAAGAAAGTGACAGACTTCAACATACACTCCACATTCAGGATAGGATGCTAATTGAACTGTGTTTTTACGTATCCTTTGTTATTTACCGGAAAATCCCCAAAATGTGCCGATGATACTCCCACAACCTCGTCCTGCTCTCCTTATTAATGAATTCCCTGAACTGGTCGGTTTAGTGGATGGGCCTTTTTCTGCAAGGAAGAGACGTAGCGTGGGGATCCCAGGTAAGAAGGGGACAGACTTTTACGTACACCCCAAGGTCAGCATGTACCATTTGAACGGTAATGTAGTTTATCCTTCTTTCTTTACCAGATTGGCTCGTATACTCCAGGAATAGAAACCGCAGGTCCCTTGATGCTCACACTGGTAAAGAATTCCTATTAATTCCTACAGTATTGTAGTGTATACTGTTTTATTTTGTGTAAGCTGTTGTAGTCAGGCTGAAGTCTTAGAAACCAAAAATAAAAAAAGTCCAAAAGCAGGTGCACCAGAACTGATTGGCTGAGTGGTTCAATTCAAGGTTAGCTTTGGTCATCTGACTTTCAGACAGGAAATTGGTTACACAAAGCTGAATATGTCTCAAAACTTTTGTCCCCTAGAGGAGAGACGGCCGACTGAAAGAGATGTTGTGTTCTTGTTGGATGAATCTGATGGAACTAGAACTAGCTTCCCAACTGTGCGAGACTTTGTCCAAGACGTTGTGGAGAGACTCAGTTTGGATGACAACAAAGACCGTGTCTCAGTGGTTCAGTACAGCAGAGACCCAACTGTCCAATTCTATCTGAACACGTACACCACAAAAGAAGACATCCTTCAAGCTGTCAGAAGGTTAACACACAAAGGTGGAGACACCCGCAACACTGGAGCAGCTCTCCAGTACTTGAGGGAAAATGTCTTCACGGCCTCTGCTGGAAGCAGGCTCCAGGAAGGAGTTCAGCAGATCCTCGTTTTGATAAGTGGTGGAAGGTCCTCTGACAATGTGGATGTGCCAACCTCTGCTCTCAAACAGATGGGTGTCCATACCTTAGGATTTTGAATCAGGAACACTTAGAGCTGCAGTCGATAACCTAAAATCTCTGTTATGTTTCCACTGTTGATTTAACTGACCTTCTTAGAGTCCAGAAGAAGCTCTACTCTGCAGCTAGCTTACTTAAAGTTGAGGTCGATGTACCTGATTGTCCTTGAACTAGCTTCTAGTTTGATTTTGTGTTTTGGTTTCATTTCCTGTGAACTTTTCCTCGTGTTTCTGTTTCCTGTTGTTCCTGTTTCTCTGTGTTCATTATTCTTATGTTCCTGTTTTTCACTGTTGGGTTTCTTAGCTCAGTTTTCATTGTTTCCTGTTTTATTTTGTAGTAGTTAATCCCAGTAGTAGTGTCAGGTCAAGTTTTACTTCCTCAGTTTTCCCTCCTTTGTTAATTACTATCAAGTCTCACCTGTGTCTTGTCTGTCTCACCTGTTGTTCATTTCCTAGTGTGTGTATATAGTCAGTGTCTTTCCTCTTTCTTTGTTTGCTCAGTGTCTGAGCTCGCCCGTGTGTTGATGTTGTCCACGCCTTGTGAACCCGACCACGTGTCCTCGTGTTTTCCCAGTGTCTATTTTGTTTCTTTGGATTGTTTGCCCCTGGTGTTTTTTTTTTATTTTTTTGGTTTGAACATTAATTATGTAATATTTGGTTTTTCCTCACCTTCTGTTTAATAAACTATTTTGAGTTCTGCACATGAGTCCTCTCTTTACTTTTGTTCTGATGTGATGTTCTCCTGTTCTCAGATGACTTTCATCGACTGACTTGGAGAGATTTTAAAGCTTTACCGATGGTAGCAGTGAGCAAGGGAGCCACTCAGTTCAGAACCTGACAGCTGTAACTAGTGCCATGGTTACATGTAATCCCTTATCCAGACTGACACTAGCTCACATTAACTTTAAGACAGCTGATAATTTGGAGATTATTCTGTGACTTTTGTTACTCTACTGTATGTGAACAAACAACATGATTGTAAGTTTGGGTTTTTGCAGGTTTACTCGTGTTTATTAAAGTAAAGTATGTTCCACTTTTCTGTGCTGTTTCCTTCAGACAGAGTTAGCAGTTAAAGTTCTGTTGGGGGTCCAGATGGATCAGGGATAGACGATGAGGTTTTTCTGTGTTAATGATAAATCCATAACCAGGAGGTACTTCTCATCTATACTATTAGATAAACAGTCAAGTGTTTGAACGATCCAGCTTTGTGTTTAATCTACAATAATAATAAATAAAACATTTTATTTACAACAGGCTTTTACAGGTGCTCAAAGACGCCTTACAAAGAGAAAAAGTAAAATAAAAAACACAATTTAATAGACAGAAACTTTAGAGAAATCAAACCAATAATGTGAAAGGTTAAAAAAGACACAATATGAAAAGACAATAAAAGAACAGTTCACAGGTTAAAAGCCAATTTAAAAAGGAGTGTTTTTAGAGTGATATGAAAGTATGGGGGTCTGTACAGTCTCGGGTGGGTTTGGGGAGTGAATTCCTGAAATCTCTGTGTGTGTTGAAACATTATTGTCGTATCTTTATAGGCTAATCTGTGGTAACGCTGTGTGTTAAATTCATAATTCTGTTCAACACGTCGTTTTATTCAATTGTTTTGATTTTGAAAATATGTCTAAACAGGATTGGGGGGTGGAGGGACGGGGCAGGTGTTCTGTGTGTTTGAAGTGTGTGTTTCGTGTTTGTGTTATTGTTTAAAACTAATAATATGTCATTTTAAATAAATCTTGAGGTTCCAATCGATGTGTGAATGTTTAAACTGTCAGGGAAGAAATGATGACCCACCCACTCTGCAAATAAACTTTTATGACTAAATCCTGTCTGATTGAACAAACACAGAGTCACTAATTAATATACATATATATATTAGAGGGTTTGCTTTTCTTTGCTGCTGTTTTTGTATTGAATGTAAAAACAGCAAAGGAAAACTTTTTCTCCACATGACAGGTGTCACGTGTTAATTTACAGGTGAGATCACACAATGCAACTCTTTCTTAAGCCCAAACTGGCCTCTATATAAACTCATAACTGCTGACAACTTTACCATCTTGACCATTACTGTCTGCTGTTAAGTTTGCTCTACAGTCTGACTGCTCTGCCTCCAGAGGGAAAACTGCCTTCAGCCTATTCCATCAACACCAAGGTAAATCAGGTTTTTAAAGATTTATCTAAATGAAATAAAAAAGTTGATATTGGTGTTATCTATGAAAGGTTAGAGACATATCTGCTGCTGCTCTGGATCATTTTGTTGGATGGCATATATATTATTCATATTTGCTCTAGCTTAAAAATAAAAACATATTTTGTGCAAAAAAAGCCAACAAGTATTTGTCAAGTTTCTTCTTTGATGTTCTGTCTTTAGGCAGTGATTGAATAGAAAAGGGAAATAATAAAGTTATAGCTGGTGAAACTATTCCACATTTTGCACAATTGCAGGTGATCCACCCTGAAGAAAGCAGCTCTCAAACTACGCCTCGATGGTTTTTACTCTGTAACTGTGATCTCCATGTGTCTTATTTTGCAGGTTTCTCCTTTGCTGTTTCATTGAAGATGAGGAGGCCACAGTTGTTACCCCTATGCGCCCTCCTGGGTGTCCTGTTTGCAGGATTCCTCCCAAACCTCCATGCTCAAGGAAGTAAGTTTAACCAAGTTCATTTTTTCTTCAGTGAGCAGGTTGTGTCCACTTTGCAGCTGATCTATCTATCTATCTATCTATCTATCTATCCATCTATCTAAATGCTTTTTCCATATTCGTGAGTAAAATATTAACAGTAAACGGTAAGAAAGTGACAGACTTCAACATACACTCCAGATTCAGGATAGGATGCTAATTGAACAGTATTTTTGAGCATCCTTCCTTATTTACCAGAAGAACAAGATTACCTGTCGCTGCGACCCCGACATCGTCGCCATGCTACCCTCGCTAATAAATTCCATAGACTGGTCGGTTTAATGGATGGGCCTTTCTCTGAAAGGAAGAGACGTGAACTGTGGTTCGTAGGTAAGAAAGTGACAAACATTTACGTACACTCCAAGGTCAGCGTAGGATACCATTTGAACGGTAATGTAGCATATCCTTCTTTATTGAGCAGATAGGTTTGTAAAAAGGAGGAAAGGACACCGCAGTCGCCGTGATGCTCACACTGGTAATGAGATCCCTGAGCTTCCTGATGTCCAGGAGAATCAAAAATCCCCATCAAGCTCATTGGAGACAACAGAAACAGCTAAGAAATTGACGGACTTTGAATCAGTGTCACATTTCAAGGCTATGGTTTTTATTATTTTAATATTGGCTTAAATAACATATTACCTGATATCTTATGATTGTACTTACTTTTGTTGGATTCAAAGTGCATGCATAGTCAGATATATATGCATAGACCTGAATTCATATATTATTTATAGACCTGAATTCATTTATTACCTCTGGCATCTTTTTTTATCTGATGATTTGTTACTCTGAAATATAGTCTGATGTGCATCTAAATATCTGGACATTTTTTTCAACTTAATAATCTAGAAATTTGTCACAAGTAGAAAATTGTCTCAATTTTTGTTAGTAAAATATCAAAAGTAACTGGTGAGAAGGGACAGACTTTTACGTACACTCCAAGGTCAGTGTAGGAATGCCAAATGAACAGTATTGTAGCGTATCCTTCTTTATTGAGCAGACAATAACAGGGATCTGGGGATAGAAACCCACCGTTTTCATGATGTTCTCACTGAAAATGAATTGTCTGAGCTTCCAGATGTGAAGACGGAACGTCAAGTGATAACCATAATACAAGAACCAAAAGGTAAGAAAGTGACAGACTTTTACGTTCACTCCAAGGTCAGTGTAGGAATGCAAAATGAACAGTATTGTAGCGTATCCTTCTTTATTTACCAGATTGGATCGGAAATGTGATGACTAGAGCCCGCGGTTACCATAAACATTACATTTGTAAGAAGATCCCTGGGCTTCGCTGTTTCAAGAAGAATCTAGACTTTCTGTCGAGCTCAATGGAGAAAAAAAAACAAGGTAAGAAAGTGACGAACTCTGAATGGTTACATGTAATCCCATATCCAGACCGACAACGCCTCACATTAACTTTTAGTCAGCTGATAATTTGGATATTATTATGTGTCTTGTGTTACTCTACTGTATGTGAACAAACAACGTGTTTGAAAAGTTTGGATTTATGCAGGTTTACTCGTCTTTAGTTCTACTTTTCTTTGCTGTTACCTTCAGACAGATTTAGCAGTTAAAGTTCTGTTGGGGGTCCAGGTGGATCAGGGATAGACCATGAAGTTTTTCTGTGTGAATGATAAATCCATAACTAGGAAGTATTTCTCATCTATACTATTAGATAAACAGTCAGGAGTCTGTCTGATGTGTGCGTGCGTGCTTGCGCGTGTGTGTGTGTGTGTGTGTGTTCCCTCTGCACTGTGATTGGGCAGCTCCCTCCTGAACTGGCTCCACCCCCACCTTCACACCTGTACTGAATCACTGTAATCAGTGTTTACAGCCCTGCTGTGAGTTTTCTTGAGTATCCTTCTTTGTGTGTTTAATCTGTGACTGATTTTGCTGTCCTGCGTCTCTTCCAGTGCCTCCATGAGCCCCCCGGTGCTGCCGCCCAATCCCTGCCACACTCTCTCCTCTGGTTCCCTCTTGAATCCCTCCCCTTCCCCTGATTCCCTTCAGTAAATTCACTTAACTGCTCCACCTGCCTCTGTGTGCTTTTGCATTTAGATTAAAACACCTGTTTTTTTAAACAGTAACATATCAGCAGGTTCAGGTGTGTTGTAAATGGATAAAGGGAGCAGGATGCGATAACAAACAGCACAAGAGAGCTGTATTTGTACATGAAGGAGTTTATTTTAGTGCAGACGAACGCTCAGGCCAAATAAAACACCAGAACAGTTGTAGTAGAAGTCAAACATGAAGATCTATTGATCACATGCTGGTCTGGGTTTTCTATGCACATATACTTGTTTGCTTTAAGTGTCTTGTGAGCTGAAATGATGCTAACACACTCTAGACGATAACTGCAGGAGCTGAGTGAGCTGAAGCCAAACCTTTGTAAAGTTTCTCTCTTCCTGTTGTTTCAGGAGGGTTTACGTTCATTCGCATCATTAAATATTGTCCAGGAGCAAAAACAGAAACCAGTGAGGGGATTTTCAAATATGAACACATATTTAACATGATTTATACATGCTGAAATCTGCTGTGGTATCCTGTTACACTGATGTAAGTGTTAGCTGCACAGATGTTTGAGATAATTAACAGATAGATAGAAATGTGTTTGCTGAAGTTATGGAGAGAGTTGACACTGAAACTTCTGCAAACTGGTGCATCTCAGAATTTCATGGCATACATACATACACATACAGTGAAAGGATATATTTACAGTACTTACATTTCTGACTATACCATCTGCTACAAGATCTTTTAACTCTCTGCTTATCCAGTCCTCTGCATCAATTCAAGATTCAAGCTTTTTATTGTCAGTTTCTGCCATATACGTGTACATACCCAGGAATTAAAAAAGGCGTTTCTCTCCAGCCCACAGAGCAAAAATACAGAGAATAATTTAAAAAGACAAAAAATGATAATAATAATAATAAAACATTTTATTTATATTGCGCTTTACATCTGAGAAAACAGAACTAAAAGTCCATACAGTGAAAGGCAATAGTAAAAACAACATATAAAAATAACAACAGTAAAAGGCAATAGTAAAAACAACAAATAAAAATCAGAATAAGAATCAGATTTATTGGTCAAGTATGAGTACATATTCAAGGAATTTGACTCTGGTAAACTTTGACCTCTGGGGGCACACAATTAACAGGATTTCAAGTAAAGTAAAGTGGGTTATATACATGAGGTAAATATACAAGGTGTTTTTTTTTACAGTATTAACATTAAAAATAAATATTACATACATTGTGCAGAGGTCTCTGTCTGATGTGAGGATTGATTATAGATGAACAGTTTAAGTTATAAAATTCATTTACAGTCTGACCAGAAAAATGATTTCCGCTGTACATCTTTACACATGACCTAAAATGCAGCAATATTTCTTTGATGCAAAGACCATGTAAATATATTCTTCCCTGACAGGATCATAAAACACAATTACTCTGAATATTTCACATGGAAATTATAAAAACAGGACAAAGTGTTGAATGAGTAAGAAAGAAAGAAAGAAAGAACGAGTGTTACTTACATTTTCACAGACTGTGGTCACGTTAAATCCTTTTTAATGACTTTTTTGGCGTCTTCATTTCAACTCTGCGCTTTACTGATCTGATGCATGAAGACAGTTTGACTTCTGAGCTGCCGTTCGATGTGTAAATGTTTGACCTGTCAGAGAAGTAATGATGACCCACCCACTCTGCAAATAAAGTCTAATAACTATACTATGCCTGCATGAACCAACACAGAGTCACTTATTAATAAGTCCTCTGCTGCTGTTTTCACATTGCACGTGACAAAACCTCTCCGTTTTTTTCTCTGCATTAAAGAGGTGTCACATGTCAATTTACAGTTGAGGTCATGCAAAGCAACTCTCTCTTATAGGATCCATGACATGTGACTGAAGGCTTAAGCCCAAACTGGCCTCCACATAACCTCACAGCTACTGCCAACTTTAAACAACTTCTGCAGAAACAGACTAAAAAAATGTTTGATATAACTTTAAATCCACAGTCGTAGCTGCGAAACCAGCAGCAGGTACAGTGTGTTTAAAAACTCGGTCAGGGAGGCCTGCAGGAGTCCTGAGCTGCCTTTGAAGGAGCAGTCAGAAAGAAGCAGTGGGTAGGCTTGTCTCCCTGCCTTTCTTCCTCCTGGTTAACTAGACATGTGATTAGCATTGCTGTCTACTGCTACGTTTGCTCTACAGTCTGACTGCTCTGCCTCCAGAGGGAATACTGCCTGCAGGCAACTGCGTCAACACCAAGGTAAGTCTGATTTTTAAAGATTTATCTAAATGAAATAAAAGAGTTGATGCAGGTGTTATCTCTAAGAGGTAAGAGACCTATCTGTTGCTGCTTTGTTTCTATGGAAAACAGAGATTTGGCTAATTTTGTTGGATGGTATTTATATTCTTCAAAGTTGCTCATGCTTAAAAATCAAGACATATTTTGTACTATTTGTCAAGTTTCTTCTTAGATATACTGTCTTTAGGCAGTGATTGAATAGAGAGAAAAATAAAGCTATAGCCGGTGAAACTATTCCACGTTTGCACGTTTCAAGGTGATCCATCCTTTAGCAAACACCTGAATGTGCACCTGTTCAGAAGTGTGAGCATAGCACAGAAAATCTAGATGGCTCTGCTTTCTTTTGTTGGGATAAATACAGAAGAAATGTGTAAAAAGTACTCTAAATCCTAAAAGCATTATTAGATCTTGATGAATTGTAAAAGGCAAGGTTTTATAACGCTTCCTTGTAAGATACTGAGGTGCCCACACCCGTTTGGTAAACACAAACGCCGCCGCCGGGTCATTCTGTGGGAAACTTTTTTTGCAATATGTCAGAAATCTGAATGTGCACTCAGTTTCTGCCGCTCAGACGGGACTCACCGGCTTGTTTTGACCACTTTCAGAGGCTGAAATTAGATTAAGCTCGATTAGGCACTTAGACAATTATGTGATGTTCCTGAGCATTCCTTTACATCTCCCTGAATATAGAAGACTTCTGCATGTATGGAGACGTCCCACATGAGCGGAGTGACCTCATCCTCTGAAACCAAAGCGTTATAAAAACTAGACCATGTGAAATATTCATGCAGGCTCAGTTTAACTTGATTAAGATCCCTGAGTAATGTGACGGTTTCGACTCTGCCAGACTTTTCCAGATCACAGGACTCATGCATGTCGGAGAGAAAACTCCCTCAGATAAGCGGAACAATCACTGATCCGTGGTCGACAAAATAATTTCTGTTTGCTGTTCTCTCCTAAAGAAAATTTGAAGAAAACTCTGCATGCTTTCCTAGAGGCTGACCAAAAACATGCAATCAGATATTTAAAATAGCAAACAACAAAACAACTCCATAGTAAGAGCTGTAGACAAAGTGAATCATCTATAATATAGATTTCATGGTTGTTTACTTATTTGATCACGTGTCACCTTGATTGTTGTTTTTTGCCTCTTCTTTCTCCCTGGTTGGACTCCAGCCATCTCTTCTGCCTAACACGCACACTGCCTGACCGCTTGTTTACAACATTTTGTCAGCCACTCTGACACGTATGGGATTTTTTAGGGATTCGTCCCAATTGGGTAATGAGTGTCTGACTGATAGCCGCATGCCAGGGATGTTTTTAACACCAGTGAGAGTGGCTGACTTCTCAATTTGACATCCTAAATGGTAAACACATTATGAGTGCTTGACTGTAGCCATACTTAGGCCCCTCACCAGACCAGACCAGTCCTGATTTTGTTTCTCATGACTCTGCTGTAGTTCGAAGCAGTTGTGTGCCAGATCTAGAAGCTGCAGATGCAAACAGGCTCAACATACTCATTCACAGATGTTTGGGTAATGGATCTGGAGAGGAGGTTGAAGCCAACAATGTCCAAGTTGCTTCATTTTGCCTCATTCTAAAATATCTGTTTGTATTATTCTTATTTCTAGCTCCTGGAAGCCTGCCGACTCCCAGACATCAAACAATCATGCCTGGCACCACAGATGGGAAGAAGCTGGACCTCTCCAAGCTCACAGATGAGGAGGCCAAACATGTTTGGGCCGTCGTCCAGCGAGACTTTGACCTGAGGAAGAAGGAGGAGGACAGACTCGGGTAATCAAAGCCTATATTTATCTCATTTCTGTTTGGTACAACAGCATATTCCAGGCGTAGGTTTATTTGAAGTGGAGTTGCATGATGTACTTTTTAGTAGTATGTGCATAAACAACAGGAGAATGCCAATCAGCTGGGCTTCTTTGTCAAGAAACTGGCTGGAGAACAATAACAGAAGCTTGGCTGCAGACAGGATCAACTCTATCATATAGTTTATTTATTTTTGATTAATTAACTCCAATCCAAACACTGCTGTCAGACTAAGTATATGCTTAAGTTAGCTTTAAACTCTACTTAAAGCTCTGTCACTCATGCAACACACCTGCAGTGCATGGATCCGCTGGAGTCTACAGGCACCAAATGAAATACAAAAGTCTAAATGTGCAAAAACAAGCTGGAGGGCATGTGTTCACTCCCCCAAAGATACACGTATAAACCTGTTTCCAAACATCCTTTTATGTGATATTTTATGTGGTACACTTTAAATGTAGGCACATTTTCATTCCTTGTATTGGTATTGAAAACCTAAGTGATTATTTTACCCACATTTGAGGTGTGAAGGAACCTTAGTTCATGAGGAGAATTAATGAGCCAGGGTGCGTTGTGCCCGGATTACCTTGTGTGAGGGACCGCCCTCTCCTCAGAGCAAATTCGGGAGGGAAAATGACTGACTCGGGACTCCGTTTTTCTGAACTTTTCCCCTGTGTTTTTCAGGTTAGTACTCTGTGAAATCCACACAATCATACCCTTACATCTAAACAGTGTTAAACTAAATTTAGCGCGAGTTTGAAGTGTGTTGTTGACGGACCTCAGCGTGTGACTTGGAAAGAGAGTAGCTTAGCGCGGGAAACGATTAGCATACAACCTGTGTAGTTTATAACCCTGCGATATATACACTCACCGGCCACTTTATTAGGTACACCTGTCCAACTGCTCGTTAACACTTAATTTCTAATCAGCCAATCACATGGCGGCAACTTAGTGCATTTAGGCATGTAGACATGGTCAAGACAATCTCCTGCAGTTCAAACCGAGCATCAGTATGGGGAAGAAAGGTGATTTGAGTGACTTTGAACGTGGCATGGTTGTTGGTGCCAGAAGGGCTGGTCTGAGTATTTCAGAAACTGCTGATCTACTGGGATTTTCACGCACAACCATCTCTAGGGTTTACAGAGAATGGTCCGAAAAAGAAAAAATATCCAGTGAGCGGCAGTTCTGTGGGCGGAAATGCCTTGTTGATGCCAGAGGTCAGAGGAGAATGGCCAGACTGGTTCGAGCTGATAGAAAGGCAACAGTGACTAAAATAACCACCCGTTACAACCAAGGTAGGCAGAAGAGCATCTCTGAACGCACAGTACGTCGAACTTTGAGGCAGATGGGCTACAGCAGCAGAAGACCACACCGGGTGCCACTCCTTTCAGCTAAGAACAGGAAACTGAGGCTACAATTTGCACAAGCTCATCGAAATTGGACAATAGAAGATTGGAAAAACGTTGCCTGGTCTGATGAGTCTCGATTTCTGCTGCGACATTCGGATGGTAGGGTCAGAATTTGGCGTCAACAACATGAAAGCATGGATCCATCCTGCCTTGTATCAACGGTTCAGGCTGGTGGTGGTGGTGTCATGGTGTGGGGAATATTTTCTTGGCACTCTTTGGGCCCCTTGGTACCAATTGAGCATCGTTGCAACGCCACAGCCTACCTGAGTATTGTTGCTGACCATGTCCATCCCTTTATGACCACAATGTACCCAACTTCTGATGGCTACTTTCAGCAGGATAATGCGCCATGTCATAAAGCTGGAATCATCTCAGACTGGTTTCTTGAACATGACAATGAGTTCACTGTACTCAAATGGCCTCCACAGTCACCAGATCTCAATCCAATAGAGCATCTTTAGGATGTGGTGGAACGGGAGATTCGCATCATGGATGTGCAGCCGACAAATCTGCGGCAACTGTGTGATGCCATCATGTCAATATGGACCAAGCTCTCTGAGGAATGCTTCCAGCACCTTGTTGAATCTATGCCACGAAGAATTGAGGCAGTTCTGAAGGCAAAAGGGGGTCCAACCCGTTACTAGCATGGTGTACCTAATAAAGTGGCCGGTGAGTGTATAACGATATTAAAAAATAGAGGAATTTTCACCAGATGACCAGAATAGCACTTTATGTTGTGCTGCTCTGCTGAAATCTTGAGGACAGTTAACCTGCACTGATCTAACCTGTCTTAGAGATGTTTTTATCTGGCTTTTATTGTGCTGGGACTTATACTCTTCCTTGTGGCACCGCCGACACAGAACAGGTGTATGGTGAGGTCATCCTTCTTGTAACCGAAATTCATCTTCAATGGTAAGTGACGTCGCTTTTATTTTTGTCGTTGATCTTAGGCGGCAAGTGACGTTGCTTTTCTTATTGTCAACGAGTATTAATCTTAGGCGTTAAGTGACGTTGCTTTTCTTTTGTTCGTTTCTCATTCTGCAATCGTTGATGTTGTGCCGGGTGTTCCGGTTTAACTGGTGATCATATTAACTGGTGAGATTTTGAACCAGATGTTGGCTGTTCCGCAGATTCGCCACAAAAGCCTCAGTCCGAACCGAACGGTCGCCGGCACTTTCAAGGAGAAAAACTCCGCAAACATCAGCGCTTTTCACATATATTGACAACCAGAGATCCCGACCAAACTGCCAACTCAAATAAGCACTAAAAAAAAAATGAAGATAAAAACATTACGATAAACACAGCTGGGCGTCGCAAGGAGGACTCGAACTCACAATGCAAATAAGAACTAACAACGAGGGGCGAGCGCGCTGCTGTAACGCCACGGATCAGCTTACTGAGCTCCTCGTGTACCTCATACTTGACATCCACTTTTTACAGGGTGTCACCACATAATCTGCTTCTATAGAGAAACACGCCCATATTAGCTGGTGACTCCAGAAGCCTGCCCGTGTTATATTGTGACGATTATCTCATAATACACACCATTTCTTCTTAAAAGTCTGCGACAGCGGTCACTCATGGGTGTATCGCAGTGCCTTTGTGTAAAGAGCCCATGTTAACTCGCGAGACGCATGTGTGATAAATTGTGAAGATCGACCATTAAACACTGGACTTTTTTTTTTAAAAAAAAAGAGTATTCATTAAAACTGCATGCAGGACAGAAATACTCCTTATCATGATCGCGATTCCCCACACAGTCAGAATGATGCCAATACTGGCAGTTTGTACATTCAATCTGAAAAGGAGAGCAAAGACAATCACAGCGGTTTTGGTCCTACAACAAATGTCGTCATATCCGATCAGAACCGAGGGGGTTTTATTGCCATTCTCGATGAACAGGATTCACAGACTTATACCGATCGTGCTTTTTCCAATGAAAAGTGATGCACTGCAACACGCCCATCAATGTGACCGCGGTCGTAGACTTTGCTAAAAAGATCCATGATTTAAATGATCACCGATGCTCACAATTTCTCAGGTGCTACTGCTGTCACCTGCTAACATGGGCGTGTTTCTCTACAGGAGCAGGTTATGTGGTGACACCTTGTAAACAGTGGATTACAAGTATGAGGTACACGAGCTGCTCAGTAAACCGATCTGTGGCGTTACAGCAGCGCGCTCGCCTCTCGTTGTTAGTTCTTATTTGCGTTGCGAGTTCGAGGACCAAAACCGCTGTGATTGTCTTTGCTCTCCTTTTCAGATTGAATGTACAAACTGCCAGTATTGGCATCATTCTGACTGTGTGGGGAATCCCGATTGCGATAAGGAGTATTTGTGTCCTGCGTGTAGTTTTAATCAATAATCGTTTTAAAAAAAGTCCAGTGTTTCGTGATCGATGTTCAAAATGTATCACACATGCGTCTCACGAGTTAACAAAGGCTCTTTACACTTGGTACACATGGTAGACATGGTACACTGCGATACGTCCATGAGTGACCGCTGTGGCAGACCTTTCAGAGGAAATGTTGTGTATTATGAGATGATCGTCACAATTGAACACGGACAGGCTACTGCTGTCACCACCTAATATGGGTGTGTTTCTCTACAGGAACAGATTATGTGGTGACACCCTGGAAACAGTGAATGACAAGTATGAGATACGCGAGGTGCTAAATAAGCCGATCTGTGGCGTTATGGCAGCGCGCTCACCCCACGATATTTGTTCTTATTAGCGTTTTGGGTTCGAGTCCTCCTTGCGACGTTCAGCTGTGTTTCTCACAATGTTTTTCTCTTTATTTTTTTGTGCTTCTTTGAGTGGATGACAGTAGATGACAAGTATGAGGTACAAGAGATGCTCAGTAAGCCGATCTGTGGCGTATATTTTTTGTGTCCAGTCTGACTGTCGTGTTGATTTGTGTCTAATTGTCAGGTAAACTAGAAGAAGGCTAAGCTGAGGTCAGGACACTGTGTGTTTCAATAGTAAGTGCGAGAGGTAAGTTGTGTTTGTGTGAAAGGTAAGTTACAGTAAGGCTGGTAGGTAAGATTCAGTTAAGTGAAAAGTAACAGGTAAGAAAAACAGGTAGGGCTGTTGATAGGGCTAAGTCTGTGAATCCTGTTGATCGCCAGTGGCAATAAAACCCCTTCTGATCTGATCGAATATGACTACATTTGTTGTAGGAACAAAACCGCTGTGATTGTCTTTGCTCTCCTTTTAAATTGAATGTACAAACTGCCAGTATTGGCATCATTCTGACTGTGTGGGGAATCCCGATTGCGATAAGGAGTATTTGTGTCCTGCGTGTAGTTTTAATCAATAATCGTTTTAAAAAAAGTCTAGTGTTTCGTGATCGATGTTCAAAATGTATCACACATGCGTCTCACGAGTTAACAAAGGCTCTTTACACTTGGTACACATGGTAGACATGGTACACTGCGATACGTCCATGAGTGACCGCTGTGGCAGACCTTTCAGAGGAAATGTTGTGTATTATGAGATGATCGTCACAATTGAACACGGAAAGGCTACTGCTGTCACCAGCTAATATGGGCGTGTTTCTCTACAGGAGCAGATTATGTGGTGACACCCTGGAAACAGTGAATGACAAGTATGAGATACGCGAGGTGCTGAGTAAGACGTTCTGTGGCGTTACGGCGGCGCGCTCACCCCTCGATACGTGTTCTTATTAGCGTTGTGGGTTCGAGTCCTCCTTACGACGTTCAGCTGTGTTTCTCACAATGTTTTTCTCTTTATTTTTTTTGTGCTTCTTTGAGTGGGCAGTTTGGTCGGGATCTCCGGTTGTCAATATATGTTAAAAGCACTGATGTTTGCGGAGATTTTCTCCTTGAAAGTGCCGGCGACCGTTCGGTCCGGACTGAGGCTTTTGTGGCGAATCTGCGGAACACTCAACATCTGGATCAGATTTACCTTAAATCTCACCAGTTAATATGATCACCAGTTAAACCGGAACACCGAGAAACACCGAGGATTGCATGTACCTCTCAAAAACGCGCACTGCTTATAGCAGAGTTGTCCACGGAAATGTACAATTTGAAACCCATACAGTTCTTAGTTGTGGGGCTAAACAGCGATGAATAATGTTCCCAAAGTAAGTAAGTAATTCTGAAAGTAGCGACTCACTCCATGTGCAGGCTACGTGCATGGGCGTGGTTTCCTCCTCTGATTTTGAATGACGGCTGGCAGGGTGGTCTGATTGGCAACTGAGTAAAGAATGAGTGTGATATGTGGAAAGATGCACAGCACATGCAGAGTCACATGCAGTTTATCTCAGTCAGCTACCCTTGAAATTAGATGAGTTCATTCACCTCAGACATCGCAGGCTCTGAAATGTCACTATTGCGCGCACATGCACATCGCGATGACGATGTGAAAAGAAGTGTTCCTGAGCCTTGTGGATTAAAACTCAACTGTTGTTTAGAATGAGAAATATTTCCTTTGCCGTATGTCTGATATTTTTGATAGAAGCAGTCTTATATTGCAGTAAGCAGTTTAAAGGGCAGGTTTACTGTTTTCCAGCACCCTGTTGATTTATATTAATTCGTCTGTCTTGTCTGATTTCATGAGACGAAGTTGTCTACAACAGAGTATTAATGCTGAAAAGTTGCATTCTGATATTAAAATGGGCCTTTAATGAATGTTATAAAGGGGAGAACCATATGGAGTGGACTTTGTTAAAGAAGCATATGGACATTCTCACTGTGGACATTCTAACAGACATTCATGCATTGAGGAACATATTACATGGTTTATATGTGTTTTTGGTATCGCAATAGAGAGCAAATTCAGGAAGAAAAATGAATGGATTGGGTCTCCATTTTTCAGAATTTTTCCTCTGTTTTTTCAGGAATAGAGAGGCGCTGAACCAAAAATCATTTGTTATGGTAAAATCCACCTGTGAAACCTGAAACACTTACACTAAACAGTTTTGCATGACAAAAGGATATACCCTGTAGCTGTTAGCATTCAGTTTTGATTGAGTTGTAGGATTTACTTCACTAATTATGGATCAACGTTTTATATGCTTGCAGAAAAAAAGGTTTAATGAAGTAATTTCTTCACATGGCAGTTTGTATAATCAATATGGGACTCACATAACGCTGCGAGCCAACAATCAAATGTTCTGTTTTCAAGGCCTGTAAAGCTTCATAGTCTGCATGTTTTTTATTGAGTAAAGATGACTGACATTTGGTTTAAATTTAGTAATACTGAATAGAAATTACTCACTGAGGTCCAGACTGCTGATCTGTTACATCACCTGCAGATGGTTCAGTCATTTGCTGCTAATCCACTGAACCTCTGATCACATGTCTCTGCAGAAATAATGACTAATGGATGGTTTACATGGCACAAAGCTCTCACACAAGAGCAGAAGGAAAGGTTTGGGAATAATCATGGACTGTATAAAACATGGACATTACTTTTCTGCATGTTTGCTGTAGTTTCATTCCTTTTCTCTCAGTGTAAACTACTAAACATGCAGTTTATTCTTAACTCTTATAGGTCGGTACATTTATGTCTGAGAATCTTTCACAAAAACAGGCCCTAAAAACCGCCCCTTCTTTGATTTCCAACTCTTTGTTTGCGGTCCCAGCGTCAGTCTCTCTCCGTTTCTTTGTTTTCCTTTGAAGCGAGTCGTTCTTTGCCACTGAGGCAACAGTTGTTTTCCTCTAAGGCGTCTGCTGTCTTTAAATAGGTACAGATCTTCATGTGGTTTACATATAAAACTGTCACGCCTAAATCTTGTTAAGCCACATGTGTTGGATCATTAACAAAAGCTTATTTTAGTGTAGACTTTGCTTCCTTCTCACAAAATAATCTTAAAAAAACAGATATCATTAAAATTTTGATTTAAAGCTGCTGATCCATCCTAAAACTATATTAGTTAATTTAATTTTTGCACGGCCGATTGTACTTTTTTAATTATAGAAATAGGTTTACTTTGCAAAATGACACTGAATTATAGTAAATCTGGAGCACTCCAAAGCACTGCATCAGATATGACAGACGTGACGGTCAATACCAAGGTGGGAGAGGAGCAACGTTTGTAACCTAGCAACAGTAATAGTGCTTTGAAATCGAGATAGGCGCTCAAAGTTTCCATTTACAGGGACATTTGAGGCTTTGGAGTATCCCTGGCATTAAATCACTTTGAATCACATGTTTATAGAGACAAATCCTGAAGTTATTAACACTTAAAAATGAAATAAGTAGACAAATAAATCAGCAGTGCAGCTGTAAACTCAAGTTAATGCTAATGTTACAGCTAGAAAAGGACTGAACTTGTGTGGTTGGACTCAGAGAGAAACTCACCATGTCTGAGAACTTGAGTCCTCTTGGCCGTCTGTGTCTCAGTGAGCGTCTGGCTGCTGCACCCAGATTCCTGAACTCTGCCAGCGAAGCAAAAGCTCAGCAGTACCTGCTTTTAATCAAATACTGAGGAAAGGATGGGATTTCTATGGAAGTCTTTCAGAATGTTACTTAGTAACACCGACTAGACGATGTAAAAGTCCAATAAGTGTAAGGAAGAAAATAGCTGAACCATTAGGGCCTGTTTCCACTGACACTTTTTTTTCTTTTTATACAATGAGCTTCTTTAGTGAAGGACTCAACAAAAAGAAAAAGTCAATTTTATATTAATATTTTATAGTTTTCACAGAGGCAGAAATCTCTGGTCTTGAGAAATAAAGATTGATAAACTGCAGTTCCTTTTGTGTCCACTTGAGGCTGGCTCCAAAAGTTAAGGAAGCCACACACACACCCATTCTAAAAGCATATTTATGAACTTAACAGCAGAAACAAACATGTTTATAGCCTGGTATGGAAACATTTTCGGTCTGTATGGCATTTTTTTTTCTCACACATTGTAGATATTAAGGTGATGACTTCTGCAGTAATAAGGGCATGACTGACTTGTTTGATGGGTGGGAACAGTGTAGCTGTTAGAGACAAAGCTGAAGCCCACCTTAAATGTACGTACTGTATTTTTTTCCTTTTTTTTTTTTTTTTTTTTTTGCTTGATTGACCTGAAGTAAATAAGACGGGACGTAGCCATTGCACTTGTCTTGAAACTTGGCCATGCCAGACACGTATCAGCGCCGTAAAGTGCCAGAAGCTGCTCACAGCCCACATCTTATTTGAATCTGTGGGACTTGGTGTTTCAGAAGAGGGCTGATTTTACAGATATTACTTTTAAATCACATCACTAATGGCCACCAGCTGTATCCGCAGAAGTTATGTGATACTAACAAAGAGTCCTATTTATCCCTGTGATTCGGGCTCTGATTTAAAAAGCATGGCCTTGAAAAAAAGCTTCAATAAACAGTAAATATCCTCTCATCCTCGGTCAACGCTTGTGCCAGACTCCGCCCACGCTCAGCGCCATTTGGGATTTGTTATCTGAGCTTTTCCTCCCTGCTACTGTCGGCATCTCACAGCGCTGAGCTGAGGAAGTAACTTTTCCAACAATCAGCAGAAGTTTACTTTTAGATTGACTCAGAGCAATGAAGTCATACAGTATGAGACGTCAGTGCAGAGGGCCGCCAAAGGAAGAGGGGGATGTCCGTTTCATAAAGGGGTTAGCATCACTTACTGAAATCTTAATTTTTAAAAACTTGATTGGGATTATTGCAGCACTAATAAATTTGTAAATTAAACATAATTGGCTTTAGACCAATCAGTGAGAAACATTGTTTTAGTGAGTGTCATCTGTAATCCTTCTCCTCTGTGTTTAGTCACTTACCTTGTTTTAAAACAAACTCAAAGCTTTGTGAATTGTTTTTATAGTTATATGACCGTAAAAGGAGCTTCTTCCTGGAAAAGGTCAGCTGTAATACAATGCAGTATGTCAGTGTAACCCATAATCAGTAAGAACTCCAGTGAGATGCTGCTACTAGAAACCAACCACATTGTGCTGCTTTGTGTAACAAAACCAGGGTGATACAGGGAGGTTTTTCAGATAATACAAGGCTTAAACAAAACCAGCATTTGGTGTTTTCAAGACCACCTAAACTGAGACCAAAACCAGAGTGAAACAAGAACAAATCAAGACCAAGATATCAGGGGACTGAAACTAAGACGAGCAGAGGCTGAGCACGCTGCAAAAACTCTTAACTGAGCGAGGGTTTTTGTCTTAATGTTTAAAATTGTGTTACCAGATCTTCATCAAGCCACATATTAAAAAAAAAAAACTTAGACCTGAATGGTTAAGGCACCATATTTTGTCCAAAAACCTCAGCTGTGGAAAGTTCTGTTGATCAGATGGGCACCTTTCCCTCACCTGTGGTTACAAACATAAAAAGTTCTCCATTGGAGTGTTTAGTGAAAGTTACAGGATCTAATCCTTATAAAAACTTTTTGGTCTTTTTCCTTCAATCTGAACTGTTTCTTTTTATTTCTAACCGTTGCACTAAATGTTTCCTGGAGAAGCTCAGCAGCTTTTTTTCTGCTTTCAGTTACTTTTCCGTTTACATAATACTCGTAGAAAGTTGCCAATTGAAGCCATGTGTTGCTGCCCAACGGCCGACATGTTGACTCATAAAATCTCAGAACAAGGAAATTGAATTTGGTTTATTTTTTATTTTTTTAGGTGCAAAAACAAAAAGTATGAGGTGATTCATAAAGTGACCTTGAGCTGTTTTTGTGTGATTATTTGCTTTGATTCAGAGAGCGGCGTTAATACTATAAGACATGGTTAGCTTAGCTTAGCATAAATCGTGCAGTCAGGGGGAAACAGCCAGCTGCCCGGTTCTGCTCAAAACACACCAACCACACAGCAGTAAAGCTGTCTTTTTTCATGTCCCAATACATAAACATGAACATGAAAATAATATTTGTGGTTCTGGGAGGAGTTATACATTGGAAAAATTTATAAGCACATAATAGCTAATACTTCAGCTCAGTGTTTCTGTGTGGCCTCTACAGCTAGAGCGGCTGGTTTGGTTCTGGTTTGAGTCTTTGTGCCAGATTCATATACGTTGTTTTATATCTGAACTTTCTACTTCAGTTTTTCTCTCTTTTCAGTTGCAGCTTCATGTATCAGACCGAGAAATAAAACCCCGCAATTAACTATCAGCCCTTCTCTAACCTGTCAAGTACCAGATGGCGATGTAGCCCTGTAAAGCCTCTCTGTTACTGAATCATACTTTGGCTTAAACTTTTTCCAACTCTTGTGTTTTCAGGGAGCTCAAGACCAAAATCGAAAAGGAGGACACCAAGAGAGAGCTGCTGGGCAACCAGACCAGCCTGACCGAGTCACACTGCATCCGATGTCTCGAACCCTTCAAGTTCCTGGTCAACAGCAGGCGTCAGTGTCTGGACTGCCAGCTCTACACCTGCAAGTCCTGCAGCCGCTTCAACAAGAAGGAGCAGGGCTGGGTGTGTGATCCCTGTCACATGGCCAGGTGGGAAATTACACATTTGAGACTCAAAAATGAGACCACAGAGTTGGCCAAAAACTGGAAAGTCTCACCAATAAAACAGCGGAGATCCAGTCGTATTTCTAACCTCGGCTAGGGAGCACATTTATGGCACATTTAAAACTTCCAAAACAGCAAAGAATTCAATGAGCTATGCAGTAAATTTTCAACCTGCACCCCAGCGCTGCCTGTGACTGCCTATTTTTCCATGCACAAAGTATTTTAGTTTTAGGTTTTAGCGAAAGGCTCAACATGCAGTTCAACTCTTCTTTTATTCCCTTTACATGCGGACATGCACGCTTTAATTACCTCCCCATTTTAAAGGTTAATGCGTCTTTTTGCACACATCCAAAAACCTTTCGTTTAAGCGCTTTAAAAAGAGTTTATCATACCAGAAAGACATGTATGCACGTCTTTTATGCATGCATCTGCAGACTGTTGAACGTGTGTTTCCAATCATCATCAAGAAAACCTGTTGACACTCATTTTCATCATATCATCCCATGTTTTTTTATCAGAACATGATCTAATGGGGATAATCTGGTCGTTGGGATTCTAGAGGGACATTACTTTTCTTTATTACACACTGACTAACAAGTCTGAAGCAACAGACGTTTTTGCAAGTGAAGCTGCTCCTCAAATCCGTGGGGTGTAGTTCAGGGTTCAGATCATATCCGTCACATCTAGCCTGCGCCACTAATTTGATTTCCTGCAATAAAAGCGTTTAATCCTCGTGAAAACACTTGGTTTCCAAGTGAAGACTGTTTTGTAGAGTGCTGTGTCACCATGGTGAAGTGTCCTGTTTCAGATCAGATCACACAAAGTAACTCGATTAAATTATTCAAACTAAGTCGTGTATCATGCATCTACACAATCATACAGCATATCACTGAGCAGCAGGAGTTCAGTCAGTAGGATGTGGGACCAGAGAGAAACAGGATCAGGTCCTGTAAGGGACCAGAGTAAAGTTTACAGGAGAGTTGCCAGTTTACTTTGAGGGCAGGGTGCTCTTGGGCATCTGCCAGCTGCACAGGGTGCCCAGTGGTGTGCAGACTCCTCCCTCTGACGTCCTCCATCTTATTTGATCCGCTCTGAACAAACTGAAAATCACACCTTAGGTGCAAACAGTCGCTGCTGCTTCACTTATTTTATTCGTTTGATGACTCAAAACAGTCACTACTCAGCGTCTGTGAGTATCAAAGGACTAAAGTAATACATTTGTTGGCTCATCAGCACCTGATGGCTAACAGATGTCAGCTTGGTTTGACTAATGTTGATTTCCTTCAGTCAAGTACTCTACTGGTCCCTGTGGTCCGCAGAAACCCATATGCCGTGAGCAGTCGGGGGTTCGTTGTGTCTGTTTTTCCAGCACGCTCTGACAGCACATGCAGCGTTGACTGACGTTTTGGCGTTTTTCATTGACACTGCTGAAACGTCCTTTTCTACTCGAGCTTTACTGGATGCAGCATTAGCATTACAAGCAGGCAGATCGGTCCAGCTCCATATGTTACCATTACACTGTTATTTGATCAGATGAGGCTCGGCGACGGAAGGTCTCTCTCTCTGAACTCTGCGAATCATGAAAAACATGCAGAATATTTTGGTCATTGCATCAGTCAGGAGTGTCTTAATTACACTTTTTGTGACCAAGGAGGAACGTTTAGTAAATGTTCAACAGATTTTTAGTCCCTGGAGTGTTTTCTGTAATTACAGGAGATTAATCCATGTATATAGTCATTACAGTGACTGTTAATAAGAGGTGAGAAAAGCCTCTTTAGATTCAATGAGTGTCTGTAACATCCATTTCTTCCCATGGCTTCTCTGGTTGCACACAGTACAAAACATGGGTGTAGTCTTAATGCTGTCACTCATTGGTTTCTACTGGGATGGTCTCAGCACAGTGTTGCCTCAACCTAAATTTCAGTCAGTGTAGACTTCCTGACAACCAGCTAGATCATGCAAATCATCTGTATCCACAATCATGTATATTATAAAGTATATTTCTTATCTTTTATGATACATTATAAAAGATTTCACCCCCATGCAGTGTGTGCCAGTAAAGAAAAGACTTTATAGGTGATTGAAAACAAGCTGTAAATATGTTCATTTCAGCTGCAATGTGCATTTTAACACGAGACCTTATGAAGGTCCCTCAGCCTCTGAAGCCGGTCTAAAGAGCTGCACTTCTGCATGACTCTGTAACCCTGAAAACTGGTGTGGTGGTGTACAAGAGAACAAAGTAATGTACACATGAAGGGGTGTTTTATATTGAACTGCCAGCTTTCTTTATTTGAATGTACGCATCACAAGAAAAAAACACGTGGATGTTTCAACACATAAATTGGCCGAATGGGGAATCTTTAGCTTTTGCAACCAGCCTCAAGTGGTCACCGTATGAACTACATGTTTTTGCACAACTATCAGCTTCATTTATTGTTTTACCTCTGGAAGCTGCTCACTGCTGAATCCAAACATATAAAGATATATTTTAAAATTTATCATCTTTATTGATTAGTTACTTTCCTTCTCAGTTTAGTGTCAAGTATGCAAGAGACATTTTGTCCAAGGCAACATAATACATTAACAAACACTTCTCATGATTTGATCAACATGAGTAACTTTACATTTGCCAAAAAAGTCAAACTCAAGGCCTGAAAATGACAGTAAACAAATTCACATGTTGGATAACAGAGACTTCTTGCGCGTTGTATGTTAAGTAAACATCAGCATCTTGTCCTTTCTTTCTTTAACAGGGTCCTAAAGATCGGCACACTGGAGTGGTACCATGAAAATGTCCGCGCTCGCTTCAAGCGCTTCGGCAGCGCCAAAGTGATGAGATCGCTGTTTAAAAGGTTGAGTGGAGAAAGCGGCGGCTCTCAACACGACCTGGAGGGTGAGTGATTCAGTTTCAGCTCCTTTCTGCTCAGTGAAAAGGTCTTTGTAAGCTGATTTCTGTTCCTGAAATAAATGTGATGTTGGGTCCCAAATTTCCCGACATAATTCTCACTTTTATAGTCATTTTAGTCCTGGATTGTAAGTCACTGAGTAGAATGAAACTCTGTCCCGATGGCCTCTCTTGGAGGAGACTAACCGAGCGCTGACTGGTTGAGGTTTCTCCGTGTTAAACGGACGGAAAGCTGAGATTTTGTTGACAGCTGCCAAGAGGGAATGTCTATGAGTGTGAACGTGTGCGAACCAAAGGTTACAAATGTGGCAGGATGTCAGGTCTCAGGTTGACGTTTCTTTGAAGGGGTGACCTTAACAAATTTCCATCTGTTACACTCATTTTTTTTTAAAAGCCCTCAGGAGGGGCTGCGGGTCAGAAGTTTAGTCTGCAGAGCACTGCTGAAAAGTCTGCTCGGGCTTACCATAAGAAATCCCCAATAAATGAAAGGATTCAAAGAGGTTCGACAGCTGCGGACCGTACTGTAACTGCACGGAAAATATGAATCGGCCAATTGAATCCCTCTCTGGTGACCGATAATTGCTAAAACATCTCCATGACAAGTGTATCCTATATGGGAAAAGGGTCCATTTTCGAGTTCAGATCCAGAAGTTGGAACAGTTTTTTGTGAAGCCCACATAATCCCAAATTATGATGCATGTTTGTGTGAGTAGCGTGGACATTATAACTCTGAACACCATGCAACTGCTCTGGAACAAACTAAATGTCAACCCAGTGAAGCATGAGACTTGAGACCTTTTCCCAACAATGACAAAAAGACAGCATCTCGGTCCATAGTGTGCTCTGAGCATGCATGTGCAGGTGTTAACAGGCACACATAAAACAGGATCTGGTTCCCATCCAAAACAGCAGCAACACATGGAAAGCTGATAATGACGTCACTCACTGCAAGTCTGCACCAGGAGTCACAAAGTGCACACGAGCTAGACCATCGAGCTTTTATCGGTGTGTGCACGGTTATTTTGAAATTCTGTGAAAATTTACATCCAATTCTTAAATTCTAAAACCGCTTACAGGTCAACGACTTTTCTGAAATACTTTATCTGAATCCAGCTGAGAAGTACGATCCTTTATTTGTCAAACATTCGTGTATATCTACGTTTATGATCTGGGTTTACGACCGCTGCCATGGCTGCATTTGTTGTTCTTCCTTATTCAGTCAGCTCGCATCCTAATTTGCTAATATTTTATATTTTGTGATAGTGTTGGGCGGTATGAACAAAATCTTATATCACGGTGTGAGTAATTTTATATCACGGTAAAATTACTGCCAAGCTCTTTTTTTTGTATGAGAGGAGCTGCTGCAGCTTTAGTTTTTGGTGCAGCAGGTGCGTCACGCATCTTTTGGCTCTCATAATAGAGTTTGGCGTGTTTCATCTTTAGGAGGTGGAAGAGGTTGTTGGTGTAAGGACAGCCACACGACACTCTTTGCATATTATTGTTTTTTCATCATTGTCGGATTTTCTAAATCCGAAGAATCTCCAGACAACTGATGTCGTGACTCGCGCCCTTCTTCAGAACGAGTTCCTCCTCCTCTTCCTCGTGTTGGGTGGGTTGGGCTGCCTCCGTTTGCTCGGTACTGCCACTAATCTCCGCGTCCGCCATGACCACCACCAGTTAAGCTGTTTCCTCCTCATCGAAACTTTGGCACGACACGCTGGTGAATCTATGGAAACGCACCCAAACAGATGCGCGCCGACTTTCATGTTAGCGAGCGCAGACAACGACACACTGACTCAGAGAGACACAGCAGATATCTGATCTCTCTTTCCAGTAAAAACAGTACAGCAAATTTCTACCGGTAGTAGGCCTGGACGATATAGAAAAAAAGCATATCGATAAAAAATAAATCATATTGATCGATATCGATAATTATCGATATAATTATTATGATTATTTGACATATATTTTAATTGCAGCCCTGGATGTTTTATGCTATTGCTTAATGACCTACTTTTAATAAAGAACACACAAGCACTGAATTCAAATTCAAACCTTTATTCAACCACCTTTTTTATTTTACCACAACTGAAAGTTTTTTAAAAAAGAACTAAAAAAAAAAAGAAATCAACTTAAGTGGCCTGAGTGACGTCAGTAAATACTGACAAACATAAAGACTAAAGTGACCAGAAAATCTGATAAATAAATATTTAAATAGTCTTTTGATGAAAATAAACAAAACAAACAAATATATAAATAAACAGAATAGCTTTAGGTGGGAATAGCATACTACCAGTTTTAACTGTGTGGGAAACTGCCCACAGCCTGGTGTCTGAACACTGAAATATTTCTCCCGGGGTCGGGAGGTTTATTTTTTTGAAATATCATGTGATTGACTTAATACACAAACTAAGCACGAGAAGCAGGACTTATCCACGCCGGTGTTGTGTCGTAGAATGCACCCCTGCCGAATGCACCCCCTGCTAGTAGCCATGATCCAAATACTCGCGTCTTTGTAAAATATGAGCTCATTTTCTTCCACTTTAAGAAGCTAATGAGTGGACGGGATGCAGGGGTGCACTCTACGGCAAACACCGGAACGTATTTCCTCCCTTCTCACCTTTTCAACCCCTGACCCATTTTAATGCCTGAAGCGCTGTGTTTGAGAAATACTTACGGCCGGGCACTTCATATCGCGGGTCGAGAGTGGCTAAAAGCTGGTCGAAGCCAGGCTTTTCAACGGTAGTTATTGGCAGTATGTCCCTCGCTATGAAGCATGTTACTGCATGGGTGATGTCCTTATGCCGCTCGGACGCTTTGTCGTATTTTGGCAAGAAACGAAGTCCAGTTTGGTCTGCTTCACATGCTTTGTGCTGGTGCTGGCAGCGGTTCCTCCGACGATGACGTGGAGCTGCGGCGCGGCCGACACAGCTCCTACTCCTGTGGGTGCGATCGGTTTAGATGGTAAAACAAGACTTGGTTTTTACTAATTCTCTGCAAATTTTGCAAACGACCGCTGTTCGCTTTTTGTCAGACTTCTAAAAACCAAAACATTGCCATGCTGGTGAACTACTGAAACCTTTTTTCGGGACAATGTCCTCCGCTTCTCCTTGCTGTATAATTTTTTCTAATGCACGTGCTGTCTGTTGTGGTTTGAGAGGGGCTGGGCTTGGTGCCGTAGCGTACCTGGGTCTGCGTTTGTGATTGGTTGGGAGGAAGTAATGACTGTAGTAAAAGCTACATGATAGGCTATGATGAAAAAGAAAGGGAAACTGTGTTTTTCTATCGAACTTTTTATCGACCCGTTTTTTTTCTATCGCACCACACGTCTATCGATCGATATATATTGTTATCGAATTATCGTCCAGCACTAACCGGTAGGCACTTTTATACCGCCCAACACTACTTTGTGACAACAGACAGACCATCTTTGGACTTCTTTAGGTGCCGCTGAGTTCAAACTCTTTGTGTAAATGCAGCAAAAGTCCTGCGTTTTCAGTCTAACTGTAAATGTGTAGTTGTAGTTGTCTTCCTCTCATATGTCAGCCACCTGTCGATCAGAGCCTCCATTTCTGTGACATTGAGTCACAAGAATTAAGTTTCCTTTCTCTTTTTCGGATAGGAAGCAGTTATCAGTCTGCCAAATCTGTCACAGGGATTTAATCTCCTCCATCTTTCCTGTTTTTCCAGCTCTGGCTCCTCACAGCTGTGCCGACTGCTGTCACAGACTATACTATCTCTGGCCGTGTCATCCAGTGCTCACTTTCAGCTCTTAACTCAGTCTTGTTGTCGGACACTTTAACAGCCTTCTTGACCTTTTTAGACGGTTATAACCAGAAGTATTAACACGCTAAAGATCCTGTTTATATTTGCTGCTGGTGTTTACAGTCTGATCCAGTGACGGCACGAGGCTTTATCAAAACCTTTCCACCACCTTTCCTCTCTTTTTGAAGTCGCTCACACGGCATCACCGATATCTTCCGGCCCCACCCAGAGCGTTCCAAACCAGTGCCCTTGAAGCATGGACTTATTATACGCAGCAGGTCTCTGAGTGAGCTCATAGCATCAGGAGATCAATGAATTATGAGCAGACAGCCAAGACTCCTGGTACTACTTACGCTGAGTCACCCTGGAGGATTTTGGGAAAGGATACGGAGTGAGTTGGCTTAGCCTGGCGGGCCTTGTGATCATCCAGTCACATGTCTCCTATTCTGTGCCTGGAATTGAAAGCGAGAGAGAGAGAAGGAGAGAAAGACAGAAAGAGGAGGGAGAAGAGAAACTTTTGTTCTCCGCGCATTAATGAGGAATAAAGCTAACAGCGTGTGCGCAGATGTGTGCTGCATGAAGCAAACGCATCATAAATATGCGTGTTAACAGATGACATGATTAGCATCTCATCACATGCAGACGTTCATGTGACCACCTGGATTAGATTCAACATGCATGACTGTACTCTCTCTCTCTCTCTCTCTCTCTCTCTTTCTCTCTCTCCTTCACACAAACACACACACACACACACATTCTTCTGCTGCCTCTTACTCTTACTGTATGTGTGCTGCAGTGGTCCGCTGGGCCCCCAAAGCTCAGAGGGTGTCATACTTCGTCTCCGATGTCTTTGTGCTTTTGAGGAAACGTGCACAAAAAGACTCATTATTCTGAGTTTTGCACAAGTAGGTGTTTAACTTTTGCAACTGTTGTTTTATCGAGACCGAAAATTATCATAATTTGCAGAGCTAATGATTAGACTAATGCATGGAGAGACTGCACAACTCCACCTCATTCATTCTTATTGTAGAAAGAGAGTAAGAGTGAGAAGGGAGTTTCAACAACCAGGTCACGTCCAACAACAACAACTTTGATGAAATTTAATAAAGAACAACTTAAAAAAAAAGGAGTCATGTTTTTCTTATTTTTCTGCCTCATGATTCACCAGACTAAACTGACTGATTTATACAAACCACGAGGAGAAGTCAACTCTTACCAGATCTGGTTCTGAACAGAGTTAGAAACTGTCTCAGCTTCAGGTCGAGTTCTATGTCCTCTGCTTTTTTGTAAACTTTTTTATCAACATCATGTCACAAGAAAGCAGCAACCTCCAGTTTTGAGGAATGAAGCCTCTTGAGGGTGATGGGGAAAGCGCTGGAAACCACAAACAGATTAAACCAAGAAAAAAAAAAGTCTATTTTTTAGAGCAAAAGTAAACAAGTTTGCAGCCTAATTCAAAATCTGGTTTTGGGCTCAAGAGCTCAGAACTCCCACCGTACAGGGACCGAGTTTTTCATAAGTCTTTCCTAAGGTTAGAGATTGGCCAATTAGCGACACGGCTGACTTGACTGACAGATGGGAACACTTAAGCTTTCTGCACGGAGGTTAAAGTCCCGCCTCTGATTGAGGTTGAGTCAGCATTTCCAATATGGTCACTACTGCTTTAAGCTTCAAAACCCTTCCTCTCAAACAAGGAGGAAATGCTACAGATGCTACACCCAGTTATGAGACATCGTAGGGCTGGGCAATATGTCCTTAAATCAGTATCATGATATATTGATCAGGTCACCATGATAACTACTCCACAAGCTGCTCACCCCCTCCCACATTAACTGTCTTTCCCTCTTTGTTACAGACTGGATGGGGTGGAGTCACGTCTCTGACGTAGGACAGCGTCTTATAGTTACATGAGACCATAGCCTACCTACACACATCCAAAACCAACTTTTATTTATTTATTTTTTTAACTCTGAATATATTGACATGGGCTAAATGACGTCGGTTATTGTTGTAAAATTTCAGTATTGGTTTTTGGTTTATCGCCCGGCCCTATCGTAAGGTTAGAGATTGGCGAATCAGCGGCATGGCTGACTTGACTGACAAATGGGAACACTTTCACTTTCTGCAAGGAGGTTAAAGTCCCGCCTCTGATAGATTGACCAAAAGATAAGTTGAGTCAGCATTTCCAATATGGCGACTACTGCTTTAAGCTTCGAAACCCTGCCTCTAGGAGATCTCAGCGATGCTAAAATCCCAGTTATGATGTATAGTCTCATCACCAAATACGCTTCACGGTGTGTCTTTAGCTGGTTTGCGAGGTCAGAGGCTGAGACGGTTTGTCGATGATGGATGTTGATGTTGAATAAAAGTGGTTAGCTTTTGTTGTAACATTCTTCCTGCTAAGTCTTCACACACCTGTCAGTCTTCATTTGAAATCTAATATCGCTGCTCTGACTCTGACAGGCGTTTACATGCATTTTCCAACTCAGAAGCTTGTTTCCCTTCCGTGTTTGACACCACATTCATGATTCGTCTGTCAGTGGGCCCATCACCCCAGAGGCCCTAAAGGTCCATTAAAGCCCATGTTGTTGTTGTCATGGCGAGGGCTCTATATACTCCTTTAAGACTTAATCCCGCCGTGTGTGTGGTCTTCCTCTGATCCACGTTGCGGCCTATTAATGTTAAATACCGAGTGTGCAGCCTCCTAACAGCAACACTGAGTCACAGCCTTTGCGATTGTTCATTTAAAGCACAATACAGCGACTCGGGGTCGTTTGACATCAATGCTTCGTGTTGAATTTTCCCATTAGAGCACTAAAAAGGTCCGTGTAGACCTTTCAGTTTTTGGATGTCTCTCACAACGGGTACAGCGGTTTGGGAACAGACCAAAATGTTCTGGTTTGGTTGGCACAGTCTGAGCTCCCTGGGCTTTTATTCACATTGGCAAATCAAGAGTCGGGGAGCGGAGCCAGGATTCAGCCGAGTTGGTGGAAACTTTGAGCGTCATAATGAAACCGTTAACGTTGTTACGGGTTGTGCAGCAGCGTTATTAGCCGTGTTAATCATGCTTTCATGTATTAATCTTGTTATTTTATCAGTATATTCTCGAACATCTCTTTGAGTGATGTGGAAAATGTCAATGTCAGTTTGGTCATTTTGGTCATTTTCCTGCAGAAACCTTCAACTTTCTCTCTTTTTCTATTAATCTGGGAAGCTCGTCTCAAACATTTGCTTCTTCCTGCAGCTTCCAGTCTTTTTTTTTCTCTCTCCTCTGACTGTATTCAAGAGGGAACTGCTAAGTAGAAATGCAACTTAGTCATAAACGCTCTCATAAACTGGAGCTGAAAACACACAGTGTTCCTTTCACTGTTGCTCTGCCAGGACAAACACACAAAAAAAGGATTTACTGCAGGATGTACAGTGTGCATTTTGCTGCAAACAAGTGAGATTAGTTTGCGTCATGATTTGCACGCAAAAGGTTGATGCATTTATGTCTTTTTTTTATCCACAGATGGATACGAGGAGCACAGCATGGACGCTGCAGATTCACAGAACTACAAAGGGGTGCGTGCTCCAACTGTACTCCTTTCTTCTGCTCGAACAACACGCTGTTCTCCTCCGTGTTTATTCTTTCTTACTAATTGCTCGATTCTTGTTTGCTCGCCGGGAGCATTAAATAAACAGGCATCGCGCAGCTATTCGGTCGGCACTTAAGTTTTAGAGAGTTTGTGGTCAGCAGAAAACATTCCTTTGATATGCATCATAAAACAGGAAACTGATACCGATGTGCACTGAGACAACACAACACAACACGGCCTCAGTGATTACAGAGATAATTAATGTTGAGACTCGAGTGGAAACACAAAGGACAGCATTGATTTCACTCACTGAGCTCTTCCTTCTTCCTTATTTAAAAGGTCGGATACTTCATTTGTGAATGTAGAACTGAAACTCTAACACACCTCAGCAGATAGACCTCCTTAAAACACTCTAAGATAAAGCTATGATTGATCTTAATGTCCAGCAGCCGCCAAGTTCTTATTTCTAACTCATTATTAATGGAGCTAATGGTCCACTCAGACTTTAAAGTATGAAGTGAACGAAGTATTTCTGTTATCAGGCCTGAAACCGTCCTCTAGATGACTGATTGTACACGGTGAAGTGAGCACGAGCGCCTGCTTTAAGGGTCGAAGTATCTATTTAAAAAAAGAAGACAAATGAAGACTTGGAGCAGAACTTTCCTGGTCCATATCGGTCCTGAGACTCTTGTTGTATCGTGAAATTAATAATAACATTAAATCTCTACTGCTTTGGCAACAAACACAGTTTTCATCCAGTTGAAAAGCCGGTTCTGGCTCCTCTACGTACAACAGCTGCATCAGTCATTTAAAACCCGACACGTCAGTTTCTCAGATTCTCTCTAGCTGTCATTTGGATCCTAAAATGTGGTTCAAAACTGAGAACATTTGAAGCCTTAAAACGGCCAAACTGTCTCACTTCACAGACCACATGTTTCTAAACTCAGTGAATCATGACAGACTGGAGATGTCTGGTCCTGCCCGAGGTTTCTGCCTTTTAGAAACAGGGTGACCATTCGTCCTCTTTTACCCGGACATGTCCTCTCTTTGGGGGGCTGTCTGATCTGTCCAGGGGGAGTTTATAAAATCCTTTAAATGTCTGGCGCTTTGGATGGAAGTTTTGAGTTTGTGTAGCGTTGACCTACTGAGTTAGAAGCGCTTAAAAAACACTCGACCCGACCCGAAAAACCCTCAAAAGTTTGTGTGTGACTTACCCCCATAGCGGTGTCCTCTTTTTGGGGATTCAGAATATGGTCGCCCTAGTTAGAAGAAGTTTTTCTGAACAATCGCAGACTAAACTTCTGCAGATCTGCAAATTGACTCAACACAAAAGACCTCACAGTCCAGACATGGTCTGTTCATAAAGTGTTTACCAAGATTGATCCAAAATACACAGAAACAGATTGGTTAATTGTTTGATGAATATTAACATTGACTCACACTTTTGTACAAATCCTATTGGATGTTTAGTTATTGCAACTACTGACTCAGCTGCTTTGAAAGACTTATTCAGGTGAGGAGGCAACTGGGGTCACTGTCTTGTGCAGAGGTTACATGAGTTTCTATAAGCGAATGTCGTTTTTCTGCTTCTAAATCTGTCATAATTTTAACCTAAAATGAGAAAAACAGCACAGCAGCAACATTTAAGTCTTACTCTTTCAAAGTCTTGAAAGACAATTTCGTCCAAATCCACAATTAAAAGAGATTTCCTCATTGAAATCTTCAACACAGCCTGATTAGTTGATTCCAATGTCCTGACAGCCAATCACAGTCCAGGATTCCGTTGCTGCACTTAAAGTAGGCAAACAGATTTCAAGGAGGACCCACACACCGCCGCTCTGGATCCTCCCCTGAAAAGTAGAACACAATAATGGAGTCATGCACAAAATTTGAGATGGTATGATTAAAAAAGAGGAAGTCTACATCCTCGTGATGAAGACCTAATCTGATCAGAGAATATTTGATTTCTCTTCACTTACGAATCCAGCCATTCGCTAAAGTCACATTTTTCTTTTGCTGTTTGAAGTCACAGACCTAAAACACTTTCAGATCTGCATGTGTGTGTTTTTTTTTTTTAAACATCAGAGACTCAGCTGCTGTGTTCAGCTCTGATCTTTGTCAGCGCAGCCCAGTCCTTCCTCTGCTGAAAGGCCGAGGTGTTTCCTACACCAGTTATCTCTGTGATGTAGACCAGCCCCAAACAGCAGCTGGAATGCTTTGACAGCTCATGAAGACAAAGGTTAGGCCCAGGCAGTGGTGTATTGTGGGTAAATACCACGCTGTCGTACGTAGTGCACATGAAAGAGGGAGAGTCAGAGTTGAAAGAGTCGAGTTTCTGGTTTAGGTCCAGATATCGTAAAAGAGCAGCTCAGAGTCCGCTGGAACTCATCATAAAACCAAAAACTGCGATTGTTTACACCACAGGCTGCGTGTAAATGTGGGAGCTAAACTTTGTTTATGTTCAATCACTGCAGAGGGAAGAGAGCTTGACAGGAGTCCCGGGCTCTGCTGGGTCTCTGGATTCTCCTTCTGTGTCTCACCGCCGAGCTCAGATTTAGATTTTATTTAGATATAATATGACCGGACCTCTGATGGATGATAAGACAAGACAGAATGGGAGGAGGCCAAGTCCGGCTCCCTGCCTCTTGTACTTGACTTTGACTTAGACAGAGTGCCCCCTACTGTTTAAAACAGAGTACTGCACTTTGAAACTCCTCCCTGATGAGTGTGAGGGGAACTTTCCGGTGCTTTTAATCTGACAGTAAGGGACATTTTGGAGACAATAGGGATTAGGCATCATTGGAAAAAAAAAAACAGTCTTTCAAGGCCACATTATGGAGCAGTAAAGTTGACTCTCAGCTCTGTGCATCTGTTTTTCTGAAAATGTATGTTCCCATAAAAGTATGAGCTGCTCATTCTGGACCTCCGTTAAGTTTGAAGCACGCTCAAAGCAGATTTCTGACCCTCTCTCCACGTTGGTCCACATTTTTTCCCTTATATATACAAATAGAGAATCCAGCTTTGACATGCAAGTGAACATGTTTGAAATGTAGACGGTTTGTACATGTATGGTTTTAGCACAGTTACAGTTACAGATGCTGATGTTCCTGCAGAAAATGCTTTAAAACTTTACTAATACCTCTAAAAACAAACACAAACATTCAACCTCTAAATGCAGTGATTGGAAAATACAATCTCAAATTAAACTTGAATGAAAATGTGCAGAAAGTAAACAATAAAAGTCTAATATTTTAATGTAGATGTGTGTGCACAGTTCAATTAGCATCTGCAGATAAGATGATATTCTGTGTGCATCACAATATCATGATCAAATGGCCCTGTTGGAACAAGTTGTAACTTTGTGTGCACCGGATATTATCATCATATTGTGTGCACAAAATAATTATCTTAGTTTTCTTATGAACATTATTTTCTGTCGGGCCTCGTCATCATTTCTCACAGTTTTTAAAATACAGATTTATTTTAATTAGATGATAACTTGTGTCTAGAATTTATCATCTTGTCTCTGTGCTTTGAAACACCTTTATTTCGGCTGTCATATTTCACACGTGTCCTTGCCTCCTCTCCTCCTCTCCTCTTGGGTTTCACTTTTTACCAGTTTTTATTTCGATCATCATTTTCACCCCTTTACTCTCTCCTCTCTCTCTGATGGTGATGGTGTCTCCCTCTCTACTCTCTGAAGATGAAAAAGGCCAAAAGGCGACTTCCTGTTGATCCCTTTGACTTTGAGCTGGGTCACAAATACCACACAGACTCCAGAAGAAGGTCCAAACAGGTAAAGACCGGAAAACACGAGACCAGATTTCCAAAAGCTCCTCTGTCTGCTTCTTCTGTTTTCCTGTCTTTGGAAAATTGTCTTTGTCTGGTTTGGCGAGTCATCATTATCGTTGTATCCGGCCGCAGTTAATTCACGTGTTACATCCAAATGTGCACACTCGTGGTCAGCTCATTAACTCTAATCTAACCCAAAATGTTCCTCTCTGTCCTTCCTTTACCTCTCTCTCTCTCTTCTACTTCATCAGGCCCAGGTCTCCCACGACATCATGGACATGGATGAAGCTGTGAGGGAGTCCAGGCTCGCCGAGGCTGACATGGCGTCCGTCTTCCACCAGATCTTGGTCGAGCAGCGCAGAGAGCTGGAGCTCGGGATGACTCAGAGACAAGGTACACAAGGAGGAAAACACGCCTCACCTGTGGTCACCTGTGTTCACTGTGAGCGTGTTTTATCTCTGTATCCTGCACTGACTAACAGCTTTAACCTCTGATTTGTTTACACTGGCATGACGGGGATTTATTCAGTCTACATACAGTCACCTCCAACTGAATTACAATAATTGGAGAGGTGCGGTTTTCTCACATTCAGACTGAAACAGGCAGCACTTCATGATCTCAACACTTGTTTTTACCCTATTTAGCTTATTAGATCACTAAATTTAGCTAACCTGTTTATCTTCCTTCAATTGGATTCAGAGTGCAGTGACACAGATTCAAGGTTAGCAAACACGGAAAACAAAATACAGCAAAATTCATTCACACACAGAGGCAGCATGCATCAGGCAGAAAGACTCGTATCTTTCTGACTATTCAGAATTAATGAAGCAGGTAGATCCTGTTTTAGTGCAAAAACAGTTTGTTTTTATATCTCTGGTGTGAGGTAAAGATATGAGGAAGAAAACATGTACTTTTGTCTCCAGATCTGATCAAACCAGCAGGCTCTACTTCTCGATAAAGAGGACCAAGCCTGTTTGCGTATTTGTTTCATATCTCTTAAAAGAAAGTTTAAGCACAAAAACTCAGCAGAGGTATGAGAAGATGATGGGCCACATAAAAGTTAATGTGGGTCAATGTTTTGTTCATTATTTCTAGATGATCTTGCAGACAACAGAACGATTCCTTCTCGCTCCATCTCGCGGCTCAGTCACTCCTCATGCGGCAGCGGCAGCGCTTGGGGTCCCAGAGACAGCAGCAGCAGCTACCTGCCCAACCTGGACGACTCTGAAGAGGAGGAAGAGGAGGAGCACTGCCAGTCCTTCCCTCTGTACCAGTCTCACCTGGGCAGCCACACCTCCCAGGAGAGCCTGAACTCCTCCCACCCTCAGCCTCAGGTAGAAAATACAGATCTTACTCTTCTCTTTAACATGCTAAAACATCGGTGAGAAACTTTGTATGCACACGTAACACCGTTTTGGGGTTGGTTTAAGTCAGTGGCGCTCAATGAAAGTGATCCAGGGTTGAATGAATCCCTCTCCATACAAACTATTTCAGGATACTTGCATGAAGAGCTTCAGTAAAACACTGAGAACTCTCACGTGTTGACATGACTGACGTGTTTGTTAAACTGATACAGAGGCCTGAGTGTCATTATCGTTGTGCATGTGACCAACAGCTGATCAGAAATGATGGAGATCTGCTGCAGACTTGAGTCGACCTTTTGCTTCCTGACTTTAATCATCTTCACTGACAGTAAAACAACTCTGTGGTTTTCTGCTCCGCTCCAGTATTTTCTCTTTGGCTGAGGTTAAAGTCAATAAAAGTCTTTTTGTACGCAGGATAATCTTGAGGCTTTAGAAATTATTATGATGCCATTTGTAGCCTGTTAAAAGCTGCTTTGACTCGCTGAGGGGATGTGAGTCCTGTGGCTCCACCAGCCCATTATGTCAGCGCCCACGAGGCGGTGCTTTGGCGTCTCTTCTCACAATGGGAGGAAATGGAGGCGTGCCAACATTATTAATAAACTCTGCTGTCGCTTATACCAGTGTGAGGAAAAAAAAAAAAACAGGCAGGATCACAAACCGGGCTTTTCTTTACTATTCTAACTACGACTAATAACATCTGACTGAAGAGTCCAGCTTTGATTCTGCTGTAACATCGAGCTGGAAGGAATTTGCTTCATAAAAACGAGCAGTAAAGAGTCAGAAAACGCTGTAAAAGGATGACTATGATTTATTTTGGCTGCAGTGTAAAGGAAAGAGAAATGAGAGACAGCATATAAAAACTGTATGACGTGCACAAGAAGACCCTTATTCTACACATACAGAATGGACCCAAATACAAGGAGGACTGTCTTATAGTCAGGGTTTAGTAAGTGTCTGATTTGATCCTGGGGTTTATCTTCATCAACTCTTCGTGTAAAATCCACCAGCAGTGTTCTCACAATAACTTTCGTACATGTCTGGGATACTCATCTGTTCTTTTATCCCATAAGAAGTTCAGTGTATTTTTCAGAAACTGTCCAGGTCCAGATATCTGTTCATTTCCTCATACTGACTCACTGTGCATTAACATAAGGAGATAGACCTCCTGCATCCTCTGTGAGAGCAGCACAGGTGTCACAGTGACCTGAAAGCAGCAGGTGACATAAAACTGCAAAACAAATAACTGAGGGAGGAGGCATTCAGCATCCTTACTGTCTCAGCTGAGAGTAACACATCCAAAACAGCACCTGGGAAACAAAAAGTAGACCAACGTGACATGATATGTTTAGTTGATTTAGTTTTCTCCTCATGTTGTTTCTTTGAGTGTATTTTGTATGTTTTTCCTGTTGTTCCTGTTCCCCTGTTGTCTTGTCTTGTGAGTTTTCAGTTTGTGTCTGACCCTTTTTCCCTCGTGTTCTCAGTGTTTCATTCTGTAGATCAGTTTTTAGTACTTCCTGTTTTATTTTGTAGTAATCCATCATTGTGTTTCTAGTCTTGTTTTACTTCCTGTTTTCGCTCCTCTGTAATTGTGTCTCAGTGCCTCACCTGCCTCTCGTTGCTCGCTTCCCTTTGTGATTATATATGGTCTCTGTCTTCCCCTGTTTCTTTGTTGGTTCATTATATGTCCGTGTGTGTGTGTGTGACAGCGCACGCTTGTCTTCCCAGTGATTCTCCAATGATCCAGGACAGAAATATGAAAGATATATCTGTTTTCAACAACTTATTTTATTCAGCTTATTCTATCATCGGTTTTTCTGCAAATCAAGACTTGGGGGGGGCTCCATTAATTTTCTATTTGATTTAACTAAACGACTCAAAAGACACCAAAAACATCAACTTACCTTGTTAATCATGATGAGGTTTTTGTCTTCTCTTGGTATTAACAGATGCGTGCATTAGGGATAAGAAATGTGCGCAAAGATGGACGAATGTTGCACAGATATCTCCCTGTTAACCAAAGTTAGTTTTGATGGTGTATCAGAGATCGATGTTGAAAGTTTGGTCCCTTTCCGCCAAGTTTTTAACGTGCATAATAATGATGACCATTTGACTTAAACTTCCAAAAAAACATTGACTCAGCTTCCTCTTTATGTCTGCAAGGCTTTAAAAGAAGAAAACCAGCAACATTCGACCACATGCTATAGCTCTGATCTTACAGAAAAATGTGTTTGGAGGAATTTTCTCCATAAAAATGAGCAATAAAGACGAGAAAACACTGTAAACAAAACAATTAAATTATAAAGCTCAAGAGTCTGTGTTTATGTTGCATGAAAAGAGGAGAGGAACAAAACTCTTTATAATATGTTACATGTGTCCAATAATGAACTGTGGTTTCTAACTCTGACTCTCGAACGCTCACATGTACGAGTTCATCAGGTTGAAATGTCGGGTGATGAAGGGGGGACAGCTGCTGCTGCATCACTGGGCGGTTTCTGCCTACATGACATCATGGTCTATTTATGTGCTCACTTAAAACTCAGCCTCTGGAGAGATTCACAACAACTGCAGCGTTCATGGGAAGCAGATAAAAAACAGACTTTGTTTACCATAAGTTTGGCTTGCTTTCCTCAACGCTGTCAGCGGCCTACGTGTGTCCTTGTGTGCCCTCCAACTTTTGTGTCTTTGAGCTGATCCAGACTCGCTGGAGGACTAAATGTTCGTTTATAGGGGTACAACTCGGCCTCTGTGAATATGAAAATAAAAGACGACATTAGCCATGTTTACATGAGCGAAATGTCTTGATCTGATTAAAAATTTGAGGGATCGGATAATCTGAATCTGCTCTTTATAGAATCAAATAATCTGATCATGACGTGCGTATACATGCACCAAGATTTATTCAGATTAGAAGCCTTTGGACATGTGCAGAGTTGTCTTATTTCGCTAAAACAACCGCAGAAGAAGAAGAAGAGTTGTATTAACACCTGTGCTGTCAACAAACGCAGTAGTGGCGCACTCCATCCAATTCAGGATGTTCACCACTGTTAAATGTTGTCACTAGATGGCGCCCTTGCTTACTTATTTTACTGTTCTATCAAAGGTTGCACTGTGCGAGCAGATGTGACATCATTACGCTGTTTGTACGCCTTGTTATGTTATTTTTTGCGCCGATGTAAACGCAGCTCATGACAATAGAAGCAGAGTCTCAACTGTCCCATCTAGCTCTGTGCCGGGCCATGACTCTCTGAATGGTTTGATTAAAAATGACTTAAATCAAAAAAAGAATTGATATTTCACTTCCTGACTAAAAATGTAATCGTTTTCTTTCACGTGTGCGGTAAAAGCTTCTTTTCTGTCGTCTCTATATTCTCCTTTTGCATCTGGGCTGTGCTGGCTTTGCCTCATTTTTTCAAGGACCCTCTTGATGATTGTTAAATCGGGTCTGCAGATGAAGCGATGTGACTCTGAGCTTTGAAGAGAGCATGTGAAAGAGCAGCGTGCACTTTATCAAGACGGTCATAAACTGGACGCCATCTGTCTTTTTGAGACACAGATGTTTTGGTGCCAATAAGTGGTTGTTTGCGTTGTTTAGTGTGCGTGAAATGGATATCGTGTGATTTTATTTCACTCAAGCAGTTTTATATTTGCTTCACCACCTTGTTGCCTTGAAGAAACGACGAGTTTTATCTGGTGCATACTTTTCCAAATACGAACTTTTCCCTTCCAACTGTGCCATCACTCCTTCGTCATCCAAATTTCTGCCTTTTTTTCCAGATCACTGACCTGAACAGACGCATGTCGGCCATCGAGAACCTCTTGAACCACCTGGAGCAGAAGGTGACGTCACCGTTCGACCAGGTGAAGTGATTAAAAAACACGCCGCAGATGCCAAATAACCATCAGTGTCATCAGCAAACCTGCACACAGCTGCTGCAGGAGCTTTGGGAATCGCAGAAAGAAATTCAAAACTGAACGCTTTAACCAGCTGGCAGGGACGTGTTTTCGCGCAGAACGCCATGGCAACAAAGACTCTGATCAGGATCCTTGTTTGAGCTGCAGAGATTGCAGTAGACATAAGGGAGGTTTCTAAAACACTAGCTGCAGTTATGTTTGCACATGAGATTCATATTGATCAAACTGTATATGAATTATGACCTCTGCTCTCTCCAGGCCAAAGAAATGAAGATCGTAAAATGTTCAGAATCCTCGTGCAGCACTTACACGCTCACATTTTCGTGCTGCTCACACACAGCTGGTGCTAATTTAAGCTGTGGATGTTTTAAAGGGGATGTATACTGGGATCTGGCCCAGTAATCACAAACTGTACTGGAATGACCTCTGAGTGACTGCCATGTTTCCATACATACAGGGTTTAACCGCAGCTTACACAAATACAGGAATACACAAGGGGATTCGTACAACACAGAGACGTTATAGGATATGTGATGGTCCGCTGAGTGGTTTGCATTTCTTTGTGTGTTTGTCAGGTGCGCACCATATTGGCTGCATTTAGATCCAGGACTACAGTTGAAGATTCTGTTCTGAAACTTTTGTTTCATCGATCAAATATAGTCGACTTGAGCAGGATTGTTTTGGTTTTTAAAGTAGGTATTTGTATGATTAAATAGCAAATTTCAACATTTAGTCTAGGAACAGAGATTGGAGGCTCGGGTGGATAACTTTGGTGCAGCTAAACTTGGTAAACTTGAACTTAAGTTATTTCTAGATTTAAAGACTGAATACCCTGTCCAAGTGACCCATCTCACTCTTAGTGTGGATGTTTCAGCGCAGCAGATCGGTAAAAGGAGTAATTCAGTAATTCAGAGCAGGAATAGTGAGGTCTGTGAATAATTAAATTAATTAGAGTCTGGAGTTTATTGACCAGCTGTAAAAGCGTTTAAATTGTGTTTTTCCAGGTTTTTTTCCCAGGCTTCTCATAAAGTGGAGACAAAGATTAATGCATCACTTTCGAGGCGTTTAAGTGATATAAAACCTTAAACCTGAAGGTGTGAGAAAAAATGATTGGATCGCTAAAAAGAGCTGCTTCAAATTTTAGAAATTGGCGATAAAAATCAAGTATTTGCAACAAGTGTGAGTGTTTTTAGGTTTATATTATCTTCTTTGTGACGCCTCTGAGGGGTTAGCAAAGATTGTCAACTTTAAAGAGAGTTAGCAGCTAAAGAAACAGATCTGTTGTTTTTGCAGCAGGGGGTCGTTCATAGTTAAGAGTCGACTTAAGCATATAGAGGACATGAGGAGCAAATGCTGCTTTGTCCACAGGGGGCGCCAAAGTCGACACAAACTGAAAATTCCTCACTGGAGCTTTAAGTAAAGTACTGGGGAGCATCACTAAAACAACAAAAATAGAGCGTATGATGATTTTAATGTCAGAAGTTGACTCCTCAGATTTTGTCATTTCTTATGTTTCCTATTAAAGAGCTTGCGAAGCGCCTTGTGTTTCCCGCCCACACAAACTGACGTCTTCCAGAGGTTGTTAAAAATGCTGAATTTGACAAAAACACCCTGAAGTAGAAAGAACAACAACAAAAGTTTCCTCTTTGAAGCTCCACGGTGGTCACCAGACTCATTTTTCATCAGACCTGCTGCTGAACTCAAACATGTCCTCTCAGATAATCTAGTTCCCCTCCAAATAATAAACTAATTTATTTGCAATTCATCGTTCAGGCTGAAGCGTAATGAAGAGGGAACACAGCTCGTTGTCTTCCCATCTGAAGTGATCTCTCATGTGGTCTGGTGTCTGCTTTTAATTGGGACTCAGGCTCTGAAATCCACATCAGTATTATCAGAGCCATAAAAAAACAGAAAACCATAAAGAAACAGAGAACGAGGGTTTGTCTGCTAATTAGTGGCTGCAGGGCTTCAAATGAGAACAATATCGGATCGACTCATGCGCTGGCTTTCTTGTGGGAAACCGCAGTTTAAATCAATTTGCATACAGCACATGCTGTGCCAGTCGTGTCTGTGGATACTCTGCATGCAACTTGTCGGCCATAATGTCTCCTTATTACCCCGGGTAAAGAGAGTCTTGTTAAGATTCCCAGGGAGCAAGCAGAGGAAACTCACAGAAACACGGTTAAATATGTAAAATCGAACAAAGATGCAAAGCTGAAACTCAAAGCAGTGATTTTCTCTGTTCCTGCAGACCAGCCAGCCTCCTCTGACTCCAAACAGCACCTCTCCTCTCCCTCAGTGGGAGGAAGTCGACCTGGAGGAGCAGCAGCTGAGGCAGAAGCTGCACGAGTTGACTGACAACATCAGTGACCACAGCCTGAGCTCCGACGAAGACGAGTCCAGCAGGCCTCTCTCCTCCCAAGACATCCCAGCGTGGAGGAGCCACGAGATGGATGCCAAACCCTCGAGACTGCCTACCAGACCCACATCCAGAGCCAGCAGCAACATCTCCAAGGTGGAGGAGCAGCAGCAGCTCTGTGAGGTAGAGGATTCAGTGCGACACATTCCTCCCGGATTAAAACATCATGTAACGCCAGAGCGTTCATAAGAAACATACATGCGGCACATCTGGATAGTTGCACACTCTGTTCTTTTAAAAACAGCCGGCTCATGAAATTCCATACCACCTCTGCTGGAAGCTGCTCCGGCACATACTGCCGTCATAAATCAAGTCACTCGGCCTTGGAGTTTATTTTTTCTTTGAAATCGTTTCTCTGAGTTTCTTTAAAACACAGATCTGAGCAGGAACACGACCCCCGCTCTTAGCAAAGTCCTCCGAACAGTGAAGTTTTTTCTCCTCCTCTACTGTAACCTCGCTGCAGAGATGGAGTGGTCTGTTATATAATCTTGTTTTTTCAAACACCGCTCATTAAAAACTGCTTGTTCAAACTGCGTGCGCTCACTCAAGGACTCTGCGTCTCATATATCACCAGACCGGATAGAAAGAGTCTCTGAAGTCCGGACATCATACAGCCCAGAGCTGTTAGAGCTGGTGTTTTCTCTCACAGCGTATTATGACTGAAAGGGTCAAAGGTCAGCTGTTATAGACCTCTGATCCCCGCAGCCCTTGTTTTGGGTTCTGGCTCGTGTCAAACTGAAAAACTTCTTCTGCCTCATCGGCTGTAATTCATGAGTGACAACCTGCCGCCTCAGAAGATTATCTAACGTGACTGAAGGGAAGGGAATTACAATCCTGTGAGGGGGTCTGGATCTGAATCTGAATCCTGGGGGGGGTTACATAAGACATAAGGGGTTAACATTTATGATGTATGACGCAGACGCGTTTGTCCAAAGAGAGTAAGAACAACACAAGGAAGAATCTGGCGCCACAGAAGGCTTCAGGTCCACCTGGACTCAGGTGCAGCAACAAACCCAGAGTCCAGATTAGTGGTGAACCCCATTATCTCGCTGTTTCTCAGAGAAAAGTATTCAAAGCATGTAGAGCTAAACAATATATCGTTTGAGCATCGCTATGTGTGTGCACGCGATAGTCAAATTGCAGAGACTGCCATGTTGGAGGTGAATGAACTCATCTAATTTTAAAGTTAGATGACTGACATACACGGCATGTGACTCTGTGCAGCTATTCACCAATCATATTCATTCTTTACTTAGATACCAGCCGTCAATCAGAATCAGAGAGGTGAAAACCACGCCCCTGCACATGGAGTGTGTCGCCGGCGCTGCCGGTGTTGTGCCGAGAAACGCGTATCTGCCGAGAATTACTTTCAGAACATTACTTATAACTGTTCAGCCCCTCAAATAAGAACTGTATGGGTTTTAATTGTACATTTCTGTGGAGCACTCTACTATAAGCAGTGCGCGTTTTGTGAGGTGCATGCAATTCTCAGCGAACATGCATTTCTCAGCACATCAACTGTGACAACAACGATTGCAAAATGAGCAACGAACAAGAGAAAACCACAGAAATTAAGACTTGATGCCAAAAATAAAAGCAACGTCAGTTATCTGGAATTATTTCAGTTACAAGAAGGATGATGTCGACTAAAACACGTGTTCTGTGTTCATCTGTCGCCACAATAACGTCCCAGCACGATAAAAGCTAAAATACCTCTAAGACAGACAGAAGCCACTCTACTAACATTCACAAAAAAGAGGGAAGATCAGAGCAGGTTAACTGTCCTCAAGATTTCAGCATAAAGTGCTATTCTGGTCATCTGGTGAAAATATCGCATTATATATCGCAGGGTTGACAAAAATTGCAGTGTTAATTTTTTCCAATATGGTGCAGCCTTAGAAGTATGTCTGCTGGTTTGTAAAGTGCAGAGTGGTTTAAGACCCAAAGACTTCTGTGATGTTCCAGTCCGGTCCAGTCCTGTACAGTACGAACCATCTGGGACAGGTCCGCTTTCTGTCCCCTGAGAAATGGAGCAGCGTATGTTCCTTATGCTCCAAATATCTAAAACAGACTCTCAGAAAACATCAGGTCCCCAGACTCACTTCTTTACAGCTGTCTTTATTTAACTATTTGAACAAATGTGCTGTTTTTTTAGAGTGTTATCTGAAAGTCTCTGATTTACTACTGAAATATAAACTTGTGATGCATACATTTTTCCTGATTTCTGTCCTACATGGACGTACAATAAAGTGCTTTCTCTTTAATAGACAAACCATTCAACAGACAGTCTGGAGAGGAAGCGGCTCCCCCTGGAGGAGGGCTCTAAGTCAGGTTTCAGAGGCTCGACAGCTTTACTGGTGGAGCTGGAGGACCAGGTCGCTCAGGCGGCCGCCAACGTCCAGAACGCCCAGAGCGAGGTGAAGAGAAACGATCATCTGAGTTTATCAGGCTCTCTGTGATGTTTCTGTTTTTTCTGTGTTTCACTTCTTTCTGTCTTTTTATCTGAAGGTGTCTTACATCGAGAACAGGATCGCCGCCCTGAACGCCGCAGGCATGCCGGTGGACAAAAGACGGAGGGTAAACATGATCAGTTTGAAATCTTCTCCAGATTGAAAGTGCGGGCTTGTTCTGTGCACCGCAGTTATTTTTAGAGGCACAGCTGTTTAAGACATGGATTTAATTATTCTTATTGACACAGCTCTGAGGCCCCGCCCATTTACACTCAAATCCACCAATAAGATAATATCTCTCACCAGAGCAGGTCTATCTCTCATATCTGTTAATAAAACTCTGACATATTTTCACACGTTTAATCTTTCTCTTCTCTTCTTCCTCTGTTGTCTGATAAAGTCTGCGATCCCGGTCCAAGCGAGGAGACTTTCCCACAACTTTCCCACAAGTAAGAACCCACTCTGCAGCCCTTGAGCAGGATCCCCAGGGCCCCTCCGTATGACTCAAAGCATCTTAACCTTGTTAAACCCCGAGAACACGATGATCTATTTTACAAGCTGGTGAACACTCTGTCCTGTTGGGCCGTGGATTCACTTTTTCCAGATGTATGTCCGATTCTCTGTTTTGTTACATGTGAAATTCCCACGGTCGTTTCACATGTTAGAGCCCCGAAAAATCTTGAATTATTCAAAATATCCAGTTAATTAAAAGGGAATTTCACTTGTCAAACCTGGGACCAATTTACCATGTTTTCCAAACATAAATCAGTAAAAGAAAGAAAGTGTTTTTTTAAGAGTTATAAAGAGTCACTGTGATTTGCAGCTGAAAGTGGAGCTGTTATGGGAAAATGTGATCTTTAGATTGATAATTAGAGTTATTGACAACATTACAGAAAGGATGTCCTCAAAAATACACAGTTTTATTAATGCAAAATGCCTTCTAGCTAGAAATACTTGTCTTTAAAGCCAGCAGACTCCAATAATGTGTCGCCATCGTGTGGCATTACTGTCTCCAGACATCTCTTGATCTCTTTGACTACTTCACGAAAATTGTAATACGCCTTGCTGGTGGCGGATTTAAAGGCGAGAAGAGGAGCTTATGTTATTGGTCAATACAGGTCTCGGCTGTGTTAAACCCACTCCACGCCCTCTCTCCTCCCTCCCTCCCTACGACTAACGCCGCTGGGAGGAGCTGAGTTAGGGACGGGGGATACTTACGCCGGGCTGCGCCGCTCACCAAAATACCAAATTGTGCTTGGGAACACCTTGTCAGCGCCACGTCGCCGGCAAGGCACGAAAATAGAGCCCCAGTGTTTGAAACAAGCGCTACTTCATGGCCCCTTTGCTCAGTTGATGCGCCTAGATTATGCTTCTTGTGAAACTTCTCTAGCATCAGGTTCCGTCTCGTTTCTTTAACCCTCTGGTCCTGGAAGAAGCTCCTAGTTTTCCCTTCAAACAAGTCAAATAGAAATCTATAATCCTGCTTTAAGAGAGTGAAACCAAATGAAGGACCAGATTGTACAATGTGGATGCTGTATGTTTGCAGACCAGGTGGACAACTTTATGAGGAACACCCTCTACAGGGGCTCCCTGACTCAGAGGAACCCAGTGGCCAAACCCAAACCCAAGGCTCCCTGTGCGGTATGACCCCGCTGTGTGGTGCTGGACCAAATGAAGAGTTTATTTCCGATTTTATACAGAAAGAATTATTTTAAAAAAAATCTGAATTCAGTATATGACTGTAAATGTGTCAAACTTCAGCTCCATGTTTGGAAATGAACTCTTCATGTACTGGTTACGCGCTCTGATGGTGAAGGCGGCTGCTTGGTTGGAGGCTGGTTTGGTAACAGGCTTTGTTGTGGTTTCAAATCAGTGTTTACTGCTTCAGTTTTTACATGTTCGATTTCAGTCAGTTGAACTAATTCTGGGCATTTTTGCAGCATTTCAAAAGTTCTGTGCCGACTTAATCTGTTATACCTCAGAGTGATAAGAAGCTTTTTTGTCCTAATTTAACACCAGCTTTGAGTTTTTGTGTTGTACTGTGATCCCAAAGATGCTTTTTTTCACCTGCTTTAGCTGTGCTTGCATTTCATAAAGATGTTTTTGATATTTCAGATCAATAATAGTCGAATAAAAAGGATTCAAGATCAGGTTTGATCGCTGACAGCAGTTTGCTGTTCAATTGAACTTAATTAAAGCTTGATCAACATGAGTCTCTGGGTTAGTATCTACTGTTTAGTCATCATCTGCACACTTTAGAGGACATTAAAGCTCCTGTGAGGAACTTAAGCTATCAAACCCCGTCTATGTACAAAATTATACCTCAAATCTCTGGTCAGATTGATCAGATCTGGCCCTGCATACTGGCAACATCCATGCCACGAAGCCTGATCATGTCAACATGCTTTTATTTAATCAATAAGAACAAGAACACGCAGAAAACTGGACACATTCAGTTCATTCAGTCTCCTCACAGGACCTTTAAGTCGCAATAGTGCACCAAAGTAGGAGTGTGATTTTCCTCCTCTTCTCGATAATCAATCACAAACTCTCTCATCTCTTCACAAAGACGTGATTCAGCTCCTGCTGTGGTTGTTTGGGTCTCTGTTGCTATGAGTGAAATCATGACTAATAATGAATTCATTAACCCGATCACAGCATGACATGATTGATTCTCTGTTAATCAAACAGCCGGTGATTGTCTGTGTCTGTGTGTCTCTCTCTTCCTGCAGAAACCAGTAATGACGCAGGGCTCATGAGGAGGCGGCTCAGCATCTTGTGACTGATTCATGATTTATTTTATTCGATGTTTTATTTTGAAATCGTCATGTGGTTTTTTCTGACTGAGATTCAACAATAAGAGTTATAGCATGTTTTTTAAATTACACACTAACTTTGTCTGACCCGTGTGTTTTTGTATCCAGAAGATTTTCATCCCTTATCCTGCAAAATATTCACCTCAATGCATTCAATGAAAAAGTGATTTTGTATATCATAATGTAAAGAAAATAACATTTACAGTTTTTCTTTTTAATGCTCGCTTGGTGCAAAAGTAGAAAAAAACAATTTAACATGTTTTTTAATTAAGCTGTTTTTTTACTCAAAAATATTTTCACTTTTGCTTCTTTTTATGTGTTTTAATTTTAAATTGTATTTTTTTTTATAGCTTTAATATTAACACCAGACTCTTAACACCAGTGGAAAGTTAATCTGATTATAAAATGTGTTCAAGCTGTTTGGATGTTTTTTTTAAAAAAATCAGATGTATGTGCACATTTCTTGTATGTTTGATAATCAGATATGTAAACTGTGTCTGAATCAAGCTGGTAAAATGATATTTGTGCTAATAAGAGTAAAAAAAAAGTTCACTTAAAGTTGTAGCATTTAGTTATTAGAATAGAAATATCTGTTTATTTTTGTCTGATAACTTCATGTTTTAATTTCTTTTAATAACACGATACAAAGAATGACAAAATATTTATTTTTCTTGCCCCCTGCTTTAAAACTAAAACATTTTTGGTGCAAATGTGAAATCTCAAATTGTTTTTTTAATTGTTTCTTGTTAGTTTTTATTTTTGAGACGGTGTAAATCCATCAGTTTTGTTCACATACAGACAGGAAAAGAAAAAGGTTTTAAATAAATAATCACATTATTGTCAACGAAGTCACACTCTCTTTTTTTGAGTAAGGTGAAGTGAAAAGTCTGTTTTCTTCAATTTAACTGATGTCCTGTTGTTGTTTTTTTTTCTGCTGTTGACTCATCAGCTGTCGAAATATGTCCAAAAATGCTCCAAGATTGACTAAATTCTTCCTCCACATTGGTTTTGTTTTGTTTCCTTCTCCTCTTATCCATCTTTAATCACAAATGTCACTTCAAACTGCATTTTCTTCACCAGAACATCTGATTTTCTTTGTTTTTTTCCTGTTTCCCTCGCACTGACCTCAACAAATCAAGCTTTTATTGTTGTTTTTGTCACGGTGTTGACAGCCTCAAAAAAGCTTTTATTTTTGTTTTGGATCCTTTTATTTTGAAATATCAAACAGTCCTTCTCTCATATTAGTCTCTGAACTTATCGGCTGTCAGTTTGTCCCCACATGCCCACTGCTTGAGAGGTGACACTCAGGTTGCACACACAGTGGACAGCACACATAAACACATCAACACGTCTCTGCCCCTCCTGCTGCTGGAGTATAAAGAGATGACGCCACACAGTAATGAGGAAAACAGATCCTCAGAGGTGCATCTATAGCACAGGTGAGACAGTCTCACCTCAGTCCTTTAAATCAGGTTTCTGGGATTATTCATTCACTCACTCACAGATCTGCTCTACTTCCTGTCACCACTCCTGCTTCTGATCGGTTTCTGTCCTGACTTTCTTACAAAAGGTGAGTCTTCTTATTCACTGCTATAGATCTGCTAATTTGTTCAATCAAAGTTACTTTTGCAACATGAAATCAAACAATGAAACATTAATGTGATATCACATTTGATCTGAGGTGGACCATTCTGCAGTAAAAGTACATTTACTTCCAGTACTTTATTTTGATGTTATCACTTTTGAACTTTAACCTCTTTGAATTTTTAATTTGTACTTGAATCTACATGTTTTAAACTATGGTACTTTAATACTTTTCTCTGCCCTGAGGTCGAGCTGCGATGAGGCTGTGTGCAGTTCTGGTTTTGCTGTTCTTCTCTCAGGCTCTCGGTGAATCTCATCAAGACGCTTCCATAAACATCAGAGGTAAGACATCCTTCAACTAAAAATGTACCGAGTCCCTAAGAGTCCAAAATTGAATGCATCCTCCTCATATTAGTTTAGTTACTTTTATTTAAAAGACCTATTTACATGACAAGATATATTACTTTATGCTACTTTTAGAGTTCAGTTTACTTTGAAACTGTATGCTGTTTGTTTCCTTATTACAACATTTGGAAAAATTGGTAATCAATACTATTAAAAAAGTGTAAAAACTTAATGTATGCTTTTCATCAGCATATTAGCAATTAGAAGGATTTCAGAGCAAATTGAAAAAAAAGATCCTGTCAACAGTGTAAGGTTTTTATTTGTGCTTAATCTGTTGATTTGCGTGAAATATCCACTTAAAGATACTTCATCAGGTTGAGATCTGGGTTTTGTCTGTTTTCTTTCATCGGTGTCGCTCAGATCCGAACATCGATGCCTCCTGGTACACTGGCAGAGGGATCAGACCAGTGGGAAGATTTGGACGAAAAGCTGCCAGAAAAAATCAGCATCTGGTTTTTATCTCCTCCAGAGTTTCCAGACCAACAGCTGACAGTGACACAAAGCCCTGGATCTCAGAGTGAAATGATCCGGACAATCGAACATCTCTGCTCTGATTCGTCTTTATTCACATCCGAGAAGTTTTCACCTGAGTTTGGAAGTATGGCCACACCTTTTCTCTGTAAATATCTTCAACATAATATTGTTATCTTTAAAGACACTAATGAATCTCAATGCCAAAACATGTTACAGATAAGTAAAGATACTGTATAAGTTTGTTGTTAGCCCTCAATATGGCAAACAAACAGAAAAAATCTTAACATTTCCTGATACAATAAAGATAAAATGAAGGTTAAACCTTTTAATCTCTCTGGTGTTATGTGTTGCGTTTCCCATCCATCGAATTTCTCCTCGGGGATAAATAAAGTTCTTATCTTCTCCTTCACATCTCAGTTTTCCAATTGGTGACCTCAAGGTCAAATCTCTGTTTCATAGCGTGATCAGCTGATCCTCTCTTCAGCTGAACTTCTTTTGACACAGTTTCTGATAACTTGAGTGTTTCACAACATCTGCAGAATCTGGAGCAGCCCCACAGAGCGATTGTTATACATTCACAAGATGAACAAACCCGTAATGAGGACCAAATCGTCCACATTTCATTTTCACAGTTTTATCCACTCAGTGAGAGGTGTTTCTTCGTTTATGTGAGAAAGTTTCTTATTGAAACCAAGCTTCTGTAAGGTCTGTGACGATATGGAGATCTCCGCTCTGTTTTAAATCACAGGCCTGTAAAAGTGCACCCTTGGGTCCATCATCCTGCAGAGAAAACTTATGTTTTTTATGAAGAGGAACACATGAGAGCATGTTGTGCAAGAGTCGGACGGCAGGAGGGGAAACTCTCTGTGTGGAGGTTGGAATCATCCAAATGCAAACACAGTTTTATAATATCAGAGGAGTCTTTACATCCTGACTTCATTAGAAACACTGCTCCTATTGTTTCTGCTGAGTCATAGTCGTCACAACCGCTCTTACAAACAAGAATGCCCCCCAGTTCCCACAAACACCCCCGAACCCCGGCCAAAAGAAAACATGTGGCAGCTGCAGAAATATATTTTCTGGAAACTTCTTCAGATATTTAGAAAGATAAATCTATGGTGGACTTTGATTTGAAAGGTACAGGGCTGGCAGAGGGATCTTTTTTATTCTTTTATTTATTTATTTTTATTCATTTATTTTTCAAACATATGCGTGCAAAACAAGTAATCTGAAAACAAACAAAAAAATTAGAATAAAATAAAAATAAGAATGAAAATAAAAAAATAGATAAAAATAATTTTAAAAAATGTTTTAAAACGTTGAATCTATCCTAAAAAAATCCCCTTCATTCAACTCTTAATCACACTGTACCTGCTGCTCATCAGTGTAAAATGTGACTGAGTTTTATCAGCTTTGAGGCTGTGATTTATAAACACTTTTATTTCAGATTTTTTAAATACTTGATGCGTAACACTGAAATGCAAAGAAAACACATCGTATTACTGTCCAGATAATTTACTCAGGGTTTAGAGAGTTTAAAATGGGCCACCCCAACTGCAAACACCTCACCCCATCCAGCGTTTATTTTGCTCACCACTAATCATAATCATTAATCTTTATTTACTATATAATGAAAACAAACTCAGGAGCACTCACACAGTTATGTTTGCACTTCGCACAGCTGTAGTCAGGCGCTGCCGCACACTCCCACATGTCACATAACGGTATGATCATTATAACCAACAAACTTCAGCTTTATAAGTGATCAATGTGGAGAGGAGACAAGGATATATGACATAAATATTTGTTTCCCATGTTGGAGATTTCACTGATAATCCACAAACCTGTTAAGTCTTCATGATCAGAGTTTTACATCATTTCTTCTCGCACTTATTGTTCCCTTCTTTACTCCTCCTCTAACTTTTAAAACAGCTTCTTTACAGAAGAAGAAAAACGATTGTTGGGCAATAAAATGCTTGTTTCCCTTTATTATCATTTTTACAGGCCTTGAATGGGTCTTTATTGTGTAAAATAAAATCGAAAACCACTTTTAAATCAACTCTGCTTGAGGGATCCCCGCTTGGAGTGACCACTATCTTATAAAAGCAAGACAGGAGATACAGACGCTGAGGGGCTTTATTCTTCTCTCGATGACTAAAATCAGTCAAACTTATGGGAACGCTACATAAGAAAAAAAAAAAACTTGCGGACCCTCGGACTGATCCTCCTGCATAGATGAAAATAAAAAGCCTTTAGCTTATTGCTGGTAGAGAATAAAACCTCTCCAAATAGCAAAAAATCAAGTTAAGTCCAGAGTTAAAAAGACACACAAGATAAGGTAATAAACTCAGAGAACATTTGAGATCATTTAAGTTCAGTTCATATACTAAATACTACGATGAGTTTAGTCTGCTGCAGCTTTGAAATGAAGGTGACAAAAAGTGGAGCAAAGACAGTCACATTAGGGTCCAACTTTACAGCAGGAAGTCATCAGGCTGGATGTGTCTCTATGATGCAGATCCCCCAGTGGAGCCTCCTGCCACTCTGAGAGTCCTCCCTGCTGCGCTCCAGTACACTCATACACCCTGTGGGCTGAATCACAGCTGTGTTACTCAAAACATTCACAGTATTCAAACACAGTCAGACAATCCAACGACTGTATTTCAATCATGAGTGATCAAACACATCTGCTCCTCATGTTAGCATGTACTGCTCTCTAGTGGAGGAGGACAGTGGACCTTTGTTTCTAGTTGTGCACGTCATTACAGCATCTTTAACAGGAATTATTAGTGCAGAAGAAGCTATGGTGGCTGAAGTCTTCCTATAAAGTAGTGTTGGGTCGTTTACAAATGATTCGTTCAAAAGAACCGAATCTTTTAAGAGAACGTGCTGAACCGAATCACTTCCTAAAGTGATTCATTCATTTCTCATTTTGAGCAGTGAGCAAGAGACCACACGTGCCAACGCCTAAATAACTCAGTGAATGAATCCCCGTTGTTTCAACAGATTTAGTTTTCAATTAAACAAACTTAGAACATTGGGCTGGCAGTAATGAGAAGAGAGTGAGACTCAACAGCTGTAGCGAGCTCTTGGTAGGAGTGATGGAGGGAGATGTTCAGTGTGAGTTTTTTACTGAATGTACTGTGGGGTAAATGTTCAGTGAATGAATCACTCACTGAGCCCAATTTACCGAGTAGATAAATCATTGGAGAGTACACTTAAAACCTCATGATTTATAAACAAGAAGCTATGATCTGAACTGAATCCTGAACCGTTCAGCTGTGTATCAGTTCAGGAAGTCGGACTCTCTGGCTCCTCGATTCGGTGAACAAATCTTTCGAACAAATCTTTTTAGTGAACTGATTCTGGTGATTCAGTACATCTAAAAGAATTGCCCATCACTCCTATAAAGCCTTTTTAAAAACATCTTCACTCACCAACATCTATCAGCAGGTTGCTGACTTGATCTCCTGACAGAGCTGATGTCTCGATGAAGAATAAACCTCTGTCATTGGCCAGACCCTGACCTTCCTGTAGGATGAAATGAAGAGACCTGGATTAGGAAGAAACGGGCTTTTGAATTTAAGGAGTACTGCGACTGAAGATAGTTTTAGGTTGGTTGAAGACCCAGAAATACTGCTGCTGCATTCTGGGTAATCTGCAGAGGTTTGAATGTGCATGCAAGGAGGCCTGCCAGTAAGGAGTTGCAGTCGTCAGTGCGTGATGTTAAAGTCTGTGTCAGGCGATGTTGTAGACGCAAAAACAGCATGACCAAACCATTAAACCCTGCACCTGTACTGAGACTTGTCGGTCCTCTTCCAGGTCTCCCTTGTTGCCCACCAGCCACACAACAGTAGATCCTTCGATGTAGTGTTTCTCGAGCTCTTTGAGCCACACTTGAGCTCTGATGAAGGTTTCCTGCAGAGAGGCAAAAACACGATGAGTAAAGCACATAACCCGTGAATCTGAACTTGGAGTGTCTGTTTCTTTTACCCTTTTACTGATATCATAGACCAGGAGTGCAGCGTGAGCTCCTCTGTAGTAGAGCGGGGTGACGCTGTGGTACTTCTCCTGCCCGGCTGTGTCCCAGATCTCAAAGCGAAGAGAGACGTTACTGAGGTGGACCACCCGGGTCAGGTAGGCACCTAATGAGAAAGACAAGAAGACGGGATTTAGAGTTTAGAAAGAGTACTGTCATGATCATAAGGTAGAGGTCAAAGGGTCAGGACTCTGCAGCATGAAGCTCTTCATTTCAGCTCCTGTGTTGTGGTTATTATATTATAGTTGCAGTATTATCATTCTGTTGATTTTTTTTATCAACCTAACAGTGAGTCATATCTAATCTAAGGGTACAGTCCATTTTATTTTAATCATTCACACTATAGCGATATCAACAGAAAATTATCAGACCTCACCACAACCCATTGTCTGACTACAAATCTGATGAGATTTAAAAAACCCACTAAACATCCCAAAACTACACCCCACAGTGATGGTCCCTGGAAGTGACGTACCGAGTAAAAAAAACATACTTTCACACACAAAGAGTAGGCCTTAGAGTGTGGCTATTTCTGTTCAATTCAGAGGAAAACAAAGGTACATTCCCAGTTAGTTTACTTTTCTGCACTAAAGAAACTCGTGGTTGGCACTTCTGCATCGCTACTCTAAAGTGGGCATCGCTGTGGTTTACTTCCCACAAACATTCAGTTCCTCTCTGATGAAAATAGCATGGCCAAGAAAAAGCAACACAACATTTTAACAGTTTTACCATGTTTTTCTTATTAAATTAAAAGCTTGTTTAGGTGATTTAAAGACTTGAAAGGTTTCGTGTCGTGGTGCATTTTTAAAGGCTTTAATGATAAATGCAAATGTTGATTTCTGAGGAGATGCACTTTAAGAGTTTGTGATATGACCTACTTTTGAGCAGAGGTACACAAGCTTTTCAGCATTCACTGTTTGTGCTTGAGCTTAGTGGCTTCATATTACAGCAACAGACTCGACAACGGCAGTCTTTAAACAAACTCACTTCCAGGTGGAAATCCCCTGAAAGAGACTCGTTTGGTTTAGCGTCACAGTGATTTCATCTATAGATTTTCTCATATCTAACTTTCAGAGATAAATCAAATAAACACAATCAAATGTCAAACTACAAATCTGATCACAGCTCCAGGTGTCATGAACTCACAGCCAACAGTAGGCGTTGTCATCCTGAATTCATCCTTGACAAACCTCTGAGCCAGAGTGGACTTTCCCACACCAGAGCCTCCCAGAAGGACCATCTTAACCCTGAGGGTCTGCACTGGTCTACCCAAAGTGTCACAGCGGAGCCGGGCTCCTCCTGGCACCCTGGGGAGATTTTCCCCCATAGAAAGTTCTCTTGAAACCGAAACAGTGAAGAACTCAGAAGGAAAATATCAGAGAAAGTCCTCAGAGAAAGTCCTCAGATCTTGATCCAGCGGTTTCTCGTTGAGATGAAACAGCCTCTCCAAGAGTTTGCTCGCTTTGACTCGTGTTTACAGAAAATAAAAGTAAAACCAAAGTCCAGTGGTAACTTGTAAAAAGGCCCTCAGCACAATTTCACTTCCTCCTGTACACCCACTACTGAACCATAAAACTTTCCAGCCAATTTAAAGTAAGCAAACACACGCTTAGTTTTCTTGATTTACCTGCTTAAAACACTGTTCTTGTTAATTGTGAATTATGAATATGAGCAACACTTGTTTTCCTACAAAGTCAAGTGTTTAATCTCTCATTCTGAACAGTTTGAAATCAAAGACTAAGTGTATGATAAAAACAGGCTGTGCTTAAACTCCTCCTTCCACACTTCTGTAGTTTATCATTAACTAAAGAGAATGCAGCAGGCCCTTTCTGCCTTCATATCTACTCACATTACGCTTCATCAGCACAAGAGGGCAGCATTATACCTATAACAGCTTTGTGGTAATTAAGTGAACCATGAGTTCAAACTGTGTAAGAAGTATCTGAAATAACTTTTACATGATGCAGCTAAAGTTTTGTGTTGGTATGCTCATTCATAATAATTATCACACTGATATTGCATTAGGTATGATGACTTTTGGATGCACTGACTAATATGAAAATGACTAACATTGCAGTTATGCATGTTCCTTTTACAGTTTGATGATGTGACATTAGACTCATATGTACTCTGTAAAAATAACACAGGAAAATCTATCTGTGCATTACAGGACTTGCTGATGATACCAAGAGATATAAAAGTATCTGTGGTACTATAAATGACCCTTGAGTGTCTCAAGCGCTCTATAATGAGCCTTGATATCAACAATAAGGGATTAAAATCTCTCCCATTCAAAGTGAGGTCATGTATTTCTCTTTAAGAAACTCTCGACTGTTTTTAGAGCTCACTGGTCATCATCAAAAATAGCAGAGAGGGTGTGAGAGAGTGTGAGAGAGAGCCTCTGCTGTAGCTGTGGTTTCTGACTGAAACTGAACCCCTGAACATGTATGCCGTCCCCAGACAGAGGTTGATGTTGCGTTCAAGTGTTGAGCGAAAACTCTGGAGAATATCATGTCAGATTTAATTGAAGACCTCGACAGGATAGCAACTTTTAAAATGAAAAGTAAAATGTTATATTAAAAATAAAAATGATATTTTTTGGTCTGAACACAATTCTTATAAAACTTTTGACGGACTAAATTCACTTTCAAGAGTGAAAAATGTTTTTGTGTAAATAAATGTCTAACCTCTTCACACATGTGTTTCTAACCTTCACAGACTCCATGAATTGATGCCCATCTCCTAAATATTTGGTCACATGATCAACTTCTTTCACCATTTCCAAGCAACAGGAGGTGGCTCAACTTACCCCACTCTCCCCTAATTATACAAAAACTACAACAAAAACAACAATAAACAAATAAATCAAAGTAACATATCCCTAATTTAAATCAGGGAGTTGAACATGTACAACACACCTAAAAAGACGTTTATTACTGTACCAAAAATGTGCTTTATATCCTACTGACTGGTGAAGTGTCTCAAGTATCTTTCGAGTCTTGTAAATCCGACAGCCCCTGAAGGCATCTTGATTGAGTACAGTCTTTGAAGTTTGTTAGTGTGACAGGCTCGAGACTGCTGCTGTTAAGAATCCGTCAGGTGGCGGAGTCACGCTGTTCACAGATATTCTACTTACCGCCTAATGTTTAGTTTCTTTTCTTCATTTAGGTGTTAATTTCATTTTAAATTATCAAGAGACGGTTTAAACGGACGGTTAAAACTCAGAATCAACGGTTCTGTCAGAACGAGCCAGTGAACGCACCAGAGAGCGCACGTGGGGCAGATGCTGCCAGGAGCAACCGTTTGAACAGAGTTTTGTCGCGAGCTCAGCTCCGTCGGTACTGAAACACAGGAAGAGGTGTGAAAACGGATGTTAGACAATGACCCACGCTGTAAACTCGACCAGACACGGTTCGTTTTTACATCCTCGACTTTAACTCAACATTTTAACCACACATGAGACCCTCCAGCTAGCTGCTGAACCGCTCTTTTGGATTACTTTGTGCGGTGTTGTGTTGTCCCCGGAGTCCGGCTCCTTCAACAGTCTGAGTGGATACGAGTGTGAGGAAATATGGGGACCCAGGGTACAGGACGGAAAAGATCCACCAAGAAAGAGAGGTCCACGGCCGAGGACGATGCCCTCAACCTCATAGCAAGAGAGGTGAGTGGGGGACTTAGTCTGAAGTTTGTCCAGGGACTGGTCAATGACCCCAAAACCTACATAGTGATATATTTTTGTGCTTTGGAGACGATTTAGTGACCCAGTTAAATGTCCCAAATCCGAATTTATCCAGAATTTAAGAAAAATCCCTCTTAGTGATTAAGTAAGGCTATTGAAGTACTTAGGTTTACAAACAAACAAACAAAAAGCCTGTTGGTATCTCTGTATGCCAAATTCATGAAGATCCCTGAATGTCTACGGAAGCCACAAGTGGACATCCATCCATATATTCAGGTGATTAAGGTCTTTTCTAAATTATTAGCAATGCGGGTGTTTTTTCATTCTTCTATACATTTAAGGTTGGGCAGGACTTGATACTAACTTTTTTCACAAGGAGCACATGTGTTCCTAAGTTAAAAAAGTAAGGCGCACACAAAGAATTTTTGGGGCACAATGAAAATGGCCGATTTAATCAGCAATAAATTGGTCGGCCCTAGATATCAGCCTTTTTTGAAAATATTAACCAATTAATTTGCCGATTTTTTGAATTTTTTATGAAGCTATAAAAAATACATATATACTGTAGATATCTACAGTACACTGTAGATATCAAGTATGCTATGTACTGTAGAAATACTGTAGCGCTGCTGTTGATATTCATGATTCATGAACCTCTGTAACAATATCATGAATACATGGGCAATTTAATGCAACCTTACACAACAACTCCACTATAAGTTATATTTTCCAAAGTTGAGTTTTGTTGACATGGTCATGAGTAGGTGTTTCTAATGTTTTGCCTCGCTTGTGTTTGTTTGTTTATGAATTGGGCAAAATATTAGGAACACCTTTCAATAGAACACACGTAATATAGTATACTGGGTGTATTGTATTAGGTATTCTGTACCAGAGAGTGACCAAACATTGCCACAGCTCCTACTAACTGTGGTCAGGCATTTTAATAACCAGGAGACTGCAGCACATCAAATACAGAGCGCTGCATTCCCTTAAATTTACGCTATATTAGACATGCCTTCCTCCTTGCATGCCACATTAGTAGCACTTTTCTGTGTCATTACCTATTTTAGTGAACCTGAAACAAACTGTTGATTGCTTGCAGCTATCTACTATAATCCTATTACAACTGTGTTGAAAGATTGCGTCATAAATGCCCTAATATTATGTCAGCTCTGTTAAGTCTGGGTGAAAAAGCTGGTTTTCCCATCATTTTAGATCTAGTTCTGGTTATCTTAGTACAGTTTCCGGTATATCAGATTAATCTATGGCTGTATTTGGGTAAACAAAGCTGGATTTCCAGTTGGGACAGATTTATTTTTCACCTTATGCTAGGGTTAAAAAGCTGGTTCTCCTTTTGTAATGGATTTATTCTTGAAGCTGGTATTCTCAGTATGACAGAATTATCATGGTGAGGTTGGTCTTCTTTTGATGATTAGATCTGTTTGTCGTGGGAAAACCAGTTTGCTATCCAAGAAAAATCAATTAAGATCTTAAGAAAACAACTGAAAATGACTCATGAGTCCAACATTTAAATGACACACTGCATGAGGGAAATGGGCTAAATTAAAAGCATGGGCGTGTGTCTGCTTTGGGCTTCCATAGAATTTGCATGCTTTGTGAGAAGCTTTAAAACTCGCTGTTCTGCGTACCTTTGGTTCCTTTGACAATATGGTATGAAAATGAACTTGTAGAGACTGGAAATGTGCTTGACATCCACCAGATATTATCAGTATGTAACGGCTGTTTGGAACACAGTCAGGTAAATTTATTTACAAAGCATGTTTGAACAGGAGGTAACCTGAGTTTTAAGAGAAGAACAAAAGACTGAGGAGAGTTGTTTTGTAGGTTATATGTCTCTAACACTTCGTCTTGGTTGGTCCAGTCATTGCAAGAGCTAAAAGTTGGCTAAAAAATGCACAAGACGGATAAGAGAGTAAAAAAGTGATGGCATATGCTAAAATATGTTAAAATTCCCAGTCCCTATAATAGGATAGTTTATAATTTACATGAACATTATTTATTGCGCAATTCCCCAAATATGGCAACTTATCCAAGTGATATTTTTAATCAGTATATGGACCACACCACTGACTGTTTAAGTGACTCAGTCGGCCATGATAACTGTTTTTAAATCCCTCTCTGTGCTCTGACTACATGGATTACAGTAATGAGGTGTCTCCCAGTTTTGTGACCTGGAGCTGATAAAAATGGTTTTCTTTACTGAGCTACGAGCCTTTCATGTGCTAACATGCAGGAAGTGTTGGGCTTACCCTGGATGATGCAAGACTAGAGTCAGCAGCAGTTGTTTTCTAAGGGGTGCCGAAGTCATGTTATGACAGGTTTGCAATGTTTCTAATAGTGTTGTTTTGATGATTCTGGAGCGGAATAAAAATAATGAAGGTTCTGTGCCAGGAGTTCAATTTTAGGTGTGGTACTCTGCACACTTTGGTCTACATTCACGCCTCTTAGCTGTGAAACACAAACACAAACTGAGTGTCTGAGTCTTGTATCACTGTTAAAGACAAAACACAAAGCAAACGCTGACTTCAGTAGTTGTGGTGAAATTCTGTGAACCCTTCTATGAGGAAGTTATTATATTTGTGAAATACTGCAGCTCCTGCTTGGCCGAGGAAAAACATCATCTTCATTGTGTGTATGATCAAATTTAAGCACATAGAACTTCTAAACCTAAGAAATTCAAGACATGACACAGCAGATACACACAACAGCCTCTTATTCACACATTTCTAATATTTCCAGTTACTGTCTCTCTGTTTTATACAACTTCACAGTCATTTTTCTGAAGTACAGGTATAATTGTAGATGTAAAACAGAGCGGATTAAAAGAATTCAGTCGTCAGGTCATGGGAAACTAGCTGGACTTATTTTGACAACAGCTCAAATCCCTGAAGTCTTTCCAAAGAGAGCTGGAAAACAGGAAGAAACACTGGTTTGAATGCCCTGTACTTTACTTGTTGGAAAGGAGGAAACATTCAGGGGTAATCCAGCTCATGGCAGAGACTCTGTGAACCGTTTTTACTGAACAAATCTTAACCTAAAAACAGAGATAGTGAGGCAGCTCAGCTAGCAGCCCCTCCAGAACCAATGTCCCACAGAAAAGGGTCAGAAAACGTCTTTGTTTTTAAAGTAATGAAGCCTTAAAGATGTGTGAAATAACCTTTTATTGCATGTTAAAAACTATAGTTTAAAGTTTCGGCACATTTCACATTTCTAATATGATCAAACCCTGCTTTGATTTTGTGTTTTAACCACCGAATAAATGAATGAACTACTTTCTCTAAGCCGTCGGCCCAGATTGAGGTTGGCTCCGACAGACTCGACAGGCATCAGTTGGCAGGGTTTTTCTTCTGTGCTCACCACACCCGGACGTTTCAGTAAATTTGCATGCCAGACTTAACTGTCAGTCATCATTTTCCGCCGTGAATGTCCCAGCTACCGACGACAGACCTGCAGACATTTTCCTTCTTCTTGCTGTGCTGACTATTTACTCTGCTGTGGTGTATCTGAGGTTGCACATTCTTGCTCCTGGCAATCATTTCGTGTTGTCGTCTATTCGCAGTGGCAGGAATGTTATCAGGCCAAGGTTACAGAAGAGTTTGACTGAGATTGTGCTCACTGAGTCAGCAGTCGAAGACTTTCTAACAGTAAATGAATAAATCGTCAGAAAGCAAAACTTCAACGTAAAACAACAATAATGACCATGAAGGGGAAAAAACTCTGTGCCTTTAAGGAGCAGGGGGGTCATGTCCCACACTGGCAGTGCTCTGACAGGATGGTATGTCGGCCCTGATGAGTTGGCCCATTCTGCTGAAGAGTTTTAAAAATAGACCCTCCTGAAAGATCAGCTGTTGCTGCACCCCAGTTTTAGATTTGGTCTGTGGGTGGGGGAAGGGGAGGGATGTGGCTGAGCAACTGTCCACCCCATCAGCATGGAGACATGGGAGCAGAGAGTCGCTTCTTTGAACCGTTAGACAGTGCCGCTGCAGGGAGGTGGAGAAATTGTCTGAAGGCGGTGATAGTTTCGGATCGCTGGTCCATCAGCGCGCTGTTGTTGTTTAGTTCTCGACATCCTGCAGGCTTCGGAGAAACTAGATGTTGTAAACCTGACTTAGTTGAGACCAAAGGGCAGCAGACCACACAGCAGGAAAGAATGTCAGAGCAGAATACCAGAGCATTAGTGTAGCTGTACTTTAGGGAGTTGGTACCCTACACATGTCAGATAGCTTGAATCCAGTTGTAAACAGTCATTTGAAGTCTGAAACTGGCACACCGTGGCTGACCCGAGCTGCTCCGGCATTGTTTTAAAATATGAGGCAGCACTGACTGTATCACAGCTGTGGTAGCAGGACGCATAATAACCAAGGAATACTTTGTTTGGTTACAGACAGTAAAAGCTAGGGCCTGACCAATATGGATTTTTTGGGGCAGATGCCATTACCGATTATCAGGGGGGGAAAAATCTGATTAACAATTAATCGGCCGATTCTTTTAAATTTTTTATGAAGTTATAAAAAATATATATATATATACTGTAGATATTGTAGACTACTGCTCTTCATGCCCACTTCAACTACCCACCCCCCACCCCCACGTCTTAATTCACGTTACTCATTTCCGGTCTCATCTGGAGACATGCAGCTGCCTCAGTGAGAGTTCGATTAGTCTCAAACGGGCAAAAATTGGCCGATTTAATCAGTTCGTCGATAAATCGGTCGGGCCCTACTTTATAATGAGTGATACAGTTTTTTCTATCACCGTCTATCAGTTCTTGTTTACTTGACCTGAAACGCCAAGTTTTGAGCTTTAGGATCAAATTTCAGACTGTCTGACTGTTAATGAGTTTACTCAGGATTTCTGGAACTTTCCTCGATTGTTTGTCTTTTGGTTTAAGAGAAAAAAATACGTGTTCCTGTTTGTTGAAGCAGTCAGCTGTTGGATTAATTCTGATGAGGACGCCAACTTTTTTTATTTTTGTTTGGGTGATTAACCAACCGCTCCATGAAAAGAGGACAATTGGCCCAAAAGGATTAATCAAATCCCCACATGCTCCAGCTTTGTGTCGGGGGATTTTAGCTTGTTTATTTTTGTCTGCAGAAGTACATAATGGATTCAGTTGTTCATACGGGGATCAACATGGTATTATTGGTATAAAATGAAATGATAGACTTGTAATATTATTTGTAATAACTTGAAACAGATGAGAAGTAAAAATATCTGATTCTCCCCAAATGTCAGTCTTCTTCTTCTTCCTCTGTGAGCTGTTTTAGCTGTTACCCTGCTGAGTGTGACGTCTGCTGTAAACCACAAATACGAAGCCAAGCGAAGTAATGACAGAGCGTTCACCCAACACAAACATTGGGGCTGTGACGGTATGCCTGCCAGCTATCTCCTCAGTTGCAGTTTTACCAATGTTAACACAGCTTGCAACCACCTTAAACATCATAAATTTGATCCAACAAACTGTTTCTACTGCAGTATTTCACTTATATGTACTGCAGTATAGTCAGGCGTTAAACCATCGCCCTTTATGGTAGATACATGTGTTTACCTTAAAGCACAGCCTCAGATATTGATTATTGCAGCTCTGATAAGAGTCCTGATATAAACTCTCACTGTCTTAAAAGGTAAATAGTCCAAGTTTGAATCACACCCAAACATCACACTGTGTCAGAGTAGGAATCCAGCTGATCCTGTTCATGAGCTCACGCTCGGCTGGTGGATGTTGTTAAATGTAATTGGACAGCACCCTTGATAAATATTGACCAGTAGTTGAGGATTAATGTTCTTGAATGTCTTTGAAAGTCATAACAAGTGTTTATCGTACTGACAAATTGAAGATACCAGTCAAGGTTGTTTGCTTTTCAAACACACACAAACACACTTTTCTTCACATAGAAAGTACTCCCAGTTTGGTTTGGATACTCCCAGTAACACTGCATTATAACACACATTTAATTCTGGATTTATACTGAAGGTGTAACTTGGCAGTGAAACACCACTGTGGAAAATCTCACTCCTGCACACAGAGGTGCTCTTCAATAAAAGCTGAATATTTGGGATTGGAAACCTGCATGAAAACAGGACTGTGGTTTCATTATTTTCACAGGACCCCCATATTGTCTGTTGACTGGCAAGGGTATTAGATTTCAAAGGTGTCCCTCTGGACCTGGTTTCAGATGTCTGTGTTTGTAGCTAACCAAGATGAACAGCCTCTGGGTACATCCAGAAAACTGACAAAGAGGGGGAGTTTAGGCTCGCATTGCCATTTTCTCCTGGCAGATGCATCTTATCTGCTTCATTATACAAATCCATGCATATTACCTGGTATACACCTCCCTGACAGTGTGAACAGATTAACTAATTAGCCATTAAAACCAAATCTCACACATTTGCCTCACAGTGAAGCATCCCCTGTCTGCTCAACCTCTCTTAGGTTCAAGTGACGGTCAGTTGAGACATTTTCAAATGCTTGTCTTTTGAGAGGACTGTGAAGTCTGATGTCTGTGCTGAAAGCTGCCGTCAGTGTTGACTCTGGACGGTGAGCCGCTGTTGACTTTTCACAGAAATGGTGTCATCAGATTTAGTCAGGATTTGCTGGGAAGAGAATAAAAGATTACGTAACAAAAGAGTAAAATGACAGATTTGTGTTTTAAGAGTGCTGCTGTGAACTTTAATCCTCATTATTTAAATTGTGTTACCTCAAAATAAACTGAAGCATCTCTGTTTGTTTTAGTAGCATATGTAAAGTTTCCAGTAGGTGTTGCTGTCCTGTTAAAAAACCTGTTTTGTTTGCATGAGTTCAGGGGCGCTAAACTGGGGATTAAGACCCCGTACTGGTTCAGGGTCTCTGTCAGAAACTCAGTGAAGCAGAAGGGAGAATCGGTTATTTAGAGGAGATTAGTCTGGGGGTTTATTCTGAGAGCAGCTTGTGTCATGATGGAGCATTTCAGCAGATACTGACTGACTGTTTTCTAGCAATAAAGCAAACTACTTTTAATGTATCCCTCAGTAAACCAATGAACACGGCTGCACAATGGTGCAATGGTGAGCACCATTCCTACTCAGCAAAAAGGTTCCTACTTGGAGTCCATGTGCGTGCTTGATATTTCTCTTTGAGCACTGTGGCTTCCTCCTATAGTCATAAAACATGCTTATAAACAAAAACTACTTCATTAAATTGGGATTTTATACGTGCAGTCGTTATTTAGTTAGTCCAGTGAAAGGCTGAGGAAAAAAAGATGTGCAACATGTTATTGGAGGTGTTTGAATCAGCTGTAGCACTTTATTTTCGACATGTTTCTGATGTTCAGTGTGATTTAATTTAAAGTTTTTTCTCCCTCATTCATCATTTTAACTAACCCTATAATTGCTTTTAAATTAGCTCCAACTTATCTGATTTTCCAAGTGATGTGAAAGCTTTGTGGGCATGTAAATAACCTTTTGTTGCCGTTATAATGCGTCCCAGGCAATTTTCTTTTTCATTTAACCACGTGTTTATTGTTCATTTTCTCGTTGTAAGAAGAATTCAATTAACTGTGTAGCCTGAAATGCCCTGTAACCATTTCCGCATTGTTACGGTTTCTGCAGAAAAGGGGAAGCCCACCAAACAATCTCCTCTTCATTTTTGCAGTCATTCAGAGAACATGACAGAGAACCACAGTCGCTCCTGCAGCCGCAGCCACGCGAGACGAGCAGCTCTCGTTTACTCGGTGACGGGACAGATGCTGTTTTGTAAAACTACACCTCTCTTAAATCTGAGCTCTCGATTTCATTCATAGTTTAATTGTGCTTCATTTCCAAACAGAGCATTTTGAGTCTAACATACTCTGATTTATCAAACAGCAGTACCACCTGAAGAAAACATTCCCCTGTAATCCCTCAACAGTCCTGGACCAAACAATTAACTCGTGTGTTTCCATGTGGGTTTGGACACAAAAACCCTGGCTCTGGTTCAGCTTCGCCTGCCTGACTCACGTCTCCTTAAAAGGAAGTGGCTCTGTGAGTGCCGACTTCCTCTTCATGACATCATCACTCGCACAGCGACCGTACAGATTGTTATCACAAACTCTTTCCTGTTTATTCGCCATGACTGAGTTTCTTCCACAGCTCAGGGAGCGGCGTGGGGGGTGGGGCTCGGTGGGAAAGGAGTGTGGGCACCGACTGTGTGTGGTTATGTGATTGAATCGGGAATATTTTGGTTTGATTTGGTTGGATGCTCTTGAAAAGTGACAGCTGAATAAGCAGTGATGCTGCTTCAGGAGACGTATTATTAGTAATGTTGAAACATTTACTTGCACTGCTCTGGCAGATTTATGCTCCTACTGGACAAAACGGTTATCCACAATTTAGTCATTTACTAGATTTTCAGATTGGCCTTCCTAACATAAATATTTAGAGAACTAGATTCCCCTACTTTAAATCTCTTTTAGATTAATCATAGTCAGTCTGCTACTGTTGTGTTTGATGATCTGCCAGTCGGATTTTAAGTTTATTTTTCAGTGTGAGGTCTTTTTACTTCAATTCTTAATGTAACAGTGTCATTTCTGACGTGATAATGTGTTTAAACGTATAATTGCCATGACTGGAATCATTATAATCGTAAGGCTTTACACCGTATTTAATGTAGTTTATAGCAAAATCATGAAATAAGTTTACTAATGAAATAAATCCTGGTAAAAATGACATCTAGAACAGCTGTTTGACAAATAAGGCAGGTGAATTGATCAGTATATAGTGATATTGATTTAAGGCCATATCGCCCAGCCCTTAGTCGAGCTACAGTTAACAGCATTACATGGACTAATGTGTTTGTCCCAGTTTACAAGTGCTGCACAAAAAACCTGATAAATGACAAAAACATGTCCACCCACAGTAGGTGGCGACACACACCATTTCAGCTCGTTACCGTCAGGTCTTTTTCCGGTTTTTGTGTCAAAACAATTGACAAAAATGTGTTGGCAAGAGGGATATACATTACATAAAATAATGAATGTTGTCATGTTGTCATCGTCCTCTTCTATATTCAGTAACAAACTGCCAAATCCTCCCCAACGATGTTTGTGAGTTGATTTGGGGTTCAGTTGATTGTAGGGCTGGGCAATAAACCAAATATTTACCGATACCAAAATTTACGACAATAACTGATGTCATTTTGCCCATATCGGTATATTTGTGTCAAAAAATGTATATATAAAAGTTTGTTTTAGATGTGTGTAGGTAGGCTATGGTCTCATGTCCGTTTAAGACGCTGTCCTACGTCAGAGACGTGACTCTAAACAAAGAGGGAAAGACAGGACGGCTAAAGTAGACGAAGTTAATGTGGGAGGGGGTGAGCAGCGCGTGGAGCTCATTATCGAGGTGAACTGCTTAATATATCGTGAAATTGATTTGAGGACATATCGCCCAGCCCTACTTGATTGACGGCTCAAGATGTTATTAACTTTGAGTTTTAAGTGCTGCTGCTTTCGCTGCCCATCTCCAGAGTCCTCTTCTCTATATTCGCCTCATGAAACTCACAAATCTTAAGGTTTTGCTCTGGTTGAATCTTCCTCTCTGTGTGCAGAGTCCCTGAAGTTCAGGCCTGTTACAGCTTTCCTCCACTAAACCCATTATCCAGGCATCTCAGCCTCCCTCTCTGCAGCCCAGAAGCTGGGAGTAAACAGTTTAAATTTGTACCATATGAAAGTAGCATGAAGAAGTAAATCATCCTATGCCACAGAAATTCCTTTCTGCTACTGATCTGTTATTCAACTCACTCACTGAGCTACCTTGGGTAACTTCCTGTCGAGTATTACTTCTTTCCCATCATGCTTTGGTTGCAGTGAGAGTTGCAACATAAACTATTACAGCCTGAGGCCCCATGTTCAGGCTACAAGCAGCTTCCTATTACTTCCACAGGGGGAAAACAAGGAGGGCTCTGGGTGTATGGACGATTGAAAACATGTGGGCACCATTGAGAAAAATATAAAAAATGATGGTCATGTCTTCAGGTCACAGTCCTGATGGAGTGACCCACAGTGTCTCTAAAAAGGAAAGCCCAGTGCAGTGTCTGTTTAGGATTTCCTCCTCTAATTATTCACAGGAATCATTTAATCTTCAGGGTAAGACAGCTGCTTTTGTTGGTACTTCTTAAAATTGTGATGAATCGATTCACAAACTCTGCTGCCTCCATTGTTTTATTTCTGGACGTGTCTGAGGTGTGTTATTTATTCCTCTCTGGCCTGTTTTCATCCGCTCTGTTAGTTGCTAACCAGTTTGTTTGTTGTCCTCTACAGCTGTTCGAAGTTTGTGGTGCAGACTTGAGGTTTAGAAAGGATGTCTCTACTTCTGTCAGTGTGCATGCATCCTCAACTCCTGTACACAAAGAGGGATCAGTGTTTGTGTGGTGGTTTTATCTCAACAAATATGTAACACAGAGAGTCAAAAGTTGCACTTAAAGCGTGCAAAATGCTCCAAGAGATTCATCTGAATAATCGAGTTTTAAAAATATTCACAAGACCAGACTAGTTTTGCAGAAATGCACTGGAGACTGTTAAAAATAAAAGGTATTCGTATTTATTCGCTGTAGTTTTCATGGTCTGTATTTGGGACGTGAAACTGAAGGCTGATTGTGTCCTCTTGTGCACCCTGTTAAAAAGAAAGTTCCCTCTCTTGACTCATGTCTGCGGCTTTAGCGTGAGCCGAGTCTTTCAGCAGCCACTCCCTTCAAGGCAGCGTTTGGGAGGTTCATAAAGAGGAAATAAGCTCCTTTTTTCCGTTAAGTCATCGTAACCTTCAATTGTATCATAATCAGACTGTGTGTGTGTGTGGATCCACTTAACAGTCCCACCTCATTTCCAATTCAACCAAACCTCCAGTTGGTCAGAAATCCGAGTTATTTCTGTATGCTGTCTTTGTCCAGCCTGTCAGCGCTCATGGTCATTAAAATACCCGTCCTGCTTTCGGTTGCTGAAGACCGGTATTCAGGGCGTGGGAACTCAGCTCTCTGGAAACACTGTCAGACCAGGCTGGCATTTAGTTGTGGTGATACTTGAAGGCATGGTGCCCTTGTGGATTATCAGTCGATGACGTTGACAGACACCAGGCCTGCGTGTCTGTCCTCTGCAGTCACCTCAGTGTGGGGAACATGTCCTGTTTGACCAACATAAGAATCCTAAAGAGCTAAATAAAAGTTTTAAATTTTCTTCTTGGTCTAAAATACTCAGAGATCTTTAACACCACATGTGCAAATCTCCTGTAATAGAAGTTGACCTAAAGTGCTGACTTTGTCTCACTGTCAGACTCAGTTTGCTCTTCAAAAACTCAGATAACCTCTAAAAGAACAACCCTGGACTCCTCAAAACCTTATGTGACACATTTTGGATGGAAGTGCATGGAAATTTGAGGTAAAACTACCACTCTGTTGTCAGTGGAAACTATGTGATGATAATTGAAGTAGTCCTCCCCCCTCCCTCTGTGCAGGTTACCTCGCTCTCTGTAGCAGACTTACGATCAGAGGAGTTCTTCCGCAGTTCCCATATATATCAGTACATATGTCCCCCCTGTGCACCAAATGCTGTTTCTGTTATAGCAGGTTAAGTCAACATTTTTATCAGTACAGTCTGCTGTACCTAAAAAAAAAGGGTGACGTAACGACTGCCTCTAGTTAAAAACATTCACCAAAACCGTATCTGTCACATCTCTTCAGTGGTATCGTCAAACATAAACAATCGTCCTCCTAGAGGCAAAAGAAGCACTCTAAATAAACTTCTATTTTTTTATCCCGAGCATTAAGTTTTAGCCTGACTTTGTTTATGTTTCAAATTTAGACCCTGAAGTATGTGATATTGTTTCGACAGTATTTTACCATCTGAGCATACTATTGGTTTTATAAAAATGCAAGTCAGGAGTAACAGGGAGGGTAAAATGCTTTAAATAAAACTCCTCTTTAACTCCTTTTCTATGTCTCAGCATTTAACCATTTCAAACGTCAGCTCATGTCTCGGGAATCATTCTTGTAATGAACTAGCTCATTATCTCTCAGGGGGACCACCACCTTATTGAGACGGCGCTGAATTAGAACAGATTTGATGAAACCAGGACCATGTAGGTCATTATAAATAGCAGGAGGGATGGAGAGGTGTGAGCGTGTCTTTTGGCCCATTTAGACGCATCTTTCTGACCAGAGGCTGCTGAAATACACAGACTTAGAATCTTAAACAAAGATGCGCTACAGATAAATATCATTAGTTTTGAATAAAGTAAGTTAGTTTTTGTTAGTTAAAGTTTGCCAATAGTAAACTATCCCAGTTTGTTTTAAACCAGAGGTGTCTTCTCAGCTTTTTGAGTTGGTCACACAGAAGTCCTACCCAAAAAAAAGGATGGTTATGAAATCATTCACTCCTTGGCTGGCACTCAAACACTCAGCATGAACCCTTAAAGTTAATCATGACTACAGCCCTGTCGGTCATGTTTATGTAAAGACCTTTCACATTTCTGAATGCTCACTTCTCTCTTATAGAATAACATTTTCTTTCACCAACACTTCTGGACTTACTCATGCTCTATACTCCGACACACCCAAGCTTTTAAAGCAGAATTTTTACGATCTGTTCCCTTAAAAAGAAGGTAGGAGTTTTGGGAAAGTTTACAGCTATCAGTAACTGATAGTTCAGCCTTTCCTCCTCAATCTGTGTGTTACAACACGTGTAGTCTGCGTTGGCATAAATAAAGTGATATTTGATGAGAGAGTACCTGGGTGAGCCTCCAAAATATATTTGCAAGTAAGTTAGTTTAACTGAAATGAACTACATGATAGAATCTGATAACCTGCAGCGTCTGACAAACGCTCGACTCCAGGTGATCGGAGAGAGTGAGGGAGGCAGACGATGCAGATGAAGTAATAGTTTCATGTGGCGCCTCCACAGGCCTGAAGCATTTCCATTTAAAAAGTCTGGATTGTCAGTATTAATCTTCTGCAGTTTGTATCATTTGTTTGATATAATACAGTTTTTTATTCTGCTTTTTGCACCACTCTTTTTTTTTGTCATTTGCAGTGCATTTCTCCTCTGGGTTATAGTGCATGACGTGTTTTTGAGTTTGTGTCATTTCTGCAGCTGACCACACAATAATGCTTTCTGGGTTTGGAGAAACCTTAGTTGTACATGAGGGTAACAGGAATCCTGTCGTTGGTTGGACGATTCGGATCATGCTAGTTAAGTTGTCATTTACGGAAAGCTCTAATTCAGTGTGATTTACTGCTGCCAACAACATGCCTGTAAAGTCACGTCTTTATTCCTGTTTTCTTTCCTCTCACTCTCCATGTAAACGGGTGACAAATAGGACTTAGAAGAGCTCTTAACCGCTGAGTTTGTTTTACAGCAGAGAGAGTGAGAATCAGTGCTTTGTCATCCTCAGAGTAAAGTGCTCATGTAAGAGGAGGTCTTCAAGTGCTGCGTTTCTGCTGCTGGAGGCAAATTGACTGATGACATGCCGCTGCTGCTTTCACACTGCAGCTCTGTCACCCCCGAGGGTCGTTGGAGATAAATTTCTGTTTAGAGCAAGAGCCGGTGTGTGAAATTGTGTCAGCGCTATTAGAGCATTAGCTTTGGAGAGCTTTTGTGAGCGCGTCTGTCGTCTGAATGCCACGGGCACGAATGTGAAGAATCTGTAGGACAAAGAGCAATCATTCACTTAGAGGAAATGCCATCCAGGCAGGGAGTGAGTGAACCGCAGAGAGGACAGGAATCAGTGAGGAGGAGTTAGATTATATTTAGGAAACCGCCTTCATCGCTCTGATGAATGTCTCTGTTACCTGCTTGGTCAGGTGTTTTAAAGGAGTTATGAAGGAATATATTTATTGTCCTGTTAGACATTCACACTCATCCTTGAAGAGGAGATGCTGAACATGCACTCAAAGCTTACTGCAAGGTGTATAACTCATATCTACTGATGCAGCAACAAGCCCGCTGTTCCCAGGTCACCCTGTTCTGCACTGCTAACACACTGAAAGCAAACTCAGACGGTCATTGTGGACTTTATCATGCAGACTAAGGAGTTTGTTTTTAAAAACTTGATATAATAATAAAAAAAAGATGTGACATGAGTTGTAGTGAGAAAAGGTAATGCTGCACTGACCTCTAAAGGTAGACCACAGCCATTATGGCCGTCAGGTGAGGTCCAGTGTGCTTGTGTTTGCACTCTTCAGTCAAACTCAGAGTTATGAGCATGTACAAGAAATTTAATAGGCAATGATTTTGACTCTGCAGATTTTGTAGCACTTTATAACATGATTCAATTATTTTTTTACTAAAGAAGAATAAAGTTACCCAACCCCTTTGCAAAGACTTAATTCTGACATTCAGGGCATTAAAACACTATTATTAATTAATTTATGAATGAAAGAAGAAAGACCAGATTTGTCAAACACTGTATAAACTAAAGCTGTCAACGTACAGTTTTATACTGACACACTGAACTTTGTGACGTTTTAATAATACTCGTGATTTTACACAGTGACACAGAGTTGAGACTATGAGAAGAAAACACAGGACCGACCCATCTATGATGCTACACCTAACTGTCCCCTATGGTCGATAAGAGGAAGACCAGCTCCACCCTAATATTAAACCTCCACCTGTTACACTTTGTAGACCACAGCAACCGAAGTGTAGACATCCTGACAATGAGTAAGAGGCAATGGATTGAGAGTAATGTTTACTGAGTAGTAAAGTCATCTTCTCATTGACTTGAATGGGATTTTCTTCTTATTGAGTCGCCCCCTGCTGGGGGAAGAAAGCAAGTTTAAGACATTTCTGTTCAGGCAGGTGTTCTAAAATAACAGCACTTTATCTACTTTTTATACATTCTCTACTCTGTTTACACCTCAAACCGACAGTGTGTAATAGAGATCTGCACAGACAAAGGTTTCATTCATGACACAGTAGGAAGAGAAGATGTGAGCCTTGTTCGTGGAATGTGAACTGTAAGATAAGATAAGATAAGAAGATAAGAAGAACTTTATTAATCCCTGAAGGGAAATTCAATAAATAAAGAAAATGTGGTTTTATCCCAAATAAGTTCAGACACGGTTAAAACTTTGTTTCCACAGGGATTTTTTAGGTGAAGCGTCGTTTTTCTTAAAGAGTAAGATGACGTCCAGGTCTATTATTCAGACTTCCTGGTGGAGGGCATGCAGCCAGAGTACTTAAAATTTTTTCTCCTCAAAATAACAAACAGCTCAGAGTTTAAAAATGAAGGTGGGGAACTGTCAGAAAAACTGAATCAAGTCTGTGAAAGGTTAGACTCTTCCTACTTCTCTTCAGAGTGTTTCAGATGGCTACATAAAATTGAACAGAGTCATGAATACATCTCTCTCCCTCTCTCTCTCTCTCTCTCTCTCTCTCTCTCTCTCTCTCTCTCTCTCTCTCTCTCTCTCTCTCTCTCTCTCTCTCTCTCTCTCTCTCTCTCTCTCTCTCTCTCTCTCTCTCTCTCTCTCTCTCTCATTGTGCTGTCCTGTAACTTGGTCATAATGACAGATATAGAGGAAATGCATTCATGCGTTGGTAGGAGGGATCACAATGACCCCGCCTAGAGGCAAACAGACTCGCTGCAACCATGCCGTGTCACCACAAAGTTAGAGGAAGGAAATGCTTACACACACACACACACACTCACACACACACACACGCTGTGTAACGCACACTCATACAGTACACACTCAGAGAGAGGTCCTTTTAAGGAAAAGGTCCTGCTCCTGCCTGAGAGCTGAGTGGAGCAAAGGCAATGCCTTCAGATTCAGAAATGAAGACACACATGTTCACATGAGTGTGTGTCTGCATAGAGTCTGAAGAAGCAGATCTTCTCTCCTTGTAAATCTAGTCGACTACATCTGTTTGGAGTTTGAAAGACATCTGATACTCTGTTTTTATAGATGCTGGTAATCCACTCGACATAACAACAACATGTTCTATGAAGACCGACAACCTCAGGGTGATGATTCAACAACGTTACTGCTGTACCAGTGTCCACAGGCAGGGGTGTTTTAGCTCAGTGTGAGGCCATTAATTTGAGTTTTTTAGGAGAATCCATAAACCTTTAGTAAAAATGTTGTGTAGATTTACGTATCAAGTCAACGCGTAAGTGCAAAAACTGTGTCTTAGATATTGAATATAAAACTACACATGTTGTCCATCAGCTTTGATAACATTTTCAAGATTAGACGCACAAACTCTGACGAATATATCTAAAATGAAGTTTTTATTATTTGTTGTTGTGTTGATTCTCGAAAAATATGTCTGTTTTCAGAACAGTAGTCCAGTCAAATTGCCTCGTCCAGCTGTAACTGCAGGTTTCATTACATTTCATTTCATATACTTTATTCTCTCTGATGGTTCTGCAGTCGTAAGAGGAACAGCAACATTTACAAACACACCACAGTCACAACCTGTTGAGATCACATTCAAACGGCCCTATTGCACAGTTCCAGTGAATAAATAGATAAATAAATAAAAGACAGTTAAGAGAGAAGTCGCAACTACAGATTGCCTTGTCTGTGCGTGTAAACTGACTAAATGTTGTTTTTTTCTTTTATATGTAAAGGTAACGAATCTTCAGCTTTGTTTTTTTTCTACTGATTTAAACAGGATTTTGACGACAACCTGAACCCACAGTGGAAACCTGTGTGGATCATATTTTCATAAACCTCCTCAAATCTATTATAGGTCTTTATTCCCCAGGAATTTATGTTCCTTCTGCTTTTCTCGATAATTTAGGTGTGTACCCAGCTCAATTGGCCGCTCTCTCACTTCCCTTTGTTTTGTTTCCTCTTTCTCTCTCTCTATTTTTTATCCACTTGTTTTCCCAGGCCGAAGCCAGGCTGGCGGCGAAGAGGGCGGCCCGGGCGGAGGCGAGAGAGATCCGGATGAAGGAGCTGGAGAGACAACAGAAGGAGGTAGAGTATAAGTTGAGAGGAGCAAGAACATACAGGTGACACCTCCTGGTCTTTAGGCTGAATCCAGAGAAGGAGGTCATCATGTTAATCCAGCGTGAATTCATCTTCTGGGGTAAGAGGTCAGGGGGTTGACGACATGATGCTGCACTTTCCTCCTACTTCACAAACAAATACACAAACAGGTGCTGCTGTAAAACGGTGTGTGTGTGTGTGTGTGTGTGTGTGTGTGCGCTCAGTGGTGTATTAGTCGAGTTTTTCTTGTTGAGCAACACTGATCAGACCCATGGGGAGTCCTGCTCACTATTCTTAGCAGGTAGTAATCCCAGACACACAAACAGACTTCCGCCTCTCACCTGTTGAAACCAAACTTATTAAGGTTGTCTGTTTTCTGTGACCAGAGAGGATTGGGATGCTAAGACCCCTGGAACTCTAATTAGTCGTATACCAGGTGGCCGAGGTCGTAAATCTGTTTGAACTTTCTCAGGTCAGCCCCTCCTGTGACCTGAAGATATTTGCAGTCGGTGTAAGTAGCAGGAGAAGCTGTCTGACGGGAGAAACGCAACAACGTTTTTGATTTTTGTTTTAAATGAAATAAGAAATTAAGAAATAATTCGAGTGGAATTCACAGATGAAGGAGACTGGTTTGATTCTCCAGGGTTGGAAAAACTCCGGCCTCTATTTTGCACTGATGCAATTACAGACTTTCTTTTAGCAGTGTGCACTTTGGCCCCTCCGTTTACCTGGATTAAGACACAACGTAAACAACACTCACAAAACAAACAGATGGCAGTGTTTTCCACTTTTGTGAGGGAAGGATTTCACAGCCAACTCTGTGACTGTCTGACTCCAAAAAGAGGAAATCTTGAATATCTTACTTTTTTATCTTCATAAATATCTGATCTATTAAGGAAACTAAATTATGAATATAATCAGAACAAACTCGTCTCTCCTCATGGTTCACTGGGATTATAAACACTCAATCACAGAGTCATCAAACAGAGGTGTGAAAGAACAATCGACATGTACACATCCACATTTGCATACACACACTCAGGTCATACACACTGACTGGATTAATGCTCATTGTTAAGCTAAGTGTGTTCAGAGGTTGTGTGTGTACATGTGTGTTGGCGTGCATGCCTGTGTGTGCCATAAACCCTTTAGCCGAGTTCTAAAGTAGCTTAGCGGGTTGCTTCGTGCCCCAGCCTGCAGCGGAGGAGTTGTTGTTGTTGTAGTTGTTGTTGCCGTGTTGTTGACGTGAACTATGGGTTGCTGGACTCACGACGACCTCCGGGACTTTTGGGAGTTTGCTCACACGGTTGAACCCGGACTTAAAGGTGGATTATCGGCGGTATAGCAGAATAACGTGCTGGTGCTTCTGTCGCTCTGGGCCCAAATCTCAGTACTTCGCTCCATTGTGATCCTGCCTACATGACCAGCCGTGGTCTCACCGGCTGACCGCCGGAGGATGCAACCTTTTCTGGAGCCTTGAGGGCAGCAGGACGGCCGGGCGTCGGCTGGCGGGGAGGGGGCTGAGGGCCGCCCTCTCTGGGCGCCCAGGAACCCCTCCAATCAAAAAGGGGAGCTTGGTGAGTGGGAAAGAAGGGGTGCAAACATGTAAGCTGATTGTGTAACTGAGAGGGAGCTTATGACGACGTCTGGTTTCTTCTAATTGGTTGTCCAGACATGTAATGAGAGACAAATAAGCGATCGAGATCCACCAACCAGTTTTTGGCCTTTTTGGTAAATTAGTTTTCACCTGTCAGCTTTATTTCCTTCAATCTATATCTGTTAGCAGAAGCAGAAATCAGTTTCTGTTTGCTTTTAATCAACAGTTTATGAAGGCAGAGATGTTAAAATCTCATATATGTAGAGCTTCATGGAGCCCTCGTATTATTTTCATCACTTTTTAAATCTTTTATTTACTCAAAAGTCCAGAGAGATGATTTGATTTGGCTCCGAAACAAACTGTAACAGAATTATTTTGTTGAAACACACAAACAAATGAGATTATCAGCGACAAGATTTGTTGACTTCTCCATCGTTGTTATTCTGGATGTATGAAATCGACCTGAAATCCTGCAGAAAATGACAAACAGAGCACTGTGGGAAAAGCTTTCACATTTTCATTAGTAAATATACTTGTTAAATAATACATGTTGTGAGTAAACCTGAGATTTTGTGGGGAAAAAGAAGAACAAAGTTAGCACAGAGATAAGAGGTATTGCTTTGTCTACATCCAAACTTAACTCAAACCCAAATTCCTGACCGGAGCTTTAGGTGTTCAGTCAGCGAAGAACTTTAGACTCAACTCATGACACTGGCGCCTCACAGATGTCACTAACTTTAAGTCATTTAATCATTAATATTATTTTTCATGAGTATAGTGAAAACTCTTGGCTTTGAAATTTCTTAAAAGTGGGAATCTCTCAGACACTTGAGGAACTGCATATTTTTGCACTTCTGTATCGTCCTCATTTCTGAAAACTGTCCTCTCAGCGCTTGATCTGACCTCTGCAGTTCAGTTTTAACTGCTCAGACGAGAGGGTGACTATATGGTGCTGCAAAAAGTCTGAGTCTGCCACTGTTGGTGGCAGGGACGTGACCTTTCATCCGGACCGAACCTATAAGTCATGATCAGTGGCCTGATCAGTGTCGAAGAGTACTTGTTGTTCCAGGAGTGTCACAGAGGTCAGAGAGGTCATCAGTGAGCCCATCCCTGAAAGTACAAAGCAATCCAGTCCAGATAGTGGGCAGGCATACAGGACAGACATTAGTAGTAAATCTGGATTAAAGCTCTCGCTCCATGGTTTGAAAAGTGCAGCGGTGTTCGGTGTGTTTGAGAGCGCTGGGTATTTTCAGCAGTGGTCAGGAAGCACAGACAGGTTTTATAAATAGTTAAGAAAATCGAACAATCAAAGACTTTCGCTCAAATAAACCTCCTATAACACAGTATTCACTTAACTCTCCTGTCTTTGAATGACCTACAAAAGCAAACCAGATCATCAGTGGGATGATTTTCTATTTCTATGCAGTTATTTTAGTGTCATCATCTCATCAGGTTATTATGACAAAGCCATTTCCTGCACGCACGCTGTAGAAGTCTGTGTTTCCTCTGGACAGAACAATACCAGCAGAAGCGTAAAGACATGAGCTTTAAAAACAGACAGTGACTCTTCACAGTGATGTCCTGCCGTCTCTACATATACCTCCAACTGACCCCTCACAGCAGAATCAGGCATTCGGAATTATACTATAGTAGTGATTGAGGTTGTTACTGGTTGTCTTGATTCACAGGGGCTTTATTGACAGATTTCTTGTCTCTAGGGTCCGTACAGGTTTGTGTAAATGTTATTCAGATCTTTACAATCCAGTTTAAACTTTGAGAGGACCCTTCAAGAAAGTCAACAAATACGCAAACTCATGGAAAGTATGACATTTAGCATTGACAGCTCTTAATCCTGTGACTCTGTAAGTTTGGGGGCTGATGTGAAGTAACAGGTCGGGGCTGCAGGAAGGTCAGTTTAGCACCAAAATTAGCTGCATTATGCGAGGTTGTCCCTGAAAAAGAGCTCTCTGGATGGCAGCAAATGTTGCTTAAACCTGTATAAACCGTTCCGCAGTAATGGAGCCCTCCTAGACAGGTAATCTACCCATGTCATTGACACTTCAGCATCACTACACCATCATTGAACTGAGTGTCAATGACAGACTGGGTTGTCCCTCCTTCCCTTTACTGCAGAAGGCCTGAAAATCACCTCCACTCAGTGCTGATTTCATGTCTGGTACTGCAGATGATGAAATACCCAAATTTCATTCTGCACTCTAACACTGAAGGACTTCAGCACCCTTCTTGTGCACTAAGTTCTTACTCCTTGGCATAAATCTCTAAACCTCTGCTCTATTTGGACACCAAGGCTGATTTTGGTTCCTGGTACCAGGAAGTGTCAGGGGCTGTTTGTCACAAGACTTGGATCTGCGGTCATGGGAACATAGACCTGAATGTGACACCGGTACACCGTAGATTTCTGCCAACCCGAAAGCATGATGGGAAAGTGCTCTCTCTCTCCCTCTCTTGTGGGCGCAGTGATTTGTACGTTTTCTTGGGTCACTTGCTGTCGGTCCTGGGAGCAGCGGGGTACTTCACATTCCTGAGTAGCTCTCATTAGCAGAAACTCGTTTCCTCTTGCATGCTGTCTGTCTGTCTTCATCACTGCCTCCTCCAGCTGACTCTGCCGATTTTATTTCTATTTTTGTTTCATTTGTATTTTTTTTCCTTTTCCTGTCTTTCTTCATGTTCCTGCAACCTTTGCCCTCTTCCTCTCGTCGGTGTTGGTGTATAGATCTTTCAGGTGCAGAAGGTAGGCTCCTCTTCCTCATTTCCACCTTGTCGTCCATTTTATTCAAACATTATTTAATAAATCAAGATTGTTTAATCGCGCCCAAGATATACTGCTTTATTATGTGTTTGAATGTTTGTTTTCTTGCCCTCCTCTTAGAAATATTATGGCTTGAACACCAAAGTAGACGACCGATCAGACAGCAAATGGGGAGATATTGAGCAGTGGATGGTACCGTTTCTGCGTTGACTAAACCTGCATGAGTCTGATTTTACAATTTGATTTAATTCCTGTTGAGCTATTTTGGAAAATAAGAGATTATAGGGAATGGGAGCTCGGACATTCACGTTAATCCACTTATTCAGAGGAGCAGGGTGCCTGTTTGGCTTTGACTCAGCATGACCATCTGGCCTCTTGGTGTGAGCCCGCATGAGCTTTACCGCGAGTATTTACCACTTTAGTGACTGGTCTTAACCTACATACACTTTTAGGCGCTGCAGCGAAGAGTTTTGGCGTGTGAGTGAGTCACTGGAACTCCGACTGAACTAACCACCGTGTGTTTTTGTTTAACCGTAGTAATAAACTGTCAGTGTGCTGTAATTTGGTTTGACGTTGTTTGTGCAACATGGGTGTCTCTGTGGTTTCTGTCTGATGTTTTTGAGATCATGAACTGTTTCACTTTTCTGTGGAGTTAAAATTATCTGAAGGGATTAAATCTCGACAAGTTTATTCAAATTAGACTAAAAAGAAAGCATTTAATTCAGCGTCTGAGTTTGTTAATGTGTGTTCATTTTCACCAAATACCTTTTGGCTAAACCAACCCGCAATCAGGACTGCACCCGTCAATTCAGTCACATCCCTGCTGATTAAATATAAAGAGTCAAACAAAAACTAGATCTCAGTTTTGACCCTGAACTACTTTTTCTTCCCAGTTCTGGTGTTCGAAGTCTTGACACCATCTAATGTCATGAAAGGCTGATGGTCACACTCTTTACCGCCAACAATCTTAACTATGACTGCACTGTGTGATATGTTTGTCGTCATTTTCACACTGATTTTTGCAGGTTCTGGTGAATACACACCTTTTTTCTCTTCTGTAATAAGATTGACTTCTTCCTCTTTTTGTGAGGGTGTGTTTGATTTAGAAACGAGACAAACTCCATTTGATTCGGCTATCGAATCGGTTTAAACAAGCTTCCCTAATCTTAACAGAACAGTGACTTTTTCTGTATTTTATCCATTTTTGTCTCTTTTTCTTGTACGTTTGCAGATGATTTAAATCCCCACAAATCCTTGACTCTTTGAGTGCAGCTCTTCACTTTTCAGACTGAATCAACACTTTTTGGTTTCGATGAACACATGAAACTAAACTAGTTTCAAGACTTCCCAAAGTCTCCGTACCTTTAGCTGTTGTTGTCACCCTCTCCATTCCTCTGTCACCTTAACCTCTGACGTCTTCTCTTCCTCATTCGTATCCTTCACCTCCTCTCCTCGCCACCTCCTCCCCTCACTCCTCCAGGAGGACAGTGAGAGATACTCACGTTCTTCACGGATACACACGGTTTGTAGTCCTCCCTCTGTTTCCATCCTTTTTTCCTTTTTGTTGGTCTTTCCATTTCAACCATCGTCTTCTGCTGCTCTGTCGAACACCTGAGTGTCAAAGATAAAGATGATAGTGGCAAATTATGCTGAATGGAGGTTTAATGTTTTCAGGAAACAGACACCAGCGTTCACAAAACTGAAGATTAACGACAGTTTCACTAATAACACTATTGCTGATGTTCAATTATGTTCAGTACTTTTTGCTCACTATTTAGTTCAGTTTGTTTCTTTAAGCTGCTGTTAGTCTTTACTAATTAAAGTTATACACTTAACTGTAAATGCTGATGACTTTTTTAACTTTGAGTCAGGACCAAATGACCCAGAGACGTTTCTGCTCTTTAACTATTTTCAGACGCGTTACTCTGAATATTTCAGGTACTTTAACGATCCTTAAACAGCTACAGTTTGAGTCAGGCATGCTCAGATTTGTAGTTTCTAAAACACCAGTTATGTTTCTGGAAATAAGACCTTATTAGCTGTTTTTAGTCATTACATGAAATTGCAGAACTTGATTTTTTTATTCTTATATCTTAAAATCAGGTCCTACACATTAATGTATCAGCTGAATGTCTAGATGTTGGTATAAAACGTGAAAATTTGCAGTAAATGTCGTGTTGCTCCTGCAGGATTCTTCCTACCTGTTGACGTCGATCACAGAATTGACCTGTTTTTTCTCCTGAACCCTAACTGTCCGTTTTCATGTTTCTCTCTCACGCAGCTCTCTGATGAAGATGAGCGGATGTCGGTGGGAAGCCGGGGCAGTGTCAGGGTCAGTATCACTCAAACCGCACAGACTTAAAAAAAAAAATTCAACCACTCTCTTTGAACCTCCATTCTCCTCTTCTTGTTATCACGTTTCTTCCCATGTTGAAAGACAGAGCTTGTCTTTTTGAGTTTGGCTGATGTTGGAGGTGCTGTGTTGATGCTGTCAGAGTTGGCGGCACATTTATTGATGCTCTCGTGTCTCTTGCGCAGTCTGATCTTGATGCAGTTGGTGCTTACGGTGGAGGGGTAAGGCTTGATTTGATTCGATGACACCGGATGAGTTTAACCTCATTACTTAAACTCTTTGTAAATGAGTTGTTGTCGACTAACAGCCAGTTTGAAAGCATGAAGTAAACCTGTCTGAACCTCATTTCGTCATTCTGCATATTTTGTGATTTAACTGATGACTCTGGATAAACCTGAAGACTTCATTCTCCTCTTTTGGTCACGATTTCTTTCTGTGGAGGAACATCGACAGACTTGGAGTCGGTTAGATTAGATTTCCGTACAAGAACACAGAGTTATAGCTATTCTTATGCTCCAACCAAAACAGTGTGCGCTCTATTTTAGGAGCTGTTATGCCTCAAAATGTTTGCTGCTGTGTAATATGAAAAGATTCTGCATACCGACCACACTGAGGAACAAACCAGATCCAGAATATTTGGCTCCCTTTGTTTATTTTTTGTATAACTGCATATGGACTCACTGTGGGCTTTGGGAGCCTTTACAGTCCGACCAGTACAGAGTTCATTGTGTTTGTGTGAGCTGTGTGCTTGTTTGGTTTGTCTTTGAATAGAAGCAGAAATGTGATGGTGTTTTATTGACCGTCAATGAGCTGCAGAAGACCAGTTTAAGCTGTGGTTTTTATGTCTTTTGTTTTTAGTTTTACTTTTTTAAATTGTAGTTTGACTTTTTATCTTCTTCTGTAGGATAGTGATATGTTTTCATGGGTAATTGGTTTTTCAAAATGTTTCCTGAAGCACTAGATCTAATGAGAAGTTGAGCCTAGAGCTGGGCGATATGGCCTCAAATCAATATCACGATATATTGAGCATCTCGATAACGATAAATGGACGATAACTTCTCCACAAGCTGCTCACCCCCTCCCACTTTTGAACCGTCCTCCATCTCCTCACCTGTCTTACCCTCTTTGTTACAGACTGAATGGGGTGGAGTCATGTCATGAGACCATAGCCTACCTACACACAACCAAAACCAACTTTTATTTATTATTTTTTTGACCCAAAATATACCGATATGGGCAAAATGACGTCGGTTATTGACGTAAATTTCGGTATCTGCAAATTTTTGGTTTATCGCCCAGCCCTAGTCGAGCATTCTTCTCCAGAAATGCATCCTTATACTTCCTATTTAAAAACTTTAACTTGCATGGTTTCATTCGGACACCAAGATGCTGCAGCTTCTTCTTTGTTACGGTTGATAGTTGCATCGTTTTCTACCGTTTTCTCACTCTTTGCATGTGCGGTGTGAAAACTACATCCAGATTGTTTCCCCCTTCACCGCTCTGTCTCCTTCTCTGTCTCTCGCTCTTAAGGGCTCATCCTCAAACTCTCTGAAGAAGTCAAAGAAAAAGAAGAAGCACAAACACAAAGACAGAGATGTATGTAAAAAAAAAATTAAACCGTGCATGAAGAAGAAAAAACCTGCACAGAAACTTGATTCTCACTCTTTGTCCACAGAGGAACGGCTATGATGATGAGTACAGTGTTATATCCAGCAGGGTCAGTAGTTGTGTTGAAGTGATTGTTACACACATTTGCATGATAGACAACCTTCAGCCTGTCGCTCATGTCCCTCCTCTTCCTCACGCTGTCAGAGCTCCAGACTCAGCGATGAGAGCCGAGTGTCTCGCTCCTCCAGATTAGACCTGACGGTGCGTGTCGCCTCTTTTGGATCCTTAATGCTGCTCAGTGTTCGTCCAGAATAACATTTAACTTTACTTTGTCTTCAGTGAACTAATCCTACAACAACGACATACTCTGAAAATGTTTCTAGAGGCATGAGAATTATCCTGTCAGAGCTGTCAAACCTCTTTAAACAGAGCTGCCTGATTGACATAAAGAGGATGACATGTAGTGTTTGTGTTGTTGTTGTTGTTGGTGTTTGACTCTCAGAGCTCCAGACTGAGCGATGACAGCCGGCTGTCTCGGGCTTCCAGACTTGACCTGCAGCCGGTGGGTGACTCTGCACTGCAGACCGTGTTCTCTGATACGACTGACAGCCTGAAGTGTTTGCTTTTGTTCCAGAGTGGTGTTGTGTTTATTCTCAGTCCTCTTTATATAAATATCATCTTTAATGAGGCATGTCGTGAGTTTAATTTTTTAATTCAAGCAGTCTCACACTCATTGATGCATGCGTTGGTCTCCTTTGTATTGAATTTGCATTTGCAGTTTTTTGGCGGTTTACCTAAACTCTCTCAGTGTTGCCCTATTTTTCTCCTAATGACTGAAAGGTGAACAAATTTGGGATCTCCTCCAGCAGATTAAGTGAATTAGGTTGAAATGGTGCAACATAATCCTGCAGCCAAATCTGATCGATCAAAGTACAGCCACTAACAAGGCTTGTTTTTGTCCACTGAGACATTTTATTAACATCAGCAAAGAATCCTTAAAGAGAAATAACTAAGGCTGGGCGATATGTCCTCAAATCAATATCACGATATATCAGCCGCTACAACTTTTGAACCGTCCTCCATCTCCTCACCTGTCTTTCCCTCTTTGTTACGGACTGGATGAGGTGGAGTCATTTCTTATACCGATATGGGCAAAATGACGTCGGTTATTGTCGTAAATTTCGGTTTCAGTAAATTTTCGGTTTATCGCCCAGCCCTATAAATAACTCTTTCCAAGGTGAGGATCTGTGTTATTTATGGAGACAGCTGCAGTATCGCTGTCTCAAAAGCCTGCAGATCTCGGTCTCTTTGTGAGTCAGGTGAGAGTGAGAATCAATATACTTTTTTTTTTCGTTTTATGGCCCGATCTGTGACAACTGTAAGGACGTGCTTTTCAGTGAAACGTCTTCAATTCGTGTTGATTTCTTCTTCAAAAAGAGGAACTTTTAAACAGAAAAAAATCAACCACGAAAGGCGACAGCAGACAAAGTGGAGTCTGATGGCTCTGCACAAAGACAAGTAAAAGTTTCACAAGAAGGTTTTAATATATTCGAAGAAAGAGTCCATCTCTGCAATAATCTAATAACATTCTTAGACGTGTAGAATTATAATCTGCACTAAATGAAACACTCTTACAGACAGGCACGTTTGAAAGACATCTTTAGAAATAGACTGAAATGAAACCAAAGCATGCACAGACTCATCTCTAACCATATTGAATCTTAACAGGTGGAAGTCTCACACTGCACAGATAGAGTTTAAAGATTTCCTCCGTGCTCCTTCTCCTGCCTTATTCCTCTCCTTTCCTGCTGTACTTTTCCCTCATTTTAGGCTGCTTATGCTTCCTCTGACTTGTACAGCTTTAACGGTCTGTCCTCCTCCAGAAACCCAGGTTCAGCTTTCAATGGTTACCAGGTCGGTATGAAGAAGACAAACTCTGGACAGACATGTCTGCACAAACTCTGTTTTTTTTTCTCTGTAAGCCTGTGACCTCTCTGTGGAGGTGACACGATGAAAGAGAACGAGTCAATTAGCTCGTGTTTAAGTGTTTTTCACTACATGTCCCAACCTGCTGCTTTGTGAACCTCCGTCTTACTCCTGACTCCATGTGTTGCAGTTCTGCAGGTCTCTCAGTCAGATCACGCAGCAGCTCTATCGTAGGGTTGGTTTCATTCAGCTTTACCTTCCTTTCTATAACTTCCACACGCTGTTATATAAGACTCGTGATAATCACTCGCTCACTCACTCGAGTGTTTGTGAGGACGCCTCAGACTGAACTTGTTTATCCAAACGGATTTGATGATTAAATCAAAGGCTTCCCCTTTAATGCTTCATCACTTTTAAATTCACTTAACACTGAGGTCAGCATCTGCTCATTGTTGCTCTGGATGAAGACACATATAACAGGCGTGACGTGTCCACTGTCGAATCATAAAGCATGTCGATAAATCACACACGTCTTTCTCTGCTCTGATGACTCTGTTTACTCTTCTGTTTGTGTTTCTGTGTGTGTTTGTGTGCGCTCAGAGCTCCTTATACGAGGACAGCCTCTGCAGCGGGTCACGGCGAGTCACAAGCTCCTCCTCCTCCCACGTAAGATCTTCTTGGAAATCGAACCGTGGCCTTGGTTGCTCGCCACACCAGAGTGGATGTGTGTGAAAGAGTTTTTTTGTCCCCTGGGTTGTTAATACGACCGGCTAAACATAAGTAGATTTCATATTAATTCAGCGTTAATGACGATCTGTTTGTGTGATGAAACAATGGGCTCTGTGTGTGGAGTTAGCTTCTGTTTTCTTCAGATAAGCTCATTTCTCAGCGAGTTTTGCTGCTTCACGGTGGCTGTTTGGATTTAACTGTAATTGGGTCGTAGACTTTTGACCATATTTGGATCAGAAACTGGGTCACTACAGGTGATCCACAAGTTGGTTAGCAAATCAAATCAGTCTGCATGGTTACTTAGGAGTGTAATTTTCCTTACTGTAAAAAGACTAAAAACATAAATTCTTTGTATGTTCAGTGGTATTACCTCTCACTGATGAAAGCCTCCAGCCCCCTTTAACCCCAAATGTGCTAAGTGGTTTAGATGTTGGCTCCTGTCCTCTTCTGCATGCGTTTGCTGCCAGTGTAGTTTAGAGTGTGTGCGTGTGCAGGTATATACTGTCCTGACAGTGTGTGTTTTCTCCTCAGCCTCTAGAGTATTCTAGTTATCGCAGCTCCGGCTCCAGAGCCTCCTCCAGGGCCAGCTCGGCTCGCACAAGCCCAGTGGTGAGCTTTCGATCCGTGCTAATGGATTATTCCACGAGCTCATGTGAACTTAGTCTGAGGAAGTAGCTTAAAAAGTATTAAAGGTGGGGTAGGCAAGATCTGAGGAAGTGTCAGTTTTGGGGAGATATCTTGAATGTAAACTCTACCCCTCCAAACCAGTTTTCCCCTCAGCTCCTCTTCTCCCCTCAAGCCCCGCCCACAAACAGACGCTCCTGCTCGCTCGTATCGTTCCAATTAAATTTAGACATAATGCAGATAAATACTTCAGATAATTATAAATGGGGCCCAGTCAGTTCCTGACTGTTTTACATACTTGATTCTGATTGGTCAAAGCCCCTCTGCAATGGTTTTTATTAATTCTGAACAGCGAAAGTGACACAACATTGACAGCCTGGTCACACATTACAAATATCAAACTGTTCATTTGACCTCTTCCTGGTAAAAAAAAACGTTTCTTTCATGAAGCACCGAAAGTTGACATTTCTTACATATTTTTAACATTACTCTCAATTTTTTTTAAGATAATATTAAAATCATAAAACAGACTTCAGATTGGAGGTTAATGTTGGACCAGCTAAGAGCATGAAACAGTGAAGGCCATTTAAATAAAGGAGCTGAGTGAGAGAGACTTCAGACGAATTAAAGAAAGCGAACATGAAGCAGACAAGAGTCACAACACAGTATAAGTTATCTTGTTTGTATATTAAGTAAAGGGTGAGACAAGACTCCTCAACTGTCCATCAGGATTGTATTTTTAACCCTCAGTTAATCATGTCTTCATTTTAGTTTATATACACGTCATAACTCGTTTATTTAGTTGATCTAATTTTATCACAGATTTTAGGATTTAATGAACCTGTAATTGATGTATAATTACAGACACTTTTGACTGAACGTCACTTTTCTCCTGATTTATTGTTTTTAAACCTTAAAAACAACATGATTGTCTGTCTTTAAACCCATGAAGTTGTGGCTGAATCCTGCATTCATTCAGACTGTTTCATCTGGTTCTTCGTTGTTCTGTTACGCCCCCTGGTGGCTGATGTAGGACAACTGCGGCTCTGTAGCCAGTTTTCTGAGGAGTGCGGCCAGTAGCAGCGGCCTCCCCAGGGACCTGGACGATGTTACTATTCCTGACTTTTCTGACGTGAGTCGCTTTGCACGCGGTGGAGGACGAGGCCGTGAAGTGAGCTGAGTTTCTGCTTGGTTTGCTTTCTGTTTTTTTATACCTTGTTCTTTATTTTTGGACGTCACGTAACAAGGAGGGCTGAATAAAAGCTTTCTGTACCACTACCAGTGTGTGTCTGCGTCCGTCTGGAGTGGAGTTTGTGGTGTATTTCTAACACACTCAGATTTATTTTTGGCCTGTTTTATAGTTTGTGGTTTTGATTTCTGAAAAGGTTTAAATACTTGACTCTCTAAGTGTTTGCATGGTGTTGATTTCGACACGAAGACGACCTGTTCATGAGTAGAAATGATAGCACTTGTAAGTGTTGGGTTATTCTCTCTCTTGGCTCGTTTTTATCGGTAGATCAGAATGAGTCTTCACCGAGTTTGAAGAGTTTGAAGCATGCTTTCTCCTCCCGTCACTTTATCTCCTTGTCTCTGTTTCGTCTGACAGTGTTTTTTTGTCTCAACAGGTGGAGGACAGAGATTATCTGGAGAAGGTGAGACAAACATGAACTCAACCTTTTTGTAAAATGGAAAAAGTTTCAGATTAACTTCTGCTGTAAACTTTAATTCCTGAAACATGAACCCTGTCTTTAAAAGCTATTAGAGCTCTTTCAAGAGCATACAAGTAAAACCTTTTCTTATTTTCCTTTTGAAGGGATCTCGAGCAGCTTCGGCCTTAACAGCAGCAACCCTGACCTCAGTAGGCGGGTCCTCTTCACGGAGAGGAAGCGGGGAGACGTCCATAACAGTGGAAGCTGAGACCTCTATACGAGACATCAAGGTAACGCTGAACAGATCATTTTGGTTTGACCACGAGGTATCTCACAAGATTCTGAAATGAAAATCTGAACTTAAATCATAATCCATTCACTTAAGAAAACAGACATCTAACTTTGATGCAGGACGCTTTTATACCTCTTCTGAAAAATACTCCTCCGTGAATTTCTTTGCCTTTCATTTCCTCTGCAAACACCTCTCTTACCGCTGTCATCACCTGCTCTCCAAACACCACGTGTCGCCTTTTCTGACGCCGTCACGCTGCTTCTCTCTGCTCACTGCTTCACTCTTCATCAGGAGATTCATGAGCTGAAGGATCAGATTCAGGATGTGGAAACCAAGTACACGCAGAACCTTAAAGAAATCAAGGTACCGGCCTTTGAACCTGAACAGAAATCCAGGTTATTATTACTAATCTGTTTGGTGTGTCTAACCACCATCGGCCAATGGAGAGTCGTAAATATGCAGGAATGAGTGAAAACAAATAAGTAATAAATGACCCAAAGGACAAGACAGATAGATGAGTCAAACTTGCTGTAATTCATACGTTTTTGATCATGTGTAAATTTGGATCTTGCTTGCAAAGTTTTCATCTTGTGAATTTCTTTACAAAAGCTTTTACCTTCAGCTGTTTTCTTGCATCGTCTGCATTTTTTTGCACGCTGCATCCATCACCCTTGTTTTTTATTTTCATTACTATCACTAACAGTTTGTTACCCATCATAATATCCCTGTATTCTCTCTCTGTTACAATAACAGGACTCGTTAGCTGAGGTGGAGGAGAAATACCGTAAGGCTATGGTATCCAATGCCCAGCTGGATAATGAGAAAAACAACTTGATGTACCAGGTGGACACACTCAAGGACTCTCTCATGGAGCTGGAGGAGCTACTGTCCGAGTCTCGCCGGGAATACGATGAGAAAGTGAAGGTGCAGAGTTACACCGTTTAAAAGTTTCCTCTTTTTAAAGCTTTTTAAAAAGATTTATTTCAGTGTTCTTGAAGGAAGTGGTTCTCTTTGTCCTCGCAGGAATACGAGCGAGAGAAACACGCCCACTCTGTGCTTCAGTTCCAGTACAACGAAATGAAAGAGACGCTGAAACAAAGTGAAGAGTTGCTAAACGTGAGTATAACTCCCTGATGTGAGCCGGTGCAAAAATAGACGATACTCTGGATTTAAAAGATAGTTGTTAAGAGCAGGAAATCACAGCGTTTTACTCCGGGTTCATTTCACATCTTCCTGCTTCCTTACTCGACACAGATGCTTTCACTTCTTTTCTTATTGCTTCTTTTTCTCCTCATTTTTAAACCTTTATTTCCTTTTTCCTGCTATTTAGGAGATCCGCCAGCTGCGTTTAAAGCAGGAGGGTTTTTTTAGAGAAATATCTGACCTGCAGGAGACCGTGGAGTGGAAGGATAAAAAAATTGGGGTATGATCCCTGATCCAGCAGTTTTGTTACAGCAAATAGCACGAGCTTCAAATCCTTCTTTGCACTAAACTTAATTCAAGCTTTTACTTTCCTTTCTTTTCACCTCTTGTGCACCACTTCTCGCTCTCTGCCACTGGGGGGCTCTGCTCAGGCCTTAGAGCGACAGAAAGAATACACAGATGCAATCCGCATCGAGCGAGATGAGCTCAGAGAGGAGGTGGTCAAGCTGAAAGACATTCTGAAGGTATTCAGGCAGCGTGTGAATCTTTATATCATCCTGCTGTGTGGAGGGCAAACTTTAAACATGTCAGAGAGTAAAGTTGTTGTCTCACTTGTTATGTTTTAGTTTATGAAACTTTTTAATTTCTAAAAACCCACTTTTATGTGGACATTTTCTCACTGTGTGTTTTCTCTGAAGCTAATTCTTGATCCTCTATTTCGTCCAGAAACATGGAATAGTTTTGGGACCTGATCTTAACGTCAACGGAGACTCTGTTGAGACACAAGCCGACAGCTCCCCCAGTGAAGATCCTTCTTCTCCGTCCGCTCAGGAGTCACAGACCGCTCCCACAGAGGGGAACAGCATGCTCGGTAAAACTCAAAACTTAAATAAAGAAAAACTTCTACCTGCACAGCTTTGCACTAAACTGTACAGAGACTCTCATTCCAAAATCCTTCACTGATTAAACAACACTTAATGTATAAAAGTTAGTTTTTTTCCAGGTTGTAACACAAATTTTTAAAGCGCTTATGTCTGATTTTGGAGTGAAGTCTTCATGTACAGTTGTTGTGCTCCCAAACCATCCAGTATCTCTTTAAATCTGATTTATACTGACCTGAAAGGATAACTCTGGTGATATTTTACATTTTAATTAAGTCGCTGAAAGTATCTCACTTAGCCTCTGATGCCGTCTTATTTTTATGGGCTACAAGGAGAATAAGGTTTCAGCCGTGCTCCTATTACAGGGTTCCTACACAAGTATGGAAAAGTATGGAAGTAGTTTGATCAATTCCCAGGTCTCAAAAAGCATGAAAAATAAGGAATAAGGAATTGGAAGTATATTTATATTTCTAGACTATTACCGTTGTTCAGAAATTGGTATTTCCAAAACTAATTCTAAAAAGTAGAGTATGGAAAAATATAGAAATTCCAATCGTGTAGGAACCCTGGTATTATCGCCACACTGCCGCCTACCTATGACAGTCATTAAACTCGGATTATGGTAACATTGACAATAATGAGGACCCACTGCTCACCAATTCACTACCAACTCAAAGTAAAGCCCTTAGCAATCATTTACTCACCTTTTAGGTAAAATACAGTAATGCAGTTTTAGTACTTTCTCTAAAATCACGAGATAAAGAGAAACTGTAACTGAACACCAGCGTTATCCTCTGATAACAGCAGTAACTAACCTTCATCTAACTCATGAACTTTGCATATCACGGCTTTGTTTCCATCACTAACATTTCAGCTTTGGTGCTGTTTCCTTTTGCACGTTTTCATTATTCTAGTGAATGCAAATTGGCGCTGACTCTTGACTAACCTCGCTTCGACTTATGCAGATGATGTGGGGGGTGTAAATGATTTAAGAAATGATCAGCAGCAGCAGATTTGTGTAGCATAAGAACATTTATTTGGGTTATTGAGATTTTCTGATGTACATCTTTGAGCTGCTGGCTTCAGGCTTCTTGTTTCGTTGTTTCAATGATGTGAAGATCAAGAATTTCCCTCTGATGATCCTCGCCACTTTCTCCTCCTTTCGCTTCTGGTCATCTTGGACCCGCGCTTCTCTTTCTGGCCAACGAATCAATCGGAGTTCTGCCTCCTCTTGAATCCTGCTGATGCTTTCCTTTAGGAAGCTTGCAGTATGAAAATCTTGTCTTAAGTCAACCCTGTTTGGCGCTCCATCACCCTGTGCTCTCCATGATCTCTCAGGCAACACAAAGGAGCAGCATCAAGACGTGTCTGAGAAGGTCAAAGAGAGACCCTCGGGCTCTGAGACCATCAGTAATGTCGCTGAAGAACAGAAGACAAACGTAGCTGCGAAAGAGGACAGTGGCCAAAGTTCAATCCCAAAGGTTAAAGAGATGTTTGTCCGAAGCAACAGTTTGGAGAAAATAGTTGAAGAAACAGAAACGGCAGAGGGGGAAGGTTTGGTGGAGGGTGGAAGGACATCAAATCAAGATTTAGGGGAGACAGGCGACACTTGTGAAGAGACAAAACAACCCCAGAGTGATGTCGGGGAAGACGTGAAAGAAAGTTTACCAAGCGTGTCCGCCAAAGCTCAAGAGGAAACCGAGACTTCCAAGACGGAAGAGATCGATAAAGACAAAGACAGTAAATCTCAGGGCACCCCTGCATCTGGGAAAAAGAAGAAAAAGAAAAAAAAAGGCAAAAAAAAAGCCGGAACAAATGAGGAAGGAAACCAACAAAAGGATGGAGCTGGTAAAGAAAAGGGCAAAACCGAAACAGGACCGCAGTCAGCTTCATTAGAAGGAACTATCAACGCCAGGTTCTGCTGTTGGCCCGTCACTGAAACCCTGAAGGAACTCAAGGGTAACCAAGTCAAAAATAAACAGGACAAGCCAAAAGGTAAAGAAGTAGGAGCAGTAGAAGCAGAGAAAGCCTCAAAATCTGTAGATCTCAATGAAAACGTCAAAGAGTCTCAAATGGATCAAGTTACAGACGAGAATAGCAAAGAACAAACTTTGGAAACTGAGACGGCGGGAGAGGTAGAAGTCCTGGCTCCGGTCGGGACTATTGGAGAACTGCAGGAGTTTATGGATGAAGAATTTTACGAGTTTATTGACAAAAGGAGCAAAGAACAAATTTTGAAAACTGAACCAGCGAAAGTAGAGGAGGCACCTGCAACCGTTGAAACCTTCCCTCAAGTCGAAACAGATCTCAAAAAAGACGACGAGGAGCAGAAATTGGAGGAGGCAGCGGTAGAAGTGGTGGGATTTATAACAAGTCCTCCTCCAGAAGACAGTCTGAGTGCTCCTGATTCAATGAATGGTTCAAGTGATGCTGAGCTCACCGAGGAGGTCGCCAAAGTCTGTGCTTCAAAAGAAGAAAACACTGAAACGGATGATGTTACAGAAGAGCTCCTTAAAGAACAAACCACAGAAACAGAGAACGTAAAAGAAGTAGAAGAAGTAGAAACAACAGCAACCCCTACCAGTGAATCTCCTGCTGAAGTTCAAGACAATCACGTTACAAAAGAACAGAAAGACAAAGGAACTCTTGACACTGAAACGGCAGAAGCAGCAGAGGTCACACCGCCTGCTGAAACCCTTTCTCATGTCAATAATCTCCAGGAATCCAAAACGGACTCACCAAAGGATGAACCCGACAAGGAAGTCCCTCTGGAGACCGCAGAGGTTGAAGAAGAATCCACAACGAATCCCGGCTCAGAAACCAACTTCAGTGCTTCTGATTTTGAAGACTCCATCGACACTGAGAGCTCCGGGTATCCTGCTAACAGATGCACTTCAAGCGAAGATAACAGTGATATGGACAACTCGACCAACAGCAGCGTCATCCAGTCAGAGCTTGTTGATAGTTCAGAGAGCGAATCAGGGTCCATCACCGAGATGAAAGCCGAATGCACCACCCACAACCCCCGATACGGCTTTGAAACCATCTACGAGGAGCCGAGCCAAGGGGACGGTCTGGAGGAATCTCAGTCCACACACAGTCCCGAGAGTTCCTTCATGTACTCGACCTCCACTGACGGTCTGTCTGATTGTCAACAGAGCCTGTCTGGTTCAGAACAGCCTCCAGAACTGATACCAGAACATGTGGACGTGGATACATGCAGCGAAAACACTCTTATCGAGGTTTCTGAAAGAGGTTCAGAAGAGGAAACAGAGACAGTCATAGATCTTGGAGAGTCGAGAGCAGAACTGCCACCAGAACCTGCAAACGTGGAAAACGGAAGTGTAAAATCTTCTACTGAACTTCCCGAAAGAGACTCTGAGGAAGTAACAGAGAAGGACAAAGATCAAGAGGAACCAAGACCGGAGACAGCAAATATGGACTCAGGAAGTATAAAAGCAACCATCAAACCTTCTGAAAGAGATTCAGAGGAGGTAACAGAGAAAGACAAAGATCAAGAGGAGCCAAGACCAGAGACGACAAACATGAGCTCAGACAGTAACCTCACTCCCACTGAGATTTCTGAAAGATGTTCAGAAGAGGAGACTGAGGGGGACAAAGATCAAGAGGAGCCAAGATCAGAGCCGGCAGACGTGAACTCGAGCAGCGATAATCCTCCCACTGAGACTTCTGAAAGAGGTCTGGAGGAGAAATCTGACACAGTTAAAGATCCTGAGGAGCAACCAGATCCTGCAGACGTCGACTCAGGCGGTGACAACATCCCCATCATCGTGGTTTCTATAGAGGAGGAAACTAAGACAGTCATGGACGGAGAGGAACCAAAAGCAGAGACTGTACAAGAACCTTCTCCTCCTGTTCTTGATGCCGATCATTCAGAGTCAGTCCAGGACAGGACGGACGAGAAGCTGAACGGAGACTTGGGACAACCTGAAGGTTCGGTTGAACCAGACAGCTCTTCACATGACAAAACCAGTGATGCATCTGACTCTGAAAAGAGTGCTGTAGAGGCTGTGGTCCAGTCCAACCATGAGGTAGAAACACAGACTTTACAGACTGATGAACCACATGCTGGACCGTCCTGTGAGACAGTCGAGTCCAGCATGATCGAGGTTTTAGATGCACCAGATTCTGAGAAGGAAGGTGATGAAATCAGTCTCTCCAACAATCAGGACCAAAGCACCGAAGGATCCGTCCCTGAAGACCTTCCAGGACAAACAGACAGTCAAACTGAGGCGGCAGATCAGACACATTTTCTCCTTTTGAAGCATCGGCAGGAACCCTTGAAAGACCGGTCTGAGACAGTGGACAGTGATGAGGAGAACAGTATTGATGAAGAGGGACAGTCTTTTGATTTCGATGATCTAGATATAGACGATGCCATCGCAGCGAATGTGCATGATGACCCCAAACAGATAGCGATCATGGAGGGGGTTGAAGTCATGTCGAGAGAAAGCAAGAGCAGTCTTGACTTGACCCAGAGTAACGCCGAGTCACTAGAAATTATTGAAGACAGAACAGGCGAAGGTCATGACAGGCTTTCAGTCGATGGTAGTCAACTCCATCCAGAATCCGACGCAATCAGCCAAGACACCCTAAACTCCTGGGCTCACGGGGATACCTCCTCTGAAAATCTAGTTGAGGATCAGGCGAATATTCTAGAGGAGGTGGGAGTTACAGAGGACCCCGGGGCTGTTAAAGAGGAGAGGAAAGCTTTAAAAGTTTCACAGAAATCAAAGAAAGCCAAATCCCCACCTTTAGAGGAGGGTTTAGACCCGCTGAACAACGACGACTCAGTGTCACTCAAGAGCTGGGACGTAGTGTCGAGCAACACAGAGACGCTGCCGTCAGGGAGGAGTTCAAGGAAGGGCAGCAAGAAGAGTAAAGGCAAGAGTAAAGAGGACTGTAAGATGTCGTAGTTTAGATTTATATCACTTTAATCTGCCGTCTTATCTGCTATAGTATGTGCAAAAACCCTCACAGCACTTTCTTCAATGAGAATTGGTGTAAGTTTGTAAATAATCCTGATTAGATCAAACAGTTTCAGATCCAAAGGTTAGTTTATTATTCGAAAAAGAGGAAGAAATAGAGACGTAGAGATGAGAATGTAAACGTCCTGATATCAGATTTATGTTTCTGAAAATACTGCACTCGCTCTTTTTCGTTTTTGATGCACATTTATTATTATGCTGCTTGTCATTTTTGATGAATACTGTTGATCTACAACGGTAAGAAAAACATCACCCAGTTCTGTTCGCATTACAGACAAATACAATAAAAATGATTACTGTAAAGTCTGGAATATACATTGCACTGTTATGTAACAGAAAGGGGTGTCTAATGAGGAAAGGTCCGAAATGTTATCCTGACGTCAACAAAGTCTGCAATGTTAAGATTCTGTGCAACTGTGGAGCTTTTTCTAGACTTCTCTGTTAGGCAAACTTCTGTAGAGCAGTTGAGTTCAGTGGTAGCGTTGATAGTTTTGAGGTATGTACAAGACACTCTGCAAGTCGTCTACCAAGTCTTCGAGTATTTCCAGTTAAATCAGCCCTCTCTTCATTTTATACTGGTATACTGTATGTTGTTAGGAGGCAGACAAAAAAAGAAATAAGAGGTGCTCCTATACACGAGAATTTGCGGTAAACTTTTATCAATACTTGCAGACGAGCTCTTCCATGTTGTTGCTGTTACGATATTGAGTTTTCAAAGCCTGAAGACCTTCTTCTGCTCCCTTTCTCTTTTCATTTAGAGTCATGATCTCACAGGTTTTCAGTCCAGTAACGTCAAGTGACCGTCTGTTGGCGCTTAAGTTTACAGGAAAGCCAGTTCATTTTCTGATATTGTGACCAATTGTGTAAATTTTTCCTGCCAAATACAAACAAATCTGAGATCTTCAAGATTGCTGCTTAAACAAATCTCCTTTCACACGATTCCTCTGCACAGATAAATGTCTCGTACATGTTTGTTTTTTTGTTGCACTTGATGGAGAGATGAACTCTGAAATTCCAATAAAGTTCCTCCTCTAACTTGAGTGTCGTACATGTCAGCCTTTGTTAGAAATGTTCCCGTCATCTCCTCAGACTTTAGTGTGCACCCGTATGTCGTGGATTTAGTCCTCCTGGCTGTGTGCTCTTGCATCAGAACCTCTTATCCACAGTTTGTGCGTACTAACACCCCCCCTCACACCCTCCTCCATCACTCCCCCACACGGATGCCTCCTCTGTTGCATGCACCATCCTCCCACCCTGACCCAGCCACCCTCCCACCGTCACCTTGGCTCCTCCCACCCTGACCCTGGTATGTTATCTTACTTTTTCCTTTCAAAGATGGACGGTAACATATCATCGCTGTAGTCTGAACTGGTGTTTTATTTCGGCATGGTGAAGCATGAATTCAAAATGATAATGAGTGAGTTTGCTCTCAGACGTCTGCTTTTTGTTTTCAGAGATCCGTCTGAGGAAATTGGTGGATGAGCGTGAAAAAATGATAGAGCAGGTGCGTCAGTGGGTCATCCGTTATATTATTAGTAAAATTTAAAGGTTTATTGCCACTGATCGTTACTGTCCTCTGGCTCCATCTACAGGTGAAGAAACTCAAGGCCCAGCTGGATGAGAAAACACAGAAAAATGGCACAGACAACAATGTGAGCCCAGACGGTGAAATCCTTGAAAACGGCAATGACCCAAACATCTTAGAGCTGCAGCGTAAGTGACAAACACGTCAAACCAGCTGGTGTTTTTACTTTAAACTTTAACCGTCTTCATAAATTTAAGATTCGGTTTATCTTCGCAGGAGATTCAAGCCGGCAAATAAGTGACTTAAAGTTCAAACTTGCGAAAGCAGAGCAAGAAGTCACGGCTTTGGAACAAAACGTAAGCTGAGAAGAAGCTTTAGACTCATTCATGATCTAAAAACAAGGATTATTCACTCCTTAAACTGAATTATTTTGGTTTTTAATCTTCAGGTGACCAGACTCGAGGGTCAGGTGACGCGTTACAAGTCTTCTGCAGAGAACGCAGAGAAAGTGGAGGATGAACTCAAGGCGGAGAAACGGAAACTACAAAGAGAGGTGGACTTTGGTTTCTTTACACCGCATGAAATATAATCCATCTTATTGATCAGGCTCATTTTTAACTACATCATATTTTTTGAATCAACAGCTGCGGTCAGCACTGGACAAAGTGGATGAGCTGGAGTCGAACAACAGCCACCTCTCGAAAAGACTGGAGAAGATCAAGTCGACTCGCCGCATGGCACAGACTCCATAAATGTACCTTCTCTCCTCCCAAAAACCGGCTGATCACGTGGAAGAGACTCATCCTGCCTTTTGGGTTTTCTCTTCTCTCTGCCTGTTTGCAACCTTAAAAAAAAACGAACAAAAAAATGAAGAAGTTTAGTATCCACCGAACACCAACAAGCTATGTGCCATTTCTTTGTCTATTATCTGTCTGATGAGAGATCTTCGTAGCTTTATCTGCACACCCGGAAACTTCGTGAAGTGAGGCGGCGGGTGTTTGCGTACCTCATGACTTTAGTCTGCACTGCTCTGCTGTAGAGGAACGGGGCCGCATGAAGAGTCCCGGGACTGAACCTCACCAAAAACACGTGTCCGATGTCCTGTAGGAGAGAAAACGTCGCCCTCTTTCTGCTGCTTCTCACCTTGCCTTGCTCACTTAAAGGACGGAGAAATGCAAGAAAAGATGAAACCCAGCGCAGCGAACAGTGCCGGTGTCCACGGCTCCCCCCCGGACTGCTGACCTCCTCTGCAGAGAAGACTGAGAAGAGTGCTGTTTGTGTGTTTTGTGAATGAAAGAGTCAAATTAAAAGGGAAGTCTACTTTTAAACCCGGGCCTGACTTTGACATATTTTGATCCTCTGAGGAAAATGAACCAGATCAAATTAGACTCACTGATTATGATTGTGTTTGTATGGAAGCCCAATTCTGCCAGAAAACTGAAGGAGAAAGGAATAAATGATATAAAAAGTTAAGATAAAGGAGATAAAAAGTTCAAATGTTACGATATGAGTTTAAATTAAAAAGTATGCCGTAATGACGATAAGTCAAAATAATGAGGAAAATATCCAAAATTCAAACTATAAAGTCATGATTATGAGGAATTAAGTCAAACTTTTGTTGTGAAAAATCAAAACTGGTGTTTAAAAAGATAAAGTACAAGTTAATATGTTGTAATCATGAGTTTAAAAAGTCAAAAAGTTATAATTATGAAGTAGTGGGTGATAATACAGAGATAAAAATCAAAATGATGTGATGAAAAGTTAACATGACAAGAAGATTTGTCACAATTTGTAGTAAAAAAAAAAGTTTAAGTGAAAAGTCTTAAGATGAAAAGTTAAATTTTTCATCTATTGGACAAAAAGAGGCAACAATGACAAAAAATTTAGTCCTAATTTTGAGGAAAAGGTCAAACTATACAAATACATTTTAAAAAGTTCATATAAAGATGTTTTGATAATATAATAGATGTAACTTTTCCTTATTTCAATATGACTTTAATCTTAATTTTGACTCTTGATCCTCTCATAATGGATTTTTATCTTTTTTGACTCTTTCCTCTCAAAGTTCAACTTTATCATAACTGACTTTTTATGAAAAAAATGAACATTTAGAATTTTTTGTTCTCTCTGATTCTCTTCACAACCACCAGACTGCACTTAATAAATCAGTTATTTTACCTCAATAAGAAAGGAGCTGCTTTCCTAATCAGTCTGCTAAAATGTATTTTATCATAACTTAACCACAAACATGCTGAATATTTGAGGCTGCAGCAACTTCAGTCTCTCCTTTTCTTGGCAAATCAGTCTGGTTACTTCAAATGGAGCGAGGAGAGTCCTAGAGGTTGAATTATGTGGAAAAAAAGGTGTCAAACAATCAAAATTATTATCAGCAAAAACAGGCACTTATAGATCACACTGCACCTCCATGAATTTGTTCTTAAACGTCATCTAGAGCCCAAAACATCCCAGAACCAGGCCCAGGTTTGAAAGAGTCCAGCTCTCCTTTACGTGTATTTTCTTTGTCTGACCTTTTTCTCGTCTGCACACAAAGCCAAACTTATTTTTAAAAGTGTAAATGTTTGGATACGTTTTTCACTCGTGGTCAAACTGAACCGGTTTGCAGACAGGATCACCCAGTTTTCACACGACGCCCCATCACAGTATTACCAAAGTCACCAGCTCTCACTTGTAGCTCTTTATCGGCCCGTTATTGAACGCCACGTCTCTGAGCTTCTCTCTGCTTCATGTAGTCACTCACTGGTCAGCTCTTGTGTTCACACTGAAACGCTGAGACTGAGGAAAACGTGACCACGGGGACTCAAAGCGGTGTTAGCAGGAGGAACTGAACACACTGGGGAGACGCTGCTTCACTGTTTACAAAGCTTTAAAATGTTTGTAAGGAAAGAAACGTAAAGATCTGTAATCTTTGTGCAATAAAAGTTCAAACCACAGCCGTGTCTGCACATGTCCAACTCAGTCCTGTGTTCAAACACTAAAAACAGAGTAACAACAAAGAATGAAGGTTTTTTTATTGGCTGCTCTACATTTCTCCACACTCTCATCCAGGTTTGGTGAATTGGCTGCAGGCTGGCGTCCTCTCAGAGTCCTGCTCCTCTGTGATATTTCTGGACTGGCTGTCGCAGTATGTTCGTTTTTGGATGCGCTGAATCATTCGGCGCCCGTAAAAGTCCCTATAATCCGCTGGGAGTTCATCCAGAGTGTGCAGCGCTCTCTCCAGCGCCTGGAGGGCTCGAGTGGCAGCCACAGGATCTTTGTTACCGTACGGGTCCTTTTTGTCGTAGCTGTCGGTAGGGAGATGACGCCAGAACACGTTGACGCCCACGCCGGACTGCAGAGCGAGGGTGTTATGGAACCACAGGGCTGAGAAAATAGAAACACAGGATGATGTAAAGGTGTCTGAGCTTGTGTGGGGAACTGCTTTAATGCAATACTTCAAGAATATTGCAGTCTGGAAGAGTCGGTTACTGTGGACGGTTAGTCTCACCCGGGATAAAAAGCAGATCTCCAGGCTCCAGCACACACTCGAACCTCCTCGCCTTCACAAACTCAGGGAAACGTTTCAGATCCGGAGAGTCGATGTCGAGGACTTCTGATTTATCCCCTGATGGATCCAGTTCACATATAAAGAGGCGTTTTATTTCTCAAAGATACAACCAGAGACTTTCTATAACGATAATAATGTTTCACGTTTACCTGACAGGTAGAGGTGCAAGGCATCCTGGGGGCTGTAGAGAACCACCCTCTTTGTTCCAGTCACCTGAGCGAGCAGGTTATCCATCACCTGAAGAGCAGAGGAGCATTTTGAGTTCATTGGCTGGTTAATCAGTCAGCAGGTTATCAGCATTTTAAAGGGATATTCCGGCGTAAAATTAATTTAGGGTCAAACGCACCGTTACACCGAGTTAGACGAGGGGGTGTCTGACTCGGTGCTACGGTGTGTTTGACCCTAAATTAATTTTACGCCGGAACATCCCTTTAAAATAATCAGCATCTAAATGTGATTGTCTGGCTCTGAGAATAACGACCCCCGTCTGTCAGTTCAGAGACGAGAATTTTCCTTATGACCCCCGGCAAAGCTGCTAGCCGATGCAGAACCTGTATCTGCAAAAACAGATCCAAGGTGAGATCAACAGGTAACAAACCAAAACACCCACATCGTAGTGCGTCCACAGCTGCAGATCACAGGAGCTGATCCGAAACACACTGGAGAAAAACTGATCAGGTCCAAAGAACTCTGGGATGTGAAAATCTGCAGCCAAGTCTGGGAACTGTTTGCTCAGATCTGCAGGTTCCTGTAGAGGAAACATTTACAAATATTTAAATATTCATAAATCTACAAAACAGTAACCTAAAAAAAAAAAAGTTTCAGTCAGGTAATTTTTTTTTAATACCTTCCGTACGTCCTCTCCAAGTGATCGAAGATAATAGCTCTCATCCTGAAAAAACAGACTTTTTCTTACTAGAAATTATACCATAATAATAAAGTAAATGTCATTTACTTTACATACCTCACACAAGAAGAAATCAGAGTGTGTTTTTTCAGAAGCTCTTTTCACAAATTCCCTGAAAGGCAGAGTCCTGTGGACACAGATCTGCAGCTGAAGCTTCTGCACAGAGGAAACACTCATTCATGTGTCTGTGTGTGTGAGAGGGTGAGGAACTCACTTGTACGCAAAGTTTTTGTGGAGAAAGTCCATCTGGGGCACAGTGGACACGTGGATCTGGACTTTCTTGTCGCCTCCTTTCTCACAGAGATATTCAGTCGTCCATTTCTTCAAACAAGGACCAAGATCGACTCCTCTTAGCACGGCTGGTCTGCGCTGAAAATAACAGAAAATGGAATTGTGAACCTCGGTGGAGGGACGACACTCTGATCTGCTCATCCTGACTCTGCTGGACTCATCATTCATTCTATGGTGGCCGAAAATTGCCACTACTGCAAATAAAAAAGAAAGAAAATAAAAAACAACAGAAGTTACCGATGAAAAAGAAAAGAGACCCAAGCCCGCTGCAAATTGTTATTATTATTTTTTTCATTTTTGCATCTGTAACTTCCGTTGTGGCTTTTTTTCTTCTTTTGTTTTTGGCATTTAAAAAAAATAAAAATAGAAATATCTGCAGCAGTGGCTGTTCTCGGCCACCGTGCATTTCCATCCGAGCATTGGACTTTATTCAAAAATGGCGCCGTACTTTTGGGGTCTGAGAGAAAACCCTGATGATGTTTTTGAGGTGATCTGAGTTTGGTCTGGAGTCACAATTATGAGCTAGTCCAGAGAAGCAACATGAGGTGATACAGGGAAACATGATCAGTCTAAAACTGTAGTCACATTTTCTGATTACCAGGTAATAACAGAACATAAATATCTTACCTGAGGATAAATATCTCGCAGAAAAACCTCTTTGTCCACGTCTGTAAATATCGGCACCGATATTTTCTCCTGAAGCTCCATTTTTACTTCATTAAGAGACAAACTGATAGACTGATCAATGTAAACAACTCCACATCGCTTCCTATGTGTCACACTGTAAGCGGTCCCCCCAGAGAAGAACAACTGTAGAATAAGATAGAAATTAAGCTAATTTAATCGAAAATTAGTTTAACAATGTCAATGCTGTTTTTTGTATTCAAATCTGTTATATTCTTCATATTTTGTCGCAGATTTGTAGATTTTAAATGATACTTATGCATTTGTTTCTCACCGGAAGAAAAGCTCAGACGGTACAGAGCATAGATATATAAACGCTAGATGGCTTACGCACGCTGTTAACCAATGGAGACCGACGTCCGCGCATGGCGGCCATTTTGCTACGGGACGCTCGCCCACTCAACATTCCAGTTTAAGGTGCATGTAGCATTCAAATAACCATAGATTGATTAAATTTAAACCGATCTTCTGTCGCTTAGACTAAACAAATTAATAGTTTGTCATACAAGTAAATCTGCCAATTTTAATATATACAAACATCCCGACTCATAACCACGTTATTAAGGTCTGTAATAAACAAAACCATTAGTAAATCTGTCAAGATTTCAGCCAGTTAAGAGTATTTTTGATCCCCTCCTGTCAGCTACCATAGCTCGTACCCATAGACTGTATATAAGAGTATATAAGACTGTATATATCTTATATATAGTCTATGCTCGTACCAGAATGGTATACTGGAGTAAGATGGCCGCCGTGTAGGGACGCCGGTGATACCGCCTCGAGTCATCTAGCCTTTCTTATAGATATCTATGGTACTGTGTACTTCCGTCAAAGAAACATGGCGCTGCCCGTGATCAGGGGTTGCTGTAGGACCCCATCATCATTCAGTTTTACTCGATTATTATTAAACGATGGACTCATCCTGAACCGGTCTAATAAGACCCGGATACCTCCCTCATCATCTGCTGGGGTGAAAGCTGTGGTCCGCTCGTACAGCTCGGACCAGGGCGGACAGAAACCGGTCCAGAAGGTGATGGTGGTCGGGGTTACGAACCCGTTTATGTGGTTCCGGACACGGATATATTACTTTCTGATCCGGGCTTACTTTGATAAAGAGTTCAGCATCGAGGAGTTCACGGAGGGAGCGAAACAGGTCAGTGTGACCAGGAGAAAAAAAAAAACTCTTTAATCTGCTGAAGTGGGGAAAGTGGGGTTAGTAGAGTCAAAGGGTAAGTTGAGCCAAAGGGTAAGTTCCTATGTAGGGATGCACCAATCCGATACTTGATATCGGCATCTGTCCCGATACTGGAGATAATTCGTGATCAGTTATCGTGACGATAGGGGCCGATCCATTCAGTCTAACTCTATGCTATGCGCCGTGAGTGACATCCACAAGTAAACATGCTGACCGTACATTCCAAAATGGAGTGTTTAAAGGGGTCTGCTATCTTGAACTTTATCACAATACCTCAGCCTACCAGCTCAACGGCCACTTGCAATGCCTGCGCAGTAAATGTTTGAGGGGTAGTGGTAAAAGTTCAGGTTACAACAAAAGGTAATTCAGCGCAACTTTTCTGTAATGGAAGTGGATTGGTAACGGCTGATACTACACTGTAGATATCTGTATCGTATCGTATCGAGGTGAAAAACGCGAATCGGTGCATCCCTAATCCCATTCACAGGGTAAATTGACCATAGCAGACCACTTTTTTTGGCATGTTATATTATCAAGACAGTTCTGTTTACACTCATTCTGTTGGTTTGCACGGATGAACAACATCCTGAAATAAATGCAGATACTCTAGTTAGAGACGAAACTATGATTGACTTGATGTAGTGATCCGAATTATGAAAAATGGCTCATCTTACCCCACTCTCCCCTACTGGGTCATCCTGGTTCTGATGGTCTTTGTTCTGATCTGGGTTCTTGGTTCACTCCTCCAGGCTTTCTCCCACGTTTCCAGCCTGCTGTCAAAGTGTCAGTTTGAGGGTTTAGAGGGGCTGGTGGCCAAAGATGTGAGTATTTTATAAACTTATTTACCTTTGAACCTGTTGAACTGGTCTGAGTCTTGATTTTCATCCTCCTGATAGGTTTCAGTAACAATACATTTATCAGGTTTTTGTAACTGATCATCCCTGATCATTGTCTATTATGTTCCCCTTGTAGTTAATCGAGAAGCTGGAGGACAAGTGTAAAGTTCTGCCACTGAGCCACCAGAGAGCTCTGTCTGCAGAACCTGAGGAGATCATGTACACCACACCTGCAGACGTGGGAATCTACTACGACGATGACGGTGAGTGGGACAGAAAGTTCTTTGATTTCCCTCCAACTCTAGCAGACCTTTAGTCAGTTATTTCTGCAGTGTGACTCATTATCTACTTCGTTTCTCCAGGGCGAAAGTTTGTCAGTATTCTGATGCGTTTCTGGTATCTGACGAATGCACGCCTTCCTGACGATACCGTGGAGGGAGCCCGCGTCTTCCAGGTGGCATTTGGTGGAGAGGGGAAAGTTGAAACTAAAAGACTTCTGACTGCAAACTATGAGTGAGTGTTCTCACTGATCAGCACTGTTATGGTTTAAGTCGATTCTGTAAATCAAAATAAACTTCTCAAACTTTGAATTTTGTCTTTCTGACAGATTCCAAAGGGAGTTTACACAAGGAGTGACTCCAGACTGGACCATCACGAGGATAGAGCACTCCAAGCTCTTGGATTAAACTGGTTTTCGTTTAAAGTGTCTTTTCCTTCAGAAACGAGTCAAAAATCTGACGTCCCCCTCAGTGTTCGCTGTGATTGAGCTCATGAAAGCAAAATCTGGAGGGATACATCAAAATTTAAAGAAGCAGACATATTTTAATTTATAGCAAAGACATGAACCAATCACAGCTGCTGTTAGAGACTCTGGGTAGAGCTGTCTGCAGTGAGAGTAAACATATCAGCCATAACATTATGACCACTGACAGGTGAAGAGATAACACTGATTATCACAATCAGCAAGTGAATATTTTGCACTTGGAGTTCATGAGTTGGTCAAAGATAAAACAGGTAATTGTAAAGATATAAGCGACTTTGATAACGGTAGTATTTTAGTGGCTGGATAACTGGGTGTTGAGGGTGTGCGCAGAAAAGATCAGATGAAGAGCTGCTAGAGATTAAATTGGTGGTAAACTTGTTTTCCATGTGCCCACGCTGACACTTGCATTGAAACTGGACCACAGAGCAATAAAAGAAAGAAGTCTGGAGGAAAACAACAGTGAATTCAAGGTGTTGAGTTGGCTTTTTCAGATCTCAGTTCATGTCAACAACCAAGTCTGATCCACTGAAGATCCAACATGTTGATACCAGACACCAGAGAGCACCTCCAGATCCTTTTGAGTCCAGGTCTCCTTAGTTCATGGCTGCAAGAAGGATGAGGGGGGCTACATATTATTAGGCAGGTGGTCATAATGTTATGGTAAATGTATTTCTTATGCTTTTTTTTTTTGCACTTTTCCAACATCATCCCCCCAAAAAGTAATCATCATGACTTGGTTTCTCTAGCTCTTGCTTTTGAAGTCGAGAGGAACCAGATTTTGTATTGGATTTGTAATTTATAGCCTTATTATAACTGTTATGTGACATCATATAAACTGTGGAAGTCGGTGTGATTATTAACACCCATTCCTGGAAAGTCTTTTATTGTGTTTGTGTTTTTATAAAAGACTGATCAGTGTCTGATACTGTAATGAAAGCTGAGGATTAGTTTGTGTTTTGTGTTGGACTGTGTGGGATGACGGTGCTGCAACTGGATGTGCAAATCTGTTCACCACCCAGAACCTTTGACCCGTTGCAATCACTGTTTTCTGCCGTATATAATATACAGTATATGTGTACTGTATGTGCATACATGTGTTTGCAATGGTTAAGGCAGCTGCTGCAGATTTTTGATTCTTTTATTAAAGCTCTGAACATCAAAATATTACCGTCTGTTTATTTCTCATTGACACAAGACAGAGTTTCAGACTCACAGGCACATTTTTATTCATTTTTATCTTTATTTGGGAGGACTATTTAATATCAACAAATTAAAAAAGGAAAGACACGTACATATGATTCATATAAGTAAATGGACAAAAATATGGTTTTATACTGGATATACTCGATTGCATAGAATTAATTTTAATTCTGAATATTATAACACTGATTTTTATCATAATATGCAAATAATTACAATAAGTAACATATGTAGTGTTGAGCAGATATCTTGTGTATAATAAAAAATATTTGTAATTAATACAAATACATTTTTTTGATAATCTCTAATTTGTAAGTAAGGGGCAGGACTAAATTTTTTTTGTTTCATTCTGTTCCTTCTCAAACTGTTTTTTTTTCGACATACATATGTCGTGTAAATTTATCTTTGACAGTGTTTTGGTGTACATATGTATTATTTAGTTTGGTGATTTTGTTTCTTGTTGTATTTGTTCTTAAACTTTGAGATAAATAAAGATGAAAGAAAGAAAGAAATTATATGCAGACAGAGTTTCAGATTTGCAGGCACACTTTTGTTAACCCTTTAATGCCTGAAACCACAAATTATGGGCAGAAAATTCAAAGATTTTTGAGCTGAAATGTTTATTTCACTTACTACTGAAAAAATTAAAAAAATCTAAATGTTCTTAAAATTTAACAAATATATGTAAGTATCTTGTTTGATACATTAGATGTTTTTGGAAACTGATAAACTACAAGAGGACATTTTTATCATTTTTTGAACTGTATTAAGGTGTTTTTTTAGTAATTTATTGATCAAATTGATTTGATAAAAGTATCATAAAAGTATGTATCAAATATGATACAAAAGGCAATAAAGAGTTAATTTTCATCATTATTTGGGAGGACTATTTCATATCAACATTTTATCAAATTAAAATAAAGAAAGACATTTTATTTCTCATAATTTTCTGTATTTTAAATAGTGTTTAATTCATTTTGTTTTCTTCTTTTTCTTTGTAAGGCATCTTTGAGCACCTGTAGAAGCGCGTTATAATCAAAATTTCTTCTTCTTCTCCCTATTTTCATTATTGTTGTTATTATTATTATTATTATTATTATTATTATTATTATTATTAACATCTATTATGATATCCTAAATCTGTAAAATACATTAACAGGATAAAAAAAATGTAAATCTGCAGTAAACAAAAAAACAGAGAGGAATGAAAAAACATGAAAAAATAACTAAAATTAATATAAAAGAATGAGATTAAAGCTGTGAAACTATAATTTGCAAAGAAAAACGTGAAATTTGATGTATTGTGAATGAATCAGTTGAATTTTATACGTTTTCACACATTTAAATGCCTCTCAAGCTGCGCTCAACCCTATTGGCCCAGACTTTGAACCTCTCTTCTCCTATTGGCTGAGAGCCCTGCCAATCACAGCTATTTGTATGGAAAGTGGTTCCTGTTGTGTGGCTCAGCCGGTGACTAGTGACAGCAGCAGCAGCAGCCTCCCAGTGTACTACCTACCTGTCAGACAGACACGGCGGAGTGTCCACGGGATGAGAAAATGAAAACATGGAGATTCTACACCTGGGATTTTTAAAAACCGAGAGTCTCAGCTGAACCATGAAACTCGCCTCTGTGGCCTTTTACGGGTTTGCTCTGGCTCTTTTGGCGGTTGGCCTGCGAGAGTTGCTGACTGGCTTCGAGGAGAACAGATGCAGTATGACCTACATGTTTGAGTATCCAGAGTACCGGGTGAGTCTCCACGCTCGTTATTAACACTTTCACCTTCATTCTGTCACAAATTAAGAAGAAAAGGACCGTATTTGTGCCGTTTTTCTCCATGCTGAAGCTCAATATCGTTATCATGCTAAAACGCTACTTTCACCTCAAAATGCAACGACTAAAATGTTGTTTCCTCCTCAGATTAACAATTATTTAAGTCCTTTAACGTGTTTACATCTATTTCCTGACACATGCTGGGTTACCTCATGTATTTCCTCAATGGTTTCTATAAATAACAATACTCACCAGGGGCGTGTCCACACTTTGATGACTGGGGTGGCCCATATGGGGTGCTGCCTGATGCAGGGGGGGCATGAAGTGGTATATACACACATTAATAGTGTTTCTGTCACTTTTATATGCAGTATATACTCTGGATTTTCAGGGCTTGACATTGTGACCATTTCACTCGTATTGTAACACGTATTAGGGGCACATGTGCGTGTATAAAAATTATTTGCATACCGTGGTGAAGTTAGTTTTAGGTTGGATATCTGACGGACATTCACTGCAGATCTAACAGTGTCTTCTTACTCTCTATAACCGGGAATAGCAACAGCAGCGCGGTTAATGGTGGGGTAGCAGGAATCCGTTAACAAAGCATCTTTTTTTGTGGTGTAAATACAAAAAGGCTTTTAATATCAGTCAATAGCTATTAGTCATGGATGACATTTGGTAATATAACGATATCTCTGTGTTCTCTTGTGTCTGTCGTTCAAGAGCCCAGACAAAGTTAGCGTGCTACAATACAATATTCAACGTCGGGTGTTGAATAAGGGACCGTCAATAAATTACCGGTTGATGTTCTCACAAAAGGCCTTTTTCCCTCAATAGCTTCCATGTCATGTGACCAAAAGACCTAAAATTAATTTCAAATAATAGTACTTAAGTTGACCGATAAGACACACCTCTTCATTTCATCAATTTTTATCCTGCCCCTGAAGTTCTTTGTGTGCTCCTTACTTTCTCAACTTGTAAAGAAAGTTAGTGTCAAGCCCTGATTTTATCATAATCCCTCTTAGCTTTATTCTCAAAGTTCTCAAACTGAAGATCATTGTCCAAAATCGGAATCAAAAGACCTTCAAAAATTTTACGCAAACTCCTGCTGTCAGAAACGTCTACCTTTGTAATGCATCAGTACCAAAATCTCACCACTAGAGGCATTTAAGAGAGTTAAGAGAGTGTTTGCATCATGTAGTGGCATCTGAGTATACATAAGTGCCACCCTTGGCCACCCTCCGAGACACATCCCTGGCTCCCACGCTCGCCTCTTTGTTTGTAGGTGTGTTTGGTAAGCTTTGGATTAGATCGGCTAAAATTAGAGCGGTTATAAACCATAAATCAAGGGCTGATCCTTGAATCCTCTCAGTGACTGAATCAGCTTTGCGAGGAGCAAACTTGTGTCGTACATACTAGTTTACAGCAAGTCAGGTAAGGATAGCATCAGAGAGGATGGTAGTGAAGCCATGCAGGCGGATTTTAATGTGTTCATCTGCCCAGAAGTGGAGCACAGCTGGGGGCTATCTGCCGTATGAGCTTTGGCCTTATTGAACACGTGATAGGATGTCTTTTTGTTATGAAGCAGAATACAAAGAGACCCATATATCTAAAAGGATCTGTCTCCTTTGTGTTTGTGGTTATTAATGGAAACTATAAGCCCCTGTGATAAATACTGGGTATGTGGGGAAGGACAGTAACTCATAAGAAGTTAAATAACCTCTCATTGATAAACCATAATAAACTGTAGGTAATCAGATTACCTCCATAGGAATCCAGACAGACCGGTTTTATTCAGGTGGAGTTTGTTTATTCACTGCTCTAGTTTCTGACTCGCCTGAAAACGTGTTTTAAAAAAGTTAAAAACTTGATGATTTGATCATGACTGAGTTCGATGTTGTGTTCACAGCGAGTCGCTCTGCCTCGACGGGTGGCCAGACTGTACCCGGCGTACGGGCTCTACCTGTACGGAGAGGGCGTGTACGCGCAGGAGACCAGGGCGCTCAAACTCACCGGTGCACCTGTGCTCTTCCTGCCTGGAAATGCAGGCAGTTACAAACAAGGTGAGAGCACAACATCAACAAAAAGTTTAACACTGACTGCTCAAAAGGTGGATCACAGGGTTTGCTTTTAAATGACAGCCAGCTCATCTTAAATATGTGATATTGAGCAAAACTCTAATGTAACCCCCTTGGAAAACAGTCCTAATGCATGTGTTGTAGTGAGCTGTTGGACTGATTTAAGTCTAATTATAGAGTTAAATCAGTTATTGTTAAATTTTTCTTGCATTTTCATTTTGCTGCGAATCACGCTCAGTGTCCAACAGCTGATGTAAGTTATCAGGTTGAGATGATTGGCCCAAATCACTGACTCCTGATCAGTAAATAATGATGTGATGATTGACTAAAGGATAGAAAGATCTCTTGTTGAGGTTGATTTAAAAAAAAAAAAAAACGAGTACAGCGCCCAGTTTTTAATGATTAGTTTCTGCATAACAAACAAACACGCTGAATTGTTCTTTGTAATGCTGCCCAGAAAATCATCTCAGTAATGAAGTTTAGATGCTGGAGATCACTGATAAACAATAGAGATATGTTAGTTTCATTTATTTGCAATAAACACAGGCAGTATTTTTATTATACCTGACAATACACACTCTTTTCTTAGGTATAATAACTCAAATAATGTGCAGTAACATGTCCAAATGTTTCTCTGTGTAAAGCAGTTTTTCTTCTAGATTTTTCTATAACACTTTTTGCACAGCTCTATGAGAACTTTCTGATATTATCTCTGTATGCATTATGAGAGTGAACCTTTTCCTCCATTTTTACCTCTTCCTAAGGTTCATCTAATCTTGATTTGAAGACCGCTCTTTTCAAATATTTTGTTCTTTTGCTCTCCGTGTTTTATTTCCTGCTGTATTCATAGGATTTGTTTGTTATTGTAAGAAAATGTCACAAACATGCAAAATCTCACTTAAGAGGAGTTCAGGGAAATAACACCCGTTTTTGATTATAGCTTTCATCTATCTCTGCACGTTCTCCACCCGTTTTTTACTGCTCTTTGGAGACATTGTGCAACTCCAGTGATAAAAAAATCGAGTTTTGTTTGACGGCTTGACAGGTGACCTCTAAATCAGTGACTTATTAAGCAGAACCAGGTGTGTTATTGTCGAAATCGAACAGATATGGAGCAGAACTGTGTCGTGCAGGTAGACGCTGATTAAAGTCGTTTTTTTCTGGAGCTGCATTCAAAAGTTTTTTATTCTTTTATGACTCAGAGCCCAAAATATCTTAAAAGAGGTTCAAGCTTGAGAAAGAGTCACAACACTTCTGTTTTTGAAGATTGTCTTTTATGCAGTTGTAATGAAAACATGAACCTGACAATAATAGAATAACCGGCTGGTAACAGACCCGATAAAGTGACAGCGTCTCTGTTCCTACGTTTGTCTGCAGTGGTCTGCTGTGGATCTTTGATTTTAAAGGATCGTATCTTTCTCCTCTCCGCTGTGATCACTGGAAAGTCCCAGTCAGGCTCCCACGCCTGAACATTTACTAATAAAAGCATCTTAACCAACAAGTGTTTACAGAGAAGTCACCACCCGATGTTCTCGATCTTCTGTCTCTGAGTTTTGGATCTTGGTCGTTGTCCAAAAACGTCCTAAATTTACTGTGAATATTTGCTCGGGCTTCGGTTTATTCGGAGTCAGTCCTCGATCTGTTGCTGTAAATACTCTGTAGAAAACCTCAAGTGTTAATTAATTAATTAATCTGCAGCTGAAAATAGTCCCTTCACAAATAGACTCTTGAACCCTGATGAGGTGAAGTTTGCAAATAAACAACAGTTCTCCTGCGGTTTCAGGGAATCAAGAAGTCCATAATGAGGTAGTCGTCGACGGATGGATTTCTGACCTCTTATCTGCGTATTTTCTCACACTTATGCCTCCATGTTTAATCTTCAATCAACTGAATCTGTCCTGATTTTATACTGACTCTTTGTTCCTGTTATCAGCCGAGTGTAGGAGGACTACAGGCACGTGAAAACAGACAGATTTTCTGTGGTGTTTGTGAAGATGCTCCTCCATCTTCTCTGCTCCTTAATATTTCCAGTCTGACCTGAAACCCTTCAGGCTGTTGTTGTATTCTTAACAGCAGCTGCTGTGTTTGTTAAGCCAAAAGCTTCGCCCGTTCAAACAGCTTAGAGTTATTGTAGTGTCAGATGGGATCAGGTTGTGGTTCTTGTGTTTCTCTGCTCCACTCTCCTGTATGGAAGATCCCTGTATGTAAATTTAATGAACCTAATCAGCTGAAAACTTCCTTTCTCTGTCAACGGGAGCTGCTGCAGGGGCTGATCAATAATTCATAATCAAATTTAGAAATTTGCATACAAGAGCGTCAAAAGAGCTCTGGTGTTTTTTCCATCTGGGCTCCTCTCTTATGTTGTTTCAACTGTCAGCCATGAAAAAGGGAAAGACAGGTGGGGAGATGGAGGACGGTTCAAAAGTTGGAGCGGCTGAAGTAGACAAAGTTAATGCGGGAGGGGGTGAGCAGCTTGTGGAGTAGTTATCGTCTATTTATCGTTATCGAGGCGAACTGCTGAATACATTGTGATATTTTTGTGGTTCAGTATTCCACCAAATCGTGGGAAGACTCCATCTGTCGGCTCTGCTTGTTTGCATCCAGGTAGTGGACCACTGTAGTATTATGATAGGACCCATTATCTGGACATGAAGCCTCGGCTAGTGGGAGGAGACTGGAGTTTCCAGCCCATAATAATAAGACTATTAATCAATTATTTTCACTAACAAGGCAGGCGATGTTTAATCAAGTTGGCTAAATGTGGACGTCCTTAACTAAAACTTCACCGTCTCTTAAAAACTTTCTTCTTCTTCTTCTCTTTCTCTGACTGAAGCTCGCTCTCTTGGCTCCGTGGCTCTGAGGAAAGCTGAAAACATGGAGGGAGGTCTTCACTTCAACGTCTTCACTGTGGATTTCAACGAGGAGCTGGTGGCGCTCTACGGCGGCAGTTTGCTCAAGCAGACGCACTTCCTCCACGAGAGCATCAAGGCCATCCTGAGGCTCTACAAGGTCAGGCTCCAAATATCCTCTCCTCAGTAACGGACAGGGTTACTTATACCTCAGCGCGAGAGGGTTATTGCTGTCGCAGTGATATTTCAGTGACAGGGGGATAATTGCCAAACACGTATCAAATAACATCGACCGACATCTAAACCTGCTGCTCCATAAATGTGAGGAAGAATCAGGAGAAGAGGATAAGTTTATAAAAGCCAACATGAACAATTTACAGTCGATCAGCTCGGTCCAAACGCAGCTTTGAGCGTGGTTATATCGAGGTAGGCTTCATCAGTGTTAAAAGAGATCTGGCAGCCAGGTGTGGGACACGAGGCTTAAAAGAAACATGATCCAGCTAACCGAGCTCCAGTGAGGTCAAGTTTTTTATTCTCAGTGTGCAAAGACATCGAACAGAGGATCAGATTTCCTCCTAGATTGACAACATAGATGTCTGATATATTGAGTAAAATGAAGAAGAACAAAACACTGACTGGTTTAGATTTGTCTGACAGTGACCTTCTTCTTTCCGGTCTGGCAGCACCTGAAGACCCCCCCTCAGAGCGTGGTGTTGGTCGGTCACTCCATGGGAGGCGTGGTCGCCCGGGCGCTGTTCACTTTGCCTCGCTTTAACAGCAACCTGGTCAGCCTCATCATCACCCAGGCCTCCCCTCACCTGGCTCCAGTCCTGGCCCTGGACCCGTACCTGCTGGGTAAAGTGGACTCTCAGAATCTAGTGCAGCACCTGAACCCTGACATGAGGAAGTGACTTGTTTGTTTGTGAGTCTTTAATGCTGTTTTTGACTCGTCCCCGCTCTGTGTAGATTTTTACTCAGCAGTGAGGCAGAAGTGGGTGAACCAGGCGAGAAAGCTCAGGAACGTCACAGTCCTGTCTGTAGGGGGCGGTTACCGTGACTACCAGGTTCGCTCCGGCCTCATATCCCTACCCTGTCCACCTGGAGACCCTAATAAGTTATCATTAGTCGTGAGTATCTTTATTAGCCTCGTCAAATCTGCGATTCAAACTTTGTACCTGTGCACAGGGTGCTTTTATTTACCTGGTTAGCTCCATGGATGACTCTGCTAATCCTGCTAATCCTGCTGTATTGTCTTGTTTCTGTCAAGGCCACTGCAGTTCCCAGGACATGGGTGTCCACAGACCATCTGTCTATCGTCTGGTAAAAGAACCTGCATCAGAACAAACAGCGTATTAATCACCATATTTGGAAATTATGCTAATTTCTTCTATACAATGTGTGTCTTTTGTTGTGCAGGTGCAAAGAACTCGTTCTCGCTACGGTCCGGGCGTTCTTCGACCTCGTCAATCCTGAAACCCGACAGGTGAGCAAAACAAATAATAATGCACGAGTGTAAATCACCTGTGAGGAATCAAACGTTGTCAAAGAAGAAAAATGTTATTAACTGAAGCCAAGAGGAGCTCTGGCAGCCCGTGAAATATTAAATTAATGTTGTTTGTTTCCAGTCTTAATGCTGCGCTTTAATCAGTTCACAGACAACCCTCTGAAGAAAATGGCCGTACTTAATCATCACTTCATCAGACACCCTGTCAGGATGGTGGGAGAGACACAAGACAACTCCATCTCCATCTTAGGTAAGAGACAAGAGATTTAATATCCTGTCCTCGGTCTCAGTGGGTCTTTTTCTGACCAGCCACAACACATCCACAAACCAGGAAAACCCCACAGACTTAAGTGATCTATATTATGATACAAATATACCTGCAAACCCGCCCCTCTTATCTCACGGTGTCTCAGTGTTTACAGTCAGAGGTGTGTCTAAGCTTCAGATTGTGACATCTTTATAAAATCACTCAAATCTGTCTCTTGTTCTTCTTTTCTCGTCTTTTTCAGATTCTCCTGAAGCGTGGAGTGAAGTGAACACGCTGCGCCTGGCTTACAGCACACCAAAGGTAACAAACTTCACACCAGTAAAGCAAATGAACGTCTTGTACACAGTCATGCTGGCAAATGAAAATAAAGATGTGGAAAATAAGACGAGTGCATCGTCGGTCTGTTTCTGCAGGAAGGACAGATCAAATACTTTCAGTTCGCTCTGTCGAGTCGGAGGAAAGCCTACAGCCACTTCTACTGCCGAAGCAGCAACCTGGTGAGAGTTCAGAGATGTTGCACTCATGATTATAAGATAATTACCTACATCAGTCAGTTATTTTTCCACTTTTAGTCAAGAAAATATGAAAAACTTGATTCTTATTGTTATTGTCCAACAGGAGATGACCAGCTGGGTGTACGGCTGTGTGCACAAAAACGGTTCTTCATGGTAAGACAGCGGTTTTATCTTTTTTTTTCCATGCGAACTGTATCCTCCTATCGTTTGGGTTAATTGACTTTAACCTGATTTTCCTCCAGTTTGTTATTATCACAGAGGAGATGTAATGTAATTCTCCTCTGAATCAGATGATGTCTGCTCTTTGCAGTGTGCACGCAGTTGATCTGTCCATGGCCACTGAGCTTCTCCCACCGTACAAGGTTAGCTCTCCACTAAAGAAACACTTGAGTCTCTCCAGGATCTGGTGCTGATGTTTCCTCACAGCCGTCTGTTATCATCCTCAGGTTCTGGTTCTGAGTCTCAGCGACTTGTCTTCTATGACTCACCTGGTTGTTTCAGCCTCCAATCTCAACGGCAGACAGGTACGACATGAGGACTCTCCACTCTCTGATGTGAAGATTTGGTTTGTCTCTGTGGGACTCACCAAAATTATTTAACTTTACCAGAAGGGAACAGAAATTTCAGGTTTCATAACAATCCATACTAAACTGATTTTTAGTATGGAAAAAGATCGTCTCCCTTGACTTTGTTTCTCTCAGTAAAGCATATTTAAGGACTAGTGGAAAATTCTGGCATCATCTAAGTCATAAAAAATGTTCACCTGTGAACCATAGGTGTGTAAAATGATTTGAAATCGGCCAAATTCACTTTTTTCCCATCTTTGTTTTGTAACGGAATAAGACAGAAACAAAAAAGAGAAAATATCCGAGAAGGACATCTGAAGATAACGTGACCAGTAGGGATGAGAGACATAATCGATTCATGCGTCGTGATTTTTTTAGAAACATTTTTTAAATCATTTTTTATCTTCAAAAATCCTTTTTTTTAAATTTAAGAATAAATCTTAAAAACTGCCTTACATGTGATGAGTATTTTTTGGGGAAATAAGGTTCCTGGAATAGTCAGCAGACAATCATAATCATTCAACTGTTTCACTGGAGTTAAATTTGCAGACTAAAGATCGAGAAAATCGTACAAGAATTGAATCAGGAGAAAAGCATCTTGTCTCAGTCCTAGTGACCGTCCCTTTTCACCATCACTAATTTCTCTTTCTCACAGTTCACGGTGGAGTGTGAGTGGCAGAGACAGGAATCTCTGACCCTGTCTGTTGCGGTGCCTCATGTTTTGTCCTTCGGTAAGTCTTCCCGCTGGAGTTTGTCGTCGTTTTTAAACCTCAGATTTAAAGACGCTGTTTCACTCTCAGTTGATTTTTCCAGGTTTGACCTCCAGTGACATTACAGTCAACTCCTCTGGACTTCTTCACTCCGTCAGGCTGGAGCACTTTCACCAGGTAGGTTTTCTCCTCAGCTGCTTCCTGCGCTCTCTGTTTCTCCTCTGCAGCTAAAATACTTTGTTTGTTTTCAGGCGTACCAGGCATTCAGGATCAGCGTTACAAGCCAGTGCAAAGTTCACAAAGGTAAGTAAATGATCAGAAACTTACCTCTAAACATGTCCACTCATTAATTAAAGTGTAATAAGGATTCGTTGTTTGTGTCTCTGCAGACAGACTGCCTAATGTGTACAGAATAAACGTGCCATGGTTTCGAGAGGACTCTTTAACCACAGTCAGGTAAGCTCCGCCCCCGTCTGTGTTCACGCCAATGATTCACATTCAGACATATTCACCGTCTCTGCCATGGTTTTCGTTTTATCCGCCTCCAGTGTGCCGTCAGTGACCGAGATCTCAGGGATGCTCCACACAAGTCGACCTGACAACACGTCAGGGGTCCTCCTTCAGCTCCACACCGCCCCCAACTGCCAATATAAGGTACAGCAGCCAGAAAGAGAGCACGTTTTCAGAGCAGGGTGGAGTAAATGTTTATGCATCAAAACTACTTGATTTGGTCGAGTTTGGGGTTAGAAATATACTATCGATTAATATAATCAATCAGCACGTTTCTAAGTGATCTTCTTTATCCTTTGATTTTCCCCTCAGGTGTCAGTGAGGACGTCATTACCCAGAGTTCTCGGACAGGTATGATTTTTAAGTTCTTCCTTCGTCTTAAACAAACAGCAGAAGTCCCTCAGGTCCTGATCTGATCTCCTGTTTCTCACCTGACAGATTCTGAGGTTCTGTGGTCCCATGGTCCCGGTCTACACAGCTGTGACTCTCCTTCTGGCCTGTGGGGAGCAGCTGTCCTTCATCCTGAAGTCCAGGCGAGCTGCAGACATGAGCCAGGTGGTGGGAAAGGGTCTGCAGCCTCATAAAGTCAATCTGCCGGTTTATCTCCTCCACATCTTACTCAGGTGGGCTTCAAACTAACCCCGACCCTGGAGTTTTTTAATCCCTGAATATAACAGGACATTTTCCCCCTCTCTCCTCTCAGCTGTAGCTGCTTTGAAGAAAGCTGGTCGACGCTCTTTCTCCCTCCCATGGATTCCCTCCCTCCGACCACCCCTGACACAACTTTTCACGACGGTACAATTCCAGTCGAAGAGTGGCCACACCTCCTGTCTCCTCTGCTGTACACTTTCGGGGCAGCTGTGGCGTACTGGGGCAGCACACTGCACCGTCTTCTAGTGCGACTCGTCTCCCTCATTTTAGCTCCACTGCACAGGTATGAGAACACACTTCGACTCAGATCAGTGTGTTAAATCTCAGCTCATGAGTTTGAGTGTTTTTGGTCTGAAGGAATAATTTCTGCAAAAGTTCTGGAGTTGATTGAGTCGAATCAAAATAAAAATATGCTTTCACATGAATCACTAAAAGGATGTTTTGCTCCTTTATTCTCCCAAATTTGTTTTTTTTTTCTACTTTCCATGCAGGCCGTCTGTCTCCAGACACTGCGGCACCCTCCGTCTGCGGACTCAAGTCTTCATTATTCTGTGTTTGGCTGTTTTGGGTGGGGCGTCTTGTGCAGCTCTGTCAGTCTGTTTGGCTTTCCTCCTCCACCTCTACAGAGTGAGTCTAAGACACTAGAATATAACTACAACCATTCTGTGACACTTTAGCAACAATAATTTAACCAAATGATTAGAAATAGATGTTTTTTTTAACCACAATGAACTGACCTTCTTTGCTTCTGCATGTGCAGGTTCTGAGGCTGCAGATGACAGAAAGATCTTTGAGTCACATGTTGAATCTGGTGAGATTTTAAGGCTGATTTTTACCGTCTCATTCATGGCAGTGGAGGAGCTTGGGTGTCTACATTTATATGACTGCAATATGGTTTTTGAAATCCTCCTTAGGCGCCCCGGAAGCACAAAGAAACTGAGAACGGCTCGATCGATGCTGAATCCTTAAACAAACTTAAGGAGTGTAATGGCGCCCCCTTGCTGTCAGAGTACGCACTGCAGGAGGTGAGGGATGACTTACAGCTCCACCTCAGCCTGTCGGTGCTCTTCACACTGCCTGTCATGCTCGTGGCGCCCTCTCTCATCCACTGGACCCGCAACCTGAGGTACTGTACTGAAACAAAAGCTGTGAGGAGGAGACGCACGTCGGTACATTTGAGTCGAACAGCTGCGGTTTTTCGTCCTTAATCCTTTTTTATGCATTCAGCTCTTTGTCGGCTTCGTTTTTAAATCCACATCCTGATCCTCTGCAGGTATTCCCACCTGTTGGATCCTGACCCCGGCTGGCCGCACCTTGTGCCTCTTATTATTGTGTACATGCTGCTTATTAACTGCAACACTTTGAAACTCAGCAACAGGTGAGAGCAACAGCATCACATAAACTCTCCTGCTCTCTCTGATACAGCAGCCGAATCCTTCTTAACTTCCTCTTCATGTCTTTCAGTAAACTCCTCCCCCTGACATCCCACCTCCCTCTCCCTTTGGCCATCGCCATGGTGACCTTCTCTCCGCTCCACCTCTACAGAGTCACCTATTTCCTGTTGACGGCACTCATCCCTCTGGCTTTGGGGAGTCTTCTCTGACGGTACCTGGCTGGTTTCAGTCCACATCTCTACCATAACAAGCCTTCTTTAGCTCACAGCTTTACTCGCTGAAGCTGTCGGGGATGAGCTCGTCCCCCGTAAAGACTCACTCCATCTCGCTGCTGTGGAGCAGAGCCATAGACATACATAGCTTGGGGAACTGTCTGCTCAATGTGAGCGCTAAAAGCTCCACGGTGATTACACTTAGATTTAAACGAGAGGATGTAATGGCCTTGGAACTTTTGGTGCGTCAAAGGATCGACCTGAAACCAAGTTTGCCTTACTCTGTATATCTATAGCTCTGCCTTCAAGGAGCATCAACTCCACAACCAGTGAAGCTACTGATACAAGAGGTTCACAACAGGGTGTTACTGTAACAACATGTGGGTTTAGCTTTTTGATTTTTAGCGCTTGTTATGGTGGCGTGTTCACTGCGCTGTAAACTCCTACACTGCCTAACGCTTAGCTAAGACTTCAAGCTGTGTGCGATCTCAACTTTCTGACTGTTGCAGCGCAGCCACTGAAAAAGGGAAGGTGACGTTCATTCCACAAGGAAAATCCAAAGTAGTCGTGTTTACATTCTTCCTTATCCATATGTTACAGCAGAGCGAAAGGGAAACAGCAGTAAGATGAAGGCTGTCAATGAAAATGTTTTCAGTGCTTCTGTAGGTTTACTCCACGCTCTCTCAAACAACCTCACACTCTACAAATCATTTTTAGGTTTGCATGAATCCGGCACAAGTTCACTAAACTCACATAGGCTGAAATGACTGAAAAAGACCAACAGACTCCGATTTAATCTAGAGATGTTCGTAGTTTTTTATGAGGGAATTAAAAGTTGAAAAAGCCATCTAGTGTAGCCCAGAGTATCAGTCAAAATCGAGCGCTGAGTGTGGAGAGACTGAGTGTGGCTAACATTAGCAGAGCTAGCACCTTTAATCTGACCTGCAGACGCCTGTGCTGGTTACAAATCGCTCTATTTTTATCATGTTGCTCTAAATCCTGATGAGCCGCGCCGTGCAATGAGATCCCATCTATCATCTGTGCATTATGGCTGTCTTCACTCACTGAGCTGCAGTCCCAGTTAGTGGTTGGTGACTGACTTTCAGACCTGTCATAACAGAAATATTAACAACTCGTTTCTCACGAGTAATAAGATGCACACTATAATGTTCCTCCAGTATGATGAATAATTGCACTGATATTGAGTTTTTCAGAATATCAAGTTTTCACACAGTTCATCCCTAAAGATCACCACGAGGAAAAATGTAAATGTTTGACACCTGAACCTGCTGGACTGGTGAACTTTCTTTGAACCATCATGAGATCTTTTTTTAACTAATCCTGTCCTGTGTGTGTCAGAGTGGGGTACGTTAAAAAGACTTGTGGGCCAAATATATTTCGCCTTCTGTTCTTGTTGCAAGTTTTTTTTTTATGTTAATCTGTTTGCACATACTGTCACCTCACTGCCGCCTTTTTTCTTTTTTTGTGATTTGCAGTATCTTTGCGTAACACTGTGGGCGATCGAGATTGATCTACCAAGTTTTTATTTAACTTTTGATTTTATGGTTGCCTTTCTGTAACTCTTTTTGCTCAAAAACTTGTCTTATTCTCTGCGTTGCATCCTCCTGCTGTTGCTCACACCCCCTCATGTCAGTGACGCAGCTGCTGTGCCTTTCTGCTTCCTCCTGTATGCAGCAGTCTTTCTGTTTCATACCTGCCTGTCAGCTGAAAACCATGCAGTCCTCAGCAGTAGTGTCTTTGCTCTATGCTGTGAATGTAAGTGTACTTTACTGTTTTCTCACAAACTTAGTCCTATAACACAGTAGTGAAATCTCAAACGAGTAACTTTATGAAAACACGACACCAGAGAGTGTTTCATTAGGGACCAAGCCTCTGAGGTAGGCGTACAATCATTTGTTACCGTGCTCTGCAAAAGCCCAACGTGAATGTACCCGCGCTGAATGTCTCTACATGTGTGTGTTTGACTTCCTACTGTTACTAGTGCTGTAAGTGATCTGTGCACTCGTCTGTTTGGTGCAGTTTTAGTGCTTTGAGATGCACATCGTCTGCCTCGTGGTGATTGGTGGCACACACTACTTTGTAGAACAAATTAGTAGAGATGAAGATTTTTGTTTTTTATATAAATATTAATGTGATTTCTATCGGTGTTCACTGTGATCATGTCGTAGTACAAGTTTTACACATGAAGGTTTCCTCTTACCAAACTGGAAAATCAACTGTAGGGAAAAAGATGGGATTTTTATCCCTAGAGGAATAATTTTTTAGTATAGTACGCTTTTTAGATGAAACTATCAATGTGTGTTTGACGTCTGTTTAAAATTAAAAACTTTGCAGAAATGAGGAAAATCAGCAAAATTTTAAAAATGCTTTAAAAAAATTCAAATTAGACTCAAAGTAAACATGAATATATTCCACATTTTATAAACGCTCAGTCTTAAAGGTACAGTGTGTGGAAAACACTCCCTTGCTCACCCCAATGCGAGGTTCTTTTACTCATCCTTTGTGCACATATTAAAGCCTACGTTTAAGTTAACAAAAACACAATTATTTTTATTTTAAGGTAAATATGCACTAATTTAAACACACTTATGAATAATATCTTCTATTTCCTTTAAGTCTGTTGTTCAGCTTAAACACTACGCACTGTACCTTTAAATACTGCCATTATAAAAACCGGTATGGACTGTGATCCTGTTTCTTTTTGTTGTTGTAGAGCTTTGACGAACGTACCATCTAAACAAACAAAGACTGGGGAAAAAATGGGTATATTCATTAGTTACATATTAATATAACTGTTGGTATTGTTCACTGTCTAATGAAGCTTTTGGATTAAGTTGAACAAACAGTGTTTTATTGAAAAACTTTAATTTTAAGCTCAAAGATAGGGACTCTTATTTAAATCTAAGACACTTTTTAACACATTGAGAGGGTATGTTCACATCTACTGCTTTACAGACAGGGGCTTAATCCATACAATATATTAATTTTTAATTGACAAACACAATATAAGGATTGAGTTCAGATTAAAAGCAAAAGTGTTTTATTATTTATGTGTCTAATTTTTTGCAGAAGGGTGTGAAATCAAAAATTGTGACTAAATCTGACTTTTTTTCATTGTCTATCTGGTGATATGGAAGTAATATTTATATTAAATGTAACTCTTGTCTTTAAGTGCTTTAAAGTCTGGTTAACCTATCAGTTACTCTTCTTCTGCTTCTGCCTAGAGTGACTTTTAAAACCTGTAACCTCCTGCTAGCTGGTCCTTGCGCAGAACTAGTTAGTCTTTGCTAAATGCTGTCCCATGCAGTAAGCTGAAGGGAGTGGACGTCTGAGGGATGGTTGTGCTGTAATTGAATTTGGTGGTGAGGATCCATGAGTGGAAGAGTATGTTCTCCTCAGGTTAAAGTAAATGTGTCAAAACTGATTGTGTCGATGTTTTTTATATTTTTCACATTTTTAACTGATGTCATTGTAAATGGGCAAACTGTGCAATTTTTGGCACTATTGTTGTTGCAATAAAAACAAGAAAATACTCTTGCTGTTATCATTTTATTGATATGATTGGATATTCTATGTATTTTATCAGTAACTGTTAAAACACATTTTGGGGAGTTGCTTCTGAATTGGATTAGAGCTACAATAAGTTTGTTTTAATTGTGCTTATCTAAAATCTGCAACCTTTTTACATTGACAGGCTTATTAAAATTGACACTGCATGAATAGGAACAGTCAACAGCTACCAGGACAGGAGCTCGAGCGAATAGCAAGACCTTTTTAACGTCAAAAAGCTGGTAAGTTCAACAAAAGATACGACTCTTAGAGTAAGAAGAGTGGGGTAAAATAAGTCATTTTTCATATTTGTATTACTACATTAAGGCAATCATAGTTTTGATTGGGGGATAATTGACATACATGTGGCTCTGAATTGGATTAGAGCTACAATAAGTTTGTTTTAAATTTGTTTATCTAAAAACTGCAACCGTTTTACACTGACAGGTTTATTACAATTGACACTGCGTGAATAGGGACAGCCAACGGTTACCAGGACAGGAGCTCGAGCGACTACAAGACGTCTTTAAGGTCAAAAAGTTTGGTAAGTTCAGCCAGAAATACAACTGTTTCACACAGAAACTGGATAGAGAAGTAAATATAAGTTATCAGAACAACAGACGAGCACACGAAAGTCGGATAAATTCAAACTTTGTTTTGCTAACGTTAGCCAAGTGTAGCCTAGCAGCCGTTAGCTTGCACATTACGGTACATTACAGTATCAGTTCCCGCGCGTTAGTCAGTGTTACTTTGTGTTGCTGAGTTTTTGTGTACTGTAAAGGGGACAGTTTTCCAAGCTATTTGTTTTTTGTTTTTATTTACTTGAATTAATCCGCACCGATTGAAAATAATAGGTCTTTTTTTTTTTAACTGCCGTTTCAATATATTGTGGTGCACCTTCGTCACATGACCGCCAGAGGACGCCTTTACCCTGACTACACTTTAGTGCCTGCGACAGTGGAAGATGTGAAGTTGCATCACTGATGAATGAGTGTGTTTGTACTCTGTCTCTGTGTTTACTTCACCGTGTTATAACCGGGGCCACCTTTTCTCTATGGCAGAATTAGTTTGACATTAATACAGCCAGTTTCTATGTAAGGTATTAATAATAATAATAATAATTTTATTTATATAGCACCTTTAAAAACAGAAGTTTACAAAGTGCTTAGACAACAGTTGTAAGCACAGAGCATCAGCACATTGAAAATAAAAACACATAAAAACAAAAGCTCAGTTAAAAAACAGGCATCTGAATTGTAGGCCTGTTTCACTTTTCGTAAGAAACCCAGGCAATACAAGAACCCTACAAAATAAATGGGACCATGAGGACCAAAATAAAAGCAAAAAAAAAGAAATAGAAAAGGAGGGAAGAAAACAGGCTAGTAAGTATAAAAGAGGATATTAATAATAATAATAATAAATCATAATAAAATAAAATGATTGGGTTTACATTAGGCGTACATACCACACTTAAAGGGTCTGTGTTGAACAAGAACAGGCATGTTTATTGACCTGCGCATGTCTAATGTGGAAACACTGGGCTCTACCTGAAGTGACCAGAAGAAACAGCAGGTAAGATTTCTGCATTTCAATTATTTACGTTAGTGAAATGTTTTTTTAATTGTGCAGTGATCATTCAGAGTGGTGTGTCAGTTGTTTTATTAGTGATTTATAACCATTACTTTTGTTGTAGCGTTGGTCAAGATGGAGCTATACTATTAAGTCCTTTGTATGGTATTGATGAAACCTCTATCACTGTATCGAACATTGGCATTAGCTGTCAAATAGCAATACTACTCACTAAGGGTGGGAGAAAAAAAAAAGATTAATATAAGTATACACAGTTTTTTGTTTTACAATTTTTATGTGATGTGTATTATTTATTTATTTATTATTATTTTATTTATTTATTTATTTATTTATGGTGTGTGTGTGTGTGTGTGTGGGAGTTGGTAGACAGTCGTAATCATTCAACTGTTTCACTTGTGTTAGAAATGCAGACTAAAAATCGGCAATATCGTAGAATCGCAATTAAAATCGAATAGGCATCCAATCGGGAGAAAAGCATATGGTCCCAGCCCTACTACTCATAATGAAGTACAACAATGCCGTCTTCAGAAATTGCATTAAAGTGCAGTAAATGCACTCAGCTGTATCTGTGCAGTGTTATTGCTCCACAGGTTGACAACATTCATCCCTCTCTCTCTCTCTCTCTCTCTCTCTCTCTCTCTCTCTCTCTCTCTCTCTCCGCCCTCTTCGGCGTTTTCCCACATTAATATGCAGTGAATATATGTTATCAAACAGCATAAACTACATCTCTGCTTCTTTTAGCTTCACAGTTAATCCCTCTGCACCCTCCGGCGAGAGGAGTCTTAACTCCACTAACGCCATCCTCCGGTGGAAGTCTACTATTTTCTCCTGTCATTTGCAGGATTGACAGCGGTTGCATGCTTCAACCCCAGTCAGATTTTGTGCATCTGCTCGGGCTGGTGGTAGGAGGACGTCGGCTCTGACTGCAGCAGCAGCACATTGCGATGCAGAGAGAGGGGAGAAATGAGGATTCTGCGATGCCTGTGTGAGCTGCACGGCTGAGGAGCAGCAGGAGAAGCAGCAGCAGAGTGGCAGGGAGGTGCTGCTGCTGCTGGAGTTTATGCGCACACCTCTGGCGGCTGCCGAAGAGGGCCGAGGTGTCTCTGCAGCGCCGCAGCTTTTCACAGGGATACCGTCTCAGTACGTGACTTCGAGCCCATAGCTGCCCTGGCTCGGGATCTAAGAGGGAGGAGGAGGGGAGGGGGATAGCGCGGCACCCCGCCCGTCTCTCCTCATTTGGACTGCAGGGATAACGACCTAAACCGTGATATCCCCGTGCAGAAACCACTGAGCAGGTGCTGGTGGCCGCGCTGTCATCATCCGAGCACTGCATCTTCCATCCCGCACCTCTGCGCCAAAGGTAAGCTCTGACACACACACTCACACACACACAGAAATGGAGGGACAGTGTAGGTGTTCATGGCTTCAAGCAGTGCTGGTCATAACGATGATGATGATGGTGATGATGATGATGGTGAAGCAGCAGAATCTGTCATTTAACCACCGCATAGTCGCCTTCTGCGTATCGTGTTCTGCTGTTGTTGTGGTTCTGCTCTGAAGGGGATAATGGATCGATTCTGGTTTCATGCATGCGGCGTCTTGTGCAGGAGATGCATAAAAAGAAAATGACGTAGGGAATTCCCACAGTAATCCAATAGCGAGAGATGACACCTGCACAATCCGCCAGTGCGGTCCCTTGACTCTTATGGCCTGCTTCGGTCATGTGCGCAAAAGCGGCAGCGCGCAAAAGCGGGCCTCGCTACAGCGCACGAATTCTGTTTCGAAACGATTAAAGTTGGAGAGCGAGTGTTATGTAACGTGATTTTGCTGACGTGATTCAACCATGAGCGGGGGTTACCTTCACGTTTTTATCGCTCCAAGACGTTAAGATGGCCTCAGTGCAGAGGGTGGCTGTGTTTACATGAGCATGAGCGTTTCAACACTTAGCGCAGACTTCACAGCCCTCTGGCATCCAGTCTAGAAATACTACAGTTTTAGCTTTACACTGCAATTATAAACAGTCTATATAGTCTACTTTAAGATCTACGGAATGACTCCATTACTGTTTCTCTTCACTTGTGGTGCAGCTTTTCAAAACATATATATAATAAGTAAGTTTGTGACAAGCCAAAGTCCAAAAAAGTACACTGTTTTTCAATCCATGGCAGTAGGGATGTAACGATATGAAAATTTCACATCACGATTATTGTGACCAAAATTTTCACGGTTATCAATATTATCATGGTATTGTTTAAGTATGTTCAAAATGTTTTATTTTGAAAAGAACAATCAAAATAACATGCAGAATGAACTTTTCCTTAACCTTAAATAACAGAGGAACAAAAAGCTTAAAAAAATTAAGATGGGGCTTTAAAAGAGCCAAAAGTAAGCAACACTAGTAGTAGTAATAACAAAGTACAAAGTAATGTGCCAGTGGCGTAAACAAATAAATAAAATTTAAATAAAATGACATTCCTTATTGTGCAAAATGTAAGAATCTTCAGTGCTCAAAAAGATCTACTCTTACAAATATAAAACAGAGTAACAGTACTTTATAAAACAATACAACCACATGTAAAGAAAGGTGTAGGACATCAGGTTGGAAGTGTTTCCATCCTTCGCAGAGATTTTTTTTTTTGGGCATTTTCGGCAAACTGGTTGGCCGTTGTCAATCAGTGTCCCTTCTGCGTCTTTGTAGAAGCCGAAATACGCCCTGACTTTGGACTTTGTTTTCTTTGACGGCGGAAAAATCTCTGCAACACGGTCAGCAGAACTGCCCTCCGCCATGTTTACAAGTTGTATACTGCGCATTATCACTAGCAGTATCACTGTGAGCTTTTCAAGAGTGCAGCAATCAAACACGGTTTTAACAGTGATTAAAAGTTGAAATGGTAGTACTAACCGTCAGACATTTTACCGCGGTTTATCATTTTACCGGTAATCATTACGTCCCTACATGCCAGCAATTTGTAAGAAATAAGCTGGGACAGGGGCATTTTTCAGCCGTGTTGTATCACCTTGCTCTTTAGCAACACTCTATCAGCAATAAGGAACTGAGGACATTTACATTTCATGGCACGCCATCCATGATGTCAAACAGGATTTCAGAGTATGATTTGTTCGGTTTTCCTTTTGGCTTCGGTCCATCTTACAGGACCATATTGGCTTGGCACTGAAGTTTCACAGACATACCTAATTTTTGTCTATACAGCTTCCTCTTTGCATGTTGCTGTTGCATGCTGTATTTGTGAACGCAGTCATGACCAGTGTTTGAGGACAATGGTTTTTGGAAGTTATTCAAGTTCATGTGGTCAGACGGGCAGTCATGTCTGTTTTCTAATGCAGTAGCCTTCCTAAGGGTCCTTCAGATTACAATCATCTGCTTACAGGTTTTTAGGCCTTGTCCTTTTTTTTGTGCAGTGATTTAATCAGATTCCCTCAATGTTTTAATGATATTTCGTACCAATAAAATCTCAGCCATGTTTCTAACCTCTTCCAATCAGCCTGTTTAGATAGAGGATGTTTTTATTGATATCTTACACAGTGACCCTCTTGCTGAATTGGAGTTGTGACTAAAAAATATAAAAAAGTAGAAGGTGACAAGATCAGGACAACACAACTGTTCTTCTGTGTGGCACCTCTCAGTGTCCTGAAGGAGGTTTGACACACCTGCTGGTCCCATCTGGGGTATTGTTTGTTTGAAGAGACTGTATTGTTACAAGAGGACGGAGCAGAAGAGGGTCAAGAGATATTCTTTGTGCCAAACACCAAGTAACGAAATTATGTCATATTATCCTGATTACATGACTTTCTTCCTAATCGGCTGGCCAGACTAAATGCTTGATTCTGATTGGTGAAATGTTCTGTCTTTATCAATTAGTGCTTACATATGTCACAATACCAAAGAAAAGCAAAGCAAGTCCTAAATGTGTCTGATATTTATATAAAAATTCTCTAAAAAGCAGAAAAAACCACAACACGGCCGTGAGGTGAAGTTCAGCGGCCTGAGATAAAATGAGCTGACGTCTAACAGACTCACCTGTCACTCAAACTCGACTCGCCCTTAAATATGCAGAACTGACGGACTTTGTGTCACAAAAACAGGTTGGTCATATTAAAATACTCCCTCACAGAGATGTTATGAATCGGGGGGGAAGTGGCGAAGGAGAGCAGATCTATTTTTGCACTCGGCTGTAAATGTTTAATCGCCCTGTGGTCGGGTGTTTTAATTCGAGGCCTGGTGGGGATTGACTTGTTTTTGGATTCAGCCTCAAGTGGCTGTTTTAAGAAGTGAGTTTCTGACTTTGTTTGGCTTATTTTTTTTAAACTGTGGATGTTTTTCTCTTGTTCCAAATTAAGACAGTGTAAAGAAATCCCATCAGTCAGTCAGTACAGTAAAACAGGATCCACCATCAAGAGGTTTATCTGACAGACAGCTGATGCAGGAGTATATTCCAATATTTATATGAATTCAGGAGATGAAACTGTCTTTTGAGGTGTTACTGAGTGTTGAAGCCAATACAGACTCGTCCACCCACACAGGTTTTTTTTTTATTATGTTACCTGATAAGACCTTTTTCTCCAGGATGTGTGGGTGTATGAGTGATATCTCCTTGACTCCTTTGCTTACATTACACCTGCCAGAGCAAGAAAACTTATATCTTATACTGAGTCAGATCTGTATATAAAGACACAAATACGTTTTTTTTAAACTTGGATAGTGAGGGTAGAACAAAAAAAGGTAACTGGACGGTCTCAGATAGTTTTCATGGACAGCTGCCGGGTACTTTTTCGTAAGATGGTTTGAATCCCATTTTATATGATCAGAATAACTAATTAAAACTAAACCAGTCTTTGGGAAAACCTCTGAATAACCCAAAAAAAGGTCATGTCATCCTTTTACGATACAGTCTAGGTGGTTTGAACCCACAAACCAGGGTCAAAAGAGGTCTTAGTGCAAGATAAGCAGGCCAACTTTAAGCCCCCAAAACCCAAAGTCTTTCAGATCGATCGCAGGAAGGTGAAGAGTGGTGTATCAACAGTTTTGTGCATTCTGGAGAAAGAAGAAAAGCAGCAGTGAAGTGTTTCAGAACGGCAAAGGATCTGAAGGTTCATAACAGACAAAAGATCCTTTTCTGTGGAACAGGCGAGCGTATGGTGAAGAAGAGTTTCCAGGGGATAGATAGATCATTATCCAAACTACTACAGAGGACAGATTTCAACAAAGTGACTACAGAGGGTTCACTATGAGGAACTGACCAATAATAAACCGGATTAAAGTTTCTCGAAAAGCTTCTCCAGGTCTTGAATATTCAAACCTGTAGAGTGGGAGCGATTGGAAGAGAGTGAAGAGTGTGAGGGGATGACTCATGATCTGAGGCGGACCAGGTTATCTCTGAAACACAGCGGAGGCAGCGCGATGGCATCAACACTGATGCCTTCAACTATAGGTGTTAAAGATGATGTGACACAGAGAAGCAGGAGGATAAGACTGAAACTAATTTTACAGATTTACTTCCTGATGAAATTAAACAAAGCTTTAGAAAACAGATGGACATGGACCCAAAATAATCTGTTGAAGAGCGGCAAGAGTTTGTGGCCGAGTCAATCACTGAATTAACCTGCTCCAACATTCAATAAACTGTACCTGGAGAGGACAAAACTTTAGGCAAACGGGAAATCAAGAAACTGAGGCGCTTGATGAGAGACAAGAGAAAGACAAAAGACAAAAACATCTCAAATTACAGTGTCTTGAGGAAATGTTTACCCTAAAGCGTGAACGTAAACTGGTTTTGAAAATGGTGAAATCAGTGTATGAAGTGAACCGTCCTCAGGACTCGTATCATATCTTAAGTTGGTGCATCTTGTGTCCTTGTGTACAGCCTGTTTTTATCATATCAACAGTGAGTCCTTATTGAGTGAGGTGGCTTGGCAAGCTTTGTCCATGTAGATTCTCATTCATCCAGGTCATGGTTTTCTTGAAGACTCCAAAATCAGGCAACTGGACTGTGTAGAGTTGAGAAGACGTTTCGCCTCTTATCCAAGAAGCTTCTTCAGTTAAGAGAGCTTTAGAACTGAAGAAGCTTCTGGATAAGAGGCGAAACGTCTTCTCAACTCTACACAGTCCAGTTGGCAAGCTTTGAGTGATTTTACAGCCTGTGAGAGGTTACCTGTGAATTAGATGAGCCAGCGAGTCAAGAGGTAGAATTGGACATCGTGGTCGTCCAATAGAGGCTTTGTAACCTCGCAGCGATGTCACTGTCTGTATGGATTATTTTTCCATCTTTGACTTCACTGTTCAGTTTCCACCTTTAGTGACCTAAACACTCTCTCTGATGGTACAGTATAATTCAGTAGGTCTAAAAACTCCATCGGGGTAGTGTTGAAATTTGGATGTCCCCACCTGAATCCAGCTTATTGTATTTGGACATATACAATTTGCTCTTTCTGCACTACTTGACTTTGCAGTATCTGACCCCTCAATCATTTCCTTGAATCAATCTTGTTTTTGCTGTAAATGTGGGTGTAAAAAATGAGGAAGAACAGTCAGCTCTCTAAGTTCCTGCTGCAGATCTGTCTTTATATTTTCGCACATGTCTGTGAACGTTTTTTTAAGTCTTTCACAAATTTCATACACGGCCCACACTCCCTTTTATAGAGAGGTGAGTGTTCTTAACTTTGGAGAGGGTGATATCAATCAGGTTCCTGCCCGTAGATGCTATTTCGGGCTCACCGGGGCCTGTCATGAGGGATGCCTCCTGACGAGTGACTCATTCCAGACATGTACACCCAGGGCGATGTGTTTAGAGAAATACCCTGAGCGGGACGGGGCTGCTCTGTTTTTGTTTTTTTTTTTTCTGGGAAGTGGGAACACTCTGGCACCGGCGCTGTAGCCTGCGTTGTCTCAGAATGACTCACAGAGCTGCGTCGTCCAGTGAGGAGGCCTCACTGCAGTCTGGTGGACCGCAGTCTTGGGTTCATGGTCAGTTTGCGAGGAGAGTTTATTTACATCTTCTGAGTCAGAAATACAGTTTGCAGAATTTGTGTGAGTGTGTGGTTTTTTGTCGAGCTTTGGCGCGTTTGTTTTTGGAGCGTAATCCTTCTTCGTGCTTTTTGTTCTTAACTGCATTTGTCAGTGAGGCACAATAAGACCTCAGTGCCAGCTCCCCAAGGTGCCCGTTCTGTCAGGCTGTAAAGAGCAGCAGTCACCTCCACAGGGGCACAGAGGGGTCCCACTGCTGACATTTACACACACACCCAAACACACACACACACTTCACACTGTGAGAGAGGGAGATTGAAGAGGAGGAGGAGGAGGAATCCCTTTGGTGACATCACAGCTCACAGCAGAAACTCTGATGAAAAAACTCACTTTGTTGTCATCGATCAGACTCTTATTTTCTGTTATTTTGATCAGAAGATGTTGGTAAAATCGCCTCTTAAGAGCTCTGAGCATGCTGGCAAGTAAAGAAGATAATGAGGCGTCCCGCTGGTCTCACACTGGTCTCACACTGATAGGAACATTAAAATGTTATCACTCTGCCCACCTGGTTGAGGTGATTTTCTTCCTCAATTTTAGCCTCGCATTTGCACATTTGCTCACCCCGACTTCTTGTTGACAGTCGGGGGGTGTAAGAAAAACGATTCAGCTGTCAGATCAGACAATCACAGGACGTTTTCAGGACATTTTACTGATGATTTTAGACCTGTTATTCTGAATATGTCCATATTTAATCAAAAACACAACATTTATAATTTCATTTCATTTCATTCTGATTCCTATTCCGGCCATCTGCTATCTGCTTTCGTTACTAAAGTTGGTATAACTAGAGAAGCAAGCGGTCGGCAACATTCATCTCTCATTGGGGTGCCGAACTCAGTATATTATCGTGTGTTTGACCCTAAATTAATTTTGCGCTGGAATATCCCTTTAAACTGGAGTGGTTAAACCAGGACACTGAGTTTAACTGGTCTGGTTTTAAGTCTACATATGCATACATGAAGAGTCGCAGTTCTTTACCCCGTCTATCACCACTTTGATTAGTATAATGCACCGAAGCGTTCAAACATACATGTCTGTGTGTGTGTGTGTGTGTGTGCAGCATGGAGTATAGCAGGCGTCTGTGATTGTGAAGAGTCAGCACATCTTTTTTTTCTTGGCATGAAGAGGTGTTCAGACTTATTGCTACCTGGTGCCTGTCAGTCACGCCTGTCACACGGGACGCTTCCCAAGACAGATTTTTCCGTCCTTTGCATTTATAAAACACACACCTGTCACAAAGAACGGCGTCGCCGTACCTTGAAACCCACCATGATGTATTCCTGTGGCAGAAAAGCCCTCTGAAGAAAACTCGTGTCTTGACAAGAAAACAACGATTCAGCTCATTCTGCCATGCTCCATCAGATCCTGCGCTGCAGATGTGGCTCTTCTTAGTATTCACTGCACCGCGATGAAGAGTACAAAGTATGTGGTTCTTAAAACCCGTTCTCAATTACTGATTAATCGGCTGATTTTAAATTATTTTTATGAAGTTCTAAAAATATATAGATATCTACAATACTGTAGGCTGCTACACGCCGACAGAAAGACCAACTGATCAAACCGGGACCAGAAAAGTGTTTCCAACTATCTAACTTTCCGGGCCCTAGTTTTAAGATGGTTCTCCCAGAATTCAAGTGGCTGTTTTGCTGCACACTCAAGCTAGGATAAACAGGCCAGGCTGGTAGCGCCACCTGTCGACAACTTCTCTCTTCGTCTGGTCATTTTCAGACATTTGAGGAAAATTCTGATACAATAAAATATTTAAAAATATAAGTACTTTGTTTACAAAACGAGTAAATATGGTGCCAACTAGGAATGGGTTTCAGTGTTTAATCATTTAGTTGGCTGAACATGCACATCCTGTAGCTTGTAAACGTACGCTTGACATTGATGCTGCTGACTAATGCCGGCCTTCAGTGGCATGAAGTGGCTGATCTGTGCGTGTTGTGTGAGTTACAGCCAGCACAGGATGGTCTGAAAAGGCTTTTGTAAAAGAGGTGGACAGGGTGAAAATATGTTCAAGTAAGAAATGTGTGGTTCACCTTTCTAAGCTCAGGTCAGACGGCTAACAAAGTGACAAAAGTCAGGAACAATCAATCATAAATATGCACATGAAAAAATGCATTTGTTTGTTTTAATCTTCTCTGTATTTTAAAGATAAAAAGTATACCTAGAATCAGTCAGTAATCTCACATCAGGTTAAAGCTGTTCAGGCCAGTCAAGTCGGGATTACAAAAGGAAGTGCAGTCTTTTCAGGAGGAAGAGGACTGGGTTGAGTCCAGATTGTTCCCTGCCCCTCTCCTGAGGTCAGGTTTTGGTCTGTGCTGCTGCTGCGTGGAGCCGATCGTAGGCCTGGACGATATAGAAAAAAAGCATATCGATAAAAAATAAATCATATTGATCGATATCGATAATTATCGATATAATTATTATAATTATTTAACATATATTTTAATTGCAGCCCTGGATATTTTATGCTATTGCTTAATGACCTACTTTTAATAAAGAACACACAAGCACTGAATTCAAATTCAAACCTTTATTCAACCACTTTTTTTATTTTACCACAACTGAAAGTTTTTTAAAAAGGAACTAAAAAAAAAAATCAACTTAAGTGGCCTGAGTGACGTCAGTAAATACTGACAAACATAAAGACTAAAGTGACCAGAAAATCTGATAAATAAATATTTAAATAGTCTTTTGATGAAAATAAACAAAACAAACAAATATATAAATAAACAGAATAGCTTTAGGTGGGAATAGCATACTACCAGTTTTAACTGTGTGGGAAACTGCCCACAGCCTGGTGTCTGAACACTGAAATATTTCTCCCGGGGTCGGGAGATTTATTTTTTTTAATTATCATGTGATTGACTTAATACACAAACTAAGCACGAGAAGCAGGACTTATCCACGCCGGTGTTGTGTCGTAGAATGCACCCCTGCCGAATGCACCCCCTGCTAGTAGCCATGATCCAAATACTCGCGTCTTTGTAAAATATGAGCTCATTTGAACGTATTTCCTCCGCACCCTTCTCACCTTTTCAACCCCTGACCCATTTTCATGCCTGAAGCGCTGTGTTTGAGAAATACTTGCGGCCGGGCACTTCATATCGCGGGTCGAGAGTGGCTAGAAGCTGGTCGAAGCCAGGCTTTTCAACGGTAGTTATTGGCAGTATGTCCCTCGCTATGAAGCATGTTACTGCATGGGTGATGTCCTTATGCCGCTCGGACGCTTTGTCGTATTTTGACAAGAAACGAAGTCCAGTTTGGTCTGCTTCACATGCTTTGTGCTGGTGCTGGCAGCGGTTCCAGAGGATTCCTCCTCCGACGACGACGTGGAGCCGCGGCGCGGCCGACACAGCTCGTACTCCTGCACGTGCGACCGGTTTAGATGGTAAAACAAGTCGGTTGTGTTACCAGACTTGGTTTTTACTAATTCTCTGCAAATTTTGCAAACGACCGCTGTTCGCTTTTTGTCAGACTTCTAAAAACCAAAACATTGCCATGCTGGTGAACTACTGAAACCTTTTTTCGGGACACTGTCCTCCGCTTCTCCTTGCTGTATCATTTTTTCTAATACACGTGCTGTCTGTTGTGGTTTGGTAAGGGCTGGGCTTGGTGCCGTAGCATACCTGGGTCTGCGTTTGTGATTGGTTGGGAGGAAGTAATGACTGTAGTAAAAGCTACATGATAGGCTATGATGAAAAAGAAAGGGAAACTGTGTTTTTCTATCGAACTTTTTATCGACCCGTTTTTTTTCTATCGCACCACACGTCTATCGATCGATATATATTGTTATCGAATTATCGTCCAGCACTAGCCGATCGACTCTCTTCATCCGCTGTGATGAGAGCCGAACTGGTGCAGCTGCAGCGTCTCCGGCTCCACAGCAGGCTTAGAGCACAATACTCGGCACACATAAGGGTGCGACGCTTGAACCCCACTCATGTACCAGCTCAGCAGTTGTGTTCACATTTACCTTTGTTTCATTTTTGCTGCTTTATGGAAACTGCCCCTCCCTGCAGCTGCAACACGAACACACGTGAGAAGGATTTACGTATTCCTGCATCTGTGATGAAGGTTTTATTCCTTCATAAATCCCCTGTATGCTCTGTGTGTGTGTGTGTGTGTGTGTGTGTGTGTGTGTGTGTGTGTGTGTGTGTGTGTGTGTGTGTGTGTGTGTGTGTGTGATGAAGCCACGCTCTGGTAATCTTGTCGAGTCAGAGGCGTCCAGGCTTTCCCCATGTCAAATGCAGCAGATCTTATTTCAATATCAGGCCCGGCTTATTTGGAAACACAGCCAATCCGCATACATCAGCTCGGAGGCCGGTTCATCATTTCTGTTCAGTCAGTTCAAAATGCAAAGTGGATTGATTTAGAAGCTCAGGGGCAGTATATACAGGATATTGGACAATTTTTCATACACGCAACTGCCTTCAAATTGCTTTGGAAATTATTTCCAATCTGCACAGTGAAGAATTTCTACGGTCATACACTCAGAGACTATATACAACGTTAGCTTTACATGGATCTGCTTTTGTATAACAAACCGAGGAAAGAAAAGGATTAAAAACATATGATACAAAAGACCAGATTTAGTCCTTTTGTAGCTCTGAAAGATCGATGGAGGAAGATGTCAGTGAGTGTAGAGGATGGAGAACTTGATGAGGTGTATCAGACAGGTGGGAAAAAGGATAGTAATTGTAGTTCAGTTTACCAACAAATTCAGCAGCTGCTGTGACACAGTTCACAGCAGCAACTGTTCGACTTAAACCCATTATCATCTGCTGCTGCAGCTGGAATAAAACGGCTCAGTTTACATTTTTCAGAGTGGATGATGAACACTGAATCACCTCAGATGTGAAGTCAAAATATTCTCTCCTCTGCTCATCTACACAGTCAGCGTGTTCACGTGTTTAAAAAAATTAGTGTATTACATTAATCAAGCTAAAACTTGACTTTTACACATATATAAGTTGTACAAATATACCTACATGATGAGATTATAATAATAATGCATCAGATTTCATATAGCGCTTTATCAGAGACCCTCAAAGTGCTTTACATTGGATACATCTGGGACCTAATGTAAGGCGGAGGACACACACTGGCCAACCTTGTGGAACATTTATTAAGCAGTCAGAGATCATAGAGTCTGCAGCTTTAAAAACAAAGAGCAGGTCAATAAATATGAATAAAATGATTGTTGAACTTCTGAAAAGTTCTAAAAAGTTAAAGATTATTTGATTTAGTTCCTATGTTTCGTCTTGTTTCCTTCTAACAGATTGTTAAAGTTCTGGTTCTGGTTCAGTTGTGCAGCTTCTTTGGATTCTGACCCTCTTTTTCTTAATGATGCTGTCTCTGAAGCCTATTTTGGGCTGGACATATTATTTATGCATTACACATTAATATAAAATCAAATCAATTACAGGCTAAAAATACCCGGACCCCAGCTGATTGAAGATCCCTCTGCACAACCCCGCAGTCTGGAGAAGATCTCATCATCATTTCACTTTTTCACATGAATCCAAAAAAGGTTCAGAGTGAGATCAACTTCAGCAGGATGGTTGTCTAAGAAGCAGACCAAATATTTCCCATCTATCAGCTTGGATAAGAGGTTACTGGTTTTGGTTTGGTGTTAGTTTTGATTTTGTGTTAAAATAGGAAAGACTGAAACTTTATGAGATAGAAAACTTTACCAAAATATCAACTTACTACCCAGATATCAGAATATTAGAGGGAGCATTGACAGACATGTTCACTCGTTTAAGAAATAGTGACATCTTCCTTGTTGGCTTCCAGTTCTGCTTATTTGGAGGTTATTTACTTCACAACCCAAACACTTTTATTGAATACAGTGATGCATACAGTTCAGCCCACACACTGAGGAAGCAATGGTTTCAAAGCATCACCGGACAGCTCAGCTTTTGAGACATATACCCACTTAAAATGCCAAAGATATCAGGGCTTAGCTCAGACTACGGCCCACATAGTTTTCCGGTGACTGAACAGGCACATATTAGCCGAATATTACCCGGCCTATTCTCCATCCAAAAGAAGAAAAAAAATGTTCTGCTTCTCCGCCTGTCTTAAAACCAGCTGCCTTTGGCGAGACTCTGGAGTCACATGCCTTCCCTCAAAAACAAAATGGATCTGATGGAGTCGGCGCTCCCCAGACAGCTCCCAAACTGGCATTTGCTGATTGAAGAGTTTCCTGGGAGGCAGATGAAGCAGAAACCATAGAGGCCCAGATTTAGAGATCATGTGTAAATGTGTGTGTAGTGAAAATGGGGACTAAAGAGGGAAGCTCCAATGTTAGAAATGACACCAATGCAGAGGTGTAAAAAAAAAACTGCAGTTCCCTGAGTGTCCACTAGAAACAGGCTTCAAAACACAAGGATTCCCCATCAGAGCCCACAGCAGAATCAGACTTGTTTACATGCTTGGACAGTTTCGGTCCGTTATAGAGGCTGCAGAAGGTTGAATTTGTTTCGGGTACAAACATCCACTACACCTCTTACTGGTTTCATCATCAGCCCAAAAATGAGTTTGTTCCAGTGTCCAGTAGAGGTGGGAGAAAAAATCGATTCACATAAGTATTGCAGTTTATTGTTTTACAGTTTTTAAATCGATTTTTTTTTTTTTTTTTTGCTGCGCCATCTACAGGACAAGTTGGGGAACTTTTCAAATGGCAGAACATTTTCGAAGAGAAACCGAATCTTATTCTCCGCATTTTATTTCTGAAATATCGGCGACAACCGGTGAGTTTTGGCCGATTACCTCAAACGGGCTAAAATTGGCTGATTTAATCAGCTCACTGATAAATCGGTCTGGCCCTAATCATAATCATTCAACTGTTTCACTGGTGTTAAAAATGCAGACTAAAAATTGAGAAAATAGACAATATCGTAGAATCGCAATTTGAATCATAACAGCATCCAAAAAAATTGTAGAACAATCAAATCAGATGAAAAGTGTATCGTCCCAGCCCTAGTGTCCAGTTCCCCAGTGTTGTTAAGGTCTGTCTACCTTTTTTTGGCGTTGCTGTAAGAGATTGTGTTGTATGTTTTGGAAAAAGTCCTGCTGAGTTGTTTGCTTTGAAGACAGGTTTTTTCACCAATGCTTGTTTAGTCATTTGTTGACTTGAACCCTCTGCATTCAGCTGTTTCTTTTGTTTTGTGTGGCCAGTCTTAAAGCTTGAAATGATATCTCTGATTTCTCCTTCTCTCACTCTTCAGGTCCTTTGTTGCTGTTGGATAACATGAAGAAGGAACGGTCAGTTGTGTTACAATGCAAGGACCGAAAAGAGCGATAACGGGAGCCCCTGTTTCAAGAGGATTAACGCTTCATGACAACCCCTTCAGATGTCTTCTTCAAATATGAGGATTTCAGTTGAGTCAACGCTGAGAAACAACCAGCTGAAGTCATAAGGATCCTCGTCTCATCCTCGCCTTCTTTCTGGGCCGTCTCAGCTGCTGTTTTTTCTTCAGGTTGCTGCTGTTTTAACATCTGATCACCATGCGTCCTTCCCTCGCCACAGCGGTCCTACCGCCCAGGACCCGTTCCCACAACCCCCCAAACCTTGCGGTTGGGGGTCGAGAACACCTGTCAGCTCCACGGAGGCGCAGCCCTCATCTCAGACACACACTGAGTCCAGAAAACCTCCGAACTTTAGCAGAAAGGGGCGGAGCTGCCGTCGACACTGTGTCAGTTGTCAGCAGTCCTATTGGACTCCCACGGGCGAACAGTGACACCGATCTTGTGACCTCCCAAAGCCGGTCCTCACTTACAGCATCCACTTTGGAGTATACGCTAAACCGTGGCCAGAACCTGGTCATATCCTGGGATATCAAGGAGGAAGTGGACGCTACTGACTGGATCGGGCTGTACCACATAGGTGAGAGTATGATCCTTTGAGGAAAGGTTCAAAACAAGTCTCACATATTTAGACAGTTTGACGTCATCAAAAGCGGGGTGGACATGAAGTTAAAGGGATATTCCAGTGTAAAATTAATTTAGGGTCAAACTGTAACACCCCCTTGAGAGATAAATGTTACGAACTGCTTGCTTCTCTAGTTATACTAGCTTTAGTAACGACCGCATGATAGCAAAACACAGTGGTCTGAGGAGCCATAAACAAACCTCAACCAAAACACCACTCTATAGCCACAAATAATGCTCAGAACAGCACCTAACTTCATCAACAGGACATATAGGGTCACAGACATAGTACTAGACACAAAACATCTTTTTCATTTTGACTAATTTTCCAGGGGGTGTCTAACTCGGTGTGATGGTGTGTTTGACCCTAAATTAATTTTACACCGGAATATCCCTTTTAATCTCACCTAAAAGGTCTTACACCAGTTCTTATACCGATTTTCCAGGCTAGATAAACTCGAAAAGCATTTAGTTCAAGTCTTTGAAGTCTGAGAAAAAACATTATTGTCACTTAAATCAGATTAGGTATTAGATATTTAATCCTCACATCCATAACAGCTTCCATGTTCACATGTTTTTCATTTTTCTGAATGATTTTAAATTCTGAGTCAGAGAAGCGATCAGAGCCGCAGCAGCAGGTAACATCAGCTCTTTATTGTGTGCGCTAAGAAGCATTTAAAGATTATGAACAAGGACTGTGCTTGTAGTCAGTATTGCTCCTGTATTACTTTTCACCAGGATGGACAGATCCCCTTCACAGTTTGAGCCTGATATCCTTCTTCAGCACACAGGTCAATGTATTTCCCCCCTGTCAAATTCCTGTCTCTAAGCAGGATTAGGCAGACTTTATTGGACGCTCCTCCGTTTAAATCAGAGCCTCGCACGCTTTGTGATGGTGTGTGTTATTGTACACCGAGGCAGAGCTGCTACATGTTGACTCAACAGCTCCTGTTGCAGTATTGACTCAGAGTTGGACGCTCCTACACGGAGCTCAACCTGGCTACTCTCAACTCTCAATAAGAAAACACCTGGATCAGCTGAAACGCTTGGAGGACACGCAGGGTCAAGACAGATAGTTTCCTCCTGAGCACCTGCAAGTTTTATAGATGGTTTACGAAGCACTATGAGAGTTTGAAAAGTACAAAATATACGATGAAGCAAAGTTGAAAGGTTTTATAGATCAGGTGTCTAGTAGTTTTTCCTCGCATTTTTCTTCTTCTTGTTAGATTTTTGTTTGAGATTGTTGACTGGACAAAAACCGTGTGACGACTTTACTTTTTGGCTCTCTGATATTTCAATGAGTAATTTTTTTGACATCTTGAAGTCCAAAAGAATTAATCACTGATTCGTTTAGTCTGCAGAAAAAATTGCTTGTTTTATTCCTACCATTCAGGCAAACTTTTTCCAATAAATTTGGACGCTGGCTCGGACTGTTGCAGTCAACAAGTCTCTTAAAAGCAGAGGATCTGACCTCTGTAATGCCACACAAATGTCAGTTTTTGATCAGACAGACCTAGGAAAAGATTTATTGTAATATTTTAATGATATTGTGTAGTGTAGGTGAAAAAAATACAAGAATTATTAGCAATTTTACTGTTAATAATACCCCTTTGAAACACTTTATTTGACGCCTATCTCTATAAGGAATTATAAATATATAGCACTGTATAACTATAGTTAGAAACACTCATAAATGATCATAATTACACATCATAAAGCATTTTATTATGACTTACAAGGTCACATTTTATAATGTGTTATAACTGTTAACAACTCACTAATTTATGAGTGTTTATAACTATAGTTATAAAGTGCTACAACGCGATTATAACGCAGTATACATTTATTTATAATGCGTTATAGAGAGAGAAGTCAAATAAAGTGTTACCCAATTTTTTAATCGTAGAGTTATGAACTTTTTCCTGTCTTTGAGTCAAAGCCTCAGTTTTTTCTCTATATCCAGTCATGTTACTAAACTTATGAAAAAATTAGCCTTATCATTTGTGAACTGTTTTTTTTTTTTTTTTTTTCCTGCATAGCTTTTTCAGAATTTTATTTTTTTTTAACGGGTTTTAAACTTTTTATTGGTTTAAAATTCAAAATGAACTTAAATTTGTCATAAAGCGACATGTTGATATCTGGTCATTGCACTATTTTAGAGTAAATAAAGGGTTTGAATCACTCGCAAACTATTAAAATCTGGTTTTATAAACATTTTTTACGGCATCCTAACTTTTTTGCACAGTTGAATACATGTGCAGTGTTTCAGGCTGGAGCTGATTCGCTTTGAAAATGGATTTGATGTTTTGCACGGTTGGATTCGAAGTCTTTGCTAAAGTTAAATTTAAATATTTGTGGAGAAGATCCAAACATTTCATAAAACATACTTTCTTCAGGAGCAGTTACACTCCTATGACAAAGAGATGATTGTTATCGCCGCCTTTTACTCCAGCAGTCGTTTGTTTCCTGTCACAGTGATACACAACATGATGGAGTAAAGCAGAAACTAAGAGCTGTCTCTTTAAATGGGATAATTTCTGCTCTAAAACAGCCTCATTTACAGGAACATTGAAGTCAGTGAGCTGCCCACTGTGATGTATGGTGTTAGTAATGGATAATGGATTTCTGAAAACAATGAACGTCTTTGACTTGAGGAGGTCACAGAGAAACCTGCAGTACACCATGCCGATATTTCACAAGAACACGTGTTTAAAGAGCGTTTGAACGATTTATCGTGTTTCTGACGCTCTTCCTGGTTTAACTTCGTTGACCACATTGTCTTAACCTTTCCCTCGTCGGTGAAAATGCTGTTTAGGAGAAAGAGATAGCGTAGACTGCTGGTGCCGCATGTCAGGGGCGTCAGGTCACTTCATATCGATCAAAAGGCCACCAGGACTTCATTACCTGCTCCAGGGTCTCAAACCCCAGAGGGGCGACCGCTTTCCTCGACTAAGCAGACATTCAATGATAAGCAACTTACCCTCCTCTTCTCTCACTCCCCACACACACACACACACAGACACACACACTCCTCCCCCTCGGTCAGCTGAGTTTGGTGCTTCATTAATCTGTGCGTGAAAGTGCTACGAGCAGCGGAATTCCCCCTCCCTGTATCCAACTTAGAGGAAGTTTGCTGTTTGTCCTTCTAGTTAGAGGTTGTATGAAGACTATTTTAGGACTGGACTTCACTGATTAAAGCCAAACTTGTGTTTTCAAAGACAGAGTCCACAGACTAAACATGCAGATAGAGCAGATACAGCTTTGTTCCTGTATGTTGTAGACATTAAACTCTTGTCTCCTGTTGTTTAATTTAGTTTGAATCAACAGTAAGCAAGTACATCGTATGGCGTCCTAAAACTAACTAAGATCTGTTCTTCTCTGCAGATGAGACCAGTCCATCGAACGTGTGGGACTGTAAAAACAGAGGGGTGAATGGCACACAGAAGGGTCAGATCGTGTGGAGGCTGGAGCCCGGGCCTTATTTTATGGAGCGTAAGTAACAAAAAAAACAAACAAAATTATAACCTTGAATAATCAGAAATCTTAGCGATGAAATAAAAGTGTTTCTAGCTCCCACGTGTCGAGTCTGGTCAGTAGTGAAACTTCAAACCTGTACCCAACAATAGATTTCCTCATCTTTCTCTGCAGCTGAGACCAAGATCTGCTTTAAATACTACCATGGCGTGAGCGGAGCCCTGAGAGCCACGACGCCCTGCATCACCGTGAAGAACCCAGCTGTGCTGGTCTGTGTGTGTGTCTGTTTGTGTCTGTGTCAGTGTGGGTTAGACCTTCTTTTGTCAGCCAAGCTCAGTCACAAAAGGGCACACATGAAAGAGTGGTATATCATGTAATGTCAGGGTTACATTATATCTCCTATAATGATACTTGAAAGTGACTGACACTAACAAGTAAGGCCAAGTTAGCCCTTCCTAAATGACTGTATATTTGCTGCTATGTAGAAGATCATTATGATTTCTGTGAGGTTTATAAAACACACATACAGGTGTGATAAAATAGTTTTTGTACCTGTGGAGTTAGAATTGTTTGGTTCTGTTACAGGTGGAGGGGCTGGCAGAGCAGGTGGGGGTTGAACATCCAAGAAAACTGATCAGCTTCACTCTGACGGGTGAGTTTAGAGGCTGAAACATCCGACAAGTTTGGTGTCTCAAAACCGAAACTGTATCAAGTAACATCTGTGTTCATGCAGCACTCCCTCTAGTCTTCTGATCGCTCCCAAAGCTTTTACATCATGTGTAGCATTCACACATTCACACTAGAGGCTGCTATGTAAAGCAACCATGAGTATTGACTAATCCCATTCACACATAGCTGGGCGCAGCCAGCGAGGACAGCGGGGGGTCAAGTGTCTCATCCAAGAACGCAATGGTATGTGGTCAGACTCCCAACCTTCTGACTGAGAAATGACTCCACCTTTGAGCCACTTTTGCAAAGATCAGTGCAGATATTAATTAGCGCAGCAGGATGCAGTATTTAAATCTTCTTCCCAAGCCAATAACTTGACTCTTACTCAAAGATGCAAGACGTCTGAACAAACTGGTGAAAAAGGCTGGCTCTGTGGTTGGAGTCAAACTGAGTTGGAAGATTTGGTGGAGAGATCTACACTGAGGAGGGTGGAGACTATTCTAATGAACATGGATCACCCACTTCACAACACCTTAATGGACCAAAGGGCCAGTGGTGGAGGACGGCTCCTCTGTCTTCGCTGACAGAAAGATTCAGAAGATCTTTTGTACCAACAGCCATCAGACTTTATAACTTTTAGAGACATGACAAATGAGACAACAGACAATTGAATTTCCCTTCAGGGATCAATAAAGTTCTTCTTATTCTTAACTTGTGTTTTATTGCAGATCTGCGGGCGACCGGCCTAAAGAAGGGCATGTTTTTCAATCCTGACCCGTACCTGAAGATGTCCATCCATCCAGGGAAGAGAAGCGTCTTCCCCATCTTCAGTCATCACGGACAGGAACGACGATCAGCCATCATCGCAAACACCACCAACCCCGTCTGGCATGGAGAGGTGATACTCAGACCTCCACAGATTCTCTTTTACACGGCTGATTGTACATTAATCATCTGTTTTTTCTGTTCATCCACAGAAATACACTTTTGTAGCACTAATGACAGACATCCTCTACATCGAGGTGAAGGACAAGTTTGCCAAAAGTCGGCCGATCATTAAACGCTTTCTGGGCCAGCTCACCATCCCTGTGCAGAGACTTATTGAAAAAATACCCGGGTCAGTCCTGCAGACATTCACTCACACACACACAAAATTCAGGTCCAGCTTAAGTCCAGTCTGAAGGACAGTGGAGCCGATTTTACGACTTCATTACTTAATTACATCTTTTTTCAAGCCAAGGCCTTATTTCTTATATTTTGCTGTTAAAAACGGTTCCGGGCACAGAAGAGTTGTGGATTCGTCCAGGTACTTTTCAGCTGGCAGAGGCGAGACCGGCTGTAATGGTTCCAATGTACTGGAACCCTCGGGGACAAGTGCAGTCAATTAATCCAAGCCCACTAAAAGTCCTCGTGTTTTCATCTAACAGGCTCAGATTGTTTTTCAATTTGTCTGACAACATTAGAGAAGGGACTCCTGCAGAGAGGGATCCTTTTGGTAGGATAGGATGCTTATTTGAACGTGTTACAGCTGTTTCATCGCTCACTTAAAAGCCTCCAGACTCCATTAAAAACAACAACAACAGTCAGTTTTGGAGCTGCTTGTAAAATTCTGCTAGTTTGTTTTTAGTAAACAAGTTTGTTTTTTTCTCTCCTCACAGAGTCCAGCCTGTTAGTTTCTCCCTGTGCCGACGCCTGCCCACTGAACATGTGAGCGGACAGCTGCAGTTCAAAGTGGAGCTCACATCAACGGGGCCTGATGGTAAATCTGCATTTTCACCACATAATGAGTCCTTGGATTTGAGTTTTTCTGGACCCAGACTTCAAACCCTCTCTGCCTCCTGTAGGTGCCTCCCCTGATTCTATCATCGGCATGTCATCCTTGAACGGGGCTCCAGGGACGCCATCAGATGACGAGGACCTGCCCCATCATCTTCCAGGCGTAAATATCGCAGGAGTCGTCTCTGCTGGTCCGTCTCCCACTGGCTCACAGGGCTCACAGGGCATGTGGGAAGGCGGGGCGGCGGCGTGTTCAGAGAAGGACTTTTCTCTCATCGGAGCCGAGGCGAGATACGTGGATGCTGACAGCCTGTCAGGTCATGAGACCCTCCAGAGGTCCCTCATTGAGAGTCTGGATGCTATTGAGGCACCCAAAGGTCCCGGTGAGAGACCTCTGGGTGCGGCGTCACCTAAGCTACGCTCCAGCTTCCCCACACACACCAGACTCAGCGCCATGCTGCACATCGACTCAGACGAGGACGAGGAAAGGTCCGGGGCCAATGACATCACTCCTGTGCCGCTGTCACCGCTGCTGATGAACGGGGAGCCTCCTGATATCCCCGATGAGGAGGACCCCTTTCCTGAGATCCATCCAGAACCGGAGCAGCTGGAGCCCCCAGTGCTGGAGGAGGAGCCCGGGGGTCCGGTCGGTGCAACAGGTGACATACCCTCTGATGCAGAGTTGGCTCTGGAGATGGGGGCAGGTCTGGACTTGGACGATGTTTTGGAGCCAGACGTCTTTTCTGAAGTGGACGAGACGCCTTTCACAGAGGCGGTGTCCCATAATGCTTTGCCAGAGGGCGGAGAAGTGCCTGAGGAAGGAAGGGGGGCAGTAGAGGACCCCTCTTCAGAGATCGACACCTGCTCCATGGCAACAGCCCAGCAGACTGTTGTCTCATCATCAGAGAGCTGCCCAATCACCCTGACAACAGCTGTGGTGAGTTCATGGTGATCACGACGAAAGAGTTAACCCTTCGTTTGCTCGATTATAAACCTGTCTGTGAGTTAAAGGGATATTCCGGCGTAAAATTAAGTTAGGGTCAAACACACCGCAAGACCGAGTTAGACAAATAATGAGAGAGATGAATGTTGTCGACCGCTTGCTTCTCTAGTTATACCAACTTTAGTAACGGCCACAGAAAGCAATACACAACCAAAACACCACTCTATAGCCACAAAAAATGCTCAGAACAGCACCTAACTTCATCAACAGGACATATAGGGTCACAGACATAGTACTAGACACCAAACATCTTTTTAACTTTGACTCATTTCTTTAGCAAAGAGACTAAACACAACTCACCTACTCTCTTCCAGCATCCGTTTGTTTCTACGGCGACCTCAGGCGAGTCCATCGACTGCAGTGGAGTTTTGCAGCACAAGGGAGAACATTTATGATCATTACTTCAAGAGAATATTGTAGTCGATGGACTTGCCTGGAGGTCTCCGTACAAACAAGCGGCTGCTAGAAGAGTGAGAGTCTCTCAACGGGGTGTCTAACTGTCTTACGATGTGTTTGACCCCAACTTAATTTTACGCCGGAATATCCCTTTAATGTGCAGTAACAGCTCCTCTGCTCGGTCTGAGTCTCTTTACTGTCCTCACAGCGCACACACTGTACCGAGCAGCAGACTCCTCTGGGTCCTAGCCTCAGCTGTGTTTGTGTGACACTCACTGCACCATAATACATAATTCAGCACAAGCTGTTAGATCCATAGTTTTGCACTTAGTAAGTTTGGGATATTTGCATATTTACTCACTCGGCTTGTACCAGAGGAAACCTGGGAACAGAGTGTGAGTGTGATCTAAGTATCAGCGCTCAGTTTCCAGACAAAGGCTCCTCGGTTTGTTCTGTTTTTCTTTTCAGCTGACCCACCTACACGCCGATAAACATTTGCATAAACTCGTACTTTACTCTGTTTTTTTTCGTGTTTGTTTCCTTGGAGATGGAGTCAACGCTGCCTCGGGTTGTTTGGTGTCATTTGTTCTGACTTTATTCACAGATTTTGTGGCAGTAGGTGTGAACGCCTTGCATATAAATGTATTTATGATTCACCAGCTTCATGAGGCTGATCTTCTGTGTGATTATCATCTCTTCAAATGTCCACTCACTGTGGGATATCCTGCAGGAAGCTGAGGAGGGGGCGGAGACCGCCATCGATCCTGGGGGAAACGTCAGCTCTTCTGTCCCACCGACTACTCAGGCTGTCGACGATGAAGGTGGCGGGCAAGTGAGCGTCTCTGAGGCTGGTGGAGAAGCTCCTCCATCCAGCGAGGTGGACCAGGCAGAGGAGGTCAGCGTAAGGAGGCTGAGCATGCAGGCCGCCGGGGGCGTAAGCGAAGAGCAGGAAAGGGTGGAGACGAAGCCGCAGGAGGAGGCGGGGTCTGCGGATTCAGAGCAAGTCACCACGGAAACAGATGGAGAGGAAGGTAATCAGCCTCCAGTGACTCAACAGTTTGTATTCAGTCTCTGTTTGTCTCTCCAGTTAATCAATATTTTAATCGTTTTTACAATAACTGTTTTTTCTCTCTTTGTCCAGGTTCTCACGTCAACGGTCATCCCGTACGCTCACTTCCTTCTGTGCGTCACGACATCCACAGATACCAGCGTGTGGACGAGCCTCTCCCTCCCAGTGAGTGTGTGTGTCTGCATGCACCGTATCGTCCTACACGTCTGTGTTTATGTCTGTTTGTCCTCGTGTGTCTTCATGTGTCCATCTGCATGTTTGACAAACTCAAACTTCAATTTATCCCCAAATGACCCCGAAACGTTCTCGCTCTCGTCTTTCTCTCAGACTGGGAGGCTCGCATCGACAGCCACGGCAGGATCTTCTTCGTGGATCACGTGAACAGAACCACCACATGGCAGCGCCCAACTGGACCTCCCGCCCCCCAGGGCCTGACCCGATCTAACTCTATTCAGCAGATGGAGCAACTCAACCGCAGGTGCACTTTCTAACAGAGAAACGTCTGATGACCGTCATGCTTTAAGTAAATACCTTGTCTTTCAAGTAAAGGAATAATGCGTCTTGTTAAACCAACCATTAACATCAGCTGTGGTACTTTGAGCAAATATCCTCCGACAAATGTACTCGGTCTGTCCTGGAGTCTCCTCTAATGGAACCAGCCTCTGGGTTTCTCTTCGCTGCTTTTAACCGTGGTTTCCTTCGCTTTCTGTCTTTTCAACTTTAAAGTAACTTCAGAAAACAGAGGGATACCAAAGCTTTCACTGCGGCTTTCATGATGATCTTTCTCTTGACCGGAAATGTCTGCTCTTATTTTCTCATATTCACTTCATTCTCTTCTATCCCAGGTACCAGAGCATCAGGAGAACCATAACCAACAGTGATCGGACAGAAGAAACTCCTGCTGAACTGCTGCCTGAACCAGAAAGTGAACTGATGCCTCACTCCATCTCTGGTTAGTTTCAGCAGAAATCAGACTCAGGGAAATTGTTATTGTGTTATACTGACATGTGTGTGTCCTCTGTAGGAATATGTCTCTTTCTTTCCTGCTGCTTGTCTCTCTTTGACCAGCCTGTGTTGATTTCATTGCAGAGTACAGACGGGAAAGCGCGGTCGCTCACTCCAGCGGACGCTCGCGGCTCTCCCTGCTGCTGCAGTCTCCCAGCGCCAAGTTCCTGTGCAGCCCCGATTTCTTCACCGTGCTGCATTCAAACCCTGTCAGTGCAAAAGAATTATTGACGCACACTTAAAAACTCTGCCTGAGTCTCGCCTCAATGATCCACTTTAATTTAGCGAGTGTGTATGACACAATACTGACATTAAGTGAAGGTCGAAGAGTGTAAAACAGTAAAGTTGTCATCCCTGTTATTCTGTCAAACTTTTTTGTATTCCTCTTCCTTTTCCTCGGTCATGATCTCACCTGTCTGTCTTCTCTGCTCAGAGTGCCTATCGCATGTTTACGAGCAACACCTGCCTGAAGCACATGGTCAGTAAGGTGCGGCGGGATGCTCATTACTTCGAGCGTTACCAGCACAACCGCGACCTGGTCACCTTCCTCAACATGTTCTCCAACAAGCAGCTAGAGCTTCCCCGGGGCTGGGAGATGAAGCACGACCATACGGGAAAGGTGCGTGACAGTGTGTGACTACTCCCTTTGACTTTGACCCTCAAGTTTGGGTATTTATTGATCTGGGATCTTAAGAGCTTCCTCCAATCAGATGTGTTTTAGAGCACAAACACCGCAGCTTTCTTCATGCATGATTGTTGTTTTTTTCATCTCAACCCTCAGCCTTTCTTCGTGGATCACAACTGTCGCTCAACAACCTTCATCGACCCCAGGCTGCCCCTTCAGAGCTCTCGCTCCACCGGGCTTCTGGCCCACCGCCAGCACCTGAGCCGCCAGAGAAGCCACAGCGCTGGGGAGGTGAGAGACTAGCCCCCGCTGCTGCACCACTTGTCACCTGAAGTCAACTTAAAGCTCGCAGAGTTACTGCAATGTTTGTAGAGGCTGTAGTGAAGGAGAGAGAAATGAGTTTCTGCTCAGTGGGAACAGGAAGAGAAGTTTTCCTGCTTAAGGCAACTTTTAGACAGAAACGGTCTTCATAGAAACAGAAAAGTTTAGTTTCGTTTAGGGGGGTCCGTTTAGACGGCAACTGCGTTTTCAGGAGATGAAAACGTAACAAAGTGAAAACCTCTAGAGTGGAAATGTTGTAAATGCTCTGCTAGTCCCACTTTCGTCTAAAGTACAAAAACGCTGAAAACGGTCAAACCTGTGACGCCAAGGCTCACGTCGGCTCACGTTTATGACATCATAGCCATGCGCAGCTTCCTTGAAAATAACAACAACCATGCTAGACATTCGAGTAGCGCTGTCGTTATTATTGAACGGGCAGGAGCTCAATTTCGACCCGTACAGAATCCTCACGGATCATACTGCTCAGCAGAGGAGGCGTCTGAATTAATTGCATTAAATAATTAATGTGCCAATTGGTCAGAACGAAGTGGTTCTACGTATGCGTTGTTGGTCTACATGGGAGCGCGGTTACATCGACATGCGCCACCTAGCGACCTGGCATGCACATTACAGCGTTTTGAACCACAATTGCATTTTTGTGTAAACACAGAATAAAAACTGAAAACGAAACGGCACTTTTCCGTTTTCTATGGAGACCGTTTCCGTCTAAAAGTGGCCTTAATGGAGCCAAAAAAGATGAGATCAAATTCTCCTCATCTCTTCATAAATCCTGTTAGATATGGAAGCAATATACTCTTCTTCTGTGGACGTATTAGTTGATTTCATTTGTCACCTTTTCAAATTTCATCTGCTAGTTTGTTTTAATCTGTAATACCACACTAATGCCAAAAGCAATCAGATCTCCTGTTAACAAACCATCAGATACACTCTGGTTATTATAATTCTGTTTATAATGGCTCACATGTTTTGTGTCTTACACATCAACACCACCCACAAGACTTGGCGTCAGCATCATGAGTGTTTTTTACACACAGAGCTGCTATTTCAAAGCAGGATATTTACACTCCTGTTACGTCTGCAGTGTTTAACGCACAGAGGTGTAACGCTGAGGCGAAGGTGAAGCAGCCGAGCCGACAGAGAGGAGAGCAGTAGAAGTAATTAGCAGCGAATTAATCTGTCTCAGAACTAGGATGCGACCTGAACTGTAGTGCCTCTTTTTGTCACAGGTGGTGGATGACTCTCGCCAGTCCAACCCGCCCGCAATGCCCCGCCCCTCCAGCACCTTCAGCGGCTCCAGAAGTCAGTACCAGGATGTGGTGCCTGTGGGTAAGTGAGGCAGGATTAAATCAAGACTTAAATGGAAGCAACAATTCTGCACAAGACAACAATTTGAACGTGTGTTTCCTTTGTTTTTTTAGCATACAATGACAAGATAGTGGCGTTTCTACGACAACCAAACATCGTCGAGATCCTGCAGGAAAGGCAACCTGAGCTTGCAAGGAACCACTCGCTCAAGTATGTGTTTGTGTTTTTCTTCTTCTACTTCCAGCAATCCTCGATTACCATCATCATCATCATCATCATCATCAGTCAACCTGAACGCTCAGTTAACCTTTAATCCTAATGGGCTGTGTCAGTTTACCCCCTAATGTGCATGTGTGTTTGTGTGTTTGTGTGTTCATGTGTGTGTGTGTTCATGTGTGTGTTTGTGTGTTCGTGTATTTGTGTGTGTGTGTGTGTGTGTGTTCATGTGTGTGTGTGTGTTTGCAGGGAAAAGGTGCAATTCATCCGTAATGAGGGGGTCAACGGGCTGGCTCGGCTCTCCAGTGACGCTGACCTCGTCATGCTGCTGAGGTGAGGCCTGTGTGTGTGTACGTGTGTGTGTGTGTGTGTGTACAGGTTGTTTGTTCATGTCTAAATTTTAAACAAATTGCTCGACCTCTTCTCAAACCATCTGTGCTGAGAAATGATTCATGCATGTTTCATATTAAAAAGTCTGTTACCACCAAACAGATATTTGGCATGTTTCAGAGTAGAACGTCCAACTTTCTGTGCCTGTTTCTTTCCGACCGCTCTCTGAATGTCTCCACCTTTCTCTCATGACTCCAGCTTATTCGAAGAGGAGGTGATGTCTTATGTTCCACCCTTGCTCCACCCCAGTTACTGCCTCTCCTCTCCTCAGAGCTCCCCCGGTGAGTCTCCATCCCACTCTGCGTCTGCATCGAGTTTATTGGCGTGAAACATCTTTTCTCAGCTTTATTAAATTCTTACCGTTTTATTAAACTTCAGCTCTCCCACCTTGAGATTTAGTTAATATTGTCTTTTTAGAGAATTGGTCTGGAGACGTTTTCTTCATATACTCTGTAGGTTGATATGAGACATGAATTAAATGCACTTTCCTTCCTTGCTTAGTTTCTGCCCTTCGTTCCCTTAAAGCTTGTTTTACCATATAAGCAGCTTTTGCATCATTTATTACAAACTAAAGATCTGAAGCAAACATATTGACAAATTCATTAAAACTGAAATCTGCGGTGTGCCTGATTCTTGACTTTTCTCTGTGGATTTCACCTTTTCCCTCTCTTTCTTTCTTTTTCTTTTGCTCTGTCCTTTATTTGTGTCTCAGGCACCCAGCGAGCAAACGCCCGTGCTCCCGCTCCCTACAAGCGAGATTTCGAGGCCAAACTGAGAAATTTCTACCGGAAGCTGGAGACCAAGGGTTATGGGCAAGGACCAGGAAAAGTCAAGTATGTTTAAATATAAGTAACCTTCACTTTTACAGGCTTGAACATTGCCATGTAGTTAAGACAGAGTCGAACATCTAAATGTGTTTCTCTGTGTTTCCAGGCTCATCATACGCAGAGATCATCTCCTGGAGGATGCCTTTAACCAGATCATGTGTTACTCCCGTAAAGACCTGCAGAGAAGTAAACTTTACGTCAGCTTCGTGGGCGAGGACGGGTGAGAGAGACTCTTTCTATCCCCACTTCATTTCCTTATCGTACTTCAGACAGTAGGAGTGTGAAATGTGTGTATTTGGCGACTGTAACTGATCCAGTACAGTTTCACTGAGCATCCACTCTTATCTGGAGTTTGAAAATGAACAATTACACACAAATCTGATAACATCCAAGAGCAGGAACAAGTGGTGAGGAAAAGGACTTCTTCTTAAAAAACGTGTACCCTCATTTTCTGCAGGCTGGACTACAGCGGACCCTCCAGAGAGTTTTTCTTCTTGGTGTCCAGAGAGCTCTTCAACCCTTACTACGGTCTGTTTGAATACTCAGCCAATGATACTTACACGGTCCAGATCAGCCCCATGTCCGCCTTCGTAGACAACCACCATGAATGGTAAGACTCCAGTCTGAGCTTATATCAGTGTGAGACTGTTTGGTGAAGGGAGGATGGATGGATGGATAGATGGATGGATGGATGGATGGATGGATGGATGGATGGATGGATGGATGGATGGTTGGATGAAGGCTTGGATCTTCGGATAGATCGATGTGTGAATGAATGGATGGATGGATGATTGTATGACACTTGATAGATGAATGGATGAAAGTTGATGGATAACACATGATGTATGGTTGGATAAAAGATGAATAAATGAATGGACAATATATGTATGATAGTTGGCTGGATGGATAAATAAATGGAGGAAAGTTGGTTGGATGAATGAATGGATGATTGGATGGTGCAATATTTGGATGTATGGGTGATAACTAGGGTTGGGAATCGAGAATCGATGGGAATCGGGACTAAAACTTCGATTCTTCCGGTATCGTTCAAATATTAAAATTTCAATTCCAAGTTTCGATGCCAGAGTCCGCCGACCGGAAGAAATAGCCGCCGAAAATCAAAGAAGAAGAAGCCGCTTTACACCAATGAGGACGGAGCGTATGAGACAAAGCCACACAGAGAGAGGAGAGAGACAGAGAGAGAGTACATTGCAACCCACAGCAATGCAGCCGCTGTGGGTTACAATGTATTCTCTCTCTGTCTCTCTCCTCTTTCTGTGTGGCTTCGTCTCATACGCTCCGTCCTCGTTGGTGTTCGGCAGCTTCTTCTTCGTTGGTCAAAAGTTTGGCTAACTTTAGCAGGAAGAATGAGCTCTTATCTCAATGCAACATTAGCAATACAGTTATATCATGCAAAGGAGGGTAAACGACCAACGTGATTAAACACCTCAGGATTCATGGAGGAGAAATACCCGAGTGCTCGTCTTTGACGCGCTTCGCCGGTGTTGTGCCAGAGAATGCACCCCTGCTGTTGAATGCACCCCTGACGGGAGCGCGGTTGAAAGTACACAACAAGGCGAAACAATCCAAGTTTTTCTTACCGTTGGACGGAATCTAAAGCGTGTGCCTTTAATGATTTCATTCAGGCTATTCAGATATGCCGAAAACAATAGCCCTCTGATTCGGAATATTTACTGTCCTGAAAATATTATGTTCTCTACATTAACAGCTTACTCTACAGTTTATATACCCAAGTACACCTCTATGTGTGCATTTTTGAGACACATACAAACAAAACGAAAGTTTACTGCTCCATTTGACACGTTTTCATGATCTAATACCCGTGTTTTATTAAATATGAGATCATATTTCTTCCACTAAGAAGCTAATCAGTGGAGGGGAGGCATTCTACAGCACAACACCTGTCTTCCGCTAACCAGTCAGGATCAGATAAGTGAAACAATAAATGACTTCTGTCCTCTGATAACTTTGAAACGGTAAAGAAATTGAACTGTGTACGGTGAGTAAACTTAAATATCCACCTAACGTTAGCCCTTGTGCTTTTTCATAGACAAACGACCTGACAACAAAAAATGATATTTATATACTGGTTGAAAATAGCTCTGTGAGAAATCCATAGTAAAGTTCTTAAAAAGTTAATAGGATTTAAAAATTCATGGAGAAGTTCAGAAATTTCATCCAAAAAGAAGAGCCCCGGTTAGCACCCTCATTCAAACCATGCTTTTTTTTTCTTTTTTCTTTTTTCTTTTTGATATCCTGCCTTTTAAAAGAATCGAATTAGAGAATCGATAGGAATCGGAATCGAAATGAGGAATCGAAATTGGAATCGGAATTGTTCAAAATCAAACAATACCCAACCCTAGTGATAACTAAGTAGATAAATGGATGAAAGAATGAGTGGATTGACATTTAAATCGATGGATTACTGATAGATGGATAGATGATGGTTGGATAGATGGTAAATGGATGCATGAATGAATTAAAAGAATACTGATAGATTGATCAGAATTAGAAAGATCAATTGATGGATGATAATAAATAGATAATCAATGGATGGATAGATGGGTGGCCTATAGTAGATGGATGATGGGTGGATTTAGGTTTAGGTCTTTAGGTTTTTTTTAGTCGGACTGGACCGACACTTGTGGTGTTTGTCAAACTGATCCAATCTGATTCTTTTCCTCCTGTAGAGACAATACTTCTGATCGTCTCCTGATCTACTCATAAAAAGGACGTTTAACATGATAAACCCCTTTCAGTGTCAGACTGGTGCCAGATCCGTTGCTCACTTGCACAGCTGCTTCCCTTTCTCTGCCTTAAGTCTCTGCTCCTCTTCAGACTCCAGCACTGTTCTGACTCAGTGCTTTGCCCCTGCAGTAAATCTTAGGGGATTTAGTTTGTTGTCATGAGCAATGTCACCATCTGGTGCATCCTGAGTTGGAAAGTCAGCTTCAAATTTAACCTAAGCCTGTTAAATGCTACATGAAAGTAGTACACAATGTTTGTTCCTCTGCAGAAAAAAACGATCGTTCTGCTTTGTTGTGCTGCAGCGATGCTCCATCTAATAGAGTTGCCCCCTCCATCTGGCACACAAAACCCCGCTCCACTCTGTGTAATTTAAAAGAGAATATGAAGGGACTGTTTGATCCAGTTTAGGTCTGTTCATGTGTTCACCTCTCTCTCTGTAGGTTTCGCTTCAGTGGGCGTATCCTGGGCCTGGCGCTCGTCCATCAGTACCTGCTCGATGCCTTCTTTACTCGACCCTTCTACAAGGGCCTTCTTCGCATGTAAGTCCCTCGGCCCGCATCTTTGACTTCCTACTCCTGCTCCCAGCCTGCAGGGCAACAGCATTTGCAATCAGCTCCTCCTCACTAACTTTGTGAGAGCGTGCTGAGAATACGAGTGTTTCAGCTGAAGCCTCTCAGCCAGCAGCTGGCTGGGTTTCCTATCAGGAGGAGCAGCATTCTTATTAATAGCTTTGTCCAAACAACCTCAAACCATGCCAAATGTCTGCAGAGAGGACAGAATATTTATGTAATAAAAAGGCTCAGAGCCATTTTGGCAACATGTGTCTTTAAGAGGCCCCACCTTTCCTGTGCAGACCAGAATTTAAACCTTATAAATATAGATAAATTTATGTAAAAAATTACATATGGAGCCTTTTTTTTTAAAAACAATCTTACAGTGCACTCTTACATTTTTATTTATTTTTTGATTTGTGGTTGTCAACTGCACATCTATATAGGTTATGGTGATACTTTTTTGTGATCAATTTTTTTTATTGAATTTTTCCATTTCATTCAAATAGAACAGCAATTAACAAAGATATAATGAAAATAAACATGACAAAACAAAACAGGCAGACATATAAACATACGAGCAACATGACAAGAAAAAAAACAACAACAAAAAATTGAGATTTTAAGAAAAGTAAGAAACCAAACATAATTTAATATATACAGACATCCAAATATATAACTCCCTCACCCCCCACAGGTCACCCTCCTATCCAATTTAAACCACAGAGATTGGGTTTACATGTACTGCATGTGCAAACTTGGACCAGAAAGTTTTTTACCAGACTAAAGATTTGTAAAAATATCTCTTTTATCTGCAGCCGTACATTTAAACCAGTGTTGATGGGAGCAGTTTACTAAAAATACCTGCAGACTTCTCATCATTTTTATGAATATCCTCGCTCATTTCAGAACAAATTATGATTTATTTTAACTTATTTGATAAAACCAGGTCAGAATCAGGCTCCGTATGTACAGCGTCAGCCTCTCTGTCCTTTTTGATTATTGTCAGCGTGTCTCAGCGAGTGAGCCTCCAACAGTCAATACCTGTAACCTTACAGCCTTGCCCTGATAGATAATAAATTTAAGCAAACATATTTTCCTACCATGCATCAAGCTGTGTATTATATTTTACTGCCTCGGGCTCACTCACGCTGTTATACATGAGGTAACTAACCTCTGACCTCCCCTCTTACAATCAGCCATGTTTTATGAGCGGGACAATCCATCAATTCCTTGTTGACCCCTCTGTAAGCTCCGTGTAACCTCTTCCTGCGCTCGTGCAGCCCATGTGACCTGAGTGACCTGGAGTTCCTGGACGAGGAGTTCCACCAGAGCCTGCAGTGGATGAAGGACAACGACATTGAAGACATGCTGGACCTAACCTTCACTGTCAACGAGGAGGTGTTTGGACAGGTGTGTGCAGAAATCTGAATCATCTCAACCAAGAAGCGATTTTCTTGTTCAAGTAAAATAAAGAACCATCTTTTTTCCACCCCTACATGAAAATAAAAGCTCTGAGTCTCTGTGTCTTTGTCTGCAGATCACAGAGAGAGAGCTGAAGCCTGGCGGGGCTGGTATCCCCGTGTCAGAGAAGAACAAAAAGGAGTATATTGAGCGGATGGTCAAGTGGCGTATAGAGAGAGGAGTGGCCCAGCAGACGGAGAGCCTGGTCCGAGGCTTCTATGAGGTAAACACTCGATATCAGCTTTATTAAGGCTACAGGAACCTCCTATAGGGACAGTCAGAGGGATTTAATGGCACATAATGGCCATTATACACTCTCCAACAGGACTCATCGATCAGAACCGGTGACGCAATGTGCTTGCGTCACTGAATGAGGTGCTGAGGATCTGTTTTATTTCTCAGGGACATCCTTTCAATTCACATTCGGGGCATTTTTTTCGATGATGGGGTGAAAAATAGTTCAGTCAATCTAGACGGAAGAGCGAGAGGCTGAGTTTCATAATATAATCCAAGTTCATCAGACATCTGTGTTTAGTTTTTGCTCCTGCTTGTTCGCATATCGATCACTGAAGAAATTCAGAGGTAAAAATAAAGAGATATCAGTTAAGGAAAGTTAAGAAATAGGCATTTGAGAGAGCACTACCTTCATAAATGAACCGTATCCATGAATGGACAAGCGAGTAGTTTTTGGGTTTAGTGAGGGGTGTTTAAAAGAGACGTTTTTGATGGTTAAAAACATGCAAACGAACCCTGATATCTGAAAAAATCTACCTGGTAGTACCAGAAAGTAAGAGTGTTACAAAGAATGTTGTCCAGAAAGAAGAGGAAAGAAAAGCACAGAGCTAAAAATAAAAGGAGCTGAACACACAGCTGGGTTTGGATTTAAATCCAAGGACATGTTCTGAAAAAGAGTTTCTGCAGCGGTCTGCAAACTCCTCATCATGACAGGTACATGTTTGTGTATTTCTGCTCCTAACTGTTTGTGCAGCAGGGTGGGACTGAGAATGCACTCAGATTTATACGTGAGAGACAGCGGGTCTTGTTTCCTGATAGCCCACAGTCTGGACCTGGGCTTTGTTTAAACCCAAACCCTCTTAAGTACTTTGTCTGGCAGGAGGACATCTTTCCGAGGCTTTGTGTGTTATATTTGTGTAAATGAAATCAAATCCAGCACTTGTTGTAAACAAACAGAGGTAATTTTTTCCTGCTGTTAGGCGCCGTTATGTCACCTTGTTTTTCCACACTGAAAATCTACTTAAACCGTCTTGTCTCAATGCTCTGAAATTCCTCAAAAATCGAACTACAGAGCGGAGTTTGAAGAACTGGCGGTATCATGAGTCAGATTTTGTCTTCATGTGTGTTCTCCAGGTGGTGGACGTGCGCCTGGTGTCTGTGTTTGATGCCAGGGAGTTGGAGCTGGTGATCGCAGGCACTGCAGAGATCGACCTGGCAGACTGGAGGAACAACACAGAGTACAGAGGAGGTATGTCAAAGCTGCAGGGGAAGCAATGAGCCAGCAGAGCAGAGATGTAGATGAAAAGTGGTCATGGCACGCTGGCAGCAAGGTGAGGCAAAACTCAGCAAAGTCAAATGGAAACACTGGCTCCTTTTCAAGTGACATTTCCATTCACAACTCCAGACTGTTACTTCTGCAGTCAGGAGTCACTGCAGAAGCACTAAAGCCTGTCAGTCATGGAGATGCGAACTTTGTGTAACGTTAATCTGAACCAGATTTGAGTTTCTCTCTGTATTTGGTAAGGATGCACAGATCAGTTGCTAACTGACCTTTTTATTACAAAAATTTTTTGATTGTAACTTATAAAAATCACAAAAAACATCAGAATACTTCCTTGAATTGTGTAATGCTTTAACTTAACCAAAACTCAGTCACTAGCATAAATCCAGCATCCACTTACTGTAGTATTATAGTAAAATAAACAAGTTATTTACATGTTCACATAAAATGGATCCAAAAACTCCTGCAGACATCAAATTCCTGCGCTCTCAGAGATGGGCCGGCTGTCCAGAGTAATAAATTCCTTCTTAACGTTGAACATAGTTCTGTTCAAACAATCCGTTTGCAGATATTGCTCCTTGATGTTTCGCTTTCTAGCTCATACTAATGCTAAGTTATATACAGTACATGTTTGCATCCTGCTTTAAATCGGGCTCAGTTTACCAACACCTTACGTGAACACTCAGGCTGAGATGGTGGGCTCAAATTGCCAATCCTAAATCGACTCTGATTCGACAAATGAGAAGGATTGCGATGCTTCTAAAAGCTGGTGCAAAATAGAGACTGTGAAAATCTACAAACGTACACTAAAAATGCATTAAAGGTAGGTGAAGTCAGGAATGTTAAAATAAATGACAGATACTGTAAAAGTATTTTTAAAAACTCTAAAAAGTATGGGCAGTATATCAGATTTCTGTGTTCCTAAATGTTGATGCAGAAATTTAGAAAGTAAATTTGAACTTTACCAAGATCACTGGTTTGGGTTTTGCTACATCAGGGTCTAAAAACAAACATTAAGTTAATATATGATTCATATATTTCCCTACTAACACATTACAGATGTAAAATAAAACAAACATACAGTGTAGAAAACAGCAACCACCCAGGAGACATGAGAGGTAACTTCTGCAGGAGACAGTCTTCAGTGAGTGAAACATGTTTAGATTAGAGTCTAAAAACTTGTCTTTTCTGCATTGGATCGATATGATTGATGTCTCTTTCATGTTAATTCATCTTATATTTACTTCATCATACAGTAATCCCTGTCACTGTTGCATTACTTAACAATACACTGTGATTTTTGAGTCTGAGAATTCATTTAATATTTAACAAGTGCATCAGTCTGTGCTGTGATGCACTTTATAATGAGCGCTCGAATCTTCGGGGAGGTCTGCTTTTTAATTATTGTAATAGATATTGTGTTTCAGTACAAGCATGGAAGCGCCAGTGTCCAAACCATTTATAAGAGATCACATTAAAAGGCTTTTTAAAGGTCTGGCCAATCCCAGTTGAGAAGCCGCCAGCAGCAAGTAAGACAAGAGAACTCAATCTGACAATCGGCCATGACTCACCGCGAGGCTCTTTTAATAGACGAATCGACTGAGGCGGACCGAACAGCTCCGGCCATTAAACATTAAACAGCAGAGCCCATTCAAAAATCACAGAGGAGATGTGAGGGAGGAAGGAGGTGGAGAGGAGAGCAGCGAGGGACAGAGGGGATGGAGGCCTGATTTGTTATTCATCTGACTCATGCACCATCATCATCTATCTCTCTCTTCCCCCCCCACCACCACCACCACCACCACCCAGGTTACCATGACAACCACATAGTGATTCGCTGGTTCTGGGCAGCTGTGGAGAGGTTCAACAATGAGCAGAGGCTGAGACTGCTGCAGGTATGGCACGTGGGTGACCGCATGCACACAGGCTGCCCCCTCGTGGAGGCTCAGGGCGCTGCAGGCACTGCAGAGTCGAGCTGGAGACTGCAGAGAGATGATCAGCCAGCATGTTCAGCTGCATACAGTTATTTATCAGACACTAAGGAAATCTAAAGAATTTAATCCTTGGCTTTATTTTGACATATTTCAGGGTCTAAATGATCAGTGGCTTAGAAAAAGAGAGATGTTTTGGATTTGTTCCCTTTTTTTAATCTGATAGCTGCAAAGTAATCCTGCAGAAAATCTCACCTGAGCTGTGTTAACTCAGAGTGGTTAGTGCTGTTTGTTCACTGCAGCTGCTTTCTTATTGGCCACAGGACGCCATTGACAAAATCAGTCATGTTAGAGGTTTCATCAGTGTCGTGTCAGATTATGACAGAATATTATGAACATTAGAGACTTCTCTGTTCTGGTGTTAAAATTACTCTGGTTACTTTTGAAGAGAGGGATATAAACTTACTCCTCAGTAAGGTTGTTTATCTGTGAGTGGATCTTCTTCAGTTTTTAGCTCATTGTCAGATCTTTAAAATAATAACCTGAGCCTTGTGACGGCAAAAACAAGCGACTGGATGTACTCGACTGTGCTCATTTGCCTGCAGAGGTGAAGTGTTAGCCGTGGTAGCACCTGGCAGCTGCTGTTTTGAGTAATCTTCTGCAAACAGCTTGAGGTCCATTCATAAAAAAGTGGTATTTGAATTGTAATCAAAAGTAACTTTATGCAGATTTTTATATTGTAAGGAAAGGAAATGCAGGTCTAGTTATATGGAATGATTTATCAGTGAGGTTACCTAAAGTTCCTCACACATAAAGGTATCATTATTGTGGAAAACTGGTTTAAATACACCAATATTGCTGCTTTCTTACTCTTAACAATCACTCTTTGATTTTCAGTTTGTGACGGGCACCTCAAGTATTCCCTACGAAGGATTTGCGTCTCTACGAGGAAGTAACGGACCTCGAAGATTCTGCGTGGAGAAGTGGGGGAAAATCACCTCTTTACCCAGGTAGGATGTGTCCCAATTTCATGAAGTGATACTTTAAATTAGTTTTGTAACTTAAGATTGAACTTTAAATTGTCATCTGCTGACTAAACGGTCACAAAAATGATGTAGAGATTAATTTAAACCTCACCCTCTCTGTGTCAAAGTCAGCAGGATTTGATGACAGATCTTTTGTGTTTAGGATCACATCATTATGTCATATGTCTGATAATCTCTCTTATCTCTCTCTGTGTGTTTTTGTGTGTCTCCACAGGGCTCACACCTGCTTTAATCGCCTGGACCTCCCACCTTACCCGTCCTTCTCCATGCTCTACGAGAAGCTGGTCACCGCTGTGGAGGAGACGAGCACGTTTGGTTTGGAGTAACGTCAAAATCAGCTTTCACACAGGTTTACCTTTGGAGACAGAACAATGCGGTTACCCACCGTTACAACTTCAGAGAGAGACCCAGAAAATAAAACTAATATCCTCAAAAGGCAACTAACCCCTCCCGTGGATAACTCCGCTGTGTTTTCAAGCTGGCTTTTCGTCACCCAGCATGCGAGCTTCAATCGATTCTCTGCCTTTCTCTCACATATCAAACAGAAGTCGATGACGTGAGCGCGGTTTGGAAGAAAGGCAGAAAATCAGAGGACGGTTTGAAAAGCTCTGTTGTACAATTTCTTGTTTTCATGGTTACCTTTGTTCATCGAGCCACATGTGTGCTTTATCTCTTCAGTTAATGGCCTTGTTTACTGGATTTCTAGCACCCCACTCCCCCTCCTCCTCTTCTTCCTCCTCCTCTTCCTCCTCCTCCTACTCTAGACTGCACCTCAGAGACAGCTGCTCAAAATCCACTAAGCTCCTTTCTCCCTCTCTGGACCTCTAAACTGTGTCCTCTGCACCGGGGCTGTGTTATCATCATGAACTGTAACACACACACCCATCACCTTTGCACAAAACACACACAAACATTTAAATTAACCTTTTTTTAACAACGCAGACTTGTGTTTCCCCAAATATTTTTTTATCAGAACGGAAAGAAATGACATTTTGGGTTTGTATTTTAGACGTTAGCCGGAGGAGGGGACACACTAGTTTGCACAAATCCGCACTCACACAGACGAGCATAAACAAAAACATGAAAAAAGAGTCATTTTAGGAGTGAAAATACGCGTCTTTCACAGTCTTGAGTCCTAAAAAAAAGTCATGACATATATGGGTAGTGTTCATAACCCATTGTGATAATGACAGCAGGTTCTGGTCAGGACTGTTACCGTAGATACTGCGACATCAGAGCTCTTAAGACACATTAAAGCCATGTTTCTGCATTTACTCCACAGCTAGTTGAATTAACACAAACCTGCAGACAGTCTCGATGCTGTGATTGCACTTTCTTACAGAGTAACTCTGACTATAGAATACATTTACATCCACCTACAGTTAAATAGAAGCGCAGGGTTCTTGTCTCTCAACAGTTTCACACATTCATCATGAGCAATAGAGGCATTTCTCACACTGACAGATGACGTCCGCTCTTAACTCTGACACACAGCGTCCTTCTCGCCGGTTTAATCGCCTCCCACTCCATGAAAGTGATGAATGTACCAAATAAGTGACTGAATGTATGAACCTCGAGTGACTGTGTTTTTGCCCTCCGAGGAAGATTCGAAGAAGAGGAAACAAAAATTTCGAAGATTGGAGGGGGCAGGAAATCAAACGTGACACGGTTGCTTAGGGAACGAGGATGTGTTTCACCACGATCAGGCCTTGGGGGAGAGCTGGATGGACATGAGCCTGGAGTCACCCAGGTTGCTAGTTAAAGGTGCATTGCTGGGACCTTTTTAGTGCCTCTTTGGTTTTCCTGACCATGAAATTGAAATTCATACGGAAAGCTGTTTTATTTCCTCGTACAAGTTCGACTCACAAATGAAAGATGGTGAAGGAGCTGCTGTTTAATTCTCTCAAATATCAGCTGCAGGGGGCAGTAACGTGTGCTCTTATTACTGTAGTGCATCATAAGCGAAGACCTGGTGATGTTCTCCTCCGTGAACGACCTGTCCGGGTGTCAAATGAGGTTTGAAGGAACGAGAACCAGCCTCTAGGGCTCAGTGGATATTGTACTTTGGAACTTTTGGCATACAAGTCCATGCCAGACAATAGTTTTGTCCTGACAGCATGTGATAGAACATTTCTCTAACTCTTAAGTGCACGACCTAATCCCTGAGGACCCACACACACTTTCTTACATGCACACAAACACACACACACACACTAATACACATACCTGTTTTCTATGGGGTGCATGCAAGATTACACCTACTGTACAGAGTCCTGTTGGAGTTCGACCACAGGGGCTGGGATAGCGACAGAGAGCCTCACATCTGCTGTGACACGTGGAGGCGGACTGTCCTACCCCAGCCCCCCCTCTCCCAGTCCAATACTGCATGCGGGATCTCCTCTGTCGGCTCCGTGAGCTGTGCTGGGGCAGAAACCCCTAGATGGCGTTGTGTACTAGCTCGATATTGCATGCTGAAATAGTGCAACACACTGTCCTTACTAGCTTTTTTTGCATGAGGATTTCGCTATCCATTCAGAAAAAGGGGTGAGGGAGCTGGTCAAGTTGTGTCACGTTGGTTGTGGCGCTCTACTTGAGGCATGCGTCCTTATGCTCACCCGCCACTGTCATACGCTCATGGATGTAGGATGTAGGAATCAGGTGCTTTAGTGTGAATGCTGCGGTTTGTTTTCTCTATGACAGTGTAACGGCGAGTATCTCGGCAGCATGTTTCAAGGATGTTGTTACTTTCACATGTGCGTGTCTGCCTATCTTAGTAATAGGTCGATGGTTATGGGTCATTGCTGGTGGATCAGCAATGAGTCAATAGGGCTGTTTTGATTTTGTGAAACGTGAGAGCACATGTAAGTGTACCATGTGTGCGGTCCTGTTTGTCTCTTTGTATATAAATGTATATGTATGTCTGTCCTCTTCTCGTGTGTGTATAAATATATATTTTGCACCGAATGTACCAAAGGTTTGGGGCTTGCAAAGTCAACCATTAGGCCTGCTCTCTTTCAGTCTAACACTCACATCCCACTTGTGGCTTCTGCCAAACCCTTACAGAGATCACCTCATGTTCGCTTGAAGAGCAGATTCGTGGCATGGGCAGCAACGCTTCACTTTAAGATGTAACTCATTCACTCGGTCGGTTTGACGTTTTCTGCTGCAGAAGACCGCAAAGATTGACAATTTGCTTCACTTTCAAATGAAGACAGCTGAACATCTCGTCTTTCGTAGTTCATTTCTGACAGGACCCGGCTCCAGTTTTCAGATTTCCACTCTATGCAAAGCTCCTGTATGTGTGTCTCCATCTCACCCCAATGATTGTAATAAAAGAGAAAATATGGCAAATTTTGATTAATGACACACGGGTCTTATTTGTCTTTTTCAGGAGTTTTGTACCCGTTGATCGATAAATTAAACACCATACTGTCTCACTGATAAAAGTAACCTCTCCAAAACCTAACACTCAGACCTTCTTTAGCCAAATATATTAAAAAAGAAAAATAGGACCACACTGATAGCAGCTACAATAAGATATATGAAAGATGAAATTACACCGAGTTAAACACCCCGTCAAGAGATAAGTGTTGTCGACCGCTTGCTTCTCTAGTTATACCAACTTTAGTAACGACCGCAGGATAGCAATACAGAGAGCCACGCGCTCAACCAAAACGCCACTCTATAGCCAAAAATAATGCTCAGAACAGCACCTAACTTCATCAACAGGACATATAGGGTCCCAGCCACAGCACTAACCACCAAACATCTTTTAATTTTGTTTAATTTCTTTAGCAAAGAGACTAAACACAACTCACCTACTCTCTTCCAGCAGCCGCTTGTTTGTATGCAGACATCCGGGCGAGTCCATCAACTACAGTGGGGTGACACAGCTCAAGGAAGAACATTTATGATCTTTTCTTAATGGAAATGCATTCAGACCGAGACGCTAAGGCAGAAGAACTCAATCAATCAGTCGTCAATCAGTCAATCAATAAAAAACTTAATTTGTCCCCCAATGGGGCAATTGGTTGTGCAACAAAACACTAAGCACAAAAATCAAAATCAAGAAAAACATAAAATTGAAAATACAATGAATCAAAACACCAACGTCTGCAGTGCAAAATGATTAATATGGTGATTATTACTTCAAGGAAATGATAAAGAAATGATCATAAATGTTCTTCCTTGAGCTGCGTCACCCCACTGTAGTCCGTAATGGACTCGTCTGAGGTCTCACTACAAACAAGCGGCTGCTGGAAGAGAGTAGGTGAGTTGTGTTTAGTCTCTTTGCTAAAGAAATTAGACAAAATTAAAAAGATGTTAAAAAAGCAAACTTTCCTGTAATTCTAAATAATTCCACATTTAATTTACAAATAAACACACATGTCACGGCTTAAGAGGGGGAAACAAACAAAAACTTTTGCAGTTTGTGAAAAAGAGCTTTAATCTCATTGATAGTTTTTCATGCAGTGAAAAATTTTTGTAGCGTAAAAAGTTTTTTGGAGGGGGTAAAGTTAGTGTAGTTGCCCGTTTATGCCCCCGTACTTTAAACCGTTTAAACAGTTCCTCACGTTCCTCCCCTTTTTTCAAACCTGACCACAGTGCGCATGCGCCGTACAGTGACGTGTCCAGAAAGTGTCAAACAGAGGGATGTAAAAATGATCAAAAACTCAGCGGATAAACTCGCGGAGGTTCCCATTAGTCACCGGCAGCTGCAGTTCGGATAATAATCTCTACCGTGGAGTCTCTGTTAGTTTTAGCGTCCTTAGCCTAACGTCGTGTCCGTAGTTGATCTGTTTTAAATCGGTTTAACTCACTTTTGTACTCGCGTCATTGAGCGTCGAGCTAACCGAGCGACGGTTGAGCTAACCGGAGCTGGTGAACCGGTCACAGCCTGAGCGTTAGTATGATAACCGGCTTAACTATCTCTTAACATGTAACTAATGTAAACCTGGGAGCGTTAACGTTAGTTAGCCCTTTTAGCTTAGCTCTACCTCCTCTCACTTCGTACCGACTTCAGTAGCTCCCAGCCCGGTTCTCCAGCCGGGCAGCTGGCAGCAGGACACACCGAGGCAGCGGGGGAAGAAGATGTCTCGAAGGCGGCTGGACAGTCGGAGCGGGCTGTCCGCGGGGCTTCTCGGGGAAATACAGACCCCCATCAGCACGGATGCTATCGAGAGTGTTTATGAAATCACAGGAGAGCTTGGAAGGTAAGACTAACAATGTTTACTGTTAAATAAACTACATTAAAAACACAGGAAAGAGTCCCAGACTGTAATGGAGACTGTTTTTGGTACTTTCCAACACTATTTATCCTACCAATGAAATAAAACCATAACTTACCCCAAAAATAAGATCATCCTCAACTTGATTAGAGACTTAAAATTTCATGAACTGTGTGGTGAGTCTTAATAGATGCCTTAAATGATATGATGACTGATGCATTTCAGAGCACATGAACTGAGGACGGCAACTGCTGAAGTTGCGTGTGCACAAAATATCGATTCGCACAAAATAAAGACCAAAAAAACAAAACATGAATTTTTACTGCATTTAGACCACATTATTAAGAAACCGAGGAGGACCACGGCAACGCGTGCCTTTCATAATAAGCTATTTTTTCAAAATAAAAGACATATCAAACATCACATATTAAATATTGACTTTTTTGACCAGCTGTTTGCGACCCATCCAGAACGTGTCCGCAACCCACTTTTGGGCAGGGACCCACCAGTTGAGAACCACTGCTGTGGATAACATGGGCTTTCAAAAGTAGGACTGTTGCTATATTTCTGAGCTCTCTTAAGGCAATAAAGTAGACATTTTAATCTCACTTTTGGTCCTGGAGGTGTACAGTTGATTTAGTGGAATTAAAAGAGAATAGTTTTTTTTCCACTTTTTACATCAAGCATTGCAGATATCTCTTTTTCGGTCTGATTGAAAGACATAAGAATACCTCCAGAGAGAAAGCCGACATGTTGAAGCTAATTATTGGCATTTAAATAAGCTGTTATTGTATAGTCATGATTATTTATTGACATTATTGACTCTACACAACCACAGAAATTTGCATATCAACTAATACAGGTCATTGAGTTTTAAAGCCCCAGTCCTACTTTGTCTTAATCTTATATTGATCATAAAGTCCAGAACAGAGTTCATATCACAAAACAAGATCCAGGAATTGGAATAAGAGTATTTTTGTGTTTTGTTTTATACTATATTATTAGTCAAAAGAAAGCATTACTAAAAATGTCATTTTTTTAAGTTGGGACAGATACCTGGGACACTTCTGTTTCTTTATGCAGCAGTTTTAAAGTGAAGTGGTCGGTTTCCATTCCTTGATATCATTTATTAGGTATTGATAATTAATCTGGATTGTTTAACAGAGAGGTAAAAGTAATTTTGCATTACAAGGATGTCTAAACTAATGTCTCATAACCACATTAATAAAATATGTAAAAGCTTGGCAGTGATCCCACACTTACGATACTGAGGAAAGCCGTATCAATACAACAGCAGGGAGCCGGACAGTGACTCATGCGGTCCACCCATTACGGCATACAACTCAGTGAAAGCTGATTATACAACAACGTTTATCACTAGTAAATACTCATGCCAGCAAGACACTTGATACTGAAACCGAACAGTCTGAACTGAGTTATTGTTTAACTACAGATTAAACAAGATAATAATGATACATTATGAAATAACTGCCAGGTATTACATATAGAAGATTACTTTTAGAAGATGATTGAAGAACCGCCTTTTTATTAATGATTTACATGTTTTTTTTAATTTGATTTTGGTTAACTTTGTCGGAAAATAACAGACGTTAAACAAGGAAAACAACAGAAAACCAGGTACAAAACTTCATAAATTCCACGCTGCAGGTTATACATTTGACATAAAATTACAACAAATGAACATGCACCTGTGTTTTCAACTGTACATCCTGTACATGCAGCCATGCGTATACCAAAGAGTACACTTAGAAATATCTGTCATCCGATAAGGTGAGATGTGGCACGGACAGATTGAGCAACAAAAACATCGGTTCAAGTGAAAGGCACATTGAATTCTTCTGAGAAAAGAGTGCAAAGGTCCACTGAATGATTGTATGATTTAAAGTAGAGGTCATGTGTCAGTTTCTCCCCAGGGAGAGGAGATGTGATCTGGTTTCTCCACATGCTGACTGTGGGGCAGAAACACTTTCACTGAAGAGAGAGTTGTTAACAGAGATGTAGTCTGTCTACAAAAGAGACTCAAACGCCTGCAGCTCTCGTGATGTAGACTCAAGCCTGTGTGGGCCGATGATTCTGTGTTTTTATTCAGGAAAAGCTCAAGCGAATCATCCAAACAAAGCTAACTACATTTGGACTCTTGGACCGTAAGCTGTAACCACTGTAAATACACGAGGCTCGTGGTGCCAGGGGACCTGACATGATCGTGCTACAGTAGACCTTTGTCATCATGTGTTTGGCTGTGTGAGTGAGCCATGGCAACAGCTGATGGTTGATGATGATCAGACCATATTATTTCTGAGGTGTGTCTGAAGTAATGTGTCATGCAACAACATGAACTGCACAACTCTGAGCAGGACAGGGGGAAGGAAACCAGCACATGTGGAAACCTGACTTCAGAAAGGAGAAATGGCACAGACCACTTCTGTTCACTTACGTGTGATTTGTACAAACAGGAAGTTCAGTGGTGCAATATTTTCAAGAACATGAAGAGAGTAATTGTACTTCTACTTTTGACCTTTAAAAGAATTTGTTGTGATCCCTGGCTTTGGCACACAGCAGTCTCATTATAATTATTATATTGATTTAATAAAAATACCATTGATTGCTCAGACTCACCTTTTTTAACTCCGATTTAGTATCAGTCAATATGCAAGTTACTTTTTTAACGAGAAAATTCATGCATTCTTCAGAAATCTAAATCTTAAAGTTGTCGCGCGAAGCTTGAACATATTTCAACTCTCCTTTTGTATTCTTTATTGTTTTCTACTGCTAATGTTTGAACAAACTCTAACAGCACCTTCAGCAACTGAGAACTGGTCTAACAGCCTGCAGATGCTCTTTAACCCGCCTTCAGAGTCTGCAGTACGAACCTTCACTGGGAATCAGTGTGCACTAACTTTAACAAACAACTCACAACGTTAAACACCTTGTGCAGTTTAAGCCGTCTTGCCAAGTTGATCGTGACAACTGGGTAAAGAGAAACTCAGATTCGAAACGGATCCAAAACTACCTGTGTTAAATTTTACAGTTTAAACACCTAATCTGTTTTTGGGTTAATTTTCCTTCAATATAGGGTTTCAGTGTTTTGCAGACCACCTCATTCTGTGTCTGTTCACATTTTACACCGCATCCCAACTGCTTCAAAAATAGGGTTATATTTTAAAAAGCCAAACATTTAACAGAATTCCTACGTAAGTATGGAAAGTATGGAAGTAGTTTGATCAATTTCCACGTCTTAAAGTATGGTAAATGAGACATAAAGAATGGAAAAATATCCATGTTTCTAGACTATTACCACAGTTCTGAAATACTGTTTTAAAAAAATAGAAAAGTCATTATTTCCAAAAATTAATTCTAAAAATTTGGGTATGGAAAAGTATGGAAATTCCAACTGTGTAGGAACCCTGTACTAAAAGTTTTTTTATGTGTAAAAAAAAAAAAAACAAAGCTGAGAAGAAAATTAGAGAGGGATTAAGGAACTACAGCTTTATATCTTTATGTTTTATTTGATATTATAAGAAAAATTATGGTCTGGAAACTTGACACTGGATATTTGTGGTTATTGTATTTCCTGGTGACCAAAAGTAAATGGACGGATTTCTCAAAGGGGGCAATGGGCAACTTAAACACTAAGATGATTTTTTTCTAGCCTATTTGGTAAACGATAATGGGATAGTTAGCTGGTGGTTTTACCAAAAAGACTCCTGACAAGGTGGGAATCCCAGAAGAAAGTGCCAATTTTTTTTATTTAGACATTATTTATTTGTACGGCTAAGAAACAGCATCACCTGTATAAGGCTATGTTCACACTGCAGCATCTTATACGGAATGCGTCCGTGAAGTGACCCGCATGCGCACAAAGCACAAATTTCTTTCCGCGCCTGTTTGTGTTGTCGAACAATGGTGACGTTTGTCGCATATTGATTACGTATAGGTTGGATGAACGCGACATCTGATAAATTTCCGATTTATATCCATGTACAGAAGAGGCCTGGGTCGGATTTGAAAAAATCTGAATTGTACTGTTCACACTGACATGAAAAAATCTGATATGAGTCACATATGATTAAAAAATCTCAGTTGACCTGCAGTGTGAACATAGCTTAAGGTCCTTTTATCTACTTTGTGTCTGTTTTCTTCTATTTGGTTGATGTCTCTTCTTCCCTTAGTCAGCTCCTGTGCTTTTCTCCTTCTCATTCTTTTGTTTCCTCTTCTGAAGAACAGAGAGTTATATTTCACATATCCTTTATGGCGTCCACCTACGCCACTGGGAAAGAACATTTTTGTCACATTATCAACAGGAAACGGCGACATCATAAACAGGACACTGGATGTGCTGTAGATTGATTTAATAATAAGTGTGATGTGTGCTTGTATCAACATGCCCTCTTCATTCCTCCTGCTATCCAGGATTAGTTTCTGTAGTTCAGAGTTTTAATCAACCAGAGTCGAGTGTTTTAACACAGCCGGGTGATTTGTAAGAAAGCTGAGGACTAAAACCAGCCGACGACCTTTGTCTGTTGTGGGGAAAATAATGACATCATCCTGGTTATTTCTGCACGTGCTGTACAGCGAGAAGTTATAACAAGGTGTGGTCAAGGAAGCAGTAAGGAGAAACTCGTCAGTTTCGATGCAGAAATTCTCAGGGTCCAGTATCTTCATATCTGCTGGAAATTCTCTTTAACTGAATGTTGAAGATTGTCCCTGACGTATCACTCTTGACATGCTCGTTTACAGTGATAAGGGGCAAGTACCTGCTTAGTTTGTAAAAGACAGCATGATAGTAGATTGTAGTCGTATCTAGAGGGCATATCAGAATACCACACTTTACTGTCAGCCGTAGAAATGTACAAACCTATCTGCTGTAGCAAATGTGAAATCTGCATGTAAATACGGTTCCTAACAATGACAGGTGGAACTGCGAGGGAGTCGGATATTTCAGCGCCATTGTTCTATTCTTCAGGAGAAATCCTTCAGGGCCTGTAACCTTCACAGTCATGGGGCTTTTATTTTGGTAGTGCACTTATTATAGGACTATTTTTTCTCTTCTGTTGAGGCCGTTATCAGACCTCATCATATACCGCCATAGATACAACAGACTGTCTATTGTTTAAGAGTTAATAACCTCTGATTACAGATGGACCTGCTTATCTATTAGCCATATTGTTGTTGTATAACTTAGTAGATAAACCTTTAAAGACAAAGATCAGTCCGGGACATATATGAGGCACTGTCATTTATCCTGCTTTATTTTGAAACTCATATTAATGTCCGTTTTAAACATATGTTCATGTCTTTTTACTTGGTAGGGGGAAGTTTGCCGTGGTCAAGCGCTCCGTGGAGAAAGCCACGGGGAAGGTGTTCGCCGCCAAGTTCCTTCGAAAGAGGAGGCGGGGCCGCGACTGCCGAGCGGACATCATCCACGAGATGGCCGTCCTGGAGATGGCCCGCAACAACGCCCGTGTGGTCAACCTGCACGCCGCTTACGAGACGGACCATGACATCATCTTAATGCTGGAATAGTAAGTTATTTCTGAACCAACGACATCATTGTGTTTTCTAGACCTGCTGAAAACTTCCTGAATGTTTAAACCACAAACAAGCAAAAGTGCACTCAGCAGTGTGATCTTGGAAATACCTGTTTGACCACATGAGAAGGACCCTCCTCCAGCAGTGGAAGGAGGTTTTTTTTTTTCCTACAACCCTCCTGAAGTTTTTCTACAATAACATTTATTTTTATTTCATGAATGATTTTGAAATGTGTGAAAATATTTGTGTTTGAGGACAAATTTGTGCGTGAAGTGACGTGATTTTGTATGTCATTAAATGTTGTAGACATGTGACCTTTAGCAACCACCATACATCAGGTAAAGGTCATGATTTTTGAATCCCCTAACTGAGCTGCCCAGTCCGATGAGAATCTCTCTAAAACCACAAAAGAAGAAGAAGAGAGCGTTCATGCAGATGCCAGTAATAATATTTTCCTGAAGTGCCCATCCCTCATGCAGATTAATCCTATGAAACATACAAACACTGAACTGAGCGGACCAGCTTATGTTACCATAGCAAACTATCAAGGGTCCAGAGTCGTGTTTTTCCAACTTTAAGGAGCTGCAACTCTCATTATTTCAAAAACAGGTCTGTCAGGATTTATCTGCAGACCAAACTCTCCAGCTCAGTTATGCAGCTTCAGTAAAAATCATCTCCCTTTTCTTCAAATGAACGTCTGTCGTTGTCTGGCTTAGCCTTCGTCTAGTTTTCTTAACCATTGAAAGAGAAAGCAGATGTCAGACCAGGATCGAATAAAAGGAAAACTCGAGTTGTTGTCTCAAAGTGAATCGCTGTGATTTTGCAACCACACCTTTTAATACTTCTGTAGACTCCTAAATCCCTCCTTTGGAGCAAAGTCAGCGTCAACAATTCACCGTGTTGATCTAAGACAGCCCGGACTATTAGAGAAAAACATAATTAGGATGTTGAATAACCTGAAATGTGATTAACTCCGCTGAACTTGATGCTCTGGGCACAACTTTTGGCGTTTGTGTCTTTGTATTAACGCTGGCAAACAGACTTTTCTGCAGGTCTGTGCCGTGAGTAAGCAGGGAGGAGGCTTCTTTTCTTGCTCAATCACAGTTTGCCCAAACTTGTTAGCATCGAACCGGTGACCCTCTGGCATGGGCTGGTTACCAAGAACATCAGGCCACCCTTTTAATTCAGGAGGTTTTTCTCGTTTAAAACGCACCAAGGATAAGGACGGCGTTGTGTAGTGATTGTGCAGGTCTGAGGGTGTGTATCTGTGCATTTACGGTGTGTGTGTGTTTTTTTGTGGTTCAGCGCTGCGGGCGGAGAGATTTTCGACCACTGCGTGTCTGAGGAGCTGCTGCCGGAGGTCCAGATCACTCGACTGATCAGACAAACACTGGAGGGAGTCCACTACCTCCATCAGAGCAACCTGGTGCACTTAGACCTCAAGGTCCGCACACAAACACACACTCATACACACACACACAAAGAGAGAGAGAGACGTGTGCAAGTGTAGCTGCAGTCCAGGGACGCTATTTTTACATGTTCCCTCACTTTGCCACCAACTTCCCCCTTCTGTGCTCGGCTGCATTTTCCCTTTTTTTAGAGCAGTTGTGCTCAAAACCCCAGTTTCCTGTTTTCATGACACAGTTTGACTCAGAACCAGGATTATAGGAGGTAACTGAACCACTCGCCCCGGGCAGAGTGGGAAAGCTCGACATCACAGGCTATGTCCACAAAGTGGAGAGACTATCGGACGTGGAGCTTGAGTAATATGAGTAATAACAGATCCTCGGCTTTTGCTCTAAATGAAAAATAAGCATCTAGCTGCAGGCGTGGAAAGCTCGCTTCCACGGTATAAAACAAGAGTTTGATCATTTGCCTTGTAACATTATCACACAGTAACATAAGGGTTCTGGACAGGCCCGGTAAAGACAGGCCTGAGGAAATGTTGGTTTGGCTAATCCAAATCTAAGTCACCAAAACTCCAGATCATGTAGTGCAAACAAAAACCAGCACACTCTGTCTGTTTGGACTGTTTTTGCACAGGCTGATACAGTCGTTTAATAAAAGGGCTGTTTGCATAGTGTCATATGGTCCGATCAGTAAATTCTCAGCTCTTGAACAGATGATAATGGAAAGGTAAACACCTGCCCGTTTGAGCGTAAACACGTCTTTGAGTAAGTGTTCAAAGAGAGCATGAGAGGAGCGGTTATATAACCACGTTTGAGCCCGGGTTCAAAGTCCGTCTTATCTGTTCAGTCTGCTTTACATGACGCTGACTTTATCCTTCCTCTCTGATTCAGCCCCAGAATATTCTCCTGACCAGCCTGTCCCCTCCAGGAGACATAAAGATCGTCGACTTTGGCCTGGCACGCAGGCTGGGCGCGGTCGGCGAGCTGCGGGAGATTCTTGGCACGCCTGAGTATGTGGGTAAGGTGATGTTCATGAAACGCGCTTTGATACTCGGAGACATTAGACAGGATGTCAGCGGGATCACCACATCAAAGTCAGAAAACTCCGGCGCAGGCTGAGTGTAGTCTTTGAAGTTCACAAAGAACAACTTTCACCAATTATCAGTCATTTTGGTTAATGAGGCTGTTAGCATTAGCATGAGGGCCTCACCTCACCTTGATGCCACGTATTAAACCTCAAGAAACCTCAGCTTGTGTCATTCAGCTACCTGAAGTAGAATCTGAAAGAGTCAAAAATACTCAGATTTGGTTCTTGATGATGTTAAAGTTTTGGTTTAGTGATTTTCAGTTACAGTACAGTGAGGGAAGAAAGAGCAACACATGAAATCAGTGAGAATAACGAATACTGATGAGCTGATGCTTCTCTGCATTCTGCATGTTGGAGCTTCACACGGCTGACACACACTCAATCATACACCCCTAACACTCACAAGAAAACTACGAACTAGGGCGGGGCGATACAGCCTCAGATTAATATCATGATATATTTATATTGGTGTTTTTAATTTTTGGGTTATCGCCCAGCCCTACTCCATACAACAGTTTACTACTGAATGTTAGCTCCTCTACTAAAGCCAGCCTCTGACAGGACTGCTCTTTTTTTTCTGTTAATGTGAGGATGTTTGATTTGAATGACCAGAAGTTCTGCTCTGAACCAGAGTGTTTGCATGCAAATTTGCAGATAGCGAAATTTACGACAACAACCGACATCATTTTGCCCATGTTGATATATTCAGTGTCAAAAGAATAAATAAATCAAAGTTGGTTTGGGATGTGTGTAGGTAGGCTTTGGTCTGGAGAGATGGAGGACGGTTCTAAAGTTGTAGCAGCTGAAGTAGACAAAGTTACTGTAGGGGGTGAGCAGCTTGTGGAGTAGTTATCATCCATTTATCGTTATCGAGGTGAACTGATCAATATATCGTGATATTGACTCAAGGCTATATCGCCCAGCCCTACTTCACACCCCTACCGGAGCCACAGAAATTTCGACAAAGTCTCATAAGGACCCTTCAGAGTTCAGAACTTAGATGACTTTTAGAAAACATGAAACATGATTTCAAAGAAGAAACAAGTCGTCTGGAAATGTTGAAAGTCTGAAGAAGAGAGGGCTCACATTGAAATCTCAGATTAACATGATTGTTGGAGGATAAACATGAGATGTTTGTGGATTTAAATCTGAGTTTGCTGTACAGCAGAAGTAGAAAATATATCAAGAAGCTTTTAAATGACATCTGTTTTTTTTTTCTTCATTCAGCTCCGGAGATCCTAAATTACGAGCCAATCACAACAGCGACTGACCTTTGGTGAGTTCATTCGTTCAAACATACCTGTGACTTCACTCTGAGGTATGCACAGAGGTTTTCTGTCAGGTCACAGCGATGTTCTCTGTGTTTGTGTCTAAAACAAAAAGCCGCTAGACAAACACTGGGATTTATTTGTATATGAAGGTTTAGATGATCCCTTGTTGTGCAAAACCACAGACCACAAAGTAGCTGTGTGGAAGCTAATAGGTGTTTACAGTTTGGGTAGTTATTTTCTCGCTCGCCTTTCTTCTTCTCTGTATAGAAGAGTTTCCACTGTCAAACCTCTGCTATTTCTCTGACATGCTGTGATTGTGTTTCTTTGGTTGTGTGTGTGTGTGTGTGTGTGTGTGTGTGTGTGTGTGTGTGTTCCTCCTCAGGAGTGTGGGAGTCATAGCCTACATGCTGGTGACAGGCGAGTCTCCGTTCGTCGGCGACGACAAGCAGGAAACGTATCTGAACGTGTCTCAAGTCAGCGTGGACTACAGCAGGGAGGCCTTCTCCAGGGTGTCCGAGCTGGCCGTCGACTTCATCCGCAAGCTGCTGGTCAAATCACCCGAGTGAGTAAAGAGCCGACAAACAGCCCCGGAATAGAAACCCAGTCAGGTGATTGATTCAGAGTGAGATCAGAGGGAAATGTTTTCACCGAGCCGTGAAGGAGAAGATCAGACATTCTTTTCCATGAAACCGTCACGTCATGTTTTATTTCAGACTCTGCTCCATGTGAGGAATTCACTTAGATCAGCCCGCAGCTCTGAACTCATGAAGCATCTTTTCCTCCACAAAAACAGGTTTTTATGGTCGAACTCGCTGAGATGATGAGCGGCATGTGTACCACACCTGAGGGGATTTTTCTTTTAGTCTGTGACGGTGTTCCTCTGATTATTTTAAAGATGTTTGTTCTTGTTACACCAGAATTTACAGACAGACATAAATCTAAATCTTTGTGCTGCTTTAACAAACTTTGACTCTTCTGTGATTGTTGATCAGTAAAAAATTAGCTTTAAGTTTCATTTAGTTTATTGATTCTAGTCTGGAATGAAATCTAGTTGTTTCCCCAGATGATGTGAAAGTTTTCTTCGTTCTAGATGTTAAAAAATAAATATCACCAGGACAGGTGTATTAAACTGTGACGGAAATATTGTGTTTTGGACGAGCAGCTTGAGAGATGAATGATGAATAGTGAGTCGGTGGTTATGGCAGATTGAAATCCTAATATGCTGAACAGGACCTGAGCACGAGGCTCAGAGATCTGGTTTTAACTGTCCGCACAAAAACTGTAGTCTCAGCGAGGTTTGGAGTATTTAACACGAACATAATCAGGTCAAAGATTCTCGAGTTCTCTTAAGTTCTGATATTTTAAAAACCATGTGATGTAATAATGATCATAAAAATCAAATATTGATTGTTTTGCTCACAGGGACCGGCCCAGTGCTGCCGAGTGTATGAGCCACCCCTGGCTGTGGCAGCAGCAGTTCTGTCTGAGTCCCGACTCCACCACCGCTGCCACCACCACCCGCACCGTTCGGGAGAGGAGCTGCGGCGCCAAGTGGGCCGCCCCGCCTGAAGACCCTGAAGACAAAGAGAACTTCCTGGAGTCTCCTCACTCTCACGCTAAAAGGTTTCGCTTTGAGGAGGGGATGGCCGCAGATGGGGACTTTTGAAAAATTCCAATAAAAGAAGCGAAAGGCGGGCGGGGGGACGTCTCCCTCCGAGCTTTTAAATTCTTTTAAGCTTCCAGAAAACAGCCGCCCATCACTCAGAAGTACTTACTTATTTACTTCTTTACTTAATTTCAAGATCGACCACTCAGACCAAAGATAACCAGCTAAATCTTGAGATCTCTGGCTGTTTAAAAAGTGTGAAAATGTGTACAGCACGTCTCAGCTAATGCAGTGTGTGTAACCTTAAGTATTTAATACCTTTTGTCGTCGTTAAATTCTCCGGTCTTCTCTCAGGGCTGCAGAGCCCTCTCTGTTTTCAGTGTATGGTTGTGCTGATCTTGAAGGCTAGTGTTGAGTAATTCTAGGGAAATCTATGCAATACTTCTCTTGTGCGTTTATTTTTTTTACCTGTTTTCTCAAGAAATCTTTCGTAACTCGATAGCACTCTGCCTTAAAGTCGCAGGTCCAGTGTTCCTAGTCACCAGCACGGCTTACTGTGTCGTTCAGCTGAAAGGACTTTTATTTATCGTCGAGGAGGAATTTCTTTCTCACAGTCTGTGCATGCGAAGCACAAAGAAGTCAGACTTTCTAAAAGGAGACGTGGAGATAAGCTCCGCTGCGATGAGGAAGTGTAGAAGAGAATAAGGGACCGTGAGACAGCAGCTGTGTGTGGCTGAGATCTGCTGCTGTCTCATCAGAGCTAAAACCACCTGCAACATGTTCACGTCCAAAAGAGTCCAGCAGAGGGGCTGAATTACACACTCAAGAATATCACATTCCTAATAAGTCTGCATTCCTTCAAAGATAGTCAGTATTTCCAGTGGCGCTCAAGCGTTTCCATGAATCTTCCTTTAGTCACTCAGACTGTAGCACAAAAAAAACCGACCATGACTGCCGTACTCAGCTGAGCAGACTCCAAACTGAACTCCCCTCTCAGAATTTGACTGAAATGGACTGATAGGCGTGAAGACAGAAGTCGCTCTTCTTCTTTGAGTGTTTGTACGATCACTTCTGTCGTGTCACCTTCAGAGTTAACAGACGAGGGCTGCTGCAGACAGAATTAAAAAGCTGTTTTCTTCGAGCTGCAGTTTCTGTCTAAAAATGAGGTTACAGTCCGATTCTGAAACAGCTCACCAGCATCATTTCCCGTCTTTGTACCGATCAACTGTTCAAATCTTCAGAAGGAGTCGGGTTGAAATTGCAGAAGTAACTCTTTGACGGCGAGGCTTTAAAGGGACACGGTAGTCATGGCAACCATCCCCGCCACAGTATGACAAACTCTTCGAACCGTACGGACTCACAAACCCGTGAATCATGCGGTCATTCACACGCCACACCCGCGCTTACTCAGAGGATTTCCTCCTGGTCATCTGGCCCGAAATGAAACAGCACTTAACTCCACGAGCGTGCGCGTGTCGAAGCGATAAGCAGCGCTGCAGGAGCTATTTCTGAAAGTCTGTTTGTTTGTGAGTCCTTGAGAGGCTGGCTGTGTTTTCACTCGTTCACCAAAGCCATGCAGTCGGCGTGATTTGAGTCTAAAGCTGCTTTATTCCTCTGGGCTCAGGCTGCCTGAAGTCACACAAACTCCTGTTGATCTCCTCTCAGGGCGCGCCGCTCACTCTCTCTGCTCACTCTCTTGCCTGTTTTTATTTATGTGCTGGACTTATACTTTATATTTTTGTGTAAATAATGCTCACGTGTCTTATGAGGAAGCGTTGAAATTATGTGGTGGTTGCAGCGGATCGAGAGGTGACTGAAAGCGAGGATTACTTTGAAGGTGGTTCTAGGAAGTTCAGAGAAAATGGAAATGATAACGGGTCAGGTGGTTTAAGTAAAGAGGAAGGCGATGAAACACTATAGGAAAGATTTAGAGGAGCAGTTTGACAAGTTTGGAAATAAAAGATCTAATATTTCTAAAAATGTCAGACTCTTCCTGGGAAGGGGATTCAGTATTTCTTGAACTTGGACCCTTTTCACATATTTGGGGGACAGAATGACAAAGAGGTAAAAAAAAAAAAAAGAGTGAATTTTTCCAGAAGTCATGAAAAACAAACCTGGAGGGGACACACTAAGAAACGAAATGTGCTTAGATTGTCCACACAGACCAGAGAATAACTTAAGATGCACAAAATCATCAACAAAGAGCACTTTCAGGTGTTTAAAATCAAGGTTATAGGTTATTGAGAGGCATCAGTATCTAATTCTGTTCTAAACCAGTTGAAAAGTCCTTGCAGGAGCTTTTTGTAGGTTCACTGCAGCCTGTTTTGCTGCTCAGGAACAATTTCAGGTGTTAAAAATCTCTACAAAGAGTGTAAATCTCACAGGTGATGATCTCCTTCGCTTCTTTAGGTTATGGAGAGACAGAAGTATCTAAGTCTGTTCTAAACCAGCTGCTTTTTTTGAGGTTCTGCAGCCTGTTTTGCTGCTCTTGAACAATTTGAGGTCATGAATGTTTGGCTAAAAGGGTCCAGGTTGAAAAAAGGCTGAAGGTCAAGTTGTGATGTTGGTGTGAAGACATGTAGGAATGAAAGGTTTTCAGGTTGAGAAAGTAAACGATGGCGATGTCAGCGAAGTTTGAAAGAGAGTAGAAGCGTGACAGGATGGCGGTCTAATGTGAAATATGAGGTGCTATTGAGTTTGCAGGATTTACCACCTTTGTTCGAGTCTAAACCTCACCTCCACTATAACATGCAGCGCTGGCATCTCTGATTGCTCTTAATCTCCAGTGAAACATTCCTCTCTCTCTCTCTGCTCCGAGGTGCCAAGCACAATGAGACCACATTGTGTTTTTTGTTTGTTGTTGTCACCAGCTGGTACAATGGCCTTTGTGTGGGAGATGGGCGTCTCCGGCCACAGCCGTGCTCTCATCCGTATGCTGTCATCCTTAAAAACTGGAACACACCACACTGTAAAAGATTTTCATCTCCCAGAGGAATCGAATCTCATTGCGCTTGTATTATTAGTCAGGATGTTTTCTTTACTGCTGGAAGGTAAATCCGCTTTATAGTGTAACGTATCTCTTAGCTACTGTGTAAGAAAATAAGCTTGAAACCTACATCATCTCAATTTCAAACTCAGTCTACTCTGCTTTTATACCTCTCCGAACAGGCGACTGTGTCTCGAACCGTCTCGATTCAGGACGTCTGAATTTCACGAGCTCCTTAGTGACACATTCTGTTCCCTGTCGCTGCAGCGCCTGCAGAAAACAAGAGTTCAGAGTTGTCATGTCACTTCACCTCAATAGAAGATGGACTTGTTTTGCAGCGCAGCGATGTCAGGGATCTCACTTTGCAGGATGACGAAATGCACAAATGATTCGAGGACAAAGTGCCGGCATTGTCTGCCTCCGTCACTTGAACATGACTTATGCTGTGGCGTCCGTGCTCTTATTTTGTACAGCTATTGTACTGTTATTTTCAGCAGCTAGTCACTCGGTGGCCTCTCTCTCTGTGTGTGTGTGAGTGTGTGAGCGAGCGAGTGCTCATAGTCTGACGCTCGGACCGTGATCCTCTAAAAATGGAGCACTAGTTAACATTCCTGTTTGTTCTCTGTGTGCCCACAGCGAGACTGAAGGATACTGTAGATCAGAGTCAAATCAGACACAAGCACAAGCAAATAAATGTTCATGAGATGTTTGTTTATTTTGCATTTTATATTTTTTTAATGTATGAGCATTCTGATTGCATCTGAAATGACTAAAAAAGACTTAATGTATTCTGATCAACTGCAGGCTAATATATAAGCATCACAAAGCAAACTGAAAAAGCTCATTAAAGGTTTTAGAAATATCTCATGGAGTGTTTGATGTCCTTGGTTACTTTCTCCTCACTGCTGCCACCTGCTGTATCAAGACATGTAAAACACCCAAAGGTCGGTTCTTTTACATTTAGACTTCTGCCACATCTTAATATTTTTCAGGTTCAATTTACCTTAAAAAATTGCCCTCTTCCAAGCCACCAAATCCCATTGACAAAACTAGCAATTTTACATAAACAGCCCACAGGATGATCTACTGTTGCGCTGCTTCAATGGCTTAGTCAATTTTTGTCAAAGTATGAAACTGACATTATTTCGGCTCTTAAATAACCATCCAAGAATCCATAATTCAAACCAAAACTTGCTTATTTAGACGGCAAAACACCAGCAGTTTCTGTGTTTCACAAGGTAAGAATCGCTTGTTTTGTCAATGGGATTTGGTAGCATCAAACAGAGTCATACAGTTACTATTTCTTGTTTTAAAATAAGGGTCTACTTTTCATAATCTCAGCTGAAGTCTAGTACATTTAGTATCAACTGAGTTCCAGCTGAGTCTGGACCTTTTTCTAAAATTCCAGAGTTCCTCCTTGAGTTTTCACTGCCTCATTTCGAACATTTACAGCAGAGGAAAAAAGCACAACGACAACATAAAGCAGACAACACTTTTTAAACCTTCATCTCATCTGCCCTCTCAGACTCTCAGGTTTTAATCAGCGGGTCGTAAACACAATGGAATGATCTGAAGTTACATTCAGCAGAACGAGTTACAGCCGTCATCATCAGCATAGTGCAAGGGAGCTTCTTCGTAAGCTTACATTTTGATCACACACTGAGTAGCACGACATACACATGCTGCCACACCGCCACAAAAACAGCGAGTATGCATATTTGAATATACTGCAGTATGCAAAGTCTACAGTCGATGAAAACAGATCCATCCTTTACAATACTATCAGAGAAATCCGTTCATTCAAACACGACTTTCTTCATGTAATGTTACAATTTTCCTGGGATATTTGGTGTCGTGACAAAATATCGTTTACTAAGCTCAGGTATTCTTCAGAAATGTGAAACAAACCAAAAAAAAAGGAAAAAAGTTTGTTATTATCATGCAGTCATGATCGGAACATAAAATATTCTCCAACTATTTGGATCAACAATAATCGCTTGGAGTAAACTTCTCTGAAGTTTTAAAGCACTAACATAATCAATATTTAGTTTTATTCCTTTGTTTTGGAAAGTTAAATAATTGTTTAGTGGATTAAACAAACTCAATTTTACTATTTTTTAACTCAAAGAGAAATAAGTGCTAAGACGAGTCAGCTGATTTGTATCCAAAGTGCAACATCTGGATAAAAAGAAAAGATTGAGGAACAATCTGCTACAAAATCAAGGAATAAGATTTTTCTCCTCCTGGTTTATGAGTTTAGATTCATGAACCACACGACGTTAAATACAATCAAGAATCTCTGATGAGGAAGTTCAGACATTCACCCGTCTAAAAGTAGCTCAGCGCGAGTGCAGGTTTAAGGAGAATGTAAAAGCTTTAGCCAAACAAACGAACAAATAAACAAAGTTAAATTAAAATCACAGACGGTAGAATTATATTCTAGACTTGTTCACATAATTAAAAGGGATATTCTGGCGTAAAGTTAATTTAGGGTCAAACACAAAGTTAGACACCCCCTCCAGAGATGAATGTTGCCGACCGCTTGCTCCTCTAGTTATACCAACTTTAGTAACGACAGCAGATAGCAATACAGAGAGCCACCAAAATGCCACTCTATAACCACAAATAATGCTCAGAACAGAATAATGCTTAAGTTGGTATAACTAGAGAATCAAGCGGTCGGCATCATTCATCTCTGGAGGGGGTGTCGAACTCGGTTTTATGCCAGAACGTCCCTTAAACAGAAAGATAATAAATCAATTTCTTCTAAATCAACAGCTCTGCGGAGACTTGGAGCCTTAATCAAAGTTAAATCTATTTTAGATCTACATAATCCTCCTCAGAGCCAACAGGGACCCCATCCCACTTTGTCCTACCCCTGGTTTAGGAGTCTCCTCTACAGGGAACTTGATGTCCAGAATGAAGCTACAGCTAATTTCAGCTGATGAGGCGCAGACAGAGAACATCCACCCTGCTCACTGCCTCATGTTTCTCACTTTCATGTATGTCCGATGATTGTCCAATCACAAATTTTGATGTTTAATCTTTTGTTTTCCAACACAGAAATCTGCTCTTTTATTACACTGATTGTATTTCCAGGTCAAAAGGTGTGTCTGAACCTCAGGAGCAGGTCTAAACGGGGTAGGGGTAGGACCAGCTGAGGGGACTAAGGCTGCAGCAGGACATCAGGGAATCATTCAAGCCGGGAGCAAGTGCATGTAGTTTGAGACAGAACCAAGCAGAATCTGCCCCACTCTGGACTCGGAGCCCTTAGAGGACAGTAAAATGAGGTAAGAGCAGCGGATAAGACACTCAGAACTCCTGGATGACCCTGAAGTGGTTCTCGATGGAGGGGGGCTCGTCCTCAAAGTGCAGCTTCTTACTGGGGCAGGCCCCGAACTCCTCCAGGGTCTTAATGAAGAGTCTGTGCTCACGGCCCACCCAGGCCCTCATGGGGTCACACACCTCGTACGGGGTCACGTGGGCGTGGATGGACACCCCGCTGGAGGCCAGTTCTTTCAGCACCTGCTTGTCTGTCACCCAGGTCTCGCTGCCCCCCGGGTGTCCCCCGTCCAGCCAGAACATGTCGGTGATGTGTTTGATGAAGTAGGACAGCTGGGGGTCCGCGCGGGCCCCGGGCAGCTCGTACACCATCTGGTTCAGGACCACGCAGCCTTTGCTGAAGCCCACCACGACGAGGGAGAAGCCGGAGGGGATGCTGTCAGCGCCTCCTTGTGGCTGCAGGGGGTGTGGGAGGTCAGCTCGCTCCATGCCGTGGCTCAGCAGAGCCCTGAAAGAAGAAACTGGTCAGACCGAAGTCGCTCTGAAAACTGAACAACATTCACAGAAACCTGAAGGTGAAGATCATCAAATCAGACATGATACGCGTCAAACTATAAAACCAAATTTTAGGTCACAGATGTTTTATCGAACAATTAAACAAAACTATAAACAACCCAATCAGAGAGCAACACTCAGAAGAGTGAGGCATGTGTCTGGTAACAACAAATCAGGGGTACTTTCTCAAGATCTAAACTTTCCAGAGTTGACCTGCAGTCAGATGATACCGATGTATCTCGTACTGATGTTAACTTCTCTGATTTAGTTTCATCTTTAGATCTGTGGTACTTTACAGACTCTAAATCTGAGCTCTGCTGACCTTTGTGCTAAAGTTTCCTGCTGACTTCAGTGTGGTTAACTGCAGCTGTAAGTTCAGATGATACTTAGTGGTCATTTTTTTACATTTGGGTCAAACAAATCAAAGAGTAAAAGGAGTAAAATAATCAAACCTGAGATGGAGAAACGCTCCAAAGTCAGCAGAGTACGGGGAGTGCTCTGGAGCTCCAAACATGTTGCTCTCCACAAAGTTGTGGTAGCAGCTGAACTTGTGGAGGTACATGTGGGAGGCTCTGACCACCCAAACGTGGCGGTCAGGGAAGCGTTGGCCCAGAATGACGGCAACCTGCTCCAGACTCCAACTGAGCCACTGAGATCCTTCGGGCTGCAGAGCCATCTCCTCCTGGAAATTCTGCAGAAACAACAAAAGAGATTTTTGACTCATATTTTCTGTCAGACAATCTGTTTGATTGTTTTAATGTTGTATATCCCAGGATTTTAGATAGGAAGGTTAAAGGGACGAGTGTTTTTACTTTGCATTGATGTTACTGAGTAGAATATAGGGGTGGGAGGAAAATCGATTCACATAAGTATGCTGATTTTTTGTTTTACAATTTTTAAATAGATTTTTTTTTTTTTCTAATTTAAGAATTAAGGTCCTTTCACACCAGGAGCATTTTTATTGTGCTATTATTTCGGACGTCAATATTTTTTTCAAACCCGTATCCTGTCAATACAAGCGTTCACATCAGCGACGTTTCCCCGTGCTGCGATATTCCAGCATTTATTTTTTCATTTCACGGTCGATTTTTCCAAGGTTTCGCATACTGTGTGTCCACTTCTGACCGATCAGATTCTGTGTTGTTGCGACGTCTGATTCCTCAGAATATCCAACATGGCCGACCGACTGATTGTTTACGTGTCGGAGAACAGAGTGATTTTTGATAAAAACCACAAATATTACAAAGATAACGACCTGAAGGACGACTTGTGGAGAGTCATAGCGTCAGATTTCTCATATGACGATGGTTTGTGAGCTTTAACAGTTTGATAAACGTCTTTGTTTTAACGGGAGAAAAGAATATCGTCCCAGCCCTGATAGAATATTCTCATTAAAAACATTTTTGTCAATGCAGAACAATTTATCACAACCCCTTCTGTGTCTTCAGTGCTTTATAACTCTAGATTCGTAATCTTCTCATGAAATCAATGTATAGTCTGACTTCTTTTCACCAACAGTTAAGACCGCCCCCTGCTGGCCATAAGAAAGAATGCATTTAACAGCACTCGTGCATTAGCCTCAGCTGTCAGGCCTTTACATTCAGCCTATTTTGTCCACACAGTCTTTAGTTTGAGCGTCCAGCTGGGAGGGAGGAAGAGCGCTCTCAGAGAGTTACTGAGGATGTAAACACTTTAAATTCAGGGGACAAAAAAAATCACTCTCATCGGTCCATCTCTGACACAGACAATTAGTTCCATCAGCAGCATCTTCTCAGTGTGCTGTCAGGCTGTGTGGTCCTCAACACAATGACCTCATTCATGTTATTTACATGGAGACATCAGTGTGACAGCATCCTGTGCATACGAACGACTGCTGGCAAACACCAGCGGCCTGTGGGAATATTAACACTTGCTTGGAAAGTTGCCTAATGCATTTGCAGACAAGGACAATGAGGAGATGGAGTGAACTCTAGAAACAGTGAAATAAATGAGGGCAGTGAAAAAACAGGAGATGGTTAATCTTCTTTAACTCTTCGAGTGTTTCTTAAAAATAACCCGTGGGACTGCTTTGAGGAATCTGACGACACAATCTGCAGCTGCTGCACAGACACACAGAAGACACAACCAACACAAATACTCAGAGGAGTTACTCAGAAAGGTGTCTGATCTGATTATATCTGATTATGGGATATAATGACGTGCACCAGAACTACAGTAAGTTTTGCTCCAAATGTCTCCTTTAAAACACCTTGAACGTCAGTTGTCTAGGACAGGAAAGCCCCTGTCTCTTACACACGTGGACAAAATTGTTGGTACCCCTCAGTTAAAGAAGGAAAAACCCACAATTCTCACTGAAATCACTTGAAACCTACAAAAGTAACAATAAATAAAAATTTATTGAAAATTAAATAATCAAAATCAGCCATTACTTTTGAATTGTTGATTAACATAATTATTTAAAAAAAAAAAAACTAATGAAATAGGGCTGGACAAAAATGATGGTACCCATAACTTAATATTTTGTTGCACAACCTTTTGAGGCAATCATTGCAATTAAACGATTTCTGTATTTGTCAATGAGCGTTCTGCAGCTGTCAACAGGTATTTTGGCCCACTCCTCATGAGCAAACTGCTCCAGTTGTCTCAGGTTTGATGGGTGTCTTCTCCAAATGGCATGTTTCAGCTCCTTCCACAGATGTTCAATGGGATTCAGATCTGGGCTCATGGAAGGCCACTTTAGAATAGTCCAACGCTTTTCTCTCAGCCATTCTTGGGTGTTTTTGGCTGTGTGTTTTGGATCGTTGTCCTGTTGGAAGACCCATGACCTGCGACTGAGACCAAGCTTTCTGACACTAGGCAGCACATTTCTCTCCAGAATGCCTTGATAGTCGTCAGATTTCATTTTACCTTGCACACATTCAAGACACCCTGTGCCAGATGCAGCAAAGCAGCCCCAAAACATTGCTGAGCCTCCTCCATGTTTCACCGTAGGGACAGTGTTCTTTTCTTCGTATGCTTGGTTTTTGAGTCTATGAACATAGAGTTGATGTGCCTTACCAAAAAGCTCCAGTTTGGTCTCATCTGTCCAAAGGACATTCTCCCAGAAGCTTTGTGGCTTGTCAACATGCATTTTTGCAAATTCCAGTCTTGCTTTTTTATGATTTTTTTTCAGCAGTGGTGTCCTCCTTGGTCGTCTCCCATGAAGTCCACTTTGGCTCAAACAACGACGAATGGTGCGATCTGACACTGATGTACCTTGGCCTTGGAGATCACCTTTAATTTCTTTGGAGGTTGTCCTGGGCTCTTTGGATACAATTCGAACGATCTGTCTCTTCAATCTGTCATCAATTTTCCTCTTGCGGCCACGTCCAGGGAGGTTGGCTACTGTCCCGTGGGTCTTGAACTTCTGAATAATATGAGCCACTGTTGTCACAGGAACTTCAAGCTGTTTAGAGATGGTCTTATAGCCTGCACCTTTAAGATGTTTGTCTATAATTTTTTTTCGGATGTCCTGGGACAATTCTCTCCTTCGCTTTCTGTTGTCCATGTTCAGTGTGGTACACACCTTTTCACCAAACAGCAGAGTGACTACTTGTCTCCCTTTAAATAGGCAGACTGACTGATTATGAGTTTGGAAACACCTGTGATGTCAATTAAAGGACACACCTGAGTTAATCATGTCACTCTGGTCAAATAGTTTTCAATCTTTTATAGAGGTACCATCATTTTTGTCCAGCCCTATTTCATTAGTTTGTTTTTTTTAAATAATTATGTTAATCAACAATTCAAAAGTAATGGCTGATTTTGATTTTTAATTTTCAATAAATTTTTATTTATTGTTACTTTTGTAGGTTTCAAGTGATTTCAGTGAGAATTGTGGGTTTTTCCTTCTTTTAAAACACCTCAAACGTCCGTTGTCAAAGACAGGAAAGCCCTTGTCGTGTAAGTCCACATCATGGGTGATGGTTTAAGGCAAGTTGCCATGGAGTCAAGGCAGAGGTTGGGGGCGGCAGGGGGTGTGCCTGGTTTGTATGTTAATGTCAATATGTGGGTTAAAAAGATTCAGCAGCACGTCTTCGACATCTGAGATGAACCTCCGAGGCTCTTGGGATGAGTTGACCTTGTTTGCGCTTGTTTTTACTTTTTTAAAATTCGATGATTTAAAATAGAAAACGCTTCAATCAATTTTCTTTGGAGAATTTTTTGGGCAGTTCTTAAAGGGATATTCCGGCGTAAAATTAATTTAGGGTCAAACACAGCATAACACCGAGTTAGACACCTCGTCGAGGATGAATGTTGCTGACCGCTTGCTTCTCCAGTAACGACCGCAGATAGCAATACACAGAGTCACGCGCTCAACCAAAACACCACTCTATAGCCACACATAATAGTCAGAACAGCACCTAACTTCATCAACAGGACAGGTAATTTTCTATTATCGAGATGAAAGTTAGCTTTTTAAGCATTCGATCAGTTAGATTTTGTCTTTTGCTTCTCCTGAGTCCAACACTCTTGTTAGTTGATGGAGGCACATACAGTATAAATAAACTAAACATGATATCAATGTGGCTGAGAGGGACGGAGTGTGCAGGATCAAATATGATCTGCAGGCCTCTTCTAAAAACTTCTCAGACTCTCATGTGATTTTAAAATGACAGTAAAACTGAAAGAGAAGAATTTCAGTCTAATGCAAGCAGGTTATTGCCTATGGCCACGTACATAAAGACATAGAGATGTGTCAGCAGTTTGAGTTTATGGAGCAGAGAAGTCTTAAGAGAGCTGATAACCTTCACTGGCAACTACAAGGTGTCACATGCTGTTTATGACCAATAAAACTTTAACATCTGCAAAAAATGTGACCATTACCCTTGATGTGTCACATGTCATTTAGCATTCATGTGGGTTACTGCACGTATTTACAGTGACATGAATTGTTCAGACCCTACAGTAACTTTAAAGCCCAGAGCAAAGGAAACAGGACAGGCTCTTAAAGGAACAGTGCATCATTTTTTTTAACATATTCCAGCAGGTCAGGCTTGTACTCATAGTTTAAGTTTGAAAAAAACCTGCACTGGTGAATTTAAACATCCCACTTATAATAAACTCAATTATGGATACCACATGGATGGGTATCTGATATTTTGTTTATTGATTAGAGTTTCAAGCCAAGGCACACACTCCAATTTTTGTGATAAATGAAACTTAAAAATCAATTCCCACTTATAATAAACTCAATTATGGATACCAACAAACACCGGAATATCCCTTTAACATGTGAAGCCGACAGCACTGTTGGTGAGGAAAAAAAGAAAATGAGTGCTACCCCCTGACAGAAATGACGATGAAGGCTAAACAGATGACGACATCGTCAACAAAACTGGCACGAAAATGTCTGTGGTGTGGAGGTATTTTGTTTTTTTGAGGTCAGACATGAAGCAGAGTAATGTGTACTGTAAATTATATCAAGTTCATGTTCTTGCAAAGTCGGGGAATACCTCAAATCTTTTTCACCACCTGAAACAGTGCATTCAGTCCGCTTTCTCTAGCGCAACGCCTTATGACAAATCGTCGAAGAGACACAAAGACCTCACAGATGCAGGAGATTATTGTATTGCAAAAGACATACTACCAATAAACACTGATAAATTTCATTTTTTATATCGTAATACCGATATCGACTGATATATACAAAAAATATCGCTCAGCCCTACAACAAACCCAAACTACAAATCTGTGTCAGACCAGGGGATTAACAGCACACTTTGTTTGAATGTTCTCACAGCAGAAATTCACATGTTTTTAAAGAGATCAAAGTATTCAGACTATTAAAAAACAACCTTATAACATATTTTCACAGTGTATGACTACAATTAAGTTTCATTTTTACAAATCCCACCCAGTGACAGTGGTTAAAGATAACTGTTAGAAGACGCTTGTGAATTAACAGACCATTAAAATAAACTGTGTGATTTTGGGTTAACTGAGTGAATAACTTGAAATATAAGAAACCAGTTCAGAAAGCTTTATCATTCTTTATAGTCCGGTTATAGTCTGGGATGATGAGGAGGACAGGTGTGCTGATCTGGGATCTGTCTCACTCACCTGGATATCACCGTGAAAAAACACCACATGCTTGTTGCAGCTCTTCTCTTTCCCACTGTGACCGTCTGCCTCAGGCCAAAGCAGCAGCAGGTCGTTGACTCTGCTCGGGTGGTGTCCGGGTACCCCGACCAGCCTCTGGAGCCTCCTCTGCGGGCTCCCGGTGCGTGCATCCTCGCTGGCTGATGCATGCAACCCCCGGGGCTCGGAGGATGTCGTCGCCGCCACAGAGGTCATCGTTTTGGCCACAGATATGAGAGTGAAGCCCACCACTGCAGCTCGGGTGGTTAGCATAGACTCTAAACAGAGAAATGATGAAGCGTTTTTTCCTCAAACGCGGAGAAGTTCGTCCATACTCCTGCTGCTGCTGTCAGCTAGCTAACCAACGGCTGTTTCTGCTAGCTTAACGACATCATGCTAACATCAGCTAACGGCGGGCTAACGTTAAAACGAGCGTGTCCGTGTAGACGAAATACTTCTCATTACGCATTATATGGGCTTCACGAAGTTTGTCCCACGATATCGCAGTGTCAATAAAGTATTATTTAGTCTGGCAGTTCCGGTTGTTGGTCACGTAGAGGCGCTGTCTGTCAAAGCTGCTGAGCAAACACACTACCATAGATACCATAGATATAGAAAGGCTAAATGACTCGAACCGAAGTCATCGGCGGCCATCTTACTTCAGTATATTATTTATAAAAATCCATGGTTAAAATTATTCTTGAGTATTCGGGTACATAACTAAAACTCCGAGGTTTGTTCCAAGCCAAACTAAAAATCGGTTTGAAATTAATCAATCTATGGTTATTTAAATGCTACGTGCACCGTAGACTGGATTGTCAGGAGTGGGTGACTGCTGCCTGTATCAAAATGGCCGCAATGCACGGACGTCGGTCTCTATCGGCTTACAGCATCTAGCGTTTATATAAATATCTGTGAGGAGCGGGAGTAGAGAAACCCAACTGCGCATGTGTGTTCTTCTCCTGACTCCAAAGATGAAAGTTTCAGATATTACCCTGCTGAGTTTTTCCGTAAATAAAAGTTGTTTTCAAATTCTGAGTTCAGATTACCGGTTAAAACCCCAAAGTAGTTCTGTGCATTTGTTTTGCGTGTTTTGTCAGGAGGTTAGAAAAAAACTATAACCTATTATATAGTGGTTTTTTTGATCAAATAAACTATAAACTATACCGTAAGGGAGACCACAGAAACACGTAAAATAAATAATGGTTAAAAAAAAAAAAAATCAGTCTTAAAACTGATAAAGTGGACAGGAAAAAAGCTTAAATATCATCTCAGGGATCATCAAAAAATAATTTTCTGTTATTAATTTATCACTTTCTATTTAGGTCAGTCTTCAGACCAACATATCATATATTTATCAATTAATGAAAAATTCAAAGTTTTATATTATTTAACAGTGCTGCAGATCAAATGTCCATCTGATTTACTGAAACAAATTATCAGAGAAGGGGTCTTTATTATGATTGCAAAAAACTAAAACAACTCTTTTATTACAGCCTTTTCTCCACATAACAAAGTATAACATCTCTGCACAGTAGATCAATTTAGGTCTACTGTAACACATCAATTCAGATCAATGAGCATAAATACATGAATAAATGAAATAATTCAGAAGTATCTGAGGCTCTTTAACGCCACCTACAGGACTCCGGAAGTCCGTGAGAAGTGTCGTTGGGAGCGGACAGTGAATCCTCTTGTTCTGAGTTTTCCTCTTTAGCCTCACATGCTAAACTTCAGTAAAAACATGTTAGTGAATCAGTCTGTGAGAGTTTGAGAGGAGAAAACTGTTTAGACGTAAAAATCTGTGATTTTGTTCAACAACATCAGAGCATGAAGTGAACGAGTCTGAGCTGAGAGACTTTCAGTGAAACACAAGTAAGCCACGTTGACTGTGCTGATATTGAACCTGTTTATTTAACCTGCACGTTACAGATAAATGTGAGTTACTCCTGCGTGGACTTTGACCCTGTTCACTAGTCTAACTCTAATGGAGTGAAACTTACTTAATACATCTGCTTATTTAATCTCAGTAAGTTGCACTGAACGATATTACACAGTGAGTATAATGAGTAAAAAAGCTAAAATACTTTAAATCTTTAATATTGTGCACTAGTTCTCTTCAGATTTTGTCACGTCATTCAGCCATACTCTTAAGCAGCCTTTGTTTGCATGTTGCATTTTGCAGACTTGAGCTCCAGTGAGACGCATTTTTATTTTTATTAAAATTAAGAGTAAGAGTTCTGACAGACAGACAAGTTTAAGTCCTGTTAATTTATTGACAGTGTTACCACAAACTGTCTGTAGGAGGCATCAACCTGTATGAATCTCAGTTATTTTATCACTTTTAATTGATGTTCTGTCTTCATAAAGGCTACAAGTTTTACAGTCAGTCCTATGTTAGTTGTATATGTAGAATTAATGTCACTAACAGCTGCAGCAGTAAAATCCATCTGCTTGTAAACAGAGTCAGACATTTCAGAGTGTGTCCATATATATTTTTTATGTTTTAATTAATGTGTTTTTTTCTTTTTTGCAGGATCATGTCCTCCAGCTCGTTGGGAAGAAGACTGGTTGCATGTCTTCTAAATGTGTCTGAAGCCCGCAGGAAAGACCTGGTGGAGACTGTGGCAAAGGCGGCTTTATACAACACTGAAGGCAAGTCTTATTTCCTATCATTGTCCTACCAGACGGCATTTAAGTTTTTGGAAAGTAAGGCAAATAAAATGTATATTAAAGCAGATTTAAAACTCAAGGGCAGCTACGCATGTGATAAAAAGAGATATTTAAGAGAAGATTAAAAGTTATTTAGCTTTATTTACCCAGAAACTCTTTTTCATTTCTGAGTCCTAAAACATATATACCTGTGAATCAATGTGACTCTTACTTTAAAGTTTAATCTCACCTTTGTAGTATTTTTAATTTTCATCTTAAATATCTTTATACAGACAAAAAACAGGAATGAGCATACAAAGACGCTGAAAAATGGCGCCCTGTGGAGGCTTCATTCTTGAGAGTTATCTAAATATGTCACACTGATGTCCAATATAGTCGTAAAAAGAGTCACACTAAGTCAGAAACCTCCGTTGATTCAGGACCAGTCAGTTTCTCCAACTTTTGAGCAAAATCTGATCCTTTAAATCCGAGAAAGAAAGTCATTTCTACATCATGAAAGTTTCATGAACACTCTCATGTTTATACAATTTACTTGTAACTGCGTTTAAACATTATTTCACTCAAATTCAAGTCTGCTTTTTCTTACTAAATCCTCTGTTTTCAGTCAGTTTCAGTAAACTAAAGATGCAGGACCATCACAGTTTTGAGGAGAATGTGGATATGAGAAGATATGAGAGTGATTAAAAACGTTTGTCCTTCAGGTGTGAGACGAGAGGGGACCACAGTCCTGAACATCTTTAATGACCATGATTACAACCGCTCCGTCATCACCATCGTGTCCAACATCGACTCTATCGGTGAGTGATGAACCTTCAATATTATTCCAGCATGTTTCCTGTTCGTCCTCCTGCTCCCAAGGGAAAATCAGAGACGCAGCAGCGGTTCTACAGCAGGATTCAGTCTCTGTCCGCTGCTCACCAATCCCCTGAGAGGAGCAAAATCCTTTAATAAGCTTTGTCAGGGATTTAAACACACACAAAAAAATCTGGATGAACATTTTTTGGGCATAGATCAGAGTGAAAAGTTGATCTTATTGAAGACTTGTACCAGACACGACCGTCTGACAATGCAGACAGAACTGTCGAGGATTTTCGTCTTTAGTTTGTCTGGACGTGATCCTGAAGACAAATAAAGTGGGTTAATTTCCCAAAAGGACCAAAACCTTCTGTTTGCACCACATGTACCACACAGTTAGAGGAATAATTATGCAGGAGATTACACAATATATTACATTTATGAACGAGCTGCTGAATTTAAGCAGTCTGACACTGAGCTTTTCAACACGCCTTAAGTGAGATTGCAGGAAAACAAAGAAGATAAAAACATCAAAACAACAACAAGAGAACAGTTGGGGAAAATGTCACATTACTGACAATAAAGAAATAAAATAAAAATCGGTGGATGTGGATTTCTGAAAAATCACCAAAGCTGCTGAAAAAGTGGGACTGTCCCTTTAACTCCCTGCCTGATCTAACTCTGACAGTGTGTTGGATGTCGTGTTTCTTGTATTTCAGGGGAGTCTGTCCTGTCGGCCTGTGAGAGAGCCTGTGGGCTGATCGACATGCGTGCTCACTCTGGGGTTCACCCGTGTATGGGCGCCGTTGACCTCATCCCCATTTACCCGCTGGGGGAGGAGGTGGGGGTGGAGGAGTGCGCCAAAGAGGCTCGGGGTGAGATGTCATGTGTGCCCGCATTTATGTGTGTGCATGCTTGTGCGTGAGAGAGAGAGAGAGAGAGAGAGAGAGAGAGAGAGAAAGAGAGCAGTCAGACATGAGTCCCTGTCAGAGTGATTGATCCTGTACTGGACTCGCTCATCAGCTTTCAGACCACATGTCCTCACATCACAGCAGGTCTGTTTTGTATTTAGTGCAGCACCTGCAGTGACACTGATTTATGGAGGAGTGTTAAGGCACAGCGTAAGGAAATAAAAAGGAGGCTAGGTTTTTTTTGTTTGTTTTTTTCTCAGATGGCGGGAAAAATCGTGAATATCAACAGCTGATAATCCAGAATTTAGACAAGGCTGTAAAAATCCTATCAGAGCATGAGGAGTTTTGTCAATCAAAACGATGTCATATACAACTAAATATTGTTGAAAATAGAACTTTAAAATATACCGACAGGCTGTAAAATCCACTCGCTCCGTGAGACCGGGATAATTTCCGTTTCTTTGCATCATTTGGTGTTTCTTTTCATATCTGACAGAGAAGATCAGAGTATTTTCAGAGTATCTAGATCCAGTCCTTTAAAAACTGAAGCTAATCTGTGATGGTTTATTTCTTATGAGCAAGTATTAAAGCCACATGAAGGTAAAAATTGACATTTTTCGTCTTAGCTCGGGCATTTTGACCTTATTCTTCAAGTTTGAACCTTCAGATAAGATGTTTAAGATTCAATATTCTTCACATTCTTGCAGAGAAATGTGGGTCAGTTCAGGCTGTGGGATCAAACAAGATATCACAATGCACAGACACACGTAATGAATAATATATAGATATTAGGCGGGCGGTTGTCTCGCTCTGAGAGGCTCTGTTTCCCATGACCATTTGCTCACTGTGCATTATCAAACGGCTGCCAACTAAAGATGTAAGCAAGTTGACCCCCACCAATTATCTAAAGACGATCTCAGTGATTTAAAGGTTATTTGTCGAAACAGTGACTTTATTGTTGATACTGGTACTCACATTGTTCCTCCTCTCACACCCCAACCCTGGCAAGTATACATTTATACACACTCCGCTGAGCTTTAGATAGTACATGTACACAGATGCTAATGAGTTCTCCTGCAGAGTCTATTTAAATGTGTGTAAAGCTGGTGATGATGTGACATGTTCGTCTTCCTCGAGCTGTTGATTAGTTTCACAGCTTAGCAGATGACTTAGCAGACATGTTTCCTGCTAATAATGAGCACTAACCCAGCATGACGCCTGCATGCCTGCAGTGTGTGCACTCTGTATGCTAATCTGTGGCTGTGATTGCAGATTAATAACTGGTTAACGTACTCACAGGCTTCATAATTATGCATATGCAATAAGAGCTCCAGCCCGAGTTCCTAACAGAACCCTCCGGGGTGTGTTGGGTCTGCCACGTTATTCTCACTCTCGTGTTTCTGGGATGGTTTTCATGTGATGACATACGCTCCGTTTGCTGATGAACTAACATGTCTGTGTTGTTGCCGGGCTCAGCTGTGGCTCAGGGACTCACAGAGCGGGTCCAGGGCACCAGCGCCTTCCTGTTTGGTTGGGCAGACTCCCCCCATCAGAGGGGGCTGGCACAGAGGAGGAAGGAGATGGGCTGGTTCAAGAAGACGCCAGACTTACAGATGATTACACCTGATATGGGGCCACAGCCGCAGAGACGCTTCGGTCTCACAGGTGAGTCAGACCTGGAAGTGTCAGCAAAAAAATTTTGTCGAACACATAAAACCATCAAAAATTCTTGATAATTTCAGGAACTTCCTAGACATTTATCTAAAGGAAGATTTTCTCTTCGACTTACTGTGTTTTCTAGCAAAAAATTCACCAACCGCCAATTTCCACCACATCCGGATCGGCAACGAAAAGGCCGTATCCGCCGATCGTAGCTGATCATAACCATTCAAGTTAATGTGTCAGTTTCCACCGCAGCTGATCTCAGGAGTTCTGTTTTTTCCGAACGCCAGAGCATGCCAGAAAAATTCAGCACAGATTAACCCGTGCTGGAAAGTAAGTCGGGCACAGACACAAAATAAATTTATTTTCTTTTCAAAGTAAAACGCTCTGTGTTTCAGGCGGATCATATTACACACCATGCAAACGTGGGCAGAGACGAACAAGTGAAAGGTTTTTAGACGTCATTTCACCCCGATAGCCTATGTGGCTAAGAGACGACTCGTTATCGCGCGATTGCACGTGAATCCGTGAGTTCTCGCGATTACCTCTGTCCGTAATCCGCCATGAAATTCGCCTCACCAACGGCTCCGGTAGGAATTGGCGGACAGCGAAAATCGCAGCTGTTCCAGATCGGGTATGTTTTGGATGCAGTGAAAATTGGGGGTAAAGCTCCTTTCAAACATGTACAAAGTTCCTGAAAATTTCCTGTAGTTAGCCGGTGTGAACACAACAGTCAAGTTTTCCATCTCGATCAGTGGTTTTAACCTCACCATCCTGAAAATTTTTAGCGTACATGTGTGAAAACGGCTGAAGAGGCTCGAAGGTAAAACTCCGGACAAATTCAGGTGAAAATTTCTGCATATGTCGGCTCTCTCTTCCTGCAGGGATCAAATATGGCAGCTGTCAGGAAAATGTCTGGTTAAAGTCAGGGTGAAAAATTGAAGGTTCAGACGAAGAGCCTTACAGGATGAAGTTTGGAAATTTCCAGGAGTCAATTACACGTGTGAAAGGGGCTAAAAAGACGCCATTCTTCTTTCATTCATTAACCTGCTTAATATCAAAATTCAGGTAACTCGTTTTACCAAACTGTTCGTGTTTCTCTCCTGACGCCTGAACAGCTGTTTTGCAAGTGCGGCACCTCTGAACATTGTGGCTCCTGACATGACACAGCATTTTTTATTGATTATCAATTAGTCATCTAAATCATAAATCATTCCTCCTGTCAGTGCTGACATCGATCCTTGGAAAGGTCGATGACAACATGTTACTCCAGGAATGAGAATGAGATTTTATCGTGTGTATTTTGTGGAAACGCCAGAAAAAAGCCTTTTCTCCTGTTGCATCCAATCAAATTATGTCAAACCAACAAATGAGCATCATTATTCTAAATGCAGGGTGACCTCTGATAACCTCATGTTTCCTGTGAGTCAGCTGATCCACCTGATTTGACTGTTATTAGCCTGTTGACTCAGCATCCTCACACGTCTGTCTCAGGCTTGTCGCGGCCCGTCCTAATCTCCATGGAGATAATGCGCATATTTTAAGTTTGTGACACAACCAGACTTTTGAAGTATCGTATGAGCTTTAGCTGTTTTTTTGAAGATTATTTTCAATAATAGGGGAGAGAGAGGAGGATTACACGTAGCAAAAGGCCGAGGGCTGGAGTTAAACCCGTGGTTGATGCGGCGAGGACGGCGCCTCGGAGCTAAACAGACACCCTTTGAGCTGAACTTTTGAACTCCAACATCTTCAACTGCAGTCACAATAAATACAGAGAATTCAACACGTACTGAACATGTTGGCCTTTTTAAATGTCAGTTTGCCAAATGGAGATCTTATCCAAAGAGAGAGAATGATAAATAATTATTAAAAAATACTTACCAATCATTGTTAGAGTGCTGTCATCTGAGGATACTTCTTGTGTAACCTTCGAGGTAATCCATTGACAGGTTTGGAAACTTTCTGAAGACACACACTGTGTCAGTCCCTTAAGCTCCTTTCACACATAAACTCTTTGACATTTTCAGGATGATTTCAGGACATTCAGGCCCGGATATTTTTAGGAAATTGTTGACACATATGAGAGTTTGTCTGTCGGGCACGCTCTCTCTCTCACGCTCACTCGATGTGATTTAGCGTAGGATGAGGAATCTCTGGTGAGGGGATTATTGACAGTTAAAAACAATATGTTGACAACTAATTGGAGCAATTAAGGAGGGAAACCTGCTCGCTTGTTGTGATCGTCGGCTCACCCAGACTTTTTGCAGATTTGAGAACAGGCAGGAAAAGTTTTTTAAATTTATTTCTCAGTCTGTTTAATCTACAGCTTCTATAAAGTCGAGGGGTTCATGTTCACTGGGTCTCTCACAGAGTAAATCAGAGACCCTTCTTGCGAGCAAAACCCACAGCGGATCGGCTCCGACGGCCAGATCAGATACGCAAGGCTTCTGTCTTTGCCAGACGCCACAACACGGCGCATCAATTCAGCGCAGATCGGCGGATCTCATTCAATGTCTCATGGGGAAACATGCGACATCTTGTGAGATCTCGTCCAGTCTCGCGAGAACTATCAAAATATCGCAAGAGCTTCTCTTCCGATGGCATTGGCGGATCAGATCTGGTGGGCGCTATATTCTTGCGTACTTGATCCGCCTGCCGTCTGGAGCGAAGTGGATCTGTTCTGGATCCAGTGGAATTCCTGGTTTACTCTCTGGAGTTGATCTCTTGTTCTGGTTTTGCTGTTTTCCTGCAGGTGTCGGTGCCTGTCCGTACGTCATGAACTGTAACGTCACCATCGACACCCAGGACATCGCTCTTGGCCGCAGCATCGCCACAGCCATCAGGGAGTCGACCCCAGGAGGCTTACCTGGCGTGCAGGTACTGGCTCTGCCACACGAGGGCACTGTGGAAATTGCCTGTAACGTGGAAAGCGTGAAGGGGGACCCACCCGGTCACATGACCATGAGTGAACAGTGGCCGACTTTCAGCATTGACAGCCACCCGTACTGTCACGCTCCGGCTTCCCTCATCACAGCGAGGGTCGCAGAGCTGGCGGGGAAGCAGGGGGTCACAGTAAAGGGCACGGCGCTGGTGGGGTTTACCCCTCATGAGTGCAGGGGCCTTGCAGAGTTAGCGCTGACTCAAGGGATCGCTGAGTTCTGGAAAGAGCAGCGCAGGTTTCGTATGTGATGATGACCAATTTTTCCAAACCAACCAAACCTCAAGACTGGAGCTCATCATTCTTGTGTGACGTTACGTAAAATATCACGAGTATTGACTTCCTTCCTTCCCATCTCAGCGCTGCCTGCAGTTACACAACACAACAACAGAAATTTTGGATAATTGTAAGTGAAAAAGGTTGTTTGTGGCTCACAGAAGTAGGGCGGATTTGATTTGTAGCTGTTGGCAGGCTGATGTAAGCTGGTTTCATCAGCGAGACACAGTCATTAGTTACAGTTTTTAGCTGGTTATGAAACAAACCGAGGCTGACACTGATGCCTCTTTATGACCTACAAAAGCAAACAAGACCATCAACAAGAGGGTTATTTTCATCAAGTAATATTTAATGCTGCAGCTGTCAGCGTTGGCAACTTTCATCAGTTCATTTTGACTTTTCTTCAGAAGAATATTTGTTTTGATCTCAATTCAACTTGAACACTTGAGTGATTTTGGCCAAAAGGCGTAAAATTAAAACAACAAAAACACATTTACATTTTTTACACACACAAGATTGATAAAATACAACCAACCAATCATTAAACTAGCTCTTATTGAAGTTAAAGTTTATGTGTGCTTCTGTAGTTTGCAAATCTAAAACATGAAGATTTATAACTATTAACTTACATTTTAAAGTTTATGTAAGGAATTTTTGGTTTGGATCAGTCCTGGCGCCCCCTGGTGGACAAATCAGTAATTGCTGATTTTGACCTGGAATTGTGCAGGAGGTATTTCCAGACAAATGTGTCACAGCCAAACGTGTCACTTATAAAGATTTCTTTCTAAACAAGCTTTAACAGCAGCATCCAGTATGCAATATATTTTTCGAAGGTCCTGCCTTCTTCGCCTCTGATTGGCTAGAAAAGCTGGGCTCAGATTGGTTATTCCTTTTGACTGTAAAACATCATCACATGCTCAAGCTGGGCACGGGCTGTCGGCTCTGTACATCAAACAGAACATAACAGAACATTAACACACTTCTGAATCTCCTAACCCGACAGACGAAGTTTCACAGCCATAAAGAATAACCTTTCCCTACCATCCTACGAAAAAAAATATCACATCCAGTATATCACATGATCTGACACCTACTCCCGATGGTCTTGTTTGCTTTTCGAGGTCATGAAGACACATCGTTATCAATTTTAGACAATTTCATAACCAATTAAAAACTCCTGACTGGAGCTTTAAACAGAAGTGTATGACTTGAACTTAAAGCTACTATAAGGAGATTTTAACAGGTTGTAAAACAGACTCAAATTCAATATAATGATTGTGTTTGACTTACTTAACTAGGCTTTTAACCGGAAGATTGCTTAATTCTTTACTTTTGGGATATAAACTCTAAAAAAAACACGAGAGGGGGCTAGGTGGCATGTGAAGAAAAGGACATTAATACACTTCTTATCACATTAAGTGATAAGAGGTGCTGCTTTGTCCACAGGGGGCGCCAAAATCACCCTGGAGCTTTAACTCTATGTTTGTACGTGGAGATACATGTAGACTTAATCGGTTTGTATTCTAACTTGTTTATCACTTTGACTAAATGCACAATCGGTTAAATAAAGCCGCTATCTGAATAAATTATTTATCAATTAACTCTTTTAAACCTGGTTTTATTTTCATGGAGTCAAACTGGATCAAATATTTCCACGTCCTCTGTCACACACCTGTCTGCTCAGTGCCTCAATAATCCAACGCTTGAAGAGATTTGGGTTTTTAGCCGAGAGTGTGCCGTCCCTGAAGTTAAATATGAATTTTCATACATGTGTGTGTGTGTTTATGTGTGTGTTTGTGTTTGTGTGTTATTTCCTGTTTGCAGCAAATGGGGCTCTTGTGTTTACTGATGAATCTCTGCTGATGAGTCTTTTCCCATCGTTTTCCCCCGTCAGCTTTAGTATGCATGACTCTGTGGGAGAGTCACCATCTGTGTGTGTGTTTCTCTGTGTGTATATATGTGAGTGCGTGAAACAGCTATTTTTATCACGAGTCACGGACTGAATCTTCTGGAAACATGCAGCGATTTGGCAGCGTTTCCAATGACAACTTATGACAGAACAAGTTTAGAGATATAGAATATTCTCATGGTGGTTTCCTCTCCAGAGAAGGTCCTGATGCCCTGAATTAACTCTTGAATAACGTGGGGAAGAATTTGGCCAGAGGACAGGTCAGGAATTAACTGGGGCGAGATGATTCTACTCATTTCTTATATAAGGCCAGAATAAAGCGTTGAATAGCAGCACATTCATGGAGGGAGATGTATAGATCTGAGTCATTAAAGGAGTAATAACCTCAGCTGTGTGGATGTGGGTTTAAAAAGAGAGAAATCCTTTCAAGGAGATTATTTTAAAGCATATGTGAAGGAAATTTCAGAGCCAACATCCACCTAATCTACATCCGGGGTAGAGTGGGCGCTAATCTGTTTGGCTGTACGCACAGATCTGTAGTACTAAATCTGTTTGCATCTGAATCAGACTCTGAATTTACTACCCTGTCGTTATGTTGTGTGATTTTTTTCATTTTGCAGCGTTTGAAGTTATGTAAGGTTTCCCTTTAAGGCAGAAGCGGTGCCGTTTTTTTTCATCAATGTGGATAAGCTCTCTTACCGCGCGATAATTCACCTCTTTGTATGTCATCCAGCTGAGGCTCTTAGTCACACACACACACACACGAGCGACGCAGCCATGCAGCTTCATACACAACGCTACCTCTCTTTCATGCACACACACACTCTCTTTCCTATCTTCCTCTGTTCTGCATCCAACCACGCATGCATACACACTTACTCTATGGATGACACACACACACACACACTCACGCACGTACACTCAGCCTGCCAGGCTCGGGAGCATCAAGGCCTAATCTAGGTCACAGCATAAGCCCAGAGGTATCCTGGTTTCTACACACACACACACACACACACACACTTCAGTGCACGCTTGTTTTTTTGCATCTCAAATCCATTTTGACTCGACTAATTTTCCTTCAGCTAACAGTGGAAAGATTTTAATTTTGACAAACAGACACACCTCTCCTCTGACTCTGAAGAAGAAGAGCTGGAATAAAAACATGAATTTCATATTTTCCAAAAACCCAGACCCGGTTTTCATCTCCTTCCTCCCCTTCCTCTCTGCCAAATAACCTAATTTGTAACGGCTCTCATGATTGTCACAAGGCCATCATTTCCCTGATTAAGTGCACTTTGCTGATCTCTCTGCAGCACGCCACTGAGTAAACATCCATTTAAGCCACACTTGAAGCGAACACAGAAGCCTGAACTAAATCGATTATTTTGTGTGCGATCTGCTCCAGTAAAGACGCGTACGTTCCTGCGCGTCCTGCCGCTGCTGCTGCTGCGGTTTCTGTGCATCCTCGCTGCAGAGGCACCATAGGATCCTTTTGATCTGACTTCGCCTGACAGCGTACCATCCGAGATGCGACCGTGTGTCACAGCACAGAAATAGAGGAGCTTATTTCTTTACATCAGTCTCTCCAGCCTTCTATAAATATTCCAAAGCTCTCTGTTCTCTCGCTTTTCTTTTTTTCTGTCTTGCTGCTTTCTCTGCGCTCCCCCTCCCTCTCCCTTTTTCTCCCCCCTCTCGCTCTGTTTGTCCGTTTTTTCCTGCACACTCTGCCTCCCACATCTTCCTTTTTTTCCCCTCAGCTCTTGTCGTGTAATGTGCAAAAAATATACCTCTGCTCAGGAATAAACAAAACTCACTAAGCTTTTCTTCTCTTTTACACCAATTCAGAGGAGTTTGATAAACTGCAGCTGCAAATGTGAGGTGGATTTTAGCAGGGAGGAAAAAGAGGGCGAGCAGATTTTCATCCAAAGCTTCTGTCACTTTGATGCTGCTGCTTTTCCCCCCAAATGTGAGCGCACAGTGCCATCCTCTCTAACCTATCAGTGTGGGAAGTAAGCGTGCCACCTATGAAGTCAGCAGTCCCCAACCCCCACCCTGAACACATGTTAAACATCCTCTGGGCACAGGCTGAGCGCAGCACTGAGACACAGCTGAGAATTGGAGGGAGAGAGAGAGAGAGAGGGAGGAAGGAAGCAGTGAAGTGGAAATATGGGTGAGCATCAGAGAAAGACAGAAATAGAGCGATAAAGGAGTGAATTAGGCAGAGAGAGGAAGAGAACGAGGAGGAGGAGGAGAGTGTTTGAGTGAGGCAGCGATGCTTCGTGCAGACTGGCTGGTTTTCTCGTGAGCCCTCGTCGTGCGTGGACGTGAGAATCTCATGGATTTGAGCCTCATTGGAATTCGTTGCACCTGGATTTGAAACATCTGCACTCTGAGGATGCGACCGAGGCTGGATGTTTGGATCCATGCGGGCCTGTGACGTCTGCAACCCCCTTGAGTGGCTACCTTCTTCTTCTTCTTCTTCTTCCTCTTCTTCTTCTAAGGATGTCTCCGGCAGCTCTGACCCAGATTGTGGAGCGGTGGCTCCTCGCCGCGCGCCGCTCCTCCTCGGGTGGTCTGTGAACGTGATGCTGCGGATGAGGCATGCTCTACACCTCGACCGTGAGCTCAGCCTGCTGACATCTGTCTCCGTGGTAACACACAGCAACGAGAAGGGTAAGGATGCTCTCCTCTGACCTGCACGCTTGGATTGTCAAGCTGAAGGGGGGTGGTGGTGGTTGCATGCGTGCACGTGCCCGGGTGTTGTGTTTATACATATCAAATCAGCACAGCAATGCAGACCCAGACTCACATTCTCTCTGCGTTGGTAAATTTCTTCAAACAGTGCCATATTGTGGCTGTGACGGCGAACTGTGTGTGCATGCACTATGCAGAACAGGCTCATGTTTAATGTATGACCTGCGAGATATCATGGTCAGCAACAAGTCACTGCGCTTTTCCCAAAGTGCCGAGAAAGTAGGTTAAGGATGACACAGGCGGAGAAGACCTGGATGAAAAATTCATCACTTCATTTTGGTTTCTGGAAGCGTTTGGCCTTATTCCGCCTGAAAGGAAACATGGACCTGCATGGGGAATATGTTCAGAGCTGAGGTCCTCCTCCTCCTCCTCTTCGTCTCTCTGTGGTCACTAGAGTCCAGGTCAGGTCAGTTAAGGTTAATGAAATTAGATTTAGGGCGACACATTCGAGATCAGCATATCTCCAAATACAACACTAAAGAGTTGGTCACTTTGATCAGAGGTGAGGCAGAGGTCAGCGGGTCAGCTCAGAGCAGTACTGTCTCTTCCACTCAGCGATGCCTGTCCCCTGAAGGTAACAGTAAAGGCAACACGCTGACTTTCGTCCTTTTGACTCCGATCCTGTATTTGTTTCTCTCTCTTTGATGCCGATAAAAGTAGCTTGAAGAAGATATTATAAATTCCAGTAGGTTAATGAAGCTGAATATGTAAATTCATCAGAGTAGATTGTAAACGGAGGTTTTTATAGCAGCAGCTTTTAGTATTTTGCAGCCTCAGGCCATGTGAAGCTAAAAAGGAAAGTGTTTGTACGGTGTGTTTTCAGACCACATCAGGGTTGGAATCAGAGAGGAAATACAGCAGCTTCAGCATCAGGCCTTTACGTTTACGACCTCAACACTGAAAATCAAAACTATGTGCTGAAATGCAGCGTGATGGTTTCTATAGTCTAAGTCTGCACAGTGAACACATTTACAAGAGTACATGAGTCACTCAGCATGTGTCCATGTGACCTGTTTGATGGTTTCCACAGTGTGAAGCTCCAGTTTATAAATGGTGAGAAAAGGTCTTTTCAGAGTTTGGTTTTTAGGAGGAACATGTTGGCAAGTTTAAAAATGTGAGGACATCAAAATACACCAAAAATATGAGTAACAGATAATATACACAATCATCACAGCGATTTTAAGGTCTATTAATTCCTATGGGTTGTCTGATGTGCCCAAGAAGCTCTTAGGGTTCAGAATCAGTCATGAACAGTATGACTTTCTGCTACATTAGCAAACATGTTGCTAACTTGCCTTTGTTGATGCTAAGTAACTTATTTTACCTTGTTTTACACGCTGAGTCTGAGTTATGTTCTACTAAACCTGGTTCTACATGAGTGTGTTCAGATCGTCTTTTCACTTTGATATGAAACGGGGTCAGATGTGGTCAAAGAAAGGGAAGTCTAAACAGAAGGGTAACAAAGTTAGCCTATCAGATTTCTATCAGTCCATGAGGAAATGCACTTCCTTGCACTGAACACTAGAGGCATCATCAGTGATTGTTGAATTTCAAACCCATTCAGGTTCAGGAGCCTTGTTTACTGCAGATTTATCTGTTTCCTGGTTGTTGGACTGTAGCTGATATGAATGGTCAGGTTTGGATGGCGGCTTGTTGAATGGAGGAGTGTCGTGTAATATTGTTTTTTTTAATGAATTAACTAATTAGGCTGTGGCTGAAAAACTTTGCTGTTACTGTGGCATCTTTTAATTTCCCTCAGGCACCCTTCCCAAAAGGATCAATACAGTTCCCTCTAATCTAATCACTTATCTTAACATTGGACTGCTTAAGTGTGAATCAATGTAATAAAGGCAGTTTAAGAGCAGTTAATAGGGGTTACAAGAAATAAGTTACTTTGAGATCTTTGGATTTAGTTTGAGGAAAATGTCACAGAATAAATAACCAAACAAACTCAACAAGTGCATCATGCCTCAACATACCATTTAACATCACTGTATTGTATTGGGTATAATCGTATCATATCACATCGTAACGTTTTGTAGTGTATCAAATTTAATCGCATCATATCACTTAGGATATTATCGCATGGTATCAGATTGTATCGAATTTAATCGCATCATATCGTATTGTATTGTGTCGAATTTAATCGCATCTTATCATATCGGATATAATCGCATCAGATTGTATCATATCAAATTTAATCGTATCGTATCTTATCAGAAATAATAGTATCATATTGCATCATATCCCATCCTAATGTATTGGATATATCGTATTGGATATAATCGTATAGCATCATAATATACTGTATCGTATCGGATATAATCGCATTATATTGTATTGTATTGTATTAAATTTAATCGCATCGTATCATATCGGGTATAATCATATCATATTGTATTGTATCGCATCGTAGCCTATTGTATTGGATATAATTGTACAGCATTATAACGTATTGTATCGTATCAAATTTAATCGCACTGTATCATATCAGATATAATCACATCGTATCGTTTTGTATCAGATCATATTGGATCGTATTGAATTTAATCATATTGTATTGTTATGCATGGTATCATTTTGTATCACATTGCTCTTAATCCTCTCATTGTTATGCACCTTGCTGTAGCTGACTGTATCATGTCTTCCTATATAGTTTCACATGATATGATAGTGTATTGTATTGCACCTTAACATCATATTCTATGCTACTGTATCATATTTTGGCCGTGTTATGTTGTTTCGTATCAGGACCTTAACAAACTTCAGCTCAGTATTTTTTAAGCACACCTTACACAAGAATAAGCTCCTCCTATATAATAACCTTAACATGCAAGCGTTAATTTTTTACAGTTTTAAAGCTCTCTAAATTATCATAAAACACGAAACACTAAAGTCTATTTTCTAATTTTTAAACCCCTAATTTTATAAAGCTTGTTATCAGACTGTTAAAGGTGCTCAACAGGAAGCTCCATCAGAAAGGGTTAACAGTTGAAGTGTCTTAACAGACAGCTGAGGCAGATGTGACAGCTGACAATTATAATGAATAAATAAAAGTGAACAACCATCGCCCCGTCCCCCATGGCAACAGAGTCCAACCTGTCACTTTACTGTAATTGCTCCGCTGACATGACAATCAGTTTGGAGGTAAGAGTTTGTCCGTTCTCACTGTTTCCTCCACATACTATCACTCTCAGGAGAAGAGGGCTTCATTCAGAGGAAAGACCTCTCAGAGGTTTTATCGTAGTGACACGGCTGACCTGACCTCAATGTAAGAAAAAAAAAACCTTTAAACAGGACTGGATGTACAGTCGCTCAGGGCGAGAGGATAACCATTGTCTGCTGCTGCGTCCCCTCCATGTTTGGTGCAATGAAGCAGATAGTCTAATGCATACGATTGGGAGACTGGATGCTAGCAGTGTGCAGCAGCATAAAAGGGGTCAGCATTAGCCTAAAGGTTAAAGAAATGCTTGGACAGTAAGGGTTACAGCTCTGTAGTGGTCAGGAAAACACGGTAAGAAAGGAGTAATGCTCTTTTCCAGATGATAGAGGACTCCAATCAATATGTTTTAACAGCCTGTGAGCATTTGTTTGGTTTCTATTCGTGTTTAATTTGCTTTTATTAGGATTAACCCAGTGATAAAACACATTTAAATAAATACTGCGCCCTCTCTATGGTCAACAAAAGCAAACAAACCATCATCAACAAGATAAATTATTTCTAAAAGATCATTTTTAATGTATTTTCGATGCTGCCGCTGGGAAAGTGTTAGCTGGAGTAAATTAGAGCATGCTGTGGAAAATCCTCTCTCTGTACATTTTCCACTGCAAAAGTTCACAGCAGTACTTTTGACCATTAAAAGGCAGCAGGATGAGATTTATTTAGACAGAAACTACCTCCACATGTACAGGATAAAATCAGCAAAGAGTTTTAGTGTCCTGCTTTGTCCAAAGGGGGCGCCAAAGTCGACACAAACAAGATAAAAAGGGCAGTTTTTTTCGCTAATTTACCTGTTTTTATTCTATTTATATCTTGTCTATAATGCAGCAGTAAGATTGAAAAAATGTGAAAACTTCTCAGGTCTGATTTAAAAAAAGTGCGACCAAAAAGTGAAAAAACAACACGCAGTGTAAGGGAAAAAAAAGAGAGTAAAAATAACCTCTGTATTTAGGGTTATTAGGCTGTATTATTTAGATGAAGTGAGAAAATCAATTTTATGAGATTAAAGTCATGTTGTTGAGAGAATTCAAAAGTAGTAGTACAGTCTATAATATGAAGGGAATAACAGAGCGTCTCATCGCTGCATTGTTAGGACTACACTGAGACGTGGGGTATCCCCCTTTAAAATAACATTATGCTGCTAACCCTCGACTAGATTTACAGACTTAACAACATGATATGATAACTTTAATCTCATGACATAACATAGATTTTTTTTCCTTAATAAAGCCCTAATAATCTGTCCTGAGATTTACCTGCAGAATGCTGTAAATTTTTACAGTGTCTTGCTGTATTTTAGTTGCACAGAAGTAGAAAAATAAGGGCTCATACTCCTTTCATTCACCTGTTGGCATGTGTATCACGTTGTGAATTTTTACAGTTAATGATAATAATTCTAATAAATCTCATCACTCCTTTATTAGCTCTTCTCTCTCTTCCATCAGACTGTAAACACCAGTTTTGGATACCTTTGCTGACAGCTCTTTTACTCTCCAGCTGAAACAGTCGAGAAAGGATCCTGTTCTCTGCTCTCTGTGATGTTTAGAGCAGGATGACTCTGCAGACAGAGCTGCCATCTTGTCTTTATACCAATTAGTGTGTTGTTGTTCTTCTGCTACTTCAGGTCAGAAAATAAGTGAACACAACGAAGACAACAGGTCCAACTTAATTAGCATGAACAATATTTATATGTTTAAACACGACCAACGAGTTAAATCCCATATGAGGCAGCAGTGTGAAGACTGCAGAGCTGCAGTACTCTATATATTACCAGAGGTGTTGCTTGTACTTGTTATGATTTGTCACCGGCATTACAGTAATTGTTTTTAGCTTGTTCTTGTGTGTGAAGGTTTGAGTCTTTCTCATCGTCTTTCCTGTGAGCACGGTCTCATTAAAACACCTCACTCTGCTTTGCTGTGCCTCTTCAGAGTCTGTCATTCCTTTGCACTTAAGCTCCCTCATCTAACAGTCTTATCAGCTGCTGGCTGTTTTGACACTCCTCGCTGGTACCAGGTTAGACCCCCTTTTTTTAATATTTCACGGCACATATCAAGCAGGTGCTGGAAATACTCCTCAGAGATTTTGGTCTATATTGACATAATAGTGTCACACAGCAGCAACACATTTGTCAGCTTCACATCCATGATGCAGATCTCGTGTTCCACCACATCCAAAGGTGCTCCTGCAGGGTTTAGCTTTGGTAAATATACATGTAAATGCAAAGAATATGAGGGTTTCATATAGACAACTTAATGATATAACAAAGGATTGCCATGATTTTGGCCCTTAGGCATGTATGACTCTGTCGTGGGAATCACCGCATGGGCTTAGAATTACATCCAAAAACCACCATTATACTACACTTTGCACTATTTTCAATTAAATATAAGATTTAAATGATTTGCAAACCATCAGATTCTGTTTTATCAACGTTTGGGGTTGTGATTCGAACAAACTCACAGCTGTCAGCGCTCGTTTTGACGCTCAGGTGTAAATAATAAAACGAATCGTGGCTGAATTCCAGTGAAGCGCTCCAGTTTTAACATCTCATCATGTTTGCAGCCAACTGTTAGACTTTTAAAAGCTGCTAGGACAGTTTAATAAACCAAAAGTAATGTTTAGTCTAATTAATCGTGCCTGTTTGCTTCTGCTGAGACACAGAAACTCTTCATTTTTGAATCTTTACAGGAACTATAGCTGCTAGATGCTCCATTATGTCCAACAATTACTGTTCACAACATTTGGTACAATCAGTTAATATTGTGCAGATCTTAAAGATTACTGTATACACCATTTTTATGCAATATCTACCTTTGATTAAGTGCTATTTTTAATACAGATTGCACATTACGGATTAGGATTTATTATAGCGTTAGAATAGTGCAACATAAAGACTGAGAAGACATGCATTAAACGTTGTTCCCTGTTTAATTTACCAGTATAAACATCCACACCTTCATCACAATCAGTCCTAGGTCAATATAGAGTCTGAAGCAGAGACGGAGCATCTGTGATTCGCTGAATCATCCCCTGAATAAAATAAAGTTAAATCTAAGAAACAAAACTGTAATAAATAGCTCTTCATCAAAGACTGAAGCTGATGTCTCCCTAAAAATTTGCCGCAGAACCAGATTAGAGGGCGAAAACGACAGAATGGTAACGACGTTTCTGTGAGTTTGAACCTTTTCAACATCAAGGACGCAGAAAAAATAGCTGCGCGCTAAAAATATCTTCACCGAGGACTATTTATGGACGGAAGCAGAGAGGGATGCATAAAATTACCATGTTTGCCAGACAAATTAAAACCCACTGAAGTCGATAGGTTTATCAGCTGCACCGTGAACATTTTATAGAGTTTATTATCCTTTTTTGTTGCTCTTTACGTTTGAGTATTTCATGAATTTCCGCGTGCACTTTGTGGTTACAGCTACTTGAAAAGCTCTGTGACCTTGACATAGTTGGGCGCTGAAAAGACGCCTTTCAGCTTGTATTTCTGTCCAGATTGTCTCATTTTCAGCCTTTTTTTCATCTTTGAGATCCTTACTCGGCCATATAAAGTTATATCTTTGTGCAGGTGTTATGTGCATTCAATGTTTTTATGATGCACTTCTGGAGCTACTTATGATGCTTGTTGTGTAACTCGTGAATCTCTCAGTGCTAATTGGGACGGAGATGGCCTTAGTGCGTTTTCGTCCACCTTTTCAGATGAGGTTTATTCCAACTAAATTTAGAGTTTGTTACTTCAATAAAAAACAGTGAAATACCTTAAACACTGGATTGTCATGAGTTATACTGCAGCAGTTCAGTGACATTTAAAATCACAGTTTTGTTGATTCTCAGACTAAATTTAGCCCCACAGATCACAACAATATTCAACGTATTTTTCCACAACTCCCTGTAGCGGTATAACAATATTGCTTTCACTTCTCTTGCATAACAAAAAAAAGAGGCGCAGATATTTCCTTGTAAATACAAACTGTAATAAAGTTAGTGTATATGTGTTAACTTGAGCCTCTGTTGTACCTCATCACAACCCTCAGAGCTGGCACTACATCTTAGACTCTGACCAAACATTCACTCGTGTTTCAGATTTAAAATGATTATAAAAGCAGAAGTTTACCAACTGATTGAATGAACAAGAACATAAAAAAATGTTGGTTAGTTAATTTTGAGCGTCTGTTTTAGGTCATCTGCTCAGTGCACGCCTCAAATTTACTTCTGTAGCCTTAGAGTACAGAGTCTTATCCTCCGGCCGGATGCAGATTCACAAACCGATTTTGTCTTTATGGAAATATTTATGTCTTTTATTCACCCTAAAATGTCTCTCAGTGGTTTAAAACTCACAAATCAGTCTTATTCTGCGTCGAGCCACAGCCCAAAGCTGACTCAGACCTCCTGACACTCCCTGCAGGGTGCTGTCTCAACACTGTTTAATCACAAATCAAACCACATTAAGCTTTTCTGTCAAAATACAGCTGAATTTAAAGGGCTTAAAACCATGTAACAGGCCATTTAAAATCACAGCGGGGGCAAATAGAATAAAATGAAATTAAAAAAGAAGGTCTAGTTATGACAATTTTGAGATAGTAAAGAGTACAGAGCAAATCTGTATACTAGAAATAGTGAAAAGGAGCTGAAAACAAGTCAGCACAGAGTGAAAGTTCACCAAATACACAAGTAAGGTTTTCTCCAACTTTCAGGGCTGCAGTTTAGAGTCAAAAGGAGCAGAAAACAAGTCAAACTCCAACAAGATAAAGAGTGTAAAGGATAAAATATCTTATATGAAACTAAATAAATTGGTTTTCTTTTAAAGTTTTAATACATGAAGTCAGATGTCAGAAGTCTTTGACCACAAATCAGATCAAATCAACCTGTTGCAGAGAAATGATCGTATTAATGATAGTGTTTATTTGATATAAGTTGTTGCAGTACATACAGGAAGATATTCAGCAGGCAGAACCGGGATATAAGGATAGAAATTCAGAGTTATTTGTGTCTTTAAAAGTGCAGAGTGACTGTTTGTTTGTCCTGAGTACTCAGCAGACGTCTGCTCTCCCCTCCTGAGGTTGATGTTTACGAGTGTGAAAGTACCTTCAGTTTCCATTTTAAAGCTACATTATTACTCACGGCACAGCTTGAGCCGAGCGTAACAGTCATAAGAGCGGCCTGCCCGTCTATCAGCAGGATGTGATTTAGAGGAGAAGTATGTGTTTATTAAATACCCAGGGGGCAAAATCTGAGCGGCGTCCTGTCTTAATTCCCTCCAACATCAATGCCTGAGGCTGAGCTGCTGGTGTGATTATACTAATTTAGCCTCCCACCCACCCAAAGGAAGACATGTAATTACACTGTTTACACTGCAGAGCTTTCCTCGCTGAGACGTCCACGAGTAAACACACCGAGACTTGTTTTTCCTCGGGACTCGACTCATTATGACAGAAAAGTGCGAGAAATGTCAGACTGTGTTGCAGAGAATATTAACTCGTCTCACAGAGCGTTAGGAGATTTAGAGGCCGGTAAACAGACGGGATGATGTTAACGAACTTCATAAATCACAGACCTGTTTAACTGTAATGGTTACATCACTTTCAGTTTACAGTTACAACAGCTTAATGTGGTTCAGATGAGGAGATAACTGCCAGACATGTGCTTATTTTCTTTGTCCACATGAGTATTTAAAGCTCCTGTAAGGAATTTTGTTTGTTTTGATGTTGGCGCCCCCTGTGGACAAAGTAATAGCCTACCGATTATCCTGTCGCTGCACTCCTCCTTTATATGTAAATTGTGTTTATTGACAAAAATCCCATCCTGTTTTTATCCCATTTTCTCTCCCTGTTTTGCTGACTGTGGCTCTTGTGGCTTGATATGATCAAAGTGGAGTTTCAGTGAAAATCTGAACGACTCTGCAGAAAGATGTGTTATTAACGGGCTAAACTGTCCAAGAGGAAACTCTACATGTGTGACAGAGGCACAGATTTAAATCAGTCACTCTTCAGAATAATACTGTGTCGCTCGTCAATGATTCGCTCCAAAGAACCGAATCTTTTAAGTTAATGTAATGAACCAAATCCCCCCCTCAAATGATTCGTTTGTTTCTCACTAGTTCAGTAATACTCACTTAAGTATTGTGTCGTTCACGAATGATTCCTTCAAAGGAACTGAATCTTTTAAGTGAACGTACTGAACGGAACCCCCCCCAAATGATTCGTTCATTTCTCACCTGTTCAGTATTGTGTTCAGTTCAGTAATACTCACTTCAGTAATGTGTCGTTCACAAATGATTTGTTCAAAGGAACTGAATCTTATAAGAGAACGTACTGAACAGAATCACTTCCTCAAGCGATTCGTTTGTTTCTCACTTCAGTTCAGTATTGTGCTCAGTTCAGTAATACTCAATTCAGTATTGTGTCGTTCAAGAATGATTCGTTCAAAGGAACCAAAGTGAATGTACTGAATAGAATCACTTCCTCAAGTGATTCGTTTGTTTCTCACTTAAGTTGAGCTGACAGCAGCACAGCTTCCATGGCACGCAGCATTGCCGAGCGAGCGAGGGACTGCACACGCCGTCGCCGGAATCACTTGGTGAACGAATCATTCAGTGAACTACACTCTCTGGAATCATTTTTGTCTGAGGGAAACACTTTCATGTTGACTGTTGTTCAGGGAATTTTTCACTGAATGTACCGTGGGGTAAACGATCATTGAAAGAATCACTCACTGAGCCCAATTTACCGAGTAGATAGATAGAATACCACAGGACAGTACACTTAAAACTTCATTGATTTGGTGATTTGGTGAACGAATCTTTTGAACAAATCTTTTTAGTGAACTGATTCTAGTTACTCATTACATCTAAAAGAACTGCCATGGCCATCACTACTTCAGACAGATGTGTGTTTGTAATATGAATCTGTTATAACTGTGAAAACATAAAATAAAAGCCGTCATCTGTCATCATGAACCTTCAAAGACTACTCCTCTAAACACGTGATCTTTCCGATGCGCTTCAAAGTTACAGCTTTTTGTTCGACTGTCTGGTCCAGACCTATTTTAAGGTTCGTTTCAGACCAATTTTAAGGCCCAGTGGTTTTTCCTCAGATGCTGCTTTAGCCTCTGTGAGTAAAGGCCAGTTTTTCAGGGCCTCAGGTGTAGCCAGGAGCCAACACTAAAGAGCTTCAGGCTGAGACTCTTTGTCTGTGCGTCGCCTTTGTTTCCAGCTCAACAAACAGCTTCAGAAACAGGAGCGGAGTTTGAGTTTAGAGACAACAACCAGGAGAGGATTATTAACTGTGTTTACATGTTTGCATCCAGATATCAGTGCACAGAAATGAAAAACTGCTGCTCTTGTAGTTTAAAGGTAAACATACCCTCATACTTTGCACCAAAATGACTTCTTCTGTCCTGTGGTGCAGGTATCCTAATTTCAGTGTATTTCTGAGGTACCCACTCGAGGCCAGCTCCAAATTAGTACCGTGGAGGGGGAGGGGCTTATGCACACGTTTGCAAAACTGAGTCTCAGCTGACTGACAGGTGGGTGGTTATAGCTGTCTGTCTGCTCCACCTGTGTCTCCATCAGAGGTTGCTCAGAAAAGCTAGGATGAGTCAGCAGTTCTGGTTAGCCATGGTCGGGCTCAGACTGTGGGATTCTGCAGCTCAGAGATAAGTCAGACAATAATACCTGGACCACACAGTCACATCTAAACATTATCAAGTCTACCTATAGAGTCTGTATTCTTATTTAGGATCTGTAAATGGAGATTTATGTCTGTTCGTAGGACAGCATTGTTCCTGTCTGCAGCAGAAAGCTGTAAAAAAAACAAAAACACTGTTTAAGTCGTTTTAAAGCTCCTGTGAGGTTTTTTTAACTGATCATGAGACAGACTCAAATGAACCCTGGTGATCCTTTAGACAAACAAAAGTTAAAGACTGTCACCAAAACTGTTTATTTTTTTACTATGTAGTTGTTATAAATGCCATAAAATAGTAGTTTTAGGGTAGGTGTCAGATAAAGTGATCATTTTCATGCTGGTAGAACACAATTTTAATTTTTTAAATAGCCTAGATTCTGGAAAAAATTTACTGTAAAAGAAATCAGATGAAAAAAGACAAGCTGCTTAAACGTCTTTGGTCCTCATAAGTAAAACAAACCAAAAGCTCCTTACAGTAGCTTTAAAAAAAGAGACTTTTTATTTCTGTTTTTAATATTCTTCTTTTATGTAAGCCTAAAGTTAGCAGGGTTGAAATGAAAAAGGAAACGTTAAAGTAAAAATTCTTTCTCTTAGTTGGGCTCATACTGAAAATGTGACTTTTTGTTTGAGATGAAACTATTTAAAAAACTAAAAAGCAAATGCTGTTTTTCTTTAATGTATTAATAATAATGTCAAGGAATATGCCTCCTTGGAGATAAGGATTAAATTGACATTGGATGGATAAATATTTGGCTTTTATTCTGAAAACTAAAAACCATTTTTTAGATTTTGCATCTGAATTTTGAACTTTGTAAGTTTTCATTTCCACCGTTTCTTTAGCTGCTGTGTTCTTGAACCTTTTTACCCGGAGTAGTTTTATAATTTCTCAAACTTTAAGTTTGATATGAGAGTAAAATCTGTCCTCATGTTTACTCCTGTGGACTTTATCAGAGGAGCATGAACACAGTACCGCATTAAGACGAGCATTTGCCCTGTTTCTGTCTAGTTTTTGTTTTAAACTTGAATTTGTTGTCGATTATTTTCAGACAGAACTTTTATTATCCTAATTATCCACAATCCACTCACTGAACCTTTTCTATCTCTGTCTCTGTTTGCAGTGAGAGTCTTTATTTCTGTTCTTGTTGAGGATTGAGGGTTGAATGAAACTCACTGATGAACACAGTCTGACCTCTGTTGGTAATTGTCGAATAAACACAGTGGTGAGACGTTGTCTGAGGAACCTTTTGTCTCTGTGTGCAGACAGAGAAAAGGACCTTTCAGTGTCAGTGGGTTCATAATGGAGAGCAGTGACACCACAGTGTTTTATGAATGCTTTAATAGTAAATTCAACAATCCTTAAGATTGATTCGACACGCTTTGACCTCAGAGAGGCTCATTTCTGTTTTGTATAATAACAAACTTCCTCTCCTAAATGGATGATTGTTGTTTATTTGCCACATGAGGATCACATGACTCGCTCAATCGCACCATGTGACTCAGCAGCAGCAGCACCAGCAGCAGTATGGGTCTGATGTGTAACATGGCTGCAGGCAGCAGCATCTTCTCTACCTTCTCTCTCTGTTTCACATCTGCAGAGAAAACTGACACAGGAATAAACACACGGTTTTCAAGAGACAGGTGAGAGGAGCAGGGTGAGGAAAGTGAATGAGGAGCGCCATCTGCTGGTCTGATCATGAGCAACAACCTGGTGCTTAAATTGATCTTATTGGATATAATTCAGGGACAGAAACTAGAGCGCTTTCTTTGGCCAGTTTTGTTAGTAGAGTATGAAGTGTGTATTTATTTAGAGTGAAGTCATACAGGGAGTCAAAACACGTCCTTTAAATTTGACTCAGATTTCTGACACGACTGAAATCTCAGAGTTTTCATCTTATTTCTGGTCAAATTTGTCTCATTAAAGCTTCACTTTATCCACATTCAGCTGAAAAGTCTGGAAACATGTATTTTTAAAGACATTACAGGTCAAAACTGGAAACTGAATTTCTTCTAATCGACCGAATGAATAAAAAATATGTATTTTCAGATTTCCTGTATAAGAATTAAGTTTCTTGATACAAGAAAATGTTTTATTTTAGGTCAATTTTAGTTTAAATTGTTTAAATTTTAGGTCAATTTTCCCTTTTTCCGACTATTTTTCTTTACTTATTCTACTCACACCTGATAATCCAGGTCTGTTTTGAAGCATAAAATCTCTTTAAAATGACATTTTTCTAGATTTAACTGAAGAATTTGGCTAAAAAGGATATTCAAAAAGAAAATATATTAAAATAAGACAATAATCTTCTTGATTTATGTGCTTTTTTGCAGACAAGATTTATTATTCAGTTCAGTTGTATTGCTCTCCGTTTTTTGGGCGTCAAAGTTTTTATGAAGAAATATACAAAATGAGAATAGTTAATAAGCTAAATATCACAGTAAAGCATGTTTCAGGTAAAATGGAAAATATGCAAAACTTCTATAATCTTGTTTTTTTTTTTTTCGTCAAAGCTGCAGAAATTACACATCTTAGAGCCTCACTGTTGTACTGATCTGAAATCACCACTAGAGAGCAGTGCTGATTCAAAGTTACATTTTTCGGTTAGACACCTGAAAGTTTTTTTTCCCTAGTACTGTGGAGTAATACCTCCTCCAAACAGAAAGGATCAGTCTTTTTACAAGCTGTTAAAACCCTCATTGACTTTATCTGAATCCTGAATCCAGAGGGACCATCCATTAACTGCATCTATAAGGTTGTTTATGCAGAAACTGTGTCGAGCTGTTATATATAATCTCATTAATATTTGTGAGACATTAATATATATGTGGTCACTGAAATAATAACAGGGTTATCCATTCTGACACGTCTAGTTAATATCCTCTGCCTTATCTTATAAAATAATCATTATATCCTCATGACCTTTGACCCTCCAGCTCCTAAATCTGCCCTGAAAACACAGCTGTGCAATTCTTCATTTGTTGCAAGACAAAGCTCTGTCAGATGTTAGTAAATGTGAAGTTTCTGAATCAAAAGTTCTGAGTTTTCCTCAAATAAACTGGAATAATGAGCAGATGTGACCTCTCGCTCTGGCGACATCTGCACAGTTTAGAAATATAAAGAGAAATCTGCTTTCAGTTCAGTTTAGAGAAGAAAGTCTTTTATAAAAGTATTACCCGATCCATCATACTTTGTATCTGTTGTTTTGGATCAGACTTTGCAAAAAACATCAATTTCTCATCAACTATTAAAACATAAAACCTGAATTTGTTGCTCTGATGAAGGTTAAAACCTGCAAAGACTGAAAAAAATCACCAAGGTCAGAAAAAATATACAAGTGCAGAATAAAAATGAGTAAATTATAGAGCTGGTTGTTAAATTCAAGCTTTAATTTCAGGGCAGCAACACTGCAGGATGGAGAAGAGCTGATGTTTATGACTCATATACCGAGTCACAAACATTTGGCCTGAAGCTCGGACAGAAACAGAGCGAGGGAAAAAAATAACAAGAGTGATAATTTCTGGAAATGACCGAGAACATTATCGCCGACCTCTTCATATCTCTCTCTGACTGCGACTCAAACAAAGTCAGGATTCAGTAAGAATGAATGAATTAAAGACACATTTTGGAAACTTTTCACTAATTAATGTCACGTCTGTTAAACATTGTGCTAAAGAAAAACTGGCTGCAGCTACTGAACATTTCCTGACAGGTAAACACCCGCAGGACGAGTCAGAAGATAATTTACTCATTAAAACATGAACAGCACCTGAACTTTTGATGCCATAACAGCATGAGGGCATCTCAGAGGTTTCAAACACACAGGTGCTCGGTTTCAAAATGACAGCTCACCCAAAGGCCCCGCTTAAATGTCACAAAGAGGGAGGTTGTAAACTCACAGCCTGTCAGCTGAGGGGAAAACATGGATGTGGACGTTAATCCAAAACTACAGAGCAGAGGTGAAGAGAGGCCAGGACACGGCGCGCACAGTAAACTCACCGGAAACTGTAGAGAGAGAGAGAGAGAGTGTGCATGAACAGATGTACTGTATCTTTGAAATCTTCAGTGGGATTATTAAATGCAAGATTAACAACAAACTAACTGTGTTTACTTCTCTCCCCTGCAGCTACGCCACCAGAGCTGATCCACAATAATAATCCCCAGCTGGAGAACAAACAGCATCTGGGCCAGGAGAGGAAGGAGCGGGAGGAGTCTCAGCAGGGAGGGCGGCAGATGGTTACACTGCAGCAGCACTTCTCCAGGTAACACCAGACTCTGACAGACATTTAGACTCTGACTGACGCCGGACATCAACACAAACACTGACAGAGATTAAAGAGAACTTTATCGATCGTTCACATCAAGGTCTGTTTACACGTCTTGGAAGTAACATTGCTTATGTGAAAAAAAAATACAGTATAAAGATTTTGCTGCTCCAACGGGAGCTGCAAAAAAAGATGGATGATGTTTATTGCAGCTCTTTGCATGAAAATTAAATAAAAATCTGTGCATGAAGTTTGGAAAAAGTTAACTTCTGCAGCTTATCTTCATGTGGAATTAAAATAAAGCTCTTTTTTGGAGTTTATTGGTTTGTTATGAAACAGACTGGGATTTATAATGATGTCTGTATGAGTTGAAAAGTTATCTCAAGACATTTTCCTGGCACAGGCCGCACTGTGAAGCAAGTTTATCACGTTCTCCGACTCAAAACTCTGAGTTGCTTTGAGCCTCTAAACTCAGGGGTGACAACATACAAATAACAAACTTAGAGGAGTTTCTTTTTGGCAGATCATCATATTTAGGAAGCACAAACTATAATATTTCATCTCTACTTGTACGCTCCATATTTACCTGTAACCTGAAGATATTTTGGCACAGATCACCTTTTTTGCCCGAAGCTCAAACTACTTTTCCGTCTATTTGTAAAACTCTTATCCTCTTGGCACTATCTCCATCTCTGCAGAGTGATATCAGGAACTTTCTTTTAGGTACACCGCTCCAGAAAAGTTTCCTCGCTATCGCATCAGCTCATAGCTCGTTGGGTTTCAGCCAGCGGCCACACAATCGAATGACTAAACTCTGCAGGACAGAAACAAACACCCATCCATCACGGGCCAAACACCAAATGTGATGAACTGCTGAGCCTCTGCGGTGACTTTTAACATTTTCATTAACTTAAGAGCCCTCTTCATGTGGAGATTGTCTTTAAGAGAAAAAGATCGACTCCGTTTTATTGAAGTAGCCAACACTTAAACCTGATAGGAAGTGTCAACCTCCTGCAGAGAGAACCTACTAATGCGTTGCCACTTTATTGATCCTCAGCCCAGCGTGAAATAATAACCAAGCATTAAGTCCAGCCAACTGTTAGGCAGCCGACGGCCCCTCGTGAGCCGAGTTCGATCCCATCTGCATTTGCTCAGCGGGCTGTGAGATTACCCCGATGATATGTGACTGTGAATTAATTCACTCCTGTCATGCAGAAGATATCTGGACTGCAGCCCGATATTAAGGGAAATTAGAAATTAGAGTTTTTTTTTTTAATCTCTCCGAGTGGTTAGCATAAAGTGATGGGTCAGTCAGCTGTGGAGCACAAACTTTACCACAAAAAAAAAAGGGAGTCTTAAAAAGTAGCAGGGGTTGGTGACTGGTGGATAAAGTTTCCATGAACTTCACATTCATTTAAATCCTCACATCCTCTCAGTCTGTAGGAAAAAATCAAACAAAAACTTCCAAATGAAAGATACCGTCATGAACAGTGAGTGAAAAAGGGCAAAGGTGACATGGTTCGATAAAAGTAAAAATAGGGTCACCATATTCTGGCTTCCCAAAAAGAGGGCACAACTACGTGGGGGCGGAGTCACAGAATCGCACAAAGTTAATTTTGAGGGCTCTATTTTCATGCCCGCCGGCAGCACGGCAGAGGGTGGCGCACCCCGCACAGTGGTATTTTGTCTGGCGGAGCCTGACGCACAGCCAGTTTGGTATTTTTGTAGACTGAGGGGAGGTGTCGACAGAATTAGCTGGTGCAGGGTGCCCTCCACAGCGCTTACACTTGTTGAGGGGCTGCCTTCTGTCGCCATCGTGTGGCGTTTCTGTCTTCAGCCATCTCTTGATCTCTTTGACTACTTCACGAAAACTGTAATACCCCTCGTCGATGGCGGATTTAAAGTTGAGTAGAGAAGCTGATGTGATTGGCGAAAACAGGTCTCCGCTTTGTTAAACCCACTCCACGCCTTATCTCCTCCCTCTCTATGACTTACGCCGCTGGGAGGAGCTGAGTTAGGGAGGGGGGATACTCACGCCGAAGTATGCTGAAATATCAACTCATAGCTCCTACTGTTAATCAAAGGTGTTCCCCAAGGCTCGGTTCTGGGCCCAGTCTTAATTACTCTGCCTCCTCTTTAGAAATTGGCAGTAATATCCGACATTATGCCGATGATACATTTCTGTGTTGTCCTGCTGGCCAAGCAACATGGTGTTCCCCTTTATAATTGATAAATGTTATCAATAAGGCTGAGGATGATTGCAAAGAGGTCGTCTTTGTTGCTAAGCAGTCTCATCACACTCTAAGATTCCCACCGGGTCCTCTCCTCTCCACAGATAATCCCTCACTCTCTCTTTCTTGCCGTCTGATCCTGAAAAGCAGCTCTTTAAAAACAGAAAATGACAATAGCAATGAGAAAGTTTGCCCTTCTAACACCAACGTCTGTATATTTATATCCCTAACCTGTCTATGAGGGTGCAGCTGTTGTTAATGCTAACATCAGATTGGATTGTTTGTAGTTATAATCATGTTTCACTGAGCGACCCACTCAAAGCAACCTTTTTAAAGCAAACCCCGACTGTCAGCGTTCAGATTCTCATTTTCCGGTGGCATTTCTTCTAAGCCGCAGTCTCTGAGGACGCCAAAGTGATGTGTGTGTGTGAAGCTCTGGAGGATGCTACGGGTCTCATATTTTATTTACAGAAAGTTGAATCTACTGTGAAGTTTTTTGTTATATCCTAACATAAAAGTCCTGGGTAGTTTCAAATTGATTACATGGATCAATAACTGCTGTAAAAGCTCAGACGAAACATCGAATCAGATTTGAATAAAGCTCAAAATTTCATCCTTCACAATGAATATCGGGAAGAAAATACAGTTATTTCAACTAAAATCTGCAGGTATAGAGACGTTAGTGATATTAGTAATGATTTTCTCATTTAATATATTGTATTATAGTGCTTTATTGTACTTAAATCAATGTGAAACTGCAGGAGTATTGTCTCCCCATGTAAAGCCCATACGCTCTGTTCATTGACATAAGTAAAAGGTTGCATTACTATATGTGGAGGAATCTAGGCCGTGTATTTGTTCACGATAAACTCACTGTCCTGATTTGAAAAGTGTTGCTGAAGGCGAAATGTCAGGAAGCTGCAGAAAAAGAAAACCCTGTGGTATTAAGAAAAGACAAGTATCTATGCAGAGTCACTGAAGCAGTATCATACACAGACTGTAAACATACGCATGGCTGAGCATTTGTGTCTGCTTATATAAAGAGCACTGGAAGTGTTCCTGTTAGACAGAGTGTATATGAAGTCTTACTGGGGAAGTTTAACAACTGAGAGAATGACAAAACCCAAAAGCTCATGTATGGAGGTTTATGTTACTACAAGCCCAAAAGTTGGATATTTATGCCTCTGAAATATCTCAGAGGTGTTACAGAGGTGAAATGGGATGGCAGAGCAGTCAGGGCAGAACAGCTGTGTGTGTGTGTTTGTGTGTGTGAGCATGTTTACTGTCTCCACACACCAAGCATGAGTAAAATCATTTGCGCGAATGAATTGCATGTTAAGTCAATGCAAAGATGCGATTAAACTCTCCTACTACTCTTGCGGCGCGAATGACGCGAATTGAGCGGAAGCTGAAAATGTCTCATCTTGAGCGGATATTTGCGTCACGGTAACTAATCAGCACAAAGGTTTCCAGGTGACGTGTGAAAACGGACGGTTGTTCACTGGTATCAAAAACGGAGTACAAACTGATCGATTGAATTGGCAGGGATTACTGTTGAAATTACTGTCAGTGGCTTTGACGGGCGATGGAAGCAAGTAAATACTATTCATTCACGCATCTAGATTCGTGCAAATTAAGCGAGTAGCTAGATGATTTTACTTGCGCTTGGTGTGAGCACCCCATTAAAGTTTCTATGGTGCTCCTACTGTGTGTTGACTCCAGGCTTCTGCAATGTGAAATACCCCAATATTACACATTTGCAGGATTGATCCAAAAAGTACAAAGAGAAGACGACGGTAGAGCTTTGTCTCAGTGACGCTCGTTGTCTGCAGCTAAGGGGGTTTTTACACCTACGTCGTTTGGTCCACGGTGTGAGAGGTGTGATAGGTGTGAAACCTCCCCAGGACCTTGGTCCAGACCAAACAGCCAGACCTTGGTCTGACTAAAAGAGGTGGTCTCAGTCCGGGCCAAACTGAACCAAAGTCTGGTTTCGAAAGGTTTGGCCTTTTGTACCAAAGACAGGAAATGACGCGAGGAGTAGAAGTTTTCATTATTATGTTGAAAGGAGCTTGTCCGATAACAGGAAATTTTATTATATCGTAGATAAAGTTAGACCTCAGTAATGACAGCTTATCTTTTCAGGAGTTTTACTACACATACTGTTCTCCTGAGTCGGTGTTGCAATGACTCGCAGGATTTCATCCTTTCTTTTCCTTTCCTGTCGATGTCGACAAAGTTGTCGTCTAATGATCAAACTCATGAGACTTCCTCGGACCAGCCTCATGTTCAGCTCTTCAAGTTGTCGCTGTTGGAGGCAGAAAATCTAAAATAGTACGATAGTGAGAGTGACAACTTCATCATTCAAGACCGGTCAGATGCCCGTTGGCCTAATGACCAATCAGTGTAAACTACAGAGACACGCAAAGCACATAGTTGATGACGATATCACGTAGGTTCGTTATGTAAAGTCGGTTAGTCTGTTTGGACCAGACTGGTTCGGATCTTGGTCCAAACTTTCAGGTGTGAAAACAACCTAAAACTCTGCTCCCATGTGTTCATTATATCCAAACGTCTTTTTAGTACATCCTCCAAAGTCCCCAAAAAACTCCATCTCTATTTAGAGCTCAGCAGCTGGTCCACTCACTCCCCTGACCTGGTCACCCCCTCCCCCAGAACCTCCACCAGCTCCCTGTTCCCCAACGCATCCAACTCCTCACAAAGCCCTCCATAACCTGGACCCTGCTTCACTCCCATATCTCCTCCTGCAGTCACTGCTCCTTTGAAGTCGACCTCGACACTCCAGGTCCTGAAGTCCACATCCCAAAGTGTCCTCAGGTGAGACACTTGACCTCACCTGAGTGAAAACTGATGGACTCTTTAGGATCCATTATTAAAACATTGAATTGTTCAGCTCATATTGATCCACTCGTCTCTGGTGTTGACCTTGTTATGCAGAGTTAACAACCGTTGTTAAGAGGTTGTCAAGGGATTTAGACCAATCAGGATCAAGTATTTAACACAGCTGGGTGATCAGGAAGAAAGCAGGGTAATAATATAAAATAATGAAGCTTTGTGTTCATGAAGGTCACGATCAGCTGATCCCTCCTCCTCCTCCTCCTCTCCAGTTTGAAAGCTTGTTTGTACCTCTGTGGGGGATTTTGTAGTCCCCTCTTAGGACAGCCGTAACGCGCTGTTTGGCGAACCTGGAGCGCACTTAGCGGATGATTTAGTGCCAAGTGGAGCTGTTTTGCTATTTGGCAATCAATGATCAGAGTCTATGACGAGTGTTTCTGAGTGAATGTCAAAAAAAACACAAATACTGTTTTTGTTTTGACATCGAAGTCGGCTTCTAACAGCCAAAAGTTGTTGGTATCTTTCAGGCGTGTCTTTGCTGTGCCATGTATGATTGTTGAACTAAATTTGCAGGTTAAAGCGAGTTTATTATTAAAAGGAAGTGTGAGTGTTAAATCTGTTTTTAAATCTGTCTCTCGTGAGCGTTTTCATCGAGGCCAACAAGCGCAGCGCAACTTGATAAGTCCTTGGTCTTAATCGTTTGAGTCGGAGCCAAACAAAAATTCATTCAGCTGCACATCTGAAAAGACGCTGAACACAGAGGAACAATTGGACCGCAGACGTTTCTCCTGCCAAACTGCAGTCATGAGACCGGGATGGAGAGTACGAGGCCTTGTTAGAGTGAAGCCAGACAGGGTGGGAACTTGTTTTTCCCCTTTTTGAGAGCACTCAGCTGCACATTATGTCCCACACGGTCCACAGGGAGACCAACAGACCCATTTTCCATCAGCCAATCACAAACACAGAGCGGTGACTAACGCTGGGCCGAGGGCGCAGAGGACCCGTGCGGTTTGCCTCGTTTTAAATGACCGGCACTGGAGACAGTCAGTAGGAGAGCAGCATGGGGTGAGTGACGACCGAGAGGGAAGAACGTGTGAGCGGTGGATGAAATATTCCTGAGAATAACATGAATTTTAAGAGGGAGCAGGTGGATTTGTTGGAGTTCAAGAAGAGTGAACCTGATGGGCTCAAACTCCCAGGAGAGACAGCTGTTTTCAGGAACTTGAATTATTGTACAGAGTTCTACTACGCTGAGGCTGAGATGCTGAAAAATTTAACAAAATCACACAGAAGTGAAGAGATTTGAGGGTTTGGTGAACAGGATAAACATCTTCTTTATGTCAAAATCAAGCAGAAGTGATTGTTGGTTGTAAAAGATGGTCACACAACTTACTGGTTCAGCTCAGTTTGAGTCTTGGTTTGTTGTTCTGAACTGAAACATAATCTGCTTTAACACCAAGCTTTTTGTTTGTTTTTTTGACCTTGAAGAGGGAATCCATCACCTTAAAGGGATATTCCAGCGTAAAATTTATTTAGGGTCAAACACACCATAACACCGAGTTAGACACCCCGTCTAGAGATGAATGTTGCCGGCTGCTTGCTTCTCTAGTTATACCAACTTTAGTAATGACCTCAGGATAGCAATACACAGCGGTCTGAGGAGCCACGTGCTCAACCAAAACGCCACTCTATAGCCACAAATAATGCTCAGAACAGCACCTAACTTCATCAACAGGACATATAGGGTCCCAGCCATAGTACTAGACACCAAACATCTTTTTAACTTTGACTGATTTCTTTAGCAAAGAGACTAAACACAACTCACCTACTCTCTTCCAGCGTCTGCTTGTTTGTAGTGAGACCTCGGGCCAGTCCATTATGGACTACAGCGGGGTGACGCAGCTCAAGGAAGAACATTTATGATAATTTCTTAATGGAAATAAAATCAGACAGAGACACTAAGGCAGTAGACATGTCAGCAGTGCAAATTGATTAATATGGTGATTATTACTTCAAGGAAATGATAAAGAAATGATCATAAATGTTCTTCCTTGAGCTGCGTCACCCCGCTGTAGTCTGTAATGGACTGGCCTGAGGTCTCTCTACAAACAAGCAGCTGCTGGAAGAGAGTAGGTGAGTTGTGTTTAGTCTCTTTGCTAAAGAAATTAGTCAAAGTTAAAAAGATGTTTGGTGTCTAGTACTATGTCTGTGACCCTATATGTCCTGTTGATGAAGTTAGGTGCTGGTCTGAGCATTATTTGTGGCTATAGAGTGGCGTTTTGGTTGAGCGCGTGGCTCTCTGTATTACTATACTGCGGTCGTTACTAAAGTTGGTATAACTAGAGAAGCAAGCGGTCGGCAACATTCATCTCTTGAGGGGGGGTGTCTAACTCAGTGTTACAGTGTGTTTGACCCTAAATTAATTTTACACCGAAATATCCCTTTAATATTTCACTAAATTGCACTAATATATTAGTGTAGAAGCTCAGGTGAGAGAAATGTAAAAAATTTTAGTGTTGTTGCTTTATCACCACAGCTTCACCAAAGAGATCAGGAGTTTACAGTTGCCTACATCCCTGTCAGAGAAGGTTGAGGTCCAGTGTCTCCTCAGGCTGCTCTCACAGCTGTGCTTACTAAGTGTCATCATGTCCTCACACTGAGATAGAAACTCATGAATTTGCCACAGTGTCAACAAGCAGAGGTGCAAAAATCAAAACTTCCATCATTCTGTGTTGAAGAAGAAGACTTCAAAATAAGGTTCAGGACCATGACCTGAGAGTTAACGGAGCTCTTTTACTTCTTTACAACGAGGGGTTTGTTATGGATTCATCAGTCAAGGTTGGAGCTGAACTCTAAACCCTCGACTGTATTTGCTGCTCTTGGATTTCACCTCTTCATTTTCCACTATGAGGACTCCCTCTCCAACTTTCAGAGCAGTTATCTCCCCCTCCCCGCCGCTTTCATTTAGTCCGAGTTTGTTTCAGGTCAGCGGCGGTGTCTCGGGGCAGGAATGCCAATGATGTGCTCGCAGTCAGCAGCTTGTGCTAATGGCAGCGCCGCATGAATCAAAGTGGGGGTAGAAGCTGCTCTGGAAGTGACAGGGCAAAATGTCACTGCATACAATATTACGAGGAACATGGTCAGTGTCTATCAAGCGTCCACAGCTGGAGGGGAAACAATAACAAAATCACAAAGAGGGAGCGTGCGCTGACACGGCGAAGGACGGTTAAATCAACGTCAAGTTTGGATTGTTTGAAGACATATTAATGAGGACGGTCTGAATGTTGAAGTCAACTTAAACACATAAAAACCTGACATGCACTTCCTCTGGAGAGTTATTTTATGACTCTGTTCGCAGCATGTTTGAGGAAAAGGTTGATCATTTTAGTCTGCGGTGAAACTTTAAAACCTCACTATGTTTGTTTTGAAAATTTAAAAAAAAGGAGATTAAAGCACAGATTAGAAAAACTTCACTTTTCTCCCTCACTTCTGCCAGATTTATTATCATCTTGTGGGTTGTTGTTTTGTTTTCTCGCTCGCAGCGTCACTGTTTTAACTCTCTTTCTGTTTTTATCACAGCAGGGGGCAGATTCTCGTTAAGGTTTCTGAAAAAATTCACCTTTTACTCCGAACAAATTAAGTAACTTACAAGGAGATGGAGAGGAGTGTTCAGTGACTAAGAGGCCAAACATTTCCTCTTTCTTTATCATTTATTTAAAGCCTGAAAACATCATGAAGGGGTAGAGGTCGGACTAGATGATTGACGGCACAACTTTTTTTTACATGTTCAACAGAAAACATGAACATAACTGTTAACATAACACATTCGGTTGTTAAAATAGAGCAAAACAAGATTTAGAAAACCTGAAGTTTCCCACTAATTCTTTAAGGAAACAGAAAATTAAGAAAAATACAGTCAAAGTTTTTAAAAGTCATTTTTAAACTTTAATTTTACCTGAGTAGCAACTCTGACCAGTTTTTCTGTTTTGTTCTTGCAGCATGGAGGAGACGGTGCGAACCCTACTACAGAACCAGGACTCTCTGGAGGGGCCCAAAGTGGACCCACTGGACCTCATGAAAGCTTACAAGGTGAACTGAGAAACTACACAGCAACGCATCACATGGAGCGATGCCTGTGAGCTAGTTCAGGCAGGCCATCTGATTTTACCTCTCAGGTAGTAGGTTCAGAAGATTCCCGGTCTCCGCTTCTGCTCTGTCTTTGTCACATCCATCCTGCGCCAAACTGTGCTCCAACACTCCTTCAGTGTCAGTTTCTACACCTTAAATAAATCTGCGATGAGTGATGAGGTCCGAACACCCACAATGTTCTGCTGCTGCTGCGATAAAGTTTCAATCACAACAACATGAGTTTTCTGACTGAATTCAGAGGATAGAAATAATGGAAAACTTACACTAATGTTAAAAAAAGTTCCTCAGTTCAGCTGCTAACATGTCCAAGTTAAAATAAATAATCCATATATTGTGACAGCCCTTCTGACCAATAAAGTTGAGGTTACACTTTTAAAATGAGAGTTTTTGAGACAAACTTCTCTGTGTTTCAAAACCTGCAAAGTTTTCATTCTTCAGTCAGTTTGGCAGTGGTAGCTGTCGTATTTCAGGGGCCATTTGATATGAAGTTAATAATAAAAGACCTGAAGCAAAAAAGGCAGTGGCGTTTCAGCTGGTCATCAAGTTTTTTTCCTGATCTATTAGGAGTAATATGAGGAACTCTGAGGCGTTCACGGCAGATCTCCTCTCTGCGTTTCAGGATAAACTCCTGGAGGAGATGTGGAAGCAGCAGGACAGTCTGGAGGGTCCCACAGCCACGGCGGCAGAGATGGCTGCCTCTTCGCCCGAGGCCGGCGGAGGGTCGGAGGAAGATTCAAAAGACAGCAATCCTCTGCTCGAGCGACTCCGAGCCCTGGAGGTAAGGAGGACTGCACGGTCCACTTCTCACCCTCCTCCTCTCTCTCTGCTCTCAGTGTCCTTTTTTCCCCTTTTTAAGATCAATATTAAAAGGACCGTGTCTTATTTGAGCAGATACAAACATTAACTTCTCTAAAGTGTTGCTTTTATTTCGTAGTCACTGAAAAAAGACGCACAATTTGTGATGCTGCAGATAGACAATGAGGCACAAAACAGAAGCTACAGAGAGAGACGGTTAACAGAGTCTAAACGATGGCAGCCGAGGTTACGAACAGGTTATTCAAGGCCGGTTTGGTATTTAAGAAACTGTGAAAAAGTAATTAAAAAACTAATTATCACACAGTTGTATAAAGGTGGAGTAATTAGGAAATGAGAGAGTAGGAGGGAGTAGAAAAATAACTAAAGCGCATACTGTTGATGATGAGTGTGTGCGTTCAGGTCTGGGGTCCTTTTGTTGGAGGCAGAGATTTTCATTTTTGTTAAACAATGATCGCAGGTTTGTGCGGAGGCTACAGGTGCAGCGTGTTCGTGAGGGAATGAAAAAGAGAAATAGAAAATATAATAAAAGTGATTATGATGGTGCTCAGGTTAGATTTAAATTATATATCAACGCACACATGTATATAACCTAAAAAGATTCGACCTGGCGCTGTACATGCACGTCTTTTTGGTCGTGTTTGTCTCACCCTGTGTGACCTTGGAGTATCACCAGACCGGCTGTGGCGGGTTTTATTGCGCCCCCCTGTCTGTACAGTCCAGTATTTCTCTTTTAATGTGGCGCCTGCAGCAGATTGTTCAAACTATGACGGGTGATGAGACTGAAATCTGCAGAAAGGGGTTTCAAATCCCAAAACGTCGTCCTCGTTTCAGTTTCTGTAAAAAAAAAAAAAATCAATGAAATTAATTTTTATTTTAAAGAGAAACAGTAAAGGGTTAGGTTTGATTTACTCCGCTGCCAAATCAGGGAACATGGCCTTCCTAACAAGATTATTTACAGTTTTTATTTGGTCTGAAATTATCATTGAAGTCACTGAAGAATATCCTTTTGTATTTAGTTGTTCTGTAAGTAATAGACCCCTGAGAGAGAGAGCGGAGTCCTGCTGCTGTTTTCATGGTTGTGATGATTGCGAGCTGCTGTCTGTGGTGATGAAGTGACTGTCGTTGTGTTGCTGTGTCCCTGACTTAAAGCCATATTTAAGTGGTCTTCTTGAACACCTTGGTGAGGATTGTCCGACTTTCCGAGTCGAAAATCCAACTTCAGGGGAGCGTTCCAGATGAATTCCAACTCGGAGCTCAAAATTCTAAGTGTGGACCCTTCAAATCAAAATTATGCCTCATGCAAATGCCTTGGGTTCAATTCCCAGCTTTCTCTTCCCCAACTGCTGCTCTATCAACTTTCCTAAAGAACATAAAAAAGTCTGGAAATCAAACTTAAAAAAAACAGCAAATAATGCACAGAGAGAATGAGACACACTTTGCTAGTTAAGCGTCGCACAGTCCGTGCTCCAAGTGAGGCACAAGGTACAAAGAGATCGGGTTAAGTTTCGGGATGATCCATAGAGATGCTTTGGGCGCGATATGAATCAAACCAATCAGTCTATTATTGCTGTAATGTTTGACCTCACAGGTATTATATATTGATCATGTCACCTCGATAACGATAAATGGACTGTAACTACTCCACAAGCTGCTCACCCCCTCCCACATTAACTTTGTCTACTTCAGCCGCTACAACTTTTGAACCGTCCTCCATCTCCTCACCTGTCTTTACCGCTTTCTTATGGACTGGATGGGGTGGAGTCACGTCTCTGATGTAGGACAGCGTCTTAAAAGGACATAAGACCATAGCCTACCTACACACATCCAAAACAAACTTTGATTTATTTATTTTTTTTGACACTGAATATACTGACATGGGCAAAATGACGTTGGTTGTTGTTGTAAATTTCGGTATCTGTAAATTTTCGGTTTATCGCCCAGCCCTACTCGCAGGGATCACCTGGCTTTTGCATTCAGCTTTATGCAGATGCATTAGGAGTCTTGTTTTTTGCACTCCTGAACTGACCTAACTTTTCAACACCAGAGGTTGCTTCTTGCTTACATCACCTCTTCTTCTTGCTTTTTATTGCTTTAGCATGAGTCTGCAAATTGTTGCATATGGACCAAATTTGGCCTTCGATCACAGTGACATGTCTGTGTAGGAAAATCTTCTTATTACCGCAACCTCCAGGCATGTTGCAGAGCTGTGGTATATGTTTCAGGTGTACTTTTCAAACATCAGGGTGTTGTTGATGAATTTGCAAGCAGAGAGCTCTAAGCGATGTTTAATCTCTGGGGTAAAAGTGATTAAAAAGGCTGCGTCACAACAACAGATAATGACCTCTATAGAAACCTGTTAGTTACAGTTTCAATTAGCATACAAGGTCATACGCATTAGCTAGTGTGTGGTAAACAATCTTTAAAAAGACAATGTCATATGTCATTCATTTAGACCTGAGTCTGCACAGCTTCATTAGAAAACACCGGTGAGGCATGTGGATGACAAACAAGAACAATCAGGATTTGGTCATGCTCGTATCCATCTGTGAATATTAGAGAAAATGAGACTCTATTATCGTCAAGAGAAGCACCAGGGGCAAGAAAAACACATCAGAAGACAAAGGAGTTATTCATATCCAGGAGGTGATAATTAAAATGCTGACAGAGTAGTTAACATTTGCAGTCAGTGTTCCAGTGAATGTTCAGTCACACCTTCCTGCTGAAAGGTGATGGGACTTACCATCTGCTGAGAGGTCTCGGGGAGTTATTTTTGATCTCACAGCTCTGCCTCATGCTTAATCATAGACTGGAGAAGAATCTGTGACCGAAATCAGTAAAAAAAGGGAATTAAATCTGCTCTGAGTGTCTCTCCTCTGTGCGGTAAAAGTTTTAACTTTAATTACATATTAAAGCTCCTGTGAGGAACTTTCAGTCAGAGTTACATTCGGCTCCCTAAATGTGCATGAGACCCATTTGCTGATCTAGTCTTGTTCATGCATACATTAATATTTTTGTATCGCTCATCATGAATCTTTGCAGGAAAAGTGTAAAAACATGTTTTTTTCTGCAGGAACAGCCACCCTGCAACAGCTTCAGTTTCGTCATAAAGAAGTAAAAAGTCATAAATCCTGGAGATGATGCTCTAGTTTGATTTTATACGCCATAAAGAGACATTAGTATCAATTAAAGTCTGTTGAATAACCCTGTTATATATAAAAAAAAACCTCACAGGAGCTGGAGGTGGGATCAGCAATCATTAAATGCCGATAAAAAAGGCCGTACTTCAAATCAAGAATCAGTCAGTTAGTCACCTGCAGGGTTTTTCAGATACAGTAAACTTACAGATGTCGAGTTTATTCATGAAACTGCTTCAATAAAAACGTACTCTAACAGAAACTGTCAGCAGTAGAATTGTTTCCATGGTTGCAGCATTAAATGTAACACACTCTGTGACACCACCTGAGAGAGATTTTCTCACAGGTGGATAAAATGAGTCAAAGCTCACCAGGAGACAAATCCAAATCTCTCCTCTTACCTCGACGTTCAAATCTGAACACACAGACGTGTCAACAGTAGTTAGGAGTTGGTGTAGTTTACTTTCTCTTTTTGCACTGAGTGGGAGAGAAAAGTTCACGATTAAAAAAAAGACAGTTTCATTGTCTTTACTTGTTTCCTGCAAATGCTACCACCCCTCTTTTATTAGATGAAATGGTTTAGTCCTGCCCCTAAAACCAGCAGAAGAGTGTCTTCTACCTGATAGAAACTGTGTCCAGATTCAAGAGTGTGTTTAAGTTAGATTTACATTTGGTCTTTGCTTTAAGTTATGAATCAATATTTATGAAACATTTCTAAAACGTGTAATCATGAACATCAGTGTGAAAGTCGTCCAGCAGCGCCTTGCATTGTCTCTCCTTGCAAATGCAGTTTGACGGTTTTTTCATGAGGCACAAAATCCCTGAGTTTTTATTTTTTTGAAAATGTAATTTTTGCACAATTTTAATCAGGAATAAATATCCATAAATCTGTTAAGAAACGATTACTCACCACCTTATTTGTGATGCCAGAGCGGGTCGAGGGACCTTGACAGGTTTCAGTTTTAAAGACTCAGTGATTATTGATAATACAGTATATTTGCTGATTGTTAAAACTTAAAGTGAATGATGTAATCTATATTATAATATATACCCATGAACTGCACCAGGATTCATTGAATTATCCTTTAAAGTCAGTATGAGCTGGTTCGGATGTCTTTTGAGTTTCTGTAAATAATTGATTTGTTTTTGGAGATGGTCTGTCTGGAGATGAAGAGGTCTTAAATATCCACTTTGTCGTTAGAGATGATCTTTTGTGATAAAGAACCGTCTTAAATTCAGTTTTCTTGTCTGAGTTGTTGACCCTGCTGGATGATTCTGAGTGTATTTTGTGGTTTAATGTTCTTTCATGGCGGCTGCCTCTATTTCACCCACATTTGTAATTAAACTTTAACGCTGCTAAAGAAACATTATAAGACTTTCCATTTGAATTAAAACTAATTTTCACTCATTTTTACACGCTCGGTTTCCTTCCCCGTTGTGAAAAATGAGCACATTTGCTGTGCGAACCACAGACCAGACTGGGAATATCAATAATAAAAATAAACTGAGCCTGCTGTGAGGAGTCTGAGGAGTCACTGACTCCTCTGAACTCTTCAAGCGAGAAGTAATATTCAGTGGAAGTTTGCAGTTAAGCTGATTGATGCGACGCCCGCTGCAGATCAAGCGCGGTAACTGCGAAAACAAGGATGAGAGAGCACGGCGGTAAACACGCTGACAAACACTTACATCCCTGCAAATGATTTGTTTTTAACATGCAGATGTATGCTTCATGCAGATGCAAAAACACTTCGTATATTTTAGTTTTTCCCTCTTTTGTTGACATGAAAAACTTTTTTAATCCCAGTCTGATGATTAACATGAAACACGATCATATGTGTTAATTTGATGAAGTGCCTCTTTAGCTCCAAATGTTGGCTCACATCGCACGTCCTGTTGGAGGCTCATACATTTTAAAAAGTTCAAACTCATAACTTGGACCTCCCTGACCTTTACACACAGCAGCTCCGCACCTTCAGGCTGATCTGTGGCCTTTTAAACACTGTCCAAAGATTCCCTCTCAGAAAAGACGGAGTCAGGGCGATCGATACCGCCGTGTGCTGCTGGGGGGTTATCAGTTACAGGGTTTAGACAGTTTCATTCAGCTCTGAAATTTGGTTTTATTTCCAATGTTATTATCAGTAATGCTTTTATTACCATTATTAACATTACCGTTATAGAGTTTATACACTTTTGATCATTTTAAGGAGCTTTTTTGGCAGAAAATGTGAAGTTAAGTGTTAGATTACAGCCTGTTACATGACTTTAACTGTAAAACTGAGGAAAATCCAAATATAAAACTCATTTTTTAAACTATTTCTAGTTCTGCTGTAGCTTTTGTCTTGTGTTTTTGTTGCCCTGACCTCTCCTCTATCCCTCTCACATGGTGTTACATTAAATTAATCTTATTTGAAAGGCACCATGGACTGAAAATAAATACACAAGACTATTTAAAAACACATACACTACTTTAGGTATTTAAGGCGGTACACTCTAAACTTTATAGATTACAATTTTATTAATGTTCATTAAACAGGTTATCTGGACAAAATTTGCATCTGCAAAAGACTGACTTGCTCCAGTTTATAAATATGCATCAGGCAAAAATGGATTTTTCTATTTTAAGAAAAGTGATGGATTTTTATTAAATGTACAAGTTGTTTCCTGCACAAACAGTTTAACTTTTGACTTTTGAAGATGTAAAATAGAGACAAGAACAAAATGTGATGGTTTGGAAATCATTTAAAGCTTTTTGAAAATAGTACAAAACCAACATATAAGAGAATGAAAGTGGTTTATTTTTATTAATTTTAAGAAAAAGATTTTATGGCAGTAATGTACTTTAACAAGGACAACAAAGCAGCAGATCTTCAGAAAAGAGAGATTCACCAGGATGTGACAGACTGCACAAGCAGTTTGTGGAGTAGTTATCGTCCATTTATCGTTATCGAGGTGAACTGATCAATATATTGTAATATTGATTTGAGGCCATATCGCCCAGCCCTAATGTAAATGATTTTAAAACCACAGTGTCCCAGCTCATGTGGGCTGAAGTTGAAAACTTCTCGTCTTGGCTGATGGATGTGTCACGCAGATTTCCAGTGGGTGCTGCTTCCTCTTCAGCATCTTTACTCCCAGTCTCCATAAATCCCACTCTCCCCTGTGATTATCGTCTCTTTCTGTGAGTTTCTGTGAACCTGTTGTTCAGGCGAGTTGCCCGCAGCACTTAAGTGAAAACATGCTATCTCAGGTAGTCGAGCCTTTAAGATTTACTGGAGTAATCATTTCGGTGGAAACTTGCCTCCTGAGTTCCCAGAATGGCTTGAGTTCCCTGCAGAGCAGAACTGCTGTCAGTAATTGAATTTACCCACAGTACCACTAGTGAGCCTGACAGACACAGCGGAGGGCTGCAGGGTGGAGTTAGGATGCCTGAAATTTAAAGCATCATTCATTTGGAGCCGTCTTCCTCCTCCTACAGCGCTGTGGGGAGAAAACCTCTTCATCCATCCATCCATCCATCTATCTGTCTGTGTTTAAGAGGAGACAATACCATCAGAAAAAAACATCCATTACTAAAGTTTTCACATCAATCAATATGTTATTTTTGCCCCAAGGAAACGAAAACCAAAAGAGTTATCTGTAAAATTTGTGTGTGTTTGTCTTTTCAGGCGGAGAACTCTGCTCTCTCGATAGAAAACGACAACCAGAGGAAGCAGTATGAGCGCTGTCTGGATGAGGTGAGTGTTTGTGCTCCCACAGGAAAGTTAAAGCTGAAATTATATTTAATCAGAGGTTATCGGGGTCTGTACCCTGCCAGAGTTACACAAGGTTTACACACGCAATCAGAACCTCACTGAACTTCAGATATATACGATACCTACACTTTTAGAGGGGTTTATGAGGAGTGAGAAAAAAACAGGAGAAATCCCCTCCTGTTTTGAACAAAAACACGTCATCATGAAAACTTAAGGAGTCTTTTTTTATTATTTTAGCTGGATTTCTGAATTTCTACTTTAATCTCAAAACTTCAACATTATTCACAACATTTCGAAATCTCAAAATTTCGAGTTTAATCTCAAAATTTCAAATTTTACTCTTGAATTTCAACTTTATTGACATAATTTCGATTTTTTTAATCCCGAAATGTCAACCTTAATCTTGAAATTTCGATTTTAATCTTGAAATTTTAATATTTCATTTCGAAATTTCAACAATTTACATTTTGTAATCTAGAAATTTACATTTTTACTCTTTAAATTTCAAATTTATTGACATAATTTAGTTTTTTTTATCTTGAAATTTCCACTCCAATCTCAAAATTTTAACCTTGATCTTGAAATTTGAACTTTTTTCTCAAAATTTCCATTTTTACTCTCGAACTTTTGACTTTATTGACATAAATATTTTTTTTTTAATCTTGAAATTTTGACTTTAATCTTGAAATTTTTAATTTAATTCTTGATATTTTGACTTTATTGACATAATTTGGATTTTTTTAATCTTGAAATTTTGATATTAATCTCAAAATTTTTACTTTAATCTCAAAATTTTAAATTTTACTCCTGAAATTTTGACTTTATTGACATAATTCTGTTCTTTTAATATCAACATTTTAACTTTAATCTCCTTCCTGTAATATTTTTTTTTCCCTTCATGTGGCACTAACCCTTTTTTTTTTGTAGATTTGAGAATTTTGCTGGTAAAGTTTGTGAGCAGGAGGAGTTTTTGTTTCTTCTTCAGGTTTATACTTTCTTACTTCTTCTACCCCACCTGTGCAGGTTCACATGGTTGTTAGGGTGTCATGTATGTGGATGTTTCTTGCACGTCTGAAAAGAAGATTTCTGTCAGAAGGAACAAACATAAAACAATTTAAATAAACTGCGAGGACTACATGTCTTTAATTGAACACATTCACCCTTACCTATGAACAGACTTCCAAATCCAGAGTTTCGAAGGTTCCCTCTGATCTAAAGGAATGATGTGATTGAATGAGATGACCGTACACACACCTGCACACTCACACACTCTCACACACTCTCTGACCAGTCCTCCTGGTGTTATTGAAGTCCATGGAGGAGAGGCTGGAGGAGGGAACATCTCTAATTGAAGCAGACAGACAACAGAGCTCTGGGCGATGTGAGATAAGAGCTGGAGGGCTGAATGTCAGCGCTCAGGAGGACCGACTGCAGCACGTCTACCTGTTCCTCTTCTTCTTCTACTTCTTCTTCTCTCTCTGATTGTCTCTCCGTCTCATCCCCTGTCCTCCCTTCATCTCTCTCCAGCCAGCCAGTCCGCTCCACTCAACTTTTCTAGAATCTTTCACTAATGGGCTTGTTACTATGGAGATTGCTGCCCATGAGAATTTAACATAATGGCAGAGGACAGAGAAATTTCAGACTTTCTGCTGTGGGATTCATTTCTGCTCTCCTGCTTTTCAGTCTTATTATGCACATTAATCTTTTCGGTGGGAGGCATTCAGAAGGCTTCCTGTCATGGTCTGAATGAGCCGAGGCGAGTCGTTTTGATAGAAAGATGAAAGAGTCGCAGAGAAATCATTTGGCTGCAGACAAAAGTGGAAACATGGTTATTATTCCAGCGCTAAGGTATAATGCATGCTCCCACTTCTGAAATCAAAATAAGAGGGAAGGAGAAAAACTTCTCAGGTGATTCTTCTCTAAATGTGAAATCAAAACCGAACAAAACTTTTCCTCTCTGTCGAAAATCACCCTGAAAAGTAAAGAAGAGGGAATAGATGGTGTTAGCACAAACAGAAAACCCTTGAACAGATTTTTACGACAACATTTTGGTTTATTTGTGCTCTGGGTTTAAAGTTTGATATAATATCTGCAGGCAGCTGCTGTGTGATTCCTTTAAATCTGACAGTGATGCAACACGCCGTCAATTTGTCCTCCCCGCATTAAACACACGTCTGGATTCTCTCTGATGGTGTTTGCACAGGGTCACTTTCATTTACACTCTCATTTCATCTCAGAGCTTCAAAAATAAAGTCCTGCAGTTCACTCTGAATATACCGCTCTGACTCCAAATAAACATGTTTCTTTTTATTTCTTCTGTCGTTTCAAGGTGGCGAACCAGGTGGTCCAGGCCCTCCTCACACAAAAGGTTTGTGTCCGTCTGTCTCCGCAGCAACAGTCATTAATTCATTAATTCAATCAGCTGTTATAATGAGTCACATCTCTTCAGGTTGCTTTTTCCCAGTGTTTCTAATAGATATACAATTAACATTCCTGTAACTACATTTTACCATAGACTGTATATATTATTGACAACTTGGTTCCGCCTTCCACTTGCCGAATTGCTCTTGGTGTTTCCGTTTCTTTCTGCACTTCCTGAAACCAACGTTGTGCAGTAGCGTTGTATGCATTCGGTCCCTGAAAGTCGCTGTGATGACGCTCGGGTCAAACAGCATATCCCCAGATGAGCTACGCTATCTTGTTGCTGTACGATGCTCCATCTTCTTGCTCGAAAATGACCAGCAGACACTGTAGAAACTTCTGACGTCTGACACGGACCTGCTGTTGTTGTTGTTGACGGCTGTATGGGGTCGGAAACAGCACCGCTGAAAAGACCCGTATCGCCCCCTAGTTTTGGGGAGGAGGACATGCTCACATCAATAATTTAATTTTCTCAGCTGCATGTATACGCCAACAAGAAGGGAAGTCTGATTCGGCAAAAAAAAATGAAGTATGAGCTTAGTCGCATCAAGCTGTGCATGTAAACGCTCTGACTGTTATCAGCGGTCTTTAAATTGTGATTATGAAGTTTTTAGCCGAAATCATGTTACCTGTGTCATTTTGAAGGACCTTGCTTCTGCAAAGCTCCAGTGGATCATTTGCGATTCGCCTCTGAGTCGTGTGCAGAAGCAGCGCTGCTCTGCACACTCTTCTTCATGCTCCTCTTCATGCCAGCTTGTAGCCTAACATTGCTGGTGTAGTAGATGTAGCAGGTAACATAGGAGCTATTCAGCTCTGAGACACTAATGTCATGATGAAAGTTAATATCATGATTAACTTCCTTACAAGCATTGCGGTCCGCTAACACACACGCTTGTTCCGCGATTGTCCTCTCTATTTCTCCGAGTCTGGCCTGCATAGCGGGGCTCTGGGGGCGGAGCTTGGATTTGTGACATAGGAAATCTCACTGTTTCTGAAACTGCTGTTTGAGTCTGTAAGAGATTCACAACGATTTGAATGAAGAAATACTCCGAAATACAGTTTCGCACTTAGTTTTTCTCATGATATGTCCTGTAGCATCAGAAAAATCCCAGAGAAACATGTGGACAACAAGAAAAACATGATTTTCATCGGAGTGGGTCTTTAAAAGTAAACTTATATACCAATGCATGCTTAAAGTAAATAAGTAAACTAAATAAATAATAATCAGTGACTTCAACATCAGTACTACAGCTGAATGTATTTGGACTGTGGCCTCATAGTGTTGTGTTGAATCTTACATCTATTCCTTTGATGCTTCCCTGTCACTCACTTGTTGTTTTTCTTCTTCTTTGGGACTTTCCAGGACCTGAAAGAGGAGTGTGTGAAGCTGCGGACACGCGTGTTTGACCTGGAGCAGCAGAACCGCATACTGAGCGTGCTGTTTCAACAACGTGTCAAGATGTCCACGAATCCCGTCTCCCAGGTAAGAACACATGGCAGCGTGGACGCAAACACACACCGACACACCTGCCCTGCCTCCAGGCTGAGTGAATTTTACATGAGTTCGGGTCGTCTTCTAAAGGTTACTCACTGGAAAAGAAAAAGGAGCGCAGCAGGAGAAATCCTCCACCGATCCATGAATCTGATTTTTTAGGACTTTTCGGTTTTACTCTCAGATAAGGAGTTTTTCATTTTAGACTCTGCTCCTCTGTTTTCAGCGGGGATCGTAGTTTGTGTCAAAGAAGCATGAGTGCACTGCAGGTTATCAGACAAGCAAATATGCTGGAATATCATTTGCCTAATTTACTATGTAAATTTAGCAGATGGAGCAGATATTTTTGGTTGTTTTTACAGCTCCTGTCTTTTGCTTTCATTCCCAAAATTGAGATAAGATCGCTCTGAGCTGGTGAATACGAATGCATGCCCTAAAAACACATTAAAACTTAGAGCTGTAGAAGAGACTGTCCACACATGATGCAAAAATGTCTTTCACTTTTTTTAATGCGAGGAGCAGTTTGGGGGATTTGGAGCGTCTTAAAGCAGGAAAGGTCAGGCCACCATGATCAAAACGTAAGTCAGTCAGTAGCCTTCTTCACATGTGCGAAACTTCTTGATCTGATTAAAAATTTGAGGGATCGGGTAATCTGAATCCACTGTTTATATGGGTGCAAAATCAAATAATCCGACCATGATGTGCGTATACATGCACCAATCTTTATTCAGATTAGGGCATATGCAGAGTTGTCTGATTTTGCTAAAATACCCACAGAAGAAGAAGAAGAAGAGTTGTATTTACACCTGTGCTGTCAAACAAACGCGGTAGTGACTCACTCCATCCAATTCAGGAGTTCTTCCCCTGTTAAATGTTGTCAAGAGATGGCGCCCTTGCTTACTTATGCTGCGTTCAAGTTGCCTGGGAAGTCAGGTGTCAGTCAGTTCCTAGCGTTTCAGTTACCAAGTCAGAAAAAAGCAAAATCGGAGGCCTGAAACAAGATGGCTACATCAACAAAAGTTATGCAGGAGCCATGATGTTGCTTTACTTATCAGTTATCCTGTGTTCAATTACTTTTGTCTGGTTGCCATTGGTTTCGCTGGGCTTGGGTCACGGGGGCACTGAGTTTGAAAACCGGTAACTTATGTGAGGGGCGGTCTTACCCCTAATTAGCCGTAATTCTTGTTGACCGCGCTTTATGTTCTTTTGTGTACACATATGACATCGGATGTGCGCGTGTTAATCATTGGTCACTGTTGAAACGTTTTTTCTGTTATTAAAGCTCTGAAAACTTTGATGAACTATGAATGTTTCTTTGGAACAGCAGCAGCGTGTCACACAAATATACAGGACCTATCCTCTGCCTCAAATGACTTTTTAAAGGTACTAGGAAAGCCGCAATAAGTTATTTTAGCACTTGCCTAATATTCGGACAAGGCAAGCGATAAAATAACTTTCTTCGACATAGCCAACTTGTTTCCACCTCTGATTTTGCTTTTTTCTGACTTGGTAACTGAAACGCTGGGAACTCGGGTCATTACGCTGTCTGTACACCTTGTTATGTTATCGGAGGAGCAGACATGGTAACTGTGTTTGTGTTTTATGCCAGAGTGTTAATAATGAAACCTCCTGAACTGACCTCAGTAGATAAAGAGCGAAGATCGAGTCAGGTTGGAGAGTCACGATCGGAATAAGTGTTTACATGGACACGTTTTGGAAGAACGATCGGCATAAACCACCCCTCTTGATCGGAATACAGTTTCTTTCAGATTGAGCTGAATTGGATCAGGATCTTCCCATCGGCATGTTCACATGACGCTTTTTTATTCCGATTATTTGTGCCCATGTAGACGCAGCTAGTCAGACACTTCTGTCCATGATGCTAAAGCTCTCAAACCTTTAAGATCCACCTTTCAAAGAGTCATATCAAACAAACAAACAAACAACAGTCACGGCGGCCTGTAAAGATGAATTTTCCTCTCACTTTTTCCTCCAGCGGTCGTCTGATCCGCAGGTTTGTTTGTCTAACCTTGCTGACAGGCTGCATCTGGGGGTTTTGATCAGCGTCAGGCAATAATGAGGCAGCGCTGAAAAGACACATTTGTGGCTGATAAACATCCCCGAGATCTGAAAGGTGTTGGGCATCTGTGTCACGCTGCTCTGGGTATTGAAAACATTGATTTATTGATTTGTGTTTACGTGCAGACACTCATATTTGATTAAACGCAGGGTCAAGGAAGCTCGAGCTCTCATTCCAAATATCTAACTGGGTTTGATTTAGCAATTATTTATAATAAAACAGATGAACTATTAATCAAAACAGAACAAAAAATACATAAAAATTCACTTTTTCTGCTGATCCTACATCAGCAGTGTGTTGCAATAGCCAGAAACTCCCGAGCTGAAACCGACTGCATGAGACTGAAAGTTGACAGGCAGACTCTGATAAATAATTGATGTTCGATGATGCGTCTGATGGACAGATGATTCCTGCTGCATTCAGAGCTAAATATTAAAGATAAAAACCAGGAACAGACACAGAACTGACAGAGAAGTCATTTTATACTGAACAGGAGTGAGTATCAAACTCTGTAATTGTCTCATCAGGAGTAAACGGGTTTATTAAAGCGAACCGCAGATACAGGTACGATCTTTGAACAGTGAAATGTGTCACTCACTGAGTATTTTCAGTGGAAAAAGTAAAAAATATATATTTTTCATTCTCTTGGATGTCAATCATCTGACACCTACCACCTCCCACAGCAGTTACAGGCATTAAAATCACAATACAGGGATTGACAGTCTTACAGCTTCACATCTTTAGGGCGTAAAGAGACGTCGCAGTTCCTATCAGCGGGTTTTTATCTTAGCAGGAGACTATGGTTTAACACCCATCACCAGGTTGGAAAAGACGTGTGTGAGCTGGTTGTTCCTGACATGAACTTTTATGGAGTTTTAACCAATCAGGATCAAGTGTCCAGAACAGTCAGGTGGTTTAAAACTCCTCTGAGCTGATTTTACGTCCATAAAAGGACATAAATGCAGGACATAAAGGGTCATTATGTGACTCCTCTTTGTTATTCTGAATCAATAATCATTGTTGTGGAGTTTTAACCAATCAGAATCAAGTATCCAGAAAAGTTGTGTGGTTTAAAACTCCTCTCAGCTGCTTTTACGTCCATTAAAATGCATGTGTCGGTCAACTCTGCAGCAGACCGTTCATGTTAGTTTCATGCTGAGTTGCAGAAACTTCTCCGGAGACTTTACCGCTGAACTTTTCACATGAACCAGCTAAAAGAAAAATCATGTTAAATATTTCTTTATTTTTACAGTTGAAGTGAAGTTAGACTGACAGATAAACTACTTCAAAAATGCTCAAGTGTGTAACTTTCTGGATCTGGTTGGAGGAAGAACATCTGCTCTTTACAGATTTGATATCTATTTGGTCTCAAAAACTCACAGTTTGATGTTTCACCAGACTGAACCAAACTTTTCCGCCCCGCTCCGGTTTGTTGCCGTGACCCCTCTGTCTTTTGCAGAGTCACGATCATTATGCAGAGGATGGACGAGGTGTTGCTTCGTTTCTAAAGGTCTCTCTGGTTTGTCGACTTCTCAGCGTGACTCCTCTCCCCTCTGACAGACTCCGGCTCTCAGTATTCAGGGGGACCAGTGTGATATCACAGACAGATTGGCCAATTAACACAGATATTGAATAAACTGTACGGACACTGCGGACCCTTCATGAGAGCGGTCTTGGAAAGTCTGGGAATTCCCAGGCCGGGTCGTTAAGTATGCCGAGCGCCCAGCAGAGCAGGAATCGCTGTCCTTCTTCTTTAACCTTTTCAGAAAAGGTTAAACCAACAGACTCGGCTTCTGTCTTTGTAGGAGGACTGTATGAATCAGAGCGGAGATGTTCAGCTGCTTCTGCTGGAAACAAGCTAAATACATACTGACATTTAACTCGCAGTTTCTCTACATGTCGGTAATTTACTGTTAATTCTGTGTGTGTCTGCGTATCTGCGATGACAGAATAACCACGCATGAGAAAAATGCGTTTAGCTGGTTGTTTTCTTTTACTTTGAGACACCCTAGAAATTAATAATCCCCCAGAACCTTGGTTATACGTTCAGGTGACTTATGACTTGACTTATTCCTGTAGGCTCCTAAGTGGAGCATAGGGCCGCAACCACACCTCGCCATCGGACTCTACTGGTCTTCTCCAGGTCTGTTTTGGTCTCCCCACTTTCCTTTTGTCTAGTGATGTTATCGTAGGTTTTCGGAGAGTGTGTCCAATCCACCCCCACTTCCTCCTCTTCACATCATGGCTGATGGAGCTCTGGTTGGTTCTCTCCAACACGCTGGCGTTTGAGTATGATGTATCTTAGGCACTTGTTGACGAAGGTCTGGAGTTTCTGGGTGGTCATACTTGTCACTCTCCAAGTCTCAGATCCATAGAGGAGAACTGACTTAACATTGGTGTTGAATATTCTGATTTTATTCTTGAGGGACAATGCCTTGGAGTTCCAGACGTTCAGGTTTGTTTCTCTTATTTGCTGGAGGTGTTTCTGGCACCAGATGCTGATGTTTTAGTCCCAATATTAAGTGTTTCATAAGAGTCCAATTCTCCAAACTTCTGTGATTTAACGCTCGGTTAAGTTCTTACTTTTATTTATTTTTGCCTCAAGAATAGACTTTGTTGTCGTCTGTTTATTACTTTGGGAGGTAAATTCGAAATGTGATGAGATAATAGTCGTACTAAGATGTAATGAAGCAGAAAAATTCTATTAACATCAAAATACGTGTGAAGAAATAAAGAATAAATCAGATTTATTTGCTTAATGCTGCCCTTGATTCGCTGCTGCACCAGGAGGCTAAATAAGTCCTGTCAGATCATTATCTCACGCCTCAAGCTGGAATTTGAAGTAGTTGTTATATTTTCTATCTTGTTAAGAAACAAACAAAAGTTCTGAGATGAATCTAAATGATTTATTTCCGTTTTAATCGTGTCCTCCTGAGATCTGAGTTCCTGCTGTGACCCCCCGCTGTTCAGCTGGGTCACATCTTTCTTCTTGTTTTCTATTAAACATCTGAATTCACTGAAGGCTTTTTAAGAAGTTAGGGAGATTGTTGATGTGATATTAACTTCCACCTGCTCATTGAAATGCCTCCTGTTTCAATTTTTCACCAGCGATCAGTAACGTCTCCTGAAGGTTGTAGAAGTCGAGTTCTGGACGCTGACTGAATCGGCCAAAGCAGTAAATTAAAGGAAACTTATTTGGGGGAATAATTCAGTGAAGCTGAGAGAAAAAGCAAGGGCAATGAATTCACTCTACCACCAATTTCCATATTCCTCCAATTTATTTGAGCTATGGCTGCTGGGATTGATGGAAACAAATATGAAGAAAGGGAAAATTTACGTCCTCGCACCACAGATGTTTTTGTTCGTCGAAATAAAAAAAATCTGAGCTTATTAATTTATGCTCCTTTGGAGTAATTATATATTTCAAGTCAAGTCAAGTCACTTTATCAAACATGTGACCCTTTTTAAAAGTTGGGGCATTACATAAAAAAAATCTGGGGTCTCGCTGCCTGACTCTGGAGTGGAAATTCCTTCATGGGGTTAAAAAAACACTTCAAAAACCACTTTTATGTGAACATATAGTTGCTGCAGGTTAAACCATGCAAAGAAAAAATCTGATATAATTATGATCCAGAAACACCTTCTCCCATGTAATTTGACTTTCTATTTGGAAATCATGGACAGCATCAAAATGGGAAGGACCACCGAGCTCATTAACAGCACATATCTAAAAAAAAAAACAGGCTCTGAAATAGTAAATAGATGCAAAAGAGCTGTAATATAAACAGATGACATTTTCACAGAAGACAATAACAAACCGTAACAAACAGTATGTACTAAAACTGTACGGCTCTTTAGCAGAAGAGTCCAGGTGTCTGCTCACAGTCCTGACTTGTCGCTTTGTACAGCAAATACAGCTGAAATCCTCTCAAAGCATAGCTACCGTTTTGGTCGGGAAACTACCGTATTTTACCCCTTTTTTCCTGCCGTCTTCCCGTACTAGTATTGTCCCATAAATCTCCTGTATTATAAAATATGTATTAGGGCTGGGCAAAATTTACCGATACTGAAATTTACGACAATAACCAACGTCAAAAACCAACCAAAAGTTAGTTTTGGATGTGTGTAGGTAGGCTATGGTCTCATGTCCCTTTAAGACGCTGTCCTACGTCAGAGACGTGACTCCACCCCATCCAGTCTGTAACAAAGAGGGAAAGACAGGTGAGGAGATGGAGGACAGTTCAAAAGTTGTAGCGGCTGAAGTAGACGAAGTTTATGTGGGAGGGGGTGAGCAGCTTGTGGAGTAGTTATCGTCCATTTATCGTTATCGAGATGAACTGATCAATATATTGTGATATTGATTTGAGGCCGTATCGCCCAGCCCTAATATGTTTACAAAAAAAAGCCTCTCCAAACTGAGCTCTGTCACTAGCGTGCGTTAAGTACCCACTAACTAGTTGTAGCGAGTTTTTATCAGCTTGCTGCACTGATTGCCTGTCTTGTATGTAACTTAGGTGTGCCATCTCATGCTCTCGTTCTCGTAGTACTGTTTCCTCACTTTTTCGGAAAATTTCCCTTATTTTCCAAACCAAAACTTGACAGGTATGTCTCAAAGTGATCATTTGGGAGCCTCAGGAGGTGAGAATAATGATCTAGTCTTGAAATCTGTGAGGAACCATAGGGAGAAAAACTATTTACTTTATTAAACAAGGTAACATGTGAGGTTAAATCATGATATGTTTAAGTCAGGATCAGTAAAAAAGTGAAAGCAATGTGAATGAAACATCTCAGTGGTCTCACATGTAAGGTCAAGAAAACAGGAAAATAGTTAAGAGGCAAAGAAACTTTGGAGGAAAAATTAGTTTGTTTGATCAGAAATATGGAAAATAAATGAGACACATTTTCTGCTACAGACGTATTGTTGTCTTTTGTGTTTCCAGTGAAATAACAGAAGAGTATTGATAGTTTTTTGTATCATTAAAGAGTCTCAATAATGGTTTCAGACTGAAGTTTAAGAACACACTGCAATGAGTCAGTCTGAATGACTGACTTTAATCATGTCTGGTCCTCCAGATACTGAAAAGATGATCCATCTAATCAAACCCAAGTGTCACGACAAGAACCCTTTTAAGCCCAGAGTGAGTCTAATGTTCTTTAAACGGGTTTATGGTGTCTTACACACCTCTATATGAGGACGACACTCTCTCTGACAGAGGTGGTATGACTGCAGGTCACTGTTCCTCACTTTCACCGCGAGCCTCTCACCTGTCTCTGCGATGAGTCTCTCCTCTGAGATGATGAGCCGCGTAATCACCACAATAAGAGATCATGGCCTTTGTACTTCCACAAAGTGGGAGCAAAGAGGCCAAAATCCATCAGACTCGGTTCCCCGTCGCAGCTGCAGAGAGTCCTTGATAGAAATGAAACGCGGGTCATATCACAGTCCCCATCTGTGATCAGCGGTGGAGGGTTTCAGATCGGAGACGTTCCTCTCCGGCTGTGTGTCAATTTGTCAGATAACACAGAAGTGATTATGTCCAAATTACTGAAACGGAAAATTTGTTTTTCACTCTGAGCTCTGCTTGTTAGGTCTCCTAATCACTGTGACAGCACACCTGTTCCCAGTCACATCCACCGACGGAGAGGGAGGTTACAGGGAGCGTTTCATTACACCACACACAGAAGATAAAACAGAGAAGGAACAATCCTCCGGTCTGTGGAAATGTGACCAAGATTACAGAGCAGGGAGCACAAATAAGGTGCATGAATAAGAAAAAACATTTCATCTTCACAACCACCTGCTCTGCCGGAGGACTCAATCGTTTCCAAGGATACTATTCAATATTTTAACCACGGTGTCCCAGACCAGCTTGGTATAAACAACAATCACGGCCGAGCAAAATGAAGTCACTCTAGAGGGACGATTCACGGCGCCGACTTTGTATCGATGTCTTCTTTTCAATTCTGTCTCTGAGAAAACGCACGACTAACAAGAGAGAGAGACGCCAAACTAAGTTTTTAAAAGCGTATCAAACACGGATTCAGGACGTGTGATGTGAAGCAAGTCACCAAAATAGATATGTAGCGTGATCGACATATTTCCATCCCTCTCTTCCTCTCATGTCCCGGTATGTTTGGTCTATAAACGCCGCCATCATCGTCTCATTTGTCATAATATTATTGAAACGCAGAGGCAAAGCGACACTCAGGAGACCGAGGCCCTCGAGTCTTTTAAACAGCAGCAGGTGCTTGTCTCCTCAGATGAACTTCCTGTGAGAGCTGCAGAGAGACAGAAATATAATCAAATCTAATTTATTTGCCCCTCTGAAGTGATTGAAACAGCTTTTCAATTTGTCTCCCTGTGAACATGTATAACAGGCAAATATATTTACTCCTCTTTGAGTCCCTGACAGAGTGAATGTTTTTGCTTTCACCGAGCGGGAAGATTTACGACATTATGTGCATCACAAACGGCTTTCAACACCGGCCTCTTTTACATACCGGGCTGATTGATTGCAGCTTGTACTGAGCTCATCTTTGCCAAATCCAGGGAGGCTTTCAGGTGTCGCATGAGTTCCGGAGGCTTTTTGTCGTCAGAAAATGGTCTTAATGTTAAAGCAGGGACACAACCACGAGGTTTGGAGAAGCTGATGGTCGTGCAGCAGATGCACCTGCGTGTGAGACAGTCAGCAAACAACTTATTTTGAAGGATTTATAGTAGCTTCCTGTTTGGTAAAAGTGAAACCTGCAAGATGGGAGAAGTTTTCAAACTTTGGGAGCAGATGTATGTAATTTTGTAAAGTTGCAAAACCTCTTAAACATCATGAACAAAGTTTGGTGAATTTTGGAGCATTTTCAAACCTTCAAAATTTTGGATTCACTATCGACATGAAAGAATTGGCTCTATGATGGGGCGCTCACACCAAGCATGAGTAAAATCATCTACTCGCTTAATCGGCGCGAATCTAGACGCTTGAATGAATTTTATTTACTCGCTTCAGTCGCGCGTCAATGGTAATTTCAACGGCAATCCCTGCCAACTCAACCGGCGGGATCAAGTGATAAACAACTTTTTTTACAATTTACCAGGTAATCCGACCTCCTCTCTCACTTATCTCCAGACGATCTCCTTTTTATTCCGGTTTTGGTAATTGCAGGAAAAGGTATCGTGTAATTCGGGGCACCCACACACCGACACGATCAGTTTGTCCTCCATTTTTTAAACCATTGAACAACCATCTGTCTTCATATGTCACCTGGCAACCTTCGTGCTGATTAGTTATCACGACACAAAGATCAGCTCAAGTTTCAGCTCATTTGTGCCGCCAGAGTAGTAGGAGCGTCTTATCGCGTCTTTGCATTGACTTAACGTGTAATTCGTTCACGCGACTGATTTTACTCGCGGTTGGTGTGTGGAGAGAGTAAGTGTGAAAAATACAAAAACAAATCAGCTGTTTGCAGAGAGAAGAGGCTGAGAAGATCGCACAACGTTTGTCCACATTTGTAGTCAATAAAAGAACATGTTAGTCATGGCGGACTAGATTTACGAGGTTTCTGTCAAAGAAAGTTTGGCAAAGTTTCAGGCTTTTCTTTGTCTCTTAGATATTCTCTGAGTTTTATATTTTACACCTTGGACTTATTATCAGAAATAGACATCTATATTGCTACGATAATGTCAACAAACTCTATTTTGGCTCAGAGCTGCACACTACTTAGGTTAAAAAAATAGACAGTGCCTCCGTTTTCCAAGACTTCTCATGGTACGTTTTTTAAAGGTTGTCTCATTCATGCAGTCAGCAGCTGTAACTTCCTCCTCAAAACTGCGACGTCTTCATTTTCCTCATGAATATCCAAGCCGTCCCATATTTCACCTCAGTTTTTATGTGTTTTACTGCTACACTAACAATCCTCTCGCTAACACCTCACCTTTCAGGGACACTTTTACTCTCTTCCATCATTAGCAATCAGAGGCCTGGAGATCAGAGGGAAATGGATGAGATTAATATCATGATGTGTGATGGTGAATGAGCCGAGAGCAGTCAGGGTGGTAACCGAACGAAGACTGAAGTGGAGAAAACCGTCCGAGCAGCAGGTGGAGCGAGCGTAACCTTGCTTTAGGCGCCTCATGGGGGGACGCATGGACGACTTTTGATGAGACTGTGGAATTTAAAGCGGACTCAAAAGTCCATGAAAGCCGAAGTACGTCTGTCCTTGTGTCCGAACGGTCCGTTGATCCGCAGCAATCTCATCCGAGTACATTTAAGATTCAGTGTAGATGCAAGACCGCTCAAGTGAGTCTGAGTTCTCCAGACAAACTGCTTTAAATAATGACATGAGCATCACAGCTGCATTTTTTACCTCCACATTCAGACATCAAATATAAGTGGACCACTGTTTTAAGAAATTACAGACTCATTAAGATAAAAACTTGGTATTTACAGAATGTTTTTTAGGATTAGTATCATCTGCTAGGTCAAACGTACCCGAGGCTGAGAGAAAATAAGATTTTAGAGGAGCAGATTAGATGCACGGTCCCTGTACATCAAATACATCAGCTGTGAAATGTTCAATTACAGTTCAGTTTGCAGAAAAATCTCCAGAACTACCAGAGTTAACGGTTAAATTTCTGTCTGTAAATCTAACACAATAATGCATGAAGTCATGGCACCAGGAGGCAGCTGGGATAAAAGCATGGGCATGCAGTAACAGAGTACTGTACACTCTGTGGGGAACCCTCATAAGCTGCAGAGCTCCATGTTTCTGCATTATTCTGACTGAGAGAGGCTGGACGGGTGCAGGGAGAGGATGATTTATTTACAGCCGTTTCTCCGCATGTCTCTCTGCCGGGGTGTTTCCAAGACTTGAAATATACACAGGGATGATGAATGGATACAGTCTGAATGCATGAATGCATGAAGCTCTACAGAAGATCTTAAAGGAGTAATTCAAGAACGTAATATTATATGACAAAGCTGGAAGTAGGTTTTGCGAAATCACTGCTCTTACTTGTACCTGCAGAAATAACAGTAATTCAAATGTAAAGCATGTTATTAAAGCCAAGAGAGGTAGAGGTAGACTGGAGTGGAGGACACTTATTCTGAAAGTCCTGAAATAAAAGGTAAAACCTGAGCTGATTGGTTATGTTAATTTAGAGTAAGTTTCTTAATGTGCCGGAAACAACCTAAATTTTATACCATTAAAGAGTTAAACAGAGGTGACTTTGGCGTTATAATGTCTGGGATTATGTACAAATAATGAGCTCAGCTTTTTCAGAGAGGAACTAATTATTGAGGATACTTTATTGGAAAACACACCAGATGAAAATAATGATCAAAATTGCTGAAGGAGACGTACAGCTTCGTATCTTACAGTCCATCGTATGACTTGTTTCATGGAGAAAATAGCTTTATTTCCAGCTTGTTTACAGTATAGTGTAGGGATATGACTGCTCACATTGTAAGGGGATCTAAAAAGTATGGAGAGACGTCGTGTTTTGAAGCAGCCTAAAATCGTGCATTTGGTCTGGCTGATGCTCCTCACAGTTCAGATGTAATTGGCAGTGCAGCGGTAGCCAGCAGCACTTTAGATTTTTGCAGGTTCATATTAATTTGACATCGCTCTCTGGCTAAAAAACAAACAAGTGAGTGTGATGTTTCCCCTCCAAAAGGACATCCCAGAGTGCATCATGGGTAATGTATTTAAGGTGCTATCATGAATCAGCAGGTGAAACATTAATAAGGAGAGGACTGAAAGGGTTCTGGCAGCTGGTAAGAAATCTTTGAACGCTGAAAAAGTTCCTCCATGGGGTTGAATTTGGCACAACTTTCAAAACACAACTTTCATTTTAGAAATTTTCCCATCATTTTGATGCTTAAGAGAAAAAAAGGTTTTATTGTGTTTTCATAAAAGCGAATATGGTTTAAAAAGCCGAAGTCCTACCTTGACTCTTGGTGATAAAGAGGGAAAACGTTTTTGGCAAACCAGTCGAGTTCAGCATTTCTTTCTCTCTGTTGAAGAGTCGCTGTAGTTTTGGGAAAAAAACAGCTTTGACTGAGCTTTAAACCTTGCTCCTTGTGTGGTCTCTCTATTGACAAAATCTTTTGTTGAATCTGAATGAACAAAATTTTGAAGAAAGCACTTTGAAGACATGCCAGGTTGAATCCTGACCTCGGTCACCAACATTTTTTTATGTTTGATTTGATGTTTAATCAATCAGAGTGACTCACTGCTTTGACAAAAGTAACTCGGAGGATGAATTTGCAAACCAAACGGACATATGCATACAGAGAACTGATGAATTGTCCACATTGCCGCATAGTTCCTGCATGACAAGTGTTTTGGTGCTGGTGCAGAGAAAAGGAGTTATTCTTTCTCCACCTTTTGATAAAGTCGTGTCCCTTGGCAGAATTTAAATGATGTGAAAGTCTTTTCTCTGCGGGAGAAAACAAAGAAGGAAAAATACTAAGAGGAAAAATATCTCCAAAGCCCTCAAACTTGCCCTTGATGATAAGTTCACGGCTGCTCTGTCTGAAGGTTTTGTTAAACTGTATCACTCGTGTCACATCTCTGATACCCCTTGACATGCTGACTGTAATTAGTTCGGAGATTAATCCACACAGCGTGGTCGAATGTGGCCTTTTCCCATCGTGCTCCTGAAATAAAGGCCGGCACGGATAATCAAATAATAGGTGAATATCAATGAATGGACCAAATCACTTCAGTCCCTAGCTCCCTTATGCAATTATTTCCTATTCACATTAATTATTGCTAACAGATGACATTAATGACTTTGAGAGGAAGCTGGTCGTGGCGGCCCTGCAGACGATCAATGCTGCTTTAAATGGGGTCACAACACTTGGCACCTTTGGGTGTGTATGATTGGAAATGGCACTGAATCAAAAAGCATCTGAGTCACGCCAGTTAGCAGTGCAAGCAGTTTTTAATACAAGGCTTCATTTACAGGATGAATTCTGCTCAAATAAAGGGACAAATAAGGATGCAAAAGGCTCGTCTAACAATAACAATAAAAACGGGAAAGTGCTGGCGTAAAGGGGAATGTTTGTCAGAGTTAGAAAAGTGTCGGCGATCAATGTTTTTCAATCAGTGATTGAGCTCTTACAATCCGACAGGTACCTAATGAGCGCTCAGTTTCAGCAGATACTCAAGTTAAGGCACCAGAAGTGGTGCTTTCTATGGTGGCCAAGGACCGCCGCTGCTGCAAATAAAAAAAGATTGCGATGGACAAAAAAGTTACTTACTGCGAAAATAAAAGGATGCAAATAAAAAAAGCCACAACAGAAGTGAGCTCCCGGGGACCAACAATAAAGTGTTTTGGCCTGAGTCGATATGAAGTTTAACTTTTTTAGCATTCTTTTTTTATTTGCAGTAGTGGTGGTTCTCAGCCAACGTAGTTTTTAAGGGTCTGATACAGTGAAAAACATGTGATTCCTTGCCTTATATATATATATATATATATATATATATATATATATAAGCAGCCCTGAAAAACCCTTTGCATTAGTCCATAGTCTGCCTGCTGGGAAAACATAACTTCAGCAAGCCAATTTTGGATTTCCTCCTGTGGCGATGTGATGACAGCAGTGATTTCTGTTGGCATGCATGTCCCTCCCACTCCAAACCACGCCACTAACTCTGTCATTGGTTCAAAAAACAAACACTTATGTCCATATTCTGTCCCAACATGGTTTCACTCATGTTTTAATGTACAGCAGAGGAATACTGCAAATCCTTAACAGCTGTTGCCTTCTCTGGGTTGAATTCTGGTTCATGTTTGGTATACTGATGTAGACTCTCCTGGAGCACTCGCCATATTTGGTTTGGTGTGTTCTGCTTCTGCATCTATTTGCACAGCTCTTTATTCTCCACTTATTAGACAATATTCAGGCGGTCAATCAGCATATTCCTTTGAGGGATTTTTCAAGTAAGCAATGGTTTTGTAACACCTTCATTGGTTACATATTTCCTTCACAGGAGGTCCAAAGGAATGGGAAAGCAGGCATCCCTGCAGGACGGTGGCCCAGCCTGCTGAGTCTAACATGCCCTCGCAGCAGTGGTAGCGGTAGTGGCAGCGAGCAGTCACTCTCCAGCGCTTGTAGTGAGTACTCCAGTGGCTCCCACACCTGGGCAGAGGGCCGTGGATTCTCCAAGCAGGTGAGTTTCACTCCTGTCTCTTCAAATTTAGTATAAAGTATTGTAAAATTTTAGTTTTTGGCAGCGTTATTAGATGATTTTGATTTAAAAGAAGTGTTGTTAAGAGAAGTATTTCACTGACATTCTCTCCATGTCACAGTGTGCCGTAAGCAGGGACAAAAGGATGAGCACTGGTTCAGTATCCAGCAATAATTCAGCACCAATTGAGCAGACAGAACTGGGATGGAAGGAAGGACACATCCTTAAAGGTCTGAAACGTCTCCAGACGAGCTCCAAAGAGGCCGCAATCGCACCCGTTCCACACTGCAAAGACTGCATGACCTTCAACGAGGGTATTTACTCACTCGGTGTTAAGTGTGGCCAACAAGGGAGCACAGCCAAGCCAGGAGTCCCAACCAGTACACCTGCCAAAGCTGCAGCAGGAGTTATCGCCCTTGATTCTGATTATGCTGAGGATGATTCTCCAAAATTACAAAGAACTGAATCCAGTGAAACAAAAGAGCTTCTTTCTTTGGAGAAGTTAGAGGTCCCAAGAGATGAAGACAACAATTTCCATGAAGATCCCATAAAACTTGCAAGGGATTCTGGTCTTTTCCCCTCACCTGTTGCAGACAACTTCTTCTTTCTCGAAGGCCCCACCATCAAACCTGGTATAAGCCCGACAGAGAGCCTTTCGCACCTGGAGGAAAGAAAGCACTCTCTTGAGAAACACAAGTCATCAAGCCTGAAGTTAAGCGACAAAAACAATAACCAAGAAAGGTCTACTGACCGCAAATCCAGACTTGATCAGGTCAAAAGACAACAGGGTAGTTTTGTAGTCAAGCAAGTGGAAGCAGGAGCCAATGATGTGAGTTCAACCCTCCAGAATTGTGCAACAAGAGCCCTGAGCTGTGTGAGTGCAGCCAGGCAGCGCAGCTCCTCCATGGAGGTCCCTCACTGCAGGGATCAGGCAAGTCAAGCAGGAGGTGAAAACCAGAACTACACGATCTCAGAATCTCCTCAACGGAAACCCAAACCTCAACTTTGTGACTCTGCAAGAAAAGCTTTTATTCTTCGAAGCAAGAGCGCCGATGCAGGACAGGAACAACCCAAACACACACACTCCCCTCTCCACCAAAAGCTTATTAAGGGTCACAGGCCTAGGGGACAGTCCAACCCCCCTGTACACAGTGTGTCCAGCAAAAGATCGACTCTCAGCAAAACACACGGATCAAGCAAAGGAGCATTACCTAAAGCTGAGAAAGACGAAGATGTTGCAGTTTCAGCAAGTTCCAAGTCTCTCAAAAGTATGCAGCAGTGCTCTCCTCTCGCTTCTCCTGTGAAACATGCAAAGACTTTCAAACCTCCGGGGATCAACGAGAGCTCCAAGAGTCCAACAAAACTACCTTTGCAAGTGACCAGACCTCAATCAAGCAACGACTCTACAGAAGACGGCATCTATGACAATTTGCCGTGCTCGCCGCGGAAACAACGCCGCCAAGACCAACACTGTGATGTGTCCCATACAGAACCAAGATCCCCGTCTCCACCACTACCTCCTGGTCGAACTACTTCTCTGGTTCTCAGATCTGGAGGTGACAGCTTATCCAAAATGCAAACATCTGCAGGCCAGGTTCAAAGCTCAACAACCGGGAAGGTGACAAGCAACACCAAGCCACAATCAAATCAGCTTCCTTCTGCTCCTCAGCCTCAACAATTCAATGACAATCCAAATGCCCCAGAGATGAGTGCTGAGGGTATGCCACTGAAAGATGTCCCTGCCAAGGTTTACCATACCAGCTCTTCAAAGATACCACAGGCTCCAGTTCAAGAGTCACAAGCTCCTGAGCCAGTCCAGTCAACTATGGACAGATGTGTGACCTGTCACTATGAGAATGGTCCTCCTCTTCCAAGTCAGAGCATCTTACAGAGATCCCAGCAGAGCATCAGTGAGCCCAAACTTTCAGAAGTCCTGCCTCAGGCCTATTCTAATGTTTACTATCATGGGATTGTGAATAATCTTCAGAGTTCTTCCTCAAGAGCTGTAAAAATGGCACATCCAGTCAACGCAAAATCTCACGAAGCAATCCCCGGACAAGACTCCAACACCTTCCTCCTTTTTGGAAGACAGAACAAAGATGAAACAAACCCTGCTCCAAAAACTCTCCAGACCTTTCAGACTTTCACGTGTGATCCTCAGATGATGCATGAGTGTGGCGCCCATGACAAGGCCCGCAGAAAGATCGAGACCCGCTGTAACTCGCTGGATTCTGAGCCCCCAGTTCAACCCGTCCCATCGGACAGTGGTGTGATGTTAGACTGGGGGTTTGATGAGGAAGGATGGCTGTTTAAACGATCAGTGTCCGTGTCGACCAGGCCGCCACTTAAGCCGGTGATGGGCATGAACGGGGCCAAGGCTCGCAGTCAGAGCTTTGGCGCTCGCTACATGGACAGGCCAAGCTTCAATAGATCTGGAAAGGTCCGCACTCAGATCAAAACCCACTCAGGTAGCTCCTTGAACTCCCTCAGTGATGTCCTTCCTGGAAGTATGAGTTGTTCCAGTAGCTACCACTGTCCAATGAACCGATCCCTTTTGAACAACTTCCTTATTGAGGAGGGTTTGGCGGTCCCTTCACAGTTGGGGTCCTCCAGCGAAAGACTGCAAAGCCTCAAACTCCAACGTGAGCAAGCTAGGCGCCTTCAAATCGAGCAACAGTTTTCAAGCGCCTTTGGCGAGCCAGTCTCTGAGGAACCGGAGAGACAAAGTACCATAACCACAATCGAGGAAAAGGTGATGCTCGGTATCGAGGAGAACTTGCACAAGTCTCAGGAACAGGAGAGGAGCGTTGAAGTGAAGCAAAAATCAGGGTCGACTTTAGCCAACTGGTTTGGTTTCCGTAAGAGTAAACTCCCCGCTCCAAGTAGCAAAAAGACGGATCAGCCGAAAGTGAAGGAGGAGAAGAGGGAGCAGAAGATCACGTCACTTCTCGGAGGGAAGCAGACAAAGTCGGAAAAAAAGAGGGACAGAAGAAAAAGTGATGGAAAAGACTGGTAAGAAATCTTCCTTTTGCTGTCGATGACTTTTACGATTTTCACTGTCCTTTAAACTTTTCAAGATTCAAACAGATTTCTTCATAACTGAGAGAAGAACTTTAACGCCTCAGATATATGGGCGCCATTTGGGTGAAAAAGGTTAGGGTGACCCCAGGGGCCTGTGGCTGCCAGGGGCCCCAGAATATATTAGAAGAATACACTTGATCCACTTTAAATTTAGACCCAACGTAATTAGAGAAAACTTTCTTTGCAGTGTGCTGATAAAAAAAACCGTCTCTGTGTTATTGCACTTACACCCCCTGTAAGTTCATGAAATGGTTCAGTCCTTCCTTCTTATTCCTTGATATAAGAGCGAGCACTTTTTTCCTGACAGTGAGTGAGGAGTGAAGAGTGACACATCATGTCATGAACCCAGAAAGGAAAGAAAAGAGACAGGAGGAGGCAAAGGTGGACAGCACATCATCCAGTCTTCTCTCTTTTAGAAAAGTGGGTCTAGACAGTGTGAGAAATGAATCTGATAGAAGAGTAAACCTCGAATGCTCCTCTGGTATTTGCTGTCTCATATATGGAAGCATCCAAACTGTTTTTTCACACAATCAAAAACATTAATTTTTATTCTTCAGTTGCTCTTTTGACCGTTTTCTTCTTGCTTAATTTAACAATGAGACAGAAGATTGTTTTCTGACCTTTCAAAATAAAAGCAGGTTTGAACAAAATGGAATATGGAGCAATCAAAACACAAGACAGCATGTATAGATATGAAGAGCAGTACAGTGAACCGCTGTTTCAGCAGTTTCTGTAATTTTACAAGATATTCAATCAATGCTCCTGCACTGTCTTTGCTGTCTCTGCATTAATAAACACAGGAAAATAAAATCATCCTATCAAAATTCAATTTGCATTGTAAAAATGGCCTTTGGCGCTTTACTTTTCAGTCCCGCATCAAACAATCAAATAGTGAGCTGCAGTGCATGCAGCATTTTGCATCCATATCCCCTCAGTGTAATAATTTTAGGGTTGGCATGCTAACAGCGAGTGAAGTTGTGGGGTCCTGTAAGGTGTTTGTTCACGGGTGGTGCTCCTGCTCTAAGGACTGTGTTTATTTTCACTGAGCAGTCAAAGACGAGTCCGTCTGACGGATGGAGAAGCATTTCAGGACGAGATTAGCTGCCAGGTTCCCAGAGATACAGGACAATCTATCACCCACGGCATGTTGAGTCAATACCAGACGGTTGTAGTTTGTTGTGGTTTGATGACAAACTGTTTTCTTTCAGTTCTGTGGGGAGGAGAGAGTCTCATGATGCAGTGCGAGCGTGCATCTCAATGCCCTGCCCGGGAATGTCCCTGAATGGGATGCAAGGACATGCTGAAGTTATTGGGGACCCAAAGGTAAACAAAATCATGTCTGTCAGAAAAGGCCGTTATTTGATTAATGAGAAAATGGATTCAGAGTTTGAGTCCATCTTAGTTCTTGTTAGTGTACGGTAGGTTTACTTCAGGAATATCACAGAGAGGGACTGAAAACAAAACAACAAAAGTCTGGGAGCAGATGACGGGACTTTAAGGACCATCAAATGAGAACAGTTGGATCAAATAAAAACAGAAAAGCACAATTACATGTCTCTATGAGCCAGAAGTGCTTCAGGCTAATTTCACCGACTGTCCCTCAAACCCTGTTACACTTAGTTTCATCACTCTGGCCTTCATTATCAACATTGTTTTAAGACTTTTACATTTATCCCTGTATTCATTACTTTCTCCTTGAAGCCACTTTATTCATTCAGAGGATGTATCAAAAATTTAACTAGTGATTGCATCAAATTTTCAGAAGTCTCAGGCAGATTCACTTTGGTGTTGTTCAAATTTTTTGTTCAAAACTGTGAAACTGGTGAAACAAAACAAAGAAAAGCTCCAGGGAGGAAAGCTTGTATAAAACTGACATGTCTCTTCCTTTCTATAATCAAAGAAAAGGATAACATTATCAGTTTTCACCTCTGTGTGACTCACTGTCTGTCAGTTATTCTCTTTTTATATAAAAACAACATAGACAAAATAAACAGAGTGAAAAAATGAGCAAAACTAAGAGTGACTGTTTTTCTCACAATAACTCAAAGATGCAGATGATGAACCTGAGAGCTGATGGAGAGAATGGATCCACTGTGAAGACCCCCAACCAGGAGCCTGTAACAGGTGAGGGGTTTTTGTTAAAGGTTCCAGTAACTTCCTGCATAAATGGGTCCAAATTTAAAGGGATAGTTCGCTCTTTTATTTTGAAGTGAGGTTGTTGGACGTACTTGTCGGCATTAGGTATTTTATCCTGGTGTCACTTACGCACGTGGACACAGTTTGACGATGCACAGCTGCCCTCAACACTGGACCATTTTCAGACAATTTGATGGGATGTACCTGGTGGAGCCATTCTTTAGTTTACCTGTGTGGCGCTGTGGAGAGCACCACAGGACATATAAGGTGCACACTAATTACCTCAGGTATGGTGCACAGAAAGCCTTTAGTTTTTTGACTTCCAGCTGAATTTTTGTGTTGATTGATTGGTTTATGGCGCAAAAGAATAAATGGAGCGATATATCCAATTTTTTTCGCCGACAGAACTTTTATTGTTTTAGCTTAATGGAACAAGTAAACGGACACTCAGTGGACAAACAAAAAACTAGCTGAGGCTGCGAGTGCATAACAAGTACAACAACAGTACCCACAACTTAGTGCTCATTCTCCTGAGTCTGTTTTTACTTCCTCACTTCCGTCTTTCCTGCTGTGTGAGTCACTTTGTTGTGCCTCTTTGAGGTCTCTTTAGTTCCTCTTGAGTGTTAGACTTTTGAATTTCTTTTCTTGGATATTTAAAGTCAGAATTTCTCAGAGAACAAACTTACCTCTGTGTAATAAACAAATTTAGCTTCAGGAATCCTTCGACAGATCTATCCTGGATGAGCTCCAGTTTATGTTACGACCATCTTGTTAGGGTGAAAGGAAGTAAAACAAACCATAGAGGCTTGATAAGGTTGAAGGACCTGTGGATGCTCTAGAACAGAAGGAGGATTCTGACTGAGAGTTTCTGTCTAAAAAGAGAGAAATAACCTTCATTCGTGACAGCTGTGTCTCTCTGGGCTCATGGTTTACACATGGTCTGCACCACCAGATAATTTGGCATCAGCCCGAGTCTCCAGTTACGCAGAAGTTTCTCCCCTCTCTCTCTTTCGGTCCTTCTTCCTCTGATCAGTGGGCTGCAAGCCGAAGAGGCTTTTTGGTGGTGAAGTGAAGAGCCCCAAAATTCTCTAAATAGAGCGTATGCTCACAGTGGCACTAATCCCGGTGTCTGAGTTTGTTAAAATGAGCTAAATTATGTGGTAGCATTGATCCTGTCAGCGGCCCAGCTTCTGCTCTGGTTCTCCTGCTGGTTCCTCATTAAAGGTGCCAAACTTCAACGGGATCTCCTTCAGGTGACACACTTAGTACCGACGAGTACCTCACACAACCCCGCTCCAAAACAATTAAAATGCAGACTTTCCCTTTAATCTTGGCGACTGTAAACTAAACTGAGGTACTGGGTACTTAGCAGCGCTGTTTGCTGTGTGGATGTAAGCATGCCGGCTTGAAGGTCTTGTCTGTGTTTACCATTTTACAGTTTGCAGACAGAAGTGAAGACCAAATATGAAAGATGTGTGTAAGTCATGAACATGATGAATCTGCTGTTTGAGTCAAACAAAGAGGCAAAATGCTTCATTTTGTCGCTGTGTGCTCTCCGTTTGGCCATGTTTTTGTTTTTCTTCCTTTTTCTGCATTCTTCGTTGTTTCGGTGGTGATTTCAATCAGGACGATCATTTCACCAGGGCTGTGTTTCACGCAGAGTTTGCCCTTTAATGGTGATATTGTAAACAGCCTTGACCGCTCATCTTCACAGAACCATGCACTGGAAATTTGCATGCTCAGACTCATCCCATCAGGATGAACCTATTCATCCATACAGCCGCCTAAGCTGCCTCCTGAAAATGAACTCTAATCTTGTTTTAACCCACACACACATATATATATATATACACTCCTGACATTTCCTCTCTTATTATTGGACGCTCAAATCCTGGTATTTTCAGCCTTTAACAAATATGACAAGAGACTGTCTTCTGTCGGCTCACAACATGAACGACTGTTTGGTTGAAGTGAGGGAGCACCTTGGGAGCGAGCAGGAGGATGAGTAATAGCGACCGTTTATGTGTCAAAGGAGTTAAAGGATGTCTCCTCAACTCAAACGCTGCAGCAAAACACAAAATACAGACACCAGAGGTGAGAAGTGAAGGGTGTACGCAGGAAAAAAACTCACTTAATATAAACTCCATGACTATTCAGCCCAGCGTCTCACATCGAATGTGCCAGAAATGAGTCATGCAGCACTGGCAAACAAAAGTCAAGTTCATCTAGATATATTCAGCTGTTTGCATCTGTCTGCTAAGGTGTATAGATGCAGTTTATGGGTGAAATTTAGATGCATCGTTTAACTAGATATTTTGAGTTTGGCCCATGGTTTGTTAACGTGAAATAGTGCAGGGCTCAAACACAGCTTCATTAGGAGGTTTCACAAGGAAAACAGGCAAGAGACGAGTCAGATGCAATTAGCAAAATGTGCCAAACTGCTCTTGGATTAACAGGCAGCATGACTCAGCTGATAACTCGCCTGGTGTGAACATGGAGGCGGATATGGATTCGTCTGAAGGTAGATGCTTTAGGAGTGAGGGGAAAAATATCGCAGGCTTTCTCCATGCTCTGCTGGCTAACACCCTTTCTGGTTAAGAGACAATAACTGACACCACAGCTTTATTTATGTATCAAGACCGACAACACTGTGAACAGTTTCCTTTTATAAGCAGGTACAAAAGAGCTCCTCCAACACTAGTTTCAGACATAAAGAAAATCAGATAAACAAATTGTATTTGTCGCCCCTGATGGTCCTGTTTGCTTTCAGATATCATAAAAAGGCGTCAATATGAATTTCAGTCTATTTCATAAACATTAAAAACTCCTTATAGGAGCTTTAAAAACCAAAAAAGATCAGTTTTATCTCAGAGTTCAGCAGCATTTTGATTCCTCTGTAACGCTCATGTTTTATCAGACGGAGATCATATGTCTCACTCAGATATCTTCTTACTAACCTCAGGTGTTTACTCCAAGTAACGCCCATTTTAACACTAATTTATGGGCTTCAAATCATCATCAGAGCCCAGACTTCTGGATTAGAAAATACCCCGAATATGTCAAAACACTCGAGCCGTCTTTGGCTGGGATCGACTCGCTAATCAATGACGCTTCAGCTCAGATGTGATCGGTCCAGCCCACACACACACACACACACACATACATTTTGCGCTCTGGTTGAAGTTAAGGGTGGCAGAGAGTGGGCGAGAGTCAGACGGAGAAACTTGGCATGAAGTTAAACTTTTTTTGGTCCTCACTTCATGGTGGTCACTTTGCTAAATTAAAAAACAGCAGCAGATAAAAGTCAACCCATCGCTCAGGTAGAGGACTGGGGACACACCTTGCTGAAATTTCATTGACCAGAGTGACACCATCAGCAAGCCTCTGCAAATACCAAGCATGTTTGATACGGCCGGCCGCCTGCCCTCAGGGGTTAATCACCTCATTAAAATTTCAGCAGAGCAGCAGCAGAGCACGCTCATCTGAGCCACAACTGAGTCAATTAGCGTCGCCTTCAGCTCTGAGCTGCATCGTGGCATCCAGACTGGGAACAAACTTCTGTGGCCTTCAGTTTCAAAGTTAACAGAGCACTTTTTAAAACTCCAGAGACAAACACAAACACAGGAGGTGAGGTGAAACGATAGCTTTAGTGACACTGAAGCGAGAAAAGTCACATTTCCTAATCATTTTGACGGAGAGTTTGGAGTTATCCACTTTAATATGTTTTTATTAAGCTATCGCTCACCTTGATTTTTCATTTAGAGGGTCAGCTTGAAACTTATTTGCTCACAGTTTGCAGGTTTTTTTTGTGAAAACTAGTTATTTTCTCATCTGAGGAGAAAAATACCAAAAAAAAGAAAAAAAAGTTTCCAATCTGTCTTGATTGTACTCGTGAAAATATTTCTGGAATCAGCTGCACAGGAATTTTTCTCATGCGATAAATGGTAAACTTTTTACTTTTACAGAAAAAAGTTCAAAAGTAATATTCAAAATAAAAAATAGAGATTTAAGAGTAGAGGTTAGTTGAAAAAGTTCAAAATATCAAAACAAAAAATGAAGATCACTGCAAAAATGTGTCCTTCTCTTCTCCTGGGTCTGTATTTGAAGTATGTTATACCCGTTACCATGACGACAATGTTATTGTTAAGCCAAAAGTCACTAGTACACAGGGTCGCCGTTTTAACCGTAACATTGGCAGTTTTAACTTCATCTTTAAAGGCCGTGATCCAGGAGCGGAGTGAATCAACAAATGATAAATAACTTTGACAAGATTCAGAAAGAAAATATTCAAAGAAAACAGAAACTGGACGGAGGAAAATAACCCTGAAAACACCTGAGCAGAACTGTACAGTTTAATTCTACCATGTTAGGATATTTAGTGGAGCGATATGTACGATATCTATTAAAATAACTCGTAAAATAACCTTAATGTATTATCAAACATTAAAGAAACATACTAAGTTAAAATACTGGCCTCCATAATCACAATACAGCAAACAGAAAAGTTCTAATCTCAAGTTTTCTGAGTACTATAGAAAAAAACGAATAAATGATGCAAATAAGACATTCTCCATAACACATACATCATTACTTTAATTTCACTCTTACATACACACACCGTCTTATATGATTTTCAGTGTTTTTATATCCTCGAACCAGAAGATCATTACCACAAAGTTGTCTTGTTACATCGAGCACGTATCGATCGGGTGTGGTGGAGCAGAGAGGAGACACGAGGAGGACAAAAACATCAGCGTTCATGTTAAAGCCTTGTTGAAACCAATCAATGCTCAGCCGCTCTGCTTCAGTCTTTCCAGAGAAGACCGTGCCACAGCAGTTCTTGTTAACTCCAACTTAAGAACAAACCAATCAATAACGCCTGTTCTGTCCTCTCTGTTCGATAATTTGTACTTGTTTACTTCAAGATAAATATAATCATTTCTATCTGAGGTGCTGCCTCGCTAACAGACGAATATACGGTCATAAATGTGTCCACTAACGCTCAATTCCTGACATATGTAACTGACTCCTGGTATAAAGTGTTCAGTTTGTTTATATCTGACAGGCATATTCACAATTTCACAATTTTTTAAATAAATTGAGTTCTCCATCAGAAAAAAAGGAGCTTGTAGAAAGTCAGAGGCAGGGTGTAAAGTCTCCTGCGTGCACGTCTTAATTAATAAAAGGGGAGCAGCTGTTGCCCGTGCTGCAGGGTTTGATTGCCTTCAGTTCCTGCTACAGGGTTCATGTTAAAAACACGAGTCTGCACGGCAACAGCTCGAGGAAATCTCTCCTTATTTTGGTTTTCTGCTCACTGGACGGATGGCTAAAACATTTGTTCTGAAACATAGATGACTCATACAAACACGGGTGAACAGAGAGGTTTACCTCTCTGTAAACACATGTAAGACGTGAAATGATGTGACAGCGTATCAAACTTGATTGACCCAAAATCTGCTTCTTCAAATAGTTCAACAATTAAAGAAAAAAGTTCTCAAGTGTACAACTGCAAAGAATTTGTGGATTTTGTAATCAGATATTTGCATTTGAGGTAGTTAGTAGAAAACAAATATTAGGGTGACCATATTATGACGTAATCCTGACTGCGCGGGGGCGGAGTCACAGAGTCGCACAAAGTTAATTTTGAGAGTTTTTCGGGTCAGACCGAGTGTCTTTTACGCACTTCTAACTCAGTAAGGTCATGTGACACGAACTTGAAACTTACGTACAAAACTGTAGACATTTGAAGGATTTTATAAACTCCCCCAGACAAAGTCCGGACAGCCCCCAAAAAAGAAGACATGTCCGGGTAAAAGAGGACAGATCGTCACCCTATAGTGTGGCCATGATTCAGGCGGCACTGCATTGAAAAACAGACATGACTCTGCAGTGGAAGTTGCCGCATAAGTATAACTACTGTACGATAAAAAAGTTAATTGCTTTGTCCACAATTGCATTTTTAAATCTCATCATGCAGAGAGAAAATCACACAAACAAATGATTCATGCAGGTAAAGTGGAAAATCAGATTTGACATTCTTTTTGGGAATCCCATCCGTCAGTGTAAAGAGCGACCACCTCACTTCTCTTGCACACAGTTCAAAGCCAGCATCCGTTGTGGTTTAATGATGCATCAGTGTCCATGTTCTGGGTGGTCCACACATGTGTAAAGGCTCCATTAATGCTGATCAATATAAACAGGTTTAAGAGCAACATATGCAGCCATCCAGACGATGACTTTCTTTTGAGGATTTTGCAAATTTAACAAATAGGCGCCAAACCAGACGGTGCATGTATTACAACAATTTGGCTCAGTTGTAGCAGAGTCCATCTGCTACAATGTGGACTCTGTCTGCAGCCCTGACTTCACATCCATTACAAACATTTTGGCAAGACTCAGACCTGGTCATTCTTAGAGCTCCATTAGTAGGTCTCTTCAGACCCTAAACTCTAGAATACTAGATTTATTAAAAGAAGAGTTAACGCAGTACATGCCTCAGTCATAACTTTGTTGAAATGTGTTGCTGGTATCAAGTTTAAATCTAGCGAATCTTCTTTAAAAACATCATTTTTACAGGGTTGTAATTTAGGACTTTTTCAGCATCTGTGTTTTTTAGAGCATTAGAAACCAAAACTATAAATACTTAAACTTCTTTCTTCTGGTCGTGTTTGCTCTTGAAGGTCACAAATAACTATGTTTAATTATATTATAACAAATTACTATGTTTTTTTTATCAATTTGGGGAAGAATAACAACTAAACTTATCCTATTTTTGTTTCAGTTGGCTTATATCTGAACATGTCAACAAATGTACGTGCTGTAGAAGTATATTTTATGTTTGAGATGTGACAGCTTGTCCGCCTCCCAAGCTGTCAAACTTTCCCGAATGATATGTTTGACATATCGTTGATAAAAAATACACATTTGAAGTGTATTTAAAAATCATTTCATGAGCCATTCCCTGCATCTCATACCCACAGTGTGATCGGTGCATGCTAGGTGTTAAATAACAAAACAAAACATCCATTTAACAACATCCGTGAAAAGCAGTGGTTCAAGTGGGCTGTATTTGGACAAAGAAACATTATCCTGCCTCATACTTAGGTGTTATTAATTTGTACCATTTTTGTATTTTAATGTAAACAATTGGCAGATAAAATGTGTAAAAAGAAAAGAAAAGATGAACTATCTGTTGCTTTAAAAAGACAGAATACGAAGAGGAGGAGGATCACCTGCTTCCAAGAAACAAACAGTGAGGGTAATGTGGCAGGAATAACAAGGAGGCATGAGGGAAACAATCAAATGATGCGGCAGAGAAAATCCATCATTATTGATTGGCAAAGCTGCCTTCATTTGATAGTTAAAGCTCTTTTACTGATTCACATCCTGAGTTATGATTGTGAACACTTTATCCATCAGAATAAGAAACAGTTTATTCTCCAAGAGGGGGATCTTTACCCCGACTCTCCTCAGAGACTTCAGTACAGAGCGACAGAGTAGGGTACATATGTTTTCAAGGCTCCACTTCAACCATGGTTACCCTGTTGTTTCCTCCTGTTGTGCTCCGTTGTCTTCTTCTTCTTCTCCTCCTTCTCCCCTGAGCCACTTCAACTGTTCTCCTTGTGCCGCAGGCTCCGGCTGCAAGATGCGAACGTTGGACAGTGGAATTGGGACCATCCCCCTTCCTGAATCCTGTTCCTTCTTCTCCTCCATCCTGCACCTCCTCCCCAAATCCTCATCTAACCCAGAGCCGTCCCTGAGCCCTCCCAGTGTCCCCGGTTCCTCCAGCGAGGACGTGTCTCCTTCCCCGTTACCCCGGTGGAGAATCCCCTCCGGCTTTAAGGACGGCAGCCTCGCAGGGGTGCCCAGCTCCCTGTCCGACTCCTCCGTGACCCATATCCAGTCAGTGCCTTTCCCCACTGTGGCCTTCCTCCAGCCCATCCAACCCCAATGTGAACCCATCATGACCTCTGCCAGTGTGTGTGAGACCCAGAACAGGCTGCCCAGACCACCACCAGGTACAGTAAAGACGCAGAAGTGTGGTGTTTGGGCTGCAGAAGCAAAGGTGATTAAAAACACATCTTAAATCTGAGTAATGTAATTCTGCTAATATATGATCATGAATTGGGATGATCTGTCTCAGTTTGGCATAAATCAGATTTATAAGCTTTGAGACAAAATTTGAGCAGATGTATCGACTTTTTGATGTAATGAGATGTGCACATGATGCGAATAAAAAGTGAATCTTTCTGTCGTCCATCAACATCCTGCTGTTTGTTTAGAGAACAGCCACTGACTGTTCCGCTCTGATTACTCTTCATTCATTTATTCATTCGAAGCAGCATTTCAAGGTCATGCTGGAGCTTCATTCACATGACAAAATACATCTCCCAGTGAGTCACTCTTGTCTGATTTAGTTTGACTATCTGTGCAAATGACATAGAAAGAAGATATGTCTAAATATAACTGAGTTTAACAGACTTCTGAAAGCAGCGGTGACACAGTGTGTCATCGCTGTAACCTCGGTGTTAATCTCCACACCGTTGGCTCTCCTGCAGGAGGACGCTGTGCAGACAGGGCTATGCACTAATCACGCAGCATGTGCCAGAGAAAAACACTCATCCTCACTGTCAAGAAGAGCTGTGTCTGTTATGTGTTGATGGTTTTAATGAGTCATGTTTCAGTATGAAGCCTGAAGGGTTCTCAGTGTGACGCACGACTTTTATTTTAATCTGCACAGTTTGGAAGAGGGACTCTGGAAGAGATGACTACTAACCAGGCTGAATCTCAGTTACAGCAGCTGTGTCTCTCTTGATTAGCTGAGGCTGTGTTGTTCTTTGAGACTTTCAGGTTTTCAGTTCTCACACAAAAACACAATTTAATGCAGGTTGCAGCCTGAAGTGGCAACTCTAAGTGGCAGATTTCAGAAGCTCTAACAAGCTACTTCATAAAACCATAAATAAGCCCCAAAAGTTGTGTCTATAAAATAGTCAAGCTGTATTTCTTTGTTTCTTTGAATGGTGAGTAACTGGGTTTTATCAAACATAAACCAGTATATATAAAAACATACTATACTAAGACATTATTTTCATCAGAGAATATGATTTTTTATCCTACTAAAATATGAAATTTTTACCATACTATACTATGACTTTTTTTTATTTTTGTACTAAAATATATTTTTATCTTACTATACTATGCTATTCTTACCAAACTATACTATAACATTTTCTATCATACTATACTATGAGATTTTTAAAATACTAAACTATGACTTTTTACATACTTAACTTTGACATTTTTTTAACATACTATAATATGACATTTTTAACATACTATACTATGACATTTTCTATCATACTAAACTATGACATTTTTATCATACTATACTGACATTTTTTTTTCATACTATACTATGATTTTTTTAACATACTTAACTATGACATTTTTTTATCATACTATACTATGACATTTCTATCATTCTATACTATGACATTTTTTATCATACAATACTATGACATTATTTTCATCAGAGAATATGATTTTTATCCTACTAAAATATGAAATTTTTACCATACTATAATTTGACATTTTTATAGATTTATTCTAAATTATATTTTTATCTTACTATACTGATGACATTTTTGTATCATACTGAAATATGACATTTTTTATCATACTATACTATGACAGATTTTTAACATACTTAACTATGACTTTTAATCATACTTAACTATGACATTTTTATCATACTATACTGACATTTACAACCGTTACTAGCATGGTGTACCTAATAAAGTGGCCGGTGAGTGTATATCATACTATACTATGTCGTTTTTTATACTATACTATGTCATTTTTTAACATACTATTCCAAAGTAATTTCATCATACTATATGATGACATTTGTATCATACTATACAATGAGATTTTTAACGTACTATACTGTGACATTTTCTATCAAACTAATCTATGACATTTTTAACATACTTAACTATGACATGTTCAATCATACTATACTATGACATTTTTAACATACCAAACTATGACATTTTTTTAATCATACTAACCTATGACATTTTTTTAATCATACTAACCTATGACATTTTTTTATCAGACTATACTATGACATTTTTAACATACCATATTATGACATTTTCTATCATACTATACTATGAGATTTTTAACATACTAAACTATGACTTTTAATCATACTTAACTATGACATTTTTTTTTATCATACTATACTATGACATTTATATTGAACTATACTGACATTTTTATCATACTATACTATGACAGTTTTAACATACTAATCTATGACATTTTTAACATACTAAACTATGACATTTTCTATCATACTAAACTATGACATTTTTTTACATACTTAACTATGACATTTTTAACATACTTAACTATTACATTTTTTTCGTACTATGCTATGACATTTTTTAACATACTTAACTATGACATTTGTTTTATCTTACTATACTATGACATTTTTTTACCATACTATACTGTGACATTTTTAACAAACTATAGTATGACATTTGTATAATACTATACAATGAGATTTTTAATCTACTATACTATGACATTTTCTATCAAACTAATCTATGACATGTTCAATCATACTATACTATGAGATTTTTAACATACTCTACTCTGACATTTTTAATCATACTGACCTATGACATTTTTTCATCATACTATACTAAGGCCTTTTTTTTCATACTATACTATGACATTTTTAACATACTATACTATGACATTTTCCATCATACTATATAATGACATTTTTATCATACTAAACTATGACATACTATATTTAGATTTTTTTTGTCACACTATACTTTGACATTTACTATCATACTATACTATGACATTTTTAACATACTTAGCTATGATATTTTTAACATACTTAACTATGGCATTTTCTTATCACACAATACTATGACATTTTTATCATACAATACAATGACATTATAATGTCATAGTTTAGATGTCAAAGATTTTTTAAATTCATTTATATGCCATTTTTTATCATACAATGCTGTCATCACCCAGCTCAAAAGTCAGACAAAAGAAAGAGGCAGAACAGAGTCAACACAAAATATGATTTATTACAAAATAAATGGTTCAGCAATGTGTGGGTCACTGTGTCTGTTGTTGGATTAGTGGAAGATGTGTATTTGTAGCACGTTGTCAGGTGAAACTGTAACATCAAGGAGGCTGAAGCCAACTAAACAAAACCATGCTGCCGCAATCTAATAAAAATGAGAGACAGAAAAAGACAGGGAGGGTTGGCAGCCTGGTCTTTTGTACCCTGGAAGACTGGCCAGGAACAAGCAGGTACAGCTAAACCCCGCCTACCAGCAACCTGCAAAAGAAACAAGAAAAACCTGGAAAAGGAACAAACAGTAAGTCCTGACTAGGCCTAAGGGTTGTCACAAAACTATGATATATATAACATACTATACTATGTCATTTTTATAACATACCATACTATGACAACTATTTTATCATGCAATACCATGACATTTTTTTCATACTAAAATAAGATTTTTTTTAACATTAAAATTTAAAATTGTTAACATACTATACTATGACATTTATATCATACTATACTATGTCGTTTTTTATACTATACTATGACATTTTTCAACATACTATTCCATAGTAATTTTATCATACTATATGATGACATTTTTGTATCATATCATATGACATTATTTTTATCAGACTATACTATGACATTTTTATCATACTATACTATGACATTTTCTATCATACTATACTATGACATTTTTAACATACTTAACTATGACATTTTTTATCATACTAAACTATGACATACTATTCTTTGATTTTTTTTGTCACACTATACTTTTGACATTTTCTATCATACTAAACTATGACATTTTTAACATACTTAACTATGACATTTTTAACATACTTAACAATGGCATTTTTTTTATTACACTATACTATGACATTTTTATCATAGTATACTAAGACATTTTTATCATACAATACTATGACATCATTTTCATCAAAGAATACGATTTTTTATCCTACTAAAATATGAAATTTTTACCATACTATACTTTGACATTTTTATAATTTTATACTAAATTATATTTTTATCTTACTATACTATGCTATTGTTACAAAACTATACTATGTCATTTTTATCATACTATACTATGAGATTTTTAACATACTAAACTATGACTTTTAATCATACTTAACTATGACATTTTTTTCATACTATGCTATGACATTTTTAACATACTTAACTATGACATTTTTTTTCGTACTCTACTATGAATTTTTTAATCATACTCTACTTTGACATTTTTTATCATACAATACTATGACATTATTTTCATCAGAGAAGATAATTTTTTATCCTACTAAAATATAAAATTTTTAGCATACCTAAATATGACATTTTTTTTATCTTACTATTCTATGACATTTTTTTTACCATACTATACTATGACATTTTTTACCATACTATACTATGACATTTTTAACAAACTATAGTATGACATTTGTATCATACTATACAATGAGATTTTTAACATACTACACTATGACATTTTCTATCATACTAATCTATGACATTTTCAACATACTTAACTATGACATGTTCAATCATACTACACTATGACATTTTTAACATACTTTACTGTGACATTTTCTATCATACTATACTATGACATTTATAACATACTTAACTATGACATTTTTTTATCATACTATACTATGACATTTTTCAACATACTATTCCATAGTAATTTTATCATACTATATGATGACATTTTATTTATGCTATACTATGACATTTTTGTATCATACTGAACTAGTGCTTGGATGTAGCGGGTTCGGAGAAAAGATGTCTGACTTCCCAAGTTTTTTCACAGAGTAAAGAAGTCGACCTTGCGTGGCCTCCATGCTTTTAAATAGTTGGTCTCTTGAGGCAAACACTTTTTGTTGTAAACACCGACTTAGCTTTAAACCAGCTGTCACTCTGGCACTGAAAATTAAACTCTAACTTTATTTCAATAGTGTTTCACTTGACTTGCGTTCAGGCGGTTGTTGCTTTAAAGTCAGAGATACGATTCCGTCATCTTTCAGGATGTCAGCCTGCGCTCTGAGCGTCACACGGATCTCCTGACGCTGTGGATTCAGGGTGATAATCATGCTTTGTGCGAAGGTGTAAGATGTCAGTCTGTTGGTGTCACTCTGTTCTACTAACTCCACGTTCGACTGCTCTTCCTGACAGGTGAGAAGATTAAATCCGACTGTCAGGAAACCTCTGAAATGAGTTTGGCTATGTGCTTTTTTGTAGGTGCAATGGAACCAAAGAAAATGACCTACATCAAATCAAAACCACGAGCCCCGCCGAGCCAACAGAAGGAACAAACCAGACTTCAGCTCGCCAACTGTAAGAGGACAGACTTCACGACATATTTATGGTCTTTGCCCGCTCCTTTGATACAAATGCTTTAGTTTTAAGACAATTAGTTACAGTTTTATTTGATTTGCAGAAATGTTCTGATTCCAGAAAAGAAACTTATTTTGATTAACTTTGAGTTTCAGCCTTGAAAATTTAAATCAATGTTGCATTCAGAAAATAAAACAAAAAGTAACCGTCCAAACTCAGAGGTCAAAATACTTTTGTGACAAAGACAGGCTCAGAAACTGGTGGGTTTTCTTTAACTCTAAAATAGTTTACTGACAAACTTGATAAAAGTTTAAAGATCCTCATTGGCAGTTTCATTGGACTGTAAAGATAAATGGAGAGTCTGCCTCCAGTGTCTTCGTCAGAGGGACTCAAACTTTGTCTTTCCAAACTGCCTCTGTAGCCCCAAGCCTCAGAGATGGAGAACGTTTTCATTTTCCACATTATAACGACGGAGCAGATTACCTTATCCTCACAAACATTATGTACTCTAGTAAAGTATATCATCTGTGGCAGAACTTTTATATCGAACCAATATCCATCCCCGCTGGGCAGAGACTCATATTCATGGCAGCTTCACACATGACTGACACGAGTTTCACAAACACTGTTTTAACGTGGGTGTGCAGACTTGAGTGTGTTTTGGGAGAAGCTTTGAAAACGCCTCGGAGTCAAAAACCTGCCACAGGTCTGGAGCTGCACAAGAGCTGTTTATGAGCCTATAATGGACATGTGGTGCATTTCCAGAAGGGAATTAGTTTGGTTCAGGACAGTTTGATTCGGTTATGGTTAAACCCTAATCTTGCAGACTGTACCCTACGCTTGTGCTTCATGCAGGAAGTGTTTGGCTGTGTGACAGCCTAAGAGGGGCTTCTCTAGTTGGTATAACTAGAGAAGCAAGCAGTCGGCAACATTCATCTCTCGAGGGGGTGTCTAACTCAGTGTTACGTTGTGTTTGACCCTAAATTAAATTTACACCAGAATATCCCTTTAACTGCAAAAATCCATAAACCAGCTCCTTCAGTTTCCCTGCTGTAAATGTGAGGCTGTCCTCCAACAGGAAGTGTTTGATCATGTTTACAGTCAGCCGTGCTACAGGATGTAACTGTTGTCTGTGTTTCTGTTCCAGAGTCCATGAAGCTGAATGAGTGGACCTGAAGTGTGGTACTGGGCAATCAGCTGGGTTTATCACTCCCTCACACACAGAGGACCCCTAAATCTCACAGTCTGCACACTTTGACGCTGTATCAGGATGAAGTACTCACCACTGGACTCTAAGTGAATTTGGCATCGCGAGCATCCACCTGCGCTCAGTGTGGAGCTGAGATACTGAGTTTACTTTCAGGTGCAGTCATGAAGCTTCTGGCGGCCATGTTGGAGGTTTGCAGCTCGCTGGCATCAGCTGTGAGCAGCTGATTAAATGTCTAAATGTAGCAGCTCTGCCGTCTCTGGACTGGAGTCAAACAAACGTCTGAAAAAGTAGCAACTTAAAACAAAAATGAGTGATTTTTCAGTTCAGTAATAACAGCGAAGCTCCTGTAGCTCGGTCATGGCTATCTGCTATCATCACCATCTCACACAAGCTAAAGGTCTCGGTTTGAGTTCAAGTCAGCGGTCTAAATTCTGCATCGCTAAGACGTTACTGCACGTAAAGCTAAGTGATACCTGAGTGATATATGTTGGGCACAAAGTAGAGCTAACGGCTAAAAAACAAATAAGAGAAAAGGGAGTGAAAATGGACACAAACCCGCTGTCACATTGTACAACAAACATCTGCCTGCCAAAACCTCATTTAGCTGCTCGGCCTGCCGTCACGTTAACTCGCACTAATGAAAGACAGCAGGCCTCCGTCTGAAACAGATCTAAATACAGAAGCAATCAATAAGGAGCGATCAATAAGGAGACATAGCGTTATTTAAGGTGACACAACATTAGCAGACGTGTTTGCCTGGTGAAAGTTCGACAGGCAGCAGCTGTCCCCTCCACACTGAATCTTGTAGTGATTCTGGATCGTACCGGTCGACTTTCACCCCTGATTATGACTCAAACACAACCTGGGAAACTTGGCTCATTTACTGACTCTGACACACAGCTTCACCATTTCTTTGTCTCATATCGAAGGCCATAATAAGGTCACTGAAGTTATCCTCAAAACAACAAATTCCTCACTGAACAGATCTGCAAAGTGAAAATACCGAATTCCTTTTCTTTTCAGGCGTGGAGAAGGTCAGCCGAGTTTTGTGCGAGAAACAGAAATCACAGAATAAAGATCAATTCTGGTTCTGGTTAAATACTGAGTAAAAGTCTAGGAGCGTGAGAGCAGATCACCACTGACCAACCTTTACTCTGTAATCTGAGCTACTCAACACTGACTTTTGAGTCATGATAACAAAACTGTTACACAACTCCTGCATAGAAAAGATGTTTTAGCAGTGAATGTAAACTGTGATGGGCAGTTTTAGGGAGATAGAGGGGCTAGATGTGTCTCTGGTAGCCAAACATATCCAGAATCTAATTTTTATTACCTCTCTCAATGAGAGGGGGGAGAAAAAATTATATTCTGTGTAATAAATTTCTAAAGTTTGTCCACAGTCCCATAAGCTTTGCTGGCAGAGGCGGGATTTATGACCTATACTGCAGCCCGTCAACAGAGGGTGCTGTTCTCGGAGTGGCTTCACCCAATGAGGAGGCAGACTCTGTCCATTCTTTATACAGTCTATGATTTAAACTCTTCCTATCCCCCCTGCAATGACGGCTCCCTGGACTCCATACCTATCAGTCCTTCTGACAGTCTCCTGTAATGTGTCATCATACATAACGGTTGACTAAATCCACATTACCAGAGCTTTAAATGGGACTTTTTTTGTCCACAGGGGGCGCCAAACTCCACTCAGAGCTGCGTCAACTGATTAATTCATATTTCATTTATGTCGGCGTAGTCAACGATGCAAATAATCTTTATCATCGTAAAAATTCTGTTTGTACAAATGTGATATTTCGCTTATTTGATTCAGCCGTCTGTGATTTTAATCAAAGAAAAACCAGCTCTGGACTGACTGGTGTTACCCAACGTGGTTCTCCATCATGAGCTTCATCAAATCTGACTCATTGATCAGGCTACTTTTGATCAACTGGTCCCTTCTGAATCTTTAGCTTTCCAGACATTTAACTCCAGCCATAAAACCGAGCTGCTGTGTGTTAAGAGGCAGTTAGCGTACGGCTCATCTGAGCAACTGTTTAACCAACCAAGCTGCGTGATGTTTAAGCAATGACTCGATTCAAGTTTCCACATTTAAATAACTTTGCACAAGTAGAAACCGTTCCAGCTGAGGTCTTGTTTGGAAAATGATGAAATGAATGAAAAGTTCTGTGAAAACCCAGCTGAGCGAAGACGATTTATCCTGCAAACATGAGCTTTGAGTGAAAATTAAATCCCGCTTTTTGTTTAATAACTTTCTCAACTGTAATTCCCACCAAACTCTGTCACTGAAGACTGCAAACTTCCATCCTGAGGACTTTTTTTGTACAGCACTAACTACTGATTGCCGTTCATGAGCTCTGTACCTGACTGAGTAATGTGATCTTTTAAAGTGTGCACTATCTTGTTGGAGTTTTTATTTTTATGTTAATAATCTAAACTTGCATGTTGACACCTTACGGCTTATTCTTAACGCAGAAATGCATCATATGAAACTGTTTTCTTTTTTTTGTAATATAAAGAGTTTCATTACCGCAGCGATCACGATCTGTCATTACCGGAGCAAAGATAATATCTTTAATTCACACCGTCACTCTGTAGTTTTATCACGTATCTGCTCTTGTAATGAAACTCTTTGTATTTTGCTCACAGTCTACATCTCTCCACATGATGCCACAGTTATGACATCAAGACAAAGCAGTGAGTTTTGCATGTAATCGTAGTAAAGCACCCAGTAGGCACATTGTAGACATTGTTGTGCTAGCTCAGGGAAAACGCCATTTACTGTCTCTGATAGACGCTGTGGATTCAATAAGAAGAACCTCAACTTTACACCATTTCACTTCAGCTCAACACTTCCCTCTCATCTGTACATTTACCTGTAAAATATCTCACCACGGTCGCTCAGTTACTCTCTGAATTATGTATGCTGTGTCCTTTCCTCGTACTGTTTTTGGTGTTTTTCGAATGCATCCTCACATATTTGACAGTTTTAGCTACTTTGCGATGTTTTCACCCCCTCCTTCACCTTCGTCAGCTTCAGCCTTTCGTGTGTAGATATTTGCCAAAACTCACATTGCCAAACACCGCTCTGAGCTCATCGCGCATATACAGAAAAATGGATGCAACTGAACCTACATATCAAACTATAGCCATATTCTTGGACGCATTAGAGACAGTTTCACCTGATGTAGAGCACTGTAAAGTTGCACAATATCACCGTACATGTCATCTTACTGTATTTACCTCCTCTTTAACTCACTTGCTACATGTAGATGTTGAAAGTCATATTTGTAAAACTGAAGCAGAGTTCCTGCCGACAGCAGCAGCAGCGCAGGTGAACTGACTATGTAGCGTGTAACAGGTGAGGTGAGGTGTTAATGATCAGGGAACAGATAGGCTGTATTGATACGGGTAGATGGAGCATGGTGTCTGTGTTTAAGAAAAAAAAAAAAAAGAAGCTCACATAACGAAAGAGCGACACTCTCACAAGAGTATTGTATTTTTTTAACATTTACTCTAACGCCCTGTATTTGTACTCTGCACTGATGAGTGTAACTTACCATTTATTGCACATATTCTTACTCACTATTACAGTAATGCTCCTTCTAACTGTTTTTTTATTTCAGAGCCCGATAATAACAGTGATGTTTTTGTGTGGCAGTCACCTTAGCAGTACAAACTGAGAGTTGTATATTACTGATATTCTTTGTTTTATGTAAAAGAAGAAGGAAAAATAAACTATTTCAATACTTATACAACATTCGGCGTGTCGTTTTGTGTGTTTTGTCGTCTCTCACCCAGTTTTAGTGCGTCCAGAGCAGGAAAAGTCCAGTTCGCTCTAGTTCCCACATCTGTAAAAACAAGCGTTTTTTAAATTTGATTTACAGACACCAACCTGTTACGGGCTCGGGATCAGAGTTCATCAAACTGGCTGCAGACTCCTGCTGCGCTGCCAAACAGCACCGTCAGATAAGGACGAACAACAAAAAAGCAAACAGACAAACAAACAAAGCTGGATGGAGAGAAATTAGTCTGGACCTTTCTATTAAGCCCGAACTCCTACAGAATCACACATGTACAGTTTACATAATACTAGATCTTAACTTATCTAATCATAGTGTATCATATTGTATCATAACTTATCAGAACATTCCGTAATGTATCGTAATCTTACTTATCGGAACATTCCGTAACGTATCATAACATAACTCATTGGAACATTCCGTAACGTATTGTAACCTCACTTATCGGAACATTCAGTAATGAATCATAACATAATTCATCAGAACATTCTGTAATGTATCGTAACATAACTTATCGGAACATTCTGTAATGTATCGTAACATAACTCATCAGAACATTCCGTAACATATTATAACATTTAGTATCATATTGTATTCTATAGTATTGTACACTTATATATCATAGTGCATAGCATCTTGTTGTTCTTTATTAACCTAGCATCACAAATGGGTTTTGGAAACACTTGATTCATTACATTACTCTGCAGGAGGGTTATTAACAGTTATGTAATGTGCCTCTGAAGCAGCGACCAATCAGATTAGATTAGATCAGCTCAGCAGGGGACCGAGCACATGTCAATAGTCGTGTTAACAGACAGAAGCATGAAAAAGTAAGAAACCCTCTTTATAACCACTGAACCCTGTCTGTTCAATTTTTTAATTAAAATACATTCAGTTAAAACGACTCTTAAAGCAGATTATGACTGGTCCGGTGTATCTGACTCTGAGGAAAAACGTTGGTGTCATCACATCATATAATTCTCTTTACTATCATGTGCTCCTCCTGTAGATTTAGAAAGTAAACAGTTTCTTTAGAAGTATCAGTCTCTTTAACCTTTTCTGTTATGAGCTGTCCGAGCGAGTGCCTTACGTCTTTGACACTAAGAGCCTTTTTGATTTATAGATACTCGTTTAATAACAAGATACGCATTATGATCCTTTCACATTTCACTTTTAAATTGGGTTCATTTTGGTCCTTTTGTTAAAAAAAAAGCTTCACTTTAAAGACGCAGGGACATTGTGTATGCAGTGTAGGTCTTTGTCTGATCTCTTGGTCGGTCATCCTTGATTAGTGTTTCTGATTTTAAAAAGCTCTATGCATAATGCCTCCCAGTGTGCCATCACTCAAGTTATGACACTCTTGCTCTGGTGCAGATTTAGCTAAACTGTTTGGCACTGAAGCCTGTCGAGGACTGTATCTCACCCTCATGCATGATAAATAAGGGTGATAAATAAGGAGAAACTTTAAACTCAGAGTTTCACCTGCTCAGTTGGAATTGTCTCCCAAAATGTTAAAACCTCCTTTTAATCTTCTGACGGCTTAAATAGCTGCCTGTTATGACTTCTGCTCTCAGACAAGACAAGGTTTTACTTTAATTATCCTCCCGGACGTCTCATTTTCAGAGTAAAAGCTCCTCCGTTGTTGGTTATAAATCTTCTCATTGCTTTAACGTAAATGACCGCTAGCTAATTTAAAGTTGCACCAAAGTAGAATCATAACATTTAAGTGTGTCTTAATGTGCAATTATACAACTTCCAATTAAGCTGATTAGCACAGTAAATCACAAACAACCTCCCTGCAGCCTCTCAATGCAGCGCAGTGTTTCATCCACTGATTAAAAGGATGAAGACTTTGAGTGAGTGAGGATGGAGGATTTAAACAGACTGAAATCGGCTCCTCTTGAGACCGAGAAACAATGACAGAGCAGAATGTGACCCCGCTTTAGTGCAGATCAGCACAAACCGGTTCCACTCTGAAATCCTCCTTCTGCAGCAGTGTGCGAGGACGGCGTAGTGATGCATGTTAAGTCCAAATGAGGAGTCCTGTATTTTTGGCGAGGACAGGTTGGATCAGCAACAGGGAGGCAGAATGGAGCCGCCCTTTATGAAGCAGCAGAGACTCATCCATCTCTGTGTTATTTTAAAGGCTAAATTTCATCTCACAGTTTCCAACCAAGTGTTGCAGACGGCGTTATTAGTTTTGGAAAAGCTTCGAAAATGTTCCTCACTCCACAGTTTCACTTTCATGTCGCTCTGCCACATGCTGAACCTTACAGCGGTGTTCTTCTCTGTTTACCTCTAACTTATGATGCATTTCACTGCCTCTTATATTCTCCTCAGGCACATGTTGTTTTAAAGTCCCGCTTTATGACTTGTTCATAAAAAGCAGCCATTAGAGGTTCAGCAATAAAGCTCGGCCAAATAATCCTGAGGGGTTTTACGTCGATTAAGCTCACAAGACCTCAGCATGTTCAGGAAAAAGTGCAGTTGGACAAAGTTGACTTTGTCCAGGGTCGTGTGGGTACACCTTGGACTGTAATCTACATAATTGAAACACCCTCAAAGAACAGACAAGACTGGACATATCAAGTCACTTTACATCCTGCATTTGAAGAGGCAGCATGGACATCTAAACTGTCACATATGCTGCTCATAAAAGGATGCACTTCCAGCATTTAAATGACTTTTTTATGCTTACAACAGCCAGACACAGAATGCAAATCGTCTACTGCAGCCAGCATCAACGCTATAAATTATGCATGCTCCAATGTGTGGCCATTTTGCAGAGTTATGTGTAAATTACACACAAACACATCTGCATAATAACACCAACAAGACGGTATCATCATCACGCTCATGACCACTCATACAGCGTTTTTTTCCACCCAAGTTTGAGACTCAGATTCAGTCAGAACACGTCAATGCAACTCTCTCTGATGTGTAATTTACTCACATAACACGTCTGACCTACAGCATGCACAGACTAGACTGTAAGACTGCACATAAAGGTGTCAGTGGTTACATGTTTGAACCACCTTCTCGATTTCCTTTGTATATTTGGCTGCTTCTTGTTTATCAGAGACCTTGTTGACTCCTTCCTACTGTTCCTTAGCCAGGATTCACTAAAAGAAGAGATTTCTACTGTCAGTGAGATGAAAAAATGTAAAATAAAAACATTAAATTAAACAAATTAGACTGTCTAAATCCTTATTTAGGGCCGCCCAGTCCCTCTAACAAAGGAACATGAGCTTGTTCGTGTAGCCGGTTGTAAGTCGGACTCGTTTCCAGTGAGAGTTGGGTTCTGCCAGGGCTGCCCTTTGTCACCGGTTCTGTTCATAACCTTTGTGGACAGAATTTCTGGGGGGTGGAGGGGGTCCAGTTCGGCAGGCAGAGGATCACGTTGCTGCTTTTTGTGGATGATGTGGTTCTTCTAGCTTCGTCGAGCAGTGACCTTCAGCTCTTGCTGTGCGAATCAGCACCTCCAAGTCCAAGGCCATGGTCCTCAGTCGGAAAAAGGTAGAGTGCCTTCTTCAGGTCGGAGGGGAGGTCCTGCCTCAAGTGGAGGAGTTCAAGTATCTCGGGATCTTGTTCATGAGTGAGGGTAGGATGGAGCAGGAGATCGACAGGTGGATCAGAGCGACGTCAGCAGTGATGCGGACGCTTAACCGATCTGTTGTGGTGAAGAAAGAGCTGAGCTGTAAGGCGAGACTCTCGATTTAATGGTCGATCTACGTGCCGACCCTCACCTATGGTCATGAACTTTGGGTAATGACAGAAAGAACAAGATCGCGGATACAAGCGGCCGAAATGGGTTTCCTTCTCAGGGTGGACGGGCTCAGCCTTAGAGATAGGGTAAGGAGATCAGAGTAGAACCGCTGCTCCTCCACGTCGAGAGGAGTCAGCTGAGGTGACTCGGGTATCTGGTTAGGATACCTTCTGGACGCCTCCCGTTAGAGGTGTTCCAGACATGTCCCACCGTGAGGAGACCTTACGGCCAGCCCAGGACCAGGTGGAGGGATTATATCTCTCTCCTGGCCCGGGAGAGTTGGTGGAAGTGGCCAGGGTGAGGGAAGAAGGAAGAAAACGATGACGAGACTGTCTAAATCTTTGCCATCTATTCCAAAGAGCTGCGTGATTCAGAAGCATCAGCGGTGATTAACATGAAGATAAGTTAGGCAAAGGTTCGGTAAAATGTGCGTTTCAAACACTTTAATCCAAGGTAGCAGGCTGTGATCATGTTTACTTCTGCTGTGAAGATGGACATTTTAACATGGGCGTTAATATGGACGTTATGGTGTTTGGAACAAGCCTCAAGTGGACACTCCAGGTACTGCAGACCAAAAGCTGCAAACTCAAACTGTCATTTTAAGACTTGTTTGCAACAGCACCCCCTAGTGTTCACCTTGGACCATGTTCATATTATGTAAAATTTTAGTGTACCTTACTGTAGCCTTAAGGGGTAACTCTACCCTGGAGACAGAGTTACCTCTTAATTGTCCTTTTTTTACATTGATTGTTGCCTATTTGTAAATGTTGTGACCTTTGATTTATTATTGGAGCATCTGTAACTCTGTTTAATTAGATCTTTTGATCTTAACGATGAATCAAACTAATAAAAAAATCACAGAAATATTTAAAGCCGGTGAGTTTTTTTTTTTTTCTTCCACAAATTGTTTTATGAGAATCTCGACAGTAAATTTTGGTTCGGCAGGTTTGTGAAACTCTAATTTGGGGCTCTGGAGGTCAGAGCGCTGAATCTTGTTCGGTGGATTTATGGTCTCATTTGTGTAAAACGATGAGCTATAAATAAGGTAATTAAAAAAGACTGAGGAGATCTTTAGGTGGATGACTGAAGGAGACATTTTCTCTCTGTGTTAGTGTTTGATTGACTAATGAATCAAATATAATAATAAACATGTAAACTGTAAATACACTGTAATTCTCAATAGTTTTGGTCTTAATTAGGTTTCTTGGTGGGTTACTGATCACGCGCGACACACAGTGCAGTCGGGTACGCGTGCGTGTACGTGCGTCAACGAGGGATAAGAGAGGTGAAGCATCGCAGGAGGTGTCAGGCTCACCATGCAGGGCTGTCAGCTTCTCCTCAGCGCCTCAGACCCGGAGGACCTCCGCCGCTCATGTTCCTGCTCAGAGGCTCAGTAAGCGGACCATGCGGCTCTTCAGCGTCTCCACTCTGCTCCTCTTCTTCTCCAGCTCAGGTACGGACACACAGCCTTCACGTCTTAACACTGCACGGGGATTAAAAAAAGAAAAACAAGTCTTTATTGGCCGCTTGAGCGAAAAACTTCCAGAGCAGCGTGTTTTTGGCTGTGAGGGTGTGATACGCAGCGCGCAAAGCTTGGAGAGTCCGCGTTAACCAGCCGCCGTCTCACTTCAGAGATAAGTTTTTATCGCTTATTTTACTCGAGCAATGATAAAGGAAACGCAACATGTGGATCTTCGTGTATCAGATCTTTAATGGGGCTCTTTTGACATTCAGAAAGCTGGTTTTGGCTCTGCGCTTTGGTGCGTCTTAAACGATCCAGGTAGGTCCTCATAAAGACAGCTGATCCACGAGACTGAGCGCAGTCTGACTCTGGATCGTGACATTTTCCTCTGATAATGACCCTTTTTGTCCCGTGTAGTAGTCTGCAGTGATCTGTGACTGTGTAGAGAGGCGGTTTGACATGTTCTGGTAACACTGGCATCTTCTTTATCGGTCTTGTTCTGCGGAGATGGACGATTTCTCGATCGGCGCCACTAAAATGCTGCATTTGAACGAAAACGGAGGAGTATATCTTACCACCTAATGAAAGTAAATTGTTGTATGGTTGAATAAACAAACAAATAGCCATGTTTAAGAGACACTTGAGCAAATCCTGGTGTTAAATTTCTCTCTTGAATAAATTTCCATAACTTCCTCCCACTTACCAAGCCTGGAAACTCAAATGAAGTGTTATTGTCTGCTGTTATCTGCTTTTCTGTACATTTAGTAGATTCTCACTGACTGCGTAATCTCGTTCTTTCAGGGGACAACAGCCCGTTTAAGTCTGTAACAGATTCTGCTTCTAATTTGCACTGATATGAAACATATGACGCACAGTTTACGCACAGTTTTCTCTGCATCAGGTTACCGGTTCACCAGGATTTATGTGACTTGTTTATGTCTATCTGGTAAGTGTTTTCATGTTTAAAACCAGCTCAACAAAAGCTGTTTGAGGTTCTGTGCAAACACTAAACTCTGAGTCTAAATGCTAATCCGAATCCACTTAATCTGATCACGTATCAATAAATGTTTCCAGCAGGCTGACTGCAAGATCCTGTTTGCAAATTTGGAGAAACCAGCAACAGTTTGAGGTAGACCGATTATCAGCCTCGGCCAAATAGCGAGGTCAATATTCAGCGTTTAGCTGATTATATGGACCGATGTTTTATTTTGCAGACAGCTGATAAATGAATTCATTAAAAATGCTCTTTGGCTTCTGCTGCAGGTGGTTTTCACTCTCCTCTCTGCCTCACCTAAAGCCCCGCCCCCATTATCTGATTGGCTAGACGTCAATACTTTAAGTGTATCTGGTTAACTGTTTACTCCTGTTTAAGATTTTTAAAGTTTCACTTTTAAATGAACTTTTGCTTTGCTGTCCTGAAATGTGACACGTGTTTATGTTGCGTGTACAAGATATTCATATTGTGCATGCAAGACTAGGCTATAGCTTGTGCACACATTATAATGATCTTGTACTTTCAGCTTGTTTGCACATGAGCATGTCAAATATTTACAGTAAATGATGAATTTGACTTCTGAAAGTTTGCAGAGTGAGCGAATTTCATAAAACGCCAAAATCGGCACAAACTAAGACTACGTTCACACTGCAGGTTATGATGCACGATTCAGATTTTTTGTTTTTTTGTCAACAACGAATACAGCATCTAATGTGAATGGAATGCGTCCGTGAAGTGACCCACATGCGCACAAAGCGCCTGTTTGTGTTGTCGAACAATGGTGACGTTTGTCACATATTGATGATGTATAGGTCGGATGAACTCGACCTGAGCGTCCACACTGCGGTCACATCGGATACATATCGACATACAAAAGAGGCCTGGGTCAGATTTGAAAAAAATCAGAATTGACCTGTCCACACTTACATGAAAAAATCAGATATGTGTCAGGAACAGTTAAAAAATCTGAATTGACCTGCAGTGTGAACACAACCTAAAAGTCCCTCACAGGAGCTTTAATAGATTCACAGACCGGTAGTACTTCTGCTTTAGTGAATATAAGAGATGTAACTGTACTTTTACTTCAGGAGATTATTTTAGCACTGTTTTCGACTCTGCTAGCTGTAGCATGTGATGCTCATGCACATATTTTGACCAATCAGAGCGCTTTGACGCACTTTTATGGGGCTGCTCATCGAGTGTTGGTGTGCGACACTAAAGGCTTTTCCTTTGGGAGAAGAGTTTGATGAAAACGAAGGAACCGAGGACAAGTTTCTTTTTTGTCAGATCTACTGAAGGCCGTCAGAGCCCGGTGCACAAACAATGAACTTTAAATGCTGTTATTGAGGAACATCTCACAGAGTTTTCACTCAAAAGTAGAATATTTGTAATGTTCCTGCAGCCTGAGTAAAATGAAGGGCCTGAATTATACTTCAGGGTTTCCCCAAAGTTAACAAAAAGCTCTAAATCTGAATTAATTCAGAGTTTAGAGCGACTGAAAGTAAAGAAAGTTCACCCAAATTTGAAGAAGCCTTTCACACGACGGAATAAAATTTCAAGACATGATGAAATGTTGCAACAACATGCTGCTGAAATAAACCGGCAACTCAAATGTGCCTAAATAATTGAAGAAGTCTGTCACATCAATTTGAAACGGTCAAAAGTGAGAATATTCACCAAACTGAGAGTCACTTAAAGAGGAAACTTTCTCTGTGATTAATATGTAAATGGAAAATGAGCAATAGTGGGAGTGTTGTGGACTGATAAAGATGGTGGATGTTAAATGAGTGTGTGTGTTTGTGTGTGTGTGTGTTGCAGGGCTGGCTCTGCAGATTCAGTGTTACCAGTGTGAGGAGATGACACACGACTGCTCCACACCGGACTTCATCGTGAACTGCACCGTGAACGTGCAGGACATGTGCCAGACGGAGGTCCTGGTGAAGGATGACGGTGAGTCTGTCCATCCTTTTTTCTCTCCAGCTGTTTCTGGACTTTCAGATTATTGCAGCGAAAAACAGACAAACAGAAAAACAGCATTATCATGTGTGTGCGAGATAAAAGTTTGGTTGTGTTCAAGACGATTGAAGATCAAGATGAAAGTTATCACCTCTGCAGAAGGAGGGGGAGGTGATAGACGTACAGTACAGGTCTTGTTTAAGGTTAATACGATTTATCCACAATAATATCAGAGATTTAGATGATGGTAGTAGAGATTAAAAGACTCAAATTTGATCATAAAAAGTGATTTACCAGATCATGATAACTTTAATCAGCTTGTATTTATTGATCGATTTTAAGTGGGAGTCAAAACCTGCAGTAAAAATGACTAAACCGATGTCTGAGTGAATCCAGTCCTACACAATCTAGATCCACATGATTGTATCTCGTTGCTCAGACTTCTTTGTTTCCCAAATTCATGAAATATTGTCGTATTTCTCAGCAAAAATCCACCTTGAAAAGAAGCCGAGGAAGCCATTTATATGACTGACTAGTCTGGAGTGTTACACAAAGACCACATAAAGAGAGAGAGCTCTGCAGCCTCTCAGCCGGCAGCCAGGCTCTCTGCTGTGATCTGGTCTGAGGTCAGCTGTGAAAGGCCTTTCAGTGCTTCATAACTATCATCAGAGGAAGGGAGTCAGGGTCGCTGTTTGAAGTCATGCAAACTTTTCTATTTCCAGTCAGGGTTGTTTTTTTTACCACAACTTTTGAAGAAGCGAACGGTCAGTGTGTTTATATGAACACCTACAGAAGGTGCAGTTAAAGCTGGACTGGGCAATTTTACAGGGTTAAGCCGAAAATAGACAGGATCCGTACTGAGCGTGTTCTGCATTTGCTTCGTAGAGTAGCATTTGGTATCGCATACAGGATGCGTATTTGGAGCGTAGCAGCAGCGTAGTGCAGCTCCAGTCAGCTGGGCTCAGTATAGACGAGACAACATGCTCACAACAGGTTGTTTTTCTTTTCTGTGGTCTATTTCCTGATAATTTGGATATAATTCAGTGACTGTTGAGCCTCTACTATATGTGAAAGAGTAATGTGATTTTACAGTTTGGATTTTTGCAGGTTCACTCATGTTTAGTAAAGTAAACTCTGTTTCTTTATGCTGTTACCCTCAGACAGAGTTAGCAGTTCAAAGTCCTGTTGGGTCCACATGGATCAGGGATTGACCATCAGATTTTTCTGTGTTACTGATAAATCCAGAACCAGGAAGTATTTCTCATCTACATGAACTGATACACAGTTGGGAGTTCACATATGGTGTTTTATTTTGAAATATCGGATGACATTTGTGGTTTTGTGCTTGACTTCCTGTCTGGAACGATCTTCTCTGTGTGGATTGACTCATATTGGATGCGTAGAGCAGCAAAAATCGACTTGTCGCGTCTCTTTAGCAGACCCGCGCTCGATACGCTTCTAATACGGAGCTAAGACAGAGCTGAGATGCGTCTTGTATACGATGCTGCATTAATTAGAATGTAAACCTATTTGCTGCTTGATACACGACACTGACTTTACACGCTCATTACGGATCTCGTATGTTTTAGCGTTTACTCTCTTTGTTCAGATTTACAACAATTGACAAGCGCATGTTAGCCTCTGATACAGTAGGTGGTGACATTTCCCCAATCCCCACATCATATAGTGAAACATTGGGCTAAAGCATAAGTAAGTGACTAACAGGATGTGCGTCAGGATACGCGTCAGTCCTTTCCTCTTGTGTCCATGTTTTGATGGCGACCCTGTTCCTTAGCAACGCATTCATTTATCCTCTTATTGGGGGTCAAAGCTGAACGTATGCACCATGCACAGAGTCTAATGGAAGCGTATAGGTGGAGGAGGGAATTGATCGCTCACTGCATTAGCGAGGTATTTTAGTCTGGCTATCAGAGGTTTGATTTCAGAGGGACTAATGTGTTTTTAAAAGTCTAGTTTTAGTCAGACTAATGGCCTTCGAAAGACACCGTCCCTTTCAGCCAAAGATGGATGAAAGATGTGAGACAGCCGCTGATAGAGACACCTTAGATTGGCTGCAACAACAGACTTATTACATAAAGAGGAATCAAGATGTGAGCACAGATGAGCAAACGCCACATATAACCAGTTTTCATCTTCATTTTTCCACTTTACGTGGGTGTAGTCGAAAGTTTTGCACTTTCACTTGTGCACACCTGAAGACTTGCCCCCGAGTGTGTGAGCCGACTTTTAAGTAGCGGTTATTCGCCCTCTTTGTTTGGGGTTTTCATCGTAACGCTGCCTCTTTAGTGATGAATAATGTGCGTCTGCTGTGTTTACAGGCCTATTTGCTGCAGCTTGTTAGAAACCCAGACAATAAAGGTCACATTTACGCCCCAGGTCTACTTCGTTTTCACACCCGGCAAAAACCAAGGGTCATTTTTCCCCCCGTCTTTACTGCTGATGAGAAAAAGCAATAAGCTGCTGTCTTTGGGAAAGCACTTCCCAATCTAAAGGGCAGGCGCACGGCTCTATAGAGTCGACAGCTCTTTAATAAGAAAATTTCCGCATGAATGCTCGTGTACATCCCAGCCTTTATCTCTGAGTGTTATCATTATTGCTGCTCCGCAAGAAAAAGAGGGCTTAGAAACTCAACTGACCGCACCTTATCGCTTTTTGAAATGCAATAGATATATTCAAAACTGCATCGCCACCTTGGTGCACGGGCTAAAGTGAGAGGAATAAAAATCAGGGGGGCGGTTTGAGTCTGCCTAAGTATTCTCCCCCTGTAGGTGTCTCTGAAGGCGGTGACTTTGCATGCACCACTTCAACGTAGATAAAGGACAAAGAGGTGCTAACATACCTTTTCAATCAGTCGACTGCCTCCAAGTTGAGTCCCTGTATCTGGAGGGCGTTTCTATCAATCTTCATCAGCACTGCAACAATGATCCTGACTCAGAAAGAGGCTGCCTGCCAGACCTTCAAGGTATTACTCAAGAGTGAAAATCCTCCGTCAAATCACCAGGACCCTATTCAGATGACGGCCATTTTTCTTCTTTTCTTCCAAGCCTCCTCTCCGAGCCAATCCTCCATAACCATCATCACGGTTCCCCTCTGATTGTGCTTTGAGGAAAAGTGCACTTTTACCTTGTAGAGGACAGTTGAAGGAGTGTGACTGTCATGTTTCAGCGCGCCAAAATCAATTTCACTGTTCTCTGCACTTAGGGAGAAAAGATAGATGAGAAACTGACCGAACTGCAACTTTCTGTGGTCAGTTTCTGAGTAAAAGTGACAAATTTATGAGACAGTGCAGCGTGATGCAATAACTGAGCGTTAACCGTGGAGTCAAAAGGCCCGTTTGAGACGCTAGCATGATGTTACCAAGACAGGAGGGCGCTCAGCATGAAATAAATAATGAAGTAGTAACAGATCACAGTCAAACGGTGCAGAAGAGAACAAAAGTTAGACATTTGGTCGTAAAGACTGGAGCATCTGATAAAGGTAGGGTAGTCAGGATCTGAGGAAGTTCCAGTTTTAAGGAGAAATCTTGAATGTAAACTCTACCCCTCCAAACCAGTTTTCCCCTCAACTCCTCCTCTTCCCAGACGCTCCTGCTCCAGAAAGCCCCGCCCACAAACAGACGCTCCTGCTCGCTCGTATCGTTCCAATTAAATTCAGATATAATGTAGATAAATATTTCAGATCATTACAAATGGGGCCCAGTCAACATGAAAGTCAAAAGCATTGGTGCTACTGTAGATGCCAACAGACTACCAGCAAACACAATGTTTGCAGGACTTCTACAACTAGGATAAAGTGACATAGTCCAGGACCCGAGGGAGGACAGTTTAGCGATGGCGCTACAACACGCTACAGCAGGTCCGTTTGACAAGAAACACTTCTGTTACAGACACTTGTCTTACTTTGTTAAAGCGGTTTACCTGTCCAGCAGAAAGGTTACAGGGTCACCAAGATCCCCAAGCGTCCCCCATCGTTTATGTTGACCCGGCTTTTTAGCTCTTGTCCGATCTACCTCCATTTTGGGCGTCCAGAGTCTCTGGTATCTTAAGTATCTTATTTGACGACTCCAACTGGTGTTCTCAAGACAGAATGAGTCAAACATATAGATTAGAATTATAATATTTTTCATCAGGACTTTTATCGTTATCACCAGAATGGCAAATCTTATCATGATAAATTCTTTAGCCTATATTGCCCATCCCTACTGTTAACACACAAACTCTTGAAGCTGCCACAGGCTGATCTTACCTCTGTCGATCTATGTTTGTTCATTTGGGAAACTTGTGACTTGTACTTTAAAACAAAACAAAATCCTCTTAGTGGAAAAAACTTCTTTTTACTGCCGGCTGATTTTCAGACAGTCCTGCCAGCTGTTGTGGACATAAGTTGTTCTTTGTGACAGAAATATTAAAAGTGCCCCGGCCTGGAGTTGATGACCGGTCTCAGTCTCAGCCACAAACTGAACAGCGGTCTTTAACTGAGGGTTCAAGGTTATCAGAAAGCAGTGGATTAAAAACAGCCTGTTTTTGTTTACAACAGTTCGATAAAACACTAAGATAAATAACCAACTGAAATCAGAATTCAAGCCTCTACAAGAACAGGAACTAAAAAATAAACACAGTGGATAGTATTTGGTAGAGAGTGTGTGTGTCCTCTGAATCTCCCTGAATCAAATTCAGTTAAGACGGGTCTCAGACAGTCAAAGACTGAAATAGCAGACCAGTGCAGTCGGACTATGTTACATAAAAACAGCACAGCTGGAGTCCTGCTGCTGCTGCTGCTCTGCACCGTCTAACCGCAGAGAGCAGAAAGCAGCGTCTGCACTCGTGTCCGGGATTTCACGGCTTATCTAAATTAGCTTTTGTAATTGACAAAAGTTAATTTACTGTATCAGGTCAAAGGAAATGAGGACGGGGTTTGTCTCAGCAGTTAACATTCATTTGGATAAATACATGGACTGTTGCAGAGGCCTGTTTCTGTGAGTCAGATAACTGTATGAAGTTGTTAAAGGTGTTTACAAAATCAAACTTTTTAGTTTTTTGGTATAATTTAAGAAGTTTTAAGCATTTTAAGCTTTTACTGTGAAATCTTAATAACAAACATGACCTCAGAGTGCAACATGGGACAGCAAAGAAGCAGAAAAGACGTTTGTTCAGAACAAAATAGGGCTGGGCGATATGGCTTCAAATCAATTTCACGATTTATTGATCAGTTCACCTCAATAATGAAAAATTGGACGATAACTACTCCACAAGCTGCTCACCCCCTCCCACATTAACCTCGTCTACTTCAGCCGCTACAACTTTTGAACCGTCCTCCAAATCCTCATCTGTCTTTCCAGCGTCTTAAAGGGACATGAGACCATAGCCTACCTACACACATCTAAAACCAACTTTTATTTATTTATTTTTTTGACACTGAATATACCGATATGGGCAAAATGACATAGGTTATTCTCATAAATTTTGGTATCAGTAAATTTTTGGTTTATCGCCCAGCCCTACAACAAAACCAACATCTTTATCCACAGGGGGCGCCAAAGTCAACACAAAAAGATCCTCACAAGCTTTAAAATCATGTCAGACGTACCTGTGTGACCAAAGTCCATTTGACCGGTCTGGAGCTGCTGATCAGGTCTTCCTAAATCCTCGAGTCCTCCTCTTCACACCAAACAAAGCTGAAACTTCTAAATCAGACATGCTGCTTGAAAAGTGGGTCAGAAACAGAAACCGCCTCTCTCTCTTCACGCTAAGGTTTATTTTCATTTCAGTCTCAGTATTATCCTGAAGTGTCCTGTTTTGGCCTCTCCTCCTTCGGTATTCACAGGTTGATTTTGGACTCTTAAATCAGTCTCAGTATTCATTAAACTCAGGTTTTATCACTTAAATTATCTAAAGTGTCGTTATCCCTCCGGACCATTTATCTGGACGACATCTTTATGTTACTCATATAACCACGACCATCTATTTTCACTGCTTTGTCAGGTTTGATTTAGACTGATAGTAAACCCTGCAGAGACGACTGATACAAATCACACATACAGTAAATATCACTCCTTATCATTGCCGTCAACTTTCTGCTTCTGCTGAGGACGGTGCTGCTAACAGTGTTTTTATTTAACAGTGTAATAAATGAGAAATGCACGCTACAAAAGCTGCTTTGTTCTCTAATAGAAACCAAGTGGTCGTGTTGTTTTTAAAGTAGCTGCAAATATAAAAGCAGCAGCGACTGCCTGGTGTGTTTTATGACATTTTTTTAATAAGAATAGAAAGTCCTTCAGACGTTTTGACACATTAGTCTACAAACTCTGCGCAGCTGACCAGCTGAGCCTCATTAGACCGAACTGTCAGCGCTCGGATCTTTGAAGGATGTTTTACCCCAGCGTGAAGTGGTCCGTTATGTAAAACAAACAAAGAGGATCAGCTTAATGTACTTCAAGGAAATGTGACAATGTCTACCTGAATTTTTCATGATTTTACCTGCTGTGATCTGAAACTCAGACGTTATAAAACGATTTACCAGACTTGAAGTAGTTCTTCATCATAATACCGTTAGAATAACTTTTCTTCACCCGCCTCATCAGCTTTGATCACATCAGCGTCCACTCTGTCCTCAGACATCTGGATTTGGTGATGAAGGTCCTCATACAGACTAATTAGACACCACCCGCCTCATCTTCAGCACAGGAACACCCTGTTCCTTCGATTCTACATCCTCCTCCTTTTCTGTCTGTGACAAAGACAGCTCCTAAAGACACATCATGACGAGATCATTTAATTAAAGAACTCATCCAGGTCTCAAAAAAGTGAGCTGCACCTGAACAAAACAGAGAGAGATGGAGGTTTTCTGTTTTAAAGACTCACCCTGATGAAAATCTAGTTTTTCTTCATATGGCATTTTTCTGATGCTACAGGACATATCATGAGAAAACTAATGGCAAAATTGCATTTCTAAGTATTACTTTATTAAAAATGCTGTGAATCTCTAGCAGACCCAAACGGCAGACTCAGACACAGTGAGATTTCCTATGTCACAAATCCAAACTCCGCCCCCAAAGCGCCGCTATGCAGGCCAGACTTGGAGAAATAGAGAGGATGAGTGTGTTAGAGGGTTGTAATGCTCGTAAGAAAGTTGATTATGATATTAACTTTCATCATGTCCCCAAAGACATTGGTGTCTCAGAGCTGAATAGCTCCTATGTTACCTGCTATTTCTGCTACACTGGCAATGTTAGGCTGCAAGCAAAAATGAAGAGGAGTGTGCAGAGCAGCGCTGTCTCTGCCCACAACTCAGAGGCAAATTGCTAATGAGCTACTGGAGCTCTGCAGAAGAAAAGACCTTGAAAATGACACATGTATCGGGATTTTGGCTTAAAACTTCATAATCACAATTTAAAGACCACTGAGAACACTTTAAGTAATAAAAACGGTCAGAGTGGGACTTAAAAGATGCAAGCAGCTGCTTCACTGTGAAGCTCAAAAATAACTGCAGTTTATCTGTTATTTATCAGAGTTAATGAACCAAACACTTTGGACTTTCACCGTTAACCTGCAGTCTGCAGACAGAAAGAGTTAATGTTACTCACCTACTTTCACATTCTGGACACAAACAAGTAACAAAAAATGTATGAACCTCCAATGACGGTTGTTTCCAGAGGCAGTTTGTGTTCTTGGTTCCTGTCTGTCCATCTGTGTCAACGTTGTAAACAAGATCTCTCAGGTAAACCTCTGAGAAATTTAGGACGAGTGTTTTTAGACTCTCGTTGGATTTTGGTGGCAAAAGATCTCTGAGGTTTTGTCCACGACTAAAAACAATCCCTGACCCGGGACGTATTTTTAACGTATTATTTTTCTGTTCTTTTAATTACCTATTAAAAGCATCTTTAATTTTGTTGGCGGCACTTTCGCGAACAGTTAATTCTGTCAGATGCATAAATGCTTTGTGGGAATTAAAAGCCTTAACACAGATTTCTTCCAAGGATTTCATCTGCATTATGATTTAACAGAATAATTGAATTCTGAAGTTGCCAAAACTATTTAGGTGAACAGACTGGGAGGAGCTGCGTAACAGACGTGTTTATCTAAAGATTTCTCTAATCCTTTTAATTATTTTGTATTCCTTTAAGTTTACAGACAGATGGTTCAATAGGGAAAGTTATTGACCTCAATCTGCTGCAGCCTCGCCTCATATTTATTCCTCTTCAAAGTTTGTTTTAGAAATCCCGGCTTTTAGACGAGATGGAAGACAAAGAAAGACGACGAGATTGTCGGGCTGCAGGATTCTGACTCCATGTTGGTTTAAAGGAGAACCGTGTGCCCTGGTTATCTGTGAGAGGAGAGGAAAGTAAGAGTCTGACATCACACAGAATGTACATAATATAAATGATGATTGTATTATTTTTAAAAAAAGTCCACTTACTCTGTTGTAGTTTCAGTGATGTTGACCCAGTGTAAAACTTTCAGTCGTCCTAAAACACGAAACAAACTCTAAATCTGACAATCTTCAAAACTAACAAGTTTTTAAAAGTTTGAGGAGAGAAAAATGAGCGGGAAAAAACAATATCCTTTTTGGCTCCTTGCTGTGAATAGACTGTGTGATGATGACTGATCAACTCGACTGCGGTGGCATCTACCCAAACCTTTCAATGAGAAGTCTTACTGTATAGTCGCAGCGGACACTTTGCATGAATTCACCACCAGCTCCTCATAAATAGGGATATTCTTCAGAAGTAGGTCAAGACTGTGATGGTTATTTGTCATTTTGCTTTTTGCTGAGTTGCTGCATTTAATTGGTCGCCATTCAATTAATGAAACTATCTCTTAAAAACGTTCCTTTTCTAGACGCCACGCTAACCAAGAAGCAGCATGTGATCATTAAACCCAGGAGAAAAAAAAGAGTTTATGCAATACTAACGTTAAACTGACTCTTTGCTTCATCCCCGTACTCTTTCATTAAAGGCTTGAAAGGCTAAAGTATAATCCTAAAGAACAAATATGATGAAATACAAAGTATTTTAGCAGGTTTAAAGTTCAAACTGAGTCTCAAGGCAGAGGTATGGACGAGTATTCAGAAGCTGAAGAGTGGTGGATCTTTGCTGTGGTTGTGCGTGATAATAAACGGTTCATGTGATTATTGGTTAGTGACTGTTTGAGGTGAGAAAAGCCCCCAAATCTGTGTCAGTGACACCTCAGCGTTTTACTGCACCTCATTTTCTGCTGACTGCCCGACCTATCAGCTGATGTTTCTTCTCTAGAACGTCACATCTGTATTGTTTTACTGAGGGGATATTTCTATAGAGTCCTCGCCATCATGTGATCAGCTGATTTACCGGTCACTTCTAAAATTAGAGGTCTAAATTCAGCCTGAGTCCGGTTTTAATCCCCCAGACGGGACATTTCCCTCCAGATCTCTGCAGCTCTTCACACCATGTTTCTCCAGGATTACTCAGCACCTTCTGGGACCTTCTCTGCTCTTTGCCGTCTGAGGACACGCTAGGATGCACAATTTAAATGAGCATACAGCTCCGTGGGTGTTACTGAGCCGGTATCCGTTGCACACCGTCGGATACAGAGAGGAGTCGCACCTTACGAGGGTTACTGAAAGTTCATGAACTCACGTCTGAATTATTTTGAAGTGAAATGTCAGCCAAATGTTACGGACTCCCAGAGCCGATCCTGCAAACAACTCTGACACGTTCAGGGAGCTGTGTGTACAGGTTACCTTCAGGGTCAAAAAAGTTCAGATTTTAAAGATTAAGTCCACATTTAGGATGAAAAATCTTAATTTTCACTTATATAACTGTCTGCATGTGTAATTTAACCCTCTATATCCTGTTGGCGTCAGCATCTGTGGATTTTCTGACACATCTGGGATTAAAACTAATAATTTCAGTTTGTTTTTGTCACTTTTCCTCCGTACTTTAAGCTGCAGTAGCTGTTTTAAAATCCTGCCGAGGTTTGAAGGGTAAACTGGTCACAGCTGAGGGTCTCCAATAAATTCCCTCTTTCTATCAAAACCTCATTGTGTGTCGTGAGTTAAAGCTGCCTGGTGGAGATAAGTCAACTATTGTGCGATGGTTTCTTTTTAGAGGGGCTTTGACCGTCACTCTTAATGGACTTTTTCAGTATTTTGGGGGATTTTTCTTTCACTGAGCAGCACAGACGTGTCACTTTTATTTTTGCACTGACTGACCGTGAATAGGACCGAGCCGGGCTGGTGTCAAAGAGACGAAACTTTGTTATAAACTCAGAAAAACAGAGCCTTAAGTTTCTGAAGTTGATGCCCGATTCAGCCTCTAATTTCCTCCCTTTGTCTCTTTCCTTCAGGGACACACTACCGGAAGTCCTGTGCGTCCTCAGGAGCCTGTCTCATCGCCTCCTCTGGTTACCAGCAGTTCTGCACCGGAAAGCTCAACTCTGTGTGCATCACCTGCTGCAACACACCGCTCTGCAACGGGCCCCGCCAGAAGAAACCAAAATCATGTGCGGCAGCTGTCACCCTGGGCGCGCTGTGGCTGCACGCGTCTGTCCTCCTGTCCTCTGTCCTCTGCTGACAGGCCTTAAAAAACTGAGAAACACGTGAAGAAGAAGTTTCGACGTCTTCGAAGATGGACTAACACGATAGGAAAATATTTTGCCTTGAAAACTGGAGACTCAGAGATGAATACTCTTTAAAGCTTGTGGAAAGTTTGTACAGTATTTGTCCTCGACTCCCTGGATTACCGTCGATAAGGACTTCAATCATTACACATCTCTTTTCTCAAACATGGTCGCTGCGGAGCTACAGGAGCCGCCGAGTAAGGGGACGTGGAGGACGGGGTCAAACAGCTCCTGGCTGTTTCTGCTGAGCAGCAGATGGCTCATCTGTCTTTGTTTACTCACACCACAAGGACGAGTAAAGACATTTTTTACACACCGTCAAAAGAAATAAATGTCACCTGTAACAAATGTCCATTTTGCTGAAACTGTAATAGAAAAGAGACCATGTGTGATGAGTTTGACGATGATGATGATGGGTGTTAAAGTGCAGAGAAGAAAAAAAGTATCTGATCAGTAAACCAGCATGTTCTCAATCCTGATATTGACGAAAAAAAGCAGAAAAAAGCCTCAAGTTTTTAGCGTGGAGCTTCTCTGTGGACGCCTTCGACTACTTTGTTGTTTTAATGTGATGTTTTGGTGAAAAAGTGAGAAGATTGGCGCTCAAGCCCACGATTGCTGTGACTGTTTGTTACATAAGTGAATCAGTCGGTTTGTGCATTTCATTACTAACATGATTACACATTTAAACCAAAATATGGAGTTTGGGATCTTTATTTTTATTATTGTATCCTCACATTTATATCGTACACTCTTGGGTCTGAAAAACTTGATATTTCACCTCTGCCTGTTGACACTGTGGTAAAAAAAGTTTGTGTCTGTCTCAGGCCGGTCTTGAGAGTCGAGGAGTTATCACAGTTGGTGGTCAAGGATGTGAGAGCAGCCTGAGGAGCTGCCTCGTATTTCAGAAACACAGTAAACTGAGCAGAGAGGGTCTGGGATCAACAAGTTGGAGGTTTTCAGAGCTTCATTACGGATGTAGAAAACCACCGGTTCAGGAAATCCTCAGACTCCAGCGGTCCAGTGATGTTAAGAATGAAGATGCAGTTGTTGGATGTTGACGGATCAGGGAGTGCAGAGCCGAAACGGTTAGGAGTGGAGCTGAACATTAAAGTGGTGGGATAATGGCAAATGTAAAAACCATCAGCCACACTGTCTTCAGGTTTTCCAGGTGTTTTTGCATGTTTGGAGTTTTTAGCCAAAATCTCAGGTTGGACCGAGACGTATATTTGAAGATGTTCATGCGTATGTTCGATGAGTTGCACGCTCAGCAGGTGTCCACCCTGTTGTCCAAGTAGGGTCACTTTCAACTCCAAGCCAAACGGTGAGACTTCAGAAACTCATAATCCAATGGTGGTTTCATCCATTAAAGGGGTATTCTGGTGTAAAATTGATTTAGGGTCAAACACACCGTAACGTTGCTTCTCTAGTTATACCAACTTTAGTAATGACCGCAGGATAGCAATACAGAGCAGTCTGAGAAGCCATAAACAAACCTCAACCAAAACGCCACTCTATAGCCACAAATAATGCTCAGAACAGCACCTAACTTCATCAACAGGACATATAGGGTCACAGCCATAGTACTAGACACCAAACATGTTTTTAAATTTCTTTAGCAAAGAGACTCAACACAACTCACCTACTCTCTTCCAGCAGCCGCTTGTTCGTAGCGAGACCTAAGGCCAGTCCATTACAGACTACAGTGGGGTGCCGCAGCTCAAGGAAGAACATTTATGATCATTTCTTTATGGAAATACAATCAGAACGAGATGCTAAGACAGAAGAACTACTGCGTCCACAGTGAAAAATGATTAATATGGTGATTATTACTTCAAGGAAATGATAAAGAAATGATCATAAATGTTCTTCCTTGAGCTGCGTCACCCCACTGTAAACCTAAAGTTAATATTTGAGCTTTTTTCAAAATTAAACATCCATTCAGTTTATAGTCATGCTTAAATATCAGCTGAGTATGATCTGTCGTGAATTTTCTGCCTGTTTTAAATGTAAAAGAATATTTTTATGAGTTTTATATATTAAAACATTTTTACTTCTCATTAAAAATTAAAGTTCACATCAGGTTATATTTCACTCTCTGACAGTCTGTCTGTTTTCGTTTTGAGAGTTGAATCAGAGTCTTCGGTGAGTTCCACAGACGTTTCCGTGTTTGAAGCCACTCCTGAGTCACTCAGCTGCTGAAAGGTTGTAAACGTGGGAGGGGGTTTCTCCTGCACAACGGTGGGCCGGCTGACCTTGCTGCGGCGTAATGACTTTAATAATAGGGGCTGCAGGGAGCGCCCAGAGGCGGCGGCGGAGCTGTGCAGCGCGCGCTTGTTTTTGTGTTCGATGGTGAGGTGGCACCGCAGCACCTGCATAAAAACCTCCCTGAATTGTCTGGAGGAGAGGTTGTAGAGGAACGGGTTGAGGACGGAGCTCAGGTAGAAGAAAGTGTCGGCCACAGGGTGGAGAGTGACGTAGCTCTGAAAGTAGGTGGTGGTCCAGTCGGATTTGGGTACGGCGGCCATCATGAGACGACGGATCTGGTTGGGAAGCCAGCACAGCATCAAGGATCCCACAATGAGACCTGAGGAGGAGACGGAAAGGAAATCAGACACTGAAAAGGTGAGACTGTTAATGTTCCCCACAAACGGGACTTCTGAGAGTTTTACCACCCAGGATAACAGCGATAATTTAGCAACTATTTCAGACTTAGTCAACATCTTCCAGTTAGACAAAAATACTTTTAGATTAGGGCTGGGCGATAAACCGAAAATTTATGGATACTGAAATTTATGACAATAACCGATGTCATCGATAAATACAGTGTCAAAAACCAATAAATCAAAGTTGGTTTTGGATGTGTGTAGGTAGGCTATGGTCTCATGTCCCTTTAAGACGCTGTCCTACATCAGAGACGTGACTCCACCCCATCCAGACCGTAACAAAGATGGAAAGACAGGTGAGGAGATGGAGGACGGTTCAAAAGTTGTAGCGGCTGAAGTAGACGAAGTTAATGTGGGAGGGGGTGAGCAGCTTGTGGAGTAGTTATCATCCATTTAACGTTATTACTGCTCAATATATTGTGATATTGATTTGAGGCCATATCGCCGAGCCCTAGACTGATTTAATACAAAAGAATTTTTTATCGCAAAACAAACAAATAAATTATCTCGGGTTAGATTCACTTGTACTTGTAATCCTTCGTCAACTTGGATTATATTAACCTAACCAATAAATTGTGATATTGATTTGAGGCCATATTTCCCAGCCCTACTTCAGGTTTCAGACTCATTTTAGCCGTTTTGCTCATGATGAAATTAAAGATTTGCACCCACAACTCACTTTTTTGCACATATAACATTTACTCTGCACCGATCCACCAATCCAGCCAGTTACAGGAACAGACAGCTCACATTTTGGTGAAAATATCACAGATTTTAAATGACCGAGGTTTCACCACTATCAAATTCGATTTGTTTTGCCTCATTAATTAAGGTTTTATCATCACTGACAAACAACATCCAGACTGCTAGACAGCACCAAATTCCCACAGCGCTCTCTCTTGAGTAAACTTCACGTTGTTTGCAGCTGAAACACAGCGGTGAAACTCAGGACGTCAACCTCCATGGCACAGGATGCGTTCTCTGACTGCTGAACAAACCCGCTGATTTATCTCGTCTGTCAGGTCTGAGGCATGTTCTCTCTGTTTGGAAAGTCCAGCACATCCTCATTCCTCCCCGGTCTCTAATCTGGTGTTTATATGTTCCCCCTGCTGTGGTTTTAATGGAAAATCCACTCTGACCAAACAGCCTTTCAGCAGACTCAAAATTATCTGGTGTGAGGCATCAAAACAGATACTAATAAATCTATTTATAACAGGCGGCCAAAAACAGCCGAGGTAATTTAACCATCTTGCTCCAGAAAGAAGAAAATCCCACTTGAGTGTTTTTGTTTCACAGGTAGACTCAGGTGCCCCTCTTCTGTTGGAAACCGTGTCTCTCACTCTGGTCTAATCTGAAGTGTCAGCAGGCTCTCGCTGATGTAGGCCACGTCTGAGTCTGTTTTCCTCAAACATCTTCAGGGTCAGAGAAACCACCGACAACGCCAAAGATATTTTATCTGTAATTTCTTATCGTGTAAATTCAGGATTCCAGTAACCGGAAATCCTTTTCATTGATTTTAGCCCGTGTGATCGATCAGGAGTTTTCTTGCAGAAAGTACTTTGGATGTAGAAGAAGAGGCTGCTTCATCACCCAAAGTCGTCCTTGGGGGGAAATATTGAGGCCGTTAAGAAGAGGAGTGAGCTTTTCTGGGATCTCTTATTGGACCAGGAAGGATATATCACATTTACAGGCCAGGAAACATGTTTCTGATGGTGGTCAGGTCAGATTATTTATGGGGGGGTTAACATAATCTAAACTGATAACAAGTACAAGTGAATTTAATCGGGATCATTTGTTTGTTTTGCAATAAAAGATAAAATTCAGTCGTCTTGAAATTTTAAAGCAACTCAGACGCTCAAACAGATCATTAATCCGATCACATCACCATCACTATCCAACAACTGAAGCTGCAACAGATACAAGATATGACCGAATATGACAAGATACTGTAGCTGAGGTCAAATTTAAAATGTTTTTATCTGAGAAATGGATCTGCAAAGCTTAGATGACGTTTTTTGTCTTACAACTTGTAATCGGACGAATTCAATGTGAGCAAATGAGCGTCACATTATGGTGAGGAGAAACACGTGCAAGGATCCCTGCAGTTTCATACCAGGTTAGGGCTGGACGATATGGCCTCAAATCAATATCACGATATATTGATCAGTTCACCTCAATAACGATAAATGGATGATAACTACTCCACAAGCTGCTCACCCCCTCCCACATTAACTTCGTCTACTTCAGCCGCTACAAATTTTGAACCGTCCTCCATCTCCTCACCTGTCTTTCCCTCTTTGTTACAGACTGGATGGGGTGGAGTCACATCTCTGACGTAGGACATGAGACCATAGCCTACCTTCACACATCCAAAAACAACTTTGATTTATTTATCTTTTTGACACTGAATATACCGATATGGGCAAAAATTATGTTGGTTATTGTCATAAATTTCGGTATCTGTAAATTTTCGGTTTATTGCCCAGCCCTACGACAAGGTCTAGAATATGATCGCTGCAGGCCTGCATGAATTTGTCAAGGATTTCCTGCTGCACAGGAGTTTTAACCTGAAGGTCAATTTAATTGATTTCTGGGAATTTTAGGAGTGTAGTGCACGTTTTGAAGTGGGTCCTGATAGTAATGTGACATAATACTTTTTAAGTTTCAATATTTAGTGCGAAGGCTGACCTCAGAGTCAGACTTGGAAACTGCTGCTCTAAATCAGCCGAATAAAACCTCTTGATAGTTCTTTGATAAATTACTGGCCTCTAAAGTAAATTTAAAGACCCTCTTTATCCACATTTCAACATAATCTTTTGCAGACTTTGAGTTTCAAGTTCACATAAACTCTCTAGATCTTCTCTGCACTGATTCGACGTGCGTCACATACTCTAAACTTTTCAGAGGAGTCAGACAGATGCTGCTGTTCGGAGGGGTCACTGTCATCACCAGAAGAAAACAAGAGAGAAATGGAAAACATGATTGAAAAGAGATTCATGTAAATCATGTTTGGCCAAAGAAAAACAAGATTCTCTCTGCTCTGACATTCACAGTTGTGTCATGACTGACAAAAAGGAGCTTCAGTCTTAAAGACAGTTGACTGATTGTTAATTTGGCTTTTGATGAGCGTCAAACCCAGTGAAATATACGACAGATTTACCAAGCTGTACGTGACCCACTTTAATCCACAGGAAGAGAAACTCAAGTGTACGAGCGTTACGATGCAGAAATCACAGAGGAAACGGAATATTTGCATGTATTGTATTATTCATGACAACTTACAATAACATTAAAATGGAATAAAAATGTCACAAAGTTTCAAAACAAAGGACATTCAGAGTCAAACCGAAGTTTGCTCAGAGATAGATTTACCGAGGGAGGTACAAAGAAAGAAACTATGAGCAGCCAGAGAGCATAAAATACAAGCCGGGAATAAAAATGAACTCGATAAAAGGGGAGGAGACACAGAGGAGGACTGAAAAACAAAGACATTTGTGCAGACAAAAGCTGTCTGTGTTTGAAGCAGATAAAAACTACTTCTGTTATTCATCGAGCCCTTGAGGTTCGGAGAATAATTAAAGCCACAATGGTAAATAAATGACTCTGAGGGCTGGTTTATAAAAGGACCGTGCAGCTTTGTAAGGCAACTCAAAAAAAAAGTGTAAATGAGACAAAAAAAGACACACAAAGGGTTAGAGTGCAGCAGATACTGCGCCCCAAAGCAAACTACTTCTGTTTCCTGGAGTTGTGTCCTGAATAAGCTCCAAACCATTTAATCTGCAAACATGAATCTGATCGGTGAAATGTGTTTGTGTTTCCTCAACTGGACCTTCACCAAAATCCAAACAGTCATGCCGGTCTTATATGTGAGTTTTGAGGGATTTTCTTTGACTTAATTGAAACTCTGCCGACTTCTTGGTCACAGAGTTTGTTCAGAAAAGTCCAGCGAGAAGAAGCACTCACGCTGCTCAGTCACATGACCACACGGTGTTCCAGCTCCTCTAAAATGTCACCGGTAGGACAGCTAAGGCGTCTTTAATGAAAGACAGCTTCACTTTGAATATGACGAACCGCACATGGTTACCGCTCCGACACACCGTGGGCGGATGGCGTGTTGTTCTCTGTCGTTTTAGACTCATACATGGAGCTGCTTTAGAGGAGGTGTTGTCACTAAAGGTCAAGTTTCCAGTTTTAAAGCTGTGATTTTTTTTTTTATAATTATTTTCAAACCTGTGACATTTTCATATGTGAACATTAAATTATCATGAGACGACTTGGAACAAAGGAGGATGGCTGCTTCCACACAAAGACACTAAAAACTACGGATGTTTCAACGAGGGTAAAATTCAAGAAAAAGAAGCGAACAGTGAAATATTTTGTTCTTGAATAATAACTGCTTATCAAACACGTCGCTGATTAATTTCCCGCTGAGTGACTGTTCGACACATCCCCTCATTATTTCCACTGTCATTTGAATAATTACCAATTCATCTGCTAATACGCTCCACAGTTTGCACATGGCTGGTTTGTGTCCTCTCAGTCCACTCCTGACCTCGATTTAGAGAGATTTTAATGAGACTGCATGAGCGTCTGAAACTTTGTCATATTTTATTTAGCCACACTGACCACACATATGAATATATTATCAGTCAGTGTTCATCTTCCTCTTTTTGTCTTGTCTGTTTTCTGTCTTATTGAGTTTATTGACTGTATTCAGCACTCTGTGTCTATTTTTATTAATCTATTGAAGTCATTTGATACCGAACAGAGACAGTGAAGTTTAGGACTGTCTAAACAAAGAACTTGGTGTGACAGTCAGCTAAGGAGTGCCTCAGGGTTACGTCCTTAGACCACTCATTTATAGTCCTCACACTAATTTCATCAACCAAATTCTTGGATTAGGTTCATTGTGTCTTTTTTTAATAAATTACGATCAGATGTTCTTTTACAACCGAAGAAAATAAACAGGACCATCAACCGGGATGAGGGGGGCATATATGCTATCCCACACCTGGAGTGCCATATTACAGGGGGCGAGCGGGCAGCTGAAGAGGTGTGACCGGAAACATCAGCTGTTTTAAGACGCGTCACACAACCATCCCGTGACACTCTAATGAAGACTGCTGCCAGCACGTTGAAACATGTCAGCATGGTCATTAAAAAACCTGTGTCTGTAAAAAATAACATCTGATCGTACATTAACCAAAGTCTCCTCGATGTAATTGTTCATTTTTATGCTGATGACACTGTGATGTACTGCTTGGTATTCACTCTGGTCTGGTGTTCCCAGTCATCAGAATCCCTCCACTGTTTCTCTCTTTCTTTAATTCAAGGCAAACATCCACCTCTATCCAGATGATCTGATTTGATCAGGACTGTCCTGGTTTCAAGCTCAGGTGTCCCGTGTCTATATGAATATTAATAATTCACTAATATATCTGAATTTTTGAGAAACTCATTTTTATTAACTGGTTAGAAAGCCAAACAGACGCACCATGATAATAACACTGGTGTGTCTAAATTTGTTAATCCATGTTGTTTCTCAGGCTGCTGCTGTTTGACCAATAAAAATCACTTCCATATCAAAAGACTAGCTAAAACTGGACTTTTAAAATGCATAGAAACACATTAGTCACACTTATTTTGTCCATTGCATGTGCTGGTAACACTTCTTTTGACAACTATCTCTATAATCCATTATAAATATATGTATAATGCGTTATAATCACGTTATAGCACTGTATAACTATAGTTATAAACACCCATAAATGATAATAATTACACATTATAAAGCATTTTATCATGACTTACAAGGTCAGGTATTATAATGTGTTATAATTAACAACTCACTGACAATGCCCACATAGATAATGTGATGTTAACAGTTATAACACATTATAATACCTGACCTTGTAGGTCATATTTATGAGTGTTTACAACTATAGTTATACAGTGCTATAACATGATTATAACACATAAATACATTTATAATGAGTTATAGAGATAGGCGTTATATAAATTGTTACCAAAACATTTAAAAACTCATCCTGCTGACTTTGATAGTCATTTCTATTATTTTTGTAAATATTTTATGCAGAAGTTAAAATAACGACTGTTTCTTAAGCTGACATCTATGCCCTAATTTGTAGACTATGTGGAAGTTAAGGAGATGATGCATTTTAAAATTAATATTGGCTTTTTAAAACTAAAGTTCAACCATTTCTTAATCAGCTGAGATGTCACTTAGAGGGATGATGCAGCCTTTCCTGATTAGCCAACAAGACCGTCTCAATTATTTGTGGTTTTAACACCAATAAAGGCAACAGATCATGTGTTAAAATGTCATTATCTGTCTCTGAGAGGTTTTTTTTTAGTTTCTACCTTTCTCATAACCTCGCTTCATTAATCACAGTCCGGCTGCTCATCTGGAAAATTACCACTGAGTCAGCACACATCGAGAAAAGAGGAATATGTGCAACTTTAGAAAGTGTGTGTGTGTGTGTCTGAGTGTGTGTGAGTTTGGTGTGTGTGAAGGGCTCACTTTTTGTTGATTAATTATTATTTTATAGTATTTCAACCCTCGTCATGCTGAACGCTCTTTAAAACCGCAATCTGTGCTGACGGTTTCATCAGCACACATGCACACATGCACACACACACACACACACACACACACACACACACACACACACACACACATATAGAGCCACTGTTTCCCTGCCATGGGCGAAAATGTAACTCTCTGCTAATTAGAGGGCGATTAAACCAGATTATTGGAACAATTAATAGTGTGTCTTTGCTGTAATTGGAGTGTGATCTAAGCTCTCCGTTCTGGTAACTGCACACAGAGTAAAGTTAACATAATTTACCAAGAAAGCAAACAGGATGAAGACGCCGTCATTAATGTGACCTGCAGCTGTGAAAGGAGATAAAACCAGATCTTTACTCTGCCAAAGGTTAATCTTCTCCTCTTAAAGTTATAATCCTGAAGAGTTAATGAGATCAAACTTTAGATCTGTTTTTATTTTTTATTTTTATTGTTTCCTTATTTTAGCTCTACACCAACCAGATTCAACCTCAGCCTTCATTAACCAATCATCTTCCTGCTGCTCCCCTCCCCTCAGCTGTCAGTTTGATCATCGCAGACCTCCTCCTCACCCGTCACCTCCAATCTCACCCATCACCTCCAATCCATCTCATGAGTACCCAGCGTGAGCTCCTCAGCTCATCCTGCATCCTTTCTTTACCACCACGATCACCAGAGTCTAGACCTTAACTGAGGGGGGTCTTCATTTCTAAACTTCAACGTAAGACAGAGTCTCTCCTGATTTAAATACTTCAATTTAAAGAAAACACAATTTCTTTCACTGAATGAGAAATCAGAGGCGGCAGATTTAGGCTAAAAGCAGACTTCATCTCGAGACAAAGTAGCTGCTTCACAGCAAGGTCACAGAGTGTATCAGAGCCAAGTTACTGCAACTGCTCCACAAAAAGACATCATTTTATTCTTGCAGAGCACCGCTCACCTGAAGAAGCCAGCAGTTCAGATTTTTAGTTTTTTTTTTTACACCTGCAGGAAACATTAATTTTAATATCTTGTAAAACTTGACTGCAACGGATTTTAACCCCATTTTATTGAGTTATTGACATACAGTATTGTTTAGTTTTTCCTCCACAGTCTCATAGTCTGGGTCAAAACTTGACAGCTAAGATTCTACAAAGGTCGATCATTGCTCACAACTACAGTGACAGGAGGGATGAAAGATGGAGAGACACAGTGATCGAGAGCTGATTTTTGATATTTCTCTGTCCACATGACGACACAGAAATGGAAATGTTCACAGAAGCATGCCAGACCTGTAGGTGGCGATAATGTATATTCAGTGACACCGTAGAAAACACTCGAAAATGAGTTAGAAACAGCCGTCTAAGGCGCATACTAGCTGTGTTTACATGGGCACATATAATCAGAATAAATGCCCGATCGGAATAAAAATGCGTCATGTAAACATGTCGATTGGAAAGAAATTGTATTCCGATCCAGTGGGGTGGTTTATACCGATCGTTACTCCGAAACACGTCCATGTAAACTTTTATTCTGATCCTGACTCTCTAACCTGACTCGATCTTCACTCTTTAACCTTTTGGTTTATTTATTGAGGTCAGTTCAGGAGGTTTCATTATTAACACTCTGGCATAAAACACAACCGCAGGTGTCGTGTCTGCTCCTCCGTTAGCATAACAAGGCATACAAACAGCGTAATAATGTCACATCTATACGCACAGTACAACCTTTGACAGAACAGTAAAACAAGTACACAAGGGCGCCATCTAGTGACAACATTTAACAGGCGGAAAAAACCTGAACTGGATGGAGTGAGCCACTACCGCGTTTGTTGGTTTGTTGACAGCACAGACGTAAATACAACTCCTCTTCTGCGGTTGTTTTAGGAGAAAGAAATTAGAAAACTCTGCGCATGTCCAAATGCTTATAATCTGAATAAAACTTTGTGTATGAATACGCACATCATGATCGGATTATTTAATTTTGTGCCCATATAAACATTGGATTCAGATTATCTGATCTCTCAAGAAATTTTGCACATGCAAATATAGTAACTGAGTGCCTCTCTTAAAACTTTAAGCTTGATAAATGACTTTCTGATGCTCCACAGTTTAATGATGAAAAGCAGCAAAGTTTTCCTGTCAACATGCAATTAAACCGAACAGAACTGCACATGATATCCACAGATCCACACCGGGAAGGCTGACCATTGAAGCATCCAAAAAATCAGAATAAGTCCTCGGGGTCCAAAGCTGTTGATTTCACCAAATGCTGTGTGTTGTACTAAATATTCATGAACAAGTAGAGACTCTAAAATAATCCCCCTAACAACTCTGAACATGCCGGGTTAAATCCCTCACTTTTAAAAACCAGACCGCCGTCTCCTGAAAAAATCGTCACACCTGCACCGCCGTACGCTGCATGAATGTTCAGCAGGACTTTTATGAACACAGAATTTCTCTCATGACTCAAAGAGGACCCTTTTAAATTGAGGGCTTCACCACATCATTGATTTATTCATTTCTATGATTGGAAACAGCTTTGAAGACTCAAACTGAATCATCAAAAAGAAACATTTTCCTCTAGAAACTTTCAGACTGAAGACCGTCTTTCATCAGAGACCAAAACTGTTTTATGACAGTCTGATTACTGATTTCGATGATTCATCAAATCACCTCAGTGAAGGGTTAGTAAATGAGGAGACGAGTCTGAGCATAAATCAAAATCACACACAACTTCTTCACAGCTCCAAAACATGAAGATATCCGCTGTTATGATTTTTCACTGCCGCACTTTTTATGACTTTAAAACTCCTGAGAGGAACTTTTTCTTTGAGTTGATGTTGGCGCCCCCCTGTGGTCACATTCACACCTTTGCTGATTTAATCCTGCACGTGTGAAAATACTGTTTTCTGACTAATGATAATAACAATAAAATGTGTAGAAATCAAGTGAACTGGGGAGACGGACAAAATACCGAACAGTCGACCAAAATAACTGACAGGGCAGAATAAGATAGACCGTGTCTGTTAATGAGCGGCACAGCACCTGTTGCTTTAGGACACTAACGATGAACACAGAGAGGATTATTTAAGTCTTAATAACACTGAAAACTAATGAGGATTATGGGATTATAAATGGATTAAATAAACAGTTGTTGAGATTAAAGATTTAGACATGAAGGCGCTGAAAAAATGAGCTTTTAAACGATAAAAAATTGTGCCCAGAAGACATGAAACAAAAGCTAAATGGATTAAGTTTTAATTTTTTTGATCAATTAATTGATTCTAAAAGAGGAAAAGGTGTTTTCTCACTTATTCTTACATTTAGAGATAAAGGTACAAAGCTTTAATCGTTCTTTTCTTTCACACCTCTCAGTGGGATTTGTCATATTTCTATGAACATTATGTTAAAGTTTTCATTAACTCTTAACTTAATCGCTTGACACTGACAAGGTGACAGGAAGTGTAAAGGAAAATCCAACCATACAGAGAGTCGGTGAACTCTGAGTTAGTTTGATCTGGTTCAAACTTTGGATAAAGACGCTCACCATCTAACGTTCGAGCTCCTGAATACCTAAAGTAAGTTAGTGAAGCCAAAACTAACATTAATATAACTCACAGTGGAGGAGATGTAAATTTTTAATCAGTTTGTTATTGTTTGACTTTCAGCCCGTGTCATTAAGTTCACTCTTCCAGATCATTAATGGGGTCATAATCAGACGGGATGTTCAGCCCAGTCATGTAGCAGCCATTGCTGCAGCTTAACGCTCGTTAACATCTGCTGGTGTTGGTTTTATAGCCTCATAATAATAGTGATAATAATAAATCTTTTGTTTGCAGATTGTGTGGTTATGTCTCCAGCTTGCATGTTCTGTCTACAACATCTGCGGTGCATAAAACTTAAATATGGTGCTGACTCTGGCGTTAGATTTAACAATCAGCAAAGTGGTGCAGAGATAATTATTCGTTAAGAGGACAAACGAGTGTTTTTCTGAGCCCTGCTAATGCTGCTGAGTGTCGGATTAAAGAGTACTTATCAACGGTGTTGTAAATTATATGGTTATGATAATAATACTAAACTTGAACTTTGCACTTGTGATGGACTTTTATTTAGGGTCATGTCCACATTGTGTTTGCCGAGACTTTATACCGATAGTCATAAATGTCGTATTGTGAATGTACCCTCATATCAGCAGGAGTTTAGTGCACTTTTATTCTCTTTATCAGCGCCTGTGAAGGTTAATTCAAAGGTTGTGTAATTGTTAAAGATGAGGGGAACAAATGTGCAGTACCTCTTTCCTCACAGACAAGCACACAAGGAATATGTTTTCACAAAACCGCAACAGACCTCCTGTCCAATTAAGTCGAAATTTTGGGATTACAAAATGTCAAAATGTCATAAATAATGTCAAAATTACAAGATTACAAATTCCCCAAACATTGTGAATAATGTCTAAATTTCAATTTTAAAAAATTCAAATTTTTGATATTTAAGTTGAAAATTCAAGATTAAAAAAATGAAAATAATGTCAATAAAGTTGAAATTTAAAGATTAAAAAATCTCGAGATTAAAGTCGAAATTTAGAGATTAGAAAATGTCAAAATGTAGTGGATAATGTTGCAATTTTGATTTTAACAATTAAAATTTTGATATTTAAGACAAAATTTCAAGATTAAAGTCAACATGAATAAGGTCAAAATTTCGACTTAATTAAATTTTGTCTTTAATCTTTAAATTTCAACTTTATTTTGTAATGGAAATTTAAAAAATCTCCCTCCTGTAATTATTTCCTCTTCTTGTGTCCTTAATCCTCCTTAGTATTTTTTGGATGTTGAAAGAGTTGTTTTATTTTTACTTCTTCTGTTTTCAAGTGCTTCAAATACAGAAAACAGAGAAATCCAAAAAGTGCTCTCAAGATAAACCGAAGACAAAAACCATCATGAAGAGCTTCATCTGTGAACAACACTTCACCGACCGTGATTACTCTGAACAAATTTCATATGAGACGCGGCGGCTTGAAGTGTCCTCATAACATCACTTCTCTTTATTTAGCACATTCACAGATGAGGCCGAATCAATCAGTGTGAAGATGGAGAGGACTCCAGACTGAGACACATGATGGTTTTACTCCTGTTTACTGAAGGTACCACAACAAAACTTCATTTACTGGGAGAGAGAGAGAGGAGAAAAGAAAGATGGATGTGATGTCTGAGCCTAATCTGTGAAACCCAAACAATGAGGACTTTCCTATTTCTGGAATAAGCTGTAGTGCTGGAATGGACTCCTCTTTTTAATTATTTTCATGCTTTTATTTGGAGGACAGGACTGAGGATAGAGGAGGAAATTAGAGAGGGAGGATAGAGGACGGAGGATGGCACGCAACAAAGAGCCACAGGTTGCATTTAAACTTGAACCACCTGCGTCAAGGTCTCCAGCCTCAGTATATGAGGCATGTGATTCAACTACTGAGCTGCCCCATAAATGTTTCCTTCACAGGATATAAACCGAGAGTAAGAAAGGATTAAAAACAATTAAGGGGAGGAGGTTTGATTAAACAGAGGGGCTTTTGTTGTCTCAGCTCAGCCTTTTCACTCATTATTGATCCACAAAGACCAAAAAAATGTCAATACATCACCTCAAGGTTACTGAAGGCTTTTCTTAAAATGATTTATTCAGTTTATTGGTTTGTTTTGTTACCTGTCAAATACAAATATTCATTTATAATCTAAGAGCATACTTTAGCTTTCACTTATTCTGTTTATTTATAAGGTTTTCTTCATCTCAGATTTTCACCCTCTGGCTGTAACATGTCACAATATTGATATTATTTTTATTTTTATCAATCAAATCGAAGAAAAACAAGACAAAGGTGGAGCCAAAAATTACTTCATTAAGTGAACTAATGCTGCGTTCCAGTTGTACTCGGAAGTCACAATCTCTGAGCTCCAATTGGAAATTAATCTGGGCACCCCCCTACAGTCGGATTTCCAACTTGGAAAGTCGGATGATCCTCGCCAACTCCGACTTGACAACAATGTCAACAGTAAAGAGTAACAATGAAAGCTCTCGTAATGTCTTATTTATTAGCGCTTCTGTTTTGTTTTTGTGACATTAAATTAGTGTTTTTTGTCGTACTTAACAACGTCTAACTGTGAACATGGTGCTATGGTGTTTGTAAGAGTGAAATAGTGTGTTGTGTTGTTTACAACTAGTATAGCTAACAACGGCTAACAACAACTGACAACAACTGACAACGGCTAACAACGGTTAAAAAAACTTACAACAACTGACAATGGCTAATGGCTAACAACGACTAACAACAACTGATAACGGCTAACAACGGCTAACAAAAACTAACAACAGCTAACAATGGCTAACAACAGCTAACAATGGCTAACAACAACTGACAACAACTGACAACGGCCAACAACGGTTAAAAAAAACTTACAACAACTGACAATGGCTAATGGCTAACAACAACTAACAACAACTGATAACGGCTAACAACGGCTAACGAAAACTAACAACAGCTAACAATGGCTAACAACAGCTAACAACGGCTAACAACAACTGACAACAACTGACAACGGCTAACAACGGTTAAAAAAAACTTACAACAACTGACAATGGCTAATGGCTAACAACAACTAACAACAACAACTGATAACGGCTAACAACAGCTAACAAAAACTAACAACAGCCAACAATGGCTAACAACAGCTAACAACGGCTAACAACAGCTAACAACAACTAACAACAGCTAACAAAAGCTAACAGCGGCTAACAGTAGGCGTCCATCTTGGTTTTCCAACTTGTTAACTGGAACGCCGTCAACTCGGGTGTAACGTCATTCCCAGCTCCAACTTCCGAGGTAACTTGAATGCAGCATAACACACCAAATAAGTAACACATCAGTTATTCATTATATGGCGTTAGCGACCAGAGCAGCTGTTATTAGGTCACAGCCCAGGTGTATAAGATGTATTCTTATTCAACTTAAATAGCATGTTATATTGTTTTACCCTGAAGATGGCGCTCTAAATGCGTAAACCATGCTGCTGTATTCGGTTATAAACATGCTTTAAAGGAAATAATAGTATATAAATATGTAAATAAACCTTGCAGAGTTCTGGTTTGATGACTGCATTTGCACATTATGTAGTAAAAGCAGCAACACTAACTAATAAATAATAAAAACAAAAACATTTGAACATTTGAACAAATGTCTTTTAAGAGGAAGAACATGTTACTGTGATTCATCAGCATTTCTGCGGGGCACACTCCCTCTTTTCATCTCCTGCTTTTTAATGACTTTTTCCGGCTGAATGTGATAAAACATTTCGGTTTGTTTTGATTGAGCTGAAGTTCCTCGGAGCGCTGCATCCCACAGGACATTAAAAAACTCCTCCATCTGCACCTGCTCTGTGTGGCGCCTCCAGCCTCACTCTCAGCAACATCCAATACAACACAACAAAAGGTTGCTCATTAAAGGAAGGCAGCAATTGTGCAACTTGAAGAGGGCTGTGATCGAGGAGAGGGTTCAGAGCTTTAAACCTGTGACTCATGGCAGCTAACACATATTTGGTGAAGGTTCTGACCCTGTAAGTTCACCACTCGCACTTCACACTCAAAAACACGCATAAGTACAATCACATAATAACATGACAGTGCTGATTCTGCAGGAAATTGCACCTTTCTTGTTCAATTTTTCTATTTTGTAACAACAGCACCAACATTTCAAACTCTTATATTTTTCAGATCTGGCCAAAAAACGGAAAAACTAAGTGACGAGCCGGGGGAAAGTACCAGAGAAAGATTTGGAGCAGATCAGCTCCCATCACCCAAACAGCACTCACTCCCTGGAGTCTGTGTCGAATGCTGGCATGCCGCAGAGTGTGGTGTTGTAAAGCAGATAAGTAAACACACCCACGCTGTATATAATCTGTGATTTCCCCTCTGAGCACTGACACGCCGAGGAGCCACACAGTCGGCCCCTCAGCCATCTGCAGGACGCTCTCCCAGACGGCTCTCTGAGTGCTGCCTGTCACTCCCAGGAACACCGCCTTTAGCGATGTTGGCCGCCGAGGGGCCACAGGGCTCTGGAGCTTATTACTGAACTCTGCAGCTGTCAATCAGAGCAGAGGGGAGCCGGCGAGGCGCATTCACTGACCTGCCCAAAGAGGTTCAACAAATCCTCCCACCGGTTCATTTTATATCAGATAGTGAGAGGGAGTGAAGGGATCCACCGGGGCAGCATAAACAGGCCAGAGGGGAGGCAGGGTCTGAATCCAACACGATAAATAAGCTCCATCGATCTGAAGGAGAGGGTTCATGGGAGGTGATTGGGCTGTCGCTGCACTTCATGAGCTATGGACTCGTTCTTCAGGACGGGGGGGATGGCGGGGACAGGTGAGGCAGGGAGGCAGAGAGAGTGATGAACCCTCCTGAAGAAAAGACTCCACAGAGAGGTCTCCTCTCCTCTCCTCACTGCTGCTGCTGCTGCTGCTTCTGTTCATTTAGATGGTTTGATAGAAATAGCTGTGACAGTCATCTCTCTGCCTTTTTCCCATCTTCAGGATTTACTGATGTGAAGATGATTTCATTTAATTAGGATTTTTTTTAACAGCCAAAAATTTGTCCCTCTGTTTCATACAAGGATTAGGGCCACATGAAGAGAGAAAAAATAATTACAGGATGGAGAGTTAAGATATTAAAAAAACTGAAATTATGTAAATAAAAATTTCCAGGTTACGAGTGTCATGAATAATGTTGAAATTTCCATGTTAAAAAATTAATTTTGAGATTAAAGTCAAAATTTCAAGGTTATGAAATGTTATAAATAATGTTGAAATTTCCAGGTTAATAAAAATTAAAATTTCAAGGTTAAAGTCGAGATTCGCAGAATTTAAAACTTAAAATTTCGAGATTAAAGTCATATTTTGAGTTTACAAAATGTCATGAATAATGACAAAATTTCCAGATTAAGTTTTAAGTAGTCACCCCTCCAGCATCTTAAATTTTCGAGATTAAAGTCAAAATTTCAAGATTATGGAATGTCATGAATAAGGTCAAAATTTCCAGATTAAAAATCTTACAATTTCGCGATTGAAGTTTAAATTATTAGATTACGAAATATTGTGAATAATATTGAAATTTCCTGATTAAAAAAAAAAAAATTGAGATTTAAATCGAAATTTGGAGATTATAAAATATTGTGAATAATGTTGAGATTTCCAGAATAAAAAAATAAAATTTTGAGATTAAAGTTGAAATTTCAAAAATAAAGTCGACATAAAAAAAACCTAGAAATTTCGACTTTTTAAAATTTCAACTTTCATCTTGAAATTACGACTTGAATATTGAAAAAGAAATTAAAAAATCTCCCTCCTGTATTATTTTTTTCTCTTCTTGTGACCCTTATACTCTCTTGTAGTTTCAACAGTCTTGTAATGACAACAAGATTCCTACCAGCTTCACTGATCCATGATCAGATCCCACACACACAGAAGCCTATTAGCACCTCTATCCAATCACAGCCTCCCCTCACACTCATCAGATACACCGACAGAATCAAAAGCACCAAATCCTGCTGAAGTACGTCTCTTTCATGGACAGAGTTGTCTGGTTGGCTTGTTGCACTCAGGTGAGGGTCAAACACAAATAAACCAGCGAAATACAAAAGACTCTGCAGCTACAACAAGCAGCAAAGACACTGGGTCAGCAGCAGCAGCTCAACAAAAGCCTTCAGCACCCCGGGCCTTCAGGTGTTTTCAACAAGCAACTGAGGTGAGCATGACCAAACACAGCATGACGCAACAGAGGTTCACAAGAAGGGAAGGGCAGAAAAGCTGGAAGCAACAATGGAGCAGATTTGGTCTCTAAGGAGACGGGAAGAAAATATCAGAGGAGAAGTGACCTCGGTGAGTCATGCCTCTGTTTATTTTTACTGTAAAGCTTCAGCCTCATTTATTCTGGTGATTATTAGAGAAGAGTCCGCGGACTGTGACCCCAAGAGCCGGTTCACTGAGTTCCTCTCATGGGATGTCTCTCGATATGCTTCTCACTGAAGGACTTTACGAACTTTAGGAGCTCCATGATCCACTGATAATATGTGATACAGAGGAACCATACAGGAAAATGACCCCATCATAACCTCAGCTCCTTGTTTGCTTCCTGTATAAACTTTCCAGAGTTCATTTTGACATGTTGAATAAACTTCTGCCGTTGTTTTCACTGTTTTTTTTTCACTCTAAACTTTGTGCATTGTCAACACATCCCCACTCCTGACTCATTAAAACAGCAGCTCCAAAATATGAAAATGTAGTCACCCCTCCAGCAGCTTTTTTTTTAAGTTGCAGGGCGCCTCAGTCAAGGTTGGCAATAATAAAAATTCCACATTCAGTCAGAATTTCAATATAATGATTGTTATGAAACTTCTCGTTGTGAGAGACATTTGACTTGGTCTGCAGAACAGTTTGGTGATGATTAAGTGATAAAACCTGTTTGATCAGGATGGGCTGGTTTGTATATACATAAAAAAGGCTGTAGTTAAGTTAATGCCGCACCTGCTGTCTTAAATGAGACTTGGTACTCACTGTACATTTGGATTTTTGTGAATCAGAAACACACCAGGGGTTCACAGGAGGCTGCAGTCTGCAACAATCACCAACCAGAGTCCAGCATGTACTGAACACCACTTTTTTTTTACAAACTTTCTCCATCATTCAGGAATCAAATCAGAAAAATCAGTGTTCGGCTCTTGTCTTTTTACAGCATAATAACCCAACACAGGGTCCAGGGGGCAAATTTCCCTTTCAAAATAGACTCTATTAACCTCTAAAGTCAAATCAAATCAAATCAAATTAAACTGTATTTATATAGCACCAAATCACAACAGTCATTATCCCAAGACACTTTCCAAAAAAGAGCAAGTGAAGACTGAGCATAAATACCTAAACTCTAAAGCCAGTACTGTGTCTGCTTGCTAATCCTGGGGTTTAAGATTTTGCAAAATAGAAATGCAAAATATAAGATAACTGGCTGCACACATGTGAAGTGCATTTATAACTCGCGCATCTGCAAAAAGCCCAAAAACTAGTATGTTTCTGACTGCAAAATGCTAAAAAACTTCTCAGTAGAACCTACTTAAAGACCCACTCTGATGAAAATCATGTTTCTCATGTTGTCTACATGTTCATCTGGGATTTTTCTGATGCTACAGGACATATCATAAGAAAACTAGGTATTTCTGAATATTTCTGCATTCACATCGCTGTGAAATTCTCACAGACGCAATTGGCAGGTTCAGAAACAGTGAGATTTCCTACATCACAAAACCAAGCTCCGCCCCCAGAGCCCCACTATGCAGGCCAGACTCGGAAAAGTAGGGAGGACAATCGTAGAACAAGCCTGTGTGTTAGCGTATTGCAATGCTCCTAAAAAAGCTAATTATAATTTTAACTTTCATCATGTCCCCAAAGATATTAGTGTCTGAGAGCTGAATAATTCCTATGTTACCTACAACTGCTACTACATTGTTGGGCTACAAGCTAGCGTGAAGACGAGTGTGAAGAGCAGCACTGTCTCCACCCACGACTCAGAGGTGAATAGCTAATGAGCTACTGGAGCTCTGCAGAAGCACCAGAAAAGTCCTTGAAAATGACACAGGTAACAGGATTTGGGCTAAAAACTTCATAATCACAATTAAAAGACCACTGAAAACACTAAGTAGTGAGGAAAAAAGATCAGAATGGGACTTTAAAGCAGGATGAGTGTTTGGGTGGGGGTCCCTCTCAACCTCGTATGCAGAAAACTGTAGCCTAGCTTGCATGACGGTTCCCTCTGCAGTTTCTCATTAAGTGACAGAGCTGATCGGTATCCATTGTGGCAACAAAAATACTAAAATGTCCCTTTAACTTATTGCTCTCTTATTTGTCTAATGTCCATTCACTCCCTCTCACGTCCGTTCAGCCTCATACACAGTCTGCAAAAAAAAGCCGGCGGTCAGAGGCCAAAAAACGGAGCAGGAAACCATAAATATTCATCCCTAAATGTGACTTTGAACAGCAAAGACTTCACAGGGATGCTCTCTGCTTTTAATAACTCTCTGAAGTCTCAGCGCCCGGGCAGGATTAAAAGTTATTTGAAGGTAAAGTGCAGCGGTGACAGGAGCGCTGCTGCCACCTGAGAGACGATAACCGACATCAGAGTGAACAACAGGAGGCATGTTTTTAACAGCGCACCAGAGAGGAACTGAACACACTCACACTCGATAACAATTTAACTCATATTTAATTCAAACTCTGATAATGTGGCAGCAGAGACAGACTGAGGATGAGAGGGAAACTGTTGATGCCAGCAGGCGCCGCCGTGACCCCCACGGTTAGATTCAGTAATGTAATATTCCATTTTGAAGACGGGGAAGTCCAGTTATTAGAGGGACCGCTGCTTGAGTTATTCATGAGGCCTGAGCCGTCATGAATTTTAAAAGAGGAGATAATAACAAAAGTCAAAACAAACTTTTTGTGACTTTTTGTATCTCACCTTTTGGAGGAGAAATGCAGCTCAAAGTGCACGACAATGAGGAGGTTACTGCCTCAGAGTACTTTGAATAACATCAGGCATTAAGAACACAAAAAAGAAGATTAAAGATCCCGATAATAAAATCAAAACCTACTTGATTTTATAAAAAGATGATAAGCCTGTGTCTTAAAATGTGCCGGCATGAAAACCAAGATAAAGCTCTGCCCAAGGACTGCTGCTTATCTTCACTTCTACAGGATTTAAATGCAGGTGATGCAGCCGGTCGGTCACACTGATGTGTCATTATTCAAAAGCTTTTTTAATTTCTGCTCTACCTTTTAAAAATTTGGTTAAAATAAGAGGTTCAACCATCCCAGCATCATGATTTGTATTAAAACCATCAGAAATTCACAGCCCACTCTGTGTCTGCTCATCAATATTTATACACACATCAATATTCTGGTCTGTCGTTTACAAGAAGAGCAATAAAGTGTGTGTGAAAAGTGCGAAGAAGATGGAGTGTGTCCTGTGGACATCCCACACAGTTTAAAATGAGATAAAACACAGACTGTGTGGAAAAGACTCATCCTCACACACTGAGCAGAGACAGAAAAAGCCGGCTGAGGACTGTCGGGTCAGAGTTTTAGATTTGAACATCAGTTTCTCAACAAGCTGCCTTTAAAATATCATCTTTACTCATTTTAAGTTTTACTGCAACTTTAATTCGCCTCTCAACAACTGCTCCTGTTATTTTTTTATCTTGGATCGAGGGTAAAAATCTCCAAATGAACCGAGACGAAAACAGCAGTTTAGCACAGCCGAAGATGTAATCCTGAAAAATAATATTTTGTATGACGGCAGCATCAGTGTTTTTGCAGATCTGGGTCATTTTTTCTCCTCTGTGGACGGAAAAAAATATTTTCTCCATGCAGTGATGTAATATCAGCGCATTATTTCTGCAGACTGGGTTTAGAAATGCATGGTGCGCTTTTATATTTCAGTGAATATTTACACATTAAAGAGGTTCACACGACAGACTGAAGAGAAACTGCACAGATGTTCACAGAGAGGAAAGTTTTATTCTTCTGTCTCGTCTCTCAGTACCTCTTTTCCTCCAAATATAAATGCAGTTACTGTTTTAGAGATTTGTGAGCATTCACAGCGTTGGAAGGTCATGCATGAGTTTATAGAGACAGATACAGTTTTTACTGAAGCGTATGGCATTCACCAAAAAAAAGCTCTGATTTTTTGAGTAATTTTTTTCTGTTCTGTTCTTCGGACTAATTTTCTTCTGTTTTTCAAACTGTTTTTTTGTTTGTTTTGTTTTTCAGACTAATTGTTTTTCCTATTCTCTGGGATCACGATCATTTAAAAACAGACGCTTTCATCTCCCTCTGCTCGATTTATTGGAGGAAAACACAGCCAACTTGTTTGGTTTAATCCAGTTTTACTTTCTTTTGGGTTTGAGACACTGAGAGATCCTCCTTTCTTTAAGTCAGACGGATGGAATCGTCATAAGTTTGTCTACTTTGCGCAGACACCTCAGGATTTGCAAACTCTAACTCATAACATGTTTTACTCTCATTGACCCCAGAATCAAAGTTATCTTGGAGCTGGAGAATCCGCTGATTTGGAGCAGCCGTGGTGGTTAACGTTCTCTGATTGTATGAGATTCTTGCCGGATTTTCAAGTATCTCACTTATTCAGGAAAAAAAAATGTCTGAAAAACAGAAAAACGACAAATAATTAAAGAAATAAAGAATAAAAATTCATCCGTAAAACAGAAAGAGGGGAAAAAATATTAGTACAAAAAAACAGAAAAATAATATTTTAAAATGGTACAATAAACAGAATAAAATTTGTGTTAAAAACTGAAAGAGAAGGATAAAATATTTGTACAAAAAACTGAAGAAAAAAATGGTCAGAAAAACAAAAAGAAGAAAATACTCAAAAAAAGTTTCCTTCTTTTTTTGTAAGTGAATGCAATACACATCCGTAGTTTTTAGACTAGATGAAAATTTATATTTGCATCATACTACATCTGCACAAGTGCTCAAAAGTTTGGTAAAGAGGAGGAGTTTCCTGCTTATCATCTTATCAGCGTGACCATCCCAGAGATGGGAAAATGTGGAGTCATCTCCATGCCATGTATTTGTTCTGCTCTGTCACTAAACCAGCTGCTTCCAATGAGCTGCCAGGAAGGTGAGCTCATTAGTGAAGGCATCTGGTTCAGTAACTGAGCAGAACAAATACAGAGCTTGGAGACGACTTGCTGACTCCACATTTTCCCACCTCTGGACCATCCTCACCTTCCTCTTCTTCCTCATCAGTCATCACCATCAAACTGCCACCTCACACCTCACCACCTTAAATCCTCCTCATGTTACAGTTACAGTAAATACATGTCACAGCAGCACAATGATTATGAGCTGAGAAGAATGAAAAAGAGGGATTTTATGAACCGAATTTACTTTGACTGACTTTTCCAGTTGGCCTGAATCATCACAAAATCCTGAACTCAAGGAGTGAAAAACTGTCGGTGGGTTAACGTTCCTTCGTTCATAATGTACCAGGCGGAGCAGAAACCGCTTTTTGTGTTTAGTCAGATGAGTTTAAACGTCAGTGTTTGGTTCAGAGATAAATGGTGGAGGAGTTTGAAGAAAGTCCGTTTGTATCCATCATGAGTTTCTCCTGCAGGAGCCTGTGAGTCTGATTAAACGTCTCAGTGACTCCCAGCGAGCCTGATTCATGTCTTTCCTGAGGTCTGGAGTTTAGTTATGGTCTCAGTGCTAAACCCTCCGCACTGTGAGGAGGACATGTGATAAATTTTGTCAAGTTTAAACACATCCTTTAGTGTTGAACCGTCTGAAATTTAAAGGACTAGCTTGGATTGCTTTTTGCAGCTGTATATAAGGATTTTAAGTGTCGGTGTCTTTCTCTCTTTCTGCCCTTTACCGGGTTTTTCTGTCGTCCTTTTTTACCAAAACAATCCTGAAAATATCCAGAAAAAAATCATGACTTATAAAGAGTGAATAAAGTGCAGCGTGCAAAGTTTAAACTGTGCATCAGGTCATTTGCTGCATGGAGCAAAAGATTTGATACTTCTCAGAGTGAACTTCCTCGACTTTCTGCACCTGCACCCTGAATCAAAAAGTGTTTATTCAGACCAGAGGGGCTGAAGTGGATCTGTTATAAATGTTCTGAAGTTTTCTCTCCAGGTAAAGTCCAAAAGAAAGTAAGTTTAAAAACATCTTTTATTTTTGCCGTTTCTCTGGGATTTATCGGAGGAGTCTTTCTCCTGGCAGAGACTCGGCTCTTTTGGAGCCTCCGAGGACTCCTCAGGTCTCTCTTCATGGTTATTCAAACAGCTCTTTTGTTGGGTATCCTTTTAGCAAAAGAAAAATACAACTCCTGATTCTTAAAGAGAGAAAAACACCAACTTTACTTGGCTCCAGATACTGGCTGCATGAACTGATTTCTGACAAAACTGCGAGCCAACACTTTGAAGTGTCGAAATAAATGCGAAGACACTTGGGTCCCTGTTTCAGCTCATCTCAACAGCATCTGTGTTTTTATGTTTGTCACTTTGTTTTATTTATTTGGACTCAGGTTGAAAAATATGAAAGTTTCCCATTAACTCAAGTTTAGTTTACCTGTGGGGTTTGTCTTATATTTAGCACCTCACAGGTCTAAATCCTCGTCTAAAGATGACTAATACAATCACTTTTTCCCAGTCTAAACCCATCACTCAGAAATAGTTTCCTCTTATATTACATATCAAACAGTAAAATGTACAGAGAGTCATCTCCACCTGCTTCCTTGTTGTCAGCGTCGTGTGCTATTCATGTGCTCCGTCTCTGTGACCGCTCTGCTGTCGGACAGAGGGACTCTGGGAGTCCGTCTGCCGCATGTTCCTCTGTCTCCTGTCTCGTTTCATCTCAGCCTCTCTGCTGTGGGACATTTCAACAGCTGATAACGTCTCAGATCCCCTCTCTCCTCATGTCCTCTCCTGCCTGATGTCCACTAGACCAGGACGGTTTGATGTCCTCGGGATGTTCGCTCTGTTGTTCGAATTCATCAAAGTTGGAAAACTATTGACTTCTCTGGCACATTTGCACACCTGACTGCTTGTTCGGAGGGTCTTTCTCTCTCAGGTCTCTGTGGGGCGTGTCTGTCTTCACTAAAATATCATCAGGAGGGTTTTGACGCAGAATCTTTGATTTTTGTTGGGAGGTTTTTACTCAGCTTTCTGTGAGTCAACTTGGACAAGAAACTCTCTCACCAACCTGTAATCCATCCAACCATTACCTACACTACCTCTGCTATTTGGGATCTCAGACGGCTGACGCCAACCCAAACCATCACTAGGGGGGAGACAGGACACACCGTGGATCCCCGGTCTGACTCAGAAAGACAGAAAACCATTCAGAGTCCCCGTTAAACCTGACAAACACGACAGGAAGTTGCATGTTGTTGGATTTTTTAAAACTCTTGACTGAACTTGATTATTTCTCTATAGGAATGGTGACTTTCACAACATGGTCAACCTCTCAAACATAACCACACAAAAGCAGTGTGTGTGTGTGTGTGTGTGTGTGTGTATCTTTGGTTACAATCAATCATCCGGATGATCACAACAACATGGGAAACAGCCTGAACTTCTGTCTCCTATTTCCACTTGTGGCTCAGACTCCGTAAACAGATGGAGAGGCTGTGTGACACGTCTGCTCACCCAGAGCAGGGAGGTAACAGAACAACATCACACAGACCCACACAGACCCACACATGATGACACCAAAATAACACTTCTGTTAACAGCTTATGTAAAGACGTATTCAAACACAGACGTCCTTCTAACTTTCTCAGTAAAGGCACAGATACTCTTATAAAGACATCTTCATCACCCTGCTTGATTCATGTCATTTTTTTATCCCAGCATGCTTTTAGCCGCAGATCAGACCATCAATTCAGAGGAATGAAGGAGGAATCAGTCACCGCTGTTTGCTTCCTGTGGGTGAGCACTATGACACATCCACTGCAAACAGTTATAGTGTAAATATGTACTTTTAACATCTTTTCTCCTTTAGAATCATGCACACTAGCACGCTCAACAAGCAAACAAGCAGGACTGTGAGCTCTAAACAGCAAAAACAGACGGTAAAGCATGAGCTACACAGCTACACAGAGATTACACATTGCTGAATTTGCTTTACTTTATGGTTATCGCCACGATGAAGATAACTTCAAACTTTAGACTGTATATACTATGGACAACTTGGCTCCACCTTCCGTCATTATACGAATTTGAAGCCGAATTTCCTGGAACCACCACTTCTGCAGTGGGGTTGTACGCATTCAGCGGAGGAGTCGCTGTGATGACGCTCGGCTCAAACAGCATATCCCCGGGTGGACTAAGCAATCTTTGTACGCCCATAGGCTGTATCAAGTGTCAATCATAGAAAACATGAACCCCCTAACTACTTTTAAAATGGAGCTACAAACCAGTCTTACAATAACATGTCAACATCACAACCAGGGGGGAGAAAAATTTATATTCTGTGTAATAAATTTCTAAAGTTTGTCCACAGCTCCATAGGGATTGCTGGAGGAGGCAGGATTTATGACCTATACTGAAGCCTGTCACCAGAGGGTGCTGTTCTCGTGGCGTCCATTCTTTATACAGTCTATACTTCAACCCTTTACCTTCAGCGGACAGTCACAAAAACAGATCATCATTATAATCATTACCTAAAACTGCAGATTGAACAACAAATATTTAATTTTGCGATCCCAAAGAGCTGATGAATAACTTCCAGATCAAAGTGTCTTTTTCAGTTTAAGGAGAAAAACTCACCCAGAAAAATGATGGTCTGCTTCCTCGCCATCTTTGCCTTCTGACTCTCGTGTTTGGGTCCTCTTTGGATCTTGTTGAGTCCGTCATCCACGGATCCCAAAGGTCTCCGAAGAACGACGATCATAGCCCGGCACATAAAGCCGACGCAAATCAACACGATCATGTAGATGATGAACGCCACGAAGATGCTGACCCTGTACATGACCCAGTGCTCCTCCAGGTTGGTGCAGAAGGTCAGGTTCTGCGCAGATGCATCTGGTATGTTGGGGGTCAGTGTTCCTGTGGCGATGAGCAGCGGTAAGGCGACCAGCACTGACGCCAGCCAGGCAAAGGTGATGAGTCCAGTGGTTCGTTTTCCACCCAACGATTTGAAGCGAAACGGGTAGCAGATGGCGGTGTAGCGCTCGAAGCTTAGCGTCGCCACGTTGAGGATGGTGGCATAGCTGCAGGCCTCAAACAGGAAGTTGTAGATCTTACAAGAAGCGTTACCTGAAGCTGTTGTGAAAGGAAACCAGATGGCGCTGTAGAGCTCCACAGGCATGCCAATGAGGAGCACCAACAAGTCCGAGCATGCTAAGCTAACCATGTGATCTGTGACGTTCTTCTGCAGGTAGCCATTAAGCTTTAAAATTTGAGTTACTCTGATTGTGACTGAATTACCCACAATGCCCGTCACCAGCATGAGGCTGTACAGGACCGTGAGGAAGATCTTGACGGGGTAGTTGGGTTCAAGATCATGCCAGTTCTTCTCGTGTGCGTTCTCCATTTCCTGGCTCATGGTTGCAGAGAGGTGAGCTCAGATTTTCAGTTATTGATTTTTTCTTACAGCTTATCAGTCCTGCGGGGCGAGTCCCTGATTAGAGCCAAGATCCAGAGGTGAGCAGGTTTCCAAGATAACAGCTCTCGATGAAGACTCCTCTTTGTCCGGGACTCTTTCTGATCCTTCACTGAGAGTGTCGGCGTGGAAAGTAAACTCTAAATCACAGGAGGTGTTACAATGTCATGTCACTCACCTTAGACTTGTTTTGAATGTTCACTTTCTTCAAAATAAAAGCCCAGTTTCCTGCTTCGAGTCTTACCCATTTTTAAAGATCATCTGATCCCAAAGAGTTCCCGCAGATCCGAGTCTAATGTAGTTTCACTTCAGTCTGAGTAAAGTGTTCGCAGACGCACGCCAACTCACAGATTTCCCCCTCCCACCTCAGCAGGCTGGGCGGTTAAAGATTAATCACTACAAACAGAGAACATGAGTGCTGTGGTTTCATGTTTTATCACCGGCACTAATGGACCTCCTTTTTAAACAAACACTTTGTTTTACTGCGAGGCAAAGATTAGAAATGTGGTCCAATACACTGAAAAGGTGCTGAACTAGGAAACTGGTGAACACTAAAAACTGAATGAAACTGGTTAGGGGTTACTTTAACACAGCTAAAGGGGAAAAAAGACTGAATTAATGTTCAGTGAGGTATACCAGTCCAAATTGGAAAAGTCTGAAAAGGTAGTTTTTGGATTAGAAAATGTAATTACAGAAAAGTTGAGAAGTTCAAACAGAGCTGAAATAAACCAGACGGCGCTGAGTGGGAGACGCTGACATGTTTTTCATATTTCCAGAGTTTATATCAACAGGTCTGGAAATACTGAAGATTATTAAACCCAAATGATCAAGATAATTATCATTATTATTAAATATTATTGAGTGATTCTTGGCAGAGCAACAATGGAGGTGGAATGTCAAGAGCAAAGCAAGATTTTTGTTCTGGAAACGATTTTAAAACGACTTGAATAACAGGGAGAGTTTTTTTATTGAGAATAATAAGGTTGAATTTTTTCTCTTTATAGTTATTTCCTGCATTTGAAGGTTGACCACACTTTTTAAAAGGATGAAGTCTGATGATAATTTGAACATTATTCTCAGGGTATTTTGAGTTTTTGTATTATTTGAACTTTCTCCAACATTTTGACCTCAACCTTCAAAAATTCAACTCTATCACTGACATTTGACTCCAATTTAAAACTACAAAGGAAAAGTCTGATTTTACTTCTGATAATAGATTTTAATCATCAATTATGAAACTATTTAGTTTTCCAACTCTGTTTTTCTTAAAGGGATATTCCGGCGTAAAATTAATTTAGGGTTAAACACACTGTAACACCGAGTTAGACACTCTTTTGAGAGATGAATGTTGCTGACCGCTTCCTTCTCTAGTTATACCAACTTTAGTAACGACCACAGGATAATAATACAGAGAGCCATGCGCTCAACCAAAACGCCACTCTATAGCCACAAATAATGCTCAGAACAGCACCTAACTTCATCAACAGGACATATAGGGTCACAGCCATAGTACTAGACACCAAACATCTTTTTAACTTTGACTAATTTCTTTAGCAAAGAGACTAAACACAACTCACCTACTCTCTTCCAGCAGCCGCTTGTTTGTAGGGAGACCTCAGGCCAGTCCATTACGGACTACAGCGGGGTGACGCAGCTCAAGGAAGAACATTTATGATCATTTCTTCATGGAAATACAATCAGACTGAGACGCTAAGGCAGAAGAACTACCGCGTCTGCTGAGCAAAATGATTCATATGATGATTATTACTTCAAGGAAACGATAAAGAAGTTGGTATAAATAGAGAAGCAAGCGGTCGGCAACATTCATCTCTCTTGGGGGTGTGCAACTCGTTATGGTGTTTTTGACCTTAAATTAATTTTACGTTGAAATATCCATTTAAGTTCTTGGAGGCGTCTTATTTTCTAGTCATTTAAATTGAAATTTCAACAGAGCAACTTGGAGGAGATGCAGATGATCAATGCCAGACAGGTTTGCTTAGTGTTGCTAACATCGACATTTTGGGCCTACTATAATAAAAGTTTTAACATTAGTTTAGCTGACTTGGTAGCAACAACATTTTTTTGTTTAGTTAACTAAACCTGCATATCTCTAAACACAACTTTTAACAGACTTTTTCCTTATTTTCGACTGTGCTCCACCAGACAGTTACTACTCTGACAGACTGAAATTATATCTACTGCTTGAACCTCCTTATATAACAAGTTTGAGTGCGCTGTCACTGTGATTGATTATTATCAGAAACCTAGAATTAAGCATTTGCGCTCTGCATGACTTCACACTGTCGGATACTTCTTCACTGTGGAAGCTGAAGGAAGAAAAATCAAGGTTGATTGCTCATTATGAGCCTCTTCATTACTGTCTCAGATCTCATCTTGGATTATGTGCTGTTGTGTTCACATGTCTGCGTGTAATTATAAACAGCCGGACACCACGCATCTTAGATCTTAATAACCAGGCTGTCATGTATGAGGGATCTTGTGAAATTGACTTTGTGACTTTGAGAGGAGCACACAGTGATGAGTGAAGTGTCATAACTGCAGCTTAAATATTTACACCACAAAATAAGACCAGGATGACGTGCCACTCATGTTGGGCTGATTTCTGCATGAAAGGATGTCAAAGAAGAAACAGTTTTTAGATTCACACTGAAAAGATTCTGGACTCTGAGTTACTTTCTGCAAATCTGAACATGTTTGCTGCTGTCTTTGAAAGCAGGTTTCACTCCTTTTTTCATCATTTGTCTAGGTTTAGATGATATTTGCTGCTTTTCACAAGAGCTGCTTTCTTTCAGGTCTGACAAAATCCACCTTAATTTCCTGGAACCATGCAGCTGCAAACTGAAAGAAATCAAAGCTGTCTTCAACAAACCCTTAAAATGTTTACAGGCGTCAAAACCAGATGCTAGTTACATCATGCTAGCAGTGACAATGCTAACCAACACAGCCTTTCTCTGCCAGCATGACACAAACACAAACAGCAACACTATTAAACACACTAGCTTGAGGTTCCTATGGTTAATTGTCACTCACACAGAAACACAGCACGAGTAAACCACAAAGAAAGAAAAGTTTGATGCTAATACTAGCAGCACTAGCATGACTCAGCAAAACAGACTTGTTTGCACCAGCATATTTCTCTGGGGTGAGAGAGGACAGGTGTGAATTAAAGGAGGAAACAGAGAAATGTGTCTTACCTGTTAAACTGTTGGGAGACAGGTCAGCTAAAGCGCTGTTTGATTAACCAAGACAGAGACTGAAGGTTGGGGAGCAGCTGCCAGGGCTGGAAACTGAGGCCATGTTGGAACCACAAAAAGCAGATCCTGCACTTCCTCTGGTGTCCTGTAGAGGCAGTCTGTAAAGGCCTGGTAAAAGCCATCAGAGCCCTTGTTTAGATCCTTTTTACAGTTTTTCCTCAGAGGAGCATACTGTTTGTTTCCTCTTTCACTGTCCTTTGTAGATACTAAACTTGAAAATTCACCTTGACCTGGGTAAGGTGAGGCTCAAACCCCTTCTTATCCTCTGAGCAACATGGACACACAGGAGTTTACCGTTTATTTCCTCTTTCACTCTCCTCTTTAGACACTAGATTTTAAAATTCAACTAGACCTGGATCTGATTAGAATAAAGCCACAGAGTCACAGCGTGTTATGTTAAAATTAAACATGTTTACAGCCTGTTACTTTATGTACTTTGGTCTCGTTACTTTATTTCTTCATATATAAAAACCACAGTAGAGTGAGTCTTTTGTGGCTTATCTTTTACTCATTTAAGCCTCAGAGTTTTGCATTATTATTTCATATTAAACTCCAACTTCTTCTCTCCATGTTTCTCGATTAGCAGGTATTCATCTTTTCCTTTAGGCTTCAACTAGTGGGTGACGCTACTAAGACTATGTTAATATTAAATGAATGTAGGGCCAGCTTCTCCCAAACTAGCCATGCCACATGCGTGATTGGTTGTGTAATTATTTTGGTCAACATTGCTAAATAACACAAACTGTACCCAGCTGTAATGAAGCAATCTGACTGGATTAAGTGAATGAATGTTGCAGCTCTGACAAACTTTACTCACATTTTTATACATGTAGAAAAATACAGTTCAACCCGTAGATTTAAAAAGATATGTTTTAATAGTGCAGTATGTATGAAAACAAACTTCAGAGTACAAGGACAACACAAGAGCTAAAAAGGAGGAGACTTTTTACAGCCCTCCTTTTTAACATAAACATCTTCATTTATGGCGCTTAAAGACAAAGAAATGAAGACAAGAGAACCTGAGAAAGAATAAAATCAAATCAAAAGAACCATCCAGAGAGAAAGAAAGACAGACCTGTGCAGGCAACATGGGAGAGTTTACATTTTTAGACTTATTTTCTGCTGTGACAGACAGACGGACTGATTGGCAAAAACACAGAAAGTGCAACAAAGATCATGAGCAAGTTCACTTCAGCCATCTCAAGAGTTCAGTTTGTTTGTTTAACCCCTCAGGATGGTTTTATTTCCTCCTCTTCTTAACGTCCAGGCGCAATAAAAACACTCCATAAAGACGTCCTCACAGCTGACATTAACCAGGACGACAGGGACGACTTCCACTCTCCACCTTCAGCTGCAGTGTTTACACACGACCGGCACAGAGGCTGCTCCACGAAATGCTTTTTTAAGGACATCAAATCAAGCAGTAGATAAATCATCGTTTACTTAAGTGTAAAAATCATTAACAACAAACCCATCATTCTGACATAATCTCAGTTACAAGTCAAAGAAAACTGGAGTTATGAAACTTTCAGTCAAAAATATAGAGTGATACACAATCCTCATCTGTAGTGGTCATCTGATTTCATCAATGTACACTATTTACACCCACTTTGAAAAACAAGCAGACGACTGTTATTAGCATTTCTGTAGCTTATAGCTGAAGGCTAAATATGAGTATTTATTTAACACAAATGTCTCTGTCACAGTTTGTGCTCATAATCCAGCATTCTCAAAGAAAAACTTGGTGACAGAAAGATTATGAGGCTTTCTCTCTCGGCTGTAATGTTGTTAATTACTCCTCATTTCTGATAATCGAGACTGTAAGAGAAGAGCGTTTCAAAAGTGAAGGTAGTCTGCATTCACATGGATTCAGGGAGACAGTGCACGGCAGGTCCAGATCATCCAACGGTTTTACAACATGGCAGAACTAATTTTGGATTTTTTTAAAGCTTCTATGAGGAACTTCAGGTCTGTGTTGATTTTGGCGCCCTCCTGTGGACAAATTAATACCTTTTATCTCACAGTTGATTGTGTCCTGCAATATGATCCTCTATTAATCAAGTTTTTACTGATTGAAATGTCTGTAAAAACAAAGTCTTTCAATTCTTCTCTTCAGCTTTCAACATGTGCATTTCCAGCTGCTACTAAATACAAACATACAAATGTGGTCTGTGCTTTAAGGTAGCAAAATAACAAAACGCAGACTCGATCCATGTGTTTGGTGCGAATTCAGTGGCTGCACATTCCCCCACCTTCAGCACCTCTACTCTTTCCATCATCAGTATAATCCACCCCTGCTGAACATTTACTAACTCCAACATAAAACTTTCTGATTCAGTCACCAAAGTTTCCTAAGAAGAAACAAGCAGAAACTGTACTGCCAACTAGTGTTAAGGTAGAGTATTGTACCCCTGGCCTATAAGATATGAAGCTTATAAAAGGTGCAAAGTCAATTCGACGTATTCTCCATGTGCAACATCTGCTGCAGGAAAACTAAAACAGGCTTTTTCTTCACTGCAGTCATCTTAACTCCTGCCCAGTCACAGCTGCTGTTTCAGTTTGTTTGCACAGAAGCTTTGAGCGACATCATTCTGTGAACATGGATTCAAATGGGCCAAAATCACACTGTGTCTTTCAATAAACTGTATTTATTTTGCTTATGGCTTTAACTAACTGATCTGTCTTTTAATATTCTTTTGCAAACTGGAAAACCTTGATATGTTCTCCTCGCAACGCTGGGTGATTCGTTTATCTCCAGCACAGACAGTGAAAGACGAATATGAAAGAAGGGGTGAGAGCCAAATTGATTTTTCAGATTTTCTTTTTGTTTCAATGTTTTGCAAACATGAGTTTCCTTGGACAATCAAAAATGTATAACTCTCACTCATTATCGAACTTGAAAAATTATTCTTTTAAGAGCAAAGTTATGGTTTCGGTCTAAAGCTGTTGCACACCTTTAATTATTTGTGAATTTTCTCAGCGTGCACTTGATTTAAATTTTCGATTTCCTTTCAGTCTGCTTGAATCCAAACAAATGCAGCATAAACCTAAAGTTTGTTAAGCCTGCCCTCTTCACAATGACCAGAAGAGGGCGACTCAACAGATTGTAGCGTTAAATCTGATTACATGAGGTTTTTGAGAAAAGGGTCCTCTCCAAATTATTATAAAACATCAGAAACTTTTCACCAGAACAGCATGATGTTCATTTGGTTTAAAAGGAGATAAGGATGAGTACCCTCTACAGTAATCCATAACCTCCTCTTTATCTGGATAATCATCAAACTGCCAAATTTAATGTGGCCTCATGCTGAATTGGTCTCTTCTTCTGTACAGTGGATATAAAAGGGAGTCAAAGATGACAAAAATAAAGATTTTTGATATCGTTGAATGTCGGTCTAACAGTATAAGAGAGTAGGAACCTCCTCTGAGCGCAGAAAGGTCACTGTTAACCGTTTTCTTATCATCACAGCTGCTGAGTCTGAGTAACCTGAACTCATCACTCTGATTTAACCACATTAACGGTCATGAAATCAACACGCTCATTAAGATTAGCTGATCATTTTCAGTGTCTGGCGTGGCTAATTCTAAGAGCAAGATCCACAGATAATGAAGATAATGAAAATGACTGAAATTGGCACTCCAGACTGATCTTCACGTCTACGGACCGAGGTGTTGAAATTAGTGATGCAGCGCAGCATAAAATCATTAATGAAGTGTGTTTATGAAGAGGAGGTTTATGCTGCATCCCGGGGAAAAAGGCTGACGGAGGATAAACAACACCGTCTGGACGGCAGTCATTTATGAGCTTCTGTTTATAAATAATAAAAGATATTAAACGAAATTATCTCCCTGCTGTGTTAAATATTTGGTTCTGATTGATCAAAGTAAAGGAAATTAATTCTTGATAGAAAAAGCGATGGTGGGGGAAACTCAAACACGTCCTATCAAGAGCTCTGTGAATTTCGCTCCTGCCTGTTGACACTGTGGCAAAAGTGTCTGTTTTAATACTTGGGTTGTAAATAATGACAGTTAGAGGACAAAGGTGTGAGAGCAGCCTGGACCCCGCACATGAGGTGGAGCAGCATCATGAAACCAGGCTGACAGGAGAGGATTGCTCTGTAAATTAACAACGAGGCAGAATCTGTCAGCTTGTTTGTGTCGTCGTCAGCTGGTAACTTTCACTCGTTTGTTTTAGCAGCTTTCTTTTCCAATATTGCGTTTCAAACTCGCTTCATATTGCTGAGGTTAATCTTGTTCCAAATTCTGTCACAGATGATTTAAAAAAGTTAAATCCGTCTAACTGTGGGACAAGGATGACGTGTCTGCTGTCACTGCTGCTGTTATTTTGCTATTAGTCTCCTGGAATGAAACCAAACCTGCCGTCATCGTCATCAGCCTGAGTCCGTGTAAACGCAGCGTCACTTTAAAGGCAGACAGACGAATCAAAACAAACTCTTCAGATTGGCAATTAGAAAAATGCATTGTTTTTTGCTTCACATATACAAACAAGCAGCAAGGCTTCAAAAGGCCTCTAGACAAGCACAGAGATGTCCTTAAGTTATATATCTAAGCTCTTAAACCTTCAGATTTATGTCCACAAACACACATTTACTCCGCTTCTGTTAGTGTTATAATCAAGTTCAGTACGTACCGCTTCATTTGGTCACATGACATTACAGTTGTCACAGGTATTGTCCAGCACCTTGAGCACCATAAAGGACTTTTTTTTTTTCTTTTTACACAGAGGATATCCATAAAATTAAAACAAAATTCAGCCTGGTTTGACTGAACCGTGACATAAAAATGAGTTTGTAGAAATGAGAGTGTCGTATGAACACTGTAGAAAATAAATAGGTCGAACAGGAGGCACTGGGGTCGTTCAATGTCTCTGAAAGCTTCCAGATTGTCAGCTCAGCTCAGCGAGCGCCGCGTTCGCCATCTTTGGAGACAAATGAAAAACAATGTGAGAATACTGGATGAGGAAAAACACACAATGACATTTACTGTAAAAACACTAACACTGAAGAATACACAGCGTCAGAAACACACTCCTCCTCTCACTTCATCTCAACTTCATCACTAATAATCAGCCGCAGGACAGGAATTGTTGTACTCTTAACTGCCTTAATCAATCATAAACTTATTCTCACTCTTACTTCCCCATCAGACCCTGCAGACCCAGCAGCCAGGTTTTTAAATGCACTGTTTTTCTTCTGCCTCTATTAGAAACCACAAGCTGGGCCTCAAATCTCTCTCTGCTCTGCTGGCAGTTAATGTGCTACTTTGTGAGGCAGTGAAGACAGTCTCGAGCCATGAATAGTGAGGAGACGGGTGACTTCAGCGAGATACAGACTCGAAGGAGTGGGTGAACTGACTCTTATCTAAAATATTTACATTATGATCTCCACGTCCTGTTAGTCTGCTGCGTCTCTTACTCATCACCATGTCCAAACAGAGAGGGTGTGAGACGTGATGTTGAAAGACGTGTGCGGAGGAGCAAACGAATGAGAGATCCTTTATCAGATGGTGAGGCTCATCACTTCCTCCTCCTTTTAGAGAAACTTTAATACTGTTATATTCACTGAATTTCAGGGACAACAGAAAAAATCAAAGGAAATATCATTTTATGTAATTTTAGTCTGTTTTGGTCTTAAAGGGATATTCCGGGATAAAATTAATTTACGTTCAAACACAGACCGGTTCCTGAGAGGAACTGCAGCCAAGCGTCTGTTTGCATCACATCATTTTCTTTGCATATCATTTAACTTGGTTGTTTTCTATTTTACCTTTCTAGCTGAAGCTGTATTCAACATATTTTTGTTATATTTTATCTCACTGTATTTTTACTCTGAGTTGTTTGACATAATTCTGTTTTCAAAAACCAAAACTGTTTCTAAAACCGTCTCTCTCTGCTCAGGAAAGGGATTTCCCACCCCCTCTGGTCTTCAAATGTCTAATCTCAGACATTTTAAGACCTTTTTAAGACCCAAAGAAATCTATACCAGCTGAACAAATTTACCTATAAAAGCCTGAAAAGCTTGTTTGCCTATTTTCTATGTCACCTCAGAACTGTTTGCTCCTGCCAACTATTCCTAGTATACTTCTTCTAAGCCGAACTTTATCGAACTTGCAGTTTCTTATCTTCTGTTCCTTCTCTCTGCGAGAAATCGGGCTTAATACGCTGCAACAAATTCAGAGCAAATCTACAAAGTGAACAATATGAAATCACAAAACTCCAACTCGACTGTGAAGATTTGATAAATAATTCAGACATGTAGAGAAAGACACACACAGGTTAAAGCGATCATTTACTTTGACTGCTGGATCAGGAGCAGAAGCTTCCTTCACTGGGGGAGACGGTCTGTAGAGGGATAAGGCTCTCGCACTGCTCGCTGTCATCTGGCTGCCTGTGAGTGTGTGTGCGTGCGCAGGAAACAGAGTGTCAATCATCATCACTGTCATCATCTCCACGAGCATCATTATTGTAATCATCCTTCACCAAATGAGAACAAGCATTCGCAGAAGAATGGAGCGATAACTGCCACAGCGAGGGTTGTCAGTCGAGCATGTGCATCTGATTACAGACTTAACTTAGCGAGGCTGAGAGCGACAAATGGACTCTGCCGTCCTTGTGGGAAAGTCAGGAAAAAAAAAAGAGTTGGAAGGTCGATTCATTTTAATAGGTCACACGCCACATTATAACTTTTAAACTCCTGGACTGAAAACTGTTCGCTATATTTCCACATTTAATCGGAAACGCCTTCCTTTTTGTGAGAGTAAATGAACTCAGCCCGGTCCAAATGTGTGTGACTGTGCGTGCATGAGTGTGTGTGTGTGTGTGTGTGTGTGTGTGCAGAACTAACTTCCACTTGAGTTCATGGAGGCAGAATCTCCCCCGTTAAGTGTGCGTGTCTGTTTGCACCCTTTTTACAGTTGCGTCACAAATACCATAGTAACCACATTTTAACGTTAGTCAGGCAGTCTGCTGGAAAATGACTCAATGTGACAAACAACCCGTCTGAAGAAGAGACCCCCGGATACGCTGCTCTTATGTGGGGATGGAGTCACGAGATGCATCAGATGAGATAGCTCCAGCTTCAAAGTGGCTGTTTGTAGAGCCACTTCACTCATCTGAGGCATGAAAAAGTGATTTTTATTGCCTCATATTACTTGATAAGCACATTTTTGTTTATTAAACTGCTCTGACTCAAACAAACTCGCTCGTGACAGACAAGGTTGCAAGCAGCGATGGAGAATCACGCAGCTTTGGCGTGCTGGGAGATGACTTTCTTAATAAGTGAGATTCAACTTAATTTCTCTTTCTCTCTCTGGAAATGGTGAAGACAAACTCCCCTCGGATGGAGTCCTTGTCACTATTCCACCGCTCCACTGTTGGCCTCAGGAGGTTGGGTTGCTAATTAGATGAGTCATTACAAGGTTTGTTTTTTTTTTAATTCCTGATGGTTTTAGGGACAGATATGTGAAATCATCACAGCCACCAGAGAAGTCGACTGACAGGAACTTTAAAAATTTAACATGAGAGACTGTGGGGGAAAAAAAAAAAGACCCAGAAGCAGAGGGGAGAAAAATTTATATTCTGTGTGATAAATTTCTGAAGTTTGTCCACAGCTTCATAAGCTTTGCTGGCGGAGGCGGGATTTATGACCTATACTGCAGCCCATCAACAGAGGGCGCTGTTCTCAGAGTGGCTTCACCCAGACTCCGTACATTCTTTATACAGTCTATGGTGCGTACCTGTGGAGCCGATGTTTTCTGCATATGAAGACGTATACTCTTCTCAGTCCCACCAGCACAGGGTCCCAGTTGTTGTAGTGACATAAAAGTGTGGCGATGAAGAAGGAGAGAAAGACGGGGACAGCCCCGGCGAAAAAGAGCCACGAGAAACGTACCTAAGAAAGAAAAAATACGAAAATAAAAAGTAAATCCAAGTGAAAAATTTGATTAATTTTTGATCGAAAGTACATTAATTCAAAAACAATCTTTATTTTTCACATATTTTAGTGTCTAATGCTGCATTTGAAGTCAGATGTCGGAGCTGAAAATGACCTAACATGAAAGTTATTTTCACGCTTGCCTTATATTCGGACAAGGTAGGCGATAAAATAACTTAAATAGATGTAGTCTACATACACAGTATATTCCATAAATTCTGGATTCATTGCAGAAAACTTAATAAGAAGTGAAATGCACCCAATCAGAGCAAACACTAAGAGTGTCTGTATTCTCTCTCTTAACACGTCCAGACTCTTTATCTTAGCAGCCTCTCCTAAAAGTGTTGTCTTGCTGAAGAGATAAACGTAATCTTGATTCCTATTTCAAACTCCAGCTCTGGTTGTCGAGCACCTGGGGTTACAAACTTGCCTTCTGCATGCAAATGTCTGCGAGGATAGAGAGCGGGATGGTGAGGCTTAACGCCAGAGTTCCGATTAGAGACGATGTGAGGAAACAGCCCCTGTGGAGAGGAAGAGCATCATCATCAGTGACTGAATCGATACTGGAGCAGATTCCGCAGATTAAGACGACCAAAGTAACCACACAGTGAGTTTAGATTACAAAACGAAACAGACGAAAGAATCAGAGGTCTTTATAAACAAAATGTGAATTGGGAGGATGCGGTACCAGAAATGAGACACTCACCAAAGCCACAGGAACTCTGACAGAACGGTCCCTATGAGGCCGTTGATGAGGATGTAAGTCCACACCAGCTGGCTGGGAAGCTCAAAGGCCTCAAAGCCCGTGTAGTGGAGCAGGAGGAAGCCGGGCCACAGCAGCAGCAGGTTGAACAGACCCACAAACCCTGAGAGACGAGCATAAACTCAGACTCAGACAGCTCCGCAGACTCCTCCTGCCAACCGCAGAGACAACTTCATGAAGGGAAACACGCTGTGCTTACCGAAAAACATGGGAATGTCCAGCTTATCCTCCCGATCCACTCGTCTCTTGATCATTACGATGTAGACGGCGTACAGCATCGCCCCCGCCAGCGACCACAGAGAACCTTCACGGAAATATACGAGTGAATCACATTTGGATAGAAAGTTTCATCACGCACACAATTACTCACACTCACTGTCTCGTTGTTTACCTGTTACGCCTTTTCCATCAGGGTTGTCCATGCTGGAGAAACTGACGAGGGCCACACCTCCCATGCTGCACCAGAGAGATGAAACATAAGATGATACGAGCGCACTGGGACAGGTGAACAGGACTTTATGGTTTAGAAGTTATTTTTCAGCTGCACCTGTATGTTCCAGTAAAGTGTTTGTAGTATTTATATTATAAATAATAATCTGTTTTTTCTTGTGTGTGTCTGTGTGTGTGTTAGGTGAGATGTGCATGTACATTGTGGTAAAAGCTTTTCAGTGCTTCGATCCAAACCTTCATCAGTCCTTTAAAATTATATATAAGCAATTTCTATATTCATTAAGTGTAACATTGAGGTTTATTTTTTCTGTTTTGGTATCAGTGTGGTTATTGCATTACATACAAGGTATTAAGCGAGGGTTCAGGTTATCCTAATTATCTGTTAGTACAGCTTCATATAAAAATAACTTATTTTTAACGTTTATGGGTATCACGCACAGGAGGGTACAGGTGAAGAGGCTTTTTTATGTACCAATGTGTGACTAAGGCTGAGAAAAGGATGTGTGTGGCTTTTTAATTTTTTTACAGGTGACAGGAGTTTGAATCGTGTCAGAGACTCTCAGAGAAAAAAAACAATCCAGGTTAAGTCCGGTAAATTTTGCACTGAAATAAAAGTCTTGGTTGTTTTGGTTCTACAGGATAGATGTGGCTTTTTTTAATCTGAAAAGTTTTTCTATTTTCCTAAATTTACATACAAGACATTTTCATTTAGAATAATTCTGTACAAAAAAAAAAATGAATATACTGTATTTTTCGCACAATAAGGCGAACTGAAAATCCTTTCGGCTTGTCCGAGCATTGCCGCTACCGTAGCCTCATAAAGTTACTGAATGAGTTAAATAAAGTCTGACTTATCTAACTGTTTTGTTTGGCTTAATGCGCTTTATAATCCGGTGCGCCTTATGTATGAAAATAGACGCGGATAGACGCGTTCATTGATGGTGCGCCTTATAGTGCGAAAAATACGGTAATATTTCTCACAGTCTCACAGGTATATGTAATAGCTGTCTATTATTTAGTTTCAGAGTTCTGCTTGTTCTTATGAGCAGATTAAAAGCAGGTTTAAGCCTTAATCACAAGCATTATTATTTTGCATCAACATTTACTGGAGTGTCTTCAAATGTTCATATGGTATGTACTGAGGTCTTCCTCTGAGTGTGTTTTAATCTTTTAACCAAACATGAGACATAAACAGCTGTTCTGGTCAGTAAATATCCTGTTACATGTTTGTCTGAACTCTAACAGAGGTGAAATATCCGAAATAAGAGAATTAGTGACACAGAAATACTTTGTGTTTTATGTGTTTGACTCGGTGAGTAAATGAGTCGCTCTATTGTTAAATTCTTTTGCTGCTTATCTCCGGCTACTTTGACAGAAGACTAACATCTGGGTCAGACTCTGATTAGTGTAAGGTGCTCTGGTATGCAGCAAAGAGTTAAAAGTTGGATTTGGTGGAAACACACTTAAATCAGAGTAATAGGAGAGGACTACATATCAGAGAATAAAATGTAACGCTTAATTGCAAACACTCTCATTCAGCTCTCACCTCAGGGCCACAGCCAACAGTTTGGACAAGGTGAAGCGGTCGCTGCTGTTGCTGGGAAATATCGCCGCTAGGACGAGAGTAAACAGGCCTGGAGAATGAGGAAAAAAGAGGCAGAGCAGAGGTGAATCAGACACAAACCAAACAAACAGACCAGACCCAGAGCTGCGAGTGAATTATTGGCAAGGTAACGGACAAAGACACATTTGTCCTAAAACCAGTCTGGGTACAGAAGTCGAGACATGAGGCTGAAAAGTGTTATTCTGAATGTGTGCTGTGAGAGAGGATCACCTGACGTCGATGAAAGGATGTTGACAATAGCAACCTGTGTGTCTGACAGAGCTTCCTGATAGGACAGGTTCGCCAGGAACCACTGGAAGAAAAACAACAAAAAGCAGATTCATGTGATCGTTTCTACAGAGAGCTGACCGACTGTTAAAAACACAACAGCACCTTCAATCCTGAAGGAAATACCATCTGACCTGCTTTATTGAACACAGCGCTCAGTCTCTGAGGCTCTGGTTTGTAATGACATTATGCAGGAAAAGGAGGAAGTGACTCTTATTTAAAGGTCTCCTGTGTCTGGAGGGAATGTTAACCAAGTTTTATGTAAAGGCCAAATTAGTGGTCAGGGTTAATCGAGTCAATCAGGTCAGTAACTCCTCAAAAAGTGCTTTAAACAAAGACCCCTCCCAGCACACTAAAACATACACCCATGTACCAGGATGTTAACAATTATGTGAGTATGTCTCAGTTTAAGCCTATTTCATAAACATTAAAAAACTCCCTATAGCGGCTTTAATCAGGATGAGCTGCACACAAGTGGCTGCAGATTCAGTTTCTGCAGAGCTGGAAGAAAACTCTCAACAGTCTGCCAAAACAGCCTTTTCATGTGAAGAGCACATTAGCATCAACAACACAAGTCATTCACATTTCCCCTCAAATATTAATGATATACTTGTTAATATAATTAAGATCTGGAGTCAAGCAGATGCCTCAAGAGCTGTTGTTGTGTTTCAGTCAAAGACAATACAACCACAAAAGAGCGGCTAAAAACCAGAAACTTCTTCCACGTCTTATTTGTAATGTATCAGGATCTGACTCTGCAGCGCGGTGTTAAAGTCAGAGTTTCAGGTTTACATTGAACGTTAATTTATCAAAAAGGCACAAAATCAATACCTGAGAGATCCTCACAGGACCAGAGCGAAGAAGAATATGAAATCAAACGTGTTATTGTGACGATCCAACAACCACACTTCAATATTTTTAATCTCTTAAGACTTCAGATGTTACAGTGATCATATTTGGACTTATGTCACAGACTCTGCTTTAATATGTCTCTGAGGTTATTTATTGCGCCCAGAGAGGACGAGTTACTAATTAAAAACGGTTCATCACTAGAATGACAGCATGATTAATGTCGTTCAGTCTTTAAAGCTCATCAGGCTTCGTTTTCTGCTCTTACACACCCACAGCAAACTCTTTACACAAACAGCTGCAGCAAAATGCATCAAGATTAGTAAACGAAGAGCTGACTCCACTCACCACGAAGCAGAAGAAGAAGCTGATTTTAGCCACATCGGTGATGGTCAGCTTGCCCACCGTGCGCAGCATGGCCTCATGGTCCTTAGCAGCCGGGTACGACATGCGGGACAGTTTGGCCTCGAAAGCCTGAGTGGAGGGGAGCTGACGCACCTCCATGATGTTACTGAAGCGCACACGCTGCTTTTTGGAAGCTGCTGCTGGGTGGGAGAAAAACAAACAAACACAATCACTTTGAGAAAAATCATTATTTACGTTATTTTCATCCTCCATACAGATTCCTTATCTTTGAAAGACAGAACCCGTTTAATAAACTTTTTTTATCCGCCCGTGGATTTTAATTTTAGAGGCTCACTGCTTTTCTGCCAGGTCTGCAAACTCAGCTCAGTGACATTTTTCCTGAACAGCATCTCTATAAAGAACTGCAAGAAATAATCAGATTTCCATTCCTCTGTGAAATAGCCTAAAACTGGGGCAGGGCAGATAGAAGTCTTTTTGATCGTTTGTTCTTATCAGGATGGGTTCATGAAAGAGGAGGAAAAAGGAAAACTCAGTCTGACGGTCGACTAAAGGTCACGCAGAGTTCCCTCTTGTTAAATTGTGTATTTTTTTGTCCTTTAATGATGTTCTGATCTCTTCCCAATCCTGCCACTCCTTTGTTATTCAGTATCTCATTTATATCTGTCAAAGTTTGAGCACTTCAGCCCAATCTTGGGGTCTGAGGTAGACAGTTAGTTCATAAAATCAAATATGCTTCATGTTATTTCTTTAACTTTGCACTCACTCGATTTGCAGCCTTCGATTAAACAGTTTGACTGTTCAGCAGGAACATCCTGGAACTTCACTGGGACGTACAGCGGCTCACTCTGAGTGTGAGTGAAAGAGAATGTCGGATTATTAAAGCTGATGAAGAGTCGTACCCATGACAACTGCAAGACTTGCAGATAGTCAAAACTTCACAATACTTTCCTGAGAGGAGTTTTTTTCTCATTTCAGCCACTTACCAATCGGTGGTTCACTGTGCTTTCAGTGTTGCAGGGTGCAAAGTAGGCCTCAGCATCAGCAAACTGGAGAAAGAAGCGTTTTAAACTGTCAGCTTGTTCGCCAAAAACAAGAAATCTGAGTCATGCTTCTGCTGTTGGGAGTAAATTGGCTTCTTCGCAAACCCCCAAAACTAAAATCCAATTCTCATTTCATTTTCTTCAACTTAAGCGGCTCAATAACTGAAAATAACAGGATTTATTTCACTGAAGTTTTAATCTTGTAGCCTCCTTTGAAACAAATAAACTTTATTTATTGATTAAAGTTTAGGCATGGTGATTTGGTCGTACCATCAGATGTCAAGACTGATTTGAAAATATGAGTCATTTTATGATTTCTGTGGTTTCCTACGAACTCCTTCATTTATTCTTTTTCAAAAGCAAAGTCATCAAACTGAACAGAAATCACTTTTGTGTGATTTTGTTGCATTAGGGATGTGAAATGTCACTCATATTTGATACAGAAACATTTAAACACACTGCCCCCATGTGGTGACAACGTGCTTTAACTACTTACAAACGCAGAGTGCCGTCGTTTCAGAGTGCCCGTGCACTGCTGCCTCCAAGGCCGCCACAGCAGGAAACCCAGCAGATAGAGGACAAACATGGAGGTCTTTGTGAATGTGCTGAAGAAGGGTTTGTTGTACTCCTGTCGCTTGAAGATGTACTGTGAGAAAAACACGAGGAGGAGGAGGAGGAGGAGGAGGCCGTTAATCCAACACTTCATAATCAGCTCATTAACATGTTTTCATTCAGGTTTGCTTTTGCAGGTCTGAACTCTTTAAATGTGTTTCAAGCTACGTCTATATGTCATGCACTCTTGTTTGTTTTGCATTTCAAGTTGGTCGAGTTGGAGATAAACAGATTATATGTACTCTCTAAATGACACTTGACAGTTCAACCCTGCCACTCTCTAGAGGGATCCAAGTGTTCTTCACTTCACTTTGTTTTGGATTTGGTGGCTGATGACTCTTTGTGTGGCTGTTCCTTTACTTGTTCTGATACCTTATTGACTAAGTTTTTGGTTCTGTTGTCCTCTGGTTATTTACATCAAACCTCTTCTATACCGTACCCTGTATCTATGAAAATGTTTGAATCTATCTATGGTTTTAAAGATTTAGCAGTAAACAGGAAATCCAGTGATGGTAAAAGTAGTGGTGCTCTACTTCTGCCTGTTTTGGTGTGTAAATGACTCGTAGGTTAGGATCATTACGGATTTACTAAATCGCCTCAGCCGTCAGCTGCTACATTGCTAGAATGGTTTTGATTTAATCCTCAGCAAGAAAAACACAACCGATCAAAAAAGAAAACTTTCAGTTTTAAGTGCTTGTTTTTGTCCCCCACAGGTTAAGATAGCTTTTCTGAGTGTCGAACATAACAGACAGGATCCAAACAATAACAGAGCGAACTGGAAACATCTTTTTCAAAGCTTCTCTGTAAGGTGGAGGGTTCCTTTATTCATTGGAGTATCAATGCTTTAGAAAGAGCAACTAACCCTTCGGTAAAACAGGTTTGATTCTAAGGGGATCTTTCTGTAGTTGTTTTTGCACAACAACCAAAGCCTGTAAGTTACAAAAACAAGTGCTGTGGGTTTTTTTACATCACAAAAACATGTAAAACCAGAGCCCAGGTTCATAAAAGATCACTTTCTACTGTATTCAGTTATTCATGATTTGTTGGTTGAGAATCAAAGAAAACTGAAGAAAAAACTTGGTTATATAAGTTTAAATTACTGTCCACTGATCCCGGAACAGTTTAATTCACTCCAGTCCTTTCTCTCTTTCCTTATTTAAGTACAATTGAGTCATCTATAGAGTATCTTTTAGAGCAGGTATGAAAACCAGTTTACTATTTTTAAGTCCTTACCGACGTGAGCTCAGAGGACGCTACCCAGATGACATCCACCAGCAGGAGTATCACCACCCCCAGCACCATCCTCCTCCGCTGGGTGGCAGAGCTACCCTGAGAGCTCATCCGGTTCATGATGAACACCCACTCCATCGGTGCGCTGGTGGAGGAAGAACAGAAAAACAATGGGTTACAAAATGGCCTGACATTACAAGATATCTGAGACATTTTTCGAGTACAGATAAGAGTGAAAACTAAATTTACCCTGTTTGAAGTTCTCTCTGGGTGCCGACACAGATTCACTGTGAAATACGGAGCGTCATGAGCAACCATGAGACTCTGACCCGACAAAAACCTAACACAAAGAAGATGACAGTGATGTTATTTTAGCCAACACCGTTTAACTACAATACTCCCTGATTTAAGTTGAATGGAACAAACTAGAGACATCTTGTAGTTCATATAAACAAAAAAACACGAGTAGCTGACGACCGAGGCAGTACAAGATCAGGATACAATATTGGTCTGATCCTTTTTACATTTCAGGAATAACACAACTCTTCCCTAATAATTTACCTTATAATATGAGGACATCTCTACTCCATCAGTCTCTGATCACCTCTGATGGCACTGATAAAATCAACCCTCCACTTCTCTTTTTAGGTGATCTTCAGTTCATCTTAAATTTTCATGTTTCATCATTTGCTTCTCATGCAAATTACTGACTGTGCAGATGATGTTATTGTTTAGTTGGATAACATATCAGATGTCATAGTCATTCCCACCCTAGCACTGTATGCATTAAACAATAGTAGTTTTACCAAACCTCTAAAATCAAAATTATTAAGGTATACAATGAATGAATATTGCTTCTCCCTTCTTAAATTGAGAACTTTCTTGAAAACATTTTTCAAAATACACAGTAAGAGTTTTTATAATGTATCTATCTTATATAAAAGTGGAATATATTCCCCTGTTAGTCAGGCACCATCAGTATTTAGAAGCACAGAGATAATTATAACTGTGACTTATTAAACTAATAAAAGCTGTTAGCTTTTGCTGGTTGCCAGCAAGTGAAATGTCAGCTGTGGGAGATAGAAAACGAACTATTTAAGAGCTGCAATGAACAGGATAGATTATTTAATACAGGAGTTAATAAATCAAAGTTTCTCGATCTCAGGAGCTTCACTAACAGACTGTGAGCTAACACTTTTAGCAGCCATTAACTTGTGCCAGAGAGGAAGAGAACACTGATGTAACGGTTAATAATTCAGGTTAATGTAAACTATGGTTCAGTGAAATGAGTTAAGTCACTTCCAGCTGATAAATAAGGCGACCATTAGCGAATAAAGCTGCTGCACTGAGTTCAGCTTTTATCAACAGCAGATAAGTCTGTGCTGACAAGAGCTAACAGGCTGGTTTGGTTAACTGACAAAAATCAAGAATTTAAGACGAATATTTACCTGGTTCTGAGAAGACGTCATTGACTTTACACCATTGTTGACTTATCTTATCAAACGCTGCTGAAATATCGATTAACTCCCAGCTTTTTCGATAAAATTATTGACAGCTCAACGGTTGTAAACATTAGCACACTCTCCAGTCTTCATTATCAGGTGACATCACTTATGTGCGGCAGAGGCTTCTGGGAAATGGAGTCTCCGGGTGAAGACGGATGAAAACGGTTAAATCGAACTATTCTGTATTATCGATTCATTCACTCAAAAGCCGTTAAAGCTGAATAGTATTTATCACCTAATCTAAACACTAGTGGTGTCAAAGATGTTAATCTAATTGATTACATGGATTAATGATGGATTAATCAAAGTAGAGCATAAACTAAATTTTGCTGGCTCAGAAAAACTGTATAGAAAATAACTAATAAAATAATAAAAGAAATACTCTATAGAAAATAACTAATAAAATAATAAAAGAAATACTCAACAGAAAATAATTAATAAAATAATAAAATACTTAAAGAATTACTCTTTAGAAAATAACTAATAAAATAATAAAATAAAAGAAATACTCCAACTGGGACCTTTTCTATAATGTCTTAAACACTAAAAACAACAATCTGAACCTGTTAGTGGCAGAATTCAAGTTTTCATTACAGCTTAGATTTAATCTCTCACACAAGGTTCCTGTCTCAGCCAGCACAGCCGTTTTCAACCTCTAATTCTGACCCAAAAATTGCACCTCCTACTACTTTAGACACCGAAATATGAAACGAGAGCCTACGTCTAAAATTGCGGAAGACTCCTGCTATTAGTAAGTGGAAAAAAAGAGGCTACCACTGAACTGAAACAACCTGTCAGTGACTTTTGAACAGATTAGTTTGGGGTCAATATAAACAAGAGAGCAAACAGAATTGAAGCACGCAGTAAATCAGTGTTTTCATTATTTATTTGTCAACATATCCTGACGTAAACGTCATGGGTTTGTTTCCATACACAGCTACTGTTTTCTACAAATACAAAAAAGAAGAGAGAGACAGTTCTTGGAAAGAAATCCTGGAAAATAAAGGTTTTTTTTTTTTTTCAGAAAAGAAAGAAATGTCAGTTTAATTTGAAGCCATTATTCTGCATCTTCGCTCCCGCTCTCAGCCTCAGGTCCGGTAGTTTCAGCTTCAGCGTCTCTCTCAGGCTCTTGGAGGTCTGAGGGTTCAGGCTGAGACGTCTCCATTGGTTCCTCAGTCGGCTCTGGTTGGGGTGATGGTGTCTTCTCTGCTCTTGACGGTTCCTCCTGAGTAGAAGAAGAGATCGCAAATAAATTTGTTGTGCCAGTCCTTCACATCATGCATGACTAACCAGTGCCTACTTTATTCAGTAAATGATCTAGTTTAGTATCAGTGTGAAGATACACTGATGTTACCTCTGAAACAGTGTCGGCAGCTTCATCCTGAGTCGCTGGATCGGACTCTTGTTGCTCCATCGGTTCCTCCTCCTCCTCCTCCTCAGTTACATGTGCATGCTCTTGCTGTTCTGGCGTATCCGGCCCTTTAAGTGCTGCAACGGGAGCTTCTTCCTCAACAGTTTCTGGAGCTGGTTCGATCTGTACGATTAAAGAAAGGGAGATAAGTCAGCGAGAAAGTCTTCTATCACATCAGGAAGTTTAAGGCAAGACTTTCAGTTATTTAGAATTAAGGATGTATAAGAAAGAGAAAGGCCTGTGCAGTCATACTCCTTTATCAGTTACCTCTTTCTCTATCACCGGCTCTACAGGCTTCGGCTCTGGTTTTTTATTTGCTTCCAGGACCGACATGATGGAGGCAGGAATGTGAGTTTGCTGTGGCAGAAAAATAAAAACAGTCAGTGCATAAGAAAATCCTAAAACAGGCGTGACGCTCAGTGGACTTCGGCATAACTCAGACCTGATGGGGTGTGAAGGAGTGGACATGCTGAAGAAGAGGCTCTCTCATCTCCGGGCAGCGTTCGAACACGCTGGTCAGCTGTGTGGGAGGCAGCTGCAGGAGAACGCTGAACGACTGCGGCTTCGTCCTCTGGCAGCACTTTACAAATCCCTCCCACACCTTTGGATACTTCCACACCTGACAGGAGGGACAGCAACCACAGTTAGATGAAACATGGTGACTGATGTTTGTCAGTTGACAGGTACGGTACTAGGACTGAGTTTTTCTGTTCTTAAAAGTCTGGAATTTGTCTGAAAAAGTTCAAATTATTGCCTTGAGTTGTATCCATGATAGGCTTTGAGAAAAATCTGTGATTATCTGACTGGAGTTTGGTCCTAACCTGTTTGACGATGAGGCGGGACAGGATGTTCATGACGAAGCCCCCCAGTCGAGGGTACATAGTGAGGGACTGGATGACAGTACGCATGAGCAGCATGGGGAGGGGACTCTGCTCCATCAGCTGCTGCATCACCACCGCCAAAACCTCGGAGGTGTACACGTTCTTCTCCCCAAAGCACAGGTTAGTAGCTGTGAAAACACCCAGTTCATTAATAAATGTTATTGCAGTTTAAAACGAGATAATTTCTCTTGATTTCACTGACCTTTAATGATGGATTTCATGTCACATTTGGTTGAGTCGATATTGTGTAAGGCGATCAGAAGGTCTCCAGGCGTAAGAGGGGACACAGATGAACTGCCCTCACCTGAAATAAAGGAAATACATCACCTGGAAAAACTTCCCACACAGGACAGAGAGAATAACTGGAGAAAATATGTAAAAACCAGGATGACAGTGGTTTGACATGCATGAGCGTAAAACATTTGAGACTCTTACTGTGCTGAGTTCCTAACAGACGATTGAAAACCTCCTTCACGACGATCGGGTTGAGCTTGATCAGCTTGGGCAGAGCCTGGATGACTTCGTTCTGTGAAGAAATATCCAGTGAGGAGTTCAAATCAGATTTCTTTGAGGCGCTGGTTGATATCAGCTTATCGACAAACTCATGAATCAAAGACACGCTGTCAGATTTGACCCACATCGATGGATTACACTTTGATAAACACTCGTTAGGACATTCGTTACCTTTTCGAGGCCGTTGATGACTGGAATCAGGAAACGAACGTCTGGCACTCGTTTGTGGTAGAGGTCTCTCACTCTTTCCACCAGCTCAGGGGACGGAGGCACTGAACAGAGGAAGTAAGACTCAGGTTAGTGATTTCTGTCACTCTTTGAGCTAACTCACCTGAATCCTTCTGCGCAGATAAAACTTCAAGCTCACCTTTATCTGTCAAAATGTGCAGACAGCGAGTAACTAACGTCTCCGCTCCTTTAGGACAGTTTTCAACCAACAGCAGCAGCTCGGGGGAGTTCATCCCCATCCCACGGATCTACAGAAACGAGGGAATGAAAAGGGAATGGTCAAGCTGCACAATTAAACAGTAGCATTGTTTAATCTAGGAGAAGTTGTGTGCAGTGTGGTTTGACTAAAACAGTTATTATTCTTGGTAGAAGGTTCAGAGTACGATTAAGTGTCTCACTTTTAATCAGCTGTTTATATTTAATGGCTCTCTGTGGGTCGACTAGAAACTCTGGTTTTAAAAGATGCATTACAAGTTATTTTTATCACGATTGCACATCTAGTTTGTTTTTCTCCGTCTTACGATCCTCTCATGTGGTCTCAATATTAGAAACACATGACCACACAGACAAACAGAAGCCACATGACTTTGCCCTCGTTCATTTTCTCATGACGGGTCTTTGATCAACAGAATTGAAACAGGAAGCATCAGGGGAAGGACAGACTTACAGGCTGCTCTATCGCTCGTAACACGCTGCGCTTGATGTCGGCGATGGCCTCTGTGTAGACTGAAGCCAGTTCATGGACCATCCGGTGGTTCAGAGGCAGCAGGGACAGGTAGAGGAACAGACACTGTCTCACTGTTTCTTCAGTCCAGGGGGCGGCCACCTCTGATTCAACAAAACACACAAAACCATGAGGTCAAAGGAAGGACGGGTAAATCTGAAACATCAGGAAAGCTTCTGTCTAGATACGACGACTAAAACTTGTTGCACACCTGTGTCTTTGTCGGCCCCAAAGAGCAGAGACGGAGGGTTAGGGTGGACCAGAAGCTGCATGTAGTTCAGAGCAAACTTCTCGATGTAGTCCCTGAGCTGGTCCTTCTCGTACATCCGCTTCAGAAAAGCCAAGGCTGTGGTCCTCACCTGAAACCAAAACCACCACAGAGAATCATTACAACCACAGAGCGACACAAATTAGAGTTACATTAGAGTTACGAACTTTTAAAAGATGTTTTCACCTTCTCTTTTTCATGTGAGCTCAGATCTAGAAGTACGTGAAGATACTGAAACTGCCTCGAGGGCCGTTTGACGATGAGCTCCTTCAGCGTCGTCATGCCCAGATACACCCGAGACTGAAACAAAGGTCATAACAAACCGGTGAGAGGAGAGAAAGAGAAGTGGCACCAAAAAGAGAGACTCTGTCATCACTACGTCTTTACCTCGTCCTCGCAGTAACGACGTATAACTTCCAATGCAGATTCAGTTATGATGGGAGCCTCCAGGACCAGTTTGGTGAAAAGTCTAGAGGACACAAGATATTCGAAGTTTGATTTACTTTAAAAGAAACTGTTATTTTCTGCGATCCAGCAAAGTCTTTTATCAAAAAACACAGTAAGTCACAATATTCAACGATAAATCAGGACAATGTGATGTTGCACAATTTTCAGATCACGATTTCAAGGATGAAAAGAAACAAAAGATCACTGAGGACTGTTTCGTCTCACCCGTCTCTCTGCTCTGGTTTCTCCTGCAGGCCTGACAGCAGCGTGAACAGGCAGTGGTCGTAGCTGTCCAGCAGTCCGTTCGGCAGCTGGCTGAGGTAAGTGTTGTACTCTTGGTAAAGGAGGGAGAAGGCCAGGTCACTCCTCGTCCTGATGTCGTCCAGAATAAACGCCAACACGTCCTCTTTCATCATCCCTTCAAACTGCGTGACGAGCCTGGAGAGGAGCTTCACTCTGACCTGCAGCACAGATTCACTGTTATCTTCAAACACAGGCAAGCAGGTAAGCGTTGATTTGGTGTGATGGCTGTGTGAATTATGTAAATGGACGATCGGGGCGGTGTAGAGGCAGAGAGATTGTGAAGGATTACAAATAGCACACTGTCTGCAGACAGGCTGATAATACAAATGAGAAATTATCCAACTTCAAACGTCTGGAGTATCTCAGGGTCGTTCAGTCGAAGGTGAGAACTTACATGAGACATGCCGCTTTGAGCGATGGCTTTCTCTGAGTGCAGGATGCGTTTCACTGCTCGAGACGTCAACTTCTCAATCTGGGTGTCTGATAAAGGCTGGACGACGTCCGACAGACGAAACACTTTTTTCCTCCCGCTGGATCCCGTCAGTCTGTAAAAGAATCGTGTAACATCAGTCGTCTGATATCTATGAGAGGTTAACAGTTTCTTCATCTGCTTCAGCACCAGGACTCACTTTGTTTGTGTCGTAGGGAGGATGGGCTCGGGGAGTCTCTTGACTGAAGCAGGGGTCTCCTGGGTTGAGGTCTTCTCCTGGTAACCTCCCACCACAGAGATGGCCTGTCCCACCATCACAGCCGGGTTTTTACGCTTGATGAGCAGGTCTTTACTGGCCGAGTCGTCTTCACCTCCTTCTTTGCCGACTTCATCGTCTCTGGCTTTGCACTGCTCGAGTCCTGGGTCACGGGTTTGATACAGATAAATAGATAAACAGTCCAGCATTTAAAAAAACTTATGAAGTAATTCTCTAAAAGTTTTATTTTATACTGCAATGAGGGAGTCAGATCTTCTTCATGACCCATCCGTCACCTTATTTACTCGCTGTAAGACTATTTTACTAAGTGACATGTAGACGTGATGTCTTTTAGCCTCTTTGTTACTAACCTGGACCGATCCCGGCTGCCGTCATCTGTGTAGCCATCAGCCGAGCCAGATGTTTAATTTGAGCATCAGTGCCTGCTGACTCCACAGGTGTGTATGTGGCCTGGAAGGACGCTGGCATGACATCAGGCAGGTACACCATGCTGATGAGCACCTGAGATGAAAAATCACAGAGACATGAGCTGATCCGACTCAAACAGTCTGACAGAAATGAAGAAAATGAACCCTCTGCTGCTCACCAGGTTGGCGACGTTCTCGGGGTTTAGCAGCGGGTGCAGGAACTCAGCTGTGAGGTCGATGGCAGACTGAGCGACAGGAACAGCAGCTGGTTTAGGGGCAGAGAGAGGGGCCGGCTCCTCTTTGTCCTCATCGTCTTCAATCAGGGCGGGCTCTGAACACATGAAACATATTTAGATAGTAAACAGGGATAAATCTCAGGTGTATTTCCCTGAAACTTTCATTCAGGATGATTTCCACCAGGATTAAACAGTTAAAAATATATGTCTTCAAGCTTGAATTTGAAGCTCAATGAACGTTTTCGAAATTCAGTACTTATCATGACACAATAGTGCAACAAAAACAGACTTAAAACTTGATTTAAGTGTCTGGAAGTGCAGTCCTTACTCACCCATTTTCACCTTTTTCCCCTCTTTGTACTGATCATGGCGAGGCCTTTTGCGCTGCTCACGTGGTGCAGGTGTTGACCGAGTTATTTCACTCTGAGGCATTCCCAGATCAAGCAGCAGAGTGCTGATCTGACCCTGGAACTCCAAGCTGCACGGATGCTTCAGGACCGCCACCAAGTGCAGCTTCAGATTCTTTCGCACGCTGCTGACCTGAGACTTGGCGAGGGTGGGCGGCAGGTTTGCTACAAAAGATAAAGACAAAAATAAATGGACAATCGTGCTTGTTTCAATTCCTCTGTATAATCAATCAATCTCAGCAACACTCACCATGTAGCATCTCATACGCTTGCACCACTTCGGACATGAACATCGGCCGCTGACGGGCGATCGTCGCCAGAGAGCCGAGCGTTGTGGTGAGGTTGATGCTGGTGATGGCAGGGTGCACCATAAACTTCAGCAGCCTCTCCAGCGCAGTCTTTCCCTCCTCACACAAAACATCTGCACAATCAAAGAGCAACAGTGAATCACAAACTTAAAAGTACTGAACCGACACACCTGAACCTTCCAACAGGGTTTTAGGAACCGTACCGTAGCGGATGTATGAGTGATCTTTGGGAACTTTGTCCAGACTGATGTCACCCTCTTGTCGCTTGGGGACGTCAGAGTCTGATGTCCGCGGTGAAAGAGTGATGATCAATGATTCTGTGAATTTGATGGCGTGAGTCCGTACGCCGTCATTTTCAGAGTCCAAGAGAGCCAGAACATCCCCCTTCATCTGTGTGACCAGATCCCAGCATGCCTCCTGCCTCTCTGACACTGCTTTAGAGCGAACTAACCACTGGTTGGGAAAAAGAGGGAAGAAAGAGTTATGAATAAAAAGATACTGTGACAGTGGCTTGGTTTTGTTTTATACTTCTTTGACAAAAATAGTCCTCATCAGAAAAGTCCTTCACACACCTGTAAAGTGACTTTGTAGAGCTGGGTGAGTGTGAGAATAGCCTTCTTCACCACGTTCACACTATCGTCCTTCAGCAACATGTTCAGATTAGCGATCAGTCTGAGGAGGAGCTCACTGTCTCTTTTACTAAAAAAGAGAAAAAGTGAAAAAGACTGAGTAAAACCAAAAATATTTTCTTATAGAGGCAATGAAATAGAGGGCTAGTTAATAACTCACCATGCTTCCTCTATGAAGCCAATGACGAATTTTCTCACTTCTATAGATTTGTCAGTCTGAAAGGCGATCATCTCCTACAGAACCAAAAAACAAATAGGATACAGACATTAGAAAGTTTTCATTTATGTCCATGTTGTTGGGAATCTATCGGACAGTGTGCTTGTGTGTTACAAACGATGGTCAGTGAAGACAACTTGAGTTACTCACATCCAAGAAGTTGTCAAGAAGGGAGGGATCCTTGTTGATGATGAGCTCCTGGACCTAAAGAGTGTAAAGAATCAGTAACAATCTCCAAGTCTTCACTGTTTCATCAGGATGTTTTCAAGCTGATACAGAAGAAAACTGACCTGTTTGAGCACTGTGAGTTTCTCATCTGTGGATATCAGGGCAGCCTGATTCAGAAGATCAACCACCTGGAATGGAAAACAGACTCTTGCTTAAAAAGGTATTTATCTACATAAAAAATGTCATTTCTGGTGTCTTCATCATTGGGTCATGATCATACTGACCTAACTGGAGACCTAACTTTTGTCCAAGATGTCAGCATGGACACCTTGGACAGTCTGCAGAGACACACACCTCACACACCACAAACTCTGAAGCACTTAGAGATTAAAGACAGCGAATCTCACCTTCTCACTGGTGGTCATATCGATAGCATGAGGGGCTTCAGAGTCCCCCTCCTCTGCAGAGACCTCCATGATGCTGTTTATTTCTTTCTTTAAGCGGATAACATCATCTTTACAGTCTTTCTAAACTCTGTAACCTGTGTGATAAACAGCTGCAGTTAATAAAGACATTGAGATTCATCTCTTTTCCATAATTTGACAAAGACTTTAATTTTATAAGGGACTTTTAAAATGTAATATACAGTAAACATTAATGCAAAGGCTTTATAGTTCAGACACTTGTTCTCAGTTAGCGTTAGCAACATGCTAATGATACTGTTAAAACTACTGGTTATTCTAAGCTTAGAAAGACAGATTTGTCGCAATTACATGCCTCTTCACAGATTGAATTTCTTCGACAATCCTAATTAAGTGTAAACACTGTGTTGGTCTAAATATTGGTGTAGTTTTAACATACCGAATAAGCTCAATCACTTCGCTAACCCAACAGGGACGCCACCATGTTTAGCGGTACTGCTCGACTTCTTCTACGACTTCTGATGGTAAACAGCAGAGAGACAGCGACCCCTGCTGGATACTGGAGGACAGTCATCCCGACACCAGGATTCCTAATCTCGCGAGATGAACCGAACTTGCTTAGTGGACTGTGCCCTAAGTTTGCAGCTCCACAGTGATATTAAAGTAGTACGTTTCCTACTTTAAACTGTGTTTCACTAACAGCAGATCTTAAATGAAAGCGGTCATTCTCGCCGCCGGGTACGGAACCAGGCTCCAGAGGGATGTGTTGGCTGACAGCAGCGGGAGGTTCGCTCACCTGGCCGGGGTCGCCAAACCGTTGCTGCCGGTGGGACAGTGTGCTCTGATCTCACACTGGGTCCACGCTCTGACCGCCTCTGGGTGTGTGGACGGCATCTATGTTGTGGTGAGTAAAACAGTGTATAGTGAAGTAGAGCCCAGTATGTTTAGTCAAGCTCTTCTAACTACCTTTATTTTGTGATGTATACAATAAAACTGATCAGCATTGAGTTCTGCCTGAGCATGTGAATTACATGGTAATGCATCAATATCAAAATTTAGAAGAAATCAGCCCACAGGTCTTAAAAATATGACACTTAAGATGTCCCTTTAAAACAATTTATTTATTAACATTTTTTCATAAACAGTACACAACTTCCATAACGACAACAGAACTACAAATTTCACCCAAACCCGCCTCCTCCCAGAACAAACCCCATGGGCCAACTCTTACCTACATCCCTAAAAATAATCATAATAATAACTAATAATAATAATAAATGTATTTGTATAGCACTTTTAAAAACAGAGGTTTACAAAGTGCTTTGACATGTAGTCATAGAGCACAAGGGAAAAAGACAAATAAAAACCATCACAGTATTTCTAAGATGGCTTTTAAGTAACTTTTAAAATTCAGGTGCATATTAACTCCTGTACTTACATTTCAGTCTTCAGCTGGGCTGATAATCATTTCTTACAAGTGTGTGAACCTGAATCAAGGCCGATGACCCACTCTGTCTTTTTTTTCTCCTTCACAGACCAACGCTCTGTACCATGCTGCATTTGAAGAATGGGCATCACAATTCACAAATGTGAAGATTCTCAGCGATCAAACAAGAAGCAATGATGTAAAGTACAGTTTTACTTCTTTTTTGTTTAGGCTTTTTTTATCAGAGTGAGACAAAATTGACAGCTGCCTTTTCATCTCAGTGAGTGTACCTCTTATTTAAAGCTGCCTCCCTTCCACCAACAGGACCGTCTTGGTGCTGTGGCCTGCTGTCAACTTGTTGTGAAGCACTTCAACATTGAGGACCATGTTGTTGTCATTGGAGGGTTAGTGAGAGCTGTGTTGTTCTTATGTTAATTATTTAGGAGTCCTTCTGTGTTAGGGTCAGGCACTTAGAGTAAAAATGTGGACCTGCCACCTGCAAAAAGAAGTTGTTTTAGTGGAAATGATCCTAACAGGTGCAAAATGAAACCATGCTGAAGAAATAAACAGTAACCCTGTCTGACTTTGACAGTGACACCCTCTTTAAAGAAGACTTCAGCCTCGGTAAAGTGAAGGAGAGATTTTCTGACCTTCAAGCAAAGAGTGAGGACAACTGCCTGGTTCTTTCTTATCAATGCAAAGAGGAGGGTGAGTTTATTCAACAATAACAATGAAAGAAACTCTTTCAGTGTCATTTGTGACAGACTTTAATGTTTAAAGTAGCTAAACCTCTGTCTCAAAATTCAGTCTCTGTGTTGTGTATCCGGACAGAAACTCGTAAATATGGAATACTGGAGGTGGACAGTGATCTTCGCATCCTGTGTATGAAGGAGAAACCTCTTCCCTCTGAGACGAAGTCAAGGAGAGCAGTAAGTCCATCATAAATATTTAAAAATGTTAGAGAAAGCAGTGATCAACCTTCAGATTTTACCCTGAGCCATGAAAAAGATGAGTTAAGGGCTTTAACATGAAACACAGGAATGTGATTAATCAATAAATGAAGTTATTCAAGGTAAAAAATCTTTATGAGCAATTTGTTTGTAGAGTTGTATGACTAGCTTATTATTCCCTCTTTCACACCAGTGTCCGTGTTTCTACGTGTTTTCTAAGAGAAGTCTTCCTCTGCTGGACACTTTCATGGAGGAAAAGAAGGTGAATGTAATATCTCAGACTCATGTCTGTCACTTTAAGGTTGTTTTTGACTGTGATTTCACCGTGATGTGCATCATTTTATCTCCACAGGAGGCGCCTATTGATGAGAAAGATGCTCCCGGTAACTTTGTGTCGTGGCTCATTCCAAGGTAACTTATGTGAAATGCTTTAGTGTCCTTGAGGTCCAAATTTTACCCTCCAAAGTTGTAGAAATCACTCTCTAATTCTGCTGTAACAGCCAAAAGGTCCTCTTTTGCACTCTTTATTTAAAACCAGGTTTAAATTGATGCTGAGTATTTAACATGAATGTAAAATATTGTCGATATTAAGCACCAGTATTTAATGTTTTGATAAAAATTTGCGTATTTGCTCATGTAAGTTTGTTTTTTTCTTTTTTCAGGAAGCCAGTTTATGTTTATGAAATTTCTGGACGTTTTGATGTTGGAAACCTGCCCTCCTACATCGAATGTGACCTTTACTTCAAAGAAAAACAAGATGTGGAGTCTTACATGGTGTAGAGCAAAAATACAAACTTTTAATTTACCATGTTGGGAAAAAAAAAAAAGAGACAAAAACAATCAAAAGAAATCCTGGTCAACTGGGAGAATCTTTGACATCAACTCAAAAATGATTTCTGTAAATATTCTGTAAAATATTTCTTTTTTGTAATTTCAAAACAAATATTTTCTATTAAAATGATTTTTTATCGTCTACCCTGTGAGGAGTCTCGTGCATTTATCCGAGGCTTTCTCATGTTTGTCCTCCATCTTCGCGATGCGCGAGCCGAACTGCATGGCCCTCTTTGGCAGGACGGCTGATTGGCCGAGACCGAGCTGCCTCGCCGACAGTCTTAGGAGGAGCTTCTCACCGACACCTCGAGGAAGAGTCAGATCTGCTTTCTCCAACACGGGCAGAGAGTTCAAGTAGCTCACCACGTCCTCGTCTAAATAGGGAAACCTGAAGAGGGCAGAATTATACAAGTCAAAAATGGTCTATAAATGATCGAAGTGCAAATCAAGAAACTCAGTGCATTGAAATTCTTTCAATACAGACTCACCTCGCCTCTTTGCCATGGTCTCCGATCACTCTGTCATCTCTGCCCAGATTCCTGGAAGAGATCCTGCCCAGCTCCATGGCCAGTTCCTGGATCAATCCCTCATATCCTGATGTTTTAAACCGGACTCTGTGTCTGGAGTAACCTGCCAGCTGCTCATCCGCTCCAATTCCTGTCAAAATCACCTGCAGGGGGAGACAATCAGGGAAACAGTTCAGAAGTTAAAGAATCTAAACCAAACTGAAGGGTGAGACATCAGAGATTAGACGCCTTTAGGAGACTTGTGTCTAAACTCACCTTTGCTGATGATGAGAAGGACCTCTGCTCATGGTCCTCCGTGATGACCCCTTTCCCTCTGGCCGCAAACCAAACCGCACATCCGATACTGTCGTCCAGCACCGTATCCAGAGGATGCACCAGATGACAAACGCGCTCCTGCCGCATTTCCTGCAGCTCCTCCTGCGTCACATTAATTTCAACAAAATTCCACCTTCTTCCAGGACTCAGGTTTTGTAGTTCTCCGAGTCCGGCTCTTCCAGTTTTTCTGTCTGGAACGTCGAAGGGACTTGAGGTCTGGGAATCAGCTCCAGGTTTGTCATCCATTTGCCTATTTTTGTGCTTTTTAGGTTTCTTCGTCGACTCTTTCTGCTTCTTCGGCTCCTGTAGTTTGAACGCTACATTGAGGAGGTCGATGGGCTGATGAGCAGGTATGTGTCGGTCAGCTAACACAGCTAAAATCATAGAATCGATACCTCCTGAGAAAAGTACAGCGACATCAGCCTGGTCGTCAGCGGGAGGAGAGTCCTGCATCCTGAAAGGCAGAGACTGAACTCGCCTTCTAACCGCCTCACTAAGAACATCGATAAGACGGTCTGACTCTTCAGTTTTGTCTTTGCTTGCCAGAAGCTGCTCCAGATCTTTAGAACATGAGTTCAGGTGAACCTCGTGTTCGTTTCCTGGCTCTGGGATGGATCTATTGAGAGGACACACAGGTGAGGTCAGCTCCAGACCTGCTGGGTTCATCACAGCATTGCAGCCGCTCGGTACAGACTCTAATACAGCTTCACTGCAGCCTGAGAAGACGTGATTCTCAACGTGAGCCCAAGGAAAAACCTCAAACATCATAGATCCAGACTCTGCGGCTGCTTTCAGGTCGATCCTGTACACACCTACTGCTGGGACTTCTTGCCAAACAGACTTATCAGGTGCAGAGCTGCAGGCTGCCACAGAAGTCAGAGTCAAGGCTTGTAGGTCTGGATCAAATCTCCACAGCAAACTCCGTCTACCAAAGAAGTCTCTACCAAACCAGAGGCAATCTTCAGCCTTTTGGAGGTAAATAAACCCCCATGGTCCACGTATGGAGGACAGAGTGGACAGTATCTCCGCAGAGCTGTTACAGGACGCAAGTTTTTGAGAGACAACAGCTGTGTCATTTTCTTCTGGCCTCACAGGGATGCCTCCAAAAATCTCCCCGTTCCACAGGAGGACATTTCCAGCGTCATCTTGAAACGGCTGAGGGGTGAGGAGACCTCTCATGTGAAGAACATGGGCTGAGAATAAACACTGATAACAGGGATTTGAACCTCTAACTGTGAGATCCTGACTGAAGTTTGGACCTCTTCTCTTCAAATGTTCATGAACTGTTTTGTCCCCTTCACGCTGAGCAGGGGACAGACTGAGGAGACAGAAAATGCCGCACATTGTTGCAGTGAGGGATGAAGACGTGAAGTCTTACATGTCCTGAAGCTCCTTTTTCAAGTTGTCCAGCTCACCTGGAGACAAAATCATCACAATTAAGGAGCGTCATGTCAAATAAGTCGATTTTTAGCCTCTATGATGTTTATTTTCTGAACGTACGTTTGCTTGAACTCAGTGTTTGACTTTTGTCTCCTAGAAAGAAAATGTTGCTGTTCCTCTGCTGGATGAACACTCTCTGGAAAAGAACATAAAATGTGCTTTATTAAACACTCTTTCTACAACATAAACATATCTCCCCTCAAACTTTAAAAGGCATGATCGTGTTAAAGTAAATATAAGAGAATAAAAGTCAGACTGAAGCTGAACTCACCCTGTTTTTCTTCAGGTTTGAAAGCTCGTCCACCACAACCTTCATCTCCTTAATCTGCGAGTAAACGAGCAAATTTAACGATTAGTTTCACCTCTCAGAAAAAATAAACAAGCAGCTACAAAACAGGCAGGTTTCTCTGAGTAAATGATAGAAGTTTGTGTGAATTTAAAGAGTTAAATCAACCAGATATTCTGCATGTTTACCATTTCATCATCTTTAACGTTACCTTTCTGTTCAGCTCCTCCTTCACTGCGGACTGTCCTTCAAAATTATCGATATCTTGGTTTTTCGAAGTCATTTTGATCCAAAACTCGGAGTCAATAATAGTAACCAGTTTATATTTATGTAGCAGGAGTTAGCAGGTTCACATGTTCTGCTGCTGCTTTGTTAGTTTTTCCGGGGACAGTAAAACTCCGTTAAGTATTTTGTTAACGCCCCCTAGAGGTGGGAGGTGGACACACACCGGACTGGAGAGACAGAGATGAGACCCTCTCCATTTGCCCTGAATTTTTCAGATATGCCATTAAATGCTTGTGCATAATTTCTGACTCTGCTCCCCGTATTAAATGTCATCTTGGTCAATGCCATCACTCTTGCTCTGAGGGTGAGTTCAGTGTTACTGTGCCGTTTTATTTCAGCAGGGGGCGTCTACACTGACATGAGAAATGAGGTCTGATTGAGAACATGACCCAAATTCTCAGTTGGTTTAGTACTTCGGCATAAAGCAAACAAAGAAGTAAAAAAAATCCAAGTGATCTTAATTTCTTGATGTAAACATGATTTTAACTCATCTTATTCACCTTTGAGTCACAGTGTGGTCACTTTTTGGCTCCAAAACTAAAATTGCATGTGCCTGACTGAAGAGTATAATATAGCAGTCAACCTGTCCTCCATTACCTAGCTCTAAAGACTTAAAGTGATTAATATTTGAACCTTGATTTACTGTGAAATAATTGCATTTTTAACCCACATTAAGTCAATTTTTACAATATAAATCATTTCTGACCAGTGCTGAGATTGGAGAATGCAGCAAATGAGCTTCATGATCTTGACCTTTAAATGTTTTGTTCAAATAAAAGCAGCACTATTTTAAGAGTGTGGCCTGAAATGACAACCTAAAGATAGGAAACAGCTTCAAAGTGCTTCTTCACAGACACAAAATGCGCACCACAGATCTGCAGCAATGCACAGACTTCAAGATAGAGCTCTGAGTGTGAAGATGGTGTCTGCTTGGCTGCACCTGTAGACTTAGCTTGTATAGACAGTCACTTCAACCTGTAAGTCTACATCCACTTCTTAAAAACAGTCTCTGAGCCTCTATGATGTAACTCGGTACTGTTATGTTAAATAAAATGTGGCTTTCCAGAGGTCAACGTCTTGCTCCAGCTTTGGGGCAAATTAACCTTCAAACCTGCAAACACACCTGTCTGAGAGCTCACGTTGGTGTGATCTCGGTGTGCTGCCATGTTATATTGATGAATTGATCCGAACCAGCTGTCTGATGTTTACCACTTCATTGCCTGGAAACAAGAGCTGTCATTTTGGAAACCGTGGTCAGGCTGTCACAACCACACAATGACCTTTGGTGTTTATCGTCCAAAGTCAGGCATCCATCGAAATTTCAGGCCTCAGGTGGATTTCTGCAGCAATAAGACCACACTGTTATGATCCAAAAATGGGTAAAGATAACATTATAATCATTGTTTTTGGAGCTTTTTAGTCACTGGGATGTTTTGTAATATTGTTATGTCCAGTTTCATAAGATCTTGGGCTAAATATGGCCAATACAGCTGCACTATAATACCCTGTAGCTCTGTTGCAATAAAGTCTTACAGCTCGGCACAAAGAGGACAGAATCCCAGCATGAAGAACAGATGAATAATCTGATCCAGCTTCAGGTGCGTGGCTCTTCAGGTGAGATTTCATTGAGTCTTTCTCCTCTTGAGTTGCGGCTCCTGTGCGTCAGGCCTCATGAGATAAGTCATTCTCATATTTTTATCCTGGAAATCCAAATTTAGCTCACGTAAACACTTCTTGTTGTTGCTGGCTGAAAAGGGATCCCGTCAGGGGCAGACATACCTGCAGGTCACATGACCACAAAATGACACAGCAGCCGTCTGACCGCTGATGACAGGTACCTGGCTGACACATCGACCCACTAATAGTGCGGCTGGTAATCTGTTTGTAGCCGCTCAGTGTGTGCAGACTTTCAAACGGCTGAGGGCTCTCAGTGATCCTTGAATAGATCACAAAGGGACAGAAGTGCCTATTGTCAACACCGGGCTCATGAAAATATGCGCTCACACTCCTTGTTGGTGTCAGTTTTGTCCCCTCGTGTGATGAGGTGGCACAGACGAGGCCCACATGTTGAACTACGTCAGAAAGTCACGTTTAACATCTGCATGTGTAAAAACACCACAATAAAGATTTATGTTTAACCACGCTGCACTGACTTCGTGGTTTTTTAGTATTTTTTGTAAAATATAAAAAAATTCCATATTGCCTCTCTAAATCTTTACATAGATGAGTGAGTCCCATAAAATCTAACATCTCTTCTCCAAAAATAGTAGCAACTCCAAGTTTTATCAAAAAAGACAAAAAAACAATCAGACTCAGTAAAAAAAATCTATGAAAGTGATCACTGGAATCATATGAAGTTCCGGATTTATGTCTGCATCACCCAAAATTGCCATTTAAAGCTCCAGTTAGGAACTTTCTTTAAGTGTTGGTTTTGCCGCCCCCCTGTGGACAAAGTAATACCACTTATCGTTTAGCTGATCTTTTCCTGTATATGGGTAGATAGTGTTTCATGTCAAAAATATCTTTTCTCTTTATTCTGACACTTATATTAACATCTACTTCATCGGATGTACCGACAACTACCCCCTGTGAGCCATTTAAGACGTTAAAATAACTCTACAGCAGTAGTCCGTCTCTATTTTCATGGTCTTATTTGATTTCACAGTGCGCATAAGCTTTGATTTCATTTTATTTTTTGACAAACTCAAAACTCCCTACAGGAGCTTTAACATCAGTCTGTAGATTGTTCTATAGAAAATGTGCAGAAAACCTAAAATCTAACCTTCCCAACCCACGTCAGACTCACTGAAAATAAAACAATATAATAACACTCTAGAGTCATGGTAATTATATGTTTATATTATCTTGTTAACACAATCACGCAAGTGTTGGATAAGGATCAAGCTTGGAAAAAAGCTAAATACAGAATCAGATTAGTCCTGCAGAAAGTCCACGGTCCCTCCTCTATGCACAAATATGCATTATTGGTAGGATTGCAGGTCACCGTGCATTATTTCAGGATTTAGTGATGCAGACAGTGAAAGGAACTTAAAATGTTTTGAAATGTTGCAAAATCAGCTTTAAGGCTTTCCTACATACACTTAGATGAGTAGATTGAATCCACTCTTATGTCTGGACACTGAATAAGGCGACTCGCCAGCTAAGTCTTTAGTAATCAAACTGGGATAACACAGAATTTTGTAACATTGCAGGTGGTGGTGGCATGTGTGCCAGCACCAAAGTCAGTGCCAATGGGAAGTCAATAAATATCTATCTCTGTGACGGACATGTAAACTCTCCAAAAGATGTTGTAATAAAAAGAAGAGTCTGCTGAGCACAGGGGTCAAGTGTGATGGACTTTCACCCCTGAAAACCATTTGAAAGAGAAAATCAATGTTGACTTTTTTACTTATCCTGGAGCATGTGAAGTTACTAACATCATGCAGATAATACAGTGTAATACAAAATTATATCTCCCAATTCAAGCATTAAATAGGCCGACACATCTTCGCCCTAACCATAGTCATTATTCAAACCAAACCAAACCAAAGTGTTGTGCAGAAATCTAATCTGTTTCTAATGTTAGTTTGCAGCTGGTAATATGCTAATGCAGGTTGTTGTGTCTTGCTGTAACTTAAAACAAAATACAGCCTGATCTTTACTTAACACTTACTTATCTAGTTTATGTTACAATTTTTCTTATCACACTAGAAACGTTAGTTAGAGAGTGGTTTATTGTTAACATTTGCTGTTTTCTGACTATATGTGATAGATATTTTACACCTGCTTCTTCTCCCTTTCCATTTCTACAATATATAATGAGCTCCCACGGTTTTAACATAGACTTTAGTGTATAAATCTCTGATATAACTCTGTCCATCTAACAGGTTTTAAATGTGTTTAATACTGCTGTAAAAATGGGCATTTTAATATGGGCTTCGATGGAGTTCTTTGGAGACTGCCTCAAGTGGACAGTCAAGGAACTGCAGTTTTACGATCTTCTGCATTTGCTGAATTTACACTTGAAGTTTGCACTCAGTTTCCCAAGCTGAGAAATACGGCTGCTGTCTTAACATGGTTGAATTAAAGGGCTGAGTTGGAGAAAACTGACTGTGCAGTTCTGTCCTTCTTAGAGTGGCATTGAAAGAAAACCACACACCACACAATGCAGCTCTTATACCTGCTGCAGCTCAGAGCTGGTGTTATTCATGCACAGTCAGTCCAACACAAAGACATCAGGTTCGAGTGGTGACACAGGGGTCCCACTCATCTTTTATAGTCCTCTATGCATCAGGTACAGTGAGAGAAAAAAGCAGCCATGCCCTCACTTAGCAGGTGTTTATTTCTTTTCTATGGATTCAGGCCAAGGAGGCCTCTTTCACGTAGCCGGCAATTATAGCTGTGGTTCTGTTCTGTTGACATAGGTGGACAACTGCAAGTCATCCAAAGGTGTGCTTTGTACATATTTGCTCTTTTTTCATTGCGGAGGTCTTGGTAAACAGCCTCACAGGTCAGAGTAGTTATGCCAAATCGCACCAACATTCCTCGATTATTGATTTAGTGTGGTATCACCTGTACAGATAAGTTCACATAACTTTGCCAATCTCCCTGCTGTTCTTCTGTTTGTTCCATTTTAGTGTCAGATTTGATCTTATTTGCTTTCATAAGTTATGACAGAGTACAGGTTGTGTTACATAGAGAGCCTGCAGGATTTCTCGAGGAGGACTTAATAAAGGTGAAGTGCAGCCGACATCTAAAGCTTTGCTCTGTTGAAGGTGGAACTGTTTTATTGCACTAAACGTGTCAGTCGAGACTTCGCTTTTTATTGGTCATGGTTTATTAGCGACACAGTTATGGAATAAATCTGACCTTATGTCACCCATATGCCACTGATTAAAATAGGTTTATTGTTTTACAGGTATACACCCTCCCAGACAATCAGCCAGTAATGGAAAGAACATTTACTTAAGTAGGCTATTGCACTTATTGTGATTTATCTAGTAAATATTTAAATAACTGCACCGATTTTAAAATCCACTTAATAAGTCATAGTAAGTGTTAGCAAGTTGTAACAGAACACAGATAAAGAAGAATTTTTAAAGCCTAAAGAATTTGCAATGACTACAATGAAGTCAGCCACACAGGTATTTTATGATCACATGTAATTTATTTTTTTAATCATTTGTTAATTTTTGTGTTTCATTAAATTTTGTGGGGTTTCATTAAATGTTTCAGAATTTCAAAACATATTTCTGTACATTGAATTGATTTAGAGCTTGATAAACACTTTTAAATCATGTTATGAAATATTTATTTGACTTCTAGCCGTGGGTAGTTTGCAGTTATTGTCCCTGGTTAGACAGCAGGAAATACAGCACATAATAGATAAACCACTAAATAAAAACTAACATTATAGCAGGTGCAGACAGGCGATCATATGTTTGTATAAAAACAACAAGAAAGCAGAAAAAACAAGCAGTTTCTTCTATGCACAAAAATACATACACATGCACACATAGGTACATATATACACACATACGCATAGAACATGGGGCCCTAAACAAAATTTGATTTTAGGTCCCTCTATTTCTGCTAATAATATTGATTGTTGATCATTCACACACCTTCACAAATCTCTTTGATTAACATTCCATGACATGCAAACATACCTTTATCTTGGCGTTTTCTTCAAAGTAGCATAGAATGAAATTTGAGTATTTTTCAATCATTATACTAACTAGGCCTGGGGCAAATCCATTCACACACTTAAAAACCAGCTTAAAAAAATTAGAGATTAATTAAATTGTCGAAGCTCAACAAGTTGTGCTTTTGTAAAACTATGCAATAGTGCCATTTCATGTTTTTAAGGTTTGTAAAATACGAGTTAAACAAAGTCGTGGTTTTGTTGCAGATATCGCTTTAAGCACTTTAAAGGTCTGAGGTTCAGTGATCCTCATAACAGAGCTCTGCAGGTAAACAGGTAGATTTAGGATATTAGCGACGATGACAACGTTTTGACACTACTTTCTGGCTTCGACTCGGCGCATGCGCAGTAGGGGAACCCCTCTGTTATTGACTTAATGTAAATAAAGTGACGTCACGGCGCTGTTATATTCGAGGCGGGACGTAAACAGAGGAGCAGCTTCAGAGCGGAGGGGACCGTTGGACGGTGCACCGAGGAGAAACCAGCAGCTCCTGCAGCTTCGGGCTTTTGTGCGACTTAAACGGCTTTTCGGTTATAAAACCATTTCTTTCCAACTTCAGCTACAGTGTTAGCTAAGTTCGGAGAGGAGAAAACAGAGAAAGGCCGTGTTGCTGTTTTGTTTTTGTGTCGCTGCGTACCAAAGGATGCAGTGTTAGTCGATCTCCTTCAGCGTTATATTACAAAAGAGAAAAACCACAACACTATTATCTGTTTATTCTGACATTTGGACAGCTTTGACATGGATAACTCTGGGTCCAAGAAGACATGCTCTGGTAGGTGATTTTTCGATGCAAGCTTTAATAATCAATATAATAATCAACTGTATGTGGATCAGCTGCTGTAATGTGAATTTATCCTCCTTACAGAGTCTGTCAGAGACTTCTTTACTTCAGCTAAATTCCTTATTTACATGGGACATGCTCTGTCAACATGGGTAAGTGAATATTATGCCTATTGCACGTATTTAAATACACACTATCATATATTTGCACATGAGTTTGATGATGATAGGCTTTTCTGAGCCAAATTGAATGTAATACAATATGAATATGTGATTGTATGATGGTGCTTTTGTTCCAGCTGTCATTACAACACAAAATGACATGTTTTCCATGTGTGGCTCACCGAGATACTTGTCTCTACAAATAGGGTGTTTTGCAGCCCAATGAGGCTGAAAAGGCTCTCATTATTCATGAACCACATTTCCCACCTGGCCTCACTCGGATGTTTTGAATCAAGGCTCAGTCTGGTGTGTAACTAACCAGTGTTTTTTTGATTTCCAAAGGGTGACCGAATGTGGAACTTTGCTGTGGCTGTTTTCCTGGTGGAGTTGTATGGGAACAGCCTGCTGCTGTCAGCCGTGTACGGGCTGGTGGTGGCCGGCTCTGTGCTGCTGCTGGGGGCCATCATTGGGAACTGGGTGGACAGAAACCCCAGACTAAAAGGTAAGGAAACAGAATTATTTCCATTTTTCCATTTATTTATTTCTAAAAATGGGAACAGTACATGAAGATGAACATTTACTCAACTTAACTTTATTTGTAAAGCACTTTAAAACAACCATATCTGAACAAAGTGCTGTACATAAATAGGCAAAACAACGCAGACATAAAAAACAATCAAAAAACAATTAAAACAATGGATAGAATAAAAGCAGATATTAAAAAGTAAAATATAGTTTCAATGTTTTTAAAAACTAATTTTAAAACATAGAAACAAATAACTAAAAACAAGCCATAAAACACTAAAACGGGAGCGGAGTCTCATGCAGGTTTGAAAGCCAATGAATCAAAATGGGTTTTAAGACAAGTTTTACATGTAGATATGTGGGATTATTGCCAGATGTCTAATTTCCATCCCCAGTCCCATTGGCAGGTTGATGTCAAACATAAAAGCAATAATGTTAAAAGTACGAACAACATGACTAAGACAGTAGAACAATGCACTGACAACATACACATAATATACATAAATGACATACACAGACCAAAAATTAAGTGACCAATAGTAAGGGGACCAAAAGTGTTTTAAGTGCCATTTGCTAATTCTAAAAAAGGTTTAAAAATTGAGGATTTGCTGCTAAAAATAAATGTGGAGCAGTCAAAAACGGCCTGGTAGCACAGTTTCCCTCACTCACACCGTTTGTGGATTTTACCCAGAAGAATTTGGCAAAAGCTCTAATTTCTCCAACCATCTTGTTAAAACCCTCGTGAACTAATTTGTCAGACAGGAATCTGTTGTCTTTGACCACATTTCTGTCCCTAATGTCCTTCGTGGTGCTTCCACAGTGGCCCAGACCTCGCTGCTCGTCCAGAACAGTTGCGTCATCGTGTGTGGGATCCTCCTGATGGTTGTTTTCCAGTTCAAAGAACAGCTTGTGGAGCTTTACAATGGATGGATTCTGGTGAGATCCCCCTCCTGTGCTGTCCTTACACACTCGCTGTTCAAACATGATCCGATGTGACTTTCACTGACAGCAGTTTTAGACTTTTTCCTGTTGTTCGCTGCTCTGACCCCTGCAGACAAACTTGCTTACTCGACCTGAGATAGACCCCTGCGTCAGTTTCTGACAGCTTTAACAGACTGCTTAAACATGGGTTACATTCACTGCATCAAATTATATTTAAATCAATAACCAATCAGGTTTGAAAACTGAGATTTGAGTGTTTGAGTCACAAACTGGGCTGAATGAGGAGCTGATACCCCTCGACAGTCTTCAGCGGGAATAAATAGCTGGTGTCAGAGTTTTGCTCGGGGACTTGTTTACACTTGTTGAGCTATGTGTTTTCATTTGAGCCACCAGCACGACAAAGAGACGGACCTGATTTTAAAGCTGACCCAGATGCAGAACTAGACCACTTGTTATGGCTCCAAAAAGGGAAATGAGGACAGGTCTGTCGTTGCAATAAAATTTGCTGTTCAAACAAATCATCATTTCTGGATCAATTTGATTAAACAAGTGAGTAAAATGAAGTTGATGATGTATGCGGAGAGCTCATTCACTCTTATCAATTTATTGGATTTGGCTCCTGTGTGGTTTTGGTAATAGATTGATTGATTGTGCAGCTTTATCAGAGATGTTTCCGTCCATCTCCAGAGATTTCTTCGGGTGTCAGGTTGGAAAACAAAAGCCTTCTGTCAGCGAGAACATGCCTTCAGCATCGCTCTCTGCATTTGTAGAACGCCTTTGAGTCTCTGGGGAGAGGTGGGGGATGGATTTTAGCCTTGTGAGAGTGTTTAGAGAGATGTGTGTGTGTGTGTGTGTGTGTGTGTGTGTGTGTGTGTGTGTGTGTGTGTGTGTGTGTGTGTGTGTGTGTGGAGAGAGAGATTTGGTGAAACAGGAGATCGAGTGTTGTAGTCAGCAGGTTCTTCAAGGCCTGTCACATGACTCGGAGAGGGAGAGGGAGAGAGAAATGTAGCCTGACCTGTTGAATCGTTGTTTCGCTGTTCAGAGCAGCTGCACTCAAACAAGCATGTGCGCCAACAAACTAAGCTGCGGTTTAATATGTTTGCATATGAGTGAAGTTGTCAATCATGATTTATTACTGTAGTCCTTAAAGTCCCAAAATCGAGCCTTAACTTAGCTGTTGTGCCTCATTATTGTAACGAAAAGTGTAAAAAAAACTGCTTTAAAATGATGCGATATTGTCTTTTTATTTTATTTTTGTTAATCTACAGACAAAGCTGAAAAAGTAAATAAAAACAGCATTTTGGGGAACTATTTTAAGGCTCTGATTGACATTAATCTGTGTGATGGAGGTGCATTTAAAGGGGTCCAAATAGTTAGAAAGTAAAACTAACTTGTTGGTGTCTGTCAGCGACAAGAAAATAAAGATTACTAACTCTTTTCTTTCTTTTGATTTTCCAGACCACCTGCTACATCCTGGTGATCACCATCGCCAACATCGCCAACCTGGCCAGCACAGCCACGTCCATCACCATTCAGAGGGACTGGGTGGTGGTTGTTGCAGGTCAGGACAGCAGCAAGTTGGCAGGTCAGTGTCTCTTACCTCCTTCCTGACTTATCTCGAATGTACGCCTCACGTGATCGGTTATCAGATCTCTACAGCGGGGGCAGACTTTGAACCCCGGACGCTGACTCACTCTCATTTTCACCGTTTATGTTCCTGCAGGTTTTAAGATGGTCGTAAAATCTTTTAGGGGTCGCTCACATGATTGGAAAATACACTAACAGCTGATGAACTCGGTGACCTCAATTATTCAGCTGTGCTAGAATCAGGTCTTTCATAAAATCTAAGAACGTATAAATTTAAAGCCGACTACAATGAGAGAGAGAAACAATGGGCTACTATTGAATAAGGTGTCCTTATAAATCTGCTGGCGAAGCAAAACAAACAAGAACTTTGTAAAGAATAAAAGAAACTGAAATAAAAGAAATTCGTAACAGGGAATTGAAATATGCTAATCATACGGTGTAAATTTAACCACAACTATCGTGCAAGGCAATAAGTTGCTCAGCTTCGAGATTCTCTGGCGCCGATCTTCCCAATTTCCTAAATTGTTCACATTTTCATTTACGTATTATCTTCTTAGACCCATCGGCTTTAAGTTTATGAATCTTTGACAACATCTGATCATTTTCAACCCCCCAAAAGGGAATACAGATGTAGTTCACTAAATGGAACCTGTAGTGACTTTGCTGACCTGAATTTAAGTCACTGTCTGGGTGTGGGAGTGAGGAGTTTTTGACGCACTTCTACTAAAATCCAGTGTCCAATCCAAGGTTGTTGTTGAATTATATTTTGCCATTTATGATTAAATGAAAAACAAACAAAAAAAGACAAATACGTCCAACCTACGACGATGGAGTTGTACAAGATGAGGGTGAGAGCGGTGTCGGTGTCTGGTTCCCCAGATCACGGCTGTCACGGTGTCCCTTTTGTAGCATTCACCTGACCATTCGCCTGAAGTGCCTCTTGTAGTGATTGTGCGAGTAACAAAACAAAACCCCCAAAATAAAACAGATAAAATGACTCTTACAGAAGCAGAATAATGAGTCAGTTTAACTAAATCAACAGTTTCATTCTTCTAGACCTGAAATATCTGTCATATCTAAGCTATAAAGCAGCTGCTCAAGACTAGTCAAGGCGAGTTGAGTTGTATGAAGGCCGCTTCTTGTCGACATGAGCGGTTATTAACCTGGACTATAACCTGCGTGATGAAGACGGCCGCTGCCAACGTCAGGATTCGATTAATCTTACTAATCGTATAAGATCTGCAAACTTGTGCAGCGAACAAAACATGAAAATTCACCTTCTCTCTTAACTCTCTTGTATCAAACAGACATGAACGCCACCGTGCGCATCATCGATCAGCTGACCAACATCCTGGCTCCCATGCTGGTGGGTCAGATCATGTCCTTCGGCTCTCACTTCATCGGCTGCGGCTTCATCTCCGTTTGGAACCTCTGCTCCATGTGTCTGGAGTACATGCTGCTGTGGAAGGTCTACCAGAAGACGCCGGCGTTGGCGGTGAAAGCCGGTCAGAAGGAGCAGCAGCAGGAGCTCAAACAGCTCAGCACCCCTAAAGGTGACTTCAAGGAGCTTGTGTTTGATGTTGTTTCTGCTAATAAGCATCTCGCTCGTTAGCGTGTGATAATCCAAACTAAACCTCTCCGTGTTTCTGCCCTTTCACAGAGTTGGAGAACGGCCAGAGCCCTGAGGAGTTGTCTCATCCGCTGATGAATGAAACCGCAGCCGTGGATAAACCCGACTCCCCTAAACGCCATGGCCTCTGCCACCAGGTGACCGAACCCCTGCGTATGTTCAGAGACGGCTGGGTGGCGTACTACAACCAGAACATCTTCTTCGCCGGGATGTCTTTGGCTTTCCTCTACATGACAGTGCTGGGCTTCGACTGCATCACCACCGGCTACGCCTACACGCAGGGTCTGAACGGCTCCGTGCTCAGCCTGCTGATGGGAGCCTCCGCCATATCCGGCATCTGCGGCACCGTCGCCTTCACCTGGATCCGCAAGAAGTGCGGTCTGATCCGCACCGGCTTCATCTCCGGCGTGGCCCAGCTGTCTTGCCTGATGCTGTGCGTCGTCTCGGTCTTCGCCCCCGGGAGTCCCTTCGACCTCAGCGTGTCGCCCTTCAAGGACCTTTACACCCACCTGATGGGCGAGAAGGAGCTACCTGAGGCCGACCACATCCTCACCGGCATCCTTACCGCTGGAAACACGACTACTGCTGCACCGACCGAAGTGATGCCACAGCTGCAGTCCTACTTGTCTGTTAGTCTGCTGTTTGCCGGCGTCATCGCTGCTAGAGTTGGTGAGTGGATGTTTTTCCTTTTGTTATAAACCATTTATTTCAAACTAGGAAAAGTTATTTTACAGCACGTTTTTATCCTAATACATGATGTTATTGATGCGTGTTGTTTGTCGCCGCAGACACATTATGTAGAGGAGGGAACAAGTTTTACTTTAGTGCCAGATCTGCGCAAGATGTGGTGTTCTCAGGGTTACCGACTCCACATTTTAGGCTGCATCTTTCCCGTAATTGTTGGTCTATCTGTGCACAACTTGATCTTCTGATAGTGAGGAAAATGTCTCTCTTTGTGGTGTTATATATTTCATTCCCACTTACAGACTCTCACAGAGGCTTTAGTTTTTCTTCAGCTGGGAAAGCGGAAGCTCAAAATGCGAACCATCACCGGCTCTGCTGAATAAGTGGTTCGAAGTCTGAGTTCGTTTTATCTGACAGGAAATTAGAGTCGTCGTGCTTTGTTGGCAGGACGGTTTCCTGTCGTTCGATTATAAAAGATCATTCACACATGATGACTTCCTGGAGGTAATTGAAGCACAATCAAGGAGACCCACGGGTTCAACTCTAGTCACAAGTCACCGTTATTTCAAACAGGATCTGCCTCAGATGTCGCAGCAGTATTTCCGACCTTTGGTTCCAATAATATTTGCTGATAATTCCGGCTGCAGCTCCTTTTGTCATCGGATGTGGTTTTACAGCAGCTGTAAAAATACCATTAGAAGTGACTGTTGATCTCTGTTTTGCAGGCCTGTGGTCCTTTGACCTGACAGTGACCCAGCTCATCCAGGAGAATGTGATCGAGTCGGAGCGAGGTGTGATCAACGGCGTCCAGAACTCCATGAATTACCTCTTAGACCTGCTGCACTTCATCATGGTGATTCTGGCTCCGAACCCGGAGGCCTTCGGCCTGCTGGTCATCATCTCGGTCTCCTTCGTGGCCATGGGTCACATCATGTACTTTGGGTTCGCCTTCAAGAACCTGGGCACCCGCCTCTTCCTCTGCTGCTCGCCGGAGCAGAAGGTGGAGACGGTGGAGAGTCCCTCACTTCCAACAACCGTCTAACCACGTTAAAGAGACTGTGTCCTGGGTACATATCTTTAAAGCCTTACACCAACCCTGCATCGTATTTATCAAACTAACATCTTTGCTTGTAGCTGGCAGAATGCTAACAAACTAGAGAAAGATAACCTAACATGCTGTGCATACTGAAGCCGTTAACAAAGCTTTAATCGTGGCAGATGGAGGTGAGTAGAAAGCTTGCAGTCGTAGAAAACTAATCTGTAGTCAAACTTAGGATGTGGCAGGGTTTCTCTAACCCCGCCTCTGATCTGTGGGTCCACGCGCTCTGATATACACGTACCGTCAAACTAGGATCCATCACTTCCACGCTTGAGACTCCAAAGTGAGTCCAGTGAAGAAGTCAGGGGATTAGAAACTGTAAAGTACCCTCCTCGAAAAACCTCGTAGTTTAGCTGTGAAGATCTCAGAGGTGCTTCAGCGAACTACAGGAGAACGGGAGGGAGGAAGGAGAGCAGGAGCTGAGAACGAGAAGACAGAGCGTCCCCTACTTTGTTGGTGCTGTAGCTGTGTCTAATAGCTGCTCTCATACTGTGTACATGTATGACGAGCAGGACGGATGTCTTCCTACAGAAGGTGGGAAGATAGTTTCTATATAACCAAACGCAAAACTGGGATCTAGTCTCTTTTATACACATGGTCATGAGAGCAAAACCGTAGACTGTGTATAAGAAGTGGATGTAGACACGCAGAGGTTAACCTTTAAATACTGTAATTACGATAAAAGCTCTACCACCGGGACGTAAACAAGCACAACTTCACCTGTTTCACTGTTTCTGTCCATAAAGAGCAAAAGCAGAAACGGTTAGCATTCGATTTTTACACAATTACATGTCCTTTGCAATAAGTAGAGCTGCCCCCTGCTGGCCATAGGAGGTAATGCAGGTTTAAGGTACTTCTGCAGCGACATCGTCTTCTCATGCACAGTCTGCGGCCGATGCTCTTCACTGTATTTATTCAGGAAATGCAGGCGGCGGTTTTTATGATAAATGTATCATCAGTATTGTTGCAGTTGTGCCATAAGAGCGAAATGAGAAATCCTATGCACCCTTTGTCAGTAATCTCTCTCTCAGTTACCAAAGTCTTTATGTGGCGTTTAAGGAAGTGAGGGAAACCTGGAGGAATCCAAATATATATTATTTTAACATGAGGCAGCAGCAGCAGCTGTGTAGGTTCACTAAAGCTTTCATCGTCGATCTAAACTAACCTTAACGCTCTGAGATTGTACCTGAATCATCCGGTAGTTTACATTTGTAGCGTCGTTTTGTCACCGTTTGATTTTTATGTTCTCTGTCTTGAGTAATTTTATAATCATGATTGTTGTTACACAGGCACTTTAAGTGATTGACGTTCGGTCATTACACCCGGCGCGTGATCAGGCATTTGATCAATACTTTTGCACAAGGCTGAAGTCCTGATAACCCCCCAACCCCTCACCCGTATACGCTTAATCTAGTTTAAACACTTCAAGTCCTTGTTCAGGCACATAGTTCGACTTTTACCATCCCGTGCAGACGAGGAAAATCTGTGTCAGAGAAAAAACCCCAAAGTTTAGCTCAGATATTCTCAAAATTCAGCATTAAAGCTTCGTCTGCAAACTCTAATCTGATTTCTGTCCGCTGCTTTCGACTGCCAGCAGACTCTGAGGCTGTTTTCACAAAGATGTTTCAGACCGGTGCACACTGGGAGTCTGAGCCTCAGAAAAGTTAACACTGATTTAATCTCCTGCCAAAATGTCGACGCCTTACCCCCAGACTAAATCAAACTGTTGACATATGTTTTTACCCTGAACCAGAGGCCACAGCTTTAGTTTGGTTTCTGTTGAATCTTAATTCCTTTACTCTGGTCCTCCTCTGGTTTTGTTAAAAAAATGCTGACCTGAAAGCGTCTAAGTTTAAAATAGTAGTAGTAATTGTCGTTGTCATGACTAGTTGAGTGCTGTGACTTGATTTTTCTTTTCTCTACTTTCACAAAGCTCGATAAATCTTTTCTGTACTTTGGTCTTGTTAAAAACGAGACCAGCAGCCTTAACTGTTTCGCTGACCTGATCAGTCATGTGAGGGTCAAAGTTGATTTCTGTCTTTGTGAAATCAGCCTCTGGCTCCTGAAGCAGACGTTTAAACAGCAGCAACAGTTTTGACTTTACAGGAGCAACTTTAAACGTTTTAAAATCAAAGTTTCTCACAGGAGAAAGAAAAAACTTTGCTCCAGAATGAGGCCGTTTAAATGTGAAGAAAAACTGAAGTGAAATTAAAAACACAGAAATATAGTCAGAGGAATCAAACTAACTTTAGTTTTCTGTCTAATTTCTTTCTTGTTTCCTTAATTTTGCTAATCTTAGCCACCATAAGCTAACCAGTCAAACCCGGCCCAGCGAGGCCGAAGCTGCAGCATCCCTAAACGTATTCGAGTTTGTTTAGAAGCTCATTAAATCATCTGCAAGTTTATTTCATTATAACCCCAATACAAAGATTTATATAAAGATTTCTGTCGCCTTAATGTAAATCAGCTGTTAAACGCACACACCCTGCCCATGAAAGTCCTGCCCGTCTAGCCAGGGTTTGGTCTTGGGGAGGGGATATTTAGGTTGGAAACAGGAGTAACCACAGCAGATGTGGGAGAACAGTAGTCCACTTTTAGTCGCACATTCCCATGAACCTTTTGGAGGCTGCTGTGATGAGTCAGGATGTCTGCAGGTGTGCTGTGACGGTGCAGACTCACAGGGAATGGAGTTTAATTTTCATTCCACTGATGATTTATTTTTATAACCACAGACTCGGTCTGGGCACAAGAACAAAACCAGCTCTTAAAACGGTTGGTCTGCTGATTCAGGAATACCACACATGGCCATAACTCTGTATTTGTGATGTAAATAACCGTATCTGTCCATCACACTTGGAAAATGAAAAAAAAAAAATGTGTGTACTGTTGCCATGCAGTTTGTCTGGAGATGTTGACTTTTTTACGTTTTTATATACCAAGTGTTTCTTGAAGATTTTTGAAATTTGTGTACAAAGCAATTAGTGCATTTCATTTGAGAACACGTGTATAATTCTGATCTGACAATATACTATATCTCCTTGTATATAATATACAGTATATATATCAGTGTTAAAGTAGTTTAAAGGCTTCAAATCATTAAGAAAAAATCACTTTCATGTCATAATCGCACTCCACTGAGGATAAGGACATTGGTACTGTATCGCATGAAGTCTTTAAAAATAAAGAAAACCTTTACAATCACCCTGATCTCCAATCGTGTGTGTGTGTGTGTATGTGTGTGTGCACTCAGTGTAGTCTGTTCACTGGGTTTCCTGGCCTCAGCCTGGGCTTCACTGCTGCTGTGTGAGGTGTGAAGAGGCCACATACCTCGGCAGAGTTCGCTGCTCATGTCATCCTCAGCTCTCTTTCTGTCTTTTAGCGGAGTTAAACTCTCAGACGTTGAGCTGATCTTGATCTTCATACCTGACAAAAAGACAAAGAAAGACTGACTTGGTTTTTGGGTAACAGCCTGAAGGGATTTGGTCCGGCCCACGTGAATGTGGTCATTTAGTCATTCTTACACTTTGTTAAGTGCACTTAAAGGGATATTCCAGCGTAAAATTAAGTTACCAAGTTAAATGAATGTTGTCGACCGCTTGCTTCTCTAGTTACTCCAACTTTAGTAACGACCGCACAATAGCAATACACAACGGCCTACCACTCCATGCGCAAACCTCAACCAAAACGCCACTCTATAGCCACAAATAATGCTTAGAACAGCACCTAACTTCATCAACAGTACATATAGGGTCACAGACATAGTACTAGCCACCAAACATCTTTTTAACTTTGACTCATTTCTTTAGCAAAGAGACTAAACACAACTCACCTACTCTCTTCCAGCAGCCGCTTGTTTGTAGCGAGACCTCAGGCCAGTCCATTATGGACTTCAGCGGGGTGCCTCAGCTCAAGGAAGAACATTTATGATCATTACTTTATCATTTCCTTGAAGTATATTCATCCTTCAGTATAATCATTATATTAATCATTTTCACTGCAGACGCGGTAGTTCTTCTGCCTTAGCGTCTCGGTCTGATCGCATTTCCATAAAGAAATGATCATAAAACACTAAAGTTGGTGTAACTAGAGAAGCAAGCGATCTGCAACATTCATCTCTCGACGGGGGGGTCTAACTCGGCGTTACGGTGTGTTTGACCATAACTTAATTTTACACTGGAATATCCTTTTGAAGCTACTGTCAGGGACTCTTAGATTGAGGTGATTTTGGCGCCCCCTGTGGACAAAGCAGTCTACTTATCTGTCTTGACTTTTGTCAGTAAAATTAATCATTAACAATGACTCCTGCAGAAAATGTAAAAACAGGTCTGTTTCTTCAGGAGCTTTGCTGACACTTACCCTCTCAAAGGGGTCTAAAACTCAGTCGTCCTGTCGCTGATGGTCTTGTTTGCTTTTTTGTGTCATAAAAAGGTTTTAATATGAATTTCAATCAACTTTACTAATACGAAAAACTCCTCACTGGAGCTTTAAAAACAAGGCGACAACAAACATTTGCGTGTTTGTTCTGAATCTGCGATAGCCTACTTTGTGTTTACTCGTCTGTGGCAGAAGCTTCCAGGAAAGTAAAACTTTACTATAACTTTAAAGGTGTTATCAGAAACGGCTGATACCACGGCTGATAAGGACAGAAGGTCGATCTGTTTCACAAGTCAGGACATATAGTTAAACTTAGGGGGCACTTTCGATCAGAGAAAGGACCGCAGGTATTTAAAAACGAGCCATTGTTCTCCTGAAAAGAGCTGTACATTAATCCAATCCTCGGTGCCAAATATAAGTATCTAAATTTCAGAATAATATGGTGCTCTATGACTACTTCCACACCTCCTACACCATAAAAAAATCTGTCTTGAAATTGATCAGTTGTTGCAGCTTTATCGTAACGTAACTTTTAGTATGGGCCACCTGCAGCTTTTGTATTCAGTCACATTGGTTTGCATTAAATGCTGCAGTATAGAATTGTATTTTATCCTATCCTGTCCAGTGGTATGGTGTTTTTATAGCATCATATTGTATCATAAGTTTGATATTTTTACTTTTAATTGACTACATTTTGAGTGAAAGTTGAAATCTCATCATCACAAAGACTTCCATTTATGTGTTTTAAGAAATGAACGATGCAAAGAGTCTGAGTGTGTGAATTATTTTGTTTATCGCAATTATTTCACCTGACATGATCTGTTTTACAATCCGAACTCAGCTCATACCGAGTCTGTAAAAACATCAGATAAAGATCTCAGGACTCTGTGAGGACAGTGAAGACCAGTGACCCAGAGTGACGCCCTCGCTCTCTGAATGCAGAAGTCATAAAGGACATTATGGATCGGTTATCGGTGGTTTGGAGGTTTCAGGCTTGAGCACCTGATAAAGAAAGGAAGTGAAAAAGGCTGAGATGAAAGTGCAGCGTCTTATCCACCTCTAGAACTAAACGTGACCTTGTCTCTCAGCTGACAGCTTACTCAGGGATTCAGGACGACTGACAGGGTCTGAGAGCGGTCTGGTTTTACAGAAGAGGTAACAGGACTTTGCCGCGTTCACACAATAAAGGTTTTATAGTGACGATTTCCAAGAATCAAATGAGAAGCAGCAGATATGACGAGTCGTGACAATCGTTTTCCAGGAAAATATCTGGGCGGTGATTTCAAATCTCTGCCAAGATTAATTAGTCTGACTGTTTTTTTAACGCTTTCCTAGAACAGGTGTGATTCATAGTTCACCTGCTTACACAACAGCAGCAGAAACATCATATAACCTTCAAGAGCTACTGTGCTGATTACATCACACGACTGACCATGAAGATCTGAGTTTGGACTCCGGAAGAAAGACGGAGGTTGTGTAACGAAGGTCAGAAATGAATGAGAGAGGCGGTTTGAAGAAAGGCTGAAGGTTATCTGATTTAAAGTACGTTTTTATCTGCACAAAAATATGCATATGAGGCTTATTATTGGATCTGATGAGAGTTTCTGCCCAACGCTGACATGCATTCTTTTATTTTTTAAATCACACAGTTATCTGAATTTTCTGAAAACTGCGTGATTTAAAAAAATAATCAGATCAGAACAATCAGAAAAAACTGTCAGGACATGGTGGAAGAACTATATGAAATGGAGAAACTAACAAACGCTCCACAACTCCGGCAAGAAACAAACACCTGAAAGTGAGAAAAATTGATCAAATATAAATATATTCATATTACTTTAAAAAACGGACAACTGTGATGGAGGCTACATGGACAATTTTCTTTTCTTCTCTGTGAATGACACCAATATGTCTCTAGAAGTTATCTTCTATTTACACGAGTTATAAAGTCTGATGGCTGTTGGTACAAAAGATCTTCTGAATCTTTCTGTCCTGCAGCGAAGAGAGAGGAGCAGATCTCCTGATTTCCTCTTATATGACAGATCTATTTATCTTCAGGTAACAACGCTCCTTTTCTGATGGTCATGTGATCGCTGGTTATCCTAATGCTACTGCTCAAGTGGTGGTTCAAGGAAGCAGAGAAAATCCTGGAAATACCAGAGCAATTCGGCTTTAAATTTGTATGATGATGGAAGGATACCTACCTGGTAGCTAGACAGTATTGACTTAGTAGTTATCATGTAATTACCAGATAATTTAATGTTATTACTAGGTAATTACCTGTTAATTACCTAGTAATAAGTGTGAGAAAGCGTTAATGAAGTTCTTATCTTATACAAGGCCAGTGCAGTTGGAAGAAACAAAGGTGTAGTTTGAACCCAGATCCCTGAATTAAACTCATTTAATAAACATTACAGACTAAAGACCGATTCTCTGCAAAAAACATGGCCATGCATAAAATCTGATGATTTTACTGTCCTGCAAAACATCGCAGAAATCCTTCACTGATGCAGAAACCTCAGGGGTTCATGGATGACAGTAACAGAGAACTTTAGAGAAAAGGACTTTTGAAGAACTGCAAAAAAGAAGAAAAGGATGCAAACTTAATTTCATAAACATCTACAAGTCTTGAGTAAGTTTGCAGGCTTATCTTCTGTTTCCTGACCACTGTGCACCCACCCATGTGTGTATTTTCACCCGAAGCATCGTTCTGCTCACTCACAGTTTGAGAAACAGGAGAAATGTGAACCTTATGATGTTTCCTGCTTGTTGCGTATTTGGTGATCGAGGCTCCAGAACTGAAAAATGATTGAAGGAAACTTTCTGCAGTCTGCAACAAAACTTTGACTCCGGAGAGATTTAATATCCAACAAATAAAACAAACAGAAAAGTAAAAACATAGAAAATGAATCTAAAATGATGAGCTTTGAAATGATGATGTTGGTGTCATTTACTTTTTTTCTGTTATAGTTTTAGAAAATAAAACAAACGTACAAAAACATCCACAAATGTGCTGCTAACTTCGTCTCAGCACAGCATCAGTGAGCGTCTGTCTCTGTTCACAGTCATGGTCAGGGGTCCAGCAGTCCTGACAGCCAGCTGTGGTCCAGCTTCCTCACCCTCTTCAGTTCCTTAAGCTGAGCTTTGGTCAGAGCGGGGTCTGAAGACCCTGCGGCTCCGACTCCCACAGACTCCTGCCTCATCGGCCTCGAGCTGCTAGAGTCCATTTCCCCTTCGGAGTCCTCTTCCTCTTTCTCACTCTCCATTTCCTCCTCCGCCTGTTTGTTTTCCTCTCTGAGCCCATGAGAACAGAAGAAAAGGTCGACATGAGTCTGCATATTTTCAGAGATAAACCACAGAGTGCAAATTTTTCATCACCTTGAGTTGCTGAATCATGTGAGATCAGTTTTTGGAGTCACAAGGACATTTGAGGAATTATGAAGTGAGTAAAGGGTCAGTAATCAGCTGTTGTCCCCCCTCACTCTCCCTGAATTAGTGCTGATGAAGTCGTCTGCACGTGAGCGTCTTTGGACGATCGAGTTTCAGGGATGAGAAACTTCTGCTTTAATATTTCTGCACATTCATACAGTTTTAGTCTGCATACAGGTGATCGACGTTCAAAGTGTGTCGTTTAGTCTTCTAACATCTGGAGGAATTTGTTTTATTCTGTGTGATTACATATTAAACTCATTTTACAGAAAAGATTGAATTTGTAAATTAAACGGAAAACAAAGTCTTAAATGAAGACTGAAGTCCTAAATTTGCATGAAGAAGTAAATTTACAGGATTAAAGTACAAATTTATGAGAAAAAAACTCCTATTGTTGACGGGACAGACCAAAAGAGGAACAGGGAGCATCTTGTGAAATCAAAGAGTCATGAAAGTGATTATTCAATTTTTACCGCATCAGGATCCAACAAAAGTGACAGGATCCTGATTTAGTTGAGCAAGAGCCTCATCTAAAGTTCAGGTTTACAGGCAGACAGTGCATGATCCCTGTAGGAGCCAAAATATATTTGTTGAGGATATGATTTCTACTCGGCACGTCACTTTCGGGACACTGTGGGGTGTGGTTTCGGGAGGTTTGGCAGGTTATTTAAAAACACTGGTGTAGTCAGAAAATGGGTTGTGGTAAGGTCTGATAATTTTCTGTTGACTGTTTTTCCCTCATCCGTCTAACCTCATTTCATCCATCACTTTTTTATTTAAAGGCAAAAGTTTGGACCTGGATCAGTGTGTTTTCTTTCCTTTTTGAACAATAAATCACCTTCAACACTCAACCGGACTGATGAATTAATGAGTCACATATGACAGTGCTCCAGCGGCCTTTTGTTGAAGGAAAGCAGTCGCTACAATCCCTGTTCCTCATTTGAGTGCAGACAGCTGACCGCTCCTCTGATATCACTCTATATGACGTTTTAACAAACCACCAATTAACCACAACCTATAATTAGTACTTTCTCTTAAGATGACAACTTCATTCTTTCAAATCTGTGACTTTATTTTTGTGAATCTTGATCTTTTAAAACTTTAGTGTCACAATATTAAAACTTCACTCTTTTGATTTTACGTCTTAATCCACTAAGTTATAATTCTAAACATTTATAACCTTTACTAGAGAGGAGGAGAAACCAGGTTTGTGGGGAGTAGAGAATGAGGGAAGACGCTCAGCAAAGGGTTGTTGACGGGGATTAAACTGCTGCTACAAGAACTAAAGCCTGGACCACAAGGCCATCAGCACCTCCATACATTTATTTATTTATGCTGCCTAGTCCTCTGTCATAATTTCAGAGGTTAAATTACCTTTTACATCATCACAGTTAAGAATGTGATGAAACTATTTGACACATACTGTCAGACAGCACGGTGAACAGAAAAGTGAACTTCTGTTGTTTAAAGGAAATCTTGATTCTGGTCGATTTAAAGGTGACATCCTCGGTAAGAAGTCAAACCGCAGTGATTTACTATATTTGGTTTAATCTTCTGCCACAAAGTCATTGAACCGAAACACTTCTCAAAAATGATCAGACTTTGACAGCACTTCTTATACCCTTTACACTCACATGATGTCATATCAGCGTATTTATCCCCCTCTTTTATAATGCGTTTCACTCTAAAACGTCTCTTAAATCTGTACAATAATAACCGCTAACCTCACTCACCCTGACCCTTCTTCATGCTGCGGTTTTGATGATTAATTTAATTCAGTCTTAAAGGGAAGTAAAAGTTGTCTGTGGCCATATTGCAACAGCGGTCCTTGGATTACATCCCTGAATTTCACGCTGCATGTTTATATGATGTAACGACGATAATAAAGTCCTGAGGCATAGAAGTTCACGTTTCTGTTGCGAGATGACGATAAACGTGCTCACAGGTTTTACAAACAGCAGGTTCAGTTGACCCGGGATCATTTTTGGATGTGGACTGAGGATGACTGACCTGGTGTCTTTCACAGAGATGAGCAGAGACTGTACAAACATGGAGCAGAGGAAAGAGGTGGAGGGCAAGACGTGGGCTGGCGTCTGCAGGAGCTGTGAGGGAAAGAAGTAAAGTTTTATGTGCGATAAAGTGATTAAAAAAAGTCACAGCTGGATCACTCAAATACACGTTTGTGTTGAACTTTAAAATCGACAGACCTCTCTGACAGCCGCAGACCCCTGAGGCAGAGGCGCTCTCTCTGCAAACAGGTTGCTGGCCGCTTCCTGACCGTCCTGTAGCCGGTGTTTCCCCAGCAACAGGGAGAAGGGTGTCATGGCGACGCTGTCATCAATCACAAGCTTTAGAAAAGGGAAAACAGAGGTCAGAGTTCAGTCCTCGGCATCTGTGTTTTTTATTTGTGCAGACAGAGTAAACAGAGTGGGGTTATTCTGACTCAGCTTTGTCTCCACGAGTTAATGAACATGAAACAGAAAAACAGGCGGAGAGGATCCACGGGACGCTCGCTGTGCCATCCTTCTGTAACTCTATCTGAGCAGCCTCTCAAACCTCGTGTTCATACCAGACGAAAACATGTGAGGTGGAAAATGATGCAGTCATCATTTTCCACTTTATGACTGTTGTATTTCTCAAAGAAATGAGGAAGTGAACATGAGGAGGAACCAGGTATGTACTCAAGAAACAGAGAAGCGGCTGTAAACATGCTCAGAATGACACAGCGATCTTCAGCATTAGAAAAACCTGAGTCATGATAAAGCTGAGCGGTGGTGGACGAACAGGGGAGCTGTACCTGTTTGCTGGAGGCCATGAGTTTGTCCTCCTCTGACTTGGTGGTGAACGTCAACAGATCCTGCAGACGAGAGACAACGACGGCATGAAGACGATGAGACAAAAACAGTCTGATGCCATGAAACCAAAACGGCATTTTAATATTAGATGTTTTCTAAGGAAGAGGATGAGGACCAGTGGAAAAATAAGATCATAATAATGAGGTTCAATAAGGTCTGAGAGAAAGGTCAGGATTCTGAGTTTTTTCTCAGAATCATAATAAATGTCCCCAGTGGCCCTGATCCTCCTCCGTAGTTTTCAGACCAAAACTGGAGCAAATTTCACTAAAGACTCGTGTCGGTCAGAGATGTAAGAGTATCATCGACTTCATTAAACTGAAGAGAAACTTCTGACTGTTAGAAAACGAGAGGTCTTCAGGGAAAAGCCGAGAGTTTACCATGTACTGAGTGAGGAAGTAAAGCTGGCATCTGTTCAGCCACTGGCTGCTCTCCTCGCAGCTCTCCAGCATCTCATCCCTCGGGGCGAAGACGGCGTGAGTCACCTTTCCGGAGCAGACGGCCTTCTGGGAAAACAGGGGCCGGGGCTCGCTGGGTTTAAACACGAACACTGAAAAACCAGAATCAGCAAAAACGGTCGTATTAGTGAACACTGATTCGTGCAACTAAAAAAAACATAATTTTCATTGTGCAACCTAATTCACCAAGTTTAAACCAGATCATTGATTTTAACGTAGGGCTGGGCGATACGGCCTCAAATCAATATCACAATATATTGATCAGTTCACCTCGATAACGATAAATAGACGATAACTACTCCACAAGCTGCTCACCCCCTCCCACATTAACTTTGTCTACTTCAGTCGCTACAACTTTTGAACCGTCCTCCATCTCCTCACCTGTCTTTCCCTCTTTGTTACAGACTGGATGGGGCGGAGTCACGTCTCTGATGTAGAAAAACGTCTTTGATTTATTTAGTTTTTTGACACAGAATATACCGATATGGGCAAAATGATGTTGGTTATTGTCGTAAACTTTGGTATCTGTAAAATATCCGTTTATCACCCAGCCCTAATTTAATGTGTTTTACTCTGCTGTCTGAGGGTCTGTCTTCTCATCTAAACTGATGCTCATTGAAACTCAAGACACCTCGAGTGTCATATGAACTCGATGCGTCCTGCAGGAAAAAAGTGGGACAGATACGAAGCAGCTTTGAAAATGGGACATGCAGCTGTGACGCCATCGGACTCGACGTGCACCCTTTGAGGGATGTAGAAATGGGACACAGCTTGTGATTGGCCTGATAGTCATGATGAGTTTGTTAAAGGACCTGGTTTTGTAATTAAAGTTGCTTTATTTGAACTCTGAGGCTTACAGTCTGTGTTTCCAGCCTGGCAGCAGAAAGCGGCCACGTTCTCAGAGAGCGGGTCGTCCAGCAGCAGGCTGACGTCCATGGAGGTGCTCCACTCCACTGCAGGAGACAGAAAAGTTTACTCATGTCTGTGCATAAAATTTAAAAACAACTTTGCACTGATGTATGCAGCTGCAAACTTGAATTTCTGAAGTGCACGCCGCACACGCAGCCTTACGTGAGCATGTGAGGAGGTTCCAGCAGCAGAGCAGGTTACTGTTTGTGGTTCCCAGCAGATATTTGGAGCAGCTCAGTCGTCCAAAACAAAGATTCCTGACAGAGGAGAGAAAAAAAAACCTTTTTAGTTTTTCAGTGACTTTAAAGAACCCTAACTTCACCCCCTCACATATTTCACAGGATTAGCTTTTGAGGAGTTTTCCGCTTTGGGGGCTTGAAAGGGGAACACGCAAGCAGGGACACCCACCAAGAAGCAAACACCCGGAAAATCTACGTCCGACTGATGAATCCATTACAGCCGCCGTTTTATTTCAGACTTTAACAACGCAGGTGACTTTTCCTCCACGCTGTCAACCGTCTGCATGTGAGCCGAATCTTACTCAGACTTAAGCTGCACAGAAAGCGTCTGGATCTTAAGGAGGTTAGAGTTCGAGCAGTTGACCCAAATCTACACGTCCATAGGAGGTAATTATGTAAGGGGCGCCGTGCAGCTGTGACAACAACAGCGAACCCACTCCTGCTACAGTTTCCCTGCTTCAACTTTGAAGTCCTTAAAACGGACATTTCCTGTGTGATCTGGGAGCTGAAAGGAGTTCATGACGGTTAAAAAAAAGAAGAGTTTGAAGGTGTTTATGGAGCGAAGCAGCTCAATGAATATTCAAACAAGTGTGTAAATCTCTGCTCTGAACAAAAGATCTCTTCTAGTCTTTGTTTTTTCTTTAAATTTTACCTCTAGGACTATTTTTTACTTGAAGATCTAACAGAACTGCATCCTGACGACTTATTGTGAGTATTTAAGAAAGTCAGAACATCAGCTTGGCTCACAACGACCTCCTTGGATCAAGTACCATGATACGGCATCAATGTGAATTTCAACCAATTCATCAGGAGTTTAAAAATCCTCACAGGATCTTTAGCAGACACTCAAACTAATTAGTAATCGCCAATTTAGACAAGCGGTGAAGTCCTAAAAAATCCTCTTTTGTGGTTTATTTCTGGACATTTGTGCCGGTACTTTAAAGTGAGGCTGGTGTTTGGTACCGGGCCTCCAGTTGGGCGTTGAAACTGGATTATTCAGAGACCTTCACCGACAAGTGCACTGTCTTTCTTTGTAACCTGTCACCGAAAATCTGAGTCATTCAAAACAAAGAAATCTGCAAATGATTGTGCAAAGTCCAGATTATTGTGGCAATAATCATAAATCAGAGCTGGTTCCCTAATTTTAATAAAAGCTGACTCAGTGTTTTGGGATTTCCTCAGAAAAAGTGGTACAGAAACTAACAACAGTAGTTTCATGTCCTCGTTGGCCTCGGGGCCCTGTCCTCAGAGAGCGGGGACATCAGCCAACATTTCTGAGACTCCAGCAACGTTGCGAAACTGTGAGCGGTCCCTGTGTTCGGCTGGCTGACAGGCTGTTACGCCTCCTGTCTGCTGTGAGAAACAACACCGTGGACGTCTGCCAGCGGGCTGAAGAGAAAGTTATTTAACTGTTTAATGACGTCCAGACAGCAGGGGGTAACCCCTGAAACAGATCTGAATGAGTTCAGCTTTCAAAGACTGTTTCAGACGCTCCTGTTTTGAAGTTTTCCACCGAACCGTGTGTCGGTCAATGTGTTTCCGCCCTCACCTGATGGCTCCTGGCGGCTGCGACAGAGTCGTGAGGAGCTCCCAGGAGGCCGGGCTCCACACGGTCACCACCTCCTGAAAGCTGACGGCCAGCAGAGAGCCATCGGCAGAGAAACAACAGCACTCAGGCACCAGTCTGTGATAGGCTCCCACGAAATCACACGACCAGGACGGCCCTTCATCTGGGGGGACAGAGGGAGGTGGATTAGAGAGAGAGAGGTTCAGACACATTTGGACCTGACAGGTTTTTCAAGTACCGATGCTGGAGGCTGGCACGGGTGAAGGGACTTCAGTCTAGCAGACACCTCCCTGGTCAAAAATGTGCAAATTCACGGTTGTGCAACAAGCTTTGGATTAAAATGCCATCCATGTGCACGGAGCTGAGATGATGGTCCAACATCCAATAAACTAACATTCTCTTTAAGATGATATTTACATGTTATTAAAGGTCATTTATGGATCACACTGATGGTTTTAAACCCAGAGAAACATGTTAAGAAAGATGTTTGAAAGGAAGATATTAACTCTCTAATTATGGACCAAAATATTCATGATGTTTGTATAGACAGATCAAATGAGCCAGAAGCTAAGAGTTTAAATGCTATAAATAAGAGAGCTATGTTTGTGCTTCAAGAAGAAATATCTCCATCAAAACCCAAAGTTTCTAGAGAAACGTCAGAGAGTGGACCAGACTGCAGCGTACCTTCTGTGTGGGCCGCTGCAGCCAGCTTCCAGGCTTTGAAGTGTCCATCTTTACTGGCGGAGACCAGCATGGTGGTCTGGCTGTCTGTGGCGTGGCAGAAGCACATGGCTGTAATCCGGTCCTCGTGGGGGGCCGTGATGGTGGTGTTCAGCGCAAAACTGTTGGTGATAGAGGAGATGTGTTAGTGAGCAAGAATAAAACTGACTTTAATACCACAAAATCAGAGCGCTGGAGCGGTTTCTGCGTGACTGCTTCGCTTTTGTTCTTCAAAGTTTTGGAAAACTTCTGCTCAGACCGACTGAACGTCACGCAGACGTCTGTACCTCTGTGTTTGGTCGTCAAACTCCCACAGTTTTAAATTCAGCTCCAGCTCGGCATCTTTCTGTTTTCTCTCCTCCACTGTTGCCAAACAGCTGCCGGAGGAGCTGAAGGCCGCCTTGACCACCTCGAACTGCTGCAGACCTGACTCGTGAATGTACTCCTGCTGCACGATGTCCAGCTGCAGGAAACACCGAAGAAATCAAAACATCAAGACGTTTTCAAGCCAAAGAGTTTGAACTTTGCTCATTTGTTATTTTTATATATTTTAACACGACTGAAGGGCAAAAGGAGCGGAAGTGTGGTGGTTTTAAAGAGAGGGCAACTCTCCTCTGAGTAACAATGTCACACACTTTGACTGACAATCTGAGCCGGTCATCTACAACAACAACAACAACAAGCCCTTTTATGGAGCTTATTTTGATCTGACCTGGGTTCACCTAATAACCAGATTTCTCCTGTTACATGTGTAGAAATTGTCTTGAACTTTGTGTAACATCTCAACAACTCCAGATAAAAGCGCAGGGAGCTTACGTTGTAGAGCAGTTTGTCTCTTTGGAGCGAGTAAAACTGGAGGTGACCCGGTTTCCCGTTCAGCACCAGGGATTTACTGCGAGGGTCCACCATCAGGTCTGTCCTCAGACTTTCTCCTGCACCAGGATAAAATAAGGAGACTGTTAATTCACACACAGATGGCAGCTTCAGACGAGACCTTGTTTTTACTTTTCCTCTGTCTTACTTTGATGATATAACAGTTAAATGCAGCTCTAAAAACCTAAATATTTGCTCTTCCTGGCACCAGAATTATGTCAATCATATTTTCTTGGAAGCCAGGTGGCTTTCCAAGAATCGTGAACCTTTTTATAATTTTATTTCCATCATTTACGACCCTGCATAGCATTCTTATGATCGAAGTACGTGCTGTGCCAAAAACAATCTGTACTCACCTTTGACCAGACCCTGAATCACAGCTGATACTTTAACGCAGCTCTGGATGATCGTCACCTCTGAAACACACGGAGACACAAACCAGTGAGCACAGTTTGAGATTCAGAATCACAGTTTCAGACGAAAGCACAAAACTGCATTTTTCCTACATTTTAGTTTTTTCAAGGACGTCAGATTTTCTCAAGTATTTATGTCGATAATCGGAATAACAAGATCTTTCAGGGATCTTGTTGGACTTGTTTGTATAATGTAAAAAAACAGTAATAAAGAGTTTGGTTATAAAAGAGATTCTAAAAGAGAGTCTATCAGCATATTTCAAAGGTGATGCTGCAGTGTTAGCTGGAGTTAGACGGCGTATACCTTTAAATCTCCATGTTCGAGTCGCTCTATCTGTATTTACTCTCTTTGTTTGTGTATTTATTGTATTTCTGTTCATTTTAGATTTTCTTGTTTCTCACTTTTGATTAATCTTCTATCTTTTTTCTAAGGGTGCTACATAAATAAAGTTCGATCATTATTATCACTAATGTTAGATTATATTAACATTTCCATGGTTTACAGTCCAGTTAATACCAAACAGTGTGATTGTTGTTCATGTGAGTCTTCAGCTCCTTACTGTTGTCACTGTGAGAGGTACAGTACAGCGCTCCATCAGGTGAGACTGTGATGTGTGTGATGGCGGCGCCCAGACGGGGCAGGAAGTCCCGCTGAGTGTCTTGGTTGTACCTCCACTGGACGAGCACGGACTCGATGCCGCCGCTCAGCAGGTTAGTGCCTGAACAGACGCAGGAGGAAGGAAGTGATAGACAGATGTTAGCAGGACGGTTTCAGCTGAATCGATGAAGAAGAGAGGAGCGTTTATAAAACGAGCGCCACCTTCAGGGGTGAAGCAGAGTGAGCTGACAGCGCTGTGATGCCAGTGCAGGGTGGAGTAGGTGTACTCCCTCTTATGGATAAAGTTTCTCCTGAAACGACAAATAATGAAAAGATTAAAGGATTATTCACCTGTTAGAAACTCCAGGTTGTGTTGACTTTGGCGCCCCCTGTGGACAGAGCAGTGCCTCTCAGTTCTTCACTGATCTTGTCTTGTACGTGTCTCAGCTGTGTTGTCTGTTGTGACTGTTTTCTGGTTGATTTCTTTCATTTAATCTGCTCAGCTGGTCCGATTATTAAATTTCTGTTTATATATTAAAGAAATAAGGTGCTTTGGACCCTCCTCAGTCAGACTTTGTGCTCTGTATCTGACTTTTTTGATGTTTGATTTCTATGGGGTGTATGTTGGGTTCATGCTTAACTGATGACTTCTGTATTTATTTCCATGTTTTAACGCTGTATTGACATGTGATTCATAGATAAAATTTCTATTATTGTCTCCAGTTGTCTGGTTTGGTTTAATTAGTCACAAAAAAACATCATCATAAAAAGGGAAATGTGGAGAAATATCCGGACAAACTAAAACCCTCAAAACTTGTCAGCACTTGTTTCGAGTGATTAATGAAAACGAAGAGTTTGTTTCTGTCGTCAAACTGACCACAGGCGGATCTTTCCGTCCTCATGTCCAGTGGCAATGCAGTCGTCTTTTGGGTGACAGGAAATACACGTGAATGTGTTCTTTCCTCCCTTTTTGTTGTCTTCCTTGAGAGGGAATCTGTATTTTAAGATAAGACAGGAAGTATTACTGAATATTCAAGACAAATATAGGATCAGAAAACAAAAACTACCCAACTTCCCATGATTTTATGCAAAAATATGAAACTAATTAAGCTTTTCTGCTATAATCCGTGAAAGAAAAGAGACTTTACTTGAAAATCTGACCAGCATTTGTGAAGTAACTACATTTTATTAACCAGACTCAATCTCAAACTTTCTCACCTGAACGCTTTCTGCTTTTTGAAGAAGTAAACCTCCAGCTGCAAACCTTTAACTGATGCAATATATTCCCCCTGCGATGAAGAAAACATTAATAATCAACATGAAGATTCTTTGATTCTCTCTCTAAATTTCACACAACTAAAATAAAAAGAGGCTCCTAAAAATCTCATTTATGGGAAGAAGCTCCTCAGCTAAAGTCAGGTATTCTTGGTGGAGGTTTTGAAGACGTAACATCTTGAATCAACATTAAAGCTTGGTTTCATGGTAAAAAATAATCAACTCTGTTTTTTTTAAACTTTGGTGGAGCAGGAAAGTCAAACAAAAGGAAACAGACTCTTGTATCTGACTCTGCTCAGCTGTCAGAGCGACAAACTGTCTATCAGGAAAAGCGTCTGTTCCAGGTAGTCTGTAGGTTTGTGTTTGTCAAAGCAGAGATGTTTGTACCCCTCTGCCAAAGTCAATGGCCGCTGGGTTGGAGCTGACGTCGCTGAGCACAGCAGAAAGCTCTCGGACCTCCACCAGCTGATCTCCACTCTGCGGCAGATGTACGGCAACCAACTGGAACATCTCTGCAAACACACACACACACACACACACAACCAAACATCAGCCTGATGCACATTCTTACCCAGTGACCTTTTACCCAGATTCTGCCTCAAGCATAACAGAAGATATTTTGTGTGAAACTGGCGCCATCTAGTGGAAGTATCTACAAAATAGGGACAGTGAAATAAAGGGCAACAAGTTCCCCTGATCCCCGAGCTGACCCGCAGAGAGAGGAATAACTGGAATGACTAAAAGACACACTTACATTAAAACGTTTTCTTACAGACTGTTTCAAAACAAATTTAATGGTCATCACAGAGGACAGCTGAGGGACAACAATCACCATCGAGAAGGCTTTAAAACTGCAGTCATAGATGTCGACAGAATCTAAGATCATAGCTCTATAAACAGACGTGATGAAGCATTCTCTGAGTTTACAATCTTTTAAAGCCTGAACAGTTTTTCAGAGCTGAATATCTAACCCCAAAGTCCTGCATCAACTTCATGAGTCTCATTTCTGACCTGCAGAAATCACATTTATTGGACTTTCCTCGATGTTGACTGTCAGCTGGACGGCAGAGCATTTCAGGCCAACTATCTTATTTACTTCAGCGAGGTCAGTTTTCTTTTCCTGTATATCATTACATCACATATGACTATTTTCTGCAGGTGAATTAAGGTCAACAAGTGCTTTCCACAAAGTTGTTGTTTCTGCATAACTTGGTGTATGAGCTCAACATTAGAGAGAAGAGACTCAACAGACAAAATGTGAGAAATGTGAGAGTTTTCTTGACTCATGATGTAAAAAAATTCACGTTCAGGGGGACAACACTATTTAAGTGTTCACTGGCAAGAAGGCTCAGACATCAAACCAAACACAAAGACAAGCTGTCGGACTCACCTGTTCTTTTGTCACTCAGGGTGGGAGTGACGATAAAGATGACTCCTTCATGGTTGGCTGAGGTGTAGATGGAGTGAATCGGGTATCCAATGACATAAGTCTAGAGGAGAACACACAGCTGTCACACCAACAGACATCGCAACAAATTCAACACACAACCCAGATTTTTCAGAAAGAGACTCAAATTTGACAGTTTTCTACTTCTGTGTCAAGATGGGTAGAATGAGACAGCGAGGTTTGGATTAGCCTTTATATTGTGTTGGTGTGTAACGTCCACAACAGAATGACGGCGTGGTAAAAAGATCTCGAGTATGAGGGTAGTGTTAAAGGGATATTCCAAAGTAAAATTAATTCTGGGTCAAACACACCATAACACCGAGTTAGACACCCCGTCGAGAGATGAATGTTGCCGACCGCTTGCTTCTCTAGTTATACCAACTTTAGTAACGACCTCAGCAGTCTGAGGAGCCATAAACAAACCTCAACCAAAACGCCACAAATAATGCTCAGAACAGCACCTAACTTCATCAACAGGTTATATAGGGTCGGCTGCTGGAGGAGAGTAGGTGAGTTGTGTTTAGTCTCTTTGCCAAAGACATTAGTCAAAGTTAAAAAGATGTTTGGTGGCTAGTACTATGGCTGGGACCCTATGTGTATTGCTATCGTGTGGTTGTTACTAAAGTTGGTATAACAAGAGAAGCAAGCGGTCAGCAACATTCATCTCTGGAGGAAGTGTCTAACTCGATGTTACAGCGTGTTTGTAACACCTAACTTAATTTTACGCCGGAATATCCCTTTAAATAAAAGTGAATACAAAGGTCCTGTTTCTTCTGGGCCACAAAGAACCCTGATAGATGTTCTGTTATGCTGGAGAGGACATGATTGTGTTTAAATATTTCTATTTTTGTTATTTTAAGCCGTACCTTGATGAGGATACCATCTGTGAAGTCCCAAAGTCTGACAGTTCCATCTAATGAACAAGAGTAGGCCTGTAATAAAAACAAGAATACAGTCTGAGTTTTAGATATTTCTGATAAACTCTTTCTTTCTTCTTCCATAAACCTCTGATCTGGTGAGTGTACCTGCAGGTGGTTGGAGGGTCTGAGCAGCACACCTGTCACCAGGTCGGTGTGTCCCCGCAGGTCGTGGATGGTCTCCTCAGTGGAGGTGCTGAAGACCTTCACAGACTCTCCTGAGGCGCACAGCAGGAACCTGGACCAACAGAAGACCCGCTTTAAGGACCAGAAACTGAGGACTTCACATGTTATTATCCCGGAGCAGTGAGGTGTCTCACAGGTGTGCAGAGCTGCTGCAGGTATAACTTTGTAAACACCATCACACACACACACAGCAGCAGCAGCTAATGCTAACAGCTAACACCGGCTCTGTGGTTTAGTCTAATTAGACCTTTAAACATCGATGAAGTCTCTCAGAGTCAATGTTAAACTCTGCGGTTATATAAACACACACTAACCTTGAGTCGTTGGTGATGACAGGCTCTCTGAAGTTGATTCTACTGCCTCCTCGGTGAACCACGCGGATATCCCCGTGTTCCACCATGTTTTCACCGGGCTCAACTCTCAACTCTGACCCCGCGGCTGCTTCTTCTTCTTCTGTTTGTTGGTTTAGTGGTTTGTAGCGACATAATAATGTAATACCGCCACCTGCTGGCAAGATTTTCCCACCGCCCCTACAGTACACATAGACTGTAAATAGACTATATAGAGAGAGACAACAATACAGTAAATACAGTCTATGATAGTACATTACTTATCTCTCGATAAGTAAATCTCGATAGATCTATCTATCTATCTATCTATCTATCTATCTATCTATCTATCCGTTCGTCTATCTATGTAGGTATCTATCTATCTATCTATCTATCTATCTATCTATCTATCTATCTATCTATCTATCTATCTATCTATCTATCTCATTATTATCACTAATTAACATAAATAAACTGAAATAAAATTATTATAGATTTATAAAGGAATTTGTAGTAATAATAATAATAATAATAATAATAATAATAATGGTGATGATAATAATAATCAAATATCATACTATACTATGATATGTTTATCATACTATACTTGACCTTTTTAACATACCATACTAACATTTTTTATCATACTATACTAATTATGATATTTTTGGATATCCTTCAACATAATGTCTTTTGTACTTTTCAACGACTACATTTCTTTGTTTCTCTTTTTTGTTCTCTTTTTTTAGATTCTATTCTTGATTTTTATTGTATTTTATTCTAATTTTTTTTTTATGCAGTTTCCTTCAAACGTCTTTAGTTTTTTTCTTTCCATCTTAAAAGAATTAAAATTATATAACCACTTGGTTAGGTATAGTCAATCATATTATGAATTGAGAAACACATTTCCAATAATTAAGCTTCATTAACATCACTAGACTGGTTATTGATGGTATAAAGTCATTATTCATTTGTTATCTAACCTTTAAAGAACATGGCCTCTCTTTAATGAGACAAAACAAAATGAAAACCACAGACGGCAGTTTTTCAGGTGACACAACAGGTAAGGGATTACCGGTAAATGTTGGCTCATTCCTCAGAACACACGCACTTTATTACCTTTGTGTGTGTGTGTGTGTGTGTGTGTGTGTGTGTGTGTGTGTGTGTGTGTGTGTGTGTGTGTGTGTGTGTGTGTGTGTGTGTGTGTGTGTGCAGTAGGCTGGCATGTTTCCTGGATGTGAGGTTGACCTAAAAACGAAAGTCAGAGTGAAAGCTGTTCACATGCGGACTGAGCCTGAAGGGGAAGCAGCGCAGAGAAGACTCAGGTAACACACCGAGCAAACAGAAGTCTGTATGAGGACAAAACAAGAGCCGAACTAAGTCACTTTAAGAGTAATCATGAATATTATAACAGAGTCTTTCCTCGTGGATTATTTGCTCCGTGTGTCTGTATTTGTTCAGTGGATGTGAGGATGAGTCAGTGGAAACAGATTCAGCAGCTGGAGATCAGACTCCTGGAACATGTGGACTACCTGTACGATGATAACTTCCCCATGGACATCAGACAGGGTTTAGCAGGCTGGATCGAGTCTCAGGACTGGTGAGTACGGATAAATAAAAATCACCTCAGCTAAATTACAAAATGAAACAGATTTATTAAAGTGTGGTGAGAAATAAACACTAAAGTTAAACGAGGGATTTGTGTTGCATAGAAGGTGACGAGTACACAAATGCAAGTCCTGTGTGAGACAGTTTAAATTATTTTATCAGTAAACCAAAAGACGATTTTACCTTTTTAATACTCTAGAAATGTTGAAAATCATAATGAAGACCTCAACAAAAGAAAACAGGCACATGTTATTATATTTTCTACATCCCAGGTGGGGTAGGCTGTTTATAAATAATGTTTTACTTTAATATTTTTGGAGGTCCCCTTATTTAGTGCAGTCAAATAAACGAATGGCGAATGAACTAATTTCCAAAAAGGTAAAGATAGAAGAGAAAAAATACATGTGGGAAAAATAACAACAAAACTATTGAGGTAACCCCATGGAGTCGCCCTCTGCTGGACAACAGACAAACTGGCTATGGATTCACCATATGAAACCAAGAGGCAATATTTAAAGGGATATTCCAGCATAAATTAATTTAGGGTCAAACACACCATAACAGCGAGTTAGACACAACATTTCTTCATCACTTCCTTGACGTAATAATCACCATATTAGTCATTTTCACTGCAGACGCGGTAGTTCTTCTGCCTTAGCGTCTTGGTCTGATTGCATTTCCATGAAGAAATGATCATAAATGTTCTTCCTTGAGCTGCATCACCCCGCTATAGTCCGTAATGGACTGGCCCAAGGTCTCGCTACAACCAAGCGGCTGCTGGAAGACAGTAGGTGAGTTGTGTTTAGTCTCTTACGTTGTGTTTGACCCAAAATTAATTTTACGCCGGAATATCCCTTTAAACTTTGGAATATATCCAAACAACTATGTAAGAGTGGAAGTAATATCAAAGATGTATGAAACGTGAAAGCAGGCTCCTTCATAGAGGTGCTTCAAAGCTTAAATACCAGCCAACCTAACCTTAAGTGAAGGTGGACTTTCAGCATGGAAGTCAGTCCATAGTTCTCCATATTTGGAGACCGTGTCTAGTGGTCACTCGTGGAACTGCAGCCTTTTTGCTCCTCTATATTAGCTTCACTTTTCAACACGAGTTTGCGTCTTAATCAAAACCAATGACTGCTGACACAATCATCAAACCATTTCTAGGGTGCTGTTTAAATGTGGAAGGCCGTTATCAGGCTGTCATACAACCCATGCTCCACCCCCATGATGCATATGACAACTAATACCAATAGCGCACCAGTGGCATACCTTCCACCACTTTTTGATTCTCTCACTCTGTCCTGTTTTCAGGGAAACGGCAGCTAACGATGAGTCGATGGCCACCGTGTTGTTCGCTAACCTGCTATCCCAGCTGGAGCGAGTGCGCTCACAGGAGCAGAACTTCCTGCAGAGACACAACATGAAAATCATCCAGCAGCAGCTACAGGTGAGTCAGCAGCATCCTTTGTTATTGTACAGAAAGATGAACGACATGGCATCCACTTAAGGTGAAGCCAAAATGCTTGTAGCTCCATCTGCTGACCTGCTGTAGTACAGGCCACAAAGCCCGATGTTTGCACTTGTGATCTTTGCAGGAGTGGAATAAAAGCATCTCCAATAAAGAGAAGTACTTTGTGGTTTGTGGTGTACTGAAGATTAAAGGGAAGTAGAAAATAGTGGCTGTACTTTGACAGAGGGTGTTAACTGTTTCTGTGTGTGGTTTTTCGGTCAGCTAAAAACTCAAGAGCTCATCAGCAATTGTTTATCCGACATTTTCAGTTTGCCTGAAAGTTACCTGTGTTACAAGTGTGCAAACTCTCGAACTTGAGCTTCCTCACACTCCACGGATGGCTGTCAAGGTGTTAACTTTGGTCTTTGAGCTCTACAACAGGATGCTCGGTCAATGCTGTTAGCCTCAGCTCATATTTAATGCTCAAAAACTCGAACCTTTGCAGAACAAACCCGAGAGCCTCACACCGCTGTTTCCTGTGCATCTGAATATGTCAGAGTCCCACTCTCAGAGGAAGCAGTCACTCCTCCTGTGTGGTGCTCAAAGGTGTTTGTGGGTTGTTGTTGTTGTGATGTGTGAATGCAGCAGCTCATAAAACCCAAAAGAGTCTCTAACAATAACAAAGTTTGGAGTTTCTGTGTCTAATTAAAGCTCAATCTTTGGGAGGAAAACCCCTCTGGGAGCACGTCTGATATTTGTGTGTTAAAAGTACATTTAAAGGTGTTTTCTTATTCTAAAAACAAGCACAAGCTGCTCTTCACCTATAACATTCAGATTATGATAAAAAGGGAAATCAGTTTATAAATGGAAGCTCCCTACTACTTTATAAACAAATTCATCTGCTGCTTTCTAATGCCAAATGTCATCCTTCAAATGTCATTGTTCCAGTAACGAAAGAGTGTGTAGGAGTGTGATGATACATCCTCAGTCATCATTCGGGCAATGATGCTGATGCATGAAAATTTTGAGGCTAGAGAAAAAGTTTCCTCTTCCCACAGCAGCTTATTTTGTACTTTTCTGAACCAGCTTTGACACAGGGTGCAAGACACAACAGAACACCTACGCTGTGTTTGTCTCAATCTCCTGCAGACGATGGAAATCCTGATCCTGGTGTGTTGGTCTGCGTGAACCTGGGCCAGTTTAGAGCTCTCTCAGATCAGCTGGTTTTCAACTTGTTTGAGCCACCAGCCTCATCTGCCTTCACGCCTTATCGATGTTTTCTATGTACCTCTTTAGTCCCCTGAGTTAAGTAATCTGTGACAACATTAGTAATAGTAATTTTGGTAAAATAGCAGTTGCCACCTTTATTTTTACATTTGTTAACCAATCAGAGGCTGCGTTCTGCACATGCTCTGTATGTAATGCAGCTCATACCATCTACTGTTTCTTAATGAGCTTTTAAAAGCAACTTTTATAGTTTTTTATTGGATAAAACTGAGTTACTTAGATTATTTATGATAATAAACAATCCCATCATGGACTAATCTGTACTAAAAAGTGAATTCTGTACAGATGTAAATATGATGCATGCACATAACTTGTTTTTAACTTGAAGTTTCTTTATATTTTAATTTTGTCTTTTCTGTATCTATACCATGCTGCTGTAAGTTTTGGAATTTCCCCCTGTGGAACTATTTAAAGGTACATCTTATCTTATCTTATCTTAAAAACACCATGGCTTCAATGATCATGATTAGTCGCTGTCTGGTTTCAGTAAATCGTGTTTAATCTGGGGCTGGTGTGCAGACTGTGACTAAAGATGTTGGTCTTCAGGAGGCAGAGAGAAAAGTGACAAAGATTTTTCCTTAAACTGTCTGAAAGTACGTGACGATAAATCTGCTTTTGTTTCCGTGATAAATAACAGTAACATCCTCTAAATCGACATCATGGTTCAACGCTATAACTGCCAGTCGCAGAACAAGCTCTTCTTCCAGCAACTGTCTACACCTTTGGCAACATGCCTCCTCTTTTCATTTTGTCATCTTAAGTTGACGTCAGAGGCGAGTTTAACCTCATTCCTTTTCCTGGTTTGATAACGAAGGACTTCCAGTAAAAACCTTAGACGGACTATTAATAACTGATTTCTGTGATAACTTCCTCCTCCTCCTCCTCTGAGCAGTTTTTTCTCAAGATGCAAAGATAAATAAACGATGTGAAAATGAAAACCCTCAAACTGAAGAGCTGCTCCTTTTCCTTCTTTCTTTGTTTTTGTCTTAAGTGTGCACACATTGGTGTTTGTGTAACCTGGAGTTTGCTCTTATGTGTGCAGGTGAAGTACACGTCCACCCCTGCTGTCATGGCCAGAGTTATTTCCACCTGCCTCAGGGAGGAGCGGCGGATCCTCTCCAGCGCCTGCATGCAGGAACAGGTTTGTCACTTTTGTCTCGCTCAGTGGGAAAGTCCCTCTGCTTCCTGAGTGACAGGCGCCTCTGCTCGTAAACTCGAGCTGCTACCAGGAAGGTGGTTTTGTTTAAAGTACAACCGCTTCTTTCCAACCGCGTTACATAAATCCAGAGAAACTGTCGCCTGCCCTTGTGCAATCAGACTTCTGCAAGAACGCTAGGAGCAAAATGAACACCACTGATAACTCAACCACAATCTGGACTGGATTTATTTGCATACAAATCCAGAACCCGCAAAGATAAAATAATCAGTGCAGACTGGGGCCGTTTTGCAGGGGGCCAATATTTGCACACGAAGTTAGAGCTTAAAGATGACTTTTTGTAGAAGAGGATTTTTGCACACCTGACACTGCATACTGTCTTACTTTCACTGATGCATTAAATTAAACAAAGTTTTGGTCAAACCGGCTCTTATCAGGTTCACAGACATCTGGGTAACCAATCAGAAAACTGACCTGAAGCTATCTCACAAAAACCATCCCGCAGTGATGGTCCTGCAGTTTCTATCTTTAAAAGCACAGTGAAAATGTCTGCAGAAAGTCAGAAAAAGTGACTAAACAGTGAATAAATGTCCACCAGGGTCCTCTGGAGAAATCTCTGCAGAACTCTGTGGCGTTTGAGAGACAGAAGAACATGGACAACAGAGTCGGGGTCATCAGGGGGAGCGTGCAGGTAACTGAAACACTCTGAGGGAACTGAAACAGAAACGCTTTCTGCTTTTCATTCATGAAGTTAAAAAAGGAGATCTATGTCGATGTCTGTGTGTGTTTTTGTGTGTACGTGTGTGTGTAGTTGATGGACCAGGCTGTGAAATACATCGAGGACATGCAGGACGACTTTGATTTCCGCTACAAGACCCTGCAGTCTCGAGGTACGCCCTGAGCGTTCGAGCTGTGAAAAGTATTTTTAACAGGCTTTTTTTTGTAGCTGCTCGCAGCTCTGAAAAAAGTGCTTCTTTCTACAAATGTGTGGTTTTACATGTGTGTGTGCGTGCGTGTGTTAGACTCGACAGATAGGAACTCAGAAATCATGAAACAAGAAGTAACCAGACTGCAGGAAATGCTGAACAGACTGGACTTTAAGAGGAAGGTAAGTGTTTGTATCGTCAGGTGAAGCTCTAAAAGCTTCACTGAAATGTCTCCAAACACACAAATCACAAATTTAACCTCAGTGTGAGCAGGTTGACTTCACATCCTCTCTTCCTCTTTTTAAAGACTCAATGTAACCGTAGGCTCACCTGGTTTTTAAGTAAATAGTCCCAGCCTTAATAATGTGCATCAGAGATCTTCTCCCTACACTGAGCCTGAACAAAACATGATCCACTTAAAGCTTTCAACCGTTACATCCCTGAAAAACTGGGATTATTAATCTAAACATATACTTCAGTTCAGTAAAATTAAAGTTAGTTAAGTTTTTAAAAGTGGATGTCGACAGAAATATAAAAACTTCAGCACTGATTCGTAAAGTGAAATCGATTTCTACAAACTAAGACTTCTATCATCCCTGTCCTCTCTCAGGAGATCCTGTCAAAGATGGACGTTGTTATAAAGGAGATCGATGACCTGATGACCTCTCAGCTCAGCCCTGAGCTGCAGGACTGGAAGCGTAGGCAGCAGATCGCCGCCATCGGTGGACCGCTGCTCACCGGCCTGGACCAGCTTCAGGGCTGGTACTGAGATGAATAACAGCTGAATGCATCATTTACATTTAAATGTCTAATTTTCATCGTGTGATGTCTAATATCAGCCTTTTGTCCCCCCCCGTCTCCTCTCAGGTTCACTCTGACGGCTCAGAGTCTCTTCCAGATCAAACGGCAGCTGGACAAACTGGGCGAGCTGGTCGTGAAGGTCACGTACGAGAGCGACCCGATCCCCCTGCAGAAACCTCAGATGGAGGAGAGAGTCAAATACCTCCTCTATCACCTCATCAAGAGGTACTTTTATGCATAAAACAAAAAGAAAAGCACAGACTGTTTTCAACTTTTACAGGCTTGTATCATAGGCTGTATTTTGTCTGATGAAACTGCGTGAATTGTTGTTTTTGCAGCTCATTTGTGGTCGAGAAGCAGCCGTGTATGCCCACACACCCTCAGAAACCCCTCATCGTTAAAACTGGAGTTCAGTTCACCACCAAAGTCAGGTATCTTCCTGATTTGATCTGCGTACTTTACATCGAGTTTCCATGCAGCTGTTTTGAATCACTTTTTCTTGCTGTAAAATAATAATGTTGCTGCTTTTCTTCTCCTCTCAGACTCCTGGTTAAACTTCCAGAGGTGGATTATCAGCTCAAAGTGAAAACAACATTTGACAAGTAAGATCCTCCATGTTTCACTTTGTTTATCTGGTTTTCTGTAACAGTCAAACATAAACTTGTAAAACTATAAAGTGAGATATCTCTGTCTGGTTATTTAGAGCGATATAGTACGACAGATGTATTTATGGTCATCTAAATTTATATGGTGTTTTTTTGTGTGTTTGTGTCTCCAGAGACCTCCCCCCCGGCAGAGTGTGAGTACAAACAACGTCACGACATAATTTTAGCCCTGATATAAACAGAGAGTGAGCAGGTACACAGCAGCAGAGTAAAGACATGAGACATGTAGACTAGGAGACTCGTGTACCAGTCCTTTAAAGCTCCTATGAGGAGGTTTTTATGTTCATGTAACAGACTTAAAATCACAGTGATGCCTTTTTATGCTAAACAAAAACAAACAAAACAAGACTGAGGATTTTAATTCTGTATAATTAAACTTTGTAGTTGGTGCGAGTGGGCAGCTGTCAGTTGAATAGCATCAAATTTTACATTTTCCACTTCAAACATTCATAAAAAAATTATAAATCTGATTGTCAAGAGTCATCTGGATGATATTTTAGTCGAAAGTTACTACTTATGCATGTAGAGATTAAGATCAGCAACGCCTGTTTTGTCCACAGGGGGCGCCAAAATGGACACAAACCAAAAGTTCCTCACTGGAGCTTTAAACAGAGATTTAAATTCCTGAAGAAGCTTTTAATATTTTTCAAATTGATAGTCAGAGAATCAAGACTTTTGATTAAGTTGCATGAAATTTTTTTATTTAAAACCATAAAACAGCTGTGATCAAAATGAGGAATTTAACTTCAGATTTCAGGAGTGATAGTCGTTATTTTGGTCTAGAAAGAGGCAGAAAGACTCCGATCAAATGGGATAAATCCAGGGGTCTGGTTTGTTTCACGTTGTTTTCTCTCCTCAGAAGTCGTCAGTTTTTCATCCTGACTAACAACACTAAAGTTATGGACATCGAGGATTACTCAAACGGCTGTCTGTCAGTGGAGTTCAGACACCTGGTAGGATGACCCGTCTTTGCCTCCATTATTTAAGCTGATATTCTAACTACTATCAGAAAGATCTAAATCAGGGGAGCTGGAGGAAAGTCGTTGTTGTTGAAATTATTGTTTTCATTTTACAGCAACTGAAAGAGAAGAAATACATCAACGGCACAAAGGGGAATGAGGTAAAACTGGTTCATTAAAAATGTGTTTTACCAAAATTTTAAACTTCAGTTCTGAAATAAATAATATTATGATGCTTGTTTTTACTTGTGCATTATCTCCTGATTTATGTTGGTGTTCTGCAGGGTCTGCTTTCCGTGACAGAGGAGCTTCACTCCCTCAGTTTTGAGGCTTGTTTCACAGTTCAGGGTCTCACCATCGATCTGGAGGTCAGTTGCAGCTTCAATTTTACCCAAGGATGTAGATGGTGGTGCAAACATAGGCTGTATATAAAGATGGATGACATCCCTACTTCTTCCTCTTGTACAGAAGTGAAACTAATCCGCCTCTTTTGCAGTTTGAAGCCAAATTCAGAGAAAAAAATGAGCATGTACCTCAGTGTTATAGTTTGACACATCAGTCAGCTCTAAATGGTTTGGTTTCACTTTGTAGGAGCTGTCATGCCATCTGTCTCTATATACAGTCTATAAACGAAGCCCTCTAACTGTGTGTGACTCTTCCAGACGTGCTCGCTGCCTCTGGTGGTCATTTCCAACGTGAGCCAGCTGCCAGGAGGCTGGGCCTCAGTCATGTGGTATAACCTTCTCACTGATGAGCCCAGGGTGAGTTCAAACACTCTGTGATTGTATCTGAACCGCTGGTGTGCCTGTGGCCTAGTGGTTTAAGTATGTGTGTACAGAGGCTTTTCACAGTGGTCATTGGTTCGACACTCTTATCTTCCCTCATAATCAATGACGGCAAGAACACCCCCACATTGAACTGACTTTTGTCATATTATAATAAAACGAGTTTTCAAAAATCCACATTTCTCTCCTCCTGACCTCCTTCCTTCTCCTTGTTCCTATAGAACCTGTCGTTTTTTGGAAACCCACCTCGAGCCACCTGGAGTCAGCTCTCTGAAGTGCTCAGCTGGCAGTTCTCCACCTTCTCAAGTCAGGGGCTCAACAAAGAGCAGCTGAGCATGCTGGGAGAGAAGCTGCTCGGTGCGTTTTTTCTAAAATACTGAATAAGAAACATGTTTGAGGTCTTCGTGAAACGTGATGGTCTACAAGGGTACACAAGCTTCGGATTTGTCTCAAACTGCGGTTTTTGTTGTTGACCATGATCCCTTTCAGCACTTCTGTGTGACTCAGAAATTGTTTTAGGAGTTGCGGCGTGTTTGCCTTTTGCAGAAATTGTGGTGACTTATAAGAGGTTTTTGGGGTCCTTTTAGTCAACCTGGTGGCTGTCCTTCAAATAAGTAATGTCTAATATTTGCTGTATTTCTTTCTAGGTCAGCATGCCTCCTGCAGTGATTATCAAGTGTCCTGGTCAAAGTTCTGTAAGGTCAGTCTCTACTAATATCTATGTACTGTTGACATTTTATGTAAAGTGGATGGAATTAATAATTTTTGAGACTTGAAACCTTAGTTTTGGCTTTTTAGCGTCTAATTTAAAGTCTCTGTTAAATTTTTCTTACAGGAGAATATTCAAGGGAAGCCCTTCAGTTTCTGGATGTGGCTAGACTCCATCTTGGAGCTCATAAAGAGGCACCTGCTGCCCGTCTGGAATGAGAGGTAAACCTCAACATCACTTAAATTTCACCTCACCTCATTTTTAATCTGTCTCTAGGATTCTCTGCAGCTCATATAAACTTCACAAAAGAGTCAGAGAGTCCTAAAACTGAAGCCAGGCAATGCAGAGGGACTCTTAGCCTGTGCTCTGTCTAATGACCAGCAGGGGGCGACTACTGTCGTTAATGATCAGTAATAAAGTCAGTGGTAGAATGTGGCAAAAAAAGAAGGAGAAAAAAAGAAAAACACGTTTACCTTTTCTTCTCCTTCTTCAACCCTGTGCAGCTACATCATGGGCTTTGTGAGTAAAGAGATGGAGCGCGCTCTGCTCAAGGACAAAGAGCAAGGCACCTTCCTCCTTCGCTTCAGTGAGAGTCACCTCGGAGGAATCACCTTCACCTGGGTGGAGCACAACGAAAACGGTCAGACTTTTCTAAATCTCTGCCTCTACACAATCTCTACACAAAGATTTAAAACGTGTTTGTAGTTCATTTGTAGTCTGAGGAATATTGACCAATCAGAGAACAGAGGATACAGCCTTTTGCATATAGAACAGCCTGTGTGAATTTAACAGTATATATCTTAAAACTCAACTAAAAGCTGGTCAGAACATAATCATTCAATGACTTTGGCTGTGGCGTCTGGGGCTGATGGAGACAGCCTCTAGTGGACACTCAAAGAATTGCAGTTTTTGGCACATCATTTACTTGATTGTTAAATACGTTGTCTTCTTTTGTCCAACAGGAGAAATGCGGTTAAACTCTGTGGAGCCATACACTAAAAGTCGTCTCAGCGCTCTCCCTTTCGCCGACATCATTCGAGACTACAAAGTGATCTCAGACGGGGTCGTACCGGAGAACCCGCTCAAGTTCCTCTATCCAAACATCCCCAAAGACGAGGCCTTCGGACGGCTGTACAACAGTCAGCCAAGCAAAGGCAGGAGCGCAGAAACATTTCTTATCGTCATTTCTTTAAGCTCTTGTTTCAAACATTTGTTGACTGATTGTGTCGTATTACTGGCTCATGTTTTATGTGTCTGTTTAATCTCCAGTTCACCCATACATACCATCCCAACTGATCCCCATCTCAGAACTGCGGTGAGTTCATTTGTCAGCCGTATAAAACCCTAACATAGGATTAAATATTAGACAGGCTTATTTAAGTAAACGATCAATCAGGTATGATAGGTATGAGCCTTTAGATATGGAAGTTAAAGCTCCTGTGAAGAGTCCTCCAAAATGTCCTTACTGGAGCTTTAAAGGTGTCCCCTTTGCTTCAAGTGGACACTTGAGAAACTGCAATTTTTTTGCACTCACTTCCCAACACTTTGCTCCAAACTGTCATTAAAAGGGCTGCTGTGACTTTATCATCCACAAGATGTTGCTGTTGGAGCGCAGAGGCATCACAAAGCTTTACAGGCCTATGTCTAACTGTGACGCACAGCTTTAACAATAATAATAATACATTTTATTTATAACACACTTTTACAGGTGCTCAAAGATGCTTTACAAAAAAAACACAATTTAAAATGCAGAAAATTTTGAGTGATAAGACCAACAGTGTAAAAGGTTAAAAAAGACACAATATGAAAAGACAATAAAACAACAGTTTACAGGTTAAAAGTCATTTTAAAAAGGTTTGTTTTTAGGAGTGATTTGAAAGTATGGGGGTCTTGATCAATGAAAGCAGCTTAAGCACATACTTCATAACAATGACACGTTTCTCTGTCTCTATTACCCTCAGCTGTAATGTCAGCACCTCGTCACCGTCCTGTCAGTCTCCTGAACCCCCCATGACTCCCGGAGAGTTCGACTTGCTGAGCGAACATCTCTGCCTCAGCATGGACACAGTGAGTTTTAGTTTTAGATTAGTGTCTGCTCTTTTCTCTCCAGTTTCCTGCTCTGCCTTGTATTGCCATGTTTTCTGAGAAATCTGCTGCTAATATAATTTTCCTTTTTGTCTTACAGATGAGTTCACCATATTCAGATTAACACCAGATGACTCAAACATGCTTTCCTGGTTTTCCTGGTTCAGTTTGATAAAAATCTGTCTTGAATATGATAAAAGAGTAAAACTATGATCCACTTTTATTCTATGTTTGTTAAAACTTTGTCATCATTTGTTTTAATTGTAGTTCTATTTAAACTCTTGCAGGTTTTTACCTCCTTTATCAGGGACTGTTTTTAAGTTTATCTATTTTTCACGTTTCCCTCATGTTTTTTTCTTTGTATTCAACTTCTTACGTTTGTTTTTTATTTCTTCTAATTTTTTAAAATTTTGATATTGTTTTTAATATTGACTGTGAATAGAATAGTAAGGTCTTGCTTAGCACTCTTTGGGTTTTTTAAGTGCTGTTCAAATAAAGTGTCTTTAGTTTTCATTTTGTTATTTTCTGTCGAGTCTAATTGTCCTTTTAATACCATTAGGTGAGCTCTTCTGCCACCTAGAGCCCAAAATAAGTTATGTCAACACGAGTAAGCGGGGCTTTTACTTTGAAAGCAACAGGAAACAGAGTGTTTCTTTATGCTGGTATGATCTTGGTTTCTCAAACTTGATCAGGTGTCATGCCTTACCGGGATCTCCTTCACTCCCCGAGAGTGAGAGTGTGTGGGTGTGTCCAATATGACCGCGTGATGAAATAACAAGGCAATGGTGCAATAATGTAGACAAAGGCTTGCGCAGACTGTGAACTTTATAATCCTTTAAAAGATATAAATTTAGATAATAATTTTTTTTATACTTCTGTGCATAGTAATAGCCCACCACCTCTCTCTTAAACATCCGTGTGAACACTATCATCCTGTCTTACTCTTTAAAAAGTTATTTATAAGTCCATAAATGAATCATTTCAACCGTGTATTTAACAGGATCATGTTCAGTGTGCTTAAAGGGATATTCCGGCGTGAAATCAGTTTAGGGTCAAACACACCTTAACACCGAGTTAGACACCCCCTCGAGAGATGAATGTTCTTGCTTCTCTAGTTATACCAACTTTAGTAACAACCGCAGGATAGCAATACAGAGAGCCGAGCACTCAACCAAAACGCCACTTCATAGCCACAAATAATGCTCAGAACAGCACCTAACTTCATCAACAGGACATATAGGGTCCTAGCCATAGTACTAGACACCAAACATCTTTTTAACTTTGACTCACTTCTTTAGCAAAGAGACTAAACACAACTCACCTACTCTCTTCCAGCAGCTGCTTGTTTTTAGCAGGACTTCAGGCCAGTCCATTATGGACAACAGTGGGGTGACGCAGCTCAAGAAGAACATTTATGATCATTTCTCCATGGCAACGCAATCATACTGAGAGGCTAAGGCAGAAGAACTATTGAACTAACTGCAGTGCAAAATACCTAATATGGTGATTATTACTTCAAGGAAATGATCATAAACGTTCTTCCTTGAGCTGCGTCACCTCGCTGAAGTCCGTAATGGACTGGCCTGAGGTCTCTGCTGGAGGAGAGTAGGTGAGTTGTGTTTAGTCTCTATGCTAAAGAAATTAGTCCAAGTTAAAAAGATGTTTGGTGGCTAGGACCCTATATGTACTGTTGATGAAGTTAGGTGCTGTTCTGAACATTATTTGTGGCTATAGAGTGCCGTTTTGGTTGAGGTTTGTTTATGGCTCCTCAGACAGCTGTGTATTGCTATCATGTGGTAATTCCTAAAGGTGGTATAACTAGAGAAGCAAGCGTTCGGCAACATTCACCTCTCTAGGTGGTGACTAATGCCGTGTTATGGTGTGTTTGATTCTAACTTGATTTTACGCCAGAATATCCCTTTAAAATCAGACAGGTCGGCTGTAGTTTACTCATTGTTTTCAGCAGTTTGGGCAGCCTGATCCTGAAGGTGGCATATGTTCTTTTTTTTTTAGGTATTTGTTTTTTAACAAAATTAGGAGCAAAATTAAATTGAATAACCTTCTAAATGAACTTAAATTTTCAAACCCATCTCACCCTCCTCCGGGCTTTTGATGGTACCTTTATTTTGAAAGCGGAAGTTAGCCCACGCAAACCTCTGTCCCAAAGTGCCCGGATGTAGAGCTCTCATTCTCGAGAAATCACATGGACCAGCCGGGTATAAACAGCCCCTCCTTCCTGTTGGCGCACAACTGAGAATGAAACTGCGTGAGGAGTACACAGTGGTGCCGTTTTCAGAAATTTGATCAAATATCAAATATTTTCGTCAAAAATACACTGTAAAACTATTTTCTGCACTTTTTTCCAGCTGTCTCTCGGGGTTGTCGGCTCTTTAGGACTCACTTTTCCGCGTTACTTCAAACGTGCGTTATAAACAGTGTATGTCGTCGTTACATTTGTGCAACGAATAAGTTTGACCCCGACTAAGTTTTCCGGAGCTGTCTGTGGTTTTATCGTCAAGCCTCAGATGTCTGGTCAGTGGCAGGAGCTGCTGAAGCTGGGCTCTGATCTTCAGGGCCAGGTGAGCCAACTGTATACGGGCAAACTCCCCCGAGAGATCCGACACTACCTCTGCCAGCCGATAGAGAGCCAGGACTGGTGAGTGCTCATGAATTCGACTAATGCAATATAACTAAAAACACATAAGAATCTGCTTTATGCGCACAAAAAAGTAGAATTTTTTGTTTGTTTATGCAAAGATGAGTCATTTTACACAAAAGTACACATGTACAGTAAAATCATTATAGCTATTTAAGACAGTATTAAAAGTGTCTTCTCTCTCTAGAATTGTAAAAAGGTAATAAAAGGTGAGTCACTAAACTCCTGACAGAACCACCGGACAATACTCTGTGCAATAACCCACTTAACTGTGCAATATTATCTGTGAAGTGCAACACAGCAATTCATACACCATTATTAATATGTGTGATATGTCAATTTTCATACCCCATTTATTCCACTGACTTATCCTCCATTTCATACATTCACACTCACTTTGTAAATATTCCTCTCATACTTTTGTATCTGTATTCTTATTTTATTTTATTCCTTCAGTACTTATTGTGTGTTTTTTTCTGTACTCCTTGAGTCGAGCGGTCCTCTCATCCAGGGCATTTCATTGCATTGTTGACCTTGTTTAACATACCCATGACAAATGAATAAATCTTGAAATCTTGAGTCATAAGCTGCAGGTTGCAGATGGACTTGTACACAGGAAGTAGAGGGCAGCATGACATACACAGTTACAGTAAGAGGGCCGCACACACAGGCGGAGCTGCTGTCAGCCCACCTGCCGTACAATTTATGATCAAAACTTAGAACAATGATCTCAGAAATGAACCAAAAATAGATAATAACATGCTCAAAAACTACCAACAGTAGAAAAAAAAACTTGATTTTAACATTTCTTTGATAATCCTTCATTTTTATGTTTGGTTATTGTTTTCAAAGTGTGTCTTAATTTAGGGAAATAGACAAACACAGTCCTGAGATTAACATACTGTGTCTTAGTTGAAGTTGGTACAGAATTGCTAAACTGAGGTCCATGATTGCAAGACCTAAAATGGAGATGGTAATTCATGCCTTTGTTTCATCTTGCATTGACTACTGTAATGCTCTTTTCATGTGTTTTAACAAAAAAACGCCTTCAAACTGTACAAAATGCAGCTGCAAGGCTTGTAACCGGATCCAAGAAAAGAGACAATATCACCCCAATTTTATATTCCCTACATTGGTTACCAGTTAATTTTTCACTGAGCTGCTGAGACCCTACTCCTCCTCATGTTCATTAAGGCCATCAGACCACAAACTCATGATGGTCCCTTGCCTCTGGAATGCACTACCATTGACCTTACGTTGCATAGAGTCTACTGAAAGTTTTAACAGAGAACTAAAAACCTTTTTAGACAGGATTTCAACTGATGTCGACATTGTGCTTGTATCTGTGCCATTATATTTATTGTGTTTCTCTGTATTCTACTGCATTTTATCCTTGCTGTAAAGCACTTTGTGATTTTATCGATGACAAGTGCTGTATAAGGTAAATTTACTTACTTATCTGTCGCTGTGTGTCAGGGATTCGGCTGCCGAGGATGAAAACAAAGCCAGGGCTTGTTTGGGAGCTCTCCTGGTGTGTCTGGAAGAACAGTGGAGCCGCTCTGTCCAGGAGAACAGCATCTTACAGGGACCAGATTTTTCAGCACTGAAAGACCACCTCCTGGTAGGATGGACATGTTTTAAAAGTTATTTAGTCTTTTTTTTTACGTCCTTTTTCCTTAGAAATAAAGTATAACTTATCATTTCCCATTGCAAGTGCTAATCTGTTTTCTTTTCCATCCTTAGAAAAACTTTGAGCATAATCCGCTGAACCTGGCTGTTATTCTCTCTACGTGCCTCAAAGAGGAAAAGAGGATCCTGGCAGCAGCCTCCGAAGCACAGGTAAGACAATTAATATTTACTTAATTTAAACACAGGCAAGTTTTAAATACAAAAATCAAATAAAAGGTTGGAATACATAAAGTATATATATTTTTTTTGTTTTTAGGGTTTCAGTTCCCCAACCATGGATCAAAGAAGAGAGATGTTGGACAGGATGATTTCCAACATAAGAGGGATGATTTTGGTATGACGTGGCGTGACGCATAACTAATTTTGATCACAAAGCAGATTTTTCTCTTTCTTCCCCATTTTGAAAAGTACACACTAAATTATTTCTTAATCTGTGAAATTTTTCATCTGATTCAGGGAGCCAAAAAGGAAACCAAATCACTGGAGAACCTGTATGCAACACTGGACTTCATTCAGAACAACTGGCAAAGCCGAGGTACGAGAGGAGACAGAGAGAAATGTGATATGATTGTTGTAGCCGGGTATTAATCATGGTTGCTGTCTCATACTTCTCCTCTAGTGGAAGAGCACTCTGGATTCCCTCAGCCTCAAGCTGCTGTAGAACAGGAATGTCTCAATCAGGCCAACTTCATTTCAAGAACAAACCAGGTACAGTAAACACAGAAATGCACAGGGAAACTACAAACACACCATCAATTAATAGATACCAATACTCAGAAAAACGAAGTGCATTATAACCAGTGAACAGTTAAAGGGAGATATTGCTTTTACACAGACTGTAAATGAAGATAATGAGGTTTGAGATGTTTAGGACAGCTCTGTCACCTCTGGATGAAATGCTCTGAACTACACTGTTGTGCTGCAGATGGTGGAGATGCAGATCCGGGAGATTTTAAATCAGACAAAGCAGGTTGTGGAGACTCTCAGTGATGTGGAGCTCCCTGAGTGGAAGCACAGACAACAGATCGCCTGTATTGGAGGTCCTGTTGACACCTCTCTGGACCATCTTGAGAAATGGTAAGAATATAACTCGATAGAACTTTCATAATCATGTATTTACTGCTACAATTTATCACAGTCAGAGTGTTCATTTTGTGTTGTGTATCCAGGTTCACAGCAGTGGCAGAAGTGCTGCTAGAAATCCACAAACAGCTGCAGAAACTGCGAGATATTCTGGTGAAATACAAGAGAACTGAAGCCTCCAGCATCTCCACTCCCATGGCAGAAATCGAGACACATGTTCTGTCTCTGCTGAAAAAACTTCTTTCCAAGTAAGACATGCTTCATCCGAACTGCTTTATGAGTCAGATACAGTCTGTACACTCAGGCAGATAGACAGAATTAAGGTGACATACTGTTGTGGTTTTGCTTTGCAGTGCTCTGGTTGTTGAGCAGCAGACTGTGATGACGAATCAGCCACAGCGACCTCTTGTGATTAAGACTGGAGTGCGTTTCACAGCGAAAGTGAGGTAATGCTGACCCTAACACACAATGAGGTTGTTTGGTTTTGGTTCAATCACAGTCATGTTTTTTGCAGACTATAATAACGCTGTAATCATAGTTATTATTTACAGAATAAACTGTTTTGGGTTTTTTTTTGATGGCTGAAGTCTGTGTCTCTTCATCCCTCAGGTTTTTGGCAAACCTCACAGAATTTGTACAGAAGTGTTTGCTCAAAGTCACGCCTAAGTTTGACAAGTAAGTGAACCTGTGGTGTCTGAGCAAAGATCTTTGATTTCCTGTCTTTTCTTTTTAAGGAAATGTAAGTCACACCCATATCATCCTTGTTATGTCTTTCTTTTCTTTAAAATAAGGGGTGTTGAAGAAGCCAAGACCATCAAAGGGTAAGTCAAGAGTAAAAGTGAAATCAGAGTGTAAACTGGTGAATCAGTGACATGGATTTAAAGGGATATTTTGGCGTAAAATTAAGTTAGGGTCAAACACAGGGTAACACCGAGTTAGACAACCCCCCGGAAGATGAATGTTGCCGACTGCTTGCTTCTGTAGTTATACCAACTTAAGTAACGACCGCACAATAGCAATACAAAGAGCTATGCGCTCAACCAAAACACCACTCTATAGCCACAAATAATGCTCAGAACAGCACCTAACTTCATCAACAGTACATATAGGGTCACAGCCATAGCACTAGCCACCAAACATCTTTTTAGCTTTACCTGATTTCTTTAGTAAAGAAACTAAACACAACTCACCTACTCTCTTCCAGCAGCCGCTTGTTTGTAGCGAGACCTGGGACGAGTCCATCAACTGCAGCGGGGTGACGCAGCTCAAGGAAGAACATTTATGATCATTTCTTTATCATTTCCTTGAAGTAATAATCACCATATTCATCATTTTGCGCTGCAGACGTGTTCGTTTTTCTGCCTTAGTGTCTCGGTCTCGCTACAAACAAGCGGCTGCTGGAAGAGAGTAGGTGAGTTGTTGCCCTCCTGCTCTGCTGATCAGCGTGTGCAATTTGATTCAAAAACCTCACAGTGGGTGTCTGCACAAACTGAAACAAAAACCAGGATACTAGTGTCGGTCATAGATACAGTAATATGAATTACCAGGTTTCTCTGAGTGCATTTAAACTCGCTCATTACAATCATTACAACTGACCTTTTACACATCTATGTTGTTTTAGGTTTCGTCTGTTCGAGCTCAGCAGTGATGAAAAGGTGATGGATGTGTACACGGCAGGTGGAGGACTGGAGGCCGATTTCGGGCACATGGTATGAAACTTTACAAACAGCTCGTTGATAAATTTTCACAAAGATGTAACTTAAAGACAAAATATTTGAATTTAACTGAAGTATTGAAATATTCATAATGAAACACTCACCATGGTATTTGATGACATGAATATTTCTTCAGTAAGTTTTCCTTTCTATTGTTTTTTATTTCAGTTGCTGAAGGAAAAAAAACGGGGTCTCAAAGTAACACAGGAGGTAAAATGAGGCGTTCAGATTCATTTAACTGTAAACACTCAGTGAGAGGATCTTATCTAAGTGCTTTTACTTTCTAGATAGTTACAGGTTTATCTGCATTTTTAGAGCCGTTTCCTCTTCATTTATCCATTTGTTCAAATATTTTCAGACCAGTGCAGCGGTGAGCAAAAGGAAAAGAAATAAAAGTGAAGAGGACCCAAATCATCTGTCGGTCACAGAGGAACTCCACATCATCAAGTTTGAGATGAAGTTTCAGTACGCTGGGCTGGATTTGAGCATCGAGGTGAGACAATGTTATTCTCAGATGAAATCCAGACACATTTACATTTTATTTTTCCTTTTTCACCTTCAAAATCTAAATGGTCTCCTCTTATGTTGGTCCAGACCAGCTCTCTGCCTCTGGTTGTCATCTCTAGCACCAATCAGATCCCTGCTGCCTGGGCCTCTATCATGTGGTTCAACATGCTGTCCAACAGTGAGCCAAAGGTAAACCCAGGGTCCATCAGGGAACAAAAATACACACAAACCTCTTTTTGCTAAAGCTTTACGATTAGACATATCAGTAGATTAAATTGAATATCCCCTCAAGTATCATGGCTTGATCATATAACTCACAACACCTGCTTGTGCACATGATACCCAAAGTTCTGACCTTAAAGTGATGCCAAGTCCACTTTCAGGAAACAGAAACATAGAAACACTGCCGCTTATGTTCATCCTATGTATCTGAGGGGCTTGTTTTGAATCTGTTTTACTTATTAAAGGTGTTTTTTTAACAATCTAGTTTTTGTTATTTCACTTGGTAACCAGTAACAGCCTTTATCTGGTGGCTTAAACAAACGTCTGTTTCTTTTTAAAGGACCTGTCTTTCTTCCTCAAACTGCCCTCGCTCACCTGGGAGCAGCTCGCGCAGGTTCTCAGCTGGCAGTTTTTGGTTGTGGGACAACTAGGTCTCAATGCGGACCAGCTCTGTGTGCTGAGAGACAAATTCGTGGGTGAGTCTTTGAACACTAAGCTCTTGTTTTTTCTGCTTTAAAGACTAAATGGAAACGATTGTCTGTTAACTCCTTCTCTTTATAACTTATTCTATTCGTAACATTTCTATGCAGAAAGTCCTGATGGTCTTGTTCACTGGAAAGATTTCTCAAAGGTGAGTTGGGGTCTTATTAGAGCAGGCTGACACTAATCCTATTAATGCTCACTGAAACCAGCTTTCTCTCTTGACACTGTGATTTATACTCTCAGATTGAGACCAGCGCCTGGTATTGGATTGATGGGATCCTGGATTTGATCAGAAAACACTTGATGGATATTTGGCGGGATGGGTAAGGCACAATTGATTTATATTACACAGTACAAGCCTCTCTTTAAAGCCTTACTGAGATCAAATTTAGAAGAATGTTGATGTTAAAAGTGAGTAAACTCACAAAACTCTGTGTGTGGTTTTCAGTTCCATAGTTGGGTTTGTGAGCAGGGCGAGAACAGAGGCCCTGCTTCGGGAAAAACAAGCCGGCACCTTTCTGCTCCGCTTTAGTGAGAGCAACAAAGACGGAGCCATCACCTTCAGCTGGGTGGAGAATGCCAACGGTGGTATGTTACTGTACACTGTACTTGAACTAAAGTCTGTTCAAAACTGGGGTTTGAACAATGAGGGAACACATCACCTGTGTTTTCTTTCTATATAGAGACCCTCGTGCACGCAGTTGAACCGTACACCAAGCAGGAGCTTTCCGTGAACTCTCTGCCATACATAATTTTCAACTACAGCCTGAAGACCCAGACCAACACAAACTGGAAACCTCTGCTCTACCTTTACCCAGACATCCCCAAAGGCACGGCCTTCGGACAGTACTACAAAGCCCCAGGTATTATTGAAGGCTAATACCTGAAGGCTTGAAGGCTTGGTGGCTGTGAATGAAGGCTTCTGTTATTAATTGTACACCAGTGTGACGTCCATAGAAACATGTTTTGCTTGGTTATAAATGAGCACTGTGTTAACCTTGAATCACCTGTTCATGCAGAAAAAGCAGCACCTAAAAACGGCAAGAGTGGTTACGTCGCCAAGAATTTCATTCCTGTTTCAGTGTAAGTATGACAGAGTTTCAGAGGATCAGTTGAGAACAACTAAGAGATTTAGAGATAAAGTTTTGGTTTGAGGAGGGGGAAGTCAGAACAGCAGAAAGGTGTGGTATTTAGCAGAATAAAGTTCTATTACTATGAGAATAAAGTTATGATTATAGGCTGCAGTTCTTCTTTGTTCAGCTGCTCATCCATAAACAATCCCTGCTGTGTGTTGCATCTTCATTTTTTAGATTTAATAACTTTATTCCCTTTATGACTTTTCTCTAATATTAATATGAATTTGTTCTTGTAATTTAAATACTTTTTTCTTGTCACAGTCTGGCTTTATACCCACATTATCAAGACTTTTATCTTGTTTATTTGCATCTTTAATGTGACTTGATTCTTGAAGTGCACTAAATTAATTCTTGTTATAATTTAATCTTATATAATGTGACCATATCTTTTTAGGACTTATTAGAAAGCTAGCTGAGATTTTTTTCCTGTTACAGTAATCCAACACCACCTCCGTCTCCAACTAAAGAGCTGGAAATGATGGACATGGACCCAGTTGAGGACATGAATGTGAGTATGTGCATCATTTTCCCACTTTTGATTGATTTGTAAACCGTTTCAGTGATCTTACTATCACAGGTAATGTCATGTTTTCTAAGATGCACTCAGACTGGATTTCCTCCGCAGATAATTGACAGAGGATGCTTTTGTTTCCTTGTAGGTGGATCACCAACAAGTGATACAGGACCTCTTCCCTGATCTTTTCTGTCACCCATCTGGACCCTCTGACAGCACACTCAACCAAGAGATGCCACCTTTCCAGAACAGCTCTATGAACCCCGAAATCTTGATGTAATTTTGAGACAATTAATGGAACAGGGTGCAATCACCAGAATGGCTAAATGATGTGCAACAATAGTATATATTCTGCTGCACTGTAGCATTTTTATCATTATTGACAGAGAAATGAAGATTTCTCTTAATGCACTTATTAAAAGAACAGCTGTGTTCAGTTTTCAGGGACCTGTAAGCCCTTTTTCTTCCCAAGTGAGTGTTTGTATATAGAAACTAATTATTTGAATTAGTTCAGTATTTGCACAAGCTTGTACTGCCTTTCAGGAGGATTAAATCCTGCTGCTGTTAAAAATAAATTTGTACTGTAGGTGTTTTTAAGGAAAACACAATTTCAAGAGTATCTAACCACTCAAATAAAACAACACCCTAAAACTTAATGTTATATTTTCATACAGAACAAACAAACAACACTGGTGTGTCTACAGTTTGTGTTTAGTTTTGGAGTCTATCAATGTTTAAAAGCTCAATATAACCAGATTTTACAGAGTTTATTAAATGCTTAGTACCGAGGTCTTCTACAAATCAATTCAATGTAAAGAGAAGAAAACATGAGGAATGTTAAATGTTTTTTATGTTTGTTGAACTTCATGTTTGTGGATTTTTTAAAGGTGCTTTGTAAATAAAATGTTAAGGCCTAATTGTAGCTCTTATTACTACTACTTGGTTAATACTTTGAGTAAATGGTAAGTTGGTCAGCTTGTTTGATTCAGACTCTTATTAAGCTGATTTCTTCTAAATTGTAAACCCTTCTGAATCTGTAGTTCCCCTAAATTGACCTGTTGCGCCACCATGAGGTTATATTATGCAAAAAAAAAGTGACAGTGATATCTTTAACTGTCCCTCATAGTAAATGACGCGATCCCATTCACGGCAATCATAACATTGGGAACACATGTACGGTTTGTCGTAGTGACGCTCTGATTGGTGGACCTCTAACTCTGGTCCGCCCATTTCTCCGCCCAGACGCGTTCTGATTGGACAGCTGAGTCTCTGCTCATGTCTCTCCATCAAGAGAATTCCTCGGACGGTACCGCGATGGACGCTGGGCAAAGAAGTCTGTCTGTCGTTAATAATCCACAGATGCTCCCCTCAAAGAACTACAAGTCCCACGTCAGGAGTAAACCGAGTAAAACCCACTGAGCATCCTCAGGGACGATAGTTGATTAAGTTCGGCGGAGGATTTAACTCTGCTTCACTCAGTTACAGCTATGACAGAGGGAACGTAAGTAATTTTCTTTATTTACCGACGAAATCAGATATTTACTCGAGTTCAAAAAGATACTTTAAAGCATTTGGAAGTTGGTTGGCTGCGCTAAAAATGTGAAAAAGACAAAATGTAGATTGTCCACAACTGTTATGACTAAAGTTTTGTGTTGTATTTCACTAAATCAAATGTCGTAATTTAGAAAACATGTATTATACCGACTAAAAATAAAGTAACCCTGCTGATTGTTTAAATGAGGATTTAACCCTTTGACAAAATGCAACTGAACCCGTTTTTACATGATTTCATATCATCTCTGTTTAAAAATGAGCTTTGTTAGTATTTTTGTCTCACATTTGCAGAAAATTCATACAGAAAGATCTTAAAGGGATTAGACACCCCCTCGAGAAATAATTGTTGCTGACTGCTTGCTTCTCTAGTTTTACCAACTTTAGTAATGACCACATGAAAGCAATACACAGCGGTCTGAGGAGCCATAAACAAACCTCAACCAAAACGCCACTCCATATCCACAAATAATGCTCAGAACAGCACCTAACTTCATCAACAGGACATATAGGGACCCAGCCATAGTACTAGACACCAAACATCTTTTTAAATTGACTAATTTCTTTAGCAAAGTGACCAAACACAACTCACCTACTCTCTTCCAGCAGCCGCTTGTTTGTGGGAGACCTCAGGCCAGTTCATTATGGACTACAGTGGGGTGACGCAGCTCAAGACAGAACATTTATGATCATTTCTTTATCATTTCCTTGAAGTAATAATCACCATATTAATCATTTTGCACAGCAGACGCGATAGTTCTTCTGCCTTAGCATCTCGGTCTGATTGCATTTCTATGAGGAAATGATCATAAATGTTCTTCCTTGAGTTGCGTCACCCCGCTGCAGTCCGTAATGGACTGGCCTGAGGTCTCGCTACAAACAAGCGACTGCTGCGAGAATAGGTGAGTTGTGTTTAGTCTCTTTGTTGGAAAAAAAAACTAAAGTTGGATTAACTAGAAAAGCAAGCGGTCGGCAACATTCACCTCTGAAGGCGGTGTCTTACTTTGTGTCATGGTGTGTTTGACCCTAAATTAATTTCACGCGGGAATATCCCTTTAACCCGAGGTAAACAGTTTAGCGGCGCTACAACATGCAGCAGGTCTCATTTGACAAGAAACACTTCTGTTACAGACACTTGTCTTACTTTGTTAAAGCGGTTTACCTGTCCAGCAGAAAGGTTACAGGGTCCGGAAGATCCCGGAAGCGTCCCCCAACGTTTATGCTAGCTTCATTGATGTTGACCCTGCTTTTTAGCTCTCGTCCCGGTCTACCTCCTTTTTAAGCGCCCGTTACTCCGCCAGAGTCTCCGGTATTTACTTCATTTTCTTGCTTGTGTCGGCAGTCGTGGCCAAAGGAGGATTCAGACAATTTTCCATACTTTCTGGTTGGTTTCTACTGTCCGATATTGTTGCACGCTAACTTTGTTTGGGCTCGTCAACGTTATTTGAGGATGTGGAGTCTGCCTCACAACAGGAGGGAGCAGCGTCTTCCTCACAACCAATCAGCACTAAGGAGCAGCGTCTGTCTCAACCAATCAGGTCGAAGAGGTGGAGAACGTCGTTGCTCACAATCAGAATTGGCGGACCGTTAAAATTTTCTAAATGTCGGCTACATAGACATAAGCGAACACAGCGATCTCGTTATATTACCAAATGTAATCAATAACTAATAGCTACTGACTGATATTAAAAGTTTTTTGTATATACACCAAAAAATAAAAAAAATGTTTCTTTAATGGATTCCTGCCTACGCCAACTTTAAGTTATCAAAGAAAAAACACCGGAACATGAAATATATATATTTCTTTTCATGAAATAATATTTTTATTATTTATTTACACTTTTATCAATTTATTTACACTTTTATCCAATTATTGACACTTTTTTTTATTCATTCATACTTTTCAACACTTTTAATAATACATTAATTTATGTATTGACACTTTCAATCATTTAACGGTATATTTAAGTAGTTATTTAATGATGTATTTATTTATTTAATTAATTTTGATACTTTTAGTCCTCCATACAAAGTAAGTCTTTGTGTCTTTGTTGTACCTTGTAGGCACCTGCGGAGGCGAGGGGGGCCTTACAAGACAGAGCCAGCCACAGACCTGAGCCGCTGGCGGCTGACTAATGTGGAGGGCAGGCAGGCATGGCGCTATGTGGAGGATGAGGAGACCCCAGACAGAGAGCAAACGATGCTGGAGGCACACTGTCTAGGTCTGGACACGGTAAGCTGTCACACATAATGGCTGAACCCAGATACAAGCTCAGAACAGGTAAGGTGTCAAAGAAAGTGGTTACTAACAAAAAAGCTTGCAGGGTCTGTGATTTTGTACCTGGTGCATGTTCAGAGTTGTGAAGTCAATTGAGTCGCTGTGTTTTTAGCCAATATGCAATAACACACAATACCAAACAGTATTCTTATATTTTAACTTCCTTATCTTCTCCACAGAGTACGTTTGTGTCTGGCTCCCCTGCGGCCCACACAGCTGTAGATGCAGCTCTGAAAGGAATGAACTTCTACAGCCACCTCCAGGCTGAGGACGGTCACTGGGCCGGAGACTATGGAGGACCTCTCTTCCTCCTTCCAGGTAAAGCCAGTCTTCCTTATATTTGACACCTGTAATTTGCAACAGCTAAAATTTTTGTGCATGTTAATCTGTCACTGTATGAACGTCTATTTCTAAACTCCAGGTCTATTGATCACGTGCCACATAGCAAAGATCCCTCTGGCTGAGGCTTGGAAGAAAGAGATGGTGAGATACCTGCGCTCGGTTCAGCTTCCAGATGGCGGCTGGGGTCTGTAAGTCAACATTAAATGTTATTTGGCTTTCGATGTTCATTTATATCATAAAATTGTAAAGATTTCTTGACCAAGAAATGAGTGACCTTACACAAACACAGAGAGTTGAAGTCAAGTTTCAGTTGAGCTTCAGCCGAAGAATAGAGACCATGACACCAGATCAGTAAAAGCACAGCTAGTTACTTGTTTTTGTTTGTCGGTTTCTTCAGACATATTGAAGATAAATCTACGGTCTTTGGCACAGCGCTGAGCTACACATCATTAAGGATCCTGGGAGTTGAACCAGACGATCCAGACATGATCCGGGCCAGGAACAACCTGCACAGCAAAGGTGAGGAGTTAATGCTGAATTAAATTTTACACACCACTGAAGCTGGAACCAGCATGCATGTGGCAGGCATAGTAATTACTCTGATTACTGATCATTCTAACAATCAGACAATTAGTGTGGGAAATTAAGACATAGAGCTTATAGTTGCCTACATAATTATTTTAAAACTGTGATAGCTATGAAACAAAGCAGCTGGTGATTTTCTCCATCTTCAGGTGGTGCTGTGGGGATTCCCTCCTGGGGTAAATTCTGGTTGGCTATTTTAAATGTCTACAGCTGGGAGGGGATGAACACACTGCTACCAGAGATGTGGTAAGATGCTCTCTCTGTCATCGTAATTAATGTTTCACTGATTGGTCACTTGTCATTTTGAATTCCTTGTTTTAAACACAGTTTGACACACTTTGGTGGAAATGAAAAGTGCATTTCTGGCATGTCACTCCCTCACTCTTGCTCTCTCTCTGCTTCCTTCTCTGTCCGCTGTCCTGTCCTCTCTATAAGTAAAAGAAGAAAAACACAGCAATAAAACAGAGATAAAGAGAAAGAAAACTGACCGTGTGTGGTGTAAAGTAAATTGTGACTGTGTGGTCAAAACACTTGAATTGTCTTCAGTAAACTGACTGCTCACTTGAATCTGTTTCAGGCTATTCCCTGCGTGGATGCCCGCTCATCCCTCCACCCTGTGGTGTCACTGTCGTCAGGTCTACCTCCCCATGAGCTACTGTTATGCTGTCAGACTGGCTGCAGACGTGGATGAGCTGGTCCTCAGCCTCAGACAGGTGCCAAATTATTTTTCCGCCACAAGGGGGCGCCATACTCATGATAAGATTTCATGACCTCAGAGCTCTGAGTCTGTGCGACCTCGGAGTAACTGGCTGAAATCATCTTTTCATAGGACACTCATTCAAACCTTCCTCTCTTTGAACTTTCTTCGATCACTTTCTCAATCAAGCATGAGTATACTTTATGAAACTGACATATGACTTCACTTTGGTTCCTCAGGAGCTTTATGTCCAGGACTATGCCTCTATTTACTGGCCTGATCAGAGGAACAATGTGGCTGCATGTGATCTGTACACACCTCACAGCACTCTGCTCACAGTCGCCTACAGTAAGTATGAGCCGGACACAAAAGTATAAAAAAAAATTTCCTGCAAACTCGATAACAAAACGGACTCAATGATAAAAAATGAAGTATCACTGTTACATAATGATGATGATCTCTAAAGTTTTACTCAATTTGACCACATGTGCGAAAGTGACGCATCAGAAACGCAACAATCCTGAGGGGAATCCCTCATGACACATGATGTTTTTAACCAAAAAAAAGAAGTTCATTTTTCCACTGGTACTTCTTTAAAGCGGTTTTGTGAATCATCCCCTGACCGTGTGATTGTCCCTGTTTCCCTGCAGTGGTGTTAAATGTTTATGAAGCTCACCACAGCACAACACTGAGAGAGAGGGCGGTCAAAGAGCTGTACGAGCACATCCAGGCCGATGACCGCTTCACGAAATGTATCAGCATTGGACCGGTAACACACAAAGAAACAGTTTAAAACAAGACATTTCAAAATAAAAGAGAGCTCTTTCAGTGTAAAGCTTGATTTATAATGAAGAAGATAAAATTAGTGTCTTCTTCCTCAGATTTCAAAGACCATCAACATGTTGGTCCGCTGGTATGTGGATGGTCCCTCTTCTCCAGTGTTTCAGGAGCACGTGTCCAGGATCCCAGACTACCTCTGGTTAGTCAGGCTGTCTTTGGAAAATGTGTTTCCCATTGCTCATCATGATTACATCTTTAATTTTAAAGTTATTGCGTTTGTCATTATTTAAATGTTTTTGCTCAATGTTGATAAATCTGAAGATGCACATTAAAGTTTTATTGTGTTCCAGGTTAGGATTAGACGGCATGAAAATGCAGGTGAGGATCCACACTCTGCTTGATGACATGTTCGGTGATTTTTGAGTTTGAAAGTAAATCTTTGAGCTCAAATGAGCGGCACAGGTGTGCAGAAAGCTCTCAGACTTCGATAAACTGTAAAATGAATATAAGTTATTTAAAAGAAAATAGTTTTTCATTCTCTCACCATTGAAAAATACCCTTTGTTACCATCGGAATGAATCTTTCCGTCATGAAGAGTTTCAGTTCATCAAGTTCACTCAAATTTTCCACAGGGTACCAACGGATCTCAACTTTGGGATACTTGTTTTGCTGTTCAAGCCTTCCTTGAGGTACTGCAAATATCATCATTTACAATACAGTACAATAACTGAGATGAACAAACTGAAAAGCAGAGGACTCAATATTGATCCCTGAGGAACCCCACTCTAAGTGTAAAATCCAGAAGTAAAATCCACGTACAAGTGTTGAGCACCATCATCAATTCTTCTGTGTGTATTTTGGTAGAAGTGTTTTATTTGCGTTACATTTCTGATTGTAAGATGTCATGTAGCTGATTAGGATCTGGTTTCTGTTGTACATTTCAGGCTGGAGCTCAGGATGACCCCAGACTAGCTGAGTGCCTCCGCAGTGCCCACGACTTTCTCAGAATAACACAGGTACCACCAACACAAAGCTTCTTACTGAAATGCAATAAAATATATCTTTAAATCATTATTTCTAAAAAAATCTCCTTTTAGATCAGAACATATAAGTATGATTATTTTTCCCACTTTTACAGATACCTGAAAATCCTCCTGAGTACCAAAAGTACTACAGACAGATGAACAAGGTAAAACCACTTTCGAGAAAAGGCTTTTTGACTTGTTATGATACTGGCGGGCGCTGTGATAGTGATTGATGTGCGTATACCTTTGACCTCGACCCTCTTTGTCAGGGAGGATTCCCCTTCAGCACACGGGACTGTGGCTGGATCGTAGCCGACTGTACAGCAGAGGGCCTGAAGTCAGTGATGCTGCTGCAGGAGCTCTGTCCCGCCATCGGGCGGCACGTCACCTCAGAGCGGCTATTTGATGCTGTCAATGTGGTGAGTCGAGGATAAATAGATGGACGACACCATATCTCATAATGTATGAACTTAAACCAAGTTTTGCTTGTGTTTAACTGATTATAAATTAACTGGAATTGAGTCTGATGAGTTTATTTGAGACCTCAGCATTTCTGCTCCTTCATCGTGTGTGTGTGTCTCTTATAGCTGCTGAGCATGAGGAACCGTGATGGCGGATTCGCCACCTATGAAACGAAGAGAGGAGGGAAACTCCTAGAGCTGCTGAACCCCTCTGAGGTGTTCGGTATGTTTGATGCCCACACTGTATCATCAACATAAAGTTAATGCACTTTACTTGCAGTAATGTTCGGTCATAAAACACTTCCTTTAATTGTTTGTTATGATATAAAAAGTGCAGATGAAGACCATGTAACCCCCTCAGGTAACATTTATTGAAAATAAATCACTCACAGAAAAGTCCCGGCCAAAAAATTCCCCAAAATCACATCGTGCAAGTTGGTGCCTGAGGCCTTCAGTCTGGTTCAGATCTGTCGGTGTTGCTCAACATGCAAACATGCAGATGTGAAAAAGGGAAACATGGCGTCATATAGGAACATGACATTTGTGTCTAATTTTAACATTTTGCTCTTTATGTGTTGAAATTTGACGACCTTTTTCAACATGGAAGTGCAGAGAGCCTTACGTTAATGTGAACTCTGAATGCACTCTCTCCTTTTGCCACATATAGGTGATATTATGATAGATTATACTTATGTGGAGTGCACCTCAGCATCAATGCAGGCCCTGAGGCATTTCCAAAAAGTCCACCCTGAACACCGGGCTGAGGAGATAAGGTACAATATACACACAAACACTCGAACACAGATGTGCTGCTTTTATATGGAATAAAACGAGGGAAAGAGAAACCTCCAACTGAGTTTTCTGTGTTTGTTTGTTTCTCAGCTCCACTTTGAGAGAGGGACTAGATTACTGCAGGAAGGTACAGAGGCCTGATGGATCCTGGGAAGGGTGAGAATACACATCCTGTTTTTCTACTTGATATCCTCTAAGTTGCTGTCATCTGCCATCGTTTTTGCATTTCACCTCTGAGGCCGGTTGTGCTTGTTTAAATAAGAATCCCTTTGTGGTCATACTCAGGTCCTGGGGGGTGTGCTTCACATACGGAGTCTGGTTTGGCCTCGAAGCTTTTGCTTGTATGGGCCACGTCTACAAGGATGAGTAAGTTCATCCAACACTCATCACCACAGCGTAATGTAGACTGTGTTCACGAACCCGTCGAGCCACACGAGACCTCCGTGAACTCCTTACTTACAAACCTAATGACAATGTGGTCCTTTGTTTTCAGGGATGTGTGTGTGGAGGTTCAGAAAGCCTGTCAGTTCCTGCTGGACCGGCAGATGCCAGACGGGGGCTGGGGGGAGGACTTTGAGTCGTGTGAGCAGCGGTGCTACATCCAGAGCAGCTCAGCCCAGATCCACAACACCTGCTGGGCTCTGTTAGGTCTCATGGCTGTCAGGTAAAACTCCTCTCATAGAAAACGAAGATACTGAGGTGTAAATATGTATCAGTGAGGTCTGTGTTGGTCCACAATCAAAAGAGACTTCCTGTTGATCGTTGTGATATTTTCATTGTTTTCATCAAATGTTTTACGTCCAAATAAAGTGATAAATTTTAAAGGGGGTCTTAAATAATTGTGATAATAATAGTTAAAAGATTATACACGTATCTCCCTCTTTGCTGGTAGATACTGAGATTTAGAAAACAGACTCTTACTGCAAAACAAACTGGAACAGAGGCGCTAAAATAACAAAAGATTTGTAGCAGTACAAGCAGAATGGAGCTGTCAGTAAAGGTGTTAACCCGTGCAAGTCTTCCTTAGACCTTAGCCTGTTGTTTTTTTAACACTAAATGAAAAAGGACTTAAGTTATATGCAAATAACCACAATTAACCAAAACATTCACTGTAATAACAGTTATTAATCAGCCTCTATGGGACCAATTTAACTAATATGGGACAAAACTTTAATTAATACCATCAGCAGGGGAAAAATGAAATCCAAAATTATATCTCTGTATCTGTGATGGATTCATTAGGTGTTAATATATAAATTTTTTCCAGGCATCCAGACAGAGGAGCCGTAGAGCGAGGAGTCCAGCTGCTGATCGATAAGCAGCTGCCCAACGGAGACTGGCCACAGGTAAATAAACTAGCAGCAGCTCTCAGGATGTTTTTTTGCTGCTTCTTTTTGTGACATAAATATCAAAGATTTTCATCCATGATTTAAAAAATATGTGAGCTTTAACATGTTGTTTTTTACCTCCTCAGGAGAATATTGCAGGCGTGTTCAACAAAAGCTGTGCTATCAGCTACACCTCCTACAGGAACGTCTTCCCGGTCTGGACGCTCGGACGCTTCTCAAACCTGTACCCGAGCAGTCCGCTGGCCGGGAAGGTCAAACTGTGAAGACGCTTTAGAAGAGTTTGTGGTTCATCAGATCTGCAGAGAACAATGTTTACTCGTCAAACAAAATACAAAAACAGTCACAGTTGTTTAAGTTTAAGTTATCGACATCACCCTCCACATTTCACAGATCTACCTGTGGCTCTTTTACTCTCTGTGTTCTCCGTCTTTAGGTTTTTCTTCAGAGCGGAAATCTACAGACATGATAAAAAAACATTAAATTCTTTGGAGATATTTCCATGTTTAACATTCCAGTGTGGATCAGGGCTCCTCCCTACAAATCTATCATGATAATCTGCTGCAAAATGAAACACCCAGCTCATGTTTGCTGCTTTATCAGCTCTGGACAAGCATTCACATCATCGTGCCTTACTCTTCTGTACTATATCCATTCAGAATAAATGCTCTCCTATGGTATTATGTTGACTGGATCGAGCAGAAACACTGGAAAAATGTAATTTAATGCTTGATATTTCATGAAGAGCTACTTCATAGAAAAGTCCCCATGAATAACAGCATTGTGCAAGTCGGTGCCAAAGCTGTCAAGTGAAGTTCACTGCCAGGACTGTGAGAGTTGCTCAACCTGCAAATATGCTGAAAAAGGGAAACAAGGAGTCAAATATCAACAAGATGTTTTAGAGTCATTTCAACATTTAACGGCATGAATCTTTTTCCACTGCTCTCCAAATGCTGCAATTTTATGACCCTTTATAATATGGAAGAGAAGAGATTCTTATGATTCTTAAAAAGGAAAAGTTGTGAAATCTTTCTATTGTCGCTTTCACTCAGGTGACATGATGATAGATTGGACCTGTGTGGAGTTTACTTTAGAGGCAGATCAGAGCCTGAGGGATTAATATGCAGTGGATGTGATCGCCATCAATTATGCCAGTGATGTGTTATTGCATTAGGAGGGTTAGGACATCTCCAATGAGATCTAAAAACAACATGATTTCTGCACAATCAAGTCTGCAGCATTTGTCATTCTGTCATTTACAGTCAGCTAAACATTTCACTTTTAATTTTATGAATACAGCTCAAAGCTTTTACAAGGTAAATCTACAATCTGCCAGTTGTTTGCACAGAGACATCTCATGACGTCCTGACCTTTATCACAGTGAGGAAGCTGGCATTGCACACACATTTTTTCAGCTGCACTTCTGTAAGCCACTCCTGAACATGACCTCAGTCTCACTGGTAAATAAAAGATGAATAAAAGTGCGAAGTCACAGCTTACACTCCGTGTTTGTGAGGTCTCTATTAGGTTGTTTTTGACTCGATCTAAAGGTGTGGCTGTGTGGAAGATTTTTCCGAGGTTTGATTGTGAAAAGGCGCTCGTGTGAGTGACAGGCAGCAAATATCGTACACATCTCATCGTGTATTTATTTGTGTAGTGTAGTTGTTGGAACGGGTGTAGACAGGAGCAGTGGGGAAACTGGCAGAAGTGATGAGATCCTGATAACAGAGAACTATGTAACTGGTCGAGCTGGTGCTCTTCTCTCTCTCTGTGGAGTCTGGGGCGTGATTAAACGCTGATAAAACCTGAAAACCTGTACCATGAGTTTTTCCACAGAAGGAGGGCAGGGCTGCGTGAGTAATCCACTAACAAGACTTCAAATTAAACTTAAGGTCAGGGAACCCGATAGACCAAACAATGTGAACTGACTCCTTTGGAGCTCCCTCCAGATATTTGAGCTTCTAACCTTATCTCTAAGGCTGAGCCCAGTCCCCCTTTGGAGGAGATCCATATGGTCTAGTAGTGAAATGCCCAATGGGCCTGTCAATCAGTAGATCTATTTTACCCTCACCAGTGAACAAGACCCCTAAGATACTCAAACTCCCTCACTCTGGGGTAAAGACTCACCGACCACTCAAAAGGAGCTGAAACCTTTTTCTGGCCTTAGACTTTGGGGTAGCTGAGTCTCATCCCAGCCACTTTCCTCTCAGCTGAAAAACCAGCAGGAGGTCCCAGCATGAAGACACCAACAGAATCACATCATCTGCAAAAAGCAGAGATGTGACTCTGCAGCTCTCGAACTAGAAACCCTCCTCCTGGCTGACACTCATGAAAATCACAAACAGAGCAGTTGACAAGAGGAACCTTGGCAAAGACCAAACCTGATATGTAAATCCATTAAGACAGACTTGGCTTTACAGATAAAACTTGGAATTGATTCATCAGTCACCTTTCAAGTTTCCAGAAAACTTGACTTGAGACTTAAATCCAGAATAACTTTGAAGGAGACTTGAATCTACAAAAACACAAGTTGAGACTTTCAGTATAATCTGATTTAACAACCCTTTTAAATCCATTAAGACTCAACATGTAAATTCATTATGTCTGATATTAAAATCAAATAAAGACTAGAGTCTGAGGTCTCTGAAGACTTCCATCTAAATCCGTTAAGATTGAGATCAGTCAACACCTGACTTGAGACTTTAAAACCCACAGAATTAACATGTGATTCAGTGTCTTATGAGTTTGAATTGAGATGTAAAACCTCAAGGATTTGATTTTACAACATCTTTAAGTCCTTTACAAATGATTTGACACCTACAGGCAGCAGCAAAAAAAAACTCATCTGAGGAAAACCAGAGGGCTTAGATATTTGTGTTTTTAGGCGCTGATCACCAACACTCCTGTTTCTACAAATCTGTGCTCGTGAAATAGCTAAAACCAATATATTCTGTAGTCTTGCAACTTTTTGTTTTGTCAAGATTCATCCACCTCTGAAAATACAGGTGTGGCATTGAGCTATGAGACAAAGACCTCAAACAAACAGGCTTTTCGAACACACTGTGCCAAAGACAAAAGAACTGCAGGATCTAATGGTATGTTAGCAGTAGATGTCAGATAAACTGGTCATGCTGTGCTCACAATGCTGGCATAAACACTACAATAAGATGACACGCTTTGTAAACACTTTTACAGGTATGACAGCCTGATCTTTGTTGTCATACACTCTTCCCCTCGCCTCCTGTCCCCCACTAAACAAAAGTTTAACAGTCCTACCTCTAATGACCTGCTTTATGTCGAGGTGTGGCTTCGCATAAAAGCAGCAGCAGGTGAAATCTGCGTCTGTGGATCGGACTGTCCGGCTCACAGTAAGTTCGCCTGCTGATGCTCTGACTTTGAACACTTTGAAAATAATACATTTGCAGGTTGCGGCTGTAGTTTACAGCATTTTTCCACATTGCTGAACTTGTTATTGCCTTACCGGTGAGATGCTTTTGTCTTATTTTAAGTTGAGGTGCTGCCATCGAACATTTAAACCTATTTGTCTGCTTGGAGAGGATCGTAAGGGCTAGTGAAAAAAACAAAACTGTATAATATTGTACAAAACAATGTCATATGATAATATGTGAAACAAAGAATATGTTACGATACAATATGATAACATAAGACATACTTTTATTTGTTTTGATTTGATGAAACACTATAGGATACAATGAAGTATGACACAATTCAATTTGATAGGATGTATGAAATGTAATGATATGATTCTTGATAAATTAGATGAAAGTCTTTTTTATTTTGTTTTTTGTTTTGATTTCAGGGTCTGAGGTTTTGAAATGGGTAAGCCCAAAGGTAAATCACAGCGTCTTCTCTCTAACCCTAATATTTAAATGCATTAAAAATGTTTTGGATATTTACCTTTTACATTTGCAGAGTATTGACTTAACGGCCTATTACAGGAGGGCACTGTGGTGGAGGAGGAGGAGGCCATGGTCATCGTCATAAACACGGACATGGACATGGTGGTGGACATGGACATGGTGGTCACGGACACGGGTGTAGCCCAAAACGCAAGCGAAAGCACAGACGTGGACACAAACACAAAAAGTGCCACAAGAAGGGAAAGGACTGTCACGGGGTAAGACTCAGCCATGTGTGGATTAAAATACTGATATCAGACACTTTTAATTAATCTTTATTAAATCTTTAGATAGACTGTAATAGTATGTGCAAATTTGAAATGAATTGTCTATTGTGATAATTTTACTCTTAACCAGAAAGCCTTACTGTGCTTTTCTCTCTCCACGAACTTTTATCACGTGTCCCTCTTGCAACAGTTGCACGATATAAACATGGTCATTTCTGACAGCTTGTTCGGGATACTCCTGAATACTTTCCTTCTGCGGCTCTGTGAAATTTAAATGTTAAAAACAAACTAATCCAAACTTTTGTTCTTTCTTTTTTTGACATCCTTTCTGCAGTCATCCAGCAGCTCCTGCAGCAGCAGCAGCAGTAGCAGCAGCAGCAGCAGCGACTCTGATTAAACCAAGACTCCAACATGACGAAGAGAAACATCCAGAAACCTTTTTTCTTCCCTTAATACAAGAATCAAATAAACACTGTTAATTCAACACCCTGCACATGTAAACACACTTTTGTCTCACATGTACAGACACACACTTTGAGGTTTTCACAGATTGGCTGTGAATCAAACACTGAGGTAATAAATTTGATGTTGAAAACAAAGACTGGTGAGTTTTTCTCACAAGCTTACCTTCAGTTGTTCACTGCTCTGACAGATGAGGCACCTCAGGGTGATTTGCTGGTTTGGTCATCCGTCTTTTTAAACTTTGGTTTATGTGTTTAGATTATATGAAGTTGTGTCTCTAGTCTCTTGTTGCTTATTTTGATGGGATGTGACTCTACGGAGTGTTGAAGTAATCAAACAGCCAACACACTACTAAACAAACATACTGCTCAACCATCTAACCAAACGCATCTCCAATTAACATACCAACCAGTGACATACTTAACCAACCATCTTACCTACCAACCAAGTAACCAACCAGCCAACCAATCAACTGACCATTCAATGAACCAACAAAAAACAAAAAACTTTTCTGCTGAGCACTTAGTTACTCAATCATCCAATTATCTAACCAAATACCTAATTACTGAACCAACCAGCCAACCAACAAACAAACCAACCAACCTACAATAAACCAACAAACCAACAAACCAACCAACCAACGAAACAACAAACAAACCAGCCAACCAACAAAAAAACCAACCAACCAACCAACCAACAAACAAACCAACCAACCTACAAACAAACCAACCAACCAACGAAACAACAAACAAACCAACCAACCTACAAACAAACCAACCAACCAAACTACAAACAAACCAACCAATCAACTTACAAACAAACCAACCAACCAACCAACCTACAAACAAACCAACCAACTGACCAACCTACAAACCAACCAACCAACTAACCAACAAACAAATAAACCAATAAGCAAACCCTAGAGTCTAGACCATTTTCTAAAGACTCAACATCAAGACTGGATTAAATGTGGTCGAAACAGCTAACAACATTACATAACGTCTAACAAGTTTGTTTACTCCAAACTCCAAACTAAAAGACTTTGTCACGATTGGCTCTGAACAACCAAATCTGGTTCTTCTAGTCTGGCCTGGTGGTGTCTAGTGTGTGTGTGGTGAATTTGTTGCCTATTCTTTATGTAAATTAGGTGTGCCATCTCACGCTCCCGATTGGTTCCTCCAGCTTCCATACGACCAATCAGAAGGCCACTGCGAAACCAGAAATTCAATTTAAGGGGGGAGTGTGACATCACCAACTGTCAGATTTTTGTTGGTTGCTAGTTTTTCGTCAGTTAATGTTATGTAACGTTGATGCACCCTGAGGAGGTGATCGTGTTTTTTTTTTTTTTTTGCTGTAATAATCCTGAGTTTTTTTGTAGATAAATCACCCCTTTTTTAAACTCTGGAAGTTTTTTTATTTGGCTGTTGGGGAGGTGGGTGAGATGGGTCCACATGTTGTGCCCTAGCCACCCCTAGCTGGGTCATAACAAGTAACAATGCAAAACCATAGACTGTATATACTATGGACAACTTGGTCCTGCCTTCTGCCAGTATATGGATTTGAAGCCAAAAAGCTCTCCGTAATTCCACGTTTTTCTCCACTTCCTGAAACCAACATTGCGCAGTAGTGTTGTACCCATTTGGTGGGAGAGTCGCTGTGATGACGCTCGGCTCAAACAGCGTATCCCTTCAGGTGAGCTACGCAATCTTTGTACACCCATAGGCTGTATCAAGTGTCAATCATAGAAAACATAAACCCCCTAATAACTTCTAAAAACAGAGCTGTACAGAAAAAAGAGGACTTGAGCACAAACCAGTCTGACAGTAACTACATGTCAACATTACAACCAGGGGGGAGAAAAATTTATGTTCTGTGTCATGAATTTCTAAAGTTTGTCCACAGCTCCATAAGCTTTACTGGTGGAGGCGGGATTTATGACCTATACTGCAACCCGTCACCAGAGGGTGCTGTTTTTCAGAGTGGCTTCACCCAGGGAGGAGGCAGACACAGTTTATTCTACATACAGTCTATGTGCAAAACCTGTGATAATAATCATTATGCTAAAAGTGTCAGACCATTAGACTTTTAATCCCTTTATAAATGGCTTGTTCTAAATTAATATGAAAATAAAATGAGACCTTATTAAAGACATGATAGTGTTTGTCAAGATGAGACTACTTTTAAACTGTTTTCATGTTTCCACCTTTAAAACTATATGATTATTTAAGGCCATGGAGGCTGAATCCTAAATGTCAAAATCTCCAGTGTGTTACCAAACACCTCAAACTAAACTTTGAGGTTCAGGCTCTGCCTCCCATGATGGTCATTGGGTTATTCTTCATCTGAGGTGTGGCTTCATAAAGTTTAAAAAAGCTGAGCCAGCTGAGTGTTGTTTGTTAGGCGCTGCTCTCCAGCACACGGTAAGTTCACTATTTGGTTATAATTACTCCAGTCACGTTTGTTCTGCTTGCGTGTGAGTATGTTTTTGGTTGAAAGATCATTTTGCTTAGGTTTGTAGCTTCTATTTACTGCACTGAAACATGTTTTCACCTCGTTTTCCTCCGTCAGACTTATTTCACTGAGTTTTTGAGTATGAAGTATGATGTAACAGTCCTGAGCTGCTTTTCCTGTTTGGTTTGATATTTAACAAAGCAAACTTTATTCTTTGCACAATGTCTTATTGTGTCTTTCATTTTCACTGGTGGAATATTTTTGCATTAAACCTGTTTTGTTCACTGTTTCAGGATTTGTATCAACTAAATCAAGATGTGGGGACAAAGACCAGGTAAATACCTCATTATTGTGTCTGTAATCACTTCACTTTGACTTCTACTTATCCACATTTTCTGAGCAATGATTGAAATAAAGATAATTTGAAGATAAAAAGCTCAGCGACATCCTTTCTGTACCAGCAGGAAACCAGTACCCCTCTGGATGTAATCCTCAGCCATCATGTCCACCCCAGCCCTGCCCACCCCAGCCCTGCCCTCCCCAGCCATGTGCCCCCCCACAGCCTCCTACTTGTGGAGGACAGGGTTATGGACCAGGGCCTGGATGTGGAGACGGACATGGTCATAGTCATGGTCAGTATGGTCATGATTATGATCATGGTTGTGATTCTGGTTATGGATATGGTTATGGCCACGGGCATGGGCATGATCACCACGGACACGGTCATGGACACAGTCATGGACACGACCATGGTCATGGACATGGTCATGGACATCACGACCACGGTCATGGACATGGTCATGGACATCACGGGCATGGACACGGACATGGTCATGGACATCACGGACATGGACATGGACATCATGGACATCATGGACATGGACACGGGCATGGGCATCATGGACACAGACACAAGCACAAGCATGGTCACATGCACGGTCATTGTCACAAGAAAGGCAAAAAGTGTCACGGGGTAAGATCCAGTTTGTTTTTATGGTTATTGTTGGTGTAAATAATCGCACCATATTGAACCACAGCAAATACTCTGACCTCCTCCACCCCCTCTAGGGGTCAAATGGAGAACTGCTCTCTTGCCTCAGACACAGACTAACGTTTATCATGCACAGACAAGATAATAGAGTTTCATGTTCTCCTTATAACAGTCATGTTGGCCCCTAAAGAAGGAGCTCCAGAGGTACTGGAGAGGAGTTTTTTTGTCATCTGAGGTTGTCAGAGTTTTGTTTGCATACATTATCCTTTTGCTGGATTGTTTGGGATAGTCTGGATTGGATGATCCACTTCGTACTAAATCCTTTAGGTAGGGTTTTAAAATGCGTGTTTAAGTAGTTAGAAAGGGTGGGAAGGACACTGCCGTAATCACTAAAACATGTCAACTGAAATATTGATGTTTTTTGTCCCTCTAGTATTCCAGCAGCTCCTGCAGCAGCAGCAGCAGCAGTGACTCTGATTAAACGAAGACTCCTGCATGATGAAGAGGGACATCCAGAGAACTTATTCAGCGACTCCCTGATTGGAGGAGAACTACGACATAATTGGACCCGGGAACCTTCCTCCTACTACATATCATCAAATAATCAGCTCATTTAACCTCATAAACCTGACAGTGCTTTGGTTTGTTTGCTTTCTTTTCCAAATATGGTGTCATAAAAGGTTATTTCACTGTCAAATTAAGCTGTTATGATCTTTATAGCCTTGTATAAAATTGAATAATCAAACATTACTGCTCATCTGTGTTGCTTTTCTGTCTTTCTCTACATTCATAATCACTGTTGATGTGATATCTGCACAAGCTGGTTTCAAAAATTAAAAGATCAACCTCGATTGAAGAGTGATTTACTCCTTTTTTGCTCTGTCATATTGTCTTTAAGGATTTTTAACATGATACTGTGGGTGTTGTTAGTTTGTGTGAATTAATATTATCAGTCTTTACTCAGGGAGTGTTGAATGAGGACCTTTGTTCAGGAGTGTTTTCTCTAAAAGCTGCCGTACACACCCCGCTGCTGCTGCTCTGCAGTACATTCACTTCACTCCAGTGTTAATCACATGCAGTATCAAACACGTGCTTTGCTGTAAATCAGACTTCTTTCCATTTTTTTTGTTCTGTTCTAACCCCTTGTAATCTTTTACCCACAGATTAGTGTATTAAGATCTGAACAAAGCCGAGCTGCTCTACTTTCTCACACGTTGCAGAAAGGTTTTAGAGGCACGGTGCATTTTTGCAAAAAGTTAAACCGGATGGGCTCCAAAGTCAAACGAAAAGTCACACAAAGCTCCTGCACGGAAACTTTCCGACATGACACCTCTCTGACCGAAACAAAGAGGAGTTTAAAAAAACAAAAACAAAGGATCGGTGTAACGATAGTTGTGATGGTCCACTGGCCTGTTTGGTTGTGTCTTGTGTTACTGGTACATGTGATTGGTGGGTGCTGGACTGTTTAATCAGTTTAAATGGGTTCAGTGCTCCTGGTCCTTATAAAGACCAACATCTTGAATCTGTCAGGACTCTCCTCATGCAGCTTGTTTGGTTTCCACTCACTTTCTATTCTGACTCATTTGATACTCCCATCCCATGACAACAAAAATATCTATGAATCCAAAGCAATAAGTATCCCAATAGGCAATAGCAATAAGTACTAAGTTTGCTCGATGAGGGAAACGTTCACCTTCAAATATTTGAGTGATTGTGTCATATGAACAAATATGTGAGCATGCCTCTCCTCGTCTAAAACAACATCCAACAAGGAGCTCATGATCTCATGTTGTCCTCTGTCATATAAACCGCTCCTGAAGTGTTGAGTGAGGATGTGAGCAGGAAGCCAGAGATTTAGTCAATTTGTCATTTTCCTGATTCGTAAAAAAAAGGTTACACCATGTTCACATCTACAGACACGCAAAAAAAAAAAGAACAAATCACCTCTGACCTCTACGGAAACGATGAGCTGTAAACCGACTTTAAAATAGATTCTTTCTAAGGGCTGTAAAAGGGTGTGTGTCGTTTCATATCTGTGTTTATAGCCCATATTGACTAAATGTTAAAGATTACACACACACACAACTTACACATAAACACACCCATTTGTGTCACCAGAATTATTCTGCTGGGAGTTAAAGACTCTGCCCCAAATCATGTGAGGTGGTCTGAACATAAAAACCAGCAGCAGGTGACCACAGAGCCAGTCGATCTGCTCTCCAGCTCACAGTAAGTAGACTCTGCTCAAAGTCTAAAACACTCTGTAGTCCTAAAATTTGATTTGTGGATCTATTTAAGGTGTTTTTTCTGTTTCTTTCAGTTTTTCTAGAGTTTCATCTGGAGTGCTAAAATGTACGGGCACAACCAAGGTAAGTAAAAACAAGAACGAATAAACTGATGATTTTTTTTCTCAGTGTTCACTCTCATTCATTTCTCTTTTCTCTCGTCATAAAGGAAACCAGTACCCTGGTTACCCTAACCAGCAAGGGGGATACCCTCAGTATCCTCCAGGCACCGCCCCTCCACCTGTCTACCCTCCTCAGCCCCACGGCCAACACGGAGGCCAGGGTACGGACCTGGACCTGGATGCTGCCCAGGACAAGGCCAGGGACACGGCCAGGGACACGGCCATGGACAGGGACATCATGGACATGGCCACGGTCACGACCATAGCCACAGCCACGGCCACGGCCCAGGATACGGGCATGGGCAGGGACATCATGGACATGGACACGGAGACAAGAAAAAACACAAAAAGCACAAGGATGGCCACAAACACGGCAAATGCCACAAGAAAGGAAAGGACTGTCACGGGGTAAGATTATAAAGGTTACTCTAATATCAAATCTTCAATCAGGGTGGATTAATCAGATTATAAAATTGATATAATCTAAAAATTAACAGTATAATAGCTGCAGAAATTTGACCTTCATGTGTTTTCAAGAGTGTTAGTGTTTCGCTCATGTGTCTGTTTTGTGTTTATCTTCTCTGCAGTCCTCCAGCAGCTCCTGCAGCAGCAGCGATTCAGACTAGATGAAGAATCCTGATACATGATCGCATCCGGAAACCTCCGTCCATTTACCAAACAGTCTAATTATTGTTTTACTGCCTTTAAGTGTCTTTGCACATAATCTTTAGTGTAGTGTGAGAGACACACTGCTGGTGATGTTGTACCCACATGACATGACTTTGTTTGTGAGAATAAGAAAAGTGTTCAGTTTTGTTATGAATTAGTGCAATCTTCCTTGTTTTTCCTGTATTTTGTCCTTGTGCTTCCAAACACACCTCGTCAGTCTCAACAATAAAACTGATAAAACTTGGGTGTGCTCTTCATTTGTTCAGGGAAGTTGGACTATGAGCCACACCTCGGTCAATAACAGAACTATAAACGCTGAGGCTGGGTCTGCTGTTAATGTTATCTCATTTTCAAAGCTTGTGCCGTAAAATACTTTTTTATGATAACGTATAGAATTGTGATTAAAAAGTGGCCTATACTTACTGTATTGGTATACTTATAGCGATGCATATTATATTATATTATATTATACTATATTATATTACACTATTTTGTATTATATTATATTGTATTATATTATATAATGGTAGAGTACAAAATGTTTAAGAGTTAACAGCTACACATTATTTCTGAAATAGGACCTTCTAAACTCAAGTATTTGATAGAGCTTAAAAATTCCTTATAAAATATTAGCACAGTTCAGAACAGAGGAGCAAAGTTCAGATTGACTGGCCCAAGTTTGGTATTATCTTATAATTTTATATAATTGGTATTATCCCTCCGTCACTTTTCCTTTCTTTTGTTTTTCTTTTTTCCTCTCTTTTCTCTCCTCCTTCTTTTGCTGTATTATCAAATGCTTGAACATTTACTTTACATCGGTACATAAGTGAATGTAAAGCTATTATTTTTACACACAAGATCTAATGAATCAAACCGTCTGTGCAATAGTTCAATTTAAAAAAAATACATTTAGTCCCATTTAATTTTGAAAACTCTGTGTTGTAGTTCTCATCTTACTCTGGCAGGTGGCAGCAGTGCAGAAACGGAGCACGTCTGACGCTCCCTCGTTGGTGCGTACGCCCACCGGGACGTCGCCTCACAGACCAATCAGGGCTCGCTGGCGTCCTCTTTCAGGAAGTAGTTGCAGAAACTACAGAGGAAAGAGCAAGGAGAGCTGTTAGCTACACCTGAAGCACAGCCTCTGTCATACGACATACTTGGGAAAATATAATTATGTCTTTGACAGTTCTCAGGTATGTTACACGTGGTGGCTTTACTCCTGAACGTGGATATTAATGTAACCTGACGTTTGTAGTTTTTGTAGTTTTAAGACAATGTCAGGCAGTCAGGCTGGGATCAAGATACTGTAATGTCTTTATTCTGTATTTATATATCTGTAAATGATCGTGTTTTGATTGTGAAGTGTCTGAATTTATTGTTAACTCAGTAATTTGATGTTAATCTGAATGTAAACTTGTATTTAGAGGTTGTTTAGTCCTCACAGGTGTGATAACTCTCACCTGTCTCTGTTTATAGACTCAGGTCCCTCTGCAGATTACAGCGAATCCAGAGCCACATGGTAAGAAATCCCTTATGCAGATGTATTATTTCTATATTTACAGGATTCAGTGCAATAATACAGCTTCTTTAATTAATGTCAGTGAAAAATAAAACTGTGTAGGGTCTATGTCTGGATAAAAACTGTCCTAAAATGTTGTATTTTATGAAATGTAATTAAAAAGAGATGGAAAAAACAACATATATACTCAAACTCTAGAAGGGACAATGTATAGTGAATGGGTGATTATGCAAAGTATTATCTCTTCAAGTTGAGGCAGGTCCATCTGCTTCAAGTCAGCTCTCTGCTCATTCTCTCTGTCTCAGTTTCTAACTCAGTCTACTGTCCTGTCCTCTCTGAATAAAGACATAAACAGTTTCATGGTGATGGATTCTTATCAGTGAACTTGCAGGAGTACCTGACGTTAACCTGACCATTTTCAATAACAATCAGATGGATGAAACAGAGGCTCTGCAAAGTAGTTAGTATGCAAACCCTGGTGAAATGTTATATTATGGTAAAAAGAAAAGGCAAATGCATCTCACATATGCTTCAAAAATATTCTCCTTTTTTATGTGTTTTTTGAACTTCACATCCTTCCTGATAGACATAATTCTGCTTCTTTAGAGCTCATTTTATTGTGAAGATTTCCACAGATTTGTCTCCCTGTCTCTGTTTCTGATCAGATGTCGAGTCAGGTGGAACCAGAGGTCCTCCTGGAGAAAGTGGGCAACGCAGGCGTGATCACCATAAACAGACCCAAAGTCCTGAATGCCCTCAACATGCCCATGATCCGACAGATCTACCCTCAGCTCAAAGTATGTACTCAGTCCAGTTAATACACACTTCAACTGGGGCAAATGTCGAGGCCTCCAGTGTGTCAAGGGTCATTTACTACAGCAGCATGTTCACTGAGTATGTTAAATTCCCAGTCCTGAAAGTTGTGACAGATCTGATCATTATCTCATTCAGGAGTACTCAATGTGAAAGGTTACTGAGACATTAAAACACATTTAAGTTCATCAATACTCATAATATCTCATAAATACCTGTTGTTGTTTTTTAAGAAGTATTTTCTCTCGATTCTAGAAATGGGAAAGTAGCAATGACACTGCCATGGTGATCATCAAAGCAACAGGCGGGAAAGCTTTCTGTGCTGGAGGAGACATCAGAGGTGAGCAGCAGCCTCAGTGTTTCTGTTACTTTAGTTTAATTAAATCTAATTCAGGCCTCTCATGTTTGGACTGACTTTTCAATCAGATCACAAAAGAAGTAAATAGTAAAAAAGAAACAGAACTTACGCTGTAGTTAGGACATGGCCCTTCACCTCAGTTTTGATCTGTTTTTTGTCTCCCAGCGGTCACAGAAGCAGGGAAAGTCGGGGACCGTCTGGCCGAAGACTTTTTCCGTGAGGAGTATATTCTCAACAATGCAATCGGTAAGTATCAATATATGATTATACCTGTATTTTGTGTATGATGTTTATATAAGAGCATTAACTTAACGTCACACATTCTTTTCAGGAACATTCAAGAAACCGTACATCGCTCTTATTGATGGAATAACGATGGGCGGCGTGAGTACAGATTTATATTACTAAGGTTTCCTTGTGTCTTTATTTTTATCCAGTTTTTGATCCACTTTGAGAATTACTCTCCATGTGGTGTAATGTTCATGTTGGCCTGTAGGTGTCAGTTGTGAACTGTCTTTCACTGTTACCCGCTGCTCTTGGCAAGGTGGCCTCTGATTGGCTGTTATTAGGAATGACAAAGCATTGTTGCTCCCTATCATATGTTTTTAGTCCGAGCTTACCTCTGCTAACAGTGAGGTCAAAGACATGATAAGAGAGAGACACTGAGATGCGTCATATCTGGAATTTCATGACTTTTAAAGATCTGTTATTGAACTACATGATTGAAATCCCCTCATCAGAGTTTATGTTGGACTTTCACAGAGTCTGTTTTGTTTTGGTCTCGTGACCTTGACATTTTTTAAACCTCTTGGGTCTCTCATAGCCTCTAAAGTCTACTGAGGTCATTACTCATCTGGTCTCTGCGTGACAGTGTGTGTATGAGTGTGTATATGAGTGTGTTTGTGTCGGTGTCCCTGCAGTGCACAGATGTGTGAAAACCAAACAAGCTAATGTGCACAGCAGTGAACCTCAGAGTCAAAACCCCGACCAGCAGAAGGTGAAAGATGCTGTGTGCGCTCTGGTGCTCCTCAGATCACTTTGGGACTGTTTTGGAGCAGGATTTGACACTTGTGGATCCTTTAATGAGGTTTTGCTCCTTTAATTGGTTGTGTTATTTAACGAGAGTATAGGAGATACTTTTAGATGTAAGACAGGGGCACAAAAATCTGATATTCATAGATAAATAATAATATATGGATATCAGATTTCGGGTGGCAGTAGCTCAGGAGGTAGAGCGGTCGTCCAATAAACGTAAGGTTGGCGGTTCAATTCCCCCCTATCCCGTGTCTGTCCGTTGTGTCTTTGGGCAAGACACTTAACCCACCTTGCTCCTGTTGTGTGTCCTCCACTGGTGTATGAATGAGGTGCGAATGAATGATGTATCCAATGTAAAGTGCTTTGAGGGTCTCTGATAAAGTGCTATATGAAGTCTGATGCATTATTATTATTGTTGTGCTCACATACTTAAAAAACACACAAAAGTATGCAAAATAGATGCAAAATGGCATTCAGTATTAAAGGAACACCCACAATGCTGAGCTGCAAGTCAGCCAACACCTGAAAAGAATAAAAGGTACTTTGACAGGAGAAGAAACTGTGTGAAAACAAACAAAAAAACACTCAGTGACAGCTCAGAGGCAGGAAACAAACAGCCAACAGCTCAGCACTGCAGGATAAAGACAGCAGACTGCACAGGTTTATATTTCAGCTAAGAGAAGTTTAACTTTAACAAAAAAACATCCTTTTTCCCTCTAAACGACATTCACCATTCCTCTCAAACTTGACTTCTTTACTGGAGCTGAAAACCTAAAGGTGTGAATTTGAGTTTTAGGTGATTAGTCTCCCTGTCATAAACCTTCACACTGAGACATTCACCAGGGTTTGACTGCTGAAAGCTGTGAACTGAGAAAATCCTCTCGTGTTTGCTTGAATTTCTCTGTTTAGACAGCCGTGATGATGACCCCACCCCCGCTCGCTGTTTTCCCTCTGGAAGAGAAACAGAGGCTGTAATTTATTTGTCAGATCAAAATCTGAGAACAATGCGTGTTGGCGTGCGGTAATGGATGTGAGGAATGATCCGCTCCGCTTTATGTCGCACCATATGGTGTGTTACCGTCACTTCGGCTCATCATCCCAGAGGGAAACTTTAAGAGCTGTGATGTTTGTCGAATTCTCTGAGCTGCTTTTCAAACACTTTTTACGTCTCTCATGGAGTCTCTGCTGTGGGAATAAAGTGATTTTGAAGTGCCCCGCTCTGATTTGTCACATTAGCTCAGGGAGAAAAGAAGCAAATGTTGACGTAAGCCATCCTCTGGGTGATGTCTGTTTCATGTGGAGTGGTTGAAAACAGACTCGTTCTATATATGGAAAAGTCCGAACAGAGTCTCTGTTCCCAGATCTGCTCCAAGCTGGGGGCAGAACTCCCACGTCGGAGCAGCATTCTTGTGTTAGTGATAACAAACCGTCAGGGATTGAGGGGGGGAGTCATTCGCAGGTCAGAGGACGCACAATCGGCTCATATCACGCACAACATTCATCGCTCTCGAAGTTTAAAGCCCAGGAATTAAAGTCCTGAAAGCTGAAGTGTTCTCCATCTCTGTCTGCTGGGCTCCACTCTCTCTTTCTCTCTTTCTCTCAGCCTGGAAAGTTTCCTGGTTCAGGGTTTTGAAGTTAGGCTGTATGAGGTGCTCATCAATAACAAGTGTACTTAATGTGTCCCACATAGAGCCTGGACCTTCTGAGTATAAAACTGACTATTTTTATTTTTGCATTTTTCAGTTAATCCATATAAAGTCCTCATATGTGGTCAAAGCTTTGACAAATCCTTGTTTCCCTCTGTCCCCCTTGAACCTGCAGCACCTGGCACATGCTCTGAACCACCATCACAATCTGACTTACTCCAAAACATAGAAGAGTTGACACCAAATATTAACCTGGAGATGATTTAAGCAAATCCAATATGGTCAAAAAAGCCATTTAGGTGTAAAATGTTGTATTTTTTGGACACGAAGCTTCAAAATAAAAGGATTTGTTGATCCTTTTATTCACATCTAACACAGAGGATAAGCGAGTACCATTTTCTCATCTAATTCTGTTCCCTCGTTGTGTTTCTGAGAAACATTTGAGGTTTAGTTGTCGTCTAATAGATGGATATTTGTCTGCAGCTGGACGTCTCTAATCTCTTCCCCCTGGAGAGCAGAGCTTTTTGTCTGCGAACGTCCACATCTTCTTAAGTGGAAGACGAGAAAGCGGGAGCCAAACAGATCTCAGCGCTGACTTTGATCTCTGTGTTCAGGTTCTCATCTTTCAGATCCTGCACAGACTTTGTTTAGGAAGAAAATACTTTGTGCCAGGGCGAAGTGGAAAGATGTCGCCTTCTCCTGAAGTGTGTCTGAGTACTATCTGTCAGAGGTATCGCTTCACGCCAGCTCAGAGGCTCTCCATAGAGATGTTCATGAACCATTTTCAAAACTTTAAACTGTTTATTAGGTTGGACCAGCATCCTCTCCTCCTCCAGCTCTACTAAAATGAAGCCAAAACACTTCCTATCTTATCGTTCAGTCACTTTGGTTTCATTGGTTTCCCCTCACCTCCTCCATGATCATCGGGTCAGTATCACAGAGAGAGCACTTCATCAGGCCCTCTGTAGTTTTACCCAGAGTAAACTTTCCCAGCCAGGCTGTAAATTTAGCCGCTCATTCTGTTAGTAATCACCAGCTATAAACACGCTCCTCTGCATACTTCTGATGTTTACATCAGGACGTGGAGACGTGTTCTTATATGGTGCTCGGTGGCATCGCACCAGCATGCAACAATGTTCCACTACTTTTACGGAGAAACTCAGATAACGTCAAAATGAATGGCCTTTAATTCCCTTTGGTGCATCAGAATTCACTGTTAAAAAAAAACTGCATGCTGTTTCAACTGATGAAGACCAGAGGAGCTTACTGAGACATCTAGCTACACAATTAGACCTCCAAAGTGGGCAGTATTCTTTAATTTCTTACATTATCAAACAAGGATTGGTATAAAAAGTGTTTAAAAAAACTCATAAATTAAATGTCAGATTTCATTTGTAGTAAAGTATTTTTGAGCTCTTCAAGCTGCAAACCATCAGTCTTCTCAAACTTTTATATAGCCTATAACACTTCATGAACATTCAGTCCATTTAAGAAACATAAACTCAGGGATGTGAGGAGCTAAAAGACGCTATAAAGGCAGAAATGAAAAACATGTAAATATTGATGCTTGTTAAACATGTCTTTGTGAGTCCACTCATTGTGTTAGTCAGTGTCCCTGAACCAGGTCTAAACAGGTCCGGACCCTCTGCTGCTGGTTTCACAAACATGTCTGAACTCTCTGTGGTCTCTGGACTCAAACATGAACGGTCCTTTTTCACTCGATCTGCAGATGTTGAACATGTGACAGCCGCGAGGTAACAGGGAATGAGATTTAAGAGGCCTCAGTCGTCCACCAGGAATATTCAATTAACTTATTAAATCTCCTTTTTTAGCTTCACCCTCTGACTGAGTAACAGGATGTAGATTTGATTAAGAATGCGCTCAGAAAAAGCAAAATTATCACTAATAAGAAGTGATTTATCTTGAATTTTAAGTTTGACACAGTTTGACTCTAAACTAACAAAAAACAACCTTTAACTTATCTCCTGTAGTTGTGTGTTTGAGCATAAATATTTCTAATCTCATCGTGTTCCTGTTCTCCAAAGTCAGGCGGATTTATGAGGAATTTAACCCTGAGCCTGCGTTCGCTCTGAGCCGCAGAGCTGATGAGTTTAAAAAGCTCAGCCGTCATAAACTTCTGCTGACAGAAGTCACAGTCTGTCTCTTTTGTTTCTCTGTATTTGGGATCTGGCTTTTAAAAGCGCAATTACTCTGCGCAGAGGTCTGTTTATTCTCCACCGATCAGATATTTTTAATCCTCTCTGCTCGTTTGTCAGCCAGCAGGACCGGGCAGCAGGTCGTCGCTCTGCTCCTGCACTACGACTGAAAAGTCAAAGTGTTTTTGAAACTTTTTCGGCAAATCTGCTGAAAACACGATCTACAAATGCGTGTGAAAACAATCGGTTTGCCCTGAGCTCGGGCTTGCAGGCTCAACCAGTCTTATTTGCAAAGTTTCATCAAAGCAGCTCCTCACTAGATTTGTTTAAGTTGGGGTCATTTGGACGATTTTGGACCTGATTCCCCCCCTTTCAACAAAAGTCAGCAAAGACCCCGTGCTTTTTCTGACTCTATTAGCTCCATCGGTGGAGTTGAAACTGTGGCAGATGTTTACTGCAGCCTTTGTTTATAGGGTCTTTGCTCCATCTGAGCCAAACCAGCAACCAAAGTTTATCTCTACATTTGATATAGAGCCGTACAGGCAGGTTTACGTGACTTGACTGCCTCCTCGCCGTAAACCCCCTGTGAGAATTCATGATCAGAAATAAATCAGGAGTTTAATCCCGGCCTGTAGTTCACGCCGACCCTCGGGCGGGTTCGCCTGCTGACCTCCCTCTGCCGTTAATCAGCACTCGTCTCTCTTTGACATATTGGATATTATCTGACCTGACCGGTGAACGACCCCGCTCTGAGGTACAGTCCGAGCTCCATCTCCACATACTCCCCTGTGGGACGATGATTAATTCATTAATAAGGAATCTTCTAGAAAACTGAAGGTCGGTGGAGTCATGTCATTTCTTTATACTGCTGGATCACCCCCCCTACACGGCTGAGACATCATTTATTATCTTTTTAACCTTCAGCTGAGTGCAGCATCCGTCCTCTATCTGACGTCTGTTATTGTCTGACACCTAAACTTTCTGTGATTGATAGATTTTATTGATCCGCCCTGTAATTTATCATCATCCAGTTAACAAGGTGATCTTGTCTTCTGTTGTTTGGATGGAGGACAGCTGAGAAAAGCATTCATAGATTATTTGAGTGATATGTGGAAGGAAGGATTCATTCGTGTGGAGATGCATAAAGAGACGAATGAACTATTAGGGATGTCCGGGTGTTTTTTAAGGCGGTCTGTTTGTACTTTTCTTGAACAGTGAAAACTTTGCAGGTAGAGTCTGAATGCAAGTCTTTTAAAAGGCATAACAGAACACAGCGATGTCATGATATTCCCAAATGTCATCAATGACTAATAGCTATTGACTGATATTAAAATCTTTTTTGTTTATACACCACAAAAAAAGATGCTTCTTTAACGGATTCCTGCCTACCCCACCTTTAATGGCCTGCATGGTCATCATTCACCTGTCTGTGTTTTACTTGAGTTTTATGTGTATCAGTGAAGGTCAAAATGTGAAGAGATGGTGTTTAAAATGTTAACCTCATGACTAAAATACACAATATTCACACATGTAGAGTCCTAACTATGCTGGAGATGTCCTTTGGCCAACACCCCTCATTAGCCATCACCTCTGTCTCTGCTGGGAGCCTCAAACACACACCTACACACACTAACACACACACTACACACACCGGGGTCGACCTCCTTTTCTTCCAGTCAGCATTTTCCACCTCGAGCCTCGTCTCTCTCTGCGGTGGTGACAGATATTAATGATCTCTCCCTGTTTCCCCTCGGCGCCCCGTCCCCGTCCAGCCTTGAACTTTGATTCATCCTCTCTTCATCAAAGCCTTGATTGTTTTTCTAACCTTTGTTTTCCTGCACCTGCAGGGCGTGGGTCTGTCGGTTCACGGACGGTTTCGAGTGGCCACTGAGAAGACGCTGTTTGCCATGCCGGAGACCGCCATCGGTAAGTGTGTCCAGCTGAACCGACCGCTGACCTCCACCTTCACTTTTATGTATTTTTTAAATTTTTTAAAGTAATTTTTGGAGGTTTTTTTTTAAGACGTTATAAGACAGGAAAGGTGTGAAGCTATCAGTGCCCCAGTGTTTACATTGTTATGGTTTATTTGAAGTTTTAAGGGTCAACACAATTTACTGCATCTGATCCTGTCAGCTGTTAGACACTTTCCTTTGTGATGTGGTTTTAGCATTATGTGGGTGGTCTTCAAATGATCAATATGATTTCCCCTCTACCTAAGACTTCATTTCAGGTCTGCAGTTAATATCATAAAAGTGTTGATACTCTCCAGATGTGAACTGATAAATTAGTGTCGTGCAGAATATGAAGAAAGTGCGGTGAATTGATTTTTCTTCCTCCATCCCTGCAGCGAAGTCTGATCCTCTTAAGTGGGAGTTGAAGGTTTCTGATCAGTCTGGTAATTAAAGCATTTCTGCGTGACTTTGAGATGAACAAATTAAATTAAACGATCAAAAGTCAAGAAGAAGTCGGTTATAGTGAGTAAAAATATCTGCAAGTTTTGAAATTTGACAGACAAACTTTTTTACCTTAAAAATTTGCAGTGTCTCTGTTTGTAACTCTTTGAATAGATGTGATAAAAGCACGTCCTCATATGTTGTGTAGGTGTATATATTCAGTAGGGGGGCTTCCTGCATGTGAAACCATGGAAACCTCTCCTTGTTGTGCTCCTGTCTGATCCTGCAGTGTCGATGCTCACTAAGCTAGTTTGCTCTTTAGCTAATTGACTCCTGCAGACAGATGGTCCTGTCCTGAGGCGCTGAGGAGATTAGTAACAAATCTCCAGCAGATAATGAATCACTGCTGAGATTAGAGCATAAACTAGCTTGTTGGCATTTAATTCTGGAGGACTTTTCATACTCTTATGAATAAACATGAAAATATGTATTTACTGAATATTTGCAGAGACGATAAATCTGAATATTCAACATGCTGCTGCTTTCCAGACGTGAAGGAGTTTGTTCTCAGACAGTTCTCGTTCTCAGCGCGTATGTTGGCATTACTGAGATTATTATTGATCTTAATTAATTAAAGTTTGAAAATACACTGTAGCCGTGTTCAAACATGTACATCTACCACACTCCTGTAAAACATCAAGTACCTGTGTGCTGATTTTCTACTTAGGTGGCTGCTGCATTGTGAATTATTGATAGCAGGCCTACACACGTATCGATAAATTCAGGTTTAATTAAGAGTAAAACAAACATATTGTTTTCGTCGTTTTCCACCAAACTTGGATCAAACTCGTCCTCGAGTTCCTCTGCGATGATTTTATATTTTTACAGCAACATTTTTAAGTCTGATAAATCTTAAAGAAACTTATTTTAGTGGAGCTACTTTAATTTTTAGATAATTACTTTAAGTCTGAAACTGCCACACTGCTCTATATTTAATGCAAATTCAGGAAAGTTACTTGAAAAAACTCTAATCCAGTTTTCTTTGAGTCCTGCTGTGATTTTCCACATTAATCGCTGCTTTATTAAAAAAAAAATGAACACACTGCTTACTTCTCATTCTGCAGAACGTCTATAATGCACATCTCTCCATACCCCTGTTATTATAATGATAATTGGATAATTAATTACAGCTGGAGCAGAACATGCCTCTATACACAAAACTTAATTCATGTGTTCATCAGCAACTTTCACTAAATGTGCAAATTTCCCTGAACTTGTTTTACTGCAACATTTTTCTGCTGTTAGATAACTGTTTTGATGCTCATACACTTTTATTACTGTGCTTTATTTTTTCAAGTTTATCCAAAAATAAGATTATTCTTCATCAGCAGAATCTGATGAAATCTAAATTAGCCAGGTCCGCCTTTTCAGTCTGAGAGCTGCAGTTTCTATGCGATCAGTACTTCAAGGTTGCTCAGCCGTTATTGCTTTGTTTTGATGATTATGTCGTCAGCAGAAAGAAGAAAAGAGCTAAAGTTGTTTTGGAGTTGTGTGTGTTTCTCACTGAGGTTAAGCTGGAATAAGGAGGAACAGGAACAGGAGTGTAATTAAATTTTCCTGGTTTAGGATTAGCTTTATGAGAGAGAGTCTGATGTGCGTTACCTGTCGTCTTTAAGGGTGTGTCCTCTGAATCCCTGAGCTTGTTTCCCTCTAATCCACGCAGGTGCAACTTAGTGTTATCTCATTCTTGCAGGTGCAGAAGCCCCATAAACACATCCTGTTTGGTCTAATCGTTGACTCCTCTGAACCTCATGATGGTTTTAAAACTCCGGTGTCACTTTAGAAAGACGGAGAGAAATCTCAGCTGATCCTCTTTGGAGCTGTTGTTTTGTCTGCTTGTTATTTTACCAACAGCTCCTGGCTTACAGGCCTGACTCTGCAAACAGAAACTCAGACCTCACACTGCAGTATGTCCAACAACAGGTCACTGACTTCAAACATGAAGTATTTACTAAACCTTTTTTCCTGTATGCATGATAGTAGCCACGTTTACATGGACAAAACTTCTTGATATGATTAAAAATTTGAGGTATCAGATAATCTGAATCCAGTGTTTATAAGGGTGCAAAGCCAAATAATCCGATCATGACGTGCGTATACATGCACCAAGCTTTATTCAGATTAGAAGCATTTGGACATGCGTAGAGTTGTCTGATTTCGCTGAAACAACCACAGAAGAAGAAGAGTTGCATTTACGCCTGTGCTGTCAACAAACCAACAAACGCGGTAATGGCTCTCAATTCAGCTCTATCGCCTCTGATTGGCTAGAAGTGCTGGGCTCCAATTGGTTATTCCTAATGGCTGTAAAATGTCATCATTTGTCAGGTTAGTATTATGATGAGGGTTAAGAGATTCAGAAGTGCGATAATTTTCTATAATGTTCTATTCGTTGTACAGAGCCGACAGCTAGCGTTTGGCTTGAGCGTGTGATGACGTTTGCAGCTTTCCTAGCCAATCAGAGGCGAAGGAGGCAGGACTGTCCCCTGAAGTTCTAGAAAAAAAAATGTCGCTCACTGGAGGAGCAGACACGGCACCTGCGGTTGTGTTTTATGCCAGAGTGTTAGACAAAGATGAAAGAGTGAAGATTGAGTCAGGTAAGAGAGTCACGATCGGAGTAACGATCGGCCTAAACTACCCCTCTCGATCGGAATACAATTTTCTTTCCGATTGAGCCGAATTGAATCTGAGTCTTCCGATCGACATGTTTACATGACACATTTTTATTCCAATCGGGCATTTATTCCGATTATTGGCATCCATGTAAAAACAGCTAATGTCTGAATCTATGCTGACTACCTGGTCCAGACTGACTTGCAGGAGTGCATTTTCACTTTATGGTTGATAGGCACTCATCAGCACATGCACATGATCAAATCTATGTTCAAGAATCTCGTGTAGATTTTAAATATTAAGGATGTTGACGTGCAAATCTACACCAAGTTTCACAAATGACACCCAGAGAGAGAAACAAGTCATTTAGCCCCAAATCGTTTTTGCACCAGGCTGTACATGTGCAGAAGAGAGGTACTGGGTCGTGCTTTCATGCATTTTAATTTTTTAGGTGTGCACCTTAAAAAAACGAGAGACTAAGAGGCTGAACAAACTCAGACAAGAATATGAGGAATGCTGGTTTTACGTTTGGGCCACTCAGACTTAACAATGCTCAGCAGAGGCTGATACTTTTCACGTGATTTGTCATGTAATCTACAATAACTGACATGTTTTCAATCATCTCACAAATCCTCTCATGATGTCCAAAAGGCTGAGAGCTTATCCGTTATTCCTGCGTGGATTTAATCACGCGTCCCTCCTCGCCCTTTGGCCCGGCTCTGATTTATTAAAAGCTCTCCTCCTTCAGTCCCCGACACTTTGTAATTCAGCTATCAGCCTTTAGAGTCAGGGTCAAAGACGTGAGATGAGGAGGGGTGAGAATCTCTGACATGATCTATATTGTCAACACATATAATGAAAATCCTCTGAAAACTATTAACAAATTAAAGTCACCCTCAGGTCCTCCTGAGTGTGAGTCTAAAGCCTGATAAATCTCCTTTATCAGATCCTCCTCCTCTGCCAAACAGCTGCAGGGTCCTCTGGCTTCTTGTAGAGAAAGTGGTCGTCAGAAACATCACATCTGCTCTGTGAGTTTCAGCCAAAGAGGACTGATATCACTGAACTTAAAGATCAAGAAATGAAAGCTGCATTTTTCCTCATTATGATCAATTTTATGTTTTATTTTAAAGCATTATTTGTGATTACAGTTAAATTATTAGTTATCAGGTAAGCAGGCTGCAAGCTTACAAACCAAGAGTCTGATTTAAAGGTTGGATGAACTTCAGAGCAGCTGCAAACAAACCTGCAAACCTGAGTCTTTAAAATGTGTGTGTGTTTGCCGAAATGACTAAAGTATGTGCAAAGTACTTAGAGGAGAGTGCAAAGAATTGAATTTAGCTTAAGCTTTGTGATTTACTTTGTTTGAGCTCTCAGATATGTTTCTCCTCTTCACTGGTTCCTCTCATTGGTCTGTCTTTCATTTTGCACCTGCTGTCAGTCTTCTTTCCAAACTGTCCTTGACATTAACCAGGTAAACCTGCAAAACCTTAATTTGAATACCAAGATCTCCACAGTCTTTCACCTGACGTCAGTTACGCAGTTCTTCTTCGCTGATCGAAAAACAAAACGTTCAGTTTGACTAAGTGTTGGTTATGTGGATTCTGAGTTTAGAAGCAGGAGGCAGAGTTTGGACAGGGAGCTAAACTATATTCTTAAACATTATCAAGAGTCCTGGTGATTTAATACAGTTTTACATAAATTTTTTTTTATAGGGCTGGGATGTTACGCTTTTCTCCCGATTCGATTCTTCTAAGATTTTCTGGATGCCGATTCGATCTAAATTGCTATTCTACGATTTTCTCGATTTTAAGTCCGCTTTTTCAACACCAATGAAACAGTTGAATGATTGTGATTATGCACTGACTAATCCAGGAACCATATTTCCCCAAAAAAACATCACAAGTAAGTCAGTTTTTAAGATTTATCCTTAAATTTGAAGAACAAAAATTGGATTAAAAATTGTAAAACAAAAAATTGCGACACAATTTTTTCTCCCAACCTTAGTTTTTAGCCAACACTGAGCTTTGGTTGGACTTCATGAAGTTCTCATCTGTCACAAACTTCCTCCAGCTTTTAAAGATCACATGGGTTTTTAATGGTTTAATTGCAAACTTAGTATCTTTCTAACTTCTCACACTCTGCTCTTGCTCTTCCACACAAACCCCCTCACCCCCGTCTCACCCCCTCCTGTTGAGGTTACCCCCCCCTGCAGCGGGATTAACAGATTTAACGCAGCTCTGCCGGCGTTCTGAACAACAGCCATAATCTGCTGCATTTATGATATTACATTTTCAGCTGTGAATCAGGTCAGATCATCTAATCCCCCCCTCTCCCATGATGCTCCGAGCCCCCTCCCCCAAAGTGACATCCCACAGTCCAGGATACGACTGTGACCAATGAAAGAAACCCAGAGGCAAAAAAAAAAGACACACAGAATGAGTCCAGCTCAGATTAAGGCCGTGGATTGTGATGAAATATTTCATAATCATTCATTCGGGTAAGCCGCTTGTTTCTCTTTCTGCCGTGTGTCAGGAATTATGTGTTCTCTTGACGGTTGTACAGAATCAGACTGAACATAAACCACGTGGTCCTGAGGTGGAGGTTCTTAGAGGACAAATCTGCTCCCTGGTTTTTGTGCGTTTGATAGTTTTTGATAGTTTAGATAAAAATGAGTTCACGCCTGTGAATAAACAGAAACACTAGTATTGATTTAAGAGCTGGTGTAAACGGGGGTCTCTGAACGCCTCCTCTGCTCTCTGACAGTATTGATGGTGACAGATGATCATGTTGACACTAACCGGACGAGAACATGCCTGAAACTCTGTTCTGTTCTTCTTTTTTCTTTTTCTCAGGGCTTTTCCCCGACGTCGGAGGAGGTTACTTCCTGCCGAGGCTTCAGGGGAAATTGGGACTGTTTTTGGCCTTGACAGGCTTCCGTCTCAAAGGGCGGGATGTGCAGAGAGCTGGAGTGGCTACTCACTTTGTTGAGTCCAAGAAGGTAAATTATACTTTCAAATATCCTCATATGGGGGTTTTATTTTTATTCTGACACCCTGAGTTAGTGAGAAGTGTTACTAACAGACTTTCTCCAGGTCTGAAACACTTTAGAGTGTTGGCTCTGTGAGAGGGTGTGTTGGTGCAGTAGGGGAGGGTGGGGTCAGAGCGTCGCTGAAGAGCCGGATGCTGAGTCACAAGCTACCGATGTTCAGCGGCTGCTCCAGAGGAGGTTGTGTTTGTTTGCTGTTGGCGTGAAGTCAGAACTGTGGGCGTCTGTGTTTGTTTGGGACCGAGACCTTGACTGTTTGGACGGACAAACCGGGGGAGGGAATTATTTTATCTGTCCAACTTCAGCATCAAAACATGGAGTCATTAATAATTAAACCAAAGAGTGATGGACTTTGATCAAATCTAAGAGTCTTTTAGTTACAGATAAGATGTCTGTGGAGACGTCTCAGACACACAACAATGCAAACATGAATTAATGCTCTTTAAAGTTTGCACTGTCTGATAAGTTCAAACCTTCACACTGTTTCATAAATGTAGAAATTGTTCAATCACTTTATGTCTGAAAAGTCTCTCAAACTGTCCCCCTAACCTCTGTCTGAGGCTGTTTTTAACATGAAGTCCTCTAAATCTGCAGATCCCAGAGCTGGAGAAGGAGCTGGTGGACCTGAAGTCTCCCTCAAACGAAGATGTCTCCAAAGTTCTGGACTCCTATCAGAACCAGGTGAGAACCCTCACTGAGGAGATCCACTCCACTCCTCAGTCTGTGTTTCTGACCGTTTGTTTCTCTCTCCACAGAGTAGTCTGGATTCTGATAAACCTTTCGTCCTGGACAAACACATCTCTGATATCAACAGGTAGTTCGTCAATTTCTGTTGCACTTTCATCATTTCAACTATTTTTTTTATTTTTTATTACAATTCATGATTATTATATATTTTTTTATTTCCTGTTTTCTTTTTGCCTGAGAACCAATTAAGTATTGATTAAATGACAACACATTATCATTATAATTGTTCTTTTTTATCATTATTATTATTATTATCATCTCTTATTTTAGTAATTTTATTTTTTGCCTGAGAATCATTTGAACCCTGATTTCATTGGAACACTATCATTATTATGATTATTATTATTATTATAACTTTTTAACTTCTTTTCTCAATCGACTACTACCATAACTATCCTTTTTATTAAATAGGTAAAAAAAAAGCATTTCTATCAAGCTCCACTGCTATTATCACCAATATTATGACTACTATTGTTAATTATTTATTTTATAATTAATTTAAAAAATGTTTTGTTTGTTCGCACTTTCACGCTCTAACTTTCCTGTCAATTTCTAGAGTATTTTAGGACAGCCTACTTTGTGTCCCACCAGCTTTGTTCGTTATTCCTCCTCATTCTCTGTGAATTTCTGACTGACTGGTACAGCCCGCCTAAACTCTTAAAAGTTGTTTTTTCATCAGCAAAAGTTTCCTGAAGTTTCTGTAAATTTTAAGGATCACTTGGTCGTAGATCTGAGGAAGCTTGATGTCACTGAAATGCACTTAAACATCCTGAACAAAGCCCAAAGTTAAAAATGTAGTTTTTGGTACCAGGTCAAGAGGAGTTGAGTCAAGTGGTATCATGAAGAGGTTTTAGTTAGTCTTTTCTCGCTGTCCTCTGCTGTGTCTGTGATATCCTCTCTAAGACCATCTTCCCTCTAAAGATGCACATTTACAAAAACAAAAACAAACCGAAGTGCTGGACAGCAGCTGGGCTCTGCAGTTCTTGCGTAATACCAGGATTAAAGTAAATGCTGTTTTTATTTGGACTATTTTTGGATGCGATGCTCAGTGATGCTTTTAATAGTCCTTGGATGACGATGGCGCTCTGTGGCACGAGGTGTATCAGGACCACAGATAACACTCGACAGTGTAGTGACTTAAATTATCGTTTTGACCAAACAAAAGTGCCAAATGTCGCTTCATCTGTGACGGATCTGTGTCGGTGTTTCTCTTCTTTTCAGACTGTTCAGCTCTGGCAGCGTTGAGGGCATCGTGCAGAACCTGAGGGCCGACGGCTCAGAGTTCGCCAAGAAACAAGCCGAGGTATGACCCTGACCATCCCTCTGAAATCTGCGCCTGAATCTCACGTTACTCAGACTCTCAGACACCAGATCTGAAGTTCTGCTGTTTCCCCACAATCAGATCAATCCCCCTGAGAGAGCTGCAGCATTATTAGGCTTTAGTAGTTTGTGTTAGTAATTAGTATTTACCCCGTTTAAGCTCCTAATGCGGTTAGTTTTAGTCGTGTCCCTCCGATGAGAGCTCTGATCAGACCGCAGCGGCTTCTGTTCATTTTTCCTTCAAAGTTTTTACGTTTACTTTTTATAAATGTGACTTTTTATTGAACGCATTTTCAGCCTGACTGTCCTGTGAGTAAAAAGACAAACTCCTAAATGAAGCTTCCTAAAATCATTTTTATCTCATTTAAAACATTTCAGCTCTTTTAAGACGTCGCTGCCTTCGACAAACGTTTCACATTCACAGGATCCTCTCAAACCATGAAATCCTGAATTAGAGCCAAGGGGGGTCTCCTCAGGCATCAAATATTCATCATAAACCCACATCCTCAGTCTGTACTCCAGTGCTGAATCCCTGTTCTGCCTCATACATTAAAAATTTAAGCCATCTTCACCCCGAGTCACACATTACCGAGCTTTGTTTCTTCTCAGTGATTACTCTTGATGGTTTTCCAAAGAAAGACCTATATTTGTGTTCAGCTTCAGTCTCTGACACAGAACTGTTCCTCTTTTTTCAGACTCTGGCCAAGATGTCTCCCTCATCCCTGAAAATCACCTACAAGCAGCTGCAGGCCGGTGCAAACCTGAGCCTGCAGGAAGTGCTGGTGATGGAGTATCGACTGACGCAGGCCTGCATGGTAACGACCAAATCACCTCTTTAAAACAGAATTAGATTTATATTATTTTACCGCTTAAAAGTTATTAGAATGGAAAGGGTCTTAAGATGAGGAAAATTCAGCTGGTGCAGTTTATCTCAGGTTTTACAGCAAGTTTTACTTAGTTTCAAGATCCAGTCATAGAATTAATCCCCGAGTTAAACTAAACCCAGCATTAGCTTCAGATTGGGTGATTATTACCTGCAGGTGTTACACCTTGACTGCAGTTTGTTTATTTTACGCTGCAGACCTTTGCTGATCTGATCTGCATGATAACAGAACAAAAGCTGATGCTAAAGTATTACACACAGTTATGAAAAACTGGGATTTGAGCTGTTTACTATGACAGAGTGTTACGGTCTCATTAAAGAAAACAAAAACTGAGAAGAGTGACGTAACGTTAGGAGAAAAAAAGTTTAAGTTTGAGGCTCATTTGTCCCACTGAGCATTTTTTGGTCTAAAAGAGCTCTAATAGACGTCTAAATGTAGCCTAGACGACCGGTCTAGAATCAGGCTACCACAAATCTAAAAGTGAAAGTTTTTTAGAGGTCTAAATTTAGACCAAGTCTGGATCTGGGCTATATTTATACTATAGTGTATATTGCTCAATGGCTATCATTAAGTACTTGGAGATCAGTTATGCAACTCACAGTTGCTTTTTGAAATAGTTATCAAATAACAGGTTAAAGAGCAACGTCTAAATTCTGTCTAAAAATCAACAGAATCTAGACGGTTGAAAAAACTAGACGTCTAATAGCCGTCTTTTGCTCAGTGGGTAATTTTGGAGGAAAATATCAGAAGTCACATATTATTGAAACACTTGAACCACATTCCCTGTGGCTTCAGTTTTCTATTTTACTTCTATTTAATGTTTGAAAGCTGTAACAGTTTCTCTTTGTTTCTCTTGTTTCTGCAGAAAGGCTTTGACTTTTATGAAGGTGTGAGAGCCGGTGAGTTCCTGCAGGGATGTGGGTTGTAGGTGCATGTGGGTTTTCAGTGATGTAGCTGTGATTTATAAGGATTAGACAGAAAGCTATGATAAAAATGAATGTTGTATGAGGGTAAGTTAATAATAGTCATCCTCTTTTGCATGTCTCCAGTGTTGGTTGATAAAGACCACAGCCCGAAGTGGAACCCCTCCACACTGGAGGAGCTGCCAGACCAGACCGTGGACCAGTGGTTCTGCTCTCTTGGAGACAAAGATCTGACTCTCTGAAGTCCAACAGCTGCTCTCCAACTTCAAACACTAAACCTTCATCGAACCTCCTGTCCCACAATCCTCTGCAATCAGTCATACAGGAAGACTACACCGCTGAGGACGGGAGAAAAACTGTCGAATTAGTACAAAGAGTACACAGGTCATCCACCTCCAGATCGACTGAGTGTGATTTAATACTGCAGTGACATTTCACAGGAAAATCCAGGCTGCTCCTCCACAGCTGAGGAGCTCTGATTCATGTTCACAGCCAGAAATAGAAAGTAGTAGCAGCAGAGGTAGCCAGCAGATGCCCCGTGTGTCACACATGAGAAATGAGTAGTGTAAACTTTCTCTGCAGCAGAAGAGGAGTCTGTTTTTTATCTGACATGACGTGGTTTCTCTCCTCTGCTGCAGAATCAAGAATGTGCCGCACAGCAGCATTAACATGAGTGCATCGGAGGAGAAAATGATCTCACCGCTGAGTGCTTTGGTACATTTGCTTCCTGTGGGCTTTGTTGATGTGACGTGGATCATCAGTATCATCAGTGTTTTTGCAGAGTGCCCACTCGCCACAATACAGATAATGTGTTGTCTCGTGTCTCTGTTCTTTCTTATGTATTATTCGCTCATTTTCAGATTTACACTCCTGAGACAGAACGCAGATCTGAGTCTGTATAGAAACATTTCCCCTGGACCCCGAACTCAATCGTCTGATATGTGATTTTTAGTCTTTGGATCGGCCTCTTCTCGTGGACACTGATACAGCCCGGATTTACAAAGTGACACCAACATAGAAGTGCCTTAAACCTGCATTGTTTCCGATGGCCAACAGGGGGCGACGCCTCAAAAATTGACCTTTTACCTTAAAAGATGGAAATACAGTCACATCTGCCTCGAATAAACAAGACCGTGTCAGTAACACCAAACTTGACTTATCTGTAGATGTAGTCCACTAAAAAAATGAGTGATATCACCATGGTTACGTCTACTTTTTATAAACAGTCTGTAAGCTCCAGTCTAAACAGATGATCTGCGAGACAGCCAGTTCAATTAGACATGAAAACTGCAGCAAAAAGCAATAAAGACACTCTGAAAAGTCATGATGGACGGTGTGAATTCTTTGTTTTCAGAGATGAAGAACTTCCTTTAACAGGCAGAAACCTTGAGCAGAACCAGACTGATGTTAGACGGTCATCTGCTGAGACTGCAGCAGCGGCGATTTAGAGGAACCCATGGGACAAAGGGGATCATGGACTCCAAGAAGAGACTGTTCAGAGACTCTAGAGGGGCATGATAAGTCCAAGTTAATGAATCACAGAGAGAGAGGGAGGGAGACACAGAAGGTCAGTCTGCCTGTCTGAACTTTGAGCAGCATGATGAAGAGCAGAGCCGAGCCTGAACCAGCTCTATCAACAAAAATAAAGCTCAAAAGTGTTTTCTCCTTCACTGAAGTGAGATATTAAAGTCAATATGTGTTCAGATCATAACAGAAACACTAAAACACCTGCTGTCACAGTGTTTCTCAGTGTGAAGCTTCCTGAACTCAGACCGGTTGACCCCCTACATACTGCTGATAATAAAGGTAGCGCTCAGTCCGTCTCCCTGCATCAGGGTTTATAAACCTCTCATGGTTTATGGCTGCCATTTATTCTTCAAACAAGCTCTGCACAGCCTTTTCTGAATCCTTTAATTTGGTCTTTATGGAGCTGAACTTTTGACCTGCTGTTTGTTCACACTCATACAGGATGCAGGATGTGCGCCGGTCTTGTTTGACAGGTGCTGAGTCAATATTGAGCCACTCAGAAGTTGGGAAACACCTGAACAAAGAAGCTATGACCTACAAAGATAAAAATATTCTTGTGCATTTTCGTAACTCTTTAATGCCTTTTGTATCATATTTGACAACTAACAACAACTGACAACAGCTAGCGACAGCCGACAACCGTAAACAACAGATAATAACGGCTAAAAGTAGGGAACCATCTTGGTTTTCCGACTTGTTAACTGAAATGCCATTAACGCAGGTGTAACGTCATTGCCAGCTCCAACTTCCAACTTCCGAGGTAACTGAAACAAACCAAAACAACCATATAAAGACACGTAGAGTCCGGTTTAAAATCAAATATCAATCACTCTAAACTCATTTACTGTAACAGGACTTGTACTTTTACAACCGTTCATATCTCAGGAGGATCTGAGACCGTGTTTTACAGGAACCAAAGCCAACTGCTGTGACCATCTGAAGGACTTAGTGAGAAAATCAGAGACCCATTGTTGGATTTGGAGAGGTGTAGCTTTCTTTTTAAAGGAGAATAATAATTTACTTTAGTGTTTATTTGTGTCTCCTCACTCCCACTCTGTTCATTTCTGGGGTGTGAAAACTATCTCGCCCACATCATATCGTACGGAGCAGATTTCCCCTGAGTGTTAAAACTGTAACATTAAATATTTAGTCAAGAAGTCAAAGTTGTATGAGTGTTTGCGAGTTTCCAAAGCTGCATATTATTACTACTCAAAACTGGCTTTTAAACTGCATATCTAAATGTGATAACGAAACAGAAAAGGCAGAAACAGCTTTGTCCACAGGGGGCGCCAAAATAGACACAGATTTAAAGTTACTCACAGGAGCTCCAATACGAGGAGAGGATATGACACGATGACTGACGGCTCTGTTATGAATAAAGCTTCTGCAGGATCAGAAAACGTGACAAACTGTGACTCAACCCTCGCTGGAACAAGAACAGATGAACTTTCTATAACTGTGAGTCTTATTTTAATCATCACAAGTCTGTTCTGCCGAGGACTGAACCGACCGGAGGGATCTTTGCTGCGTTAACTGTGAGATAATTGGGTGCTTTGGTTAGAGGAAAGGGTTGAACATTAGTCTCCTGACTCCACCTGTCAGATCGCTCCACTTTATACGCTCTGAAATACGTCACTATGTCAGCGCCCGTCCTCGCCGTATTGTGGCTTTAATTCTTTTCACAGTGCGGAGAGATTGACCGTATTACGCAGGGTCAGTGAATGCAACTGTATTCAAACTGTACCGTGTCCTTTAGCGACCTTTGACCTTCAATAAATCTGCAACAACAATTGGATGAGCAGCTGTTCTCTGTGGAAACATCTGCTACCATGAAATCATTAAAAAAGGGGGCGCTTTGAAAAACTACAAATCCCAGTTTTATAGAGGAGACTTGGCAGCTTTTAGGTCGAGGCTGAAAGACACGAGTGTTTTAAAAAAAGGCAGACTCTTAACTCTTGGAGGTGCAGAGAAAAACTTCACAAAGAAAGACAAAAAATATGTGATTTTTTTCAACAACATCTGATTTTTGACTTCAAAATAAAGACAGAAAAACAGAATCTCTTGTGAATTTGTAAACACACACAGACAAAAACCAGTGAGATTAAACTTTCTTGGTGATTTCGTCAAATTACAAACTTAACGTTTCGCACAGTAGAAACTGACATCATTGTTATGGCAACATCACTGATGTACTTCTGTCTCAGTCCAAGAAAGCGGCACTTTGACCTCCATGAAGCGTCCAAACTCAGGTCCGTTTTCAGCACAGCAGTGACGTTTTTTTTTTCTTTTTGTTTCAGTGAAACAAACAGCATCAGATTAAGATACGGGAGGATGGCGTGTGCAGAACAGATCATCTCTAATCTTCAGAGTGATCATAACATGTTTTTGGGGAAAGACCCCGAGAGATTCATCTGCCCACACGGATTAGTGCAAGTACTGTAATATGTTTTTTTTTCTTTTAAAGTGGTGCGTTTGACGGGGCAGTTTTTAGCTCACATCATGTTTCAGCAAACCCTCGAACCACCAACATCGCCGTTACAGTACAGACTGTAAACAAAGACTCTAAATGCTTTAACAATGCAGCTGTATTCATTAGACTCTCCATTATGATAAATCATACATAACATCTGTATTTGATGGCGATTGGACGGTTTTATCTCAATATTAAAACACTGGTACGGATATAAGAGAAGGCAAGTGGACAGAAAACTCCTCCACTGTGAAATATGGCTTCAAACTTGGTGAGTTTAGCAAAGATATTGATGTGATTTAAAGGATCGAGTTTTCAAAGTTGGGTTGTATGAGGTACTTGTTAATAATAAGCGGATCCTGATTAGTTTGGCCCATAGACTGTATATTCTTTGGACAACTTGGTTCCGCCTTCCACCAGTAAACGGATTAGAAGCCAAAAAGCGCTCTGTAATTACGCATTTTTTTTTCAGTTTCCTGAAAACCAACATTGCGCAGTAGCGTTATACGCATTCGGCGGGAGAGTCGCTGTTATGACGCTCGGCTCAAACAGCTTATGTATCAGGTGTCAGTGTTTTTTTGTTCTGTGTAATAAATTGCTAGTTTGTCCACAGCCATAAGCTTTGCTGGACGAGGCGGGACTTATGACCTACACTGCAGCCCGTCAACAGAGGGTGCTGTTCTGGGAGTGGCTTCACCCAGTGAGGAGGCAGATGGCGTCCATTCTAGATACAGTCTATGGTTTGGCCCCTTTGTGGTGGAACTAGGTGGTTGAATCCAAAGGCTAAAGGACCAGGATGCTCTGTAGCAGACATGGAGCATATGTGAGCGTGACTCTCGTGGTTACTGATGCTGCAAAATAAGACATCATAGTGTCACTCCCAACTGTCCACTCACTCCTTCTACATCAGTTTAAGATGATACTGTCACCGTGTTGAATGGAAAAAGGCTCTTTAAAACGATCCTCGTCCGTCTCCACTCAGTGGGAAGTACCTCATACAACCCTGCTCAAAACTAAGAACTATCCCTTTAATTTTGGGTTAAATCCCGATGGCATCAGGTAAATACTCAGACTTTAAAACATAAACCCTTCCTCTGGCTCGAGCTGACCTGTAAAGCAAACCCTCTGTGACATTCATCGAGGATCGTGGCAGTTCCGAGTTCAGCTACTCCTTCAGAAATCACACATACTCTGGATTTAAGTCATGGGTTTGAAGGTTTGCATATTTGTGCTTGTGTCCTCTGCGGGATAAACAGCTGTATCCCTCCTTTAAGCAACAAAACAACCAGGATAGTTAAGACAAAATTGTGTGTTTTTAAGCTCCAGGTCTGCTATTTTAAGAAAGTGTGTCACAGTTCTCATGCCCTATTTTTTCTTGAGACCAGCGAGTCCCCTGTGTCCTGATGTCAAAGTCCCCAAACTGTGTCTGCTGTTTGCGGAATATCCTCGAGAGCAAGAAATGCAATTATTTGTGCGCATAATTCCCTGTGTGTGTTTTCTGAGTGGCCGCCTAATGGCGAGAGGGACAGACAGACAGAAAAGAGGAAGATGCTCCTCGATGCAGCTCAGCCGCAGTGTCTCCAGGGAGGCCATTAAGGGAGAACTTCAGGCCATTTGTCAGACCAGAAGGAGCCAAACAGCTGGGCGTGTTTCTGTTCTGATGAAGCGAGGGAGGGTTTTATGGGGATCTATTAATAACTTCCCCCGTAAGAGGAGCGAATCTTGGCCTTGTTGCAGCATCTCTGGACGGGGTAGACTTTCACATTTCATTTCTCACTCCGTACGTTGTTAGTCCGGTCACAGAAGAGCTGGCACCTACAGGAGGACGGGGAAAAATAAGGTCTGAGAAAGATGATATCTGATTGACGACACGTCTCCAGCTCGGATGCAGATAATCACAGAACCAAGACCCGGATCAGAGTGCTTTGGCCGCTCTGGAGGAGGGTTTGTAGGCTCAATCCAAGTATAATCCAATCCCAAAGTAGGTCACCGCTGAGTTAGTGACAGCTCATTCATATTCCAGCACACAGCAGGTACATGCTCAAAGGATTCCTCTTTGTTTGATCACACATCACACCGCCAGGGTCAAGATCAGCGCCGTCTCAACCCGTCCTTTCCCTCTCCTTCATCACCCCCCTCCTCCCATGTCATGGCACGTCACACTCGATGTAAGGGATGTCGCTGTAGCGGCGGTCTACCTCCACCCACTGCTGCACGGCCCGGGCCACGATCTCCTCGGACAGCCTGTGAGCGTACTCCAACAGCATCGGGTTGATTTGTGGCGAGCTCTCTGGCGAACCCATCTCTGAGTGCACCAAGTAGGCTTTCTCGCCCTTCGATTTCTTAGACTTGCCCTCAAATTTGTCCGTAGAGTTTGCATTTTGGGCCGCAGAGTCACTTCTTTTGGATTTAACACACCCCATACTCTGGAGGATGTAGCATTGATTTAATTTGACGATGGCGGTGAGAGTCTTTGGTACGAGTTTGGATTGAGGCGTCACTGTTCATTCATCCCTTTGAGCAGCCTTACACTTCTTTAGCTCTTCCTGTCATCCACTCCCGATTTCATCCATCTCTGAAAGCCGATATTTGTCACGATCACTACCACAAAACAAAAGCTGCTGATTCAGAGAGGCGACCGATGACGAGGTCCATCCTTACGAGGGTCTGGTGGCGTGGAAACAGTCCGTTAACCTCGCGTCTTCCTTTGCTGCAGTGAGGATAAAAAGAGGATTTTAGTGATTTATTTCCAAATAGCAGATGGTGGGAAAGAGGAGAGGATTGTGAATGAATTTCACAGTGGCTGTGGCGACTGTGACCTGCTCTAGCGGCCGGCCTGAGGTCACGGCACCTCTGCACGGTCACATTCAAACATCTCTGCCTCTCTGCACGTCAAATGTGTTACTCATTTACCCCTCCCTCGTCTTCCTCACAGTGTTTCATGACTCAATCCCTCTGCCTCTTTCCTATTGCATGTCACAGGGATGTCTGTCTGGAGCTGGAGAGAGCGCTGATGCTGCTCGGTTGTAAGCCTGTGTCTCCCATCTGTTCCACTAGCCGAGCCCAGCAGTCTGATTCACAGTGACAGCTCCTTTTTCTGGGGCTGCAGGCCTCTGTGCTCATGAACATGTGCTTCATTCACAAAGCTGCAAGCTGGAGTCTGAGGCCATGAATGATTTATGCAGAGAGGGGAGTCTCCCTGAGAGTAAAACAACATTCAGAGGTGCAAACAAGAGGCTCAACTCACACAAAATCTGCAGCCGTGTCAGAAATTCGATTGAGAATTTCACATAGTCATATTGTTATCTATTGGACAGATGCATAAACCTGTGGGAGCATCTATTAGCTGTCTGACAAACACGTGGGATTGGGATTAAACCTGATGACTGAATTATTTGAACAACAAACCTGCTCTGGAAATCCCTCTGCAAACATGAGATTAAAACATCATTATCATGGGGTGTGATCCTGCAGCAGAGAGGTACATACTTTTACAGGTGAGAGCAAAGAGCCTCAGCTTCATCTCCATTTTAACAAAAAGCAGAATCCGTCCACAGAGGAAATAATCCAAGGTCGTTCAAGTAAACAATAATCCGGACATCATGTGGTGTCGCGCCGGTTCCTCAAACAACATCCAAACCATCTGAACTTGGAGCCTGAGCGTTATTCACACAAATTATCCCCCAAGTTGGTTCTTCTAGGTCTGCTCGCTTGTTTGGTTGTTGTAGGATGAAGACCTCCGCATCGGATTTCTCTCTAATCTCCGCGGACAATAAAGATCCAGCCTGCTAGAGGATCAGACTCCCTCTGTGCAGCCTTGAAGTCGGTCAGCGGTGAGAGGAGCTCCTCGGCTGAGAGGAAACCAGAGGTCTGGGCTGGACTGACTTCAGCAGATAGACTCTTCACGATGTGATCGATCTGCAGCGGTGCTCAGGAGGAGAGAGAGTCCAGGCGCTGCTCACACTCACCGGCCCTGCACAGCTGCGGGCCGCCGCAACACTGACATCTGGCGGCGAGATGGAGAACTACCGCAGCAGGAGTGACCCTCGTCCTGTGTTAGGGTCTGATTTTAGGTTGATTTTAAATGCTTAAAAGAACCACTTAAATAAGTTTTTTGCATCAAGACTATTTGACTTTTTCAGAAACTTCTATTTTAACAAATAAAAAATAAAAAATTGGCTAAATTGTAATTGTAAACTCTTTTCAAAATTATGGCACTTGTCATGTTAGGGTTGCTGTTGACCCGGTTAGATCAATATCTAATAATCAGAGCAAAAAACTGAAATCATAAGTGCACTGTCAGGAAACACACTGACAGTCAGATCCTCTTTCAATCATGTGAGATTTAAGAAATTCTCATTTTGCCTGTTTTTCCCTGCATAAAAAAACTACATTGAGCATGTTCAGACATGTGAGGTCAGTTCAGTATGGATGTCTGTGTGAGGGGTATACAGACAAAGAAAGGCCCAGAGGACCACAACAAAAATATTATAAGCAATATTTTCACAGATAATGAAGCTGAACAAGGTGACATAGAGATGTGACCCAAATTGGATGATAGAGAATTGTTTTTGGTGTAATTTACAGCTGATTTAAGACACGGGTCAAAACCGACCCTTAACATGGTGGGTGCGTAGTAAAAGCTAAAACAGGAGGAAGGATAAAAAGTGTGCAAAAAAAAACTGACTGTGTTCAGGTGAGAAACCTGGTAAAATTAAGATTTGAAATAAAACCCCAAAGCATGGCCAGAAATTTCCTCTAATATGGATTCAAAGTTTCAGAATAGCCTCCAACACTTTTCCTTGTAGATTTGATTTTAATGCTACTGGATCACCCAGAGTCTTGGGTTAGTAGTAGGACAGATGTATGGGCTGCATCTGCAGCAGTTTATTTCTCTTGTTTGCACTATCTCATTATTTGAGTAACACTTTGGCACTTATATTTAAAATTCAACATGAGGGTTGAAGTGGAAGAGAGTATTAGTAACATAAAAGAAAAGTATTTAATCTTTCATTTTCAAGACAGACTAAGGTATTAGTGACATATTACAACAATTTAACCCTTAAATGCCTTTTGTATCATATTTTATATACTTTTATCAAATCAATATGATCAACAAATTACTAAAATAACACCTGAATACAGTCTGATAAATGATAAAAATGTAGTCTTAAAGTTTATTGGTTTCCAAAAACATTTAATGTATCAAACTAGATAAATTTATTTGTTAAATTTTAGGAACATTTTAATTTTTTGGTTTTTAGTAGTGTAATAAACATTTCAGCTCCAAAAAATGGAAGTTTCTGGCCATAGTTTGTGGTGTCAGACATTAAAGGGTTAAAATGATATTTTTGGACCATTGTAAGATTTTTTTTTGACAGTTGAAATGATCTGAATGGCTCTGAACTCGCCATAGAGGCTACAGATGATGGTAATGTGACTGATAACAGCCTCCACAGGGTGGCACTGTCTTCACATGTGGTACAATAACCAGGTTTCACCACCCAGGTATCTGAACAAGTCCACAACTAAGAATCACCTTAAATTAAGGTTTCTTATTAGTGGAAGAGAACATAAGTCTCATTCTGTCTCCAATAATGACATGATAATTTTACTGACACTTTGGATCCGGAGATGGTTGGATGGATTTATTGGTGCTCAATACGCAGTTTAAGTGTGTCATTTTCAATCAACTATAGGGGATACAGCTCAAACGGTGAGGCTACACGACAAGAATCATATATTATAACTTTGATTGATTAATAAATGAAATCCTTCATCATACTTAAATGAGAGTGGTCGTTTATTTTCCTGCGTCAGAGAGGCTGAGCTCTCAGGGGTCTGCGATAAAGTTTATCCAAACGGAGTCAGGTTGATTTGATGAAACAACAATGTGTTGAATTGTTCTGAATTGACTTTGACAAGGTGTCATTGACTTGATGCGAAACAAAAGTTAGTTTAGCGCGCCAGCAATTCATAATACAAGCTGCGTCATGCGTTAAATCACGCGTTAAATCTCTCAATGTTACGCACTGCATTAGATCTCTGTGCGCTCATACTAGGAATTCTATCTCAAACTTATATAAATAATCTTGATTTCTTCCAGTTTTAAGAGTTTAAAGTTGAACTGTCTGCCATCAGATTTCATTCAGTCCGCCCTGCGTCTCTGCGTAATCACGGTAGCCTAATAAAAGTGAATCTATCCATCTGTTGACGTGTTCAGCACATGCTCACAGCCTCCGTCCCTTTATGGTTTGACAACGAAAAAAAGTTTTCATGTCAGTCGGTCAAAACTCATTGTTGCCTTTCCAGCCAATCATAGTTTTTGACGACACAAAAGAGGCTAAAGTTGGAGTATAAAAAGGTGTGCGCTAATAAACTATGATGCCTATCAGTGTGGGACATTAATCCAAACTCAGTCCGGTCAGGCATCAGTGTCCAGCACACATCAAGGGATCTTTCTGAAAACTGAACTTCACACCTTCGAGACAATGCATCTGTCTCAGATTGTGCTGTATGTTAGCCTGCTGATCGCTTTGGGCGCTGTAGTTTTGAGTGACCAGGAGACGCACCAGCAGCCCTCTGCCAGCAGCCCAACGGACACGGAGCAATGCGCCACCTGCGAGGTCCGGCAGCATATCAAGACCATGCGACTGAACGCTATTAAGTCTCAGATTCTGAGCAAACTGCGAATGAAAGAGGCTCCTAATATCAGCAGAGACATAGTGAAGCAGCTCCTGCCCAAAGCGCCTCCGCTGCAGCAGCTCCTCGACCAGTACGACGTGCTGGGAGATGACAACAAGGATGTGGTCATGGAGGAGGACGACGAGCACGCCACTACGGAGACAATCATGTTGATGGCAACTGAACGTGAGTCTTTAATTTCGCTGTGTTTTACGCATAAAAAGGGAGATGTGTGCGCAAACGTTTCCAAACCGGGTTTTTACGCACGAGAAGAGCGCACGGTAGACGCTGTCAGAATACTTTATTTGTACAGTTGTGTGTTTACAAGGTTGCTGCTGTAAATGCAGATTGGTAATTTCATCAAGATTTAAAAAGTGGGAGGGTCATAGTGAGATTTTACAAACTCTCTAAAGCCTCAATCAGGGTTCAAATGTCAGACTTGGCACAAAAGTTTCATCCGTCCATAAATTTGAATTACTCATGGCTGAGACTGTTTTTCTCTCTTTCTCTCTCTCTGCAGCCGAGTCCATCGTCCAAGTGGATGAGGAACCAAAGTGCTGCTTCTTCTCTTTCACCCAGAAGTTTCAAGCCAATCGAATAGTCCGAGCTCAACTCTGGGTGCATCTGCGCCAGGCGGAGGAGGCGACCACTGTGTTCCTGCAAATCTCCCGCCTGATGCCGGTCACAGACGGGAGCAGGCACATACGGATCCGCTCCCTGAAGATCGACGTGAACGCCGGGGTCAGCTCTTGGCAAAGTATAGACGTCAAACAAGTGTTGACTGTGTGGCTGCGGCAGCCGGAGACCAACTGGGGCATCGAGATTAATGCCTTCGATTCGAGGGGGAATGATTTGGCGGTGACCTCCGCAGAGCCCGGAGAGGAGGGACTGGTGAGTTAAAGCTTCATTTTTACTTTGAATGAAATGCGCAATTTTTGGATATCAGGTGTAAAAAATGTAGATCCAGTAGTGCAGGAGCAACAAACACCCTCAGATATAAAAAAACACATCTGAGTTTTGATTGTTGTTGGTTTCATGGGTTGCATTGTTCCTGTAATTGCTCTGGAGTTTTAAATATGAGTGCTCCTGGTTTTAGTGTGCAGAGTCTTTGCAGAGTCAGCAGGTGGTTCAGCATTCATGCTTTTCACTGCTGGAAGAGAGAATCAAGATTTAAGACTCTTGAAAGTGATTAATCAACAGAGACTTCATGTACCTGCATTTGGACAAATGCCCAGTCCTCAATAAGCTCCAATCTTATTGCTGGATTACATAAAAGTTCACCTGCTGCACATTCCTCAAAGTATTCTGTGTGACTGTGCAAATCAGAGTAATTGCCTGCAAACACACACTGCTGCTATCAATGACAAACACTTATCATACGGCTCAAACACTGGCACCGGGCTCCGGAGCAATTAGAGTGCCGCAATGACTGAGGTTAACCAACCAAGAGATGATTTAATTTGCTCAAAACTCAAAGTTTCATAATATTATCCAGCCATGTTTGACAACCAGCTGCACAAGGTCAAGAGAAGCGGATTAAAAGTTACAAGCTGGATTCTGCCTTTGACTTCTTTTTGCAAATCAGCAGTTTTTAAAAAGTGTTCACCCTTGACTCTGTCTTTGCAGCAACCTTTCATGGAGGTGAAGATTTCAGACGGCCCCAGGCGAGTCAGGAGAGACGCAGGCCTGGACTGTGACGAGAACTCTCCAGAGTCCCGGTGCTGCCGCTACCCGCTCACGGTGGACTTTGAAGACTTTGGCTGGGACTGGATTATTGCCCCAAAGCGCTACAAGGCCAACTATTGCTCCGGGGAGTGTGAGTACATGCACCTGCAGAAGTACCCGCACACCCACCTGGTGAACAAAGCCAACCCCAGAGGGACCGCAGGCCCCTGCTGCACCCCCACCAAGATGTCCCCGATCAACATGCTCTACTTTAACCGAAAGGAGCAGATCATCTACGGCAAGATCCCGTCCATGGTGGTGGACCGGTGTGGATGTTCTTGAGCCGGGACGTAGACCACAGCGAAGAGGAGGAGAAGACGGAGGGGCCGCGGCTCAGTCCGGCTTCCAACTTGAGACTTTTCTGACACAACTGATCCACCACTTCTTGAGCTTTCCTGCAGAACACGGTGCAATAGAACCAGAGTAGAAAAAAGGGCCACCAAGAGCCTGAGCGCTTTCACAACCGGCATAGCTCTTACTTTGCTTTCCTTCAGTGAAAATCTTAGCCAGAGAAGTTTGAAGTCAGAAGGATGCAGGAACACGTACTTACACACACATGCTGAGTCTCAGAGTGAATGTAGACACAAATATTCAAAGTTATCCAAAAAACTTATTTTCCTGAGTCTCAGTTTTCCGCCCATATATGCAAACCTGCAGACCGATTATACTCCTGCGCCATCACTCCACTTCCACTCCACTCGTAGACAAAATACAAGCTATTACACTTTTCGCTACGCTACATGTTTGTGATAATCAATGTTCCAGTTATGTTTTCAGAGTGAAACCAGGAATCCTCATGGACTTTTTGAAAGGGCTTGGAAAAACATGTATGAAGACACTTTGGAGTGATGTTTCGCACTGGTGGAACATGTTTTAGTGTCAGGGAAAGCAGGAAAACCCAATTTGCATCATTACAGGATGAATTTACTGTCTTGGAAATGATCAAAACAGATTACAAGGGAGTAAAATCCAAAGTGCAGGTGCTGACGTTGTGACGTAGAGACACAAAAATGCTCCACTATTGTGAAAAATCACTCGAAGTGTTGACTTGTCTTCATGTACTCTTCCACACATACACACACAGAAACATAACCGACCCAGGAGCGTTCTCGCTCAAGTCACGATCTCCACAATCCAACCGAAAAACAGCCTGACCTGCCCGATACACTTGAATTATTCTGATTGTAAATTCACATGACTGGACAGAAGGACTTGAACTGAAGGCACAACGAATGCAGCCGACAAATAAAGAAATGTGTTTAAGACAGAGGAAAGAGATGGAGGAGTCGTACGAATGTTGAGATCATGCTTTAACTCTGTCTTACAAACAACAGTTTGCACTATGGCACACCAATAGAAAGAATTGGTTGCTACAAGAGTTGTAAAAACTGATTTTGATATGTTTGCTTATTTGTATTGTATACATATGCCATTGTTTCCACTAGGAGTTGCCTTTCTAAACCACTGTTCATAAATGTATAAAACTGCAATTTAGCATGATATAAGACGTAATACAGCAACTCTGTATAAATGTTTTAACAAATAAAGTTTCCAGCTTGTTTGTTGAGTTCTGTTTCCGTGAGAAGTTTATTCAAGCAAAGAGATTTGAGTCGAGTTTCGTCTCAAGGTTGCATAAGCGTCTTGTAGTCAATCTTAATCAAACACACTAATACTGCTGTTGATCTTAAGGACCATGCTGCACATGACTTTGTTTCTCCAGCAGCTTCAGACGTGGTTCAGTGTCTTTCTGCTGACTCACAGATTAAATCCAAACTTGATCCAAACACAACTACTTGAACCGCAACACCGCAGCCTCATTTCTCACTTCAGCAGCTGAGAATTTTTGTCGTCAACACATGGTGTAAACTGATAAGTTACACAGGCAGTGTGTGTGTGTGTGTGTGTGTGGAGAGAAGGAAGGGGGGGGAGCAACAACACACACATACAGTACTCTGTCTACCTGACTAAACCTGCAAAATCCAATTACCATCAGCCCGTTTTATCACAAGCATAATTCAGCCCAACTCCCCTGACTTAGCTTTTTCCAGTGAAAGGATGTTGAAAGTATTGCAGTCTAATGAGAGGATGTGAACTCTGGTGCGCTCTGACAGCATGACCTATTCCACTGATGGCCTCATTGAGGCCTGACTTCCGCCCAGTAGAGGGCGAATTGAGCACTACCCCTGAGAGCCACTTCCTTTCCCGCTGAGAGCTGGAAAGCTGCCACGACGATCGAGAGAGAGTGGATCTACAGAGCTACTTTACCCCGGGGCAAAAGCTTTAGTCTGCCCTCCTGAGTTCGCTGGTGATGGAGAAAAAACGCCTGACAAAATCTGAACACAAGCGATCATTTTAAGGAAGAGTAAAGGATAAAAACTGAATTAATTAGCGAAGACTAAAGCAGTTCATTCATAATCTATCATCTCTGTCCATAACTCTTGTCCTGTTAAAATGGTTTCCATCTGCAGTTTGACACAAGCATGAACTTTTTATGAGTCTCATACTTTTTAACAGTTTGCAAACATTCACTTTCACATTATTACCAATGACGCATGTCTTAAAAATTAGCCATCGAAGCCTATAAAAATATCATTACTCCCAGGTCCTGTGTATAAATGTCAGTTAAACTTGTTTTCATTGCTCTCCAGCTATAAAGTTTAAATTTTACCAAACTTTGCAGCTATCTCTGAGTAGAAATCTCAAGAAATGGCGTGACAGATTTATCCATGTTGCTCTTTTTCACTCTCTGGTCTCATCCTGAGGAGTTTTCATGCCCACTCGGATGGTTTTATTCACTCCTGACCTGCAGTAATAGCTGTCTGTTCACTTGAGGCGACACGGCGAACAGGAGCTGGGAAATGTTTTGACTGAGAATTGCTGCATCTGTCAGGACTCGGACCCTGGAGGACTGTGCACGCCAGTGACATTCTTCCTCTGACAGGTGAGGAAGTGAGAGTGAGAGAACGGGAAGGAGGATGTTTGGGGGTAAAGGAGTTGTCCAAGGCAGCTGGAGACCCCGTTAGTGGACAGGATTCCTGTTGTGTAAGGTTATTAGGATCTGAATGGACAGAACCTGAATCATCCGTTCAGTCCTCGTCAAGAGATGGTCGTTCAATTAAGCAGGATACAACTCGGATTCAGAAATGATCATAAAAAGAGTTTAATGGTTTGCAAATAATTCAAACCTTTTATTTAATTTGTAATAAAAACTAATCTGACTCAGTGGGCCAAAATATGTGTCAAAGTTTTCAACGGTTCAAGTCAAGACTGACAGACTCTTCTACTACAGAGACGTGCTGTTGTTATATTTGTCCTTGTTGCTCCAAAACCTGTTTACATTGTTCAGTATTAAAGGAGTCTCTCCCAGATGTAGAAGCTACCCATGCCGTGAGCACTTATACAACCTTATACCACCATTGATGCTGATAACAAGCCAGGTGGTCGCTCCCGTCTGAAGTGGAGGATGAAGTATCCATGATTTCCAAACAGGGCAGTTGTCTGCTTTGTCTCAGTCTATCTTAAATTCATCATGTTAACAGGTGGTTCTGTCTCTTCGTGGTAAAGTTTGGGGGCAGTATTAAGAGCGTAGAGCAAGATACACTACTGTTGTTGAAGTCAGCCAGTGATTTGTTCAGTTTCTCTGAACTTTATGTACCACACATGATGAAATCTACATTTTTTTGCAGTAAAACGAAGAGAAACATCAGTCCTTCAAACTCTCACAGACTCTCTTTAATTTCTTAAGTGAGCTTATAACTTTTTGACAAAGTTTGACAAAGCTCCTGTTGCTGTGAGGTTTGACTGTGGACCAGAAAGATGGCACCACATATCAATTTACTGACCAACACACTCAGTCAGGCCAGAACTTAGACTATAACAAGTACGAGGGCCCAATACTCATATCAAAAAGACATTTATCTCTGCAGGATTATGACAAATTTATGACAAGGAAGAAATGTGATACTTTGACATGTCAGGCGATCACAAACACACCAGTATTCAACCTCAGGGATACTGGTACTAGTACTGGAAATAAACAGTTTACCAACAAGAGGGATGCCCTGTCCTGGATTCGCTGCAGCACCACGGATAACGTGTGAGTAGAAAAAAAAAAAGGGGAGCTTGCCCCATGTGTCCAAAAACATCTGGACCCTTAAACAGATGTGAGAGCCATACCATCTGGAGAAGTGTTTCTGACTGCAGAAACAGACTGACTGCACAGTGGCAAAGGTCCTCCTTGACAAGAACATGGTTCAAGAGTAATGACAGACCGGGTTGACAGGCCGCTAAGAGACTTAGCAAATGTGTACAACACACAGTCTGATGATATCCTGAAACACGTTTTTTGCAGAGATTTATTTTCTCTTTTTTGCCTTAATTGAACGGGACAGATGAGAAGTGAGTCCCCAATACCTAATCACGATTTTAAAGAATATTATGAGCGTCTCTGCTCTTAATTCTATTTCCAAGATCACAAAGTCATTAAGTCAAATTGGTTTAGAAATAGCGCAGCCAATGTTAGCCGACCTTACTCCATCAGCCTTCAGTCTTTCTTGCGTGCCTGTGCTGGTTACACAGTGCTTCGATAATGCCACTCTAACTGAGCACAGCCTACAAAAACCTTTAATTTTGGGGTGGAGTGGCGGACTTTGTCGTTCATTTTCTCATGTTAAATTTCACAAATAAAGTCTGATTGATCTGTGACTGTTTACATCCGGGTATCTGAAGCAACAGCCCTCACTAGCATCAGCTTAAAGACAAAATATGACTGTCATTTATCTTTATATAACACAAACATGCTAATTAGTGTTACGTAAACAGGATTTCCACATCCTAATAATAAGCCCCTTCTCTTAATGTCACAACAACATAATTTAATGCCACCTTAAATGATAGACGGCTATAACAAACTTATAATGTGACATGAGACGTAGAGCATGTTTGGAGCTATCTGCAACTTCTGCGTGACATGGAATTCAGCCTGAGGTCAAGGCAGAAGAGTTCGATCTATTTTCCAAGCCCTATTTCTTCTAAATCAATTGATTAACACTCCTGGATTGTTTTAAACATTAGATCATCCGGTTACAGTCTACTCAGAGCTGTTTATAATCCAGAAATGTGGTGATAACGACCATTAGATTTTTCCTGTGTGTTATAGATAAATTCACAAAGTTTCCAGAGTATTTAGAGTTTAAACATTATCAAACACGACTTAGAGAAGAGGTGGGATGAAGCTATAAAACCTGCAGGTGAAAGTGAAGAAGCTATTCTTAAAGACAATGATCTGGTGAACATATGTTTCCAATGTCTTTCCAAGCAGAGAGTTAAAAAAAATGCGTCCCTGGAAAGCCACTTCATCTAATGAGGGCATTATGTTCATATAATCACCTAAACAACCTGCAGAGGATGATCACCTCGGGCCAGATTGACAGGTTGTTTGTGGAAATCTCTCTAGGGTCTACGGAAAGCAATGAAAAGCAATAAAATCAGCCAGTCCGGGACACGATAAGTTCCAGATAGCCAGCTGCTGAATGCTACCTGTCTGCACTTCTCTGGTGATTTATCCTTCCCGTCTGCACTCGGCTTGCTTTTTCACTTAGGAAGGAGGAATCACTATTCCTACGACTAAACTGACAGTCACCTTTGGGAAACTATCATATGATAAATGACTTTTTAAAGCTACTGGAAGTTTGGCGACGGGACAAATTTGGTGTTTACTCCACATATGTTTACAAAATTCCTCCATGTCAGTGTTTATTTGTGAGGAGGGGTTCGGGGGGGAGCAAAAAATGTGGCCATAAGCCATCCTCTCCGGGGACAAAGTGTTGACAGTAACGAAGAATAGATGCTCCTCCAAGGAGACTGAGAGAGGGCAGATTGTGGAAACCTCCTGTCTCCCGATGATGCGTCTAAGCTCTTAACACAGACGGATGTAGTGTCGTATCAGGTATGTGTCAAGAGGCCTGGATGAATTTTGACATCTTCGAAATAACATTTTACAGATTACAGCGCACAATTTATTTTACAAGAGCTCAGCTGAATGACATTCATGCAGGAAGCAGGGCTCTCCAAAACAAGGAGTGCAGGTCTGTCTGAACACATGCTGAACTACATGGAGGGACAGCCAGCTGTCAGGAATATTTCAAAATATAATATATCACCAATCTTACTTGAAAACAAACAGTATTTGTCCCTGGCTTGGATTTCACCGGAGACTGAACTGATCAGATTGCTCACAGGCTCGTAGTCGAAGCAGATATTCCTGGAAAGCAGATATTCTTTGAGACGGGCATCCACAGCCACTTACAATACCAATTTAACATTTCTGCACATTAAAACCTCTGACTGAGCTCCTTTTTTCTACAACTACCTAAAATGTTTCCCTCCGTGAAATATCTTTTGGAAGGTAACTTCAAAACTTTCCAAGGTAACTGTTGACAAGTGATTAAAAATCAAAAAGAGTAGACCCGATGGCCCCACTGTGGGTACTCTTGACCCATGAAATTGAATGTGCTGTGGCTGTAAATTCTTCAACAGCTGAGAACCTGTGGCTTTTTAACACCCATC